ACTAGCCCAAGCGGATGGCAAGCATGGAAAAGCACGTGCTGTATAGAAAGCCGAACAAACAAGAACTACAATGGGAAGTCGAATTAAACCGTTATGTAATGGCTCTGCAGCAAAGCATTCAGATTCTCTTTGCCTTTCTTCCCCCAGTCTTGCTCTGATTCAGCTTTCCAACCTGTCCCGGCAGCACCGTTCATCCTGACTTCAACGCATATAAACCGGCGATCTAGACCTTTGCCGATCTAGAGTCTGCCAAGCTTCTGTTAGTGGAAAACCTGGAGTCGTGTTAGTATATCCGGTGGCTTGTTAAAGTGGTCTTTAGCAGAGCATATCACCTCCACTGGGCACTAGCACCTACCACAGAGATCCGGTTGGTCATATGACGTTTGATATTGGGAATGAAGAGACAGAAGCCAAACGCCGCGGCGCTGAACCCAACACTTGCATACCAGACGTATTCCAAGGACTTGGCGTAGGCCCACGACTGGCCCAGAGCGGCCTGGGCGAGAATGGTCTGGTTCACCCCGGGCACTTTGGAAATGTCCGCTGGCGACGTAAGGTAGACGGTCACAAATTGGCTGACGGAAGCCGCTGGAAGCCCGGCCTCGCTGACGTATTGAGCCACATACTGAGGCAAATAGTGGGCGATCTTGTTCTGGAAAATCGCCGAATAGATGGTGGTGCCCAGCGCTCCACCGAAGGTTCTCACACACAGGCTCAAACCCGTAACAGTTGATATCACCGCATCTGGGCAACAGACCATGGCCACCGTCTAAATGCCAAAAGCTTTTAGCTGCGTTGAACCCCTGTCTCCACGGATTAATGTCCACTTACTGCTGCTGGCGTGATAATGCCGCCGATACCAATACCTGCAAACGTTGCCATCACGGTTGCATAGTCAGGATTAGTTGGATTACAGTGCGCGAGTGAGCCGGTGAATGCAGCTGGTCCACGAATTAGCGGTAAAATCACAATGCAGACGCAATTCCTTGGGTAGAAATAGCCTCAGGTTCAGGAATATAGAGCCTCTACTTCCAGTAGTCCCCTGAGTGGAATGGCGCAGACTCACCCATGATGACAAGCGCTACCAAGAGTGGTTCTTTGACATGGCCTTTCGTGTAACTCAAGAGAGAGTTTGTAAAGGTCGCGCTTAGGAAGATTGAGAAGCCGTAACCCAGTCCGCGAACTCCTCTTTTGAGCGCCGACTCCTGTGGGTACAGTGTCTGTAGCAGCAGTGGGAAAAAGGCAAAAACTGAATAGAGACTGATACCTAAAAGCCGAGTGTCAGTCCGAATGAACTTTGGGGAATTGGAACCAGAGTATACCTCCAGCAGTTGCCACAATAAGAGCCAATCCAACCGCTCGATCATGACCGAAGATACCTCTCGGTATCATAGGGTGAGGAGCCAGCCATCCTTCCCAATAGACAAATACAGCAACTGCTGCGAAGCCTATGATCAATGGCGCGAGCACATGTACACTTTGCCACGGGTACCGATAACCGCCGTCCTGAAATGCGACGAGGCTAGTGCCAGGTCAGCTCTATCATCGAAAGTAGACATGGAGTCGAGGGATATACACAAGAGTAACACCAACTATGGAGAGGGCGCCTCCAATCCAATCCATTCGTTTCAGGATAGCGGCAGTCTTGACACCCCGCGTCCTGAATGGTCTAACCGGGAAGTAAAAAGCAGCCGCGAGAACCCAGAAGAGACCTGTCCAAATCCTGGTGAATGGTAAGCAAAGGTGGACTCCCCGGGTCTTTCAGGAACCTACGTAATGATCCATACACACCATCGCCAGGAAGCCTTAGTCGAGAGCAGCTCACAGTAAATCAGATAGGGTGCAAAAGGGGCGATGGTGAAGGTGCATGCCCCTAGGTATACGCCCCTCCGTCGAATCGGGGCTATTTCTGCGATTCTGTTTGCGCAGTCAGCATTGGTTCTACTCGACCATCTGAAGTTTAGAGTCCTGATGAGTTTTTCAGATATGACATAAAGCAAACTTACCCAGCCAAAGCACTTAGCTCGCATATGCCGCCACCAGCTCCAGCGATAGCCATGCCTGCCACGGCCTGACCAAAAGTATGTGTAGTGGCTATGACAATGGAGCCCACAACGATCGAAACTCCGCCAGCAAGCACGATCCAGCGTCTCCCTGTATGTATACCAGCTTTAGCCAAGTTTACCAAACAGCGTGCATGGCCAACATACCAACCAGGTCGGTTACATAGCCGACGAATGGGCAAACGGCGGCATAGGCCAATGTATTCGCGGTGATGAGCCAGGAAGCAAAGCTGGTGTGGATGTCTGCAGAGACGTAACCAAGCGCTCCCCCGACCATTTGTGAAGGTAACTGCGATCCGACGTAGAGTCCAGCCAAACCAATGGTGGCGAAAATGGTACGCCAATGCCACTCTGTTTTACCGTCGGAGTCGTCAGCTTTGGCCGCATGTCTATTCTCCGGATCGATGTCGTCTATCGCATCAAGTTTCTCTTTTTCTGTGAGCTTAAATTCCTCGGCATGTATAGTGGAGGCGGCTTCTTTCTCCGAGATATTTTCGAGATCTTGCTGGCGGTCCGCGATATCTGAAGGCATACTGAGAGACATGCTCCAATGACAAGAAACTAGACGACAAGAGAAATCAATGCCTCGTGAACCGTGGCAAACGTCCTGCGATTACCTTTAAACGTGGGTCGATGATTCCGTGAGAGCTCGAACACGCCGAGCATACCACCTCCGCCTCCACTACTTCGTGGGGACCCCGTAGAAATGTGCAGTGCTCTGGAGTTTGACCCTGTCGGGAGTGCGATCGGATGGTAGATTTTAGGAAACGGAGTTAACACCCTTTCGCATGCTGTACGGAGAAGGAATGCGGGGATTGGATGACTGTGAGGATCTGGGGATGAAGCATGACAATCCCCGGGTGTAAATGCGGCGGAACAAGACCTATGGATCCATACTGAATCGGCCTATGATTAGGTATTTTGGAAAACCATTTAGCTTGACGCTGCAATCCCGCCCTAGGTTTTCGTTCAGTCCCTAAAGTTTGCCATGGTGAACCACATCGGCTTCAACGAACACTTCATATGTGTCTGGAGCGGGAATGATAAGCCGCGGTCATTCGGCGTCGAAGATTGATCGATATTTTCCTTGGGCGATGGCATTCTCGCTCAATAAGCCGGGAAAGCGCTCGAAGAATGCCGGCTCGAGCTTCATTGGAGTCTCTTCGGCTTGAAGGGCAAGAATGAGCTTTGCCTCTAGCCGCGCAGATATTGTTGTTCGAGGCGTACCACAATTTGGGGAATCTCGCTGCTGCACTTTCTGCTTGGTGTAGTCAATATACTCCTCCAGTCGATAATAGCACTTCGTCTTGGGGCCTCCGGTCAGTGCATAAGTCTGGTGCTCGAAGCCTTTCGAGGGCGATAGATTGCTCTTCGGAAGCTCGTTCGTGTCTTCTTCCAAACAATATGAGCGCATGGTAGCAAGTGTGACCTCGCTGAGATCGTATTCCGCGGCGTGTAAGATTAGCTTATCTCTGATTTCTGGCCATGCAATCCAGTCAACAACAGGCCAGTGAAAACGGGTAAACTGCAGCCGTGTAGGTCGAAAGCGCGCGGGCAATCGTGCATAGTTTTCTAGAGTAGGTTCGATTCGGTAGCGAGTGATGAGTCCGATGGTCTGAAAAGAATTTGTAAGTATCCACCAGTCCTTGGTCCAGTGCCAGTAGTGCTTTGAAACCATCAGATCGAAAATGCTCCGAATTAGAGAGTCGAAGCTAACGCTGTCTTAGTGTCTGGAAAAGGGTCGGCTTTTGACAAATTCAAGCACCCGGTGCTCACCTGTGCTGTTTATCCGAATCGCTCAAATGCTGTGTCGTTATGAGCTGACGCACACTACCTTCCAATTCAAGTATATCCAGGCAAAATACCGAAGGGTTTGGGATATAGCTGCTCGAACCGTTCGGCACAGATGAGGGAGATAAAGGCTCAGGCAGAGTTCCGTTTGCCATTAAATGATCTTGATCCTGGTTCCAAAGTCCTTGATTCGTGAACTCATTCGTCGTGCTCAACTCGACTCTTTTGATGGAGCTTCCTGTTGGATCGTCATTTCTCGCCGGGGACAGATCATATGTCAGGACCGCAGGATCTTGGAGCTGAGAGAGACCTTCCCATCCATTTGTATAATGACGTTCGCGGAGTGTTCGGGCTGCTATTTCCGCTCCATGGGCAGCCGCCCCAGAAAGGGCAGATAGCTGTTTCTGCAATGAATTAACGACACTCCTCAACCTTGCTATCTCGTCTTCCGGGCCATGTTGAGTTGGTGCAATGAATGTACCGTGATGTTGAACAGTATCACGGTCCATATTGGTTTAGTCTAGAGGAGATAGCCTGCAGGGTCCCTGGGACCGTGCGGGCTGTATCAATATCAAATGGAAAGGCGGAATACGTGGAGTAGACGATCAGCTCCGTGGGAAATGAAGTCCAATGGACTCCAGATTGTGTAATTTGTAGTCTGGAGTCTGGAGTCTGGAGCCGAATTCTGCGGGGTAAATTGAACCTTGGCTTGGTCGTGGGCCTTTACACGGCTCTCCACCAGCGTCAGCCTTCTTTCCACTCCATGTCTGCTCAGATATAACCCAAATCAGCACTACTTGGCCAAGCACCTTCAAAGACTCTAACTAACAAGTTCGTATCTGTGCATTGTGCAATCACAAGGCGCGACGCCCTATACCAAGCCAAACCCCCGTCATGCCGACCCCAGAAACGAATGAGGGTGATATATTACCACGCTCTCGAGCGAAAGCCGCCAAATCCTCCGCATGGGAATGCCCGGTCTGCAAGAAGCCTTACTCGCGTCGTGACGTTCTCAAGCGACATCTGCTCTCACAACACGAGGAGAAGCGAGGTCCACGTCCTCCACGAAAGAGCAAAAGGAAAAGCTGTCTTCGCTGTGCATTGTATGTACCTGCTGTGGCTGCTACGCGGGCCCTCCCACCTTCTATGGCCGCTGATGTGACCTACCAGGTACCGGGTACGCTGTACCGGCCCCCCAGTATGCACACAATGTGATGAGAAGAAAGTTGTTTGTCAGTTTGACTTCGCTTCCGTGGTAGGGTCGGGCTCTTCAAACGTGGCGAATACGAACGCTTCAAGCTCTCAATCGCCATCCTCGCCAATCTACCTACGAGAGAGCATAGACGTGGATCTTGGGACACACACGTTATGCCGCCCGGAATCCATCTCATCCCCCGAAACCTGTTTCTCGGATGATCATCAGCAAGCCAGCCCGCCCAAATTATTACCTCCACAAATCGAAGAGGCACGTATCTCGCCCTCATCAGTGGACTTCGGTCATTATCTGCATTACGACATGCAACTCGAGATTGGCGAATTATCAAATTCGGGCGACCTCTTCATCCAGGACATGATGCCAGAATTGAACGAGGTACGTTGTTCAGCTGAGACTCTCCTCAAATAAGTGGCCATGTCAGCTAACAAAACAATAATCGGTCTTCAGCAGCCGGAGCGAGTAGCTATGCCCGAGTCTATAAATCAACCAGTCCCTCTGAGTCCTAAGACGCTGAACATTCAGTCCTCAAGTGCTTCGCATGGCGATGGCAATCAACAAGAGTTCGCGGGTGATGAGGGCGGACGTAATCTGGACGTGGCTTTCGTACGGCTTTTCCAGTCTTCTGGCCGTTCTTCGCCGGTAGGTTGTCTGGCCCTCGACAAGTCTTTGGAGTTTGCCAGCAGTTTGCCCCGTGTTGGTGAACGGGACCTTCGAGAATATTGGTTATCATATTCCACCACCTTTCACAAGGTCAGTCGTTCTACGAGTCATGGGCGACAGGCTGCTGACAATCCTCTGATAGATAATGCCGGTGATTCACATGGGTAGCTTGGAATTCGATCCTTCTCCTTCTTTACTGCTCTCGACGATCGCTGCGATAGGAGCAGATTCCCTGACCGGTGATGGGCCGCAAGGATACGCTTCAGCCACTTATGAGAAGCTCTTCAGCTTTCTTGCCGTAGGTGATCTTGTCTATTTTTTCTCCAAGTTGGTTGCTAACCTCTATGAGGCACCAACGGATTGTTCCCGAGCCGAATGCCCAAAATGCTTATTGCTATTGGCCGCAAAATGTCTTCTCTGCTACCGGATTCTAGATCATCGGAATCTCCTCTTTTTCAATGCAGCCTTGGAACTCATAAGTCACCTGACGGTGGAAGCGGCGAGGTTGGGGCTATTTGCTGTTCGAGATATAGATCTCATGCCTCAAGAGGAGTTCTCTCCAAGAGAGGATACGCCAATTCCGCGTTCCTCGGACGCGAACATCCGAAACACAACAGAGCTCATCACCACAGCAGTATCACAAGACGAGATACCCAAATGGAGGAAGTGGGTAAGCAACGAGCAGCAGAAGCGGCTCGGATGGGCAGTCTTTGTACGTTCCACCTCGATTGACAATGATCAGATTGTGGTTGGTTTCACTAATCGCGGCCGTCCTCTCACAGGCAGCCGACCACCTGTCTTCACTGCTTACGAACCGTCCCTCACAAATCCCCGAAACGGACCTGAAAATCTCAAGTCCCTGCATCGACGCCTTTTGGGACGCCCGGAATGCCAAAGAATGGCGTTCCCTTTTCCCCTGGACGCCTGCGCCACCTACCCCGCTGCCCTTCGCGGGAATCGTCCGCAACATCATCCTGGGAGAGTTTCCCCTGAAAAAGCTGTCGGACTTCAACTTGGATCTGTGCATTTTTGCCTTTGAGATGGCGGTTCTGGGACTCGGTGGATCCCACATCATGGGCATGCACGAGCTCCAACTGAAGTCTCTCCCGGTAAGAACGAAGTTGCTGCAAGTGCTGGCACTGTTGAAAAGCAAAAGGACAATAGTGATGCGAGGCTATGACCGGCTGTGATTTCGCAGGGGTGTCCCTCTAGGTTAATGAAGAGGAAGCCACTTTCCATGACGCAGACTATATATATGTTCACCAACTCCAACATCATCGGTGGATAGAGTTGATTGGAGGCAGATTGTGGGATGGACCTAACGGGCTATTGTCGCCATTGGCAACTCTTCCCCCTGGCGGACCGTAGTCGGCCGACTATCCTATTGCTATCTCATTGTTCAAATCCTCGAGACCTGCAGTCATTTCCGCTCTCTGGATTTGATCTTCAACATCAACGGTCCCCGCATCAACGACTGATAACTCTTGATACTGCCGATGAAGCCGGCATCGTCGAAGTCGTCCGGCATGGTGATGTCGAAATTCCGGACAACTTTTGCCACGAACAAGCGCAGCTCAAGGAATGCCAGGGCACGCCCTGCACAAGAGAACGTGCCTCCGGTAAACGCTTGGAAAGCTCTAACGTCATGAGTCCACGAGGGATCTCGGGTGGCATCATTCCACCTTTCCGGAATGAATTCACTGGCTCTGGTCCAGTTGCGTTCGTCATGATGGAGGGATATGACATTCGAAGACACCTAGACCGACGTCAAAAGAAAGAATCTACACATACGACGAGCGAGACGGTATTGTGCGCACCTGTGTATATTCGGGGATGAACGTGCCGTTGACGAGGTGCCCTCCTTTGCCTGTTCGTCTTTGGAACCCGTTGGGCCCTGGAGGTAGGAGTCTCATCGATTCATAGATTGCTCCGTTGATGTATGGGCATGTTTCGGGTCCTACTTCAACTTTAGCAAACACCTTTCTCCGGTGTAGACCGAGATGTTGGTACCGAGCATGTATCCTTCTAGGGGCTTTTCCCCATCCCAAGCACTGTCTACTTCTTCTTTGACGCGCTCATAGCAAGTTGGATACTTGGTCAAGAAGTAGAATAGAAACCTAGCGATGTCAGATTCAGCACCTTTCTTCATCGTCAACACTCACGTTGAAGCTAGAGATGTGGTGTCGCTGCCTGCGATAAAGAGTACAGGCGAGTCGGCTTCGAGGTCAAGCTCCCTTGTAACACTTCTCCCATTTTAACACGAGGTCGTCTGGACAGAAAGTCAGGGCCACTCACTATCCGTCTTTATCTCCAGGAATGAGATGGGTGAAAAGATCGTTGGGTCCAGTCCCCCGCTGTCTCCTCTCGTCGTATTGATTCTTTGAAATCTGGCGAAATTCGGCGGTGTGTTTCTTCACGTCCGCGTCACCGAACGGCAGAAGGTAGGCCACGGGAGAAATCCACGGAACAGAAGAGATGATGTGCATCATCTTGATGCCGCTCCTCACGCAAGCAGAGTAGAACTTGGGGCCGTCTAAGAGAATGGTCAGAATCTCAAGCACCTCGAGCCTTTGCCTCGCAGCTTGCACTCACCGTCGTTCATTAGCCCGAATTTGTAGTCAAATGCGAGCTCGCCCATTGCATCGAATGCGAAATAGTCGCACCAGCTCCCAAAGTCGACGATCTCGCCTTGTTGTCCGTTAGTAATGAAACACGGACTTTGATCTCTTTTTCCATACCGTCGTGCTTTTTGAACTGTCCGAGCAATGTATCCAACAGGTTGAGGATTCGAGGCTCGTACGACTTCAACTGTTTCTGGCTGAAGCCGTGATCCCACATTCGCCTCCTCACCCTATGATCCTCCCAATCTCGTGTACTTGGCATCGCCTTCCCTCCGGTGCTGTAGACTTCGGTATCATAGTAAGGACCCTTAGTAAGACGTGCCCCTTGAGGCCCATGAAGGTACTTTACGGCGCCAGCGTCTGCAAAGGAAAGCTCATTCGGGCCGATTCTCACGATGTCGCCGTACTAAAGAGAACAGTTACGATTTGAAGAATACAAGAGTCGTGCTTTCTCCTACCTTTGCATGCAGTGAGGGCAGCCACACATGTAGATACCCAGTCCAAGAGTGATATACTCCGGTCCATTTCGTGAGTTTTGCATACCACGGTCCGGGGAACTTGCTGAGAGGGTGGAGGAATGACAGCCTATATATAGAGATACTGAGGCTTTCCTCCACTGTCAGCTCTGCTTGTAAAATACGAAGCGGGAGACATACCCTAAGGTGGTAAGGTAGACAGCGGCGAAAAGGGGCACGGCTTGCAGAATAAAGTGGTAGTCTCCAACCAGTTGCAAAGCCACGAGGCCGACGCAGCCGGAAAGAGCAGCGATATGTGAGAGAAATGATCTGTGGCAATCGATATTAGTTATGTCCCCTCTAACGCCGTATGGATAACCAGAACAAACCCCAATGTTGGTTCATATCGATTATAGATTCCATGAAAGAGCTTCAAATATGCATTAGCGAGAAATTCATGCTCTTCCGATCATACCTACGAAACCAGCAAAGGCAGCCGTGTATGCCACTCCGACCAATATCACTCTCATCTTGTGCTGGTAGATCTGTTGCAGCAATGACGGGCAGGCACAAACTTTTTCGGTGCCGCCCACTGTCTGTGTTTTGTTATTTGAGCAACGCCCAACGGGGCCCCCGCAAACACCTGACTCGACTCATCCAACTCATGAGTGACACCCGCAAAGTAAGTCCTCACGAATATCTCGACTGCCATCATGGTGACGCTGAAATCTAGCGCGGAACAGACATGTGGACGCCCACCTCTTGCAGTCCGCTGCATATGCGGCCCGTCCCAGGCACGATCAATACTCCACCCAGCAACTCCGGTATCTGATGCGGAGACGACATGGGAGCAGATGGCTCATGCCGAGGCTCGGTTGGGCTTCGATGAACGGCAATAGTCTTTTTACAAGGCCGGTTCGTCGATGCATCGTCTTGTTCACCAGGCCCTGCAGATCGTTGGGCATTTTGAGGAACAGGCCTTGATACTTGACAGTTTTCATCATGCATATCGACGGGGAAAAGGCAAAGTACGAGGTACTCGAACAGCCACAATCGGCGCCGAACCACATTAAAATCATCCATGTGGGCGCTGGGGCAGCAGGGATGCTGGCGGCCTACAAGGCCAAACGAATGCTGGAGAACTACGAATTGGTATGCTATGAAAAGTGCGTCGGATTGACCTACAATAGACATTGAGCGTCTGGTGTACTTACTTGTTGCGTTGGTAGAAATCCTGTCCCCGGAGGCACTTGGTGGGAGAACAGGTATCCCGGTACGTTGAGTATACCTTCCTCTTGTCTAACCTCAAATAATGTTGATGGATTGGATAGGCTGTGCTTGCGACATAGCCGCTCACACTTATACTTTTTCTTTCGAACCGAATCCCGAATGGTCCAGCTTTTATGCGTATTCGCCGGAAATCCAAGATTACATGATGCGGTTCTATGAGAAGTACGAGCTGGCACCTTTTGTGAAATTGAACACTGAGGTCGTCGGCGCCGTTTGGTCGGAGGAGGAGGGGAAATGTGAGTTTCATTCCAAGTCGCGTATATGAGCCGGGCATGCATTCTAAGCTAAATATCATTTGCCTAGGGCACGTTGAGCTTCGCCAAGGGGATCGTACGTTCTATGATACATGCCACGTACTCATAAACGGAAGCGGAGTGGTCAACCGATGGAAATGTCAGTCCTGGCCCTGAGACCGTCGCGAGTTGCGCTGATTATTGAGTCAGGGCCGGATATTCCGGGGTTACATGATTTTCAGGGAATCTTGTCCCACAGTGCCAACTGGGATCAGAGTATAGATTGGAATGGAAAGCGCGTTGCTGTCATCGGCACGGGTTCCAGTGCCATTCAGATGGTCCCTAAGCTAGCAGAAGGTAGGGAACCCCGCGACACAGCAGACGGCGTCGCTTATATCCCCAAAATAACTAACAAGTACATGCACGCACAGGGGCGGACCACGTCACGGTTTTCATGCGCAACTGTACCTGGATAGCCCCCCAAATAGACGAAGACGTTCAAGCAGCAGCGGCAGATGGCGAGACACCAGCCCCTGCTGGCAAGCACTTTTATACAGAGCGTGAGAAAGAGCACTTTCGATCAGACCCGGACTTCCACCTCCAGTACCGAAAAGGTCTCGAGACGAGAATGGCTCGCAAGTTCGATTTGTTTCTCCGTGGAACAGAGACGAACCTCAAGGCGAGAGTGGCGATGAAGGAGAGTATGCTGAAAAGGATCGGTCCCGGCCACGAGGAACTGAAAGAAAAGCTCATCCCGTCCTGGTCGCCCGGGTGCAGAAGACTCACGCCTGGAGAGGGATATCTCGAGGCTCTCGTTCGGCCGAATGTGTCCACCATTCACGAAGAAATCGCGCGAATCACCCCTACTGGATTGGTGACCAGCAGCGGGAAGGAAGTTGAGGTGGACATTATCGCTTGTGGGACGGGCTTCTACGTTTCTTACGTGCCACATTTCAAGATCGCCGGAACGAACGGTGTGGTGATGCAAGAAGACTGGGCGGACGAGCCCAACATCTATTGCAGTATCGCAGGGCCTGGATACCCTAATTACTTTGTCGTCAATGGGCCTCGGGGCAACTGGGGTCAAGGCTGTGCTTTGCCATCTGTAAGTCCACTTCGCTCACAAGTTAAGATGCCTTTTCTAATGGCTTTCAGCACGAAGTTCAAATAGAGTACGCCTTGCAGTGTGTAAGGAAGATGCAACAAGACCGGATCAAGGCGATGGAAGTTCGACAAGGACCAACGACCGACTTCAACGAACATGTGGACAAATGGCACGAGAAATACTCGGTTTGGCGCGAAGACTGCAAAAGGTGTGAAAAACCCAAAGACCCGGAATTCATGAGCAGGGTTTATTGCTGCTGCTGCCGTCCCGCTTCATCTGAGCCCATTCGCTAACTTTCGATCCAGCTGGTACAAGAAAAACACCAAAGGAGGCCGCGTCTATATCTGGGGCGGCTCAATGCTCCATCACCTGAAGGCGCTCCGGACACCGCGGTACGAGCACTACGAGATGAGGTATTGGGAATCCAACTGCTGGGCGTTTTTGGGCTGTGGGAAAACCGCACAGGAGTTGGAGCCCGAAGGGAAAGATCTCGCTCCTTTTCTGAGGAACGCGGATACTCCTTGGGAGTGCTAGACGGCGGGAGTGAAAAGGGAAGCCTCTTGGCAGTCCTTCAACCAAATGCGAATCTCCTCGTGCGAGTCGGCTCCATCGAGACGGTCTTCTTTTCAAAGTAGCATGAAGCAGACACTTTTGTAATGTCCAGTATCTGAGTGGACGCCACACCAGATTGCTCTTCAAGTTTTTCCTTGCACAAGCCGCAGCACGGCGTGCAGAAGGCCCGCACAGGAACTCCGGTCTCAGCGCGGCGAGGTTCTGAAGCATGTCACGAGCCAATAGGCTTGAGAATCAATCCACATAACCTCGGGTCTTTCTTCAGACACTTCGAGAGCGGATGCTAATTAGAGATATTCACAGTCTCCTGGAGGGAAGAGAGGCGAGACAAGGAGAAAAATGGCCTCGACTTCAAGTGTAGCCTTCATTACCGGTGGAGGTATGTATGTCTCGTCACTCTTGACCCAATTCTTGTTCCGCATGGTGTGCTGACGACTGCTCCATCGCTTCCAGCCTCGGGCATGGGCCTCGCCCTGGTCGAGCGGCTCGTTGCTGAGGGGTGGAATGTCACCGTTTTCGACTTCAACAACGCGGCCGGCGAGCAGGTGCAGAAAAGGCTGGGCGGCCAGGTCCTCTTCCTCCGTGGAAACGTCATCAACTACGATGACCAGGCCCAGGCTTTTGTGAAGACCTGGGAGAAATGGGGACGCCTCGATCTTGGTACCCAAGTTCCAACACCACCCTCTGCCTGATAACACGCTTCAAAATCCTTTGATTTAGTAGTCGTGCTAGTTGCACTCGTTTACTAATACGTCCTTGGCTTCACAACCAGTCTGGGGCAATGCGGTAAGCTTGCATTTCTCCCTGCACCCTTTACTTCCAGAATGAAGTGTCGCTGATGTTAATGAAGGGCATTGGTGACCGCATTGAATTCTGTAGTCCCATGCCAGAAGGACCCAACGGCGCACCACCGAAACCAGATACCTTGGTCGTCGATATTTGCCTCTATGGGGTGATCTGGACGGGTTATCTCGCACTGCACTTCTTCAGGAAGAATCCGTCAAAGGCTGGGAAATTGGTGTTCACGAGCAGCCTGGCTGGAGTGTATCCTGCTGCACCGGTGCCGCTTTATGGCGCTGCAAAACATGGTGTAAGCTTGTTTATCGCCATTTCCAGTCCTTTTCGAAGGCTCTCACATGGTAACAGTGATACCCCTAGGTGATTGGGCTTGTTCGATCGATGGCGAAGCGCCTTCAAGAGATGGGAGAGCCGATAACCGTAAACTGTGTCTGCCCGGGCCTCGTCGCCACGCCATTGGTGAGCCAGAAACTGGTAGAGGTCATGCCCAAGGACATGACTACTCCCACCGAGACTGTGGTGCGGGCGATCCTGCAGTTCGCAGCCGACGCCAGTATCACGGGGCAAGCGGCCGAGTGTAGTGGGACGGAAATCCACTATCGGCCGGTTTTGCCATATAGCAATTCGGCAGCTGAGTATATGGTCGAGGGCAAATATGCCAATCTTGTAGATAAAGATGAGATGATGCAAGACAGCGCAGAGAAAGGGAAGTTGCTGGACGCTATGGTTTCAGACCGGAATGGTACCGTAGCGACATAGAACCAATGCGAATCTGTCTCGGTGGCGGACTTGCTGTATCTTCTTCCAGAACTTATTGCTCAAAGCTGGTTCCGAGTATCTCTCTTGAACGAATCCGCCAGGTCAGCTGCCAGCCTTAATAACTGTTCGCTCCCACTACCAGAGACAGTCTGCAAGATACTTTTCCGACTCTCGCATTCCTCGTTAGTTGATCCCCTACACAGCTCATAATGAATCAAAGCTGCGCAGATCAAGCGCCCGAAGCGCGAGACATCTTGCAGAGCGACAGTCTGGTGCAAGAGTCCTCGCAGGGTGGCTCGAAATGGAAGTTGTGGTGGAGGAGAGTGTGACCACGGAAAGCAAGTCGACCAGGCCCCGGCATTTCCTGCCTCCCACATGATGTCTTCACAAGGCATTTGTAGATTAGGTGCCCCTGGTTCCGACGGAGATATGTCTTGAAGGAATGCGGCTGACAGATAATTGTACGTCTGTGAGAGATTCAGTTTCATTTCAGTGAGGATATAGTGGGAACAAACAAGATAAGCCCATGCTAGTCGCCTCGAAGTCTCTTTCTTCACCCATAGAAGCCACCGCCGGTGGATTTCAAGGTCATTTCCGCGCTTTATCTGCGCCATCCAGTCACGAAGGGATTTATTGTTGACCAGAATCGTCCGATCAGGTTTCAACCTTCCCGAATGGTCATCCTCCTGGCGAAAAAGTTCGATTTTTTCAAGGTAGGACATGTTTACGTGGAGTAGCGTCGTCAAGAGCTGTGCCTGGTCACTTTTTCGGCTGCGAATCGCCTGACACAGCAAAATGCAAACTGCAGCTAGCACAGATCCTTCGACACTTCGGTCGTTCCTTCCGCCGTCAATTGAAGTCTGCAGTAGGGCACACAGCTTGGAAGCTCCTTGTTGATGAAAGAGTCTACTGTGGGCAGTGTCCGCATAGTTGGCCCCAACGACAGTAACAACCGCAGCAATCAGGGGCGAACAGGACATCGGTTTTACCAGGTGATGGTGCAGGATGGGACAATGCTATTATTGGATCAGCGTGGAAAGTTGACAACACTTCCCAAATGGTGAACTAACCTTGTCAAAGTGAACGAAATACAGGTCCCAGAAGGCTGAGAGCTGGACCGAGCTTGGAAATGAAGAAGGAACATCTGTGGTCAGTCTAGTTCGGCCAATGGACGTCTGCTGCAGTATTCGGTGGATTCTCAGCGCCAGACTTTGTTCTGCTTCATTGGCTAGCTCTCTGCCGTCCTCACTTCCTAGAGACTCCGCTATATCGGTGATAGATGCGTAAATATCGTCGTGGACTAGACTCTGCGTTTCTGTAACGAAGCGATTGGAGACGCCGGTGTAGTTTTGCAGACTTCCTCGGTCTTCTAAGAGCTCCTTCAGCGGTCGGGGAGTTTGAAGCCATGTTCCGGAGGTCTGAGGGGGTGCACAACTCCCAGTTGCCAGATCTTCGGGAGTGATTGTGAAATCTGGGAACGCTCCATCCGAAAACTCGGGTATTTGACTCTCAGACGTGGTGCGAGATGTGATATCAACAGCCTGTCGGTCTTCCATGTCAAAGAGTAAACCCCAGTGTTCTGAAGCCATTTGGTCAGAACCAGATTGTTCTAGGCCAACTTCAGGATGTCTCATCAGCCCAGAGTCATGCCTCAGTGGCGTGAACAGACCATGACTATCTACACCATGGTTCTCACTTGTCTGGACGATGTCATTGTCATCGCAACGAGGACTTATCGTGGTTTGCTGGCCAAAAGGACCATCAGGCTGACATATCTATGAACCCACAAATGAATATTAGCAAATGGTAAGACCTGCCTATTACTTAGCAATGCGCACTCACCACCGTTGGGACGTCGATGTCGCTGCCAAATTCGCGATTCCAGGTGTAGCCCCACTGTAGCGAATCAGCATAGTGGTCTACTGAAGTAGACGGGTACAAACCTCTAGGCTTGATTGATTTTCCAAGCTCGGTGGTTTCTGAAGCTGGAATAGACTCGTGGATGTCATTTGTAGTCCAGGAGAAGTCCCGGTATCGTCGGGCTCTAATCTGGGGCGTTTAGGCGACGACGGAGGCTCTTGTTGTCGAGCTGGCTGGTTGCCGCATTCCTCCAGCTCTATATTCTTCGAAGATGGCTCGAAATTGTATTGACAGAGCAATCCACTTTTTCCACACTCCTGGCAGGTAGATTCCCTCGTGCACTTGACCTTGTGTCTGCGTTCGTCAGTCTCGCTGGAAACAGGCATTAGATCGAGGATAGATAAGCCTACAGCGCGCAACGAAGGCAGCTCTTTCGCCGTGAACGTGGGCTCGTCTTCCGGAACGCAGCCTCTCCATGTTGATGCCGGGCATGTCGTCTCAGAACATCCCTTCGAGCGAAGGACTTGGCGCAAATATGACAGACATGATTTGGGGACTTCTCTAACAGTCCCAGAGTGGAGACCTTGCGAGCAGAATCATCCATGATGGTCTATCTCCATTTCGAAAGACGGATGGAAAGGCAAGAATCAGCTGTCCCCGAGAAAGCAGAAACAGTCCACCAGATTGCCACCAGCCTCGAGGAGGGATGGGGCATTGCGGGCACCCCTCAAACGCCCCCTCAACTTTTAATCCCCACGGGCTACAATTGCGTGGAAATGGACGCTTCGGTAACATTGTGATTGGCGAGGTTGCGCCTGGACGACCCGCGGGCTGCCGCTAACTGGAGGCTATACGAACTCACTTTACCTGGGATTGCTTCGTTTGCGTGGCCCGAGGATTGCTGGAGATGGCCTAGATCTTCCACAAATGCAGGGTACCAAACCATGATCAGTGGCAGACTTGCGACATCCCTCGTCTAGCGTAACCCTCACCACGATTTGGTAGCGAGATGATATGGTCATAGGACCACTTCTGCGATAGAACTCTCATCGTCGGCCGTAAATCAATCTAAATTCTCAATGCTCTATCTTGTCAATCGCTTCTGTCGAGCCAACACCTGAATTACCGAAATGTCTAACCAGGGAGACATTGGCGTCTTGGAGGAACGGAATCGACAGTTGACCGAATCCCTCTCCACAACCAGACAAAGACTCGTCGAGATCACCAGGAATCTCAATCAACTATCTGATTATGTGGACCAATATTCCAGACCACATTCATATTCGTCTGCTTTGGGATACACTTCACCGTTTCCACTTAACGCGGTTGCTCCACGTAAGAGAACCACCAGGACGCAGGGAATCTGCACTCAATCCAACTGACCGATTGCTATACCAACAGCCAGGTCTCCATGCCAGCCAGCCAAGAATGGCGGATACAACTCCGGCCCCTTATCAGATCTGTTCGTCGACCATGATCACGAGTCGACGACTTCTGCACATGGGGCGCCACGATCGCCGCCCAACGCATTACTGCAAGGAGCTATCTCATTACCACACGACGAAGAGATCGCGAGGCCACTGAATGACACCTCCAGCAATTATCCTGTAGGCCGACCTTCCGATGCCTGTTTAGACATTATCCATCACGAAGGGCTGGTCCGCCAGATAATGATACAGGAGTTCGCTGAAGATCCCGCCAATTGTCAGAGGTAAGACTTTCAACTAAGAGGGTTGTGTGTTGTTCTCGAGCGGTCATAAACACCAAGTCAAGATGAATCTGGCTAACTGTGACCCATCATCAGTCTCGACAGCCTTATAGCCAGGATGCTGCAATCCCTCGCTTCGTCGGAGAAATGGGAGCGTCTCAGCCTCTTCTGCAATGCAGTCAATGGCTGGGACAAACTTGGGCCCATAACCCGCTGGCGAATCGAGCCAACTGCCAAACATTACATGCAACTCCCACCCTGCTTCCGTCCAACCCGTCTCCAGATGACCCGGCATCATTGGCCGATCGTCGACTGGCTGCCATTTACTAAGATCCGGGACGCACTTATTCTCAATCCCGAGGGGTATGATCTGAACAAGGTTTGCCTCGAGCTAAATGCGAGCTTCTGCTTTGAGATGGAGTTTGCAAACGCATATCCCGACGCAGAACAAGGGGACGATGGAACCACACCCACAAGTTTGGGGCCTGTTTCCAGAGAGCGCTCGACCGCAGGGTCTGGTAGATCGACGGGGAGTCCGACAAACATTTTCAGCGATTCACATTTGAGGCGAAAGCGTCCTAGAGACCACGTGGTGTACGTCCTCTTGCAAGAGTATGTCGACCACCGGACGGGTGCGGACTCTTTAACAACAACGGGGCAAGGCCACCACCGCCGAGTCAATGAAAACGTGTTGACACACTTGCTCCTGGCGTTCAGACAGCTCGAGAATCCTTTCAAGCTGCACTCGAAATTCTTCGACCAGTTTCCCGGCCTCCCGCGAGACTTGTACATGGTCCGAGGTGAACAGGTTTCCATTTTTGGTGACTATCGACCTAGAAAACTCTGAGGTGCTCTGACGCCCACAAATAGCGAATATCCAATATGATTGACAATAAAAAGCCTTGATCCCACCTTGACAATGCGTCAACTTCGAGTCTTCGAGTCGTTGCCTGTGAGCCGACATTTCGACAAGTTGTCCAAATTCCTCCTTTACTGCCTCAGCAGGCACAGACTGAAGAAGTAACGAAGTCCACCAACGACAATACCGGACAGTGATGCGTATTTCCGTCCAAAGCATATCACGACGTGACTAACCAACGATCTGCGATTACCCCTATCCTAGACTGCTCAGGTCATTGATTTGAATTGCACTGCCACACCTCAGGCTACTACTGCGAGGGGGCGGGGCCGATGTGTGGCTTAGAGTCTGCTTCGAGGACATGTGCGAGTTGTTGTAATAGTAATTTGAATATTACTGTACTTGTTACTTGGGCGAACCCGTACCATTGCTTTAGGGACTAGGTTCCTCACTCGTCAATAGTGGAGGTACACTTTCTGTAAAATCAAGTCAACTTTTTCATATCTCATCTTGAAAGCCGAGACAGAGATACAAAATGCCTTTAGAGAACATCAACCTCGAGACACCACCCAAATGTACTGCGGACTTTTGCCTCATCCCGCTCGGCACACCAACGGCTTCAGTGTCGGCGGAAATTGCTGAGGTTCAGCGCCTGATGAAGAGGAGCGGACTGAAGTACAGTATGCACTCGGCCGGAACGACTGTTGGTGAGTGAGCACTGCATCGCATTTCCATTGCCTAAGGCGCACCTCATCCTGCAGCCGTACATTGTGTCTGTGGGCGTCGATGGTCTTCTGTTGTTCCGATACAAAATATAACTGCACATATTAATTGCTAACATCTCACCAACAGAAGGATCCTGGGACGATGTCATGCGATTAATCGGCCAGGCACACACACTTCTGCATCAGAAGGGCATAGTACGCATTCAAAGCGACATTCGCGTAGGCTCTCGCACAGATAAAGCGCAGACCATGGAAGATAAAGTCTCAGCGGTGGAGAAACTGCTTGCGGGAGACACAGCTTGAGATAATTACTCCACGAAACGTCACGGGTTGAGACAGGCGGAAAGTTGGGTGATACTTGCACAACGCCGTACTCCCACGAGAAGAGACAGGTAGATCAGGTCCAACGAAAATGAAGCAGCAAAAGAGAAGCAAACGGGTGTCCCGGGTTCAGCTGGGTTGAAGAACATCCTTCTGCACTGCGCCACATTGACTGTAACGCCACATATGTGGCTTGAGATGTGGCGTTTGGGGCTGTGCAGCTGTTTGGAAGTGATTCCAGGGCGCCATAGATCGACCACCATCGGCCAAATCAGCCAGGAACACGCAGCACGACCTGCGACAATGCTCATTTAATTGGCGACAATGGCCCTCTTTTTGCCGCCCAACTCCTTTGACATTTCTTTGAGCCAGATACAAGGCTTCGTGCAGGCATCTTTGTGACTCTTCATGTTCCCGCAAGTGCCCAGTGCTTGTTGACCGACTCGCTTTCCCCAGCCATGCTATTTCCATCACCAGTCCCCGACAAGCGGCTGGACTAATCCTCACCGCGGTCCTTCTTGACCTAGACACTTCCCTAGCAGTTTACACAAACTCGCATCGATTCCTCCCTGTCTAACATCTGTTGAACGAGCGAGCTCAAGCCCAGCCAAGCAGCAGCCATGGCTGCAATCACCCAGACGATTGCCATCATTGACCGGTCAAACAAGGTTGTCAGCACCACAAAACAACTGAAAAATGTCTTCAAGGAGGCAAAGATGGCTTACTTGGAGCGGAAGGCGGAGATTGCAGCGGAAAGAAGGGCGAAAGAAGAAAAAGAACTGAGGAAAGCAATGAAGAACGTGACAATAGCGGAAGATACAAGGTCGGATGCGTCCCGAAGAGCACACAGACACCACGGCCACAGGAGCGAGGTTGAGAATGTTCGACATCGACCTTCAGAAAGTCAACACCATTGTCCTCCCGAATATGTGTACCGGGGTGCTCCTCACCCAGGCTCGGAGGCGGCAGCTCCCAGGTCGCCAGAAGCGGCCTACCCCAGGCACGTCGGTCTTGCACAGTTCAATGAGGAACTTTACGGCCACCATCAATCTATTCCGGATTATCCAAGTCCACCGTATGGAAGTGGACTTGTTCGGAGGACGACTGATTTACCACTCGATGCTCATCGATCACATCGCCCTCCACCTGCTCGTTCTCACTCAGTCTCTGACGTCGACATGGACCTCGCCTATGGCGAGTTCCACCCAGAGTCGCTTATGCTGGATCCCAAAGTGGAACAGCAGCTGCAGAAACAAGAGATGTCCAGCCTAGTCACCAAATGTAAGATGCTTATGGAGGAGGCCAATTGTGCACAACACAGTGTCCGGGCCATCATCTCGCATCTGCAGACGAATCCGGACTCCATGGCGGCTGTCGCCTTGACGTTGGCAGAGATCAGCAACTTGGCATCGAAGATGGCACCTGGGGCGCTTGCCGCATTCAAAGCCGGTGCTCCCTCGGTTTTCGCGATGCTCGCAGCCCCCGAATTTCTGATTGCCGTGGGTGTGGGTGTAGGGATCACCGTCGTGATGTTCGGCGGCTACAAGATCATCAAGAAGATCAGAGCCCGGGTCGGGGACAAAGAGGAAGAGACAATGGATGAGATGCTGGACGTCAACGAACTCGACCGGATCGAACACTGGAGACGTGGTATCTCGGATGCCGAGACGGCGAGTGTTGCTACAAGTGTCGAAGGTGAATTCATCACTCCACTGGCAGCGAGAAGCATGGGCCATTTGCCCCTGCCCAGGGAGCATAGTGGTGAAAGGCACAAGGAGCCGAGGAAAGAATCCAAGAAAAAGAAACACCACCGGAGGATCGAGGAGGATCCAGATCGCACGGTGGTGGGAAGTGAGAACTCGTCAAAGTCACGGCGAAGCAAGGGCAGCAGCAGGTCGGAGAAGAGAGAAAAGGCACTTGTCAAGGCCAAGAAACCGAGTACGCTAAGGAGGATGTTTCTCAGCAGGGATACAGATGTTTCCTCGAGACGATGAACCTGGGGATGCATCCGTTCTCTTTACTCCGGCGTTACGGCAAGCACTCGAATCTGCATGGATGAGGTTACGACGCAATGATGGATATGGAAGTGCTAGATAGCGTGCTTGCAGAAGCGAAATACGTACTATATCTGGTTGGATTCTGGACAAAGAAAATACTGCTCTTGAGTATCTCCAATATTGGGATTAATGTCACATGACTTTGAATCACGTGCCACTGCGGCGAAATTTTGGCTGCTCGGAGATCTTTTGGTTCATTTCTACCATTTATCGAGAATTGGTCGACCCTGCTGTCCATGCACTCTTATGATTTTCCTGGCCTTTACCTTTCGATATCTGTGTGCTGTATCTTGAGGCGCTACGCTTCTCTCTTGTTCTAATCCCTCGCCATCTCAAACTAGACGATTCCTTGTGTCAGTCGCCTTCTCCGATCGTGACCGCGGCGGCATCTCGAATCTCCAAGCCATCATCGAACCCTCTGTCGCTCTTTGCGCTGTTCAAAAACGCAGATACAAGTACAATTGATCAAGCCACCACAGCGGCCCGAGCTCTCACTATTCCACCATGGATCATTCCCGAGATCCCTGTCCCTGGGTTGCCTTGTCCGACTTTGGCGGAGCGTTCTGTATGGGAGCTCTAGGAGGTACGACGAATAGATTTTTGCTTTGACACTTCTTTGACACAATTCAGGTACATTATGGCACGGAATCAAGGGTTTCAGGAATTCACCCTACGGCGAACGACGAATAGGCATGATCACAGCCATCAAGGCTCGAGCGCCCGTTACAGGAGGTAACTTTGGAGTATGGGGCGGTATGTTCAGCACTTTCGATTGCGCAGTCAAGGGCATCCGCAAGAAGGAGGATCCATACAACTCTATCATCGCCGGATTCCTGACGGGAGGTTCGCTGGCGATAAGAGGAGGTTACAAGGCGGCCCGGAACGGTGCCATCATGTGCGCTATCTTCCTCGCTGTTATCGAGGGTGTTGGTATTGGTATCCAGCGATTAATGGCAGAGAACACGAGACTTGATGTAAGTTGACCAGGAGCACTCGGGCGTCACTTTCACGGTGCTAACATTTCCAGCTTCCTCCACCTGCACCGCCTTCAGAATCGGGACGCATGGCAGCATGACTGGAAATGGCCACAATACCACATTTCATTTAACGAGTTCTTTGGATCGTCCTGCTCCTGCGATTGCGCAATTAGCGCAATATCGGTCCTTGCAAGATTCTCTACTCTCCAGCAAGATTTCCAACTTCGTTGTTTAACGTTGAAAGACTTTTGCAATGGCATAGCGGGCGAATGGACATAAACGGACACAGGCGAACAATTCTCATGGTTTGGAATGACTGAACATTCAAGCAACCCGCAGATCTTCCGGGTTGGCATGCCCTTTTGGTGACAAGGTGATTGTTGCTGGCCGGCAATGCGCTCTGGACATCGTAAATGCGGTAGAGAATTGTTGAAGTGATGTCAACCGTGTACTCCAAAGGTGTAATATAATGTACAACGAGCGAAGGAATTGCAAAAATCGAATTCTGCTTTGTCACCTCTGGCTGCTTGATTGTGAATACTCATGTCACGAGGCTGAGTTTCTGCCTTGCGACGCAGGGACGATCTCTCCGCAGTCGCACCTTTTACACGGCGCCATTCTCTTAACCCAACTTGCAATATTTTCCTCCGTTGCATAAATTTCTACCCATACCGCGATTCTGTCCCTCTTGATCCAATATAGCCTTCTTTAGTGTTTATCTGTCATGCATTTTACGAAGCATGGCTCCAAAGCGGTCTCAGTGGACGAATCAAGTCACGAAGGACCTGAAAAACCACCCCGGGTGAAGACCAGTGAACTTGGCTTCCATGCGCCTGACTATGTCCTCGACGATATAATCCCGATCTCAGATCCTAAACTGCTCTACTCCAATATTCACGCCCAGCGTGACCGGCGACTTCGCCTTTTGATCCGGCGCTATACAAACCAGATCCAATATGGATGTAGAAATATCAACTGTTCCACCCCTACCTGTCTGAGCTACAGGAAGAGGAACAGCACTGGGCCCCTGAGGAAATATACTGAGCTTAGTGCGAGGACGCTGGCATGCCAATTGGTGGACGAATACCATCGAAGTGGCAAGGACTCGTTCTCTGGGCTCTGCCAAAACGAACCCGTTGTGCCATGGTATGAGGATCCGGCGCTTATAAAGAAAAGGAGGAATAGCCATGAGAAGGTTGTACACTTGCGACAGGAGAACGGGCATCTCCCAAAACCACCGGGCCTTGCACAACGCACCAAGGATTCGTCCAAGCCCGTGTCGACGACGGAGCATGCGCCACGAAGAATAAGTCAGGATGGTGTGGTTCAGGCCGGCAGACGCCTACGAGAGATGGATACAAATATTGCAGATGAGATGGTTGATGTCTTGAATCGTACGAATCCCCGAAGCGATATGGAGAATGAGCAACTCGGTGAACACGACGCAAACGATGAATCGGAACAGCCACCCGCAGCTCCTGCGAGAAAGAAAGATCTCGCCTCCTTTACACAGACATTATTTGATATGGTACCTCTGCGGCTTCTTAACTGGTTGCCAGCGAACAGCGACTGCCGCACGACCAATGTTTCAACGCCAGCCGGTCCATCTAGCGATGAGAAGCAAGCTTCCGTCGAGATCACGCCAGGAGAATTCCCTCCATCGACCGAAACTACTCAGACACTCTCGAAAGGAGAAACTGATGAGCAAGAATGTGTGTTGAAGAGGCCGCATCATCAACAGACATACAGCCTCCGAACACTAACCTGGGTCACCCTGCCCTGGCTGAGAGGTGTGAGCCCAGATGACGATGAAGGCTATCATGGGAAATTTGTTCCCTTTATAAAACAAAGCCTTGTCTATTGCTTCAGCGACCCCGAGCGGCTGGTGAACACGGTTAAGGATCTTCAAGCCACTTATTGGAATGGTTTGAGGAAGACGGAGCAGAATGGCGCGGATTCGGACGACAGACCCGATGGCAATCCGCAAACTGACTCTATAAGCCCGTGGCCCCTCATTTCTACAAGCACAAGAGACGATATGCAAGCGCTCTTGTTCAGCTTTGCTTTTGTTCAAAAGTTTGAGCAACGCGATCTGGTTATGAACAGCATATTGAATGCGCTACAGAACGCATACTACCTACCACCATGGCTACAAAGCAGACGACCAGGAAAGCACAGTCGATCGGGCAGTGGAAGTTGCGATCTCGCATTGTTCAAGAGACGTCAGTCTTCGGGCGGCCACGGCTCGCGCAACTCTCCCTCTCCGAGTTCTGCGGAGCTTGACATAGACTCTGAAGTCGGAAAGCCCTTGATTCCACTCAAAGATTCTCAGATAACTGAACTATGCCTTGTGGCACTGCTATCCCTGGCAACCACAATCTTTCATCCCCCCAATGCATCACTTTTCAAGGGCAAGGACCAATTTGTTCGTTTTGCCAGGGAGAGAAACAGTGGTCTTGCGCATTCGTTCTGGCATGTCTTCAAGGGACGAGATCTCATGCTCGTACGCGAGATTATCGACATCATCGACGTCACCGAAGACTGGGCTGTCCATCGGTTGCTCACAGCTTTCATGAATGTTGTCAGCCACCGATTGACCGTTAGCAAGTGGGCGGCAACGCTAAAGAGCTCAGGCGTGTCAAAACCGGAGAAGACCACAATCGTTGACTCACTCATTGACCGCTTCGACCGGGACTACCTCAGTGGATGGGGCCGATTTGACAAGAACGCCAGTTGGATCGGCATTGCGGCTCTCGAGCTCGGAAGGACAGTCATGCTCAAGGACTGGGATCGTTCTCCAGTTATTCAGCGTGCAGGGCCTGTGGGCGGAGCCCTGGAACTTTTGGCTGGGTTGTACCGTGCACGACATCAGCTGAATTTGGACGCAGATTGGTTTCATATGCCGTTCATCGCCGACACCTTTGACGATATGTCCATGCCATCAGAATGGCTGTTATTTCGCCCAGACTCTCGACAGATGCATCTGCTATCTTTCTCCTTCCTCTTCCAACCCCACGTTCTGGTCAAGTATTTCAGGGCAATAAATATTGCGATCATGAAGAAATCGCATGAGGACGCCACCATTGTATACAATGATATCAGGCAATATATGTGGGCACCCGCCATCCCGATCTACGGTGCAAAGGAAGTTTTGGCTCATCTCCGGCCTCACATGGCCAGGTACTTTGTCCTCACAATCCGCAGACATGATGTCTTAAATGATGCGATCGATCAAATATGGCGACGCCAACGCAGGGAGTTGATGCGCCCGTTGCGCGTCCGCCTCGGCAAGGACGAAGGAGAAGATGGTCTCGATCATGGTGGAGTCCAACAAGAATTCTTCAGAGTTGTTTTCGGTGAGGCACTCAGACCAGAGTATTCCATGTTCACGATCGATAGTACGACAAGGATGGCTTGGTTCCAGCCAGGTTCCTTCGAACCACTTTACCGGTTTGAGGCTTTAGGCATTTTGATGTCGATGGCTATCTACAACGGAATCACTCTGCCAATCACCATGCCATTAGCATTCTACCGGAAGCTCTTGGGACTCAAGGTGAAGAAGCTCGACCATATCGCTGACGGCTGGCCCGAATTAACGAAAGGCTTAACAGCGCTCTTGGACTGGTCCGATGGGGATGTAGGGGAGGTGATTGCGAGGACGTATGAGTTCAGCTACGAGCTCTGTGGAACCACCGCGACCGTGGACATGCAGAAGGTTGGTCGATATGACCCTTGGCCACCAACCAAGCCGCGGACGAGCAAGAAAGGCAAAGAAAAGTCCAAATCCACCTCTTTCGAGTTGCCGCTAGAACCAGCATTGACTCCGCCTCCTCAACCGTCGCCGAATCTGAGCCCCAATTTACCGAATGGTTCGATCTTGAGTCGGACCTCCTCGATCGAAGTCAAAGGGATAACCACCCCCTTGAGCATCGATAGTGACATGCTCGAGAATCCTGGACAAGAAGCTGCATTGGTCACCAACGCCAACCGTGAACAGTATGTTAAAGACTATATCCTGTGGCTGGTGCACAAATCCATCGAACCACAATATGAAGCCTTTGCCAAGGGGTTTTACACCTGCCTCGACCGCACGGCATTGTCCATCTTCAACCCTGAATCCCTGAAGGCACTAATCGAGGGATATCCCGAGATCGACATCGACGAGCTCCAGATGACGACCACCTACGACGACTATACACCGGACTCGCCCACAATCGTCGACTTCTGGCACATTGTCCGCAGCATGAGCACCCACCAACACCGACAGCTCCTGGAATTCGTCACCGCGAGTGATCGGGTGCCTGTCAACGGGATGCAGAGCGTGACGTTCATCGTGCAGAAGAACGGTGAGGAGGATGACAGGCTGCCCAGCAGCAGTACATGCTACGGCCGGTTGCTGTTGCCGCAGTACTCGAGTCGGGCGGTGATGGAAGAGAAACTGACAAAGGCAATCGAGAACTGTGTTGGGTTCGGGACCTTGTGATTCGTCCCGGCATCTGCTGTTCGGGGTCCAGACGGTATGAGCAGATGCAGGTGCAAAAAGGGGCGTGCTGGGACGTAAGTCCTATCTGCGCTAGATATTAACGAATTCAAGAAAAAGCGGCGCCTGATGAGAGTGGAACACGGGGACTGTTTCGAAGCGAGCGAGCGAGCGAGCCAGCAATAGATGATTTGGATCTTGATAATGTTTATCGAGACCCGTTGACTTTTACGATGATATGTATTTTTTTAAACAAAAAAGGGGGGAGGGCATGATTGAACTTGAAGTCTACAGCCTTCCTCTCCTATGAGCCGTGCCTGGTCGCTTGTTGGTGTGAGTCTATTCCTTTCAACGTCTAACGAGCTCTATGTTTATGGCTTTACGTCCGCTCTAATGAATCAGTTCCCCAGTCGCGTCGCCGTGCGCGCAAGCCAGCGCGAGTAGCGCCAGCTATCCAATTCCCCTTTTTCCTGTACTCTATGCAATCTAGGTCATGAGCCCGGGGTAATACACCAGCAGAAGCGGGCGAGGGTGTAGAACTCAAAGAAAAACAAATTGGTGTCGCGGGAGAGAACCAGGGCCGGTTTTTTGCTTCTCTCCCCCTTTTTTTGGCGGCGTGCGTCGCCCGAAGGTCCGATCCCAGGCATCTTGTGCAGTGAATATAGGGAAACAGGCCCGGATTGTTGCTCATTAGTTCCGCTCTGCCACAATGATCCCTAATAGGTTATAGCCGAACCCTTAGGCCATCACCTGCACGCTGGCAGGCTGGGGCTGGACCTCGTCGGCGGCCATTGTGACATGCCTCTCTGCGTCCGCAGGGTCTTGTCCAGACTTCTCCTGCTCCTCGATGATCTCGTCGTCGACGGCGGCGGTGGTGGACAATTTGCTCGGGTTCTGCAGGCCTTGGTCCTCCCATCCTTGCATCATTCTCTGGAATAGTTCCTGTTGCTTGCCGTGGTCCAACGTCGGGTGTTCTAGGCCCCTCCGTTTCCGGCTCTCCATTGTCTCCATCAGGAATGCTTCCTCGTCCGAGTCCGAATCGAAGGAGTGCTCGAAGTGGTACGTGCGGTATTCGGTGTTCTCCCACCCAGTGCCGGACAACTTGGTTGCGTCTTCCCAGTCGTCCGTGAGATAGTGAAGATATCCGCCGTGGGTTACGAGGACAATCTCGACGTTTTCGTCTCCACTCTCTGCCAGCTCGCGCGCCTTTTGGCGGAGCAGACGTCGGCAATCTCTAGCGCGGGTTTTAATAGCCTGACTTGCGGGAGAGTAGCGGTTGTCTAATGTTTTAATGTTCCACGATTCCGTGACGAGGGAAAGATCGACAGGCCAGTTCTGCTCGGCGCAGAAGCTTCGTAGGACATCGACGTCGGAACCCGTGTCACAGGGATAGTCGGATGTTTCTTGCGCGTCGGGAATTGCGAAGATGGAAGGCTTGCACTTCGCGTCCGACTTCAAAGCCGGCAGGAACGTGAGCAAAGCCGTGTGCAGGGTTCTCGTCAAAGGCGAGGCGGTGATCAGTGAGAGTGATTGCTGGCGCTCGGGGGGCCAGTGCTGTTCTTGGAGATTGGCGCATTGCGACTCTCCCAGAGGAGTGAGGCGCGGGTCAGGCAGGGAATGGAATTCGGAGCCGAGATTGTGGAAGCCTTGTGCGTGGCGGACCAAGTGAACCTTGGGTTGGGCAGGCATTCTGCTGAGTTGTCGATGCGGTGAAAGACACTGTCAAGGTTGAATGGAGGGGTAGGTTCGTCTCAGTGACAATTTTCAATGGCGGTCAGTACGGGATCGCTTTCGAGCCGTAGAGTGGTCAAAAGAAAAGGACTCGAGGAAATGAAGAGAAGACAGGAACAGGGAAAGGAAATCCAAGGTCTATATGACGGACATTGCCAAAGGGCGAAGAGTGCTAAGTGAAGCGGAAAGAAATTGTGACTCGAGGCCTTGCGTTTGTTGTTCCAACGTTTCCCACCCCGCCCACTCCTCCAATGGGGACCGCCGTCGCCATCGTAACTTACACTGGTACCGCCGTCAGATGGCCCGCAGAGGATCGAATGGGTGGAAGTGGAGTCCTGGAAAAGTCACCAAAGGAGGCAAACACTGGGGACAACAAAAGACAAGGGAAAAGCTCATCGAATTGGGTGGCAGGAAGCGCAGTCGTGAGCAGACGAAGCAAAGAATTCGCGCAGATAGACGGGATGTCGGAAAAACGGAACAAAGTTAGCCCTATACCAGAGAACACAGTCGGCTTTCCATATCAGGCAAAGCCGCAAGGCAAGAAAGTAGCGAACGTCTGACAGGTGCCAATTTCTCGCTGACGCGGGCCCCTCTTAGAACAAAGGGGGAATGCAATTGTCAGACAGTCTGGGGTTCAGTTTGATAGCCATGCTCCTTTGCTGCACGCAGGAAATGGTGACGAGGACCAATGTCACCAAGTCAATTCAATTCCAAATCTCACGCCGGTTTGTAACACTCGTGGATTGACTCGCGGCATCAAAGGGCTGTCATGCCAATGCCTTCGACGTCTATGGAGTACTCTATAGTCTATCCAGGCACACACATCCTCTGGCATCATGCGATTTCTCCACAGGCGGCCTTCACTCGTCCTGGGTCTCGATGGTGCTTCCCCTGAACCATCCCCAAACAGAATTTCTGTTCGCTCGTTTCTGCATTTCTTCTTCGGACGCTGTTTGCTCTTGGACTAACCGTAGCGGCCTTAATTGGTTCTGCTTCATCACCGCCCCGGGAATGCTCCCTTGAACCTGCCGTTCTCCGCTCATTTGTGCTGTCATTGAACCTCCATCAGTAGTCGACCTTTGTTCCTCGCTATGAGAATCGCTAGCAACGCTGTTTGCAGAGCTACCCCCACGCGTGCCAGAGCCGGATGGTGTCCGAGTGGTGGTGGAGTGGGAAGGACCCCCAAAATATGAACCGCGCCCTTGGGACAGTTGTGGGCTGAGTGGACGGATGCCTGGGCTCATGGGCCCTCCAGAGACTGTCCTCATGGGGGATCCACGATTCATTTGCTGAACCACTGCGGCAGCCGCCATGTCAGCCTGTGCCTGATCAGACCTCGCCCTGCGATGTCCCCGGTTGAGCGGTATACTTGGGGCGGTATCGGGATTCTCATTTGCTGTGGGTCCGGTCGACGCTGGTTGTGCGTAAGACATTGGCCGTGCTTTGGTCCCTGGCCGTGAAACAACAGATCTGGCTCGCTGCAGCAAACCGGTAGCCACCCCAGCTACAGTGGCTGGAGCGGCTGCTTGCTGATCTGGTATTGCAGGTAACGCCTTCTCTGTGAACGATCTTGTGGGAGGCGGAGGCGCATCCTCTTTGTCTTGGATGATATGTTCAAACCCTTCGTGCGACAGTAACCGCCCAATGATCTTGTCAATGTATAATGTGAGAGCCTTGTTTTGGTCCCTTAGTGACTTGTTTTCTGCTTCTAGCCTCTTGTACATCTCATTCTGTCCTTCGGTGCTCTCCTGTTCTTCGGTGGATTCGAGCTCCTCGGCCAGCGTGCTCATCGCACTCGGTTCTTCGTCCGTGTGATCGTGGTGGAGAAAGTTGCCCTTGAGCGTCTTCTCGCTCAAAAGCATCTGGAAACTTTCGTTTTCCTCTTTGAGTTTGGCATTTTGCATCTTCATTTCTGAGATTGCTTGGTCTAACTCCAGGAGACGGCCATCTCCAACATGTTCTTGTTGTGTCAATTTTAGATGTGCTTCAGCCAGTTCTAAGCGGAGAGCATTGATCGTCTCATCTTTTTGTTGCAGGTTGTGAGCGAAGTTCGAGGCAAGATGTTCGGGTCGCAAGCTTTCTTCATCCACTTTCGCGTCTACCATCTGAAGCTCGGCCATGCCTGCACTTCGGCTGGCATTTAATCTTTCAGTACCCTGCAAGCGCAAGGCTTCGTTCAGTCTGTTAATGGCGGCCTGCTGCTCCGCCTCCTTATTCATCTGCCGTTCTCGTTCTTGAAGGAAGAGCTGCTGATGTTCCTCTTGTTCAATTTCCAGCTCTCGGCGTTGTCTATTAAGATCTCTGATCTCTGCTTTCAAACGGTCCACTTCGGTTTGCTTTTGCAAGTCGCGTTCCTCCGACGCCATCTGAGCTTGCGAGGCCTCGTCCAACCGTTGTTGCATGACTTCCACTTGTTTTTTGTATCGTTCCGACGCCTGCTCGGCGCGTTGGACTTGCTCTTGGAGATCCTTGATCAACTGTACACTGGCCGACTTCGCCTCTTCGTCTTCTTGGTCGTGGTCAACAGAGCCAGCAAAGGAAGTGCTCATTCGGTTGGGCGTTTTCCTCAAGGGTCGGGTCTGCCGGAGAGACGGAGTACGGGCAAGGCCTGTTCCTGTACTTGCTGGTACAGAACTTCCAACGCCTGGCCTGCTGGGACTATTGTCGTTGGGGTTGCGACGAGATGGAGGAGTGTTGGAGGTGTTGGAAAGCGGTGTCCGAGAGTTTGGAGTGGCCATGTTGATTACTGCTGCGCAGAGTTATGGCCGGACAGTTAAGACGCGTTGAGACGCTGCAGGCAATGCGGCAGAGGCCGGGGCACCGAATGGATGATTTGGAGGCAGTTTTCGACTGTAACATAAATAGTCGAGGGTGTGCAGATGGTATTGGCTGGCGAGGGAGGTGGACACAGGTATTGGCCAGGAAGCGAGCCTGCGCCTCAGTGATGAGCGACGGTGGTGTTCAGCTAGGATAGTTGTGATGGGTGATGTTTTGGAAATCAATGCAAGATGATTTGGGATGAGCAGGCGATGCACTCAGCCATCTGATAACTCGAATACAACGTGAATGGGCAATATTCACCGATTATGCAAATACCTCGTACACACGCACATGCCATAATCGAAATCTCCGGAATGGTAACAGCAGGAGCGACAGCGGAGCCTCGCGTTGCTGGAGGCAGCCCAAAAAGCGGCCCTTGCTTGCATTGCCTCATGCGGCGCTGGTGCAGGATGCCCGTCAGAGGGAAGTTCCGGGGCCCGCTTCGTTAAAACCCAGCGGTGCCAGGGACCATGATCGCCCCTAACGTCGTGCCTGTGTTGAAAAGACCACGTCACGTGCTCCTCTGCCGCCAAGAACGACTTCCCACAGCAGGGTACATTTTCGGCATTCATGCTGGATTGAATTTCTTTTCGCACCACCCACACAACACAGTCGCCGGAGCGCAACATTCAATCAATTCTACTATCGGACCTAGTAGAGCGCAACGATGGCACCAAAGAAGGCCAAGAAGACAACTGACAGCATCAACTCGCGCCTGGCGCTTGTGATGAAGTCCGGCAAAGGTGAGTTTACGATCCAGAGTCCAAAATCCTTCGTTGCACGTCTAACACTTGGATGTAGTTACTCTGGGCTACAAGTCAACTCTCAAATGCCTTCGATCTGGGAAAGCTAAGCTGGTCATCATTGCCGGCAACACTCCTCCTCTCCGCAAGAGCGAACTTGAGTACTACTCCATGCTCTCAAAGACGAACGTCCACCACTTTGCTGGAAACAATGTGAGTGCAAGTTGACATGAAAGACCCTGAGAAGAAGCTCCTACGAGCTTTGGAGGGAATATTGGCTAATATTGTTCCCACCGATTGTAGATTGAATTGGGCACTGCTTGCGGAAAGCTGTACCGCTGCTCCACTATGGCTGTTCTTGATGCTGGTGACTCTGACATCCTCGGTGCCGCTTCATAAATACCAACTTTGGACGCAAGTGCATGTTGAAAGAGCCCGTGCGCTCAATGTCATGATATCCTGGCCATCGAAGGCGCAGAAGGCAAGACATGATGAAGCCGTCCCAGAAAATGTGCGCCCATTGCCGGGTTGGGTATTGGCTGCAATATCAACACAAGATAGAGAGTGGCCTCTAGCTCCATAAGTTCAGAAGAGCAGCTTAGAGAATGGAATACCGACCTATCTGCCCGTGTCCATGATTGTTACTTGTTTCGTGATCCTCAACTGAGACCATAAATATCGCGTCTGACACAGTAGATGCCCAAACCTGGGGCGTAACTTATCGTGTCAGACTCGACGCTCGGATTTAGTGGCTTCCGGATCGGGAATTAGGGCAAGAAGGTACCTTTCCTGGTTTCTGGTGGCGGATTGTCTTGGCATCCGATTTGAAATCAACTTCAGTGGGCGACCCTACAAAGTTCATTGTCGACTCTTCCAACTTCTTCCTCTCGACCATATCGTTCGCAAGAAGTGCTAGTCTCTCTGAACAACCGTCAAGATGGCCAGAAGACCTGCCAGATGTTACAGATACTGCAAGAACAAGGTCAGCAGACAATTTTGCGACAATGTGCGATCGATGTGCTAATTCTGTACAGCCCTATCCCAAGTCTCGATTCAACCGCGGTGTACCTGACCCCAAGATCCGTATCTTCGATTTGGGACGAAAGCGTGCCAATGTCGACGAATTCCCCCTCTGCGTGCACATGGTTTCTAATGAGTACGAACAATTGAGCTCCGAAGCGCTCGAAGCGGCCCGTATTTGCGCCAACAAGTATGTTTTCATCACGTTGGAAGAAACTGTGGAGGTTGGCTAACAGAGGTTTCAGATATCTCGTCAAGATTGCAGGCAAAGAAGGTTTCCATCTCCGAGTCCGCGCCCACCCCTACCACGTCGTCCGCATCAACAAGATGTTGTCCTGCGCTGGTGCCGATAGACTTCAGACTGGAATGAGAGGAGCTTGGGGCAAGCCCAACGGCACAGTCGCCCGTGTCAACATTGGCCAAATTCTTCTGTCAGTCCGAACCCGAGACGCCCACCGTGCCACCGCTATCGAGGCTCTACGACGCTCCATGTACAAGTTCCCTGGTCGCCAAAAGATCATCGTCAGCAAGAACTGGGGTTTCACGCCCTTGAGACGCGATGAGTACGTCAAGTTGAAGCAAGAGGGCCGTGTTTTGATCGATGGTGCATATGTTCAATTCTTGAGAAACAAGGGCAATATCGAACAGAACATGAAGCGATTCCCTGGTGCTTACGAGGGCGGTAGCGAGATCGCCGCCGAGGCATAGATTTCATGTTTTGGCTCAAAGGAGCAGTGAATTGCATATGCAAAGGCCAAAGGTGAAATACCGGAGTAGTTTTTAGTTCCACGGAACAGAGGTATCGGCTGGGCAACATTATCGCGTGCCTTCAGAACGATTCTTTTGCCCGGAATGAAAAATGCGCCCTTCACCCGGAAATGGGGTTCCGTCGGACGACTGGGGGTACTCTGAGATACTTCCGATCATGATAGACGCGAAATGAAGGACATTGACACCATGAGTACAAACCTGTTTTCATATATGGGTCCACATGTACCCAATCATCCTTGAAAGTGACGAATGGACCTGTAATTGGAAGTGCCAGTATTCCTTCTCCCCCGGTACCACTGAGGTAATATGTAAGACTACCCCTGGCCCTCCCTCCCATGTACATTAAAGTGACGACAAGGACGAGTGGCAATGCAAGAACCTGATGCTCATCCCGGACTAAAGTGGTTTTTTCCCGACCGGCGACCGTGACCGACTGCGCATGCACCTCCAGTTAACCACGCAGTATGCCACAATCCAAATGTCAGATTGCGTGCCTGAAGGCGGAGGAATTAGGAAGAACGATATGGTAATTTTTAAATCTTTCGCCCCTATCGCCTAATGATGACGAGCGAATTCACCTCAGAGAAACACGGCCATTGCAGTACGCGGGTGATGGTCCATGAAGGGCGGAAGTGGCAGGATTTCCAAGAGGTCGCGTGGTTTTTTGGCAATCTGTTAGTCAGGAAAGCCGCCCGGGTCCGTAACAAACTTGGCTTGGTGACCAGGACAAGGAGGGAGGTCAGAGTGGCATGTTTAGGCGGCAGATAGGAGATCTCTGGGTTCAACTGTATCTCTTCAACCAAACGCGGCTGAGAGGATGGGGAGGCTAGGCCGCGAGCGGAACTTTGGACAGGGCGCATGCTCCCTGCAAGGCCCTATGATAACGATGATGGGCTCCAAGGGAATCTTGCATCTCGTCATGCACGCCGCAGCTCTGGTCATGCTGTCACACTGCGGCTGGCTTCTCCGACAGCTGGCCTACACCACTGGGTGCCACTCCTAACCATCCTTTTTCAGCGCTGGCTGCTCTATCTGTCGATTACTCGTCTCGACCGACGTGTCACTCACCCAACACTCGCGAGGTTGTGGTGGTACAACCTGCTTCCCGCTTCGTGTGCCCAACACAACACCCCTTTACCCCTTTACCCAACATTCGGTCTAATCCTGCCAATACTGGTGATCGTCATTCTCCATTGTTCATTGCTCATTTCACTTTCAACATATCGTCGGCCTCGTGACATTGGGTTCCCGGAAAGGAGCATCCAAGTCATTCGCGCATCTCCTTGATCGGAGCTGGACCTCCACCTTTGGATTCCGACCAGCTCAGAAACACGCCCTCGCAGAGACAAAGAACATTGACAACCCAAATACAAACTCAATCCTTTGTCAATTGACTCCATCCTCCCTTACCATCACCGTCCTCAGTTCGACCCCCTACATAGCGGCCATTCTCGTGCTCGCTGTAGCACGGCCCACCCGTACGTCCGCGGGTTGGGAAACATGGCCTTCCAACAGTCCGCGGCGCCGCGGCCAATTGTCATCAATGCAAATCAATCTCAAGACTCTTCATCTCAGACCCAATTACGGCGTACGACAGTAGAAGATTCCCAAGAATGGGTCCTGTTCTCTCCCAGCGCGGCAGAGTCAACCATCACCCGGACTCAAACTAGTCAGACTGCGGGGGCCTCAAGAGCAAGCGATATATCGCTCAACACTGCTGGGCGGTCAGGTCGACTTGAATCGTCCGTTTTCGATGAAGAGGTCACGGAAGACGGCGAACTCGACAGCCTTGACGATGGGTTGCATGCCTTCAGAGAACCTCCCTTGTATCCTACCATCTCCAATCAGACTCAGGGCGCCGTGTTGCCGACCCATGACGGCCTGGGAACCTTCCCCGCTTCAAGCCCTCCTGTCCTGGAACAACTATGGCAGCATGAGGCATACAACCCAAAACGAAAATACGACGGACATCACCGGCGACCTTCTAGCGTGCAGAGGAGGCTCGATACCATTGATGAGATTGAGGCGCAGGCGAGCGAAGAAAAGAGAATGCGGATAGAGAAGTGGCGGATGGAACAAAGTCAAGCATTAATGGACGAAGTGGAGCGAGAAACTCGCCGGCGACTGAGGAGGGGATCTCGCCAATCCACTTACCAAGAGACACTGGCGTCTATCAATGAGGATGTGCTCGGAACGACGCCGAAGCAGAGTGACTATCTATCTCGACCAACTCCAGCACCCGAGGAGTCAGAGCCCTTCTGGCGCCGCATCACAAGAAAGTTTATCCGTGATGTTATCGGCATTGATGAACCGCTGCTGTCGGTGATATTTGGAGAGAGCCTTCCAGATGAGGCTTACGACAGCAGGCCATCCTCTAGCCATGTTCTGCCTCCTATACCTGAGCTGGCATCGGAAGGACGTCCGGTGGAGGACTCAACGTGGCGGGACAAGCTTCTTCAACGTATCGCCCGCGAATTGGGCGTCTTTGTGCATCAACTGTCACCGCACCCGGGAGCGTTCACCACCTACTCCCGCAGTCCTGACTATGCTGGCATGCCGGTGTCGGCGTCTCGACCCAAATCTCAGCTTTCATTGTCACCCACCGAGGAAAGCCCAGCAAAGGACACTATCTCATCTGGCATGACGCCTAATTTTCCACCGACCGTCCGTGACCCTGCCCATGCTGAGAATTGGGGATTTGAAGAAGACCCCGTCTCATCCGCGTCGCCACTTGATTCGTCCATGAGCCTTCAGCGAGAGAGGGAATACTGGGAGAGAGAGCTTGATCTGAAAATGGTGTTCCGCTACCTCAGAGACCGGTTTGCGAGCAGGTCATCTGCTCAATCCCCTCAAGCCTCGAGACAGCCTCTTGAAGACGCCGCCACCCGGACGGCGATCATACGCCAGCACCATCCTCTCGTCGCTCGGGCTCAACGATCTCCTGCCCGCTTGCGACGTGAGTCCAGGGCGAGCATCAGGCGACCCGCAAGTAGCTGTGCCAGCGAAAGTGTGCGCAGCAGCAGGAAAGCTTCCCTGGTCAGAAGCGGTTCAAGTCGCAACTACTGGGATATCGGCGGAAGCGTCGGGAGCGGGAGCATCTTGGCGAGTGGTGGAGCTTGGGGTGAAGTGTAGGATATCAGGACATACGTGGCAAGACATGTTTGATATGTCCCATGGCATTATGCATTGGCGATAGGATCGCACTGTATGAGTATGGATCACGACCTTATATGATATTGGTAAAGGAACTCAACTTTTCTTGTTGTCTTGGGAAAGACAAGAATCTGGAGGATGAAACTACTTTAGAGAGTCAGAGACTCGCTTGAACAATAAACAGATTCTGCTTTGATCGAAACTAGGGCGAGCCAGTCTGATTGTTGTTGCCTTTCAAATTTGTATTGCCCCAGAGATGACTAAATCACATGACGAGGACCGGAAAAGCCCCGTATGATTGGATGATTCTGCCACCACAGGCCGTTGACCAATTTTGCCGTTGGATGCCCTCCCACCCCACTGCGCCATTGTTTACAATCTTGAACCTGATCGTATTGCATTTCCCATTCAAGAAGCAACCTGTCCACTTTTTCTTCAACCCCTCTTCACGCCATCCTCTTCAACTTCCGACGCGACGGTGTCCCAGAACTGAATCCCCGTTACTTTCGGCGCAAGTGGCGTTGGCCTGGGTCTTCCGCTGACCAGTGGCCGCCGTCGTAACCATGGCCGAGGAAGACGAACTATACTACCTTCAACCGGGTTTCGACCTGAGCAGCCTCACTATCCCCCGCATCCGTTCAATCCTCGTCGCGCAAAATGTGCACTACCCGTCTTCGGCAAAGAAAGGGCAACTGCTAGAAATCTTGGAACAAGAGGTCTTACCACAGAGGGAAAAGCTACTCCGGGCGCAAGCTAGAGTCCGGCGCACAAGCAAAGGCATAACGGATGTGCCCAGCAGTCAAGAAGGGACAATTGACGGTGACGATGAGGACGACAAGCAATTGATGCCGCCTCCCCCACCTCCGAAAACACCGCGAGGCAGGAAAAGCAAGTCAGACCTCACCGCCGCATCGGCTCCGTCGACTTCTAAGCGAACCAAGACTCCCAGCAGGAAAAGCGCGACCAGAACACCCCGTGCATCTGACACTGAACCAGAGGCGGAGAGGTCGACCGTCCGCAGATCGCGAAAGAGCGCCCCCTCCGAAGCCGTCCTGGAACATTCCATTAAGATCGAACAACCAGACGGCAGATCAAAGAGGAAATCGGCCGAAGCTGAAGCAAGCCCCTTCTCCGACGACAATCCGTTTCAGTCAGGGTCCAGCCCGTCGTCGGCCTCGCATAATCGCAAGACGTCGACGTCTCGGTCACGAAAGTCGTTGACATCAACCAGTACCGTCAAACGCCGGCAGACAACTTCGCCTCCGATCAAATCAGAAGAGTTTTCTCCGTCGAGCTCCAAGGTCTTGTTTCCGGTCTCTCGGATCACCTCTGCCGATGCGGAAGACAGAGTCGCTGTTACAGAAGAGTTTACGCCCGACGCAGCGCGTGAACTTGCGGAAGAAGAGAGGAACGGACAACTGGTCCCGAACCGAACCTCGACACTTGTAAGAAGGAAAAAGAAGAAGGAAACGAACGTGATGGTGAAAAATGCACCCTTAGCTGTCATCACGACCGTGCTTGCTGCTCTGGGAGCATGGTACAGGCAGGAGAAGATCAATATCGGTTACTGTGGGGTAGGGGAACCGAACTGGTCATTGGCTTCCAACCCACACATTCCCACTTGGGTGCACGAGAACCTCCAGCCAAAGTGCGAGCCTTGTCCGCAACATGCAGTCTGCTACCCGAACATGGAAGTAGAATGTGAGAGCGACTTTGTGCTCAAGCCTCATCCTCTAAGCTTAAACGGCTTGGTGCCGCTGCCACCGACGTGTGAACCAGACAGCGAAAAGCAGAGGAGAATCAAGGCTGTGGCAGACCGAGCCATTGAGGAGCTTCGTGAGAGGCGAGCAAGCTATGAGTGTGGAGGAGATGTAACCAGCTCATCAAATCCCGCTGCACAAGAGACTGAGGCCGTGAAGACGGTAGCAAAATCCAGCGCGCCAAAGTTGGAGGTTGCGGAAGAGGAGCTCAAGCAAACGGTGTCCAAGATGCGAAGGAGAGGTATGACGGAGCAGGAGTTTGAAGAGCTATGGCGCGGTGCCCTCGGGGACATCAAGGCGCGAGACGAAGTCGAGGTCACTGAGGATCGGTAGGTTTCGGTCGCATGTCTCCATTTCCGAGCTGTTATCACGCTCACTCTTTGTTTGCGAATCGCTGACTGACTGAAGCTCCGGTGTTCCGACACTTGCAGATCTGGCAGAACACTCCTCTCCTCTTCCTCCCTCGCCAGACTCCCCTTCGCGTGCGCCGTCCGACGATCCCTTCTTCGAGCGTTTACAGAGAATCGAATCCCTATTGCAATTCTAATCTTGATTGCATCGGCCTTGATTTACGGACGCAACAAGATACTATCTTACCAACAAGCCACCGCGCAGATCCCCGGATTGGTGGCCACCACGTTGGACCGATTAGCCACGCAAGCCGCTCTACATCAGGACGGGCGCGCCCCCGAAGCATTTATCAGCGTCGGCCAATTGAGAGATGACGTGCTGAGGAACGTGTTCAGTGCTTCAGAGCGAGAGCGCGTGTGGCAAAACGTCAGGAAGATTGTGGAAGGCAATTCCAATGTGAGGGCCGCAACTCGCGAAGGAGGAAAGACGGGCGAGTGGAGCCGTGTTTGGGAGTGGATTGGGCCTCTGGACCTGGCGCCCGGCTTGGAGGGACGGAGGTCAGGCGGGATGGTTACAGATGGAAGGACGCCAGAAGGGAGCAGTCGTGGTAATAGCGTGGCGAAGGCGGACGAAGACTCGAATCTGGGGGTCCGGCGGTGGGACGAGGGGAGGCCGATTTATTGATTCTTTCCGGGCCAGGTTTGGAAGGATTCTGTTGCCCTTTCAGTGACATGGTTTTGGTTTCTGTCTTCTTTTTGTTTCCTGTGCTTGTGATTATTTCGAGCAACGGGGCAAAGACTTTGGACCTGCTCCGCCTTGCACATGATACTTTTTAAGGATATAGCGCACACGGCCCGTGTACTATTAATGAGTGGACTGATGAGGATTTTTTGTGTCTCGATACTATCTTCTACAAGACCGACATTGCCCTGTATAGTCTCATGGTTTGAACAGTCAGCTAGTGCCTGTGTCGGTTACTTGATACCTCTGGGCGTTGTGCATCTGGGCTAAAACCCCTTGTTGATATCAATTGAGAACTTTGGGAATACTAAAGAATCAAGAATCCACAAAACAACGGCCCTTGCGCGAGACCCATGAAGAACGAAGAACGTTTCTCCTTTGCAGCCTCATCATAGTGCCCCGGCCACCCTGGGTCTCTGCTGTACGCATATTACACAAACTAAGGAACAGCCTCATCCTACCTGGTAGCCTCCCTAGGTACCTTGGAACTCCCATCCTGTATCCACCTCAGCCTTGTCCAGGGCGTCTCATGCCTGCACCGCACTTTCATAAGGGAAGCAGAATCCAAAGGACCCGAACATAAGGAAAGAGACGCCCCATTCAACAAGTCTGTCCCTCCGACGCATGGGCCCTTTCGGCTGCCGATCGCCTGGAGTTTCGAGCCTTTGTTCTGATTTGACATCTAGAAACTCGACGATCACCCCCTGGAGCCCCGGCGAAAGGCGTCAGGTGACAGCCTCCCGCTCCAGGTCGATCATCGTCGCTACAGAAAAGAAGGAAGAAAAAAACAGGTTTTGCCCTCTCTCCAAGGTCATGAAACAAGGGTCTCATTCGCGCTGGACCATCGACTTTTGTCGGAGAGGGCAGACAGCCTTGGCCTTGTACCCTTGCCCTGCATCGCCTCATCGTCTGGCTCCCCGGTCGTCTACGCCCCCCCTCAACGGCCCGACTTTTCATGGTTTGCGTCTTGCGAGTTAGTTCGAAACGTCGATGCCAGGGCTGAAGTACGACCAGCCCACGCCCTGGCTGTTTTGTTTTGATTTGATACGAGTTAGGCAGAGACAAGGGGGAGGGATACGGGTGTTTTTGGGATTCCCTTGAGGCGTCATAAGTCATGAGGTTCGTGTGTGTGTCTCTCATGGCATGGCATGGCATGGAATCGTCTCATCATCCACACCACCCCCTCCCCCATATTTTCATCCGTGCTATTGGTTTGTTTCGGTTCGAACTTGCCCCCAACTTTTCTACTGGAGATTGGACCTCTTTCTTTGTGTCTGTGAGCATATCTAGCACACTTTGAGCGTCTTCTTGTTTGAGGTGTAGCATATTTTGGGCGATATACTCTGCTTTTCTCTCTCTCCTGCCCTTGCCGTTGCGCATCTCTTCTTCCCTCAGCCTCGTTGGTTACACCATAAGGCACGTCCGCAGCATCTACAAGGTGGAGATAGTAGGCTACCTGGGTAAGAGCCCCTTCGCAATAAAATCTACGCCCGAAGGAACGACTTTTGGCTTCGATGCCGAGGGATCTGCCCTGGTCATCGCCTGCACTTCTGCGTCCTCTGATCAGCATCACTGTGTCCCCTCCAAAAACCTCGCTTTCAGTCACCCTCAGCAAATTTGACAAAACCCGCTAAATGCAACGCTTCGAAATGGCCACTGATCCCGCTGACCCTCCGGCCCTCCGCTTCCTCGACACGCTCCTCCCTTGCACCTTTATCCTCTCCACATTCGGCTCGCTCATCACCTTCACCACCGCCGTGGGCATCTTCGGCGGACCGCGGCGGTACTTTGACGAAATCCAGGTCTTTATCGCGCTCGCATGGTTGTTTTTCATGCTGTCCCTGGCGATGGCAACCGTGACCAGCATGGCGTTGACGTTCCACAGGAGGCATGTGAGAGATGCCTTTGAACGAGGGTACAAGTCATGGCGCGGCGGGGCCGGGAACCGCACCGCGGGTGAGAGATCTGTCGTCTTTGGCATCGTGGTTCTCGGGCTGGGTGGGATGTGGCTGATGTTGCTGGAGTGTCTGGCCTTTGTGTTTTTGAGCCTGTCGGTAGCGGCATACTGCCTGGCCGTGGGGTGGATTGGTTTCGTCGTGTCTGCAGGGATGATGGTTCTCACCGTGGTCTTCTGGGTCCTGATGGGACAGAGGGATTGAGATACGTGTGGGCCGAGAGACGGAAGCGGCGGACTCTGGACACTGGTCTCTCTTCCTAGGAAGCCCCATATAACTCGCTCATGACTAAATCACGAGCAATGACTGGAAGGAGTCGGTCCTACCTTTGATGATCCGCTCCTGCTTTCATTTCTCCAGACTAGAAATGCTGAGCGACAAGTTTTTTGTCCTGGTTATTTTCCAAAGTGCTGTTCAGGCTGTGCACTCAGCGGATTACTCAGGATAGGGACTAGCTATCATACGATGCGCGAGGTTGTCAGTTTGCCCAAAGTCCATGTCATTGTTTACAACCACATGGAGCTATCGTTTTAGTGGAATAATAGGGATTATGCCCCGCGAACTAGTCGCGCTAATACACGACAGGCTTGGCATATATGCACCAAAGTATGAGTTTGTCACGTTTGCTCCCTTGTTGAACATAATTTATCTCCAGCATTGAGGACCGCGAACAACCACTCTCTCTCCACCCCGCTCCAATCTCTGGACTTCGACCAAGCCATGGATATAGATCGAGACCCTCCCTCAAAACGACGCCGGACGTCAAGCGAAGATTCGTTCTCGTCGAGAAATTCCGCCGCCGAACCACGATCCCATCTTCCCGCCCTGCGCCATCCAGATTCCCGAGACGCCAGAAGGGGGAGAGGATATTCGAGTTCGAGGAGCAGGAACGCGAGTCGCGATGACACTCCAAACATTCGTCGGTCAAGGAGCCGCAGCCGATCGCGTTCCAGAAGAAGTCTGAGCAGATCCCGCACCCCAAGTTCGGTGTACGAGTCCGGGCGAGAGCATCAACCCCGTTCAAGATCAGAGTCAAGACGGAGGCCAAGGTCACGGTCAAGGTCAAGATCCAGATCATTTGACTCGTCGCTCGACCGTCGGGGCTCACGTTCTCGCTCTCGATTGCCGTCGGCGTCACCCATCCCAGGCCCGACAGAAAAGCCCAAGTCTCTCAACTTCACCCCTCTAATCACTCTCGCGCGCGCCCACGCTCGAGGTATCACCTCCATCAAATTTTCCCCTGACATGACTCTCCTGGCGACCGCGTCGGCGGACAACGCCATAAACATCTACTCCGTTCCCTCAAATCCAACGCCCGACACACCTCTAAAGCACATACGCACGCTACGCGCACATTTAGCAGGCGTAAACGCAATAGCCTGGTCTCCAGTGGGACCACCCTATACCCTTGTCTCGGCCGGCGACGACAAATCCATCCTCCTGTGGTCTCCCCTGTCATCGGACTTCCCTATTGCGCCCTCACCTTTTATGGGACACAGCAACTACGTTTATTCCCTCGCCTTCTCTCCCAAAGGGAACATGCTTGTTTCCGGCTCCTTCGACGAAGCGGTCTTTCTGTGGGACGTGCGCTCCGGCCGCGTCATGCGCAGCCTGCCGGCCCACTCCGACCCCGTCGGTGGCGTGGATTTCTTAAAAGATGGCACGATGGTCTGCTCCTGCGCCGGGGACGGGCTGATTCGCATATGGGATGCCGGGACAGGACAGTGTCTCAAAACCCTGGTCGACGAGGACCGCAAGGCCGTCACGAGCGTGCGATTCTCCCCCAACGGGAAATTCGTGCTTGCGTGGACGCTGGACAACTGTGTCAGGCTGTGGAACTACATTGAAGGGCGATGCGTCAAGACGTACCAAGGCCACGTGAACCAAGAGTACAGCCTCAGCGGGACGGTCGGGAGCTACTCTCACAAAAGCGGCACCGGGCAGCGCAGGCTGGAAGCGTTCCTGGCCAGTGGGAGCGAAGACGGGGACGTGCTGGCGTGGGACGTCACGAGCAAGGAAATCCTCTGGCGCGGCAAGGGACACCGCGACGTCGTGCTGGCGATGGACTTTGGGAGGACCCAGGAGGGCAAGGGCCTGCTCGTGAGCGGCGGCAAGGACCGCGACTTGCGCATCTGGATGCTGGAGGGCGACGAGGCGGATGCCGACTTCTTCGCCGCCACCACCGCCGCGGACAGGCAGGACTTGGACAGAGGCCGCGACGACGTGGACATGGACATGGACATGCAAATGACCATGGACATGGGCGATGTGGTCGACGGGCCGACCTCGCGTGGCAATCACGATATGCACGGCGATGCAGGGGGAGGAGGAGGAGGGGGAGCAGCAGCAGTCGGCGACGGCAACGACATGGACATTGATGGTGAAAACCCTGCTTGACCGATAGCCCCAGGTCGGGAACCCCGAATTTATATGTGATTCCTAGAAAGCGCAAACACTCGACGAATCCCATTTTCGTTGACAAAACAAAGCATAATACCTGAATTGCTCAGATCCCCCCCACCTTCCATCCCAGCCGACCCAGAGACAACGTTCTCCCTTCCAATGGGACCGGAGTCAAACAAACAACCCCTTTTATGTGTTCCGCTAGCCAAACCAGAGACAAGAAGCTGGTGTGAAGATGTACATGATAGAGACGCAGCCCTCCTCCTCAGCTCCATGCATACATACATAAGTCTTTATGACTTGACTTGACTTGACTTGACAATCGAGTCCTCTTCCAGAACCGACGACTATCGCGGCACGCGATAATTGCCCCTCGCTTGCTCGGCCTTGAATCCCTCGCTCTGGCTGGGCAGGGGCGCTCGTCTGCGCATGCTGCCCGCGGTGCCGGCGGCGGCGGAGGTGGAGGTACCGGGGTTGTTGAGGCCGTTTGTTGGCGCGGCGGCACCGTTGCCCGAGAGGCCTGGAATGCCGCCGAGTCCGATGCCGGGAATGCCAGTCCCGGGAGCTGCGCTGAGCATGGGAGGTGGGATTTGACCGCCAGCGGTGGGCGGAGGGGGTGGGAAACCAGGCGGCAGGGTGAGTCTTGTAAAGTCAATCGGCGGCACGGCGGAGGTGGTTGGGAGTGGTTGGTGGCCCGATTGCTGCGGCGGCGGCTGTTGCTGTTGCTGCTGTTGCTGCTGCTGCTGCTGCTGCTGCTGTTGTTGTTGTTGTGTGAAGGCGAGGAGACGCTGGAGAGATTCCGCGTCCATCCCTGGCACGGGAGGGAAGGGGGGAAGTGAAGGCACTGTCATATGAGCCTGGCCCGCACCACCTCGCGAGGAAGGCTGGCCTAGGATACCAGTTGTACCAGCGTTATGCTGCAGGCCTGACAAGAGCGATAATGACGGTGGCGGAACATTGCCTATGCCTGGAATCGGTTGTGTCGACCCGTTCATCCCTATGCCGGGGAGACCAGGCAAACCGGGAATTGACAATGCTCCGGCAGCCGCTGCCTGTCCCTGGTTTGCCTGATCCTCCAAGCCCTCCGCCTCATCTTGCTCTTCTTGCTCCTCCAGCTCCCTGGCCTGCTTCTTCCCAAACTTTCTATCCCAAGTGCCCTGTGCCTCTGCTCCTTCCTCGCCCAGGTGGAACTGGTCTTTGAAGCAGGTAGTCTGCCCGGGCTGGGCGCGGGACCAGAACCGCGTATAGTGGTCGTTTGAGCCGGAGGCGAGAATATGCCCCAGGGGGTGCCAGTCGATGGACCAGATCGAGGAATCATGTGCGTGAGATATGCGGTGGGCGGGATAGATTGATTGTGCTGGCGCGGAGCGAGGGTCTGACGATGCGTAGGGCGAGGTTGTTGTGGAGGAGATGCCAGCGGGGGTGTTTGGTTCGGTGAGCAAGTAGGAATGCAGGGAGCCATCGTCTCCGCCGGTGCTGATGAGGCTCGGGTGGATTGGGTGCCATGATAATGTGGTCACGCCTTTGTCATGACCGCGCAAGATGGCAACGTCGCGCATCATCCGCAAGTCAAAGATACGGGTTTGACCGTCTCTCCCGGCGGTAGCAAGCAACTGATCGCGGAGACGGCTGAAAACAGTGGCCGTGATGGCGTTCTTGTGACCATGCAGTGTTGTCAGATTCCTGCATGTCCGAGGATCCCAGAGGCGTACGCTGTGGTCTTTGCTTCCCGACACCACGAGGCCCTTGGTAGGATGCCAGTCGCAGGCTTTTACATCCCATCCATGCTCTGTAAATGTCGACTCGTTGGTGGAGGAAGTAAAGTCCCATATTTTGAGAGTGTTGTCGTCGGAAGCGGTGACAAATTTCGCGTCCGAGGGCGCAAATGCCAGATCTCTAATGGGAGCATCGTGGCCCTTAAATTGATGTGGGTTGTTCAAGGTGGGTTGTAAATAATACACTGTGCCTTCGTCGTTTGCCGCGACGAGCCAATCCTTTCGATTAGACCACTCTGCAGCACGCAGAGAACTGGAGCCCATAGCAGTAACAGTCTCAAAGTTGAAAGACATGCCATTCCACAGCATGAATTCGCCATTGTGCACCCCGGCAAGAAGTCGACGACCTTCGGGCATCCACCGCACCACCGTCACGGGCTTCTTGGATTTTCCCAGAGAGGTGTGAAGATGGCGAACAGGTATCGACTCGGCGGGAGCATCTCTTCGAGCTGGGGGTGGCAATATGTCGATAACATAGCTTTGGCTTGGTCTTTCTTGTTCATAGTGATAGCTTCCTTTGTAAGGTGGTTTTCGTTTGCTCATCCACTGAATCATAGATGAGCCATAGTCGGTAATCGGTCGCGGTCTCCGTCGACGGAAACCGCCTCCATCTTGGTCATCGTAGACATTGGCCATCGTGACTAAGAGATGTATTCATCGAAAAGAGAATTCGAGGGTAGAGGTAATGGATCTCACGCAGTAATTTTGGAGTGACTAGGATGCCAGACACCAGAGGGATTGCGGGCTCAGCATCAGCGCTCACAGAGAAAATATCACTCGGCGCTTCCGAACACAGAATTTATCAAATTGTATAGCTCACTGGAAATGAGTAGGTAACAGATGGTTGGTGAAGTATGTACGCGCGAAGTCTGAAGGGATGGCAGGGGAATCAGGCACAGGCCAGGGACAAGAGATCTCCACATCACGTGAGCTGGCCTTGGAGCCATAAATGTACATGGGCGGGTGTCAAAGCAAAAACCATCTGCTATTCAACTCCTCATAATACATCTCTCGAACAATGATACTCCCAGTCAATAGGACTACAGTCTAATCACTTCCGTACCCTGCTGAGCTCCCCATACTTTGCTTGCCAAGCAAAGAAGTAGATCATCGCAGCCAATGGTTGTCCGACAAACACGAAATTGATCCAAAAGATGCAGTTCCCAATCACTTTGCCGGTTCCATCCATCTTCGCCAAAGGCTCAGTGATCTGGATCAGAGGTAGTTGCAGCACCATCCCAAGAAAAGCCACTCCGAGAATGTTATGGGAAGGCACTCCGACGGCAAGCTCGTGGAGAAATCCCGAAAATACAAACACCCACGCGCTGGCTGCTCGGTGTGACCAGCCGCGACCGATCAGAGGAGAGTAGATGTGCCTCCGCATAAAATGATAGACAGGCTTATTCCATGTTGACCAGTACATCTTTAAACTGGTGCTGTTCCACCAATCCTCGTAAAAGACGCGATCGCCAAACATCATGATCTCGGCGAGAGCATTGAGAAACGATTGAAACAGGGCAAAGAAGCCAGCGAGCCAGACAATTAGGGATATAGTCGACAGCTTCATCAGACGTTCTGCAATGGAAGAGAAGTCGAGCACGGCCATGCCATCCAGCGAGTTCCGCAAGACCGGCACAGCGTACTGTGCACAAGTGAGCCAGATGAAGACACTGAGGGCAGCGACTTCTCCGACTCGTTTCAGGAAGAAAGTCCATCTTATTCGGTCTGTGCGTGGGTAATACGGTTGATAGACCAGGGTCGGTGCCCACCAGAAGTAACACAGGTTGGGAAGCGTGATATTGCGTGGATAGGGACATTCTGAGTAAATGTCCGGAAGAGCCGATTCAGGGCCACCGGGATTCAACATGGCATGTCGAAGGTCTCGGTTGGTGAAGGCATAAGAGCAGGTCTTGAGCCACACCACAATGGCGTGGAGCTCACTGATCGTCCCTAATCCGGGATTGTGGATGCAATAGTAGACCACGAAGCTCGAGATGAGCAAAGCAAGCGAGGCATTCAAGGTGTGGGCGACAGCAATCCACCACCAAGTATTGAGGAACTCTTTTGTCTGCTTCTCGGTCTCGGGCTTCTTGTTTGAGTCTGGATCACTCTTCTTCCGCCTTCCAATGACTCCTTTGGCATTTTCCATGGCCACTTTCTCGATAATGTAGGCGACAAAAAGGTGACATGGCGTAAGGGCATAGAGGGCTAGAGCAATCTTGATGTCCTGGCTTCGAAGGTTTGACTTGAGAGTAATGAGGAGGCCATATTTTCTAGCATTCTCAATGACCAGTCGCAGGTTCATGACTATGATTGTCAGGACCATGAGATTGCGGAATCCTATAAAGCTCGGTGTCTCCTTTGCCTCATGGCTGAGACATGACGGTCGGACTTTGGAATGCAGAGCTGCAACATGCCGGTACTTGCTGCGGATCTTGGGCTGCGATTGAGGCATGTCGATGGAGGGATTGGGGACCTCGACCGGGGGCTTGACATCGTGAAGGCCTTTGGCTGCGATGTCCTGGGTCTCTGAGATCAGGGTATGGACGGTATAAGCCATGGTAAGGGCCGGAACAATGTGTAGTATGTGGTGTGTGATTGAGTTGTTGCTTGTAAAGGTATCTACTTTTCCCCTCTCTTTCAACTTGGCTAAAGGATCAATCGTCAACCATGATCAACAAAACCCGTCCAATTGTAGAGGAGGGAGCCGGCGAAGGAAGGATACGAGGGAAGGAGGTTGAAGGATGACATGACGGAATGCACTTTCGAAAAGGTAGCGATCATGGCTGGGACGACCCTTCTGGGCGGATGGCGAAAAAGTAAAGGCACAGACGCACATGGCACGGAGAGGGATATGTGACACGACAACCCGAAGATGGCGGAACGGGGGGTTCCTTTTCTGCTTGCACTCGCAGCTGGCGAACAGGAGGAGCTGGGGTGGAGGATTCCAGGCGGGAGATTGACTGCGCTTGACTGCGGTTGGGGCCTCGAGGCTGGTGGGCCTTCTGTTGGGCAGTCTCGCAGCATACGGGATTGGCCCATTCCACCCCCTGGGAGACATGTGTAAATCCCAACTGTTCTGCTGCGGCCTTTTCGACATACCTCAAAAGGTATGATTGCATATTTGGCATTCCACCTTCTCCTCCTATTTCATGGCACAAGATCTGAGACCAATCCTGAATGCATAGAGCACGGCCTGACGCCGACACAGCTTCTGCCCTCGTCCCTGACCATGGAGCCTTGTGTGAACCAACACCCCGAATGTGGTCGGTGGATAGACGTGTTGTTCAGCCTTGCGCCCACCACCGACCGGGTGCCGTCCAAACAATACCCACGTCAACTTGCACAGAAAATTTCACCTTTATCATGTTACTGTCCCCAATTCCTGTCACACAAAGACCCCCTTACCTCGACAAGGGCGAAATCGAGTTCGAGTGCCGACGGCTTCCCAGTATTTATCTAGGTCCTGTCAGGTCAAACTAGCAATAACGGGGCTAGTAGGCAGCAGGCCTCGACCCCAACCTCCTCCTCCTCCTCCGACTCAACTTATATATTACTCGTAGTAAAACCGGCCGAGAAAAACCAACCGGCAAGGGCGAGTTTCGCTTATCACGAACCAGAGTTGAGCTGCTTCGTGTTTAAGTTTCTGCTCCTCTACAGGAACATGGAAAGCAAGAAATCAGGAGGAGATTCTGATAAACATTTCGAGTGGGTTCCTATACAGACATATATACCGTCCCCAATTTGTATATATGTGCGCTCGTCCTGAGCTTCGTGAGCCTGGAATGACCTCCGCAGTAGTGATGCGAGGAGCAAGAAGCAGACCGCCCTCGATTGTGGCCACAGCGTCCTGGCCCTCTCATTCAATCTTAGGTGCCACGATTGCCATGTCGATTGGGATCGTCGCAATCACGTCTTCTTCTCTTCCACTGCTTTATTGACCGTCTCGTGTGCCTTGCTGGCCTCGAGGTCTTCCTCGCCCTCGCCTTCGCCCTCGCTTTGTTCTTCCAATTCCACTTCAATCTCGTCTTTCTCCGTTGGCGGCCCTTTATGTTCTGGATCGATGGCCAATTTGTCCACATCATCCTGTGCCCTCTCGCCCCCGCTCATCTGCCATTCCATCAACTTCGTAAAGGCGCCATCGGGCCGACTGCTGAGTTCCTTGTAGCTCCCCATCTCCGCAACACGTCCGTCGCTACCCAGACATATAATGGTGTCGGATCGCTTGATGGTGGAAAGACGGTGGGCAATCGAGATCGTCGTGTTGCTGCCTCGAAGCAGCGATGCGAGCGCTTCGTTGACCAAGGTCTCCGATTCGGCATCAAGCGCACTAGTGGCCTCATCCAAGATCAAGATGTCGGGCTCCTTGACCAGGGCGCGGGCAATCGCAATGCGCTGCTTTTGGCCACCAGAGAGCTGGGTGCCACGGGCACCGACAGGGGTGTCCAGGCCTTCTGGAAAATCGCTAATGAATTGACAGTTTGCTCTTCTCGCTGCGCGCATGATCTCCGCCCGGGTCGCATGAGGTCGGCCGTAGGCGATGTTCTCTGCTATGGTACCAGAAAACAAGACCGGTTCCTGTGACACGATACCGATCCTGCGTCGAAGAGATTTGACATTCATCTTTGCAATGTCCTTGCCGTCGATCAAGATGCGGCCCTCTGTAGGTGTGTAGAACCGCAAGATCAGAGACGCAATCGTGCTTTTTCCACCACCAGATGGGCCAACGATAGCGACGTTGGCGCCCTGGGGAATTTCAAAATCCAAGTTCCTGAAGATCCTCACCGCCGGTCGAGTAGGGTAGCTGAAGGAGAGATTCTCGAACCGGATGGGACCTCTTGCTGATACCACCTTGTCGCCTTTCGTGGGAGATATCGTAGGCTCCCTGTCCTGCAGCTCAAATAATCGTGACGCTGCTCCGACGCCTTTCATCAACTCTGAGTAGAACGACGAAAGCCCAAAGAGGGAAGAACCTGCATATGCGGTGTACATGAGGAAGGACGTCAGCTCCCCGATACTAATTGTCCCACTCGAAACCATACTACCGCCGACATAAAGGAGTGACAGTATCGTCATGTTGCCCATGAACCCGGTGGACGAGAAGAAAGTGGCACTAATGATCGACTCTCTCTTTCCCAGCTCGAAGATTTTGCGCACCTGTGTATTGTACCGATGGACCTCAAGAATTTCACCTGCAAACGCCTGTGAAGTACGAACATTGCCGAGTCTTTCTTCTGCGATCTTCGTTAACGTGCCAACATTCTTTTGGATCTTTCGACTCAGATTCCTGATGGCTCGCCCATAAAAGAATGCCCCCAGTGCAACCGGAGGAAACAGCAGGGCCAGAATGCCCGTCAACTTTAGAGACACCCATGCCATCAAGCCAAAACCAGCGGCTCCGCTGACGAAAGCGCGAAGCCCATCCGAAAGATTTTGCGTAATTGATTTGCCAACAATGATGGTGTCAGAGCTGAGTCTGGAAATCAAGTCGCCTACACGATTGGCGTCAAAAAATTCGGCGTTTTGGATGTAGGTTTGCCGGAACAACCTGGATCGGAGCCTCGCCACGATCCTCTCGCCCACGATTCGCAGGATGATGATACGTCCATAATTTGCTGCCGCACCCGTTGCAAGAATACAAACGAGAGCAGTGTAGAACGTTGTCAAGCTGAGACCAAAGAGCATATCGGTCTTCAGCTCCGGCTCGGGGCCCTCCGTCTTTGCTCCCCCTTTAGTAGCTATATCCAGGATCTTGCCAATTGAAAATGGTATTGACATAGTGATGGATGACGAGATCAGGAGAAGGAGAAAAGCCAGCGCAAGGACTTTTGCTTCCGGACGTGCAATCTTAATCAACCGCCATATCTCGCCAAAGCCCGCGCCCTTACCCGCGGCACCCTCTTTTGATAACCTCGCGCTGAGGTTCACATGCGATGCTTGGTGTGCTTTTTCAGTCCTGTGAAACGTATCCTCGTCATCCGTTTCGTCGGTGGACTTGGTTCGCTGCTGCTCCTTTATGACCGGAGTGGGCGTTTCGTATAGGGTGCGACCGCTCGAAAAGTATACTGCCTGCGCAGCTATGCTAGGTCGGAAGGGTACACGAAGACCATTTGCCCTGGGCGCAGTAGAGCTGAGCAAGTTCAACGATTGAAATGCGCTCTGATTCCTGGAGGGCTTCGGCCGCACCGACAGATGAAAAGTGCGAGATAGTATCCGCGAATGTCGAGGAGAGGAGTTGTATAATGAAAGAAGGATATTCTGATCAAGTTGATTTAATCGGGAGCCATGTTGAAAAGGCCTGAAAGCGAGCAGCACCGAGGTGCGCATAGCAATCATGCCTGGGATCAATCGAGGGATATTTCAGCGGAATAGAGGAATGGGCGCGTCTCTCCTTCTCCTCATCTCGGCGACAACTGTATAGGGAAACGGGTAGCAGTGAAGCTCGGGGGTCTAATGGCGCACTGAGAGCATTGAAGAAGGTGAGAAAAAGGTGCCTGCCTCTGCGACACGGATGGATCAATGACGATTGACCGGCCGATGAACGGAGACGCGAGACCGAGCCTAGTTGAGCCCGAAGAGCTCCAGCTACAAGCCCTTAACCAGCTAGCTTGCTAGGCACGCCCATTAGTGAATGAGGCTTGAACTGAGCCCCTCCATTTTCTTGGTGTGTGCGGCTAGCGCTCGGTAGGCTGTGCCTGGAGCCCAAGGACACCACCCCCACTACGTAATATCTGGCAGGGGCACTTTGGTTAGATGGCAAACATCGAATTCACAATCACCCGACTCAGGGTGTTCCCTTCTAGAAGGATCCTTGTCCTAATACAGATTCAAGAGTCTCGACAACAGCAATCAACAAAAATAAGACTTGACTTTCCTACACTCCTTGCGTGCTATCCTTCAACCCACCGGCACGCGATCGACAACCTGCTCCCTCTCTTCCCTTCACAATGCCTATTTCCTACGACAAGTGGGATAGGCTCGAGGTGTCGGACGACTCTGACGTCGAAGTACACCCAAACGTCGACACAAAGAGCTTCATCCGAGCCAAGCAGCGCCAGATCCACGAACAGCGAGCCCAGCGAAAGCATGAGATAGAAACGCTGAAATACGAACGAATCATCAACGACGGACTGCTCGAACGTATCAATGCCCTGCTAGACGCTCTGAAGAGGCATCAAGAAGATGCAAACAAGAAGAACCCAGACGAGGTTGTGTTTCAAAGTCTGATCGAGAGCGCCGGTGATCCTGCCAAAGATGAACCCCCCAAGCCCCCCGAGGGTGTCTACACGCATCAGAAGGAACAGCCCAGGTATTCTAAGATGATGGGTGCTCTGGTGGACCAGGTCAAGAAAGAGGTTGACGAGAAGAAAGACAAATCCACAGACAGATATGCAGACTTCTTGCAGGGTGTGAATGGCCATCTCACCAAGGTCCAGAAGTTACAGCAGGACCTATTGAAGCGGCTTGCGGAGCTAGAGAAGGAAGCAACCGCGAAAATCACGAGCGAGGACATCCATTTCGGTTTCGATTCGTCTCATATCAATAAACCGAAGCCAGCTGCGACCCCTGCCGAGAAGCCCAAAGTCAAGGAGAAGACCAAGACCGAGACCGTGGAATTGCTCAATGCACCCAAAGGTCTAAGCTCACAGACACGGGATGCGCTCAAGTCTAGTGAGGGCGCAGTTTCTTCGGGTGCGGAGGCGGACATTGAAGATGATGCTCTCCTGGACAAGCACGAAGATGAGGAAGAAGACGAGGCAAACCTCAAGCTCACGCCAGAAGGCAAACAGTTTGCAAAGATCAAGATTGGAGACTACCGGGCATGCCTGCAATTCATTTCAGAGCATCCGAACATCGTCAATGAGAAGACTCAAGACGCCCTCATGATCGAAGCCTTCAATGCTCAGATGAAAGGACAGGATACTTATGCGCGAACCTGCGTACATCAGAGTCTCCTAATCCAATACTGTCGCCAATTGGGTCGGGACGGCGTTGGATTGTTCTTCAAGCGAATCACCACAAAAGGTCATCAAGCGCAACAGGTATTCAACAAGGACTTGACCGAGACATACGGTCGCATCAAAACTCGTGCGGCCGAGTTACAGAAGGAGGAAGGAAATGACCCAGCGGGTGTGGAACAGATTCAGCTTCATGCTGTCGAACCTGGGACAGAAATCCACATCAACGTGCCACAGGCCGGCTCGGATGATCCTGTCGAACAGGAGTCACGCAAAATCTTCGATCGTTTCCCGCCAGGACTACAACGTGCGTTAGAGAGTGGCAGCTTAGACGAGGTCAACAAAGTTCTTGGGAAGATGAGCGTGGATGAAGCTGAGGAAATTGTGGAATTGCTGGGCCAAGGTGGCATGCTCAGTCTCCAGGAAGGAGTCATTGACGCCACCAACGAAGAGGGCCAGAAGAGGCTGAAAGAGATCGAGGAGGAAGAGAAGCGGAGGAAAGCTGAAATGGCACAGAGCGTCGAGGCTGAAGGCTCGGGGTTGGGAGAGCCTGGCGAGGCTGTAAGCTCGTAAGAACTTGTGTGAATTTCACATCGAAAAGGTCACGGCGACGTCTCCAGTTCCAAAAATAATGAGGCTACGAAGATAATTTTGTCTGACACTGAATATAGCTCAATACTCAAGTATTCGATGCGCACTGTGCAGGCAATGCTTCCTGTCTGACAAAAAGTGGTCAGAGCATGGAAAAGTCTACTGACAGTCACCCTTCTCCGATCTCTGTTCCTTGTTGGTGAGCGCTCCTTCTTCACCTTCTCTCCTCTTGTCTCTGCGTCGTCTGTTCGCGTCCACAAGGCGCCCAGCCAGAAGAATGGCCAATGTCCATTGGAAAGAAAGTTGCTTTGGTGTGCCTGGTGAACCAAAGTTCCCTCTCGGAATCAGTTCAACTCGATTGGTCGCTAACACAAAGTTCCAGCACTAATGCACCTCATCGCCAGTGTCCGGCAGCTTGTGAGGCAGTGAGGCAGACACTCCAAGTACCTGGCGTCCAATGACATCCTTCTCTGTCATCTTCGAGTTTGCTCAGCCCTTTGCAGCAATGTCAGTGAATGCTTCCCAAGTCAAATCCCAGCATAATAAGATTCGAGGCGTCACCATCATGGCTATCTGTTGCTCGCTCAATCGCCATGTAAGCGGACCACATTGGCCTGTTATCTGTCCCAGAGACCTGACAACTTCTGGGGTTTCTCTTGCCCACATATTAATTCTCAAGGGCGAGATTGGGGATGGTTGATTGTGGAATAAAGTGCATTCAAGACACCATGTCGGATTATGAAGATCTGGAGGCTCTCGACCAGATGGATCCCGTGCATCACCATACTGAGCAAGGCTCCCAGTCGTGGAGGATTGTCGGGCCTACTCCTCAGCAATGGATTGATATCAAAGATGTCTTCACCGAGTTGTACATTGCTGAAAACAGAAAACTAAAGGATGTCAGGGCCATCCTGCAAAGGAAATACGGTTTCAATGCCAGTGAGAAGATGTTCAAGCGGCGAATTACTGAATGGAAGATCCACAAGAACTACAAAGCTAAGGACAAAGAGCTTCTGGCGAAAAGAGTCAAAGAATACGTTGATGCCGGACACGATGTTCAGTCGATCTCATTCCGTGGAAGACCATTGAAGCTAGATCGAGTCAAACGCCACTACCGCAGCGACAAAAGATTCACTCAGCTTTGGGAACAACTATCACAGAGTCCAGAATCCATCTCTATTGGCGATATTACAATCAAGGATGAGTCTCCATCGATGATCCCAAATAGATCGAGGACCTCCCCAAACTCCAACAGTCCGCCTGGGGACTCTGACTCCAGTATGCGAGACAGCAGTGGCCCCGGTCTCGGTGTTATGACGGTCAACGTTCTCCCGCCGACTGACTTGTACAATATGCAATCTAGCCTCTTCTACACTCGCGAGGCAGTTCAGTGGCAGTTCACGGCTTTCAACCGACTCAAGTTGAATGAACTGCAACATCGATTCCCGGCCTCCATCCCAGAAGCGGTGAAAGCCGGACAGACAGACCAAGTCTCAGCATTTTGGCTAGGGCTCTACCATGGCTTTGACTACTTACAGACGGGAAGATCGGGCGAAGCGTGGAGTAATTTCCACATCTGCTGCAATATGGTACAGCCATTGATACATTCTGCACCACTTCAGCTCTTATCCTGCCTGCTGGTGCACTTTGCAACTCCATGGGCGGGGATGGCTGCGCTGGAGCAGCATCTACTCAGCTTTGTCTCATCCATGGCAGCAAGTGCCTTGGGGAAAGACCATCCTTATACCAAAGCCTTAAGTACGATGATTGCCGCTGACAACCGCAATCAGGTTGTTGAATCAATGATGCAACTGATAGTTGAGGGCTACGGCGCTCGACGAAAACCCAGCAATTCGTCGCTTTTTGCCTTGCGAGTTGACCAGATTGACATGCTCCGAAAACGCAAGAATTTCCAACCCGCACATCACATGTGTCAACAACTGATCAAAGACAGTCAGTCCATGCATCCTAAACGGTATAGGACTGCGCTAGCGGCTTTAGGGAGGTTATATGCGGATCAGGACGAGGAGTTCGCTGTCGAGGGGGTGGCGCACCGCATTCTGCAGCATGAGACGTCAGATTCAAGTTCGACAAATAGTGGAAGTGCAGCTTGGGCTTGTGATCAGCTCGCCACTCTGTGCTTGAATCGTAAAGAATATGCACTAGCTGAGCGATATCTCCGTCGAGCGGCGCAGATGTCTTGCACCGAGCTCCCTCACCGTGGCCCTTCGACGGGCTCTTTCGTCAAGAAGCTGGTTTTCTGTTTGAGACAGCAGGGAAAAAGCCATCGTCTCAACCAGATCCCTGAAGAACCAGGCGTCGAGCCTGGAGCGACCGCCATTTGACTACAACGGACGAGCGCACTCAGAGTGTCTCAATTTATCGGCGCTCCGCCGGCACAAAATCCTGGATGTCTACAAATGCTTCATTGGGGACTTTGAGAAACGAGTTGATGTAGAGGATCTAGGCAGACCGGCAATCAGTGTGGACCAGTGTCTTATACAACTAAGACCAATTCCGGTTGTGCGCGCCCGAGATTGAGCGCAACCTGAGTCAGGAGACAAGGCTGCTCCAAATCAGATCATGAAGGATCTGGTGATTCAAAATACCGTCTTCATGGCACCTCGAACCTCTTGTTACAATCCGAGCAGAGCAAGCTGTTGTCTGCAATATCAGAATGCCACCAGCTTATTCCCGCCACGCCTACTTTTGCGAGTTGAAATTCCCGGATGTCGACACCATTGACGTATTGAACGGCAAATCAAACTTCTATCAATGGCACTCTGATATTCAGCCGGTGCTCTTGTCCAATCCCTATTCTTCAGATCTGATACTTGGTAGCTGGACGGAACCTCAATATCCCCCGTCGTGGACTGTTGAGGACCAGGCTCTGTTCGACGAGGAACGCAGAGAATGGGACGCCGCCAACACTGCAACCTGCCGCTTCATTCGCGCGACGCTGGCCACGAACGTTGGCCCGTTCGTTCGCCAATATACGGCTGCAAGGACACTTTTCTTCAATCTTGTGTGGCTGTACGGAGAAGAGGCTGGGATCGATTCACAGGGTGGTCCTCCAGTGCCTGTGAATGCCGAGACCCTCAACGCAAAGAAAGGACGTGCCGGGCTTCTGGCCGCGCTGGAAGCCAAAAGAACCATGGACTATCTGCCTGCTGTCTCCACAAGCCTCAAGCCATCAGCTTCGATTGTCCCGGGCCCCCAAACCAAACACAGCAACCATGAGGTCACTTTCTTCTCTGCCTCGAGGACAGAACCTCCTGCCTCTCGTGACAAGTCGACGAAATGGCAGGCAACAATTGCCAGCGAACCCACGGACCTACCAGACCAAAATACCGCCATTGGCCGTCCCATCGACCGGACCCGCATCACTTCTGACCCAAGCTTGGAGACCATTCATGAACACGACGAGCCGCATCCAGGAAGACGGGTGCCGTCCGGGTATGCAATCGACTTCGACTACAGCCTTTCCAGAGGAGATCAAGGGCAGTGGGGGAGGAGCGTCAGCCCTTTGTCTCCTTCCGACTCCGGTAGTGAATATGGCGACGATGACGAGGTGCGCCTTCTCCCCTCCAAGCGAATAACAAGGCCAACGCTAGTGTTGTCGTCCATGTCCCGGGCCGCTGACTTGTGGGACCAGGACCAGGATGAATGCCACCTCGAAGACACCGACGTCGCCGACCCCGCCGGACGGTCCACGTCGCGGTCCACGAAGCGTCCAGCCGGCAGCCCAGACCTCGAGCCGAGCGCTGCAAAGGCAGGCATCACCTCCATCTTGAGGACCGTCACGGCCAACAACAGGGCCAGGAAGCGGGACAAGTTCACCTTCTCATTCCCTCTGCGGCGGCTGAATCCGGAAAAGGAGAGAGCCAAGGGCGAGGACCGAGCGCGGGCTGAGGAAGCGGTGTGATCGTGGAATGACGGACTCGAGATTGGAGAAGCCTTGATCTGGGTGAAGAATGCCATATGCCGAGACAGATGTCCGTCTTCCAGGACGGGATGGAAGGATTCTTTGGAGAAACACACCTCTTTCGTTGATCATCTGGCGAATTTATGCTTTGCTTTGCTTTCTCTGTATTTTCTATAGGTAAAACAGCACAGACAAGACGCTTACTTCTCATATGCGCCAGCATATACGATCTCGTCATCGTCATCGTCATCATCATCTTCTTCCTCTTCTTCCGGCCCCTCCTTTCGTCTCCTTCAACTTCACCTCCATTCTAATAACGTATGTAACAAAGTCACAAGTCACGTCCGCCATCGTCATCACCAATCAAGCCGCCCTCCCTCGCGCCGACGCCCCCGGCCCTCCTTGCCGACGAACAGCCCGTAAAGCCCGCCGCCGACGTGGTTCCGCACGGCCCTCCAGCCGCCCTGTTCCCCGTCGTCGCGCTCCTTCATGTAGTGGCTGAGGTCGGGCGAGAGCATCTCCCGCGTCACCAGCACGGGCGCGGTGTAGCGGGCGCCGAACCACGAGACGCCGTCGTCGTCGGTGTCGTGGCCGTGGCCGTGGTTCCTGCGCTTCTTGTCCTCTCGGTCTCGACGGGGGAATCTTGCGGCGCGGTTCGTCGGTGCTCGACGCACTTCTTCCTTGGCGTCTGCGTTCGGGTTGTTGTCGTCGTCGACGTTGTGGTTTGTCGATGCGCCATTGTTGTGGCGATGGCGGGTGCGTGCTCGATCGACCCGCACGCCCTGGCGGAGGGCCTTGCTGACGTCGTCGTCAAAGTAGTTGAAGGGCATGAACAGCACGGAGCTGGCGCTGGTGTGCATCAGCGTGTTGGGCACGTCCTGGCTGGTGGGCACGTGGTGGCCGCCCAGGTTGAAGTAGAGCACGAGGTCGGCCGCCTCGACGGGCTCGCGGTCCTCGACCATGCGCGCGAAGTCGACCAGCGGCGCTCCCGGCTCCAGCGCGTTGTAGTGGTGCGCCGCCGCCGGCTCCGTGGCCGGGTGGTTGCGCAGCACCCACAGGTCGGCCGCGGCCCAGGACGCCGCCCGGCCCAGCGCCGTCGAGTTGGCGATCGTCAGGTGCGCCGGGTTGCCCATCCCGGTGCCGGGCAGGATGCGGTACGCGCGCGTCTCCCCCCACCGGTTGGTGCGGTTGGGCGCCGTGACCAGGTACATCTCCCCGGCGTTCCGGGGCCAGTTGAGCCCCGTCTCGTGCGTGACGGCCGAGTGCACCATGTGCATGGTGTTGCGCGGGCCGGGCACCTCGGGCTGGTCCCAGGCGTAGGTGCGCTGGAGGGGCTCGATCGCCGTGCGCACCACCGTGTTGGCCGTGCCGCAGATGTCCAGGTCCGCGCGGAAGTTGACCACGTGGTCGTGCATCGACGTGTGCAGCCCCGGCCGCACGCGGTAGCCGTACTCGTTCGTCGTCGCGTCGCGCCGCAGCGGCGAGGAGCGCGGCTCCGCGTGGAACGCCCCGAAGATGTAGCCACTGGCCCGCAGCTTGACCTCGACCGAGCCGTCGAGGTAGAAGATGTAGTCGATCTGTTGTTCGTTAGCGAGGACACGCCCACGTCAGGGGGAGATAGGCGGGGGGAGAGAGAGATATTGCTGAACAAAAGCTGGGAAGCAATCTTGAAGCGGAACTTGAAGCTCACCGTGTAGTCGTAGTTTCCGACCGTGCTCACGCTCCGCACCACGAGGTACGTGTTTCTGCTGACGGTCGCGCTAAAGGCCGAGGTGTGTCTCTGCAAGGGCGCGTCGGCCGTGTACTCGAAGACGCAGATGGCGTTGCGGTTGGTGTACATCCTGCCGCCGCGGTGGTACGACATGTCCAGGTACTCGGCGTGGCCGGGGCAGTCGAGCCCCGGGACGAGGCTGAACATCATCTTGCCCATGCCGAAGAAGGTGTCGAGAAACTCGAGCCCGGACTGCATGGGCTCGGCGCCCGCGTAGTGCGCCAGCGCCTCCTGCAGGCCCAGCTGGTAGATGATGCGCGACCCGTTGTAGCGGATGTCGAACAGCGACAGCGCCGCCGCCTGCGAGGTCGACAGGTAGAACGAGAAGCCCATCCACGAGATGTAGTTCTGCGAGCGGTCGAGGCGGTACCGGGGCCCGTACGGCTGGATGGAGAGTGGCGGCGGCATGTCGCGCTCCGGGGTGGTCGACGTGCTGAAGTCTTCGGTGTCGGTCCACGCGCCGTCCTCGTTGATCGTCAGGCGCTCGAAGTCGGGCGACGCCATGGCCTCGCGCAGCATTGTCACGTTGTCGTACAGGATCCCGTTGTAGAACCACTCGCCCGTCGTCCAGGTCGCCGGGTTCGCGCTCGGCACGTCCAGCTTGACGTACAGGCCTTGGGGCAGAAGGCTGCGGCCGTCGGATTTCATGCCAGGCCCGAAAAACTCCAGCCAGTGGACCATGCGGCCCGAGTCGATCAGCGCAGGCCTCGAGCCCATGACCAGCCCGTCCGGGTCGTCGAGATCGTCCCGGTTGGTCTTTGCGCCCAGCAGGTCTTGGGTCACGTCGGACGCATTCTCGCCAATGGACAGCGCCCAGTCGAGCAGCGCAAAGACGTCCGAGATGGGGCTTTGGACATAGTTACGGCCCGAGTTGTGGCAGTACGTCAAGGGCAGGAGTTGGGTCTTGTTGGACGGTGGCAGCGGGCCGACCATGTACTCGACGATGAAGGCGTCGTCGCCCTTGGTCTCGACGGCCGAGAGACGAGCCCAGCGGTCGGGGACGGGGCCATTGTGGTCCAGGTAGTCGACGACGCTGGTCTTATTGGGCCGGAGAAGTTCAATCAGGCTCAACGGGTTGTTGCTCCCTCGACTGTTTCCACCGGTGCGGTCGTCAGTCGAGTTGAATATATTGGTGTTCTTCTGCAGCCATATGTACACCTGCGACGCTTCCACTTCATCAAGCTCCGCCCAGGGATTTTCTGCAGGAGCCTGAAAGTGTCTATGAGGATGCTTGGATGTACCATGAAGTGGCTGCCTGATTGGATAGGAGGAGGCGGAGAGGAAGACGACGACGAGGAGATAAGCGAGGCTGGACAAGATAACGACGGCTGAGACGGAAATGCCCAGCAGCCTCCACGATGCCATGATGGCGGGGATTTTGGCGGTCCTACACGAGAGATGAACTTGAAGGAGGAGAAGCAGAGGAGCGAGTAACAGTATTTGGCCCGAGGGTTCTCATGGCGATAGAGATAGATCCCCGTATCTTCTCCAGCAATTGAGTCATGAGCAAGGCATTCAATCCATTGGGCATGGAAGCGGAGATGCCCTGATACATCGAGGCCCCGGACTGGCTACATTCGCCTTCTGAGGTATAGCCTCGTATTTTAGTCTACAAAGCACAAGTCATGTCAATGGACGTGGGATGCCGTGTGGACAGGTGCGAGGTATAGCTATATAGAACTCGACGTACTAATTTGCCTTCATGTCGCAACAATCCCGTCAGGCACTCGAAACTCCTTTGCAATCTCGCCCTTCTTGGCACCGTCTGCATCCCCGTTGGTCACGATCTTATCCTCGGTCACAATCAACTTCTCGCCCTTCTCCAGTGGTTCGTGCGTGAAGCGGGTGTTGTTCAGGTACCATGTCAAACCCTCCACATCGCCCGTTCTCTCCGCCGACGCCCATCCGTCGCCGAACCATCCAAACTCATTGCCATCGGCCGGGGTCATTTCAAAGTCGTCAAACCGCACCTTCTCAAGGGCCTTGACGGCATGTATACTGCTCCCGGGCCATAACGCCGTCACCCGGCCTCGCTTTCGCTCTTCGGGTGTCGCGTTGGGTGGTGAGGACTTGTACCAACTTCCGCATTCCGCTGAGAAGACCGTGCGCTTGAAGAAGGCGTCACAGTAATTCGTGAAGTTCTCCACAGCTTTCCTCTTGGGCTCGATGGTCTTGGTGTTCCCTTGTCCAAGTCTCTGGAGAATCTGCCCGACATAGTTTGCGACTGCTTCGATAATGATCAGAAGATTGCCATTGCCAACTCCAGCATTCGGGCCAAGTGACTGGAAGAAGTTGGGGAACTGGTCGGTGCACAGACTGAGGTACGTCTCTGGTCGTTCTCGGTAGCGATCTTGAAGATTGACTCCGCCACGTCCGTAGACGGGGAATCGGCCCTGGAAGGACGTGTCGAATCCTGTAGCACAGACAATCGCTTCGACGGGTCGATGTTTGCCATCAGTTGTCACAATCCCGGTCTCATCAATATGTGAGATCCTCGTTGGGATCACGTTGACATTGTCGGCGACCAAGGCTTCAAGATACCCAGGACCAGGAGTCAACCGCTTGCAGAGAGGTGGAAATTCGGGGATGAGATGTTCGGCGATCTCTGGTTTCTTGTCCAATCGGTTCCTCATATCCTGGTTGAATGCTGACCACGCACCTTCGTGCTCTTTCGTCCCTCGGTGCGTTAGGGCAAAGCAGCCTTGCATGCCGATCTCGAGAGCCTTGCGATATTTGACGTAAGATTCAGGATCCTTTTTCCACGCCTCCATTTCCTCCTGTGTATAGTCAAAGTTCCCGTCCTGGCCATCGTTCCGCTCTCGAACAAGCTCGTTACCAAACGATGCTGCGATCCACGTCCGTCCACGCACATAGTGGTCCATTGATTTGACTTTGGGTTGCAGGTTGGCAACGATCTGGATGCCGCTGCTGCCGGCGCCAATGACCGCGATTTCTTTGCCCTGCCACATCGATCAGCACGAGAACCTCGACCAAAGAGGGGGGAAACGCACTGATATGTCATAATCAGAATCCCAGTTGGCGCTATGCAGCAGTTTCCCCTTGAAATCATGCAGACCTTTGATGTCTGGCCACTTCCATTCGTTGAGCACACCAGTGCCGGTCATGAAGACATCGCCAATGTCCTCCACGACCTCGTCGGTGTCGGATTTTTGGAACTTGACGTGCCATTTCGAGGTTTCCTCGTTCCACCGAGCTTCTATACATTTGTGGCTGAATTTCATATATTTCTTCACGTCATACTTGTCGGCCACTCGTTTCCAGTATTGAAGAATTTCCGGTGCCCCGGCATAGAATTTGCTCCAGTGGACCTCTGACTCGAAGCTCAGTTGGTATGAATGAGCAGGGATATCTGCGACTCTGTCAATACTGGGTCATTGGCCCCTCGAATTGTACATACCACAGGCGCACCCGGGGTACCGATTCTCAAACCAGGTACCTCCCACATCTGGATTCTTCTCATAGATTGCAAGCTCTACGTTCGGCAAGAACCGAGGGAACTGGATCGCAGCACAAATCCCAGAGACGCCGGCACCGATGTAGATGACTTTGAGTGGCCTCGGCTCGTCGATTGCTCTTTCTGATATCAACGGATGAGCATATAGGTTGTCCGTCACCTTGTAACCGATAGATCCCATCTTGGCTAATCTTTCGAGTCAAAGTACGCGAGACGTGGCAAATAGCTTGAAGGAATGTCCCACGAATGACACGCGATGTTAGATTGGTCAGTCGAGGCCCTCGTATGCCCACAAGTCCAGGGCAATACTCTAAATCCGGAGGGAGAGGGGAGAGAGGGGCAAAAGGAAGGCTGAAAAGTTCAAACACAAACGACAGAGGGGATGCTGCTGGCTATTTATTGTCTCACCGCGTGGTCTCCAAGAGGAAGGTGTGTTTTCACCATATCAAACTTTCAAGAGGGCTAGAGCTTTCAGTCCCATCGATCTGCCGAGAGCAAGGGCATCATAAGACAGTCGCAATACGAAATCTAGCTCGGTCTCCAGGAGCAAATCGAGCCCGAAAGGGAATTCCAAGAGGCCCCGCCCCCCTGGGGAACACATGGCGCGGGAAAATCGCCATTCAGAACTTGAGGGGCCGAGGATTTTGAGGTGATGGATGGGTTCATGTGGGCGCAAACGCCTCCACGAGCTGGATTTTCGGTGCATTATCCGGCTGCCTTAGCAGAGGTATACCCCCACGGGTCTGCGCCATCCGTGGCTTTTTGCGGCTAGATGGGAGGAGGTGGGCTCGCACGCGAGTTCTTCGAGGGCACCGGAGGGATACTCAAGGGCGCTCGCCGCGGCATCCTCGTAGGTAGTGCGTGGTGGTGGCACCCTACGCCAGGTGGGATTTTTCCAGGCGTTTTCCGACCGTAAGCAAGGCTCGGCGCCAGTACCAAGCGGAAGTGGACTGAGATTTTCGAGCCTCTGGCGAAGTTCTCACTCTTGTTTGTCGTCAGATGGATCCTCGTCTTGTTGACAGCATTGTAGAGGCGTGGCACTCAAGGCTAGATATGATCTGACGCTTGAGAAGAATCGACCTCGAGCTCTCCTCACCAGTATATGACCTTCATTCGATGTCCCTATCCGAACGAGCCGAAGGAATTCCCGAATGCTGTGGCGTCGAAGGCACTGTGGAGGCTCTGACCGCGGAATTGAATCGCACTGCACAGCGCTCCAAGTATTAACAGACTCGGCTCCACATGCTTGTACTTGTACACCAAGTTCACATCTTGTAGACGAATTGCATGTGCTCAGCAGATATGTCACTCCACCCGTTGATCTCGCCAGAGAAAGTCTTGTAGGGTTTGGTCGAATAAGAGGAGTTCTTCTTTCATATGAGTGCCCTCACGAATTCGGATACGAACTGAAAGGGGAACCATTTCGTGGTATAGGGTTCCCATTAGCAAGGCTTTGACGGGGTTCAGGAGATAGAACAGAGGTGTGGAAACATTGGCTGGAACTATGAGTCGGTCCGCTGGAAAGTCTGGCCGGAGGTGACTGCTACCGCACATAATATTGGCGACGCCACTTCTGGGATCGTCAAATGAATCCATGATCCTAGCCACTTAGCCAAAAGGGATGAAAAGAGCCGGTTACGGAGTTCATGCGGACAATCTTAAACGTTTACAACAAAAGTCGGCGGGACACATACCATGCTGAAGGCAGGGTGAGATATTCCACACCTTGGTTCTTAGTATCAACCGAACCACCGGGTCCGTCGCGAGGCTGAGCAAGGCTGTACAAGGCTGTACAAGGCTGGCTGAGAGACCTACAAGATATTCCCTGCAGGACGGCAACAGCCATGCATACCGAACAGTCATTTCCGTGCCTCCAGATACAAGTTATGAATATGACAAGTTAATCGATTAAGACTGACTGAAGTCTTCAGTGCTCTATCTTGTCTATGCTCTATCAAGAGGGTATCAAGAAATCTTTCTCTATGGCCCTCTCCAAGCGGATTTGTTTTGCATGCCCTCAAGAACTCCAGGCACTCCTTTTCTAGACAACCATTATTCGTTTCAATGCCTCCCAATGCACCTTGAGCCGTAAAATCATCGAAAGGTAGTCGTGTCAACATCTAGTCGTCCTCATCCGAGAAGACTTCTTCGCCACGCTTTCTCCGGGCCATACGTTCCTTCTTCTTCTTTCTCAGCTCAGACGAAGTCAGCTTCTTCGCTTTCTTGTTGCCTTCGATCTTGTTGCCCTAATGAAAGGATTAGTCTTCGAGTCTGAGTATATATTGCGGTTGAACTTACCATAGCATCGAATTTCTCCTCTTCGTCGTCATCCTTCGCGGACAAACGAGGACCAGAGCCTTGCCCTTGCTAAAGTAAAGAGTCAGTAGAGCTTAACAACGACAACTCTAGGTTTGTTAGACTTACAATCCAGTTGTGTCCGCTGGGGGTCATTCTGCCGTTCATGACACTCCAGACCTCTTCAGTCAGAGACTCGGTGAACTCGGCGTTGTGGGAAATGATGACGACACCACCCTCGAACTCCTTCAGAGCCTTGGAAAGAGCACCCAACGAATCACGGTCAAGGTAGTTGGTGGGTTCGTCCAAAACGATCAAATGAGGGCGTTGCCACGTGCAAGCGGCAAGAACGACCTTGACACGCTGACCACCAGACAGACCACGCATGCGGGAGTGGGAGATCAATTCAGCATCGAGACCGAAGTTGGCACCGTGTGCTTCAATCTCACGTCGGATCAGGGGTCGGAACTGACCGCTGGCCAGGGCTTCCTTCTGATCGACCTCGGCGACCATCTTCTGGTGAGATGCCAGGATTTCAGAGCGAGGAATCCAGGCGTTGTCAGCAGTCATCATGGGAGTCCATTTCTCGTTCTTCTGGCCAACGTTCTCGCCAAGAGCGAACGAACACTCGTACTCGTACGAGTTCTTGAACTTTCTCCGGGCGTGGATGCCAATGACGCGTCGTTGAGTACCATCAATCTTGTAAATCTTGTCCATAGCCTTCTCGTCATCTTCAGTGACAATCTTGTTTGCGCGATCCATGGTTTCACGGTCCTCGCCAGTCTGGAATCGCCATTGGATGTACTCGGATGGCGTCTTGTCCAAATGGTTATCAATGTGAGCGAATGCGTGCTGTTTGATGTAGGCAATACGGATATTCTCGTGCTGGTAGAGCTCACCAGATGTGGGGATCAATTCACCAGTGAGCACATTGACCAGGGTAGACTTGCCAGCGCCGTTGGGGCCAATGACGGCGATACGAGAGCCGAGAGATACCTGGAAAGTGATGTCCTGAATCTGGGGCTTGTCGGTGCCTGGGTATTGGAATGCCATCTTGTTGACACGGACGATGGCCTTCGCCTTCGTCTTGACACCTTCAAGGAAACCAGGTTCTGGGAACTTGAATGACAACTCAGAAGCACCGAGCTCGAAGTAAGAGCGAGCAGACGGTACTCGCTTGGCGAACTCGGTCAAATTGCCACGGTATCTGCGCAGCTTGAAGCGCTCGTAGTGGATGACGTGCTGAATGACGTTGTTCAGGAATTTGGAATCGTGGGAGACAATGATGGAAGTGCAAGGAGAGTTGATCAGGTAGTTCTCGAGCCAGGCGACGTTCTTCACGTCCAAATGGTTGGTAGGCTCATCGAGCAGGAGAATATCGGGGTTTTCGAACACAGCGCGGGCAAGAGCCAGCTTCATCTTCCAGCCACCGGAGAGCGAGGTAATGGGGCCTTCCATCTGAGATTCGAGGAAACCGAACTCAAGGAGCTTGGCCTTGATCTCATCCACAGGGGTATCAATACCGACAGATCTCAACTTCATCTCGGTCCAGCCAATGACGGTGAGTTCAGTATCAGCAGCATCCAGATCGTGCTCAACGAAAACGGTCTTGACCTCAGACTGCTTGGGGAAACCCTCAACCTGCTCGTTGTTGATGGCTCGCATGAGAGTGGATTTGCCGGAACCGTTGGGGCCGAGCAGACCATAGCGCTGGCCACGCTTGAGGCGGAGCGTTGTTTGGTTGAGAAGAATTTTAGCACCGTAGGCCAAGTTGAATGTGCAGTTGCAAAGATCCTCACCCTCCTCCTCATCTGGCTCGGCTTCGGGTTCGTCCTCGATACCAGGGGAAGCACGCTTGCGAAGAGTCTCGGCAACAGCTTTCGCGTCAGTTTCGCCAACGATGGTCTTGAGATATTCGACGGTGTTAGAAACCCAGTCCGGCTCATCGGTGATCTTCTCATCGATCAATTGGCCAGCGATGGCGGCAACGTAGTTAATGACAGTGTCGGCCTTGGCAACCGCGCCCTTGTGCTTTTGCTCGATGATTTCCTTCAAGATCGGCACAACAGTCGCGATTTCGCCAGCGTTGGAGATCTTGGGGAAAGAGCCGTCTTCCTTAACTGCACCGACTCGCTTGAGGGTGTCCAAGCCCTGCTTGGTCTTCTCACGCGCCTCGGGATCGGCCATGTTCTCGTAGTTCTTCGTGAGCGCAGGCATCAATTTGGGCAAGAAAGCTGCAACGATTTGAGGGTCTTCGACCAGTTTGCACATGTTGTCCACAATGACTGCAGACTTCCGCTTGATGGCAGTGTCTCGCTCGGCCAGGCCACGTTCCAGCAGAGGGACCATGATGGCCAAAGTCGGCTCGTGGACATCGGTGACGAAAGTGGTGGCACCAAGCAAGTGAACGGTCTCGGGGACGTTCTCAGGTTTAGCGATACACTTGATGAGCTCGGGAATGAACTTCTCGATATCCTTGTTTTCGATCAATTTGCAGATCTTCTCCATTGTGCCGTAGGCCTTCTTCTTGACTTCGGGCTTGGTATCCCACATTGACTCGGAAACGATCGGAATGAGGGTAGGAACGAGGAACGAGAGCTGGGTGGGAGCGGTTTCGACAAGGGCCTCGATGCAGTCGAGACCGGTCATCTTCTCGGGCCATTTCTGAGCCGTGATGATGGAGTTTCGGATGTGAGGGAGGGCGACCTTGACGGCGTTGGGGTTGATGGCTTTAACAATGGCAAGAGATGCGGCCTGCGCAGCGTTCTTGACGGAAACCATCTTGTCACCAACCGCAGCCAGAGCCAGCGGCAGGAGAGAGATCAGGTAGGGCTCAGCACCGGGGGCAATGGTGGAGTGAGACGCGACGGCTCGGATGCCATCCAGAGCACGTTCTCGCACCACGGCATCCTTCTTGTTGGCGAGCTGCTTCTTCAAGATCTCGACAGCCTTGAGAGGCACATCGTGCTCTTCGATGGGGCCGTTCAAGAATGTGGCAACGTTGCCAGCGGCGCCGTTTGCCTCATCTTGGGACTTGGAGATGGACAGCTGATGCAGCAACTGCTCCAGGGTGGCGATCGACTGCTTCGTCTCTTTTGACGAGGAAGTAGGGGTGGCAGACATGGTGTCGACAGAGGGCATGTCTAGAGGAAACTCGGGAGAGTTGGAAAAGGGATGGAAATTTCGACTCTGGTGTTTTTGTGGGTGGAAAATTTCAGGAATGTGAAAAAAAGGCGGTCTATGTCGGCTGAAAGGGGTGCCCACGAAGACTGCGCTTCCCACGCCGGTCTTTCGCTCTATGCGGCGTCTAACAGAGGGAAGAAGGAATGTGCAAAGACTCTATCAACCAGAGAAAATGCAAGAGGAGTCTAGAGGGGGAGAAGAGGATGGGAGGAGAGATTGTAAGGAAGAAGGATGGTCAGGGTGAGCCGGCCTGGGTTTTATTTTGTATCTGGGCTTCGCCGTTCACTGCTCACAGAAATTTTTTTCGCTAGTGCTGCCGGTCCTCAAGGCCCCTGGTCTCTTCGCCAGTCATGTCCGGGCGCATCGCCCCATTTCACCCGGCGCCCCCATCACTCCCCCATCAAATGCCCTTCTCGCTCCCTGTTGACTTTGACCGCCTTCCTCTAGTCCATTGCCGCGTTGGCCGACCCAGACCGCAAAGAGACACTGTAACCAACATGGCCCCTCCGACATGTCCCAGAGCCAGAACTTTCCCGAACGAATGAGTCCCGCCCGGAGATCTCGACGATCTCTCACCCAGTGTCGAGTGGCACGGATCTGTCTGGCCGAGCCAAAAAATCCCAGGAAAAAGGGGGCAACACAACAGAGCATAACAGGGGGGGAAAGGGTCTCGGTGTTTGCTGCCTACGAGTTCCCTTTGTCAGTCTTCTGGAAGACCTATTTTTGTCGCCACTCAGCCTTGGATAATCAACAAGCTACACCCTTCTGTTACAGCGCAGGCCAGCAGGGGGCCAGGGGGTTTCACACCAGTCCGCAGCCTGCAATTACGCCTACCACGTCAGATCTGAATGCCCAATGTCCTAACACGAGCAGCGGCAGTTTGAGGAGTACCAAGTTCCCCAAGTCGTCTTTTCCCAACCACACGGGGGACAATGTGTAAGCACGCACAGGCTTCGCCTCCCAGAGGGGCTTTTCCTCTGACTACCACCCGAGTGATTGGCGACTTATCTTGCCTCGAATAGACTGTCACCGTCCTACTCGTCAGACTTGCAGCAGTCGTCCCCCGCCCTTTTCCTTGAGGGACACTGGAGTCGCCCTTGAGGGGGGCGCTGTGGGAACATTTCAGGCGTCTCGCGTATCAGAAATCTTTCTTATCGATAGGAATGGAACTAACTGATAAGAAACAATAATTTTCTCCCACATCTCAAAGGCTCCTGAAATCTCCCTGGGATCAACACGACGCGCGACAGCGGCCTCAGAATGTGTGATGCATTCCTTGGATCAGCACCCCTGATCACCTCGCGCTCCTGTTATTGCAGCAAAGCTTGCTACAACAAGAGCACAGGTACATCCCGCGAAAACTTACAGGAGGACACCATCCAACCGCTGGGCCGCCAAAAAGTCGGCGAAACGTTCCTTTTACGTGCTTACCGATTGGCGGAGCCACCGAGCGCAGGAATGTGGCCGTTCTTAGTGGCTTGTCTCTGAGGTACTCGTAGTATCTTCGGTGCGAGCTGACTCTCGCTTGTTCAATATCGGGAATGACAGGGCCTGACGCAATTCGAATACTCAAACCATGACCGGAACTTTAGTCGCCCTTCTCTCAAGACAGAAGATGCAAATTTCTCTGCCGATGGGATTCCCTTACGGCCTTATGCTCGGTGAAGAATATTGATCAAGGAAAATGGCTCACAATGCTGGCCACACCCAGATTGTGGTCAGTCTGTTCATCGTCTTCCCCCGGATTCTGACACTCAAGACTCCAGATATACCCCCTTCTAGCTCTCCACCATTGATAGTGACAAACATGAAGTCGCTGACATGCAGGGTGCTCTCCATGGTAGTGCATGTCGTCCGGCTTTGCCACACTTTATTTCCCCAAGTTTCCTCAGGGCCAAGGGTTTCATGCCGCAATCAAACGGATCCCCTTTGCTAGATCTGAACGAGAAAGCGCGCTTTGGAGAGGGGGAAAAACCAAATTGCGAACAAGCGGAGGGTCGTCTAATCGTCATTGAGCACGTTCTCGCGTGGAAACATAGCACAAACGCCAAAGCACAAGGCAGACAAATGCAGCTAAAGACACTCGACACTCCTCCGAACCCACCGACAAGCGCCACGAACTCTTGACCTCGGTCAGTGATGGTGACGATGCCTGCGCCTGCTGCTATCACTTTCACTGCTGCTACTGCTGACACTTCTCCTCCTGCTCCCCGACCTCCTGCGAGAGCGAGAGACGGAGCGGCTTCTCCGGTCGTCGTAGTCTTCGTAGTCTTCGCCATAAGCCTCGCCTTCCCGGCGTTCTTTCTTCTTGCGCTTGTCCTTCTCATGCTTGGACTCGAGTTTGTGACCGGCATATGCGCCGGCCAGCGCCCCAGCAACGGTGATCAGGCTGTTGCTGTGGCCGAGTTCATGGCCAGCCCCTGCGTAACTGTGTTAGACCTTGTCCAAACGGCATTGCAGCATGGAACTTACATCCACCGACCGCGCCACCAAGGAGCGTTGCCCCTATCTCCTTCCCGGCCTCGTGTTTATCGTGACGTTTCTCTCCCCTTTCTCTTGACCTCTCCCTTTCTCTTTCCCTTTCACGCCTTGAGCCGCGGGAGCTTGGGCGGTCGTCATAGCGATCGTCATATCCTTGCGACGGAGGCGCATAATATGACGAACTGTCACCGGCGCGATACTGGCTGGCGGCAAAAGGGCCCGAGTTGCGACGTTCACGATTGTAGTCGTACTCGCCGGCGTACTGGCCAACCTGCATGCCGGAGGTACGGGGGGAAGATCTGTATTGGTCTTCGCGTGCAGGCTGATACTCTCCATACGAGGACTGGCACAGGGAGTCAGCCAAGACCCAAGGGTGGTCAAATCCCAAAGTCGATCAACTAGCCTTACCTGTGGAGCAGTGTAGCTTTGCCCACCCTCGTATTGTGATCGCGGAGGAGGCGGATATTGGTTGTGCCCGCTTCCTGGCGGAGGAGGATACGAGTTTGGGTTGTAGTAGTCTGACATATTGATATGGGTGAATCGAATCGCAATTCTTCAGAGACGAGCGAAGCAGAGATGCCGTCGCAATGTTTTCAAGGGCAAGGCATAGGGGGGGATGACAGCGGCATCACTCCTTAGTCATGCCGGGTATTGTCGCGGAGGGTGGCGGGGGCTGGCAGGCAGGCTGGGAGGCTGGCCGGAATGGCGGACAAACTATGACCTCATCGCTCCGAACTGCCACGAGGCCAGATGCGAAACGCCAAGGCCCACAAGCCACCAAGCCACCACAGTCACAGGCTGGCGCCAAGACTCCTCACCTGTTTCACAAAATGCCTCTTTGCGACTTACTCAAGCAAAATTGCAGTTCCGCCACCGTCCGTGATTGGGAGACTATCACGTTCAGACCAGAGACTTTGGTCGATCTCCATGGATCCCCCTCGAAGAATGAAAAACTTTGGGAAGCAAAGCAAACAAACAAACCCTTTCGCCCTGATTGAATCCTATCCTGGACCGGGGGAGATGAGAGATGAGCTTCGTGGCTTGTCATCTTTTGGAGCAGATAAGGACAGAAGCGTCTCTCAGCAGTCAGTCAGCTGTCAACAGAATATCGGCACCGAGTCTGCTCTCAATGACACCAGATTACGTCGACCAGACGCTGATTCAGATGGGATTGAAGTCGGGATATAGCAGCCAGCCAGCAGAACCAGGAGAAATTCTCCTGTGACATCAATCGCCAGCACCCTCCCTGACTCGGCAAGATTGACGGATGGGATTATTTGTGGTATACTCCCTGCACCTCAGAGCCTTGCCAGATCTCCCATAAGGCGACCAACCACTGTCGCTGACATGTAGCCCCAAATCGGAGAACACAGCCCATCCAGATGGTTACTTGGTTAGGTTCGGCGCACTCTCGGGATCTTTCAGTCGACTGGATTTTTTTCTCGCTTCCACCCCCAATCAGCGTGTCTGCTAAGGCGCGGCTGTTCTCAACGGTACATTCCAGTTGGCTTCGGTCTGAACTGCGCTGACTTATCAGCCTCCACCGTCCCTCAGGAGTGGCATTCGGTGTCCTCGCTCAAACAAGGGGCATGCCGACTTTTCCTTTGACCTGAGTTAAGCTTAATTGAATGTGCCGTTCCATTGGGTGCAAGGCTGCCTCGCGGCGAGCCTTTCCGCCAACTCACTCCACTTGGGCGACCTCGTCGTCTCTCGCGTTTTGCGCACGGCCGAGTACGGCACTGAGGATCGAACCACATGCATATGCCTCTGAAATCAATGTTGGATCCTGGCGCCTTTTGGCACTGGGGCCGCACAGATTCTCGCGAGATGGTGTCCTGGTTGGGCAGCGAAGCCTCTAGATCGGTTTTGTCAACACTGCACGAGACTTCGTGGACCCATGGTATATATACATCACGTTCCCGGGTCTTCGTTACCCCCTTTGCGTCTCCCAGCTCAATTTTGGCATTCTGATCTGCCCAAAGAAGCAGTCCTATTGTTCCAAACTATTTCCCTTGACTATTTTTAATTCGCCGAGCTCACCATGGACCAACCTCACATATCCCATGGGACCTCCCTAACCACCACGCCCACGGTGTCGGACGCTGGCGGGGTTCTGGAGCATGGCGTCGAGAAATCAGACACCAGGCTGACCCGGGCTTCGACTCGTCGGACGCTGGAGCATTACGAGACCAGACCGACGCAAGATGCCTCGGATTTGCTGGATTTGCCTTACGATATCCTCAGCGATGAGGCCGATATGAACGAATATTTGGAGGAGACGACGACCGGTGTGATCCCCAAGAAGACAGTATCGAGGGTGACCGGGCGGCTCGAGGAACATGAATTGGTTACTTTCAAGATTGGCGATCCAGAAAACCCAAAGAATTGGTCCAAGCCCTACAGTATGTTTTTCCAGCGCCACATTGCATTTGTTTTCGTTGCTGCGCAAGTTGTTGACCCCTTCTCCGAACAGAATGGTGGTGCACCATGACCGTGGCATTCACTTGCTTTACCGTCGCCTTCAATAGCGCTGTCATCACGGCCGACTTGGAAGGTGTTTCTGAACGATTCCACGTTTCAGAGGAAGTCTCCCTCTTGACCATCACCATGTTCGTCATTGGCTTCGGTGTCGGTCCCCTCGCCTTTGCGCCCCTCTCAGAACTCTACGGTCGGAAGCCGGTCTATGTCCTCACCCTGGGTCTTGCCGTCATCTTCGAGATCCCCTGCGCCGTGGCACAAAACATTGGTACTCTGTTGGTCTGTCGTCTAATCGACGGCATCGCCTTCTCTGCGCCCATGACCCTCGTCGGCGGCACGTTGGCCGATCTCTGGAAGAACGAAGAGCGGGGTGTCCCCATGGCTGTCTTCTCGGCTGCTCCCTTCATCGGCCCTGCGATCGGCCCCTTGGCTGGAGGCTTCCTCGGTGACGCCGCTGGCTGGCGCTGGCTTTACTGGATCCAACTCATCCTCGCGGGGGTGTGTTTGGGCATCTTGACCTTTACCGTGCCGGAGACCTACGCCCCCATTCTCCTGGACAAACGCGCAAAGAAACTCCGCAAGGAGACGGGCGACAGCAGATACGTCACCGAACGGGACCTCGACATGCGTCCTCTGACCCAGCAATTGGCCATCTTCCTCCTCCGGCCCCTGCAGTTGCTCTTCCTCGAACCCATCGTCCTTCTCATCTCCTTGTACATGTCGGTGCTTTATGGCCTCCTGTACATGTTCTTCGTCGCATACCCGATTGTCTATGTCGAGGGCAAGGGATGGTCTGAAGGCAGCACGGGACTGATGTTCATCCCGCTGGCCCTCGGCGTCGTCTGTTCCGCCGTGCTGTCCCCACTGGTCAACAAGCACTACCTCTCCGTCTGCGCCAAGTACCCGGACGGCAAGCCGCCCGCGGAAGCACGACTCATCCCGATGATGCTCTCGTGCTGGCTGATCCCGATCGGCCTGTTCATCTTTGGCTGGACCTCGTACCCGGACGTCTCGTACTGGGGGCCCATGATGGGCGGCTTCCCCGTCGGGTTCGGCTTCATCTTCCTGTACAACTCGGCCAACAACTACCTCGTCGACACGTACCAGCACCTCGCGGCCTCGGCGCTCGCGGCCAAGACCTGCATCCGGTCCTTCTGGGGCGCCGGCGTCGTACTGTTCACCGTCCAGATGTATCACACCCTGGGCTACCAGTGGGCCAGCTCGCTCCTGGCGTTCCTGGCCCTCGCGTGCTGCGCGATCCCGTACGTCTTCTACTTCTACGGCGCTCGCATCCGGAGGCTCAGCCGGTACGCGTTCCACGACGAGAACGAGGCTTCTCCCGTGAGAACGAAGACGGAGGGGGAAGTGTAAACCAGAGACTATCAAGAAGTGGCGGTGGCAGCGGCAGCAGCAGCAGCAGTAATGTCGGTGAGAACAGCAACGTTGGAACAAACAGTCGCCGAGAAAAGTACACACGCACGAGGGGCTACTCTGCGCCAGACGAGAACCTCCTCCCCCTCAAAGGTAGCAGGAGGTCCTCTGGCAGGAGACACAGAATGGAGAGAGGGGAGGTATTCTAACAGCCCCGCAGGTCTGGTTTCGTTCTTTGTTTGGCGTGGGTGGATGGAGTCATGGAGGGATGGCACGGCACAGCATGTCCTTGTTAGTCCACGTCCACGGAGTTTTCCTCCATTTTGGACCTTCATTCAGAGGACTTTTGATGAATTTGTTTTTCGGTTTGGTTTGGTTTGGTTTGGTTTGGTTTGGTTTGGTTGTCACAATATTCAGCCTCGGGGGTATAGGATAAGCAGGTGCGGGTGCAGGTGCAGGGGACCAAGGTCCTTGGACCGTTCCCGGGCTGGTTCTGGTTCACATGCACATACATTGCGAGCGAGCGACGCCATCTCTCCGGGCAGGACGATGTTTTTGGACTAAAAGCATGTCTGTCGACGGAAGGTGATCGGGGGTCTTTGTATGTATGGAATTTGTGGTGATCTTGATCTTGATCTTGATTCTGATCTTGATATCTCGTATTGATTCATCGATTCCTCGATTCTTCGACTCGCTGGTTTGACTCGTCGACTGACTCTCGTAAACCACCCTCCCTCCTTCCCTCCTCCCCTACCTGACCTACCTGACCTACATGTGCCCCGAGTGCTTGCTTATCACTGACACCTAGAAGACGTACTCCGTACAAATGTGGCTCCTCGGAGCCGCCGTTTCGGTTTCGGGGAATCGGAGCCGTCAGTCACCACAGGTTTATCGCCATCGCCATCACAATCGCCATCAGTCAGTCAAGTAGTTGTGGATCGGGGCCAAACCTGGAAAAAGGAAAGACGAGGGGGGAAGATTGTCCTTCCACGCTGTCTTCGCACTACTACTACTCCATAGGTACGTACATACTTGGGCATCATCAAGCACCCACACACCCACCCTGCGCCTCGGGACCGACTTATCTACCTGTATCTATATCTAGCACCCACGGAGCTGCGTGCAAGGTCCCACCCGCCATGGTTGAGTTTGCATCCGATGCCCCCTTCAGTCAAGTCCCAGCCTCTAAAAAGGGGAGGGGGCTTTTGTGGACATCTGGATCACTGAGCACATCTACAACAAAAAAAGGGGTTTGTAATCAATGAGTGCCCGTGGTACAGTAAGTGTGTACTCGTAACTATCAATTCCCGTGCTTTTCCCGAGCAATGGCCGAACCGATGCCCCAATCCACTAACGCCGTCGCTATGCCTGCCTACCAAGTAGGATCCAAACAAGGAAATAGAGAAAAAGGAGATCAGCTCGCCCCCAAGATCCTGGTGTATGCATCCTCCACCTCCCTCGCAATCTCCAACAGACTCACAATTGCAATGCTGTGCGTTGCCTCTGGCAGCTTGTCCCTGTGCAGCCCGATCCACTCCAGCGGCGGCGTCGCCTCGCCCATGTCCCGCAGCTGTGGCGTATCAATAACCGGCGGCTCAAGCGCTACATAGGTGAATTTACTCAGCGGGACATTGACAACCGCCGTGATCTTCTCCTGGCGCCCGTTTTCACCCTCTTGGGACGGCTCCGCTGTGACCTTGATGGCAGATGGAGGTAGCGGCTTCCCTAAGCGCTGGGCCAGAGCACGGGAATGGGCCTGCCACATGCCCCGGATGAAACTGATTCGCGCATAGTTCCATCCAACGTCGACTTTGCCTTCGAAGGTGCTCCGGAAGGTGTATTCAATCGTGTTGGAGTCCGCGACCTGCCACGTCTGCATGGCGGACACGAGACGAGGCACTTTGACGATCGTCCCGCCGCGAGAGGTGGTGGCCCTGTCAATGACATCGGGGACCGAGACCTCGCTCAGGGCCTTTGTGGTGGCCCGATTGACGCTCGACAGGGCGACTCTGAGTTGTCCTAGCGTCATTCCTAGGGCACTGTGAGTTTTGCCTTCCGTCGTAGCCACCGCAAACCTTGCCTGCACGTCGGTTGCCTCGACCTTGAGAATCTGATTGTCGAAGAACGTGTTTGGGAAGACACCCGCATCGAGAGCGCCCAATGTCAAAACGACGTCTGTGTGCAGCGCGAACGTGCCTTTTGCAACAGCTTTCTCTTTGCGTTCCCTGGCTGGAGCTGGAGTTGTCCAAGTGCTGGATGGGAACATCGATTTCCTTCGAAGGAACTTATCCAAATCCTGGAGTGACGTCTCGTATGCTTCATGTTTTTCCTGCATCAATCGTTCGAATGCTTGCACGAGAGCTAGCCCTTGAGCCGCAGTCGCCGTGGTACAAAAGACTTGGACTTTGCCTCCGTCGACGAGCCCGACCAGCCGATCGCTGTCGTTCCCAAGACCCTGCCTCACATTGTACATCAAAAATTCGAAGAAAGAGATATCGGCTACTGCGAAGGGCTGGTAATCGAAGGCAGCCTTCACTCGGAAATGTTCGAACCCGATAGAAGCTTGGACAAGAGGAGCACGTCTCTTTGCCGTTGCATCTTCTGGCCATTTGATTGACGTCCGTGCTCGCATGTTTTCCAGCTCAATAAACCCGCTCATCCGCCCTGTGCTATCGACCCCGACTCTGTCGAACCCTATGCACAAATTTTGCTCGGAATCGCTGTTCTTTCTCGACGAAGCCCAGAGCTTGGAGATGGTGAAGACTGATTTGCCGAGCCCTTGGCCAAGGTCGACTTGGAGCTGGACTTCTTGCACAGACGCTATGGCATGCCATGGTAAGGTGCCCTTTCCAGACAACTCCTGATAGCGTTGCATTGCATAGGCCTGTTGATCTAGCGGAGATGCAACAGGCGCAGCTGGTTTTGACTTGGTGCGAAGCTCTGGAGGATACCAGATTTCACGGAAGAGAAGAAAGTCTTGAAGCTGCTTTGCATTGATGTCCGTCTTCATAGGACTGATATTGAGAACCACTGAGACTCCGGTCGTAGCACTCACATGCTTGCTGTTCATCAGTGACATGACGATGGAATCCACTTCAAAGCTGGCGGTTGATTCTCGGGAGTAAACGTGTTGGACGGAAGCCGCAAGCTTATTGAACGTCGTCTGAATCGCAAAGAACCGTTCTTGGTCAGGGGCAGATACCGTATTGACCCTGACGAATATATCTGCAAATCTGGCTGTGGCCGCCACTCTTGCAATAGGTTGACAGCTCAAGCTGAACTGCTGTGGCTGTATATAAAGTCCAGCATTCAACTTGCAGCGACCAAAAATGGCACTCGGGTTCGAGTTGCTGAGAGTCGCATCAGAGAGGTAGCTGCGAGTATCTGGCGATGCGCTAGGCTCAGTGTCCCCAGGCTGATCGTCGCCCATAATCTCTTTGATACTGGCTGATATCTCTTGTATCAAAGGCACCACGGTAGGGTAAAGAGTATTCGAAGACGCCGCGACTCTGACCTCGGTGCTAAGGGATGGATCGTCTTTGTTGTCGTCTTTGTACTCGACTTTGAGAGCAACACCAGGTGCTTTCAACACGGCCGACGAAACGTCCTCTCCTTGAACTGCTTGACCATATCGGCCCGCTCGAGATCGTTTCTTCCCTTTCAAGAACCCAAACACAGAGCTCTTGTGTTCGGCTTCGGTGCGAGGACTGATATGGACTACAGCCCCGGCAAAATCGGCGTCAACTAGGAGCGATGCCAGTCGCTTCCCACCCAACAGATCTATCTGAGAGGCTTGGGGTGTTGCCGGACTGGTCTCACGGAAACTCTTCGCTCTGCGTAACTCCGCGCTGGCATTGCCAAGGGATTTTTGTAAGGCGTGACCTGGAATCACGAAGTCGGAAGCAAGCCGGAGGTCCAGGGCCTTCCCCTTTGCTTGGAATGCAAAGCGTCGTTCATGCTTCGTGGAGAGGTAGGCTGTGGCAAAGACCACTTCCGGTAGTAGTGCAGAGTTGGCTGTCCGTGCGACAGGGCTCTTCGACTGTGACTGTGGGACAATTTGTAACTGCGTGTCCAATATCGATAATCGAGCGGTGCCCTCTTGCCGGGTCTTGAGATCAACCTTTCGGATCGAGAAAACCAGGTCTTCCATCTCACGGGAGGCTGATAACCCAGGACTTCGCGTCAAGTTCCATCGGATCATAATATCCTCAAGATCAAGAGCGTAGGTTGACGCATACAGGATAGTTGATGCGCCGTCGATGCTCTCAGCTGCTTCACTGGCCACATCCGTAGCTTCTCTGGGCTTCAGCCGGTCTGCGATACCGGCAGTAGTCATCCTCCGGATATGTTGGATGTTCTCTCCATCATCAGCGAGTTTGAGAGACTTGATCCGATCTTGCAAAAATGCAATAATGTCGACCGCCAGGGTAGCACTCTCCTCGAAAAGCTCAACGGCAATTCCATCGCTCCAAGCCCTATAAACCTGGACAGTCCCCGAATTTCCGACTGTCTCGGTCTTTCCAGAGGCTTTCAGGCCTATGGTACAGGATCCAAAATTGGTTCGCTCGTATCTTGTACTGCGATAGAGTCCAACGCCGACGCCCTGAGAGTTGAGGATAAATTGTGGCCGTTCATGGATCGAGTCTGGATTCTCTGCCTCGTTATGGATGTGTAATGTCGTCCCTTGAAGCCCGAACTCCATGTCGGCCCGGTAGTCCTGGTCTTCCCTGACAGACGGAGCACTAAAGTGAATCCTGATCCCTGCCAGGGTTCCGTGAATTGCGTAACGAAGCAAAAGAGTCGCGTCAGCTGGTTCTTCCACCTTGGGTTTGGATTTTCCACCCGTTACGTGATCAATTGACTCTTGCAGTTGCTGCATGGCTCTCCTGGCATCTAGTATTAGGTGGATCACGCCAGGCTGGTTCAGCGCATCGAAGCAAGCTCGTACGCCCGAGGCTTCCAGATTGATTTGTTCGACGGTCATGCGCGCCCGGACGGAAACAAGGGCATCTGTCTGAGCCACGGATAGTCGCCCATTGATTGGCGGCATCTTCAAGAGAGACAAATTGCCCCGAGACGCATCCTGCGGTACTTCAAACAAATGCTCGTGCTCTTTAATGTCGAAATTGACGTCCAACCCTCCATTTCGCCGTGGGATGATTGATGTACGGGCCACGTTCCCAGCAATTGCATAGTGCAGCGATGGAACAATCACAAAATTCAACCTGTAGTCGTCCAAAAACATGGCCACGCGTAGATCAAGATTGAGAGCATCGTTGGAGCTTGAGACCTTTTGGACTTTGTTGCCGCTTGCGCTGGGAACCTGGTGGACCAGATCGACAATTGTCGCGACTTCTTCGCGGACAACAGAGTCGGCGACTACAAGCAGCTTGACGATATCTTCCTTCATCTGAAACCGAAACTTGTGCGAGGCTGCACAGAGCTGAACAACCATCTTTTGATCTCCAGAGCTGGCGGGCGGCTGTGGCCACACCGACCCATAGAGCTTTGGCATGCGGAGTCGCCACATCATCAAGGTGTGGGAATGACCTCTGAACTTGGCCATTGCTGTGTATGCTGCAATCGTAAAGGAGGAAATCGTAGGCTGTGAACCGCCGTTGGAGAAAGAAACGCCGCTTCGAAAGCTTTCGGCCGCCCATTTGAGCTTGAGGTTGATGGTGGTGAGGTAAACGGAGGCTGCATCCGCTCCCACCATAACTGTAAAGTGGTTTCTCTTTGCAGACAGGTTTTGCGCTGTCTTTTCGATGGAATTATGGGTGTTTTGTGTTCTCAGTGCCAGAGGGTTACCCAGTTCAATGACCTGACGTGCGAGTTCAACCAGGGCCCAATTGAGATGGAGAGATGTGTCTGCAGTGTAGGCTTGAAGGATGATTCTCCGCGCGTTGCTGCCGATCCCGGAGGTACCTGCAGGGCGCAGGATGACGTTGAAGTCGAGGCCGAGTAGAGCAAGATCACTCTGACGAGGGCCGGGATCCAAGATAATTTCAAATTTTCCCACGATGATTTCCGTCTGTACAACGAGCTTGTTGTCGAATGCTTCCGACGCTTGGACATGGCCGCATTCGAAAAGTGAGCTCATGATGGGCACTTTATCTCGTGCATAATCCCAGCCTCGCCACTCCTCAAAAGAAGAAAGCACCTGGAGTTTGGCTGGATCTTTCAGCTCGAGATCTTCACAGCCGCACTTTTCGATGAAGTCTCGTCCGTGTTCTTTCTCGAGAGTGGAGAATATGTATCTGAGCCTCGAAATGATCTTCCAGGAGTCGCTCAGACGGACATGTTTATCCGCGCTTCTGAGCACATATGAGGGCCTTGTCAGAAAGATAGGATCCGAGATTGCGTTGCCTGCTTGGGTTAGATGATAGATCAAGTGCCTTGATTTATAGCTCTGGTCAAGCCCTTCGAATGCATCGACAATGCGATCGACCATTGACACTGTCCTCTGAATCAGCCCTGCCATGCTGTTTAGTTGATCCGCCCACAAGACCACGTCGAAGTTGCTCAGCTGTAATTTTGAATTGATATCTTCTTTCATGCAGAACCAGAATCCCACGTTCGCGAGCGATACTGCGGTCTGAGCAGAAGCTCTCTCGGTTGCGAAGCTATCGTCCCTTACAGACACGGAGAGATTTTCAATCGAACCATATGCCAGCTGACTGTGTGGGGGGGTGGGCTCCAGCCTTGCACTGGTCTTTGGATGTAAGAGGCGGTAGAACAACTGTGAGCTCCTTAGTTTCACGTCGTATTGGTCTTCCCTCGGAACTGGTGTATCGCTCTCGCCTTCTCCTTGTAGGCCATTAATCAGCCGAATATGTGCATAGGGCAGCTGGACAGCGAAGTCCACAACGTGTCCTTTATCGTCGTGCTTGTGAGTTTCTAGTATTCGCTTCATTACCGTAATTTGCACTTTGTCTAGCTGGTCGACTGGATGATCTTCATTCAATTCTCGGATCAACTCTCCTATTGAAAGAAAGAGAGAGGGGGTGCAAAACCCGGTCAGACCATCCTGGACCATAAAGACAACGCCGTTATGTGGCGTTTCCTCGAATTCGTCTGGTATCGCTCCAGAATCTTTGGTGGCCGCCGGAGTCAAGGATGGGAACTGAGCAGGATCCAAGTCAGGCAGTCGGGGCAGATTTTTGGTATTAGGTTCAACGTCGTGCAGTGTAAAGTGCGGCGGGGACCATGGACTGGAGAATGTCACCAATGCCTGATGCACATCTCGATCTCTGGAACGAAGACGATTCAGATCTTCACGGCTTAGACCAGACTTGTCTGACGGCGGTGGCCAGGATCCTGCAGGGCCATGATCTAGCTGATTCCGTACGCGAGACTCGACGGATAAGCCTTTTCGAAACGGAGTCGACGATGCTGATATGAAGGAGGCTTGTCGTCCAGGACCACGTCTCCGACCATTACGGTCCCTCGATTCCGGGAACGTCGTTTTCTCTACTCTTCCGATGGGTTCGGGCATTGAGGGCACGGGCATGGCTGGCGGATCACGGGCCCAGTCAGGTATCCTATGATTCGACGCGTAATGCTTACCAGGATCTAACACCCAATCTGCACGGTGGGTTCGTTGGTCATGATAGCGAATATGCTGTTGTTGCAAAGCGCGAGTATGCGCAAGGTTATCTGTCTTGTCCAGCGTCCCGATCCGAAGAGAGGTCTCAAAACAGGCAAACGTCTCTACCGGGCCTGGTCTTCGATCGTGATGTCGCAGAGCGCCTTTGTAATCCACAGCTGCGAGAGCAATCCGAGGGACACTGGCACGCAACGTCTTTGCAAAGCTGAAGTTGGCCCAGTCGCTGAATGAGATATCAGATTCGGAAAGCTCCAGCATGTAGGCAGTTCCTCCCGATATCAGCCAAAGACGGAGACCGGCAAGATTGGCCCTGAGGAAGGTCACGTCGTGAACCGCTGTGCGATTGAAAGGTGGCAAAGAGTTTTCATCGTCGTCCAGTGTGTAGATGAATGCCATGATGGAATTGATTAGGGTCTGAACAAACTTGGAAGAGCATTCGCCGGTGATCTCGCCAACGTCAATATCCCAATGACAGGCGTACGTGGGCTCCGAAGGGGGTGCCCCAAAAAGTCTATGGCCGTACACGCAGGCACCATTAATGAATAACTGGCAATTCGTGATTGCGCTTGATGGATCGTTTCCCTTAACGGTTATAGACTCAAGCGAGGCCTCGAGCGGACTCGAGCTAACCTGTAGGTCCATGTAGTAGTTGGTAAAGCGCATGTCGGCATCGACAAGAAGGATGTCCACACGGACGTTTTCTCGTTGCGAATAAATGTTCGCAGGTAACAGCACGCAGGAGTTCTCGGCTCGAATAGTCAAAATGACATCGAGGTCATTGTCTTTTTTGCTGCTTGGTCGCGGTCGCTGGAGCTCGTTACCAGCTAACATGTCCTGGTACTCCTCCAATGTCCTGAAATGCAGATCTTCACCAAAGTAGTTCTCCTTGACATTCACAAAATAGCGGATGAGATACCCATGCAAAAAGAACTTGGGCGCATACCCTGTAATGGTCATGAACAGAGAATCTGTCAAGCCGGGAGACACATTGGGGTAGTAGTTGTAAGACCCCTCGAGATTCAGCAGCTTGAGGGTCATCATCGTTGTGTCCTCAGCAAGAGTATTGATCGTATTCCACACCGGTGTGATGAGTTCCAGGGATGCATTATGGCCCTCGCCAATGAATTTGACGCTGCTTTGACGAGGCGAGAAGTACTGCATGGGAATATCCACATTTCCAGCCAGCGACTGAAATCCTAGGACTAAGAATGCGTTTTCTTCAAGGTCACATGGGTTGTCAATAATGTTGTAATCGTTTGCATTGAGATAGAGCTTGAGATCCGGAAACGCCAAGTGGAGTCGATAGACAAAAGGTACAAAGGTCATGTAGTCCGGCTTCTGGCCTGCTGTAAAATCGCTAACAAGATCTGTTAGCAGAATCATGTGGTCTCTCAAGATGAACATCTCCATGGCACTGCTTTCAATGTCAAAAACCCAGGTGTGAAGGGCGTTCCACACCAGAGGGTTGGACAGGTCACATGAAACCTTCTGTGAGGGACAACGCCAGAGCAATGCATGATTGACGCTAGAAGTAGCTTTCGTGTGCTTGAGGTCAAGTCGCAGGTGATTTCTGTAGCCTTCTGGTCGCGGGACCATGTCCATGTCGTATCGCACCGTCGAATCCTGTCCTGCTGAGACGGTCAACCAGCCGAATGGGCGGATATCCGGGCCAAGTTTTGTCTTGGGCGAGCGACGGAATCGAAAATGTCTCTTTTCACGTTGCTTCCGTACGGCGGCAGCTTCCCTGACCGCGTGCGCTCTGTTTCTCCACTGCCAATCTTTCGAGCGTTCTTTCGTCGGTACACGGAGGCTAACTTCATCTTCAAGGTCAACGCGTATTGTCATTACCGTGTATTGCCGCACGTCGCCTACTTTGACAGGTGGAGCTGGCGACACTGATCGATAGGGGTTTGGGAAAAACGTTGACTGGATTTCAATGCGAAGGCGGTCGGCCCAAGGGCCGTAGTTTACAAAGCCACCTTTGACAGTGAGGTCCATCCCGTAGGCCGGTGGCTTCGACATGTTGATATCGTCAACATGTGCGTGTCGGGCCAGATCCACATCTTCTTCTGAAACCTTCCCCGGCATATCCCAGAAGAACTTGAAGTGAACCGCCGGCGAGTCCAGGATTTGTGAAAACCTGGCATATTCCACATGAGACCAGCCTTCGTGATCGTCGCGCTCATCCTCATCTAGATACCTGCCGAGCCCATGCCACGATCGATTCTCATTCTGGAACTCGTCATAGGGATAGTGCTTCTTGGTTTCACCGTCTTGCGATGCAGTGGTCCGTAGCGAGCCCCTTGAGCTGCCTAAGCCTGGCAGAAGACGCTTGAGACCACGGAAAGCCTTACCGATTCTGCGCCTCAAACCGAAGTTCACTTGCCACCAGCGTCGTCGATAGTTCAGAGACTCTGCAGCTGATATTATCCTCTCCGCAGCGACATACTGAGTTCTGCGAAAGTCAGGGTTAGGTTTCATTTCGACTTTGGGATGGTCAATAGTAAAGTCGAACACCTGCCGGAAGAAATCCGACGACCTCGACGCGCTTGCATCAATATGACCTTTGGCGGCTGCAAAGGTGGTGACGACTAACGCCCGTGTGTTCTCATTTCCAAGCGATATTGCCCCCTTTGAGCATTCGACAGCAATTGGCAGGGCTCGCAGAATCCAGGGATAAAAGGACGGTATATCTGCAGTGGGTCGCTCTGTGTCCGGGGCCACACTGGCGTAGGTATCAGCCCGTACGATAGGGACAGCGAAATCGCTCGATGGTGAGATTCGGTCAGCCTTTTCGCTAAGCGGACTGTCCGCGGAGATGTCGCTGGAAGTAGCTTCTTTCGAATGAGGCCTTGCCTTGTCCCTACGGAGATGCAGCTTGCCCAGCTTGTGTTCGTGTTTCTGCCCGGTAGTATGATTCTGTGGGCCACCGTCCTTGAGATCATGGTTCAAGACATCTTCGACAATGGAGTCGTATACGGGCGTTCTGTTGTATACAAACCATTCCAAGCCAGAAATATGGGCCGAGATCCGGGCGTCCGCAATCGTTTTCCTCCTGAAACGGCCATACTCGGGGTCTTGAAAGGGGGTTTCCGACTCCTCAGATCCGTCCACAGGTGACAATTTCTGTTCCTTGAGCACAGAGTCCTCCTCTTCCAATTCCGACCCTGTCAGATCTACCTGTCGCGAGGAAGATTGCCAATATCTCCAAGTGATGTAGCCATGCTGGATCAGGACAGTTTCATTCTCGGCGTGATAGCGGATGCCCTTGAAGAAGATTCGACCAGCTAAGAAGGATAGCTGAAGTGCTTGAATGTCAATCCAGACTCGGTACTTGTGCCAAGTAAAGGCTCGCAGCCCGTAAGAAACGAGGGTTGCGAACAGGCGATTGAAGTAGAAGAGAAAGAAGAGCGTCAAGCAAGAGCAGGTGGCGAGTTCGATGAACCAGGTCCTGGAGGGCGTTAGCACAAAGCAGTATCATTCGCAGGCCGGCTCACCAGTTGAAAGAGGTATTCCTCGAGATGGGAGCCCCGACCAGGTCATCCAAATCCGACATGATTCATGTGGCTACTACCATGCGACGACGCGCCCATGGTTATCGTTGTTTCAAGAGTGGTCGCATCGTCTGTTGCGTTTGCAGGACCGCACAGTAATCGAAGACGGCTGCCAAAAGTACCTCGAGGGCATGCAACGGAAAGCGAACCCGCGTAAAGGTGCGAATGTGGACTCGAGATGCACGATGATGACTTGCGGTGATGCAGTGTTTCCCCGCAGAAAACCCGACCAGGCGCATGCCATCCATCGCTTGAACATTTTCCTGATCGCGCTGCATTACCCGTCTACACCCCTATATGCGATAAAGCGACTCGTCACATTACCGAAGACAGACTCCAGTCATTCCTCTACTCCTCTGTGGCGTGTTTGCAAGTCGACACAATGTTCGTTTGGAGCTCACGGTAACGGGACTGGAACTGTCGCTTCATTGCAGGTGCCTTGACGGCATTGCTTTGCGTGCATCATGGAAACAATGGCCAGTGGTGGAACGGGCAGCAAGCTCACCAGACTCATCATTATCCTGGCAGGAGTATCGTCGCTACTTGCTACTCTGATATCCTTGGTGTACGTCTCTACGACTTCGACGCCGTTGTAATGTACAGTACTAATCTGCGGCCTAGGTCAATATGGCTTCAATCCAAGAATTACAGGAAGCCTCTACTGCAACGATATGTCATTCGAATTCTGCTCATGGTTCCCATCTACTCCGCTGCCTCATGGGCATCAATCGTGTCCCTGAAAGCCGCCTTCTACCTCGATCCTCTTCGTGACATCTACGAAGCATTCACAATATACACTTTCCTCCAACTCCTCGTCAACTTTCTCGGCGGCGAACGATCCCTCATCATCATGATGCACGGCCGAGCCCCTGTTTCTCACCCGTGGCCCATAAGCCTGTGGTGCAGCAAGATGGACATTTCGGATCCACATACCTTTCTCCTGATCAAAAGAGGCATCCTGCAGTATGCGTGGCTCAAACCCATCCTCAGTGTTGCCACCATCATCCTCAAGCTCACGGGGACATACCAAGAAGGCTACATCTCCTTGACCTCTGGCTACTTTTGGACAGGGCTCCTCTACAACGTCAGTGTGACCTTGAGCTTGTATTTCCTCGCTATGTTCTGGGTCTGCATGCATGAGGATCTAAAACCATTCCGACCTATGCCAAAGTTCTTATGCATCAAACTCATCATCTTCGCATCGTACTGGCAAGGATTCTTCCTCTCCATCCTGCAATTTCTTGGGGCAATCCCGAATGACGTCCCAGGCTACACCCCCGACAACCTTGCTGCTGCCATCCAAGACGCCTTGATCTGTTTTGAAATGCCCATATTCGCCGTGGCACACTGGTATGCCTTCTCCTGGCATGACTACGCCGATGTTACAATCTCAGCAGCTCGCATGCCCGTCAAGTACGCGCTAAGAGATGCTTTCGGTCCCAAGGACCTGATTCAGGATACAAAAGAGACATTCAGAGGAAAGGACTACGACTATCGAACATTTGATTCTGGGGACAATGTCATCGCCCACGAGGAGTCTCACTCGCGCGTTGCAAGGATGATGGACGGCATGAGGTATGAAAGGGGAGGCAAGGGCAAGTACTGGATTCCGAAGCCCCAAGGTCCAAGCAGTCGGACACCCCTGTTGCCAAAGGACGGGTCATCACGGGCTCCTGCACCAGAATCTCGAGGCAAGGCTCACGAATACCGAGCAACGGAGCCTGATATGGAGATTGGTATTGATGCAGAGGATGAGAGATTATTTACCAATGCTCGGGCTTTAGAGTTTGGCGATTGGAACGTAAGTTATTCATGCGTGCGTGGATGCCGGACCATGTTTCTAACTGTCCTCTTCCTACAGTACCCAGTCGTCACCGCGCACGAAGCACGACGGGAAGACTGGTTGCGGCGTGATCCCAACTTACTGACCACCTCCACAAACCGTAACCTCTTTCAGCCGACCCGAGATCGGAAGAGCCGCCGTCAGAGTGAAATCCAGGAGAGCATCCGAAAAGGCAAAAATCGCAGCACGTCACCTTCCGAAAGCTCCTCACACCAAGGTGCCATCGAAGCGAAGTTAAAGCGGCCGAAGGAGCGGTCGCCTTCGGCTTCTGGGAAATCCGACCGCAGCCAGCTCGTAGATCTGGTTGTCGAGGATTCAGAAGCCGAAGAAGTGGAGCGCGTCAGAGCTCGCAAGGAAGGCAGTGACGCTTGGAATCGAAAACCGCAGCGGCATTTTGTGCGCACCTACAGCATCGACGAGGAGGCTCCTGAAGGACAGGAGATACGAGAAGGCTGGGATCCGGCTAGCGTGGCGCCGAGGCCGCCGGCTCCTGAGCGTGCAGTGAGTGATGATGAGAACAATCTTATCAACCCAAGGGACGAGGAAGAGCGCTGGACAGAGCGTGGAGAAGGGCAGTATGCCAACATGATTGAAGAAGATAATGTGTGGAGCCGGAGTTGATATGTGTAACACCATTTTACAAGGCAGGGAGACGCGGTATTGGAGCTCATTGTGCAACCTCCCGGCGCCAGAAGCTCTTTCAGACGGTTGGTATGGGTTACTTCTTGTTCTGGTATATGTTGGGCAATGAGAGCGTTCAAGCGGGCATATCTGAAGCCGTGATTCAGGAGTGGTCAACTCTGGCCTCTGGCCTCCTCAAGGGTTGAGGTCTTCATTACGCCACCCATCTGGTATTTGACTTCGGTATACATTGGGAGCAAGCGCAAATAAAGCCTGTTGAATTGGTCAGTTTCTTGTTCAGGACTTGGTAGACCGAGGGGCAACGGAACTCTCGTCCAATAGTCTTCTCCATGTACAAGTATACTGCGGTATGGTAGTCACGCATGATACGCCTCCGATGACTCACCGACTTTCGCATCGTGCCATATTTGTGACCAGCGCGGAAAGTGTCTGTGCCTAGGTAGAGTCACTGTGACTCCTGGTGGGTGTCTGTCTGACAGGATGGAAGCGGTAGCCAACGGAGTTAACATCTCAAGACGGCGACCCGACGGCGACTGCGGCCTCATTGGCGGGGTACAATCACTCACCACCACTCACTTCTGTACGGGTAGAACTCACGCAGTCCAAGCCCCACGTGAAAGCTTGCTTGGCAAATTGCCGCACTCGACTCTCGCATTTCTAACCACCAAGATTTTCTCATATCATCCCAACCCCTCCCTCACCCTCTTCCCTTCGAGTTCTCCCTCGCAAACACGCGGCTCAAACAGCTGCAACTTCCATCCTTCTTCATCTATACCAGCGCAGGTTCTCGCCCCGTATTTTGGCAGATCGAGCGAGCTCTCGATTTTGCATCAGTACTTCTCAAAAGCTCAAGGGAGCGCACTATTCAGCCGTTGTAGGGCAGTTCAACATCAAAAACCACCAAAATGGTCAACGTACGTCTATGTCCTGCTTGCTGCCGTTAAATGGTCCTGGCTAACTCTTTGGCAGTTCACGATCGAAGAGATCCGCGCTGTAAGTTACCCCTCCTTCGACAACACCTGATTGTGGAATTGGACCTTATTGGGGGCTGGCTGCTATGCTCGATATGGACTAACACCCCAAAAAGTTGATGGACAAGCCGGCGAACATTCGCAACATGTCTGTCATTGCTCACGGTATGTTGCAAATCCGTCGTCGTGAAGACTTCGCCAGCTAACCAAACCCGCAGTCGATCACGGAAAATCCACCTTGACCGATTCTCTCGTCCAGCGGGCCGGTATTATTTCTGCGGCAAAGGCAGGCGAAGCGTAGGTGTTGATATCGATATGCAATCGAGGGAAAGATAGTGACAATTTCGCAGTCGGTTTACAGACACGAGAAAAGACGAGCAGGAGCGTGGTATCACTATCAAATCCACTGCCATTTCCCTGTATGCCCATCTTCCGGATGAAGAATCCTTGAAGGATATTCCCCAGGTAAGAGATGCGCCCGTCTTCCTGATACTGGCAGATGACTAATTCAACCTCAGAAAGTTGACGGTAACGAATTCTTGATCAATTTGATCGATTCGCCCGGTCACGTCGACTTCTCGTCCGAGGTCACGGCCGCTCTCCGAGTCACCGATGGTGCCTTGGTGGTCGTCGACACAATCGAAGGTGTGTGCGTTCAGACCGAGACTGTGCTCCGACAGGCTCTGGGTGAGCGTATCAAGCCCGTCGTCATCATCAACAAGGTCGACCGTGCTCTCCTTGAGTTGCAACTCCAGAAGGAAGATCTGTACCAGTCCTTCCTTCGTACCATCGAGTCGGTCAACGTCATCATTTCCACCTACCTCGACAAGGCCCTGGGTGATGTCCAAGTCTTCCCCGAGAAGGGTACCGTTGCGTTCGGTTCCGGACTCCACGGTTGGGCATTCACCATACGGCAATTCGCCGTCCGGTATGCCAAGAAATTCGGCGTTGACAAGAACAAGATGATGGAACGTCTCTGGGGCGACAACTACTTCAACCCTAAGACCAAGAAATGGACCAAGGTCGCCGAGCACGAGGGCAAGACCCTTGAGCGTGCTTTCAACCAATTCATCCTGGACCCCATCTTCAAGATCTTTGATGCATTCCAGAAGGGAAAGGTTGACCAACTCGTTGAGCTGTGCGCCAAGCTCGAGATCAAGATCACCAGCGAAGAGAAGGAACTTCCTGGCAAGGGTCTTCTCAAGGCTGCCATGAAGAAGTTCTTGCCGGCTGCTGATGCTCTCCTCGAAATGATGGTCATCCACCTGCCATCCCCTGTCACCGCTCAGAAATACCGAGCCGAGACCTTGTACGAGGGCCCAGCTGATGATCCATCTTGCATTGCGATCCGCGACTGCGATCCTCACGCCGATCTCATGCTCTACGTTTCCAAGATGGTGCCAACTTCCGATAAAGGCCGTTTCTATGCGTTCGGTCGTGTCTTCGCTGGTACCGTCCGATCCGGCATGAAGGTCCGTATCCAAGGCCCTAACTATGTCCCTGGCAAGAAGGACGATCTGTTCATCAAGTCCATCCAACGTACGGTCCTGATGATGGGTCGTACCGTCGAACCCATTGATGATATGCCAGCTGGCAACATCATTGGTCTGGTCGGTATCGATCAGTTCTTACTCAAGTCTGGTACTCTCACCACCTCCGAAACCGCCCACAACTTGAAGGTCATGAAGTTCTCCGTTTCCCCCGTCGTGCGTCGATCGGTCGAAGTCAAGAATGCCAACGACTTGCCCAAACTCGTCGAAGGTCTCAAGCGATTGTCCAAGTCTGATCCTTGCGTCTTGACCCAAATCTCGGAGTCCGGTGAGCACATTGTTGCTGGTGCCGGCGAGCTTCACTTGGAAATTTGCTTGAAGGATCTGGAAGAAGACCACGCCGGTGTTCCTCTCAAGATCAGCGACCCCGTCGTCTCTTACCGTGAAACTGTTGGCGGTACCTCTAGCATGACTGCGCTGTCCAAATCACCCAACAAGCACAACCGTCTCTATGTTATCGCCGAACCTCTTGGAGAGGAAGTCTCCAAGGACATTGAGAACGGCAAGATTACGCCTCGCGACGATTTCAAGGCTCGTGCCCGTATCCTGGCCGATGAGCACGGTTGGGATGTCACCGATGCCCGTAAGATCTGGGCGTTCGGCCCCGATACTACCGGTGCCAACTTGTTGGTTGACCAGACCAAGGCCGTCCAGTACCTCAACGAAATCAAGGATTCTTTCGTGTCCGGTTTCCAGTGGGCAACCCGTGAAGGTCCCATTGCCGAGGAAGCCATGCGCTCCATTCGCTTCAACATCATGGATGTGACTCTCCACGCTGATGCCATTCACCGTGGAGGTGGCCAGATCATCCCTACCGCTCGACGTGTACTCTATGCTGCTACCCTGCTTGCTGATCCCGGTCTTCTCGAGCCCGTCTACCTCGTGGAAATTCAGGTTCCGGAACAAGCCATGGGCGGCATCTACGGTGTCCTTACCCGCAGAAGAGGTCACGTCTTCTCCGAAGAGCAACGTGTCGGCACCCCACTGTTCACCGTCAAGGCATATCTTCCCGTCTTGGAGTCGTTCGGTTTCAATGCTGATCTGCGCGCTGCTACTGGCGGTCAAGCATTCCCTCAATCCGTCTTCGATCACTGGCAAATCCTTCCTGGTGGTTCGCCACTTGATTCCACCACCATGGTTGGCAAGATTGTCATGGAAATGCGCAAGAGGAAGGGTCTCAAGGAGCAAGTTCCGGGCTATGACAACTACTATGGTGAGTTTCCTTTTTTGTCCCCTGTCAACTGTTCGTCAATTGCTAACGGTACAAACAGACAAGTTGTAGAGCACTCGGCGTGAAGGCACTAATAGACAAGACCATGACTTTACGAATTGCATACACGAGTTTATGGTCCCGAAGCATTGTATGACAACAACCTCCAAAAAGCATATTTGCACGTAACGAGATGCTGGAGGCAGGAAGGGGAACTGAAGAAGAAATCAAGCGGATGAAATGGATGTTGTATGAGGGTGGATGATGGAGCCTGTCAATCCTGATCCTCCATGGGCAACGTTTTACCGTCTATGTCTATTCCCTCGAACATGGATAGATAAATGCGTCGGCCTCTTGCCAGTTGCAGTGATAGAAAACCTCCCTGCAGGTAGAACAGAATGAATGTTTTTGATGAAATTGACAGTGGTCCTGCTCGCCTTCTTTGCTCTCAAGGTGTTCCTAAGATTTGACGACGCGGAAGGCAACGCCACGTGACCATGCTCAAAGGTTGTCTTTCCATCTTCAGCGGCTGTTGAGAGAATTGCACAATGTATGAGGTCAATATGTCAATGAAGTATGTGTACGCGGGGAGATACGTTATCATTGCTACAAGCTCGATGGAAGCACCCCGGCAACCACTTCATTGCTGTTTCAAAAACGATCGAAGAAAACCGTGGCTCAATAGCTGCGATGTGACTTCTTCACCCGCCATCCATTCACGAGGGGAAATAGGACTCTGGGTGTGACCGGGAGGTGTGCCAGGGTTAAAAGAGGACAATCAAGAGCCACGAGGGTTCATGGTGCCAACGGTGGTTTGTTGGGGTGTCTAACTGCTCCTCTCTGTGAGTGATCAAACATCCCTTGATACCCCTACAATCCCAAGTGTGTTTACCTTTGCTCACTCCATGGCGCTGCTTAGCATTGTTCTCTCGCTGACAACGGGCACATTCCTCCGTTTGCTCGTCACGCAAGGGGATCAACCTCCTGACTGACCGACATGGGCTGCGTTCACCAACCCATCAACACAACGATTTAGGCCCAGTCCATGGTTCTGGTTTGCTCGAGCTACTCCTCGGCTGCCTCTATGCATTCTGCCCCCTCGAAGCATTGCAGAGAATCCTCACCGTTCAAGAAACCCGCAGGATAAAACGACACGAAAGACTACCCAGCCCCTTGACCTGGCGGGATGGGAGCCAGACAGGGGAATCCCAAGCGGATCGAGAACTTTGCCCACGTCGTCAACGCCTTCACCTCCCACTACGGGAAGAATGATGACCAAACCACTGTGACCGAGGAACAGCGGAGGAAGAGACAAGACGCGGCGGCAGAGGTTGCTGATTCGTGAGTCCTATTGCGATTGTGTCTCTAGGCCACCACCGAACCATCCATTGCCCATGGCGAAGATCAAGGTGCCTGATACCGAGAGAGGGAGAGGAGCATCGGTTAACCATCAAACCCCGTCTTTCGCACAGATACTACAACTTCGCCTCCGCGGCGTATGAAAACGGCTGGTCCACCCACTTCCACTACACGCCCTTCCCGCCCGCGTTCCCGCCGTGCGACAGCACGATCGCCACGGCGATGGCCTTCTACGAGCACCGCCTCGCCTTCCTCATGAACCTGAAACCGCACATGAAGGTGCTCGACGTGGGCTGTGGGATCGGCGGCCCCGCGCGGGAGATTGCAAAGTTCGTGGGCTGCGAGGTCGTGGGCGTGAGCATCAACCAGGGCCAGATCGACCGCGCCATCTACTTGACCAGGCTGGAGGGCTTGCAGGACAGATGCACGTTCGTGAGAGGAGACTTCCTTGTGAGTTTGAGTTTTGTGACTTTTACCTCCCTACCATTCTTTTGGTCCGTTCTTCGAATCCAATATATCCCGCCGACATGGCAACCACCCTGCCCCCCCCCCCCCCCCCCCCCCAAACCGTGCTGCGGGAAAGATTCTACGGAGGCAAAAGGACGAAAAAGAGGCAGTTGTTGTCTGCGCGAAGCAGTGCTGAAAAAGGCGCAGGATCTCCCCTTCGCCCCCGCGTCCTTCGACGCCGCGTACTCCATCGAAGCCACGGTGCACTCGCCCTCCCTCTTGCAGGTGTACAGCGGTATCGCGCGCGTGCTCAAGCCCGGCGCCGTGTTCGGTCTGTCCGAATGGGTGCTGACGCCGAAATACAACCCTGACAACAAGAGGCATGTCGGCATCCGCAACCGGGTCGAGAGGGGCAACGGGCTGAGCAACCTGCACACGAGCGACCAGGCGAGGGAGGCGGTGACCGGGGCCGGGTTCGAGATTCTGCACGAAGAGGATTTCGCGGCGCATTTTAACTATGCGAAGAGACTTGTTGAAGATTCCGCCGCCGCCGCCGCCGCAGCAGGTAAGAGGACACCGAGAATGAAGAGGAGGAGTAGCGTGGAAGGACAAGAAACCGCCGCAAGACAAGATCCTCCAGCTCCTCCTTTTGGGCATCAAAGTCCCGTCCTCGTGCCCTTCGAGTCCTCCTCTCCATCTTCCTCCTCCGGTGACGAGCCGCCGCTGGTCTCACTCCGCCCGGCTCCTCCCTCGACGACGCCGCTCCCGCACCCTCTGCCCATCCCCCCTACTATCTACCGAGCATGGTACTGGCCGCTGTTGGGGGCCACACAACTGGCCACGACCTGGATGGACTACTGGACGGCGTGGAAGATGTCCAAGTGGCCGCGCCGGCTGGGCTACTGGATGGTCTGGGCCGGCGAGCGCGTGGGCCTGTGGGACCAGGGCGTCACCGACGCCATGACCACCTTGGCCTACTGCGTCGACAGCGCCGCCGAGGCGGGCCGGGAGGAAATCTTCAGCCCCTGCTGGTGGTTCATTGGGCGCAAGGTGGGGGTGAAGACGGCAGGAACACGGATCGAGATGGACGGGAGCGTTCCGATTTCGGGCCAGGTGAAAGTGGACAAACCAGGGAAGACTTGAGCGCCCTCATGTATTGACAAGATGCATTGGGCAAACTGGACGTGAGTTGTGTGGTACCAGTTACAAGATGCATTTGCAATGGCGGTCAGCTTCAAGGTCCTTGAAATAGGGAGCAAGTCATGTGCATGTTGCAGAAGCTGCGACTTGGTTGTCGAGCGTAGCATTCGCAGATAACAAATACATCAGCCATCATCTCTCCAGGCTCTGCCAATACCCCGAAATCTGGTCGATACAGAGGACAATGCAACTCTCCCTTGGGTATTCCGTGATAGTATCCTCGATTTCCAGCGAGAGTGATGTCGGAGCAATCCTAGACCCCCATAGCATACGCAGACAAATCCGTGACATTTGGTATCAATTTCCGTTGCACAACTCTTTTTCCGACCTTTTTGCCTTCATAAAGTCTCCACGCTATGAGCCCACAAAGATGCCGCCCTAAAAATTATTGACTTCATTTCCTTAGCTTGCCAGCAAGCTTTGGAAGTCGGCCTGGAAATCGAAGTCGACAAGCGTCAACTGCTGCCTCAAACCGAGCAGTAAAGCTCGACTTGGCACTGTTCTGAGCGAACCCGGCTTTGACGAACTTGGCCCATGTGTTGGTCAGGACCAACTCTTTGATGCTGAGCTCAGCCTTGTCGAAAACCGTCTCATCGAAAGCGTCGGGAATGCCGATATTAACGGGCAGTCTCTCGCCGAAATTGGTCATCTTCAACTGTTGCAGCTGCAGTGATTCACTGTTGTCGCGTTTCAAGTCGTCTCGGCCACCTTCTCCAATCACCGTCGACACGACGGATAGTTGGTCTTTTCCCATCTGGCTTTCCAGATCCTCGGATACTGTAGATGACCAATAGTTTTCAAACGGCGTGGCGGCATTGGACGTCGGTTCTGCGCAGACCAGGGCAGCATATTGCTCGAAGATAGCCTCGAGGTCTCTGAGATGAGCTGAAGAGATGTTTATCGGGAACTCGGAATATTTCAAGCTCACGAAGGAGGCATAAATTCCAACCGCTTGTTGAAACTGTCGTCGGACCAAGTCCTGCTCGTGTGTCTTGGTATGTCCTTGCTTGCGCAGTAACCCGGATTTGGGAGTCCCAGTAAGCCAGACAGTCTTCCAATCTCGGACGTGGATTAGAAAGCTAATGTTTTCTCCTGAGAAGTCCTTCAACGCCGAGAACATGAGAAGAGGAGTGGGATTCAGTTTCAGGGTTGTCTCGAGCGCGCTCATGGTGTACATCTCTCCTTGGCGAGCGCTTGTGGTGCTCTTGACAGACTGGCGCGTAGAATTCCGTGATCGAACTGCACCTTTCGTGGATCCTGCATTCAACGAACCGTTGAACTTCTGCTTTTCCTCCCACTCGGCGATGATCTCTCGTGTTTCAGTTTCAAGTTTTCTGTTCTTGAATATCTGAAAGAAAGGAACAAAGATGACTGACGCCTGCATGATGACGATCGAAGGAGAAAACCTGAATAGAATGAGTGACAATTCATCTCAATAGGACCATAGTAACGCCTCTCACCATAGAGGAGGGACAAAATACTTGTCCACAGTCGTTTGCAAGGGTTTAGCATACAATGCGACTAACCACATGGGTGAGGCAGGTAACCTGAAGTTGTCAGTGAGGGCATGTGGTGAACGGTTGTACGGCGACACTTACCCAGCAACAATGCAGGCGATGGTTTGCGCTCGCCATCCATGAACATCACGGATATTTCGAACCCTCCAGAGAAGTACGGGAGCATACATCCATGACCAGAAGATCTGCCACGCGATTGAGGGCCACCTGAGCAGTGTTAGTTTCCCAGCTGAGGTGTTTGACTATCACCCTTACCATTCCCATCCACGTCGGCAGAGTGATCTTGTGGTCACATCTCCTGTGACCCCGAACCCCGGGTGGAATTTTCGGGAAACAAGAAAGATTATGAGTGCGAAGACAACCTGAGGAGGTTAGTCACATCGTGCCTGCTCAAGTGACGATGACTTACCTGGGCGCTCATGCCGATGCCAATCCATGCCATGGTATTCTTTGTAGCGTTGTATGTCCTGAGTCTGTGCCACCACTTCCGCCATACTGGAGTCTTCAGGTCTGTGGGTGGCTTGGACTCGACCAAGAGATCTCCATGGGCATATCGCTTCTGTGCCGTTGCCACCGAGAGCAACTGGGAGTTTGTCGCTTGGAAGAGAGCAATGCCCAGTGGCAGGTAGATACTCATGATCCAATACTCGGTGGCACAGGGGAAATACCCGTTGAGGACATAGGCGATCATACACAGGACCCAGTAAACATGAAGAGTCGCAACGGCACTGACCGCGAGAGGGATGTTCCGGATACGTAGGTACGGCAGATGTCGGTTGCGAATGAGAAAAACAGCAGCAGGAAGCAAGAGGCAAGTCCACGCGATGACGAGACCGATGTACGTGATTCCGAGTCCGTCGGTGTTGAATCTCAGTGCCATGTCGTAGCCGTTTGCATAGGCATTCTGAACTTGAGTCGACATGGTAATGGTGCCTCGGTCGGGACTATTTACATTCCGTGGCATGGAGCCCGTGCATGGAGAAGTAGCTGAGGCCATCCGTACCAGCGGGTAGCGTGCTCGGGGAGGGTGGTTGGGAATAAGCCAATGCCTTGATGTCGATATGACGGTGAGGGATTGGAAGCAGAAGATGGAGATGCTGGACAGATGAGTGAAGTAAGACGAGCGCGTGTCGCCGCAGGTCGGCTGTATGCGTCGCTCAGATCTCAGAGCGCGCCCTCACTGCAGGAGGTGAATGATTGCAGTAGAAGTGATGTGGTGTCGCGGTGTGTGTGTGTGTGTGTGTGTGTGTGTGTGTGTGTGTGTGTGGCACAGGGCGACGGGAGAGGGAGGAAGAAGAGACACCAGCAGGAAGGCACAGGGGAAGGACAAGATGAACACAGTCAATCACAAAGTAAACACGGGAGTGAGTGAGGCTGAGATGAGAATGAAGGATAGGGGAGCTGGTTTTCTTCTCTTCTCTTCTTTTCTCCCCTCCCTTAGTTGACACTTGATCGTCACTTTCCGCTTACAAGGCTTCGTGTTCCTCTCGATTGCCAGCCATCGTTGCTTTGGGTGCGGCACGCGATGGGTTTTATGTACTGTTTCATGGGCAGTGCACTTGCCTTCAGACTTGTTGCCGCACCCCTCCCAGCAGATTGTTGGTCCCTACGGAGCACCCGAGCGCAGGTTCTCACATGGCAGAACACCAGTTCATCCTCACCCTCGTCCACGACCTGGCCCGAACAAAAACTGTCACGTTCTTGCGGAGCATGATGAAGAAGAAGAGGAGGAAGTCAAGTTACATTCCCGTGTGAGCCTTGCAGGGCGCGCGGCATCGCGCCATTGGATCGCCTAGGGGCCTGGCCGTTAGGAAACAAAGAAAAACGCTCTCATGTGGAGTCGAAGAACCCCAGTCAACTTCCAAACGTCCTTCCACGCCATTTCCCCTGTCAGCTCCTGTGTTCAACCTTGTACCAGATTGAGCGATCGAATGGTGTCGTGCGCCTCGTCTCTCCCCTGGCGGGTGAAGCCCGTCGAACGTCCCTTAATTCCTTCCCCAGCCAGCTACAAAACGCAGGACACAGCCCACCGGAGCGATACCTCCACACGACATCGAGCTGGTCACGGATAGTTGCCACTCCACTCCTCGATGCTCCCGAACCCGAGCCAGTCAATTTAAGCGACAAACATGAATCCCTGGTTGATGGGCTCTCCAGGGCAGGATGGGCTCTGGGCTAGAACCTCTTCAAGTGGGCATGGTTTTCCGAGCACTTGTGGCAGACATTGACAGAAGCACCGTGTATTTCTCGACCTAGCAAATCGTCTATCTGGAGCAGAGGGTCCGCTTTGCCATGGTTGCACGAAGGGGAAGTTTGCACCGGTTCTCGATGCCGCCGTGTCACTACGTTAATCCAGAACGCACTCTACTAGGGAACATATCATCCACAGTGGCAACGAGTCTTGAACACAAGAGTAATCTCAGTGACACTTGAGTTCGGCTCGAGCAACCAGGTAATTAGTGCCAGGCTACGTTGAGCATTTGCCATCAGGTCGTGTACAAGTCCTACTGAAATGTGGCGCATCCGTCGGAAAGACGAAGAGAAAGGACGGCAGCATCCAGCATAAGAGCCAAGCTAAGCGCGCAGGGAAGACGGTCCAGGTCCTTACCTGTAAGCGTCCAAGGTGGCATAGCGTGGAAAAGGTTGTCGGGCACACTGGCGCAATTGGATAGTAACGAGCAACAACAGTTGACTCGTCCCTGACAACAGGCCGTCTCAATCAGGCGATCGTAACCCATCCTGTCGGCAAGGTGCAGGATGTAACGGAAGTGTGCAGAAATGATGCAGGGCGGTGATAGCGAACACAGAGCACTTGTCGTCGGACAAAGCGAGCCGGTCAGGATCCAGGGGGCATACGCGGGATCAAGAAGGTTTATTGGGATGGCCGCCTGAGGAGGGGGTTGCGGTCAGAGTAAGTGAGATTCACCTTTGTCCCCTGATACATAGTCAGCAATGAACTTGTAGAGCTGGACTAAACATCAATGGCTGGCAAAATTTCCTCAGAGATCTTGGTGAAAGGGGTACGATCATGTCAATATTGATCATTTACTATCTAGTGCAAAGGGTATAATCATCGGAAGAAGTTCCACACAGGACAAAGGACGTACCTTGAATCGGAGGCTGTATGCCACAGCGAAGCCATCATCGACAGGGTTCCACAATCAAAGTCACGGATTACTGCTTGCTGAAGGATTTCGACTAGGCAATGGTGAGGAGTGGGGATGCAGCAAATCGAAAAACAACTGTTGGCATTGTCAGCTCATGATTCGAAAACCTCTTGATGCACAACGAAACCAGGTTGCAGGTTTTGGGCTCAGCATATGTAAGAAATGAATATCATCTCTTTGGCACTGTTAAGAGGCTCCGGCGAGAGTCTCCAGTGCCAAATTCAATCGCAAATTATAACATCATGAGAAAGCAGATCAAAAGGGGAGAGAGGAACTCACAAAGGTACCAAGCTGTGACATAAGTTTGCGGGGGACGCGTGGAAATGGACTTGAACATGAGCGTCAAGAGAGTATCAGATTAGAAGCTGATAGCCACCACACACGAAACCAGGACCCAAATAATGAAGGGGACACTCTCCGCAAGGTGTGAGAAAAGCGATGTCGAAAACAAAGAGAAAGACTGGCAGAAATTTCGAGGTGTCTTTCGCGTCGCGGAAACGAGGCCAAGAAGGTTTAGCGCCGACCTCGGCTCTTGGCGCAAAACGAGTCTTGGCGTGATCGCACTATCTCGAATTTCCCTTGCACATTGCGAAAGGTCTCCGAATTGACTGTCGAGGCGACAACATTATTCCCCTCATTACATTTTTCGTATGCCCGCCCAAAACATCTCCTGCTCCAAAACACACAAGGCTAATATCCTGCGCACAGTCCTCTACTTACCGGCAAGATGTCCGCCATCGATATCAAGCCAGCCGGGTGGAAGTTGGTCGAGGTCGGCCGAGTGGTCACCCTCCGCTCAGGGCCGTTCGAGGGCAAGCTGGCCACCGTGGTTGAGATAATAGATCCCGGCAGAGTACGTTCTCTGGCTCTCTTTTGTGAGGAGAATTTCACCTGCTCACGAGAATTTTCCCCAGATCTTGGTCGACGGCCCCTCGACGAAAGACGATGCGGTTGTCCCCCGACAGGCCATCGCCACCAGCACCGTCTCCCTCACACCCTGGGTCATCCCCGGTCTACCAAAAGCCGCCGGCACTGGTGCCGTGAAGAAGAAGTGGGAGAGCTACGAGGTCGACAAGAAGTGGGCCGAGTCGTCGTGGGCGAAGAAGAGGGAACAGCAGGACAGGAGGCGGAACCTGACCGACTTTGAGCGATTCAAGGTGATGAGGTTGAAGAAGCAGGTGAGCCACACTCCGGAAAAAGTTCTACACGCCCCTTACACAACTTTGGGTCTTTTGCTTCCACGATCCAAAGGGGGGGTGTTCTCGGCGGCAAAGCAGCGACTAATGGATAAGGATTTCTAGGCACGATTTGAGGTTCTGAAAGCACAGGCAAAGGTTCGGGCAGCGGCAAAGGCATAAATTCCGGCACGGATACGGCGTCACAATCCAAACTCACAAATTTCCCAAGATGAGCAGAGATATGCGCGCTTCAGCATGTCGAGGGTGGGCACCACTGTCGGTTCGATTGACGAAATGAAAAAAACAATTCCGCGGCTGTGGCTTTTTCTTTACTCTCCGCCCGCGTGGGAATTTCTGCAGAGCATGATTTTCAATCAATTCATGAAATGCGATCAACACATTCAGACCAAAAATCAATGTGGGATCTGCACCGAGTGAGGCGTTGTCCGGCCTTTCCACGATAGCGTCTTGCACCGATACCTGTCCGCTCCGTAACGAGCAGGATGTATCTGAGAATCTTAGACTGCGAGGCTCTGCATGTTCATCTGAAGCGCACTTTTCCAACGCGGACCGTGATTCTACTGCTTTGTCTCGGTCACCCGATGACACGGCGCACAACCTCTGCACAACATCCTCGACTATTAGCCTGGGTATCGTGTATCTCTTGACGCCATTGTTTTCTCAATGCTCAAGATCGATATACATCCCAGCAAGTTGTGCCGAACCTCCCCTGCAACCCAACACCTTCCGTCCCCTATCCCTTCTGTGACCTTTCGAGGTTTGGACGGACTGGTTCCGTCTTGCGCCAAACTCATAGGAAAACTGTCCCTACCAACTCCCGGAATTTGCACACGAGCTCTTCATCCCCGACGCCACGTGTTCCGCGCCAAAATAAAGGGGCAGGTTATAGCACAGGAGTATAATTTTTGACCGTCTCGTGTCTGCCCCAGAAAGTGATCGCGGACTTCTGACGTTTCCCTTAAGCGAGGCTGCAATCTCTGGGACTGAAGCTCGCAGGGCTTATGGCGTGATGATGCTTCGCCTGAGAAAAGTCCGAAAGAACTTGCTCGTCAACGCCATCTATCCCTCAGGCTCAATCACCCTTTCGAAGTTTAGTGGTTGAACTAATAAGTGCGAGAGCTATCGGTCACATGGCAGAGACTCACAATGCCAAGTCATGGCCAAACTGACCGGGATGAGGGTGATGCCGCCCTGTGCTCCAATCATACTGTGATGGAGTCTCTTTTAAAAGCGGCGTCGCTGATTTCCGCTTCGAAGTTGGTCTGGCGAGGCTGACTTTGACTCTCATTACTTAACTACTATCTTCATGCACTATGAAGCACAAGACGAAAGCCAAAGAGCTCGAATGGTGATTCTGGATCAGTTTCCACAACTTGTCCTGTCAGGGGTCGGTGCCAGCTCGGGAGAGCAGGCTCACATGCAAGACTGGGTGTCCACTCATTGTCTCGGGGAGGTTCAGTCTTGCGACAAGCCGATTCGACTTGTAGACTGTCTTGACTGGGTACATAGGTAGGGTCGGAGCGAGATATTGTCGAGTTTCGCTGTGGAGTGGTGTGTCCGAACAGTCTCTGCGTTGGGGTATACTTGGTCTCCGACTTGATGTCTTTCAGCTGGTCGCCGTTGCTGATTAGCTGCGTGGTCGTATATAGCTTGGGGGAGACTCCTTTTGTTGTGGATTCGTTGTTGTTGGCCGCAAATTTAGCTGCGGGCAGGTATTGTGCCCTGCACGACTCTGGTGCAGCTCGGTTTGCCTGGCCTGTTGTCTCGCAAGGAGCTTAGCTCTCGATGTTACTTACGGTAGCGGCAGCAGCAGTCGCGCCGGATGGTTCAGCACTGGAGCTCCTCGAATCCCTGGAGGCTATTCGGTCCTGCGCATCACCGGTGATGGCGGGTACAAAGATGTCGTCGTCGGTGATGAACACCTCATTAAGGTCGTCGATGTCTACTGAGTCCGGGTCTTCTATCCTATCATCGCCGGCCGCACCACCGACGTTTGCCGTTTCCTCTCTCTGAAGCACCGGACGCTGGGGACGATATTCGTCCATCGAATCCGAGTCTGACTCGGAGTCGTCGCGCTCATCCCCTTCATCGTTGAAGTCGTGACCGGGATGCAAGTCGTGGCTGGCTTGACTGCACTTGAAACAGAGGGTGAACTCGTCGCATGTGGTGCATTTGAAGAACAACCCATAGATTGCCTGCGCGGATCCCTGCGGTATTAGCAGATGATTCGACAATGCTCGGTATGAGCACAACGAAAACGTTCATTGACTCACCAGCAGGCAGAAATCGCAATAGACCCCCTGTTCCCGCTCGCCCTTCTTCGCTACCATGCGCCGTCTCCTCGGAGCCGTCAGTCTCTGTCCGAGCTTCTGGAGAAGCGCCGGCGAGCCCTGGTCATAGGTTGCAACCTCATAGGGTGTCCATGTCTTGTTCAAGGCTCGACCAGAGGCTTCGACATCGGCGCCTTTGTCGACAAGCCATGCGACCACCTGATCGTGGGTCTCCGATTTCCGTGAGAGACCCAAGATTCGGGCGGATCTCGCAGCCCACAAGAGAGGAGTCCAGTTGTCGTTGTCTCGCACATCGATCGGGATGCTAGCCGGTTGGGAACGAGCCCAGACAGTCTTGAGAAGTTCGAGCTGGCCACTTGCAGCCGCGTAGTGGAGGGCCACCCTCCCGGAGTAATCCTTCTCCCTGTAGGCAGCATCGACCGGAGCAAGCGCGTCGAGAGCCTCAACCGAGTTGTACGATGCGAAATGAACCGGCCGCCGGCCCATGGAATCCTGCACATCAGTTTCAGCTTCGTTGCGGAGAAGCAATTTGATGATACTGGGCGAAGTTCTGAGACAGGCTGTGTTGAGTGGATAGGCGAGCATGCCGCCGCGACTATTGGCCTTTGCGCCGTTATCCAGAAGATATTGGATCATCGCGTCTTTCACGTCGTCGTCATCACCACGTCTGAAGCATACCGACACCAGCGGTGTTCCTGAAAACCAATTGCCCGGGGAGTTGACATCAGAGCCGCGTTCCACCAGTGCCTTGACGTTGCCGAGGGTCCCTTCTCGACAGGCAATGTTCAATGGCGTCCCATGCACACCCACAATGTTTTTGGCTTCAGGGTACTTGGATTCAAGGTACTCGACAATATCTGGGGTCGAGTTACCAGCGGCTCGGGACAACGGCGTCTCCTGCTGGTTGTTCAGCAAGTCCAATCTGGCCCCGGCATTGACAAGCCGTTTGATTGATTCTTTGGGCGTGTCCTCCGTAATACCATGCAGCACACTTTCGCCCGGTGGGTTTTCGACTGTCAGATCTGGACGATATTGAAGGAGAACCTCCACCATCTCGGCATTGTCGCGCTCAAGGGCCGCCACAAGGATGGGATCGCCCTCAAGCATTTTGCAATTCACGTCCATACCGGCTTCGAGTAAAAGGTTGGCGACCTTGACATACCCCTTAATAATGGCAGTCCTGAATACCTTAGCCAACTTATCAGACTTGAAATCGGGTTTGGCCCTCTTGTCGGCTAGCATAAGTGCCAACGACTCTGCATGATTGTCCGTAGCAGCAAGCTCTATCGGCGTGCCAGAATCCGACTCTTGGTTGACATCGGCCCCGTATTCGAGCAAGACTCGCACGAGTTCAGGATTTTGCGCCCCGACGTGCAAGGGGGCATGATTTAGCTCTCCGCACACAGAGTCAAGGTTGGCTTTAGCCTGTGCAAGGTGTCTCGCGATCTCGACATCTCCATAGACTGCCGCCGCCCATATCGCAGTCCACCCATCGCCGTCCACAGCATTGGGATTGGCGCCACGGTCCAGCAACAATTTCACTGTCTTCATCAAGCCATAGTGCACTGCCAAGTGCAAGGCTGTGCGCTGGAAGCCAGAAGGAGCATCGGCCATTTCTCTTTTCTCAGGGTCGGCCCCATGCTTGAGAAGAAGTTCAATCATTTCGAGGTTTTCGCCAGCGGCTGCCTCGACGATGGCAGGAATAGTCTTCGGGCGAACCTTGTTCGCGTCTGCATTGCGCTCGAGCAGCAACCGAGCGATGTCAAGGCGTCCGAACTGGACGGACTGCAGCAGCGCCGTACCGTACTCATCCTCAGTATCTGGGTTGGATCCGTGGCGGAGAAGGATTTCCGCAATCTTCGGGTAACCTTTCTCTATGGCGATAATAATCGGAGGAACGTCGTGTTGGTCGGGAAGAGGATTGCAGTCTTCGAACATATGCCCTTCAGTCGACTTATGTGTTGCCAGGAGTTCGACCACTGCATGGTGACCTCTCATGCATGCCTCCTGCAGCGGTCTGAAGCCAATACTATTCTGTGCTTCAATGTCGGCCCCGGCCTTGAGGAGTAATTCTATTGTTTCGACGGATCCGTGAGCGGCGGCAGTATGTAACGGTGTCCTGCTGGTGAGACTGGTTACCGAAGATGTACTGGCACCCGCCTTCAAAAGTATTTTCACCGCTTCCATCTGTGCCATGCCGCCTGCAAGATGTAGAGCGGTCACCCCACGGGGTGTAGCTGCCGGGTTGACAGGCACGCCTATGCTGAGAAGAGCCTCCACAACGTCAGTCCAGCCCAAGTAAGAGGCCCGACAGAGCAACTCATTCAACCAAGGTTGACTAGTCTCGATCTTCTTCGGCAGAAGCGGAATGATCTCTTGGAGGACACCGCGGTGAGCGAAATAAGCCGCAGCTCTCGTGGCTTGTTGCAGAAAAGGATCATCAATACTAGGCGTGTATTCTGATTCCTTCAACAATCTCCGAACAAAAGTCTCATGCCCACGCTTTGAAGCTTGCACAAAGGCTAAACCAATTTCCTCCGAGTCGCCTTCAAAGTTTTCTATCCATGTGCTCATCCCGAAGTATGCTGCGACTGGCAACATCGACTTGAAGGTTTCGTCAATTGGAGCGAATGGATGCACCAACTCATTGTAAGCCGCCACCCAACGGTGCAGGGCAGGTTGTTGACTTAGAATCGAGGGAATCGAGCTTCCAAGGGGACTGGCTTCGTCCTGCCCCTCAACCATGACTTTTTGATAATGATGTGTCCATTGTTGAATTGCGTATGGTAGCTGGTATGACTGAGCCCCTTCTGAGGGGTGTTCGATCTCAAAGATTCGAAGGTAGTCGAGGCAGCTCTCCAGAATAACTTGGTGTCGCTGTCGTTTCGACACTCCAGCTGCTGACTCAAGCCAACCCTGAAGAGACGGATGACCAAAGTGTACATCTTCCCCATGTACAGTGAGGAGGCCTCCTAAGTAAGCCTCGATCTCGGCTAGATGCTTTCTTGCGACTACATCTGTCAGAATGCCTCCTTGCTGAATGTCATTCCCAGAAGCCATGTGTGACACGACGCATAATTCGTGGACCCGGAGCGGCCGCAGAGCGAATGTGGCCCAAGATATTAGAACACTGACCCATTTTTGTTGCTCATCCGGAACTGACTGTAAGATAGCCTCAAAGATTATCTCCGGAGTGATCTGTGTAGTCTTTGTTAGTTCTTCTAACTTGTTACTAACCATGGTCTTAGTAGACCTCAGCCATTTTGCCACCATCTTCCAGAGACAGAGATCCTCCGAGCACCTGCACAACAAGTCTTTGATCTGGGCTTCGTAAGGTGCATGACTCGGCGCCTCATGAAGGATCATGGCAACCTCCAACAATGTCGCCAGGGGAGCAACAGGTTCCGTCGATAAGTCGTTGTCGTCCGAAATCACCTCGTGAATATTGGCAGGGACACTTGAGAGCCGGGAGACAATGTGATCATCCCTCCCTTTTGTGGTGGTAATGATGAGTTTCAGAAAGTTCTCGGTGTATTCGAGGCTGCGCACGATGTTTGCGAGGAACCATTGAACCGAATCATCACACTGGTCGAGACCCCCGAGCACAAGTGCGACGTCCTGTTCGCCGTAGTCAAGGACGTAAGAACACCAAAGGCTATAAAGATCAATATCAGAGCCTCGCTCACTGAGTGCCGAGTCCAGAGAACTATCAATCGTCGCCTTCTCGGAGCAGATATCGTGATGATAGAACAAGGCGAGGGTGGTGGTTAGCATTGCTGCGATGTTATTGAATCGATGGTCATAATGATTGAATTGAAAATACATCACCACCTGCTTAGAGGTCTTCGAAGAGTTGAGGAAGCTGTAGATGACCTGTGATGGGGCCAAAGTCTCGGACCTGCATCTGACGTGAAGGAGGTGGTTGCCCAAGGTGGACGAAATATGATTAAGATCGAGGCCCCGAGGCAGCCTTTCAGGTTCCGACAAGGGATGTACAGGCGATGCTTGCTGCAATACTTTCCTCACTGTCACTGACGCAGGAGTCTTGAAATCAGCGGCTGCGGATTTTGTCAGCGTGGGCAGTAATCTCTTGTCCGAGTCTCGCTCACTCTTCCAGTCTCCGTTCCACTTGTCTTTCACAGCCCATTGGCCCGTCGATCCATATTTTGGGAGATCCAGATGTGGCTCGTCAGATTCGATGCGTATTTCAAACGCAGTGTCGAGCACCGCCGTGAACTTATCAAACACCTGCCACCAAATTGAAATTGTGTGTCAGATTAATGCGAGCTCTCTGCACAAGTTACGGACCTGGGATTGCAGAGTGGCCCAACTCACTTGTTTTGAGGGATCGGCCTCCACGGAGACGATATTGAGAATGTGCGCTTGGATGAGCATCTTCGTTGAAATGAATTCAGCATTGACTCGTTCAACTGCTTCGGCAAGGCTCTCGGCGAGCATGGGAATTTGACCAGGTCCGTATGGCTTCGGAGAAGCACCAAGCAGCCGAGCAAGCTGCTCCTGGAGGCTGTAGCGGCTCCGTACTCTGTGTGGACAGCCAAAGAATATCTAGGCCTCAGCGGTTAGATGGCGAGGTATTGCAGATGCAGGGACTGCCCTGTCGCCGCAGGAGCCATACCAGGACCCGAATCGTAGGTAGAATATTGGCGAACTTGGCTGGAGAGCGCGAGGTCAGCACTATCGCCTGTTGGATTGATTAGCTAGAGTCGCAGAATGAGGTTGGATATCTCGCACAGCTTTCACAATCAGACCGCCAACATCATGAGCCACAAACACTATTGGTCGGGTGTCAGCCTGCCCATCTTGTGAGCTGCGGTCGCAGAGTCGCCATATCTGATTTACTTACTGTGGCGCTGTCGGCACGTCGTTCTAAAAGCCCATTCAACAGAGCGTCCGCGTGCTGGTAGATGCCATGGTGGGTGTAGCTCTTTGCCATAGCTTCCTCCGTGTCATAGCTGTATGATAAAAGTCGAATGTGATGATCATCCCTGAATGCATTTTCAAGCCAGGTTGGGCCATCGGGCTCTTCGCCTTCCCATGTTTGGCGAAATCCTTTAAGAATGCCATGGACCGCGACAACACTTTACATCGAGTGTGAGCTCCATGAAACAATGGTCTCTGGGAAGGCGGGAAACTCACTCGAACTCGTCATCATCGAATGAGGATTCAATGTTCAGGCCTGCCATCCTAGACTCATCCTCGGCCTTTGGTTTAACATGCGTTTCGCCCTGATCAACAGCCTGGCTGGTGCGATCCATTCTTTCACCATTCTGTGTGTCGAAGCTGCCGAAAGAATGGATCACACAGAGAGTACAACCACGTCGCGGACTCCCTGTGGCCGAGTTATGCCATGTACGAAGAGGCTGGGACGCAGCTGGCAGTTATCAGGTTTGGTAGTGACCTCGTTCCTCCCCGAAACGAGCTGTGGGGGAGCATGCATTGGGAGAAGACAAGGATGGCGGTGACTAGCCACGTCACTTTCCTTGGTCCGCCAACCTAGCATTGGGGCCAGGAAGAAGAACCAATTGAAGGATAGAGAGGCACAACGCCTGAAAGGGGGTTGCAGGGGGCCATGAGATGATTGCTCTGAGAACTAGGACATTAATGGACGAGATTGGCGCCCAAAGGAAGATGCTCCGGGGCCTAGTCGAAGCTCCTGCTGCCCTCATCGAGGTCTGCTCGCCACCTTTAAGGCAAACCATTCACTGCTTCCCTGTTATCGCAAAAGAGGCTTCAACTGCCATCCGGACTGTGCAGAGCGAATAGAGAGGAATGGCGCCTAGAGCCCCTGTCCCGTACTTGCGAGCCTTTTCGTACACCCTCATCTTCGTGTCTGGATCCAGTGAAGGGTTGAACAGTACCGGATCATCCAGTGAAATCTTTCGATTGCTCAGCTTCTCACTTGTGCGTGTCTTGAAGTCTGCCTCTACCTCCAAAGTGACTCTACCATCGAAGCGTTCATCGCCTTTTCTGCTCAGCAGCACCACAACTTGCACCGAATCCGGCACGCCAGTCTTTCTTCTGGTGTTCTCAAGGATGTTCCAGGCTGCGCAGTTGGAGGTACCAGAGTTCACTCCTTCGCCCAGATCAATGGAACCCGTGATGGTCGTCGCATCGCTGATGTCTCTGGCAACGGTCTTTTTGAGACCTGCTGTGGCTGAGGCATTCACTGGGATTGTTGGCGGAGAACCTATTGTCACGGTGGCACTCCTCTCAACGTCCTCGTGATCCACGGTTGGCATAATTGTCCAACGCTCTTCGGGAGCAATGGCGTAGACAACGGGCGTAGCTCCTGTTGCAGTTGCCGCGTAGAACTCCATCCCAATCCGTACCCGCTTGACTCGCCGCGCCTGTTTCTGAGGGTCGAAGCGGAATTTGAATATCATCAGCGTGGCCGGAGTCTTTTTGACCTCGTCCAGGGTTCCGTGGATAACGTCAAGAAGCTCGCACCGAGTGTGAATATCGCCTTGGGTGCGTTCAATCACGTTGGCGCGCTCATAGTCGCTCATGGAAGAATTCTGCGTGTGAAAAGCATTCTCGTCGTCACCCTCAATGAACAGAGGGACGTCGAAGGATCGGAGGGCTTCTTCCCCGTCATGGGCAGACATGGCGAATGCTGGTATGTGTGTTTATGGATGTTCAGTGACTGCGGCAAACTGTGCTGCTGATGGAGGGCTCCAGCCTTGCTGATATCGACTCCTCGTAGCTCGCTCTTCATGGACTTCCAACACAACCCTCAACCGCATGCATGCAGGCCTGGGGGCGCCACAGCGCTTGTTGCTTACCAATGTTGTCCCTTGGGGCCCCCGACCCTGTTGAGTTTTGGTGCCGATGATCCCTTGTCTAGCCTGCCATCCACCCCGTAGTCTCGACGATGAAAAGTGCGAGGCATCTTGTTATTGGCAAGCAGACTCGTTGCCACTCACCCGGTCTGAGGCCTCTGGCGCTCGTGTTGGCGCTGCATCTGTCCCAGCCTCAACCCAGCCTGTTCGCTGCTCTTCAGGCGAAAGCACGCCAGACCATCCATCCTGATGTTGCCAAGTTTCACACTCTTTGAAGTCCGCTCATACAATTGATATGACGGCTCACAGCTTCCACGGTGCAGAAAAGCGAGAACACAGCCAGGCTGCTAGGCCACGGGGACCTCAAGGAGAGGACGACGAAGGACTGGAACTTGATGACGATGACATTCGTAAAGACATCACAGAGCCAGAAAGGGCCGGCGATGTGGTTAAGGATGAGTTCGAGCGAGATATTGGCGACGCTCGAAACTTGACGAAACAGCTTCGTGCCATGTCTCACGAGAAGAGCACCCAGGCACAAATACGATTTGTGGACGCACACCGCGATAGATGGAAACGTACGACCAAAGACGACAAGACCTTCCTGCACATGTTAATCCACTCTGACTCCGGCCGGCAAAGTATGCCAGGGGAAGTGTCTCTACTGTGGCTTATGGCACGGGCCATGTCGCGGTTCAACGACCAGATGGGAAAGCTGGACAGCACGAAACAAACACCTCTCACGGCTGCCATCACGTTGAGAAGCCACACGTTTGTGCGCACCTACGTCAATAAAATCAAGCCTCCTTTATCCACCAAGATCCAGGAGCATCTCAAGACTGCCGAATGCAGCCATGACTATGATCGGGACATAACGTGCCTCCATGCTGCCATAACGAACGCACTTCCCCTCGAGCTTACAAAACCCCTTATTGGACTTGTTCCAAAGGAGATGTTTTGTGTCCAAGACGCCAAGGGACGTACACCTCTTCACCTGGCTGTAGAATACGAGCGATGCAACTCTGAGCAGGTCGAGATCGTCTCCGAGCTTCTCGCATTGGGTTCAAATGCACTGGAGATCAGGATGGAGCACCGCAATCTTGGGCGACTGTTCTCAGCGTATCAGTACCATGAGTTCACTCGGAAGAAATACTACAAAAGCAGGAGTGCCCAACGGACGCAATCTCCAGAGAGACCATCTGAACCTGCCGAGAGTTCGGAGTCTGTTGAAAAGGAAAAGAATAAATCCACCATCGAAATCGACGAAAATGAGAGGGCCAAACTGCTGGAGGCCAAATTAATTAGAGAAAAGCTTGCAGACGCGAGACAGTTGCGGGAGCCTAGGCGAGGAGTGCAGAGGAGCCGAACGCAACCTGGGCCAAGGGACGATTTTCTGGGGAATCCGGTCCCTGGCGACGCCGAGCGCTTCAGAAGAGGCTCAGTATTGCCTCAGATACGCGTTCAGATGGCGGACGGGGCAACATCGCCAGAACCATCAGCTGCAGAGACGGAGCTCCAAAGCCAAACTAATAAGGGAGTGAGCATACCCAAGACCGTCCAGCGTCGATCCACCATGGAGCACCAGAAGCTACAAGCAGACGAGCTGGAGGTGAATGCAAAGAAAATTAAAGAGATGCTCAAGTCTGCATATTTGAGAAACACGCCACCCAAGGTTGCCTTTCAATGCCTGCACATGCAGGACTCGGATCGGAGAGGTACAGTGTCTTTATGCATGACATGTCTCCTGGATACTTTCTAACCTGGCACTACTACAGATAAAGAATTGTGGTTCACTTTTGGCCTCAAACCAAAGACCAAAATCACTCCTGCCGAGTTCAGGAAAGACTTTGAGCACCTGGAATTTGAGGAAATGCTGCAATACGTGGCCGTTCCCCAGGTTGAATTCAGCCAGGAGAACGACAGCCCCGGCAGCCAGTACCCAGGCCGAACCGACATGATCTTCCTCTTCCACTGGCTAAGGGAGAAAGGCGTGAAACGAATCGTTAGAGTGATCGTGGATGATCTGGGCGAGCCATCCCATAGTGATGAGGCCATCGAAGAAGCACTGAAGGACTTGGAGGTGGAAGTTTTGGACTGGCGCAGGCTCGACATGTGCCCTGTGGCCATCTCGAAGCTGAGTCCGAAATTACGCGAAGTCACACTCCAGTGGAGTGGGAAGAACGCGACTCTGAGGGCCTGGAGTGCAGTAGATGGCCTTGCCCTGACTCCGTCTCTCGAGAAGATTCAGTTGATACTAGTAAAGGTGAGAGAAAAAGTTGATCGGCTATTCAATGAGTTTCAATCTCCAACTGTTCCCTGTTGCAGGCACTTGATTCCAAAGACCGCCTCCAACACAACCTAACCGAGTTCGAGAACAGACTCAAGCTATCCTGGCCTGAAGGAAAGAACCCACCATTTATCGAGCCGAGAAAGTCCAGCGGTGGTGTTCTTCGACGCAAAGACACGTCTGTGCCTGGCGCCGGAGGACTGAACCCGCCCAAGAGCAATGCTGATCCCCACAAATGGATGCAATGCATGGACGAATTCGCCAAATGGCTGAAGAAAATCAAAGTGCTCAACCTCAAGCAAGACGATCCGCTGCTTAACCCGGTCACCGTGGCGCTCATTGATGACGGTGTCGAGATGAGGCACGAGGAACTGCGAAGCCACAAACTTCTAGGAAAGAGCTTTGACTATTCTCAGGACGAGTGGATGGTGCCTCCCTACTGGAATTCAGCCAGCGGCCATGGGACCCTGATGGCGAGACTCATTAAAAGAGTCTGCCCGAGCGCAGAAGTCTATGTCATCAAATTGAAGACATTCAGCCCTGACACTTATTCCAAGGTGCGGATCGACACTTCCAGCGCCATACAGGTATTGTCTCTGACTCTCCGGTCCTTTCCCAAGTTCCAGGCTTTGTCCTCTAACCATTACCCTTATGTCTAGGCTATCGAGCACGCTACAGAACTGGGTGCCGAGGTCATCTCCATGTCCTGGACAGTCAAGGAGCCAGAGAAGACGGACACGAGTGATGAGAAGGGCGACTTCGACCGCGCCATCCAAGCCGCCGCTCGAAAGGACACGCTCATGTTTTGTTCGGCCAAGGACGAAGGCCATTCCCAACCAGGCTTTTCCTACCCTCACAATTCGAACCCCAAGCTCACATTCAGCGTCGGCGCGGCCAACGACAGCGCCGAAATCGCCTCCTTCGTGGGCGACAAACATAAGATCGACTTTGCGTTTCCGGGCCAAGATATTACTATGAGCAGCAACGATCCAGCAGGCGAAGCATTCCGCGACTTCGAATCACATACGGGATCGTCTGTGGCCACAGCTCTGGCCGCGGGACTGGCAGCGCTTGTCTTGGAATGTGTGCGGTTGGGGGTTTTGTACACGAACCGTGCACAGCCGGATCCCAAATACACCATCACCAGGGACGATATCAGGAAGATCAGGAAGCGGGAGCACATGTTCAATGCTCTCCGATCTATTTCGCCTCCGGAGCAAACGAACCGGGAGTACGTCGAAGTGCGCCACACCTTCAAGGGTGTGGCCGAGCTACTGAAAAATGAACAGGGCAATCTGCTTACACAGCTGGAGGTCATCGCGGGCCTCGCACACCATCTCCTGCGGAAAGGCGTAGTATAAACCCGAGGGAAGCTCACTAGCTGGTGGACTCGCCCCCGGGGTATTGTGAAGGGAAGTGCATCAGAGAACCCAAAAACGATATAAAACTGTCGCAGCACTCTGTGGCTTTAATGACGATTCTAAGTCAGCTATTTTTATAGATTCAAGTATAGAGGTGTAGCTGTCCACTATCACATTAATAGCTTAAAGTGGGCTAGTAGTTAGCCTCTCGTATACTCCGTATATACTAAGCTATACTCCGTACTTGAGGTGGGAGGGTGAGACGTGAGGTGATGGATTTTAAAAGCGGCACGATCGGGGGTTGAGCCCCAAGTGACCGCCGAGCAGATTTTAGTCTGCTTGAGTCGCCAAGCCGCATTCAGGACGAGATGGGCAATTTACCCGAGGCTCGTCCATTCCACAATTCAATGAACAGTCGAACGTCCACATTACAAAATCCCGTTGCTCATCAACCGCTTAGAGAGACTTGATTGTAAGGTCCCCCAGCTCTCATTCCTCGTCGGCCGAATGTATTGGTGCCCAGAGATATCGAAATCCATGTCTCAGAGAGCACCTATCCTGCCCCACAAAATTGAAGCGAAGCCCAGCTAACGTTTGCAACTGCGCAGCACATTTCACCCAGTCCTCTCTGCACCAGCCAATCACCATGTCGAACCCGAGAATAGAAGAGCTCCCTGATGATGAGCCTGACAAGAAGGCGGCAGCAGAAGATGCCTCCAGCTCGTCTGACTCCGAACCTGAAGCCGCTGGTGAGGGAGAAGCCAATATTCCCGCCGGTTCTGCAGTCGCAGTCCACAGCCGAAACGAGAAGAAGGCGAGGAAGGCCATTGGCAAGCTGGGCTTGAAGCATGTTCCGGGAATCACACGAGTTACGCTGAGGAGACCAAAAGGAGTAAGTGGTCCTCCTGGCGATCGCAGAATAAGATCTTGGAATATCTGTTGTGGTCGCGTGGACACTGGTGCTGCAGCTGCAGATGGCTGATTTTCACCCTACAGATCCTCTTCGTCATCTCCAACCCTGATGTCTACCGATCGCCAACCAGCAATACCTGGATGTAAGTTGAATTTGTCTTCGCGTTGATATGCCCGTTAACGAAACTGCTAGCATCTTCGGAGAGGCCAAGATCGAAGACCTCAACTCGCAATCCCAGGCCGCTGCTGCTCAACAGCTCGCAGCTGCTGAAGCAGCCAACGCAGATCACTCTGGCCACGACCACGCAGCTGAGAATGGGAAGGGCAAGGCCGTTGAGGACAAGAAGGCGGAAGATGAAGAAGATGATGACGAGGAAGTAGATGACAGTGGTCTCGAAGCTAAGGACATCGAACTGGTCATGACCCAGGCATCTGTGTCGAGGAAGAAAGCTGTTAAGGCTCTGAAGGAGAACGGCAACGACATAGTCAACTCCATCATGGCGCTGAGTGTATGATCAGGAAAAGGCAAACCAAAAGTTTCTGGATCTGCATCGCTTCTACAGGGGTAGTCGGTCTTCCATGGAATTGGTTCAATGGTCCTCGGCAATCTAAGCTGCTATGGCTATGCATGCAGACTTGAACAGCGAGCTATCTGTCCAAATTGCTCATACGCATCTGAACGAATAGAACCGTCAGCGATCATTGCTTCTTTGTCCATGCCCATGTGTATTTGATTTGACTAGAAGGGAATTTGTTCTTAGATGTCAAGTGTAGACACTCGGAGCGACGTCAGACGAAGGAACGGAGAAATGTGCTGATCACGTGACAAGGTTTGGCATTGAGTTTCGTCGAAGCTCAGGGACCTTCAACTTTGGACCTTTCTCAAAATCAAGCTCGACAACTCGCTCTCTTCCCCCAGCATCTTCACCCTCACAGTCCCCAAAATGGCTGCTCAAGTACGTCAATCATTCTTGATCCCTCTCCAGTTTTCCCCTGAGAAGCAGGCCGCCCGAAAGCCGTTTGACTAACAGTGCAACCTCTCTTCTCACCACACAGTCCCGCGCAGCAATGAAGCTCGACTGGAGCAAAGTCGGCAGCCAACTCGGCCTTCGCGGCAGCACGGCCACAGCTCTCGCGAACTTCAAGAAGCGAAACGACGACGCCCGCCGCCGCGTGCAAGTGCTCCAAGACCAGCCCTCCACCGTCGACTTCGGACACTACCGCTCCGTCCTGAAAAACACGGCCGTGATCGATGAGATCGAGCAGTACTTCAAGACCTTCCAGCCGAAAACCTACGACGTGAGCAAGCAGATCAAGGCCATCGAGAGCTTCGAACAGGTCGCGATCAAGAATGCGGAGGAGACCAAGGGTAAAGTCGAGGTCGAGCTGAGGAGCTTGGAGAAGGCGTTGAACGATATTGAGGGCGCAAGGCCGTGGGATGAGACTACCGTCGACGATGTTGCTGCCGCGGCGCCCGAGATTGATGAGTACACGGCCAGATTGGTTAAGAAGGGACGATGGATGCCTCCGGGATACCAGGTACGAATCTCTCCGAACCCCTTGTCTCCATTCCACAGGATGGTATGATTGTGCCTGGAGATCAGACTGCTAACTTTACGGCTCTACAGGAGAGGTTCCCCAATTTGTCGGTGCTGTAGACGATACGCTGCAAGGAGAGAAGGAGAGAAGAGAGAGGAGCAAATGGTTGGGAGCGGCACAGTTTTTCTCAGACTCGATGCTTTTGTTTCCCCAACCGAGAATTTATGTATAGTGGCTTAGATCAAAACATGAGCACTTGTTCAACACCTCGATGCTATCAGAGCAACTGTTCTCTCACCCAGGTGTCGTCCACAAGGAGCAAACTAATCGGTTGACTGTTAGGATGCGAGGAGCTGATCTGAGCCAACGCACTACTTCGTTTTCACTGACGAGCAAAATTAGGAGCGAGAATCCCAGAGCTCGAGAACGCATTCAGCGTCGGATCAGTTCTATGCTCCATCGATCTATTCTGACACAAATCAGTCCCCTTGCTACGAAGAGATACGGCCAAGTCCACCACAAATGCTCCAAGTCATGTGTTGCCAGCTGATCGTAAAACCACACTTTTCTCCACCCTACTTTGTCGCCGGGCTTCCCTACAACCCTGAATCCTCCTGCTGGAACACGGCGGTCTGGCTGTATGTGTTCCAGTCGCTGCACTGCTTGTACCAGTCCTGGCCGATGCCCAGCTGCTTGATCTGGTCGGGTTCCTCCAAGAACTGGGCGCCCAGGCCCAGGCCGACGTGCCAGGCAATGTGGCAGTGCATCAGCCAGGCGCCGGGGTTGTCGGTGATGAAGGCGATGACCAGGTAGCCCGAGGCCGGGAGCATGGCGACGTCGCGGCGGGGCGGGTTCCGGTAGTTGAGGGTCTGCGAGTTGTTGAAGATGCCCTGTCCGGCGCCCAGGACGTAGAAGTCGTGGCCGTGCAGGTGGATCGGGTGCGGGATGGGCGGCGCGATGGTCGGCACCGCCTGGATCACCCAGTACGACCAGGCGTTGGCGTCCGGCAGCGGGATCAGGTTCATGCTCGCCGGGTAGCTGGTGTTGTCCGCGAGCACGTACTGCAGCGTCGGGTCGTCCCAGGGCACCTGGATGGCCGTGAAGTTCAGGTTCCACTGCACCAGGGTCTGCTGCGCCTGGTTCAGCACGATCGCGAAGCCCACGTCCAGCCGCGACGACTGCGGGATCGTGTAGTTGCTGGGCACGTCGAGCTTGACGTACGGGACCAGCTGGCCGTTGGGGTCGTTGCAGTCCGCCGGCCCGGGGGGAGCGTTGGCGCGCGTCGCGTTCGAGGGCAGCGCCGACGAGTTGGCCCCGACGTACGAGAAGATCGCCAGCGCATTGGTGTTGAGGTTGCTGCTGCACCCGGCCTGCGGCACGACGTGGAACCAGTAGTTGCCGATCGGCTGGTTGGCTTCGATGACGACGTCGTACCGCTCGCCGATGCCCATGAACAGCCACTGCGTCGTGAACGGCTTGATGGGGACAAAGTCGGCCGTGATGACGGTGAAGTTGTGCCCGTCCAGCCCGACCTTGAAGTTGTCGTTGGTCGACGTGTTGATCAGCCGCAGCCGGTACTTCTTGCCCTTGGTCACCGTCGTCCGGCTGTACTGGCCGGCCGTGCCGTTGACGTTCACGTTGGTGCCGTTGATGAGGATGTTGTTGCCCGGCGGTGGCCCGCGTGGGAACCCGCCGTTCTGGATCAGTGGCCCCAGCTCGAAGGCGCTGCGGTAGTACCAATCGGTGATCGGGTAGGCCCCCAGATCGAGATCGTAGTTGGCCGTGGCGGGCCCGTTGATGACCATGGTGCCCACGACGCCGTCCGTGTATTGGTCCGAGAAGTGGCTGTGGTACCACGTCGTACCAAACTGCGTGCACAGGAAGGTGTACGTGCGCGACTGGCCGGGGGCAAGTGGGCATTCTGTCACACCGTTGGTGCCGTCCATGTGGTTCGTCTTCCACTGCCGCAGGCCGTGCCAGTGCATGCTCGTCCCGTTGGTGGTAAGGCTGTTCTTCACCGTGATCTTGAGCGTGTCGCCCCAGTTGGCCACGATCGTGGGTCCCGGGAAACGGCCGTTGATGGCGTACACGGGCCTGGAGAACCCGTCCGGCGCCATGGTGGTGTTTTGCACCTCGAGATAGTACTCGACCACCTTGCCGGTGTTGGGCCAGGTGCTGTCGTAGTTGGTGGCGATGCTGAAGCCGTTGCCCCAGCATTGGCGCGTAAATGGCCCATTGGTGCACTGGGAATCGGGCGTTAGGCTCGTGGTTGACGGACTGCCAGAAGTCGATGATGCTTGCCTCGGCAGAAGGCCATTGTCGATCTGAATCAGTTCAGCAGTGGGTATATAGGCGGCAGATGCCCCGTGGAAAAGAAGAGAAATGAAGGACAAGAAAAGCAACATAGCGAGCGACTAAGGGTCGGGGGTACAGACAAGCAGTTGACGGGGGCAGAACGCAGAAAAGAGAAATCAGATGGCGCCCGGCAGCCATCAATATAAAGGGAGCCGAGAGATGCTCATATGCCATTGAAGACTCCTCTCCCTTGTTGTGGCAAGATGCTCATCTTGGGACGGCCATCACATGGTACACGCGAGATTTCGACCGGGTGTCTTGGACCCCTCGCAGCGTTCTGGGGCTTGATGTCGCACAATAAAAAGGATTTGACAATTTTGCTCAGCCATTGAAATCATGTCTGCATCGAGTCTCGTCCAGCAGAGCCCGATGCGGACAGACACAGGTCGTCGATGGCAAGAATAGAACCGAGACAGTTCTTGGGATCTAATCTCCGCGGTATACGAGCTGCGGCCATTGTTTTCAATCTGCCCATGAGGAATTTCTTGAGTGAATTACGCCAGCAGTGTAACAGGCCGCATTGAAATGCTGAAGATGGCAAAGACGGTAAACAAAAGCTGATGGTTGGAGGCCTGGAAGCAGCCGAAGTTGGAGCATAGTTGTTCCTCTTTCCGGAAGCGGACTAGCTCACCTCGTGGACCAATCACGCGTTTCCCCCCTTTTCAGCGACAATGTCTATTGTCGTGTTTCCCCCTCGCTTCATCTGGTCCCCTTTGATATTGAACCGCAATTACAATTGTCTGATGCTCCTTGCATCGCCGTAATTGAATCTATCCAACATCCGTCTCGGTCCCGATTGAGGCCCGCCCAGACATTGCGTGGATCTCTCTTAGCGAGAGCAATGCACAATTCTTTTATTGGAAGCCTTGTTGGTGCCTTGGGTTACACGAAGCGGTTTGGCGAAGCATAGCAGAACCAGAGGTCCGTATGCCTTCCACTGCCTCAAAAATGGCAGCCAGGACGCTGTCCGTGTTGTCCGGCGACCTCAGCACCGCCAAACCCCGAGACAGTCTCATGATGAACGAAGCCGAGCTTCCTGAAATAAGAGCGTTCAGCGATCCATTCCATCCCTTTCTGGCTTCGAGCCCTAATCCTCGTCTTTGATGTGGCTGGTTGTCGATGTCTCAGCCTGATTCTCGCCAAAGCCTGATTCTCGCCAATGCCAGATTTCAAGGATACAGGGTTCCCCAGGTTTACATTTCCAAGGGAGCGGAAGACATTGTGTCTCAGTCCCCAATGTTCATCTGCAAAGGGGTCTGATCCTTGATCTCCACCACCAGAAATGAGCCCGAGATAGCTGCTCCATGTGCTCATATAGGCCTGGTACTGTTCCTTCACAGGAATACTGTCATTCTTTGTGTCTGTGTTTTCTGTCGTCAATATGCACTTCGCATCGTGCCTCGTCTCCGTCTTTTTGGCTTTGGCAGGTAAATCTGCTGCTGACTGCCTGTCATATGGGTATGATTTTGTCAACCTTGGAGGACCTTACTGCATCAACACGACTTCTACCGCCTATTTCTCGTTCGGAACGGAATTCTTTGGTGAGAAGAGGACATACCGTTAAAGAGACAGCTATGATTCTGACAAATGACAAGGCTGCCAGCCAAGCGACGTTCAAGATGCTGTCACGCCAATTCTGGTGGACCCGAACAGCGATGAGTATTTTTGCTCCGACATTGCCGTTCAGCCAGATGGCGAAGATATGGTGTCCACATGGTAGTTGATCGTCTCCACGAACGAGTCTGGTCGCTGACAGTACCAAGCAACGTCACCGGTAACGAAGTGACGAAGAACAACATGTTCTCTGGAGACTGGACAATCGTCATCGAAGGACTGACATTCGCGTGGATGAGATCGTTTTCCATCATTGCGGCACCACCGGTGGTCGTGACCTCTACTCCAACTGCCACATTCACCGTCACATCTACCCCCTCCACCACTATCACAACAACGATAACTAATGTCTTTTCGACTACTGCATCCCCATCCACCGTTACAGTACCTACCACGACCATAACGAGAACTATAACCACCACTCCTGCCCAAGTAACGGTATATTCCACGTCGACCATAACCAGGACACGCACCAGCAGGGTGTTTTCCAAGACAGTCTCCACAACGACTGTCACCACGTCGTGCAGAACACAGCCGCCGGCGAAGGATCCCACATGTACCATTCGGCCCACAAAAGCTACACTTGCTGCCGCCAACGAATCGATCACCATTCTTCCACGAATGCGTCAGTTTGGGAGACACAGCAGGGACGGGCATAAACGAGCCATTGAACGAAGAGATGACGCACCCGTCGATACTGGCCCTGGTATTTATAGATGAAAATCGTTGGACGGTAACAATTCCACTGACCGCTGCCTAGATCAATGCACCACAACCATTGTCGATACTGCGGATGCTGTTTCTTCATACACCACAGTGACAGCCCCGACCAGCACTGAAATCGACACGGAAAATGCAACGACAACAACCACAGTGTAAGTCCAGCAGCGAGTGCAAGGTTAGGACCAGTACTAACTCAGCGTACCAGCACGCCTCCGCCCGTAACGGCATACTCTGGAAAGGCAAAGACGACAACCACGGTCACAGCACCTACGCCTACGCGCACTCGTACCACTCGTACATATCAGACAGTCTGGACCACCTCGACAATATGGGCAACGTATGTGTCGTGCACTTTTCTTGGTCCGAGTCTTTAGCTAACGCCAGTGCAGAATCACCTCGACGGTCAAGACGTCGCCCTCTGGTTGGGTCTGTGCTACGTCTGCAGGACATTGAGTGCGAGGAATTGAGGCGGAGCGTAGTGGCTGTAGGAATGATCAGGAACATCCAGGCTATAGAAGGGAGCTGCTGGGAGCGGCTACTGGCTAACTTTTGTACTTTCCTCTTCTTAGTCAACGCACTTTATTTACACGTCGCTAGTTTCCGAAAAGTGCTCCTTGACATTGTTAAATTACCTCTAATATCCTCTGATAACCAACAACACCTTATAGTTGCGAAGTCGTCGCCGCCGCCGATGACAGGTCCCGTGTTTCCTGGGCTGAGGCCGTCACACTGGCGGCCTGCTTCGCCCGAGTCTCCCAGGCTTCAAGCACAAAGGCTACTCTCTTTTCAATCACATTGCATGTCGCCGGCAACGACTCGAACTTGATCTCGCTCTGCTGTAGCAGACTGATGAAGGCATTGTGCAGCGCAAACCACTCGCTTATATCTTCAGGCATCAACCTCACGCCATCGTCAAACAGCCAGGGCAGAACTGGTTCGCTCAGTATGACGATGCTTTGACACATTCTCTTTCTCAACGCTGCCCAAGAAGACGACCCAAGCATTTCCGTTGTGGCCTGCGGTGGACCGTACAGGTTCGCATAAGCGATTGGGTCGATGCCAGATCGATCCGAGATGATGAAGCCGCGGTTCTGGAGCTTTTGCTCTTCGTCAAGTTGCGTCTTGAGCACAAGTCGCTGGAAGTTCATCGCTTTCTCTGTCCCGGCTCGAATGTCGTCTCTGTTCACATCTGCTGTCACCAAGACGCCCCGGGCAAGCTCCTTGATGATGGTAAAGGAAAGGTGGGATCGTTCTCTTCGTATATGTCGGGAGACCGCCTCAACCAAAGTGGTCTTGCCAGTGCACTGAGCCCCAATGATGTATATCGAAGGCATGTCCTCCATCGAGGGCCAGTGGTTTTAGAGGAAGATCAGCTGTAATCAGAGAGAATACGAGTCGGCCTCACGACCCAAGCCTGGGAGGGGTTTGCATGAGCTGGCCATCAAGCCCCCTGCAAGCGCATATGCAACCATCAGGCAGCTGGGTGGCTGCATACCGTCACGTGTCAGCCTGCTTGTCGTCTACCTCAGCTCTCTGACATTGCCTCTTCGTCCTGAAAGATGTGTGTGCATCCTTCATTTTCGTCATGAAAAGCGCAAAGTACACGTTACAAGACGGCATTGCCATTTCAGACTCAGAGTGGCGATACAACATCCCCAGCTTACCAGAACCAGAAAGATGCCGTCAGGCCGGACGCATCAAATCGATCCAACTCTCCTGTTCATCTTCACTGCAGGGCATCTACCTGGATTGGGTCCCCTTAACTCTGAACCGAGCCACTCGAGAACACCGCCTGGAGGACCTTGTGCAGGTCAGCGTCTCGGACTTTCGACCAGTGTACGACAGTCGAGATGAATCTTTACCAAAAGATCACTCACAAGCCGTGGACTACATTTGTCGATTTCTCACATCTGGTGTTGTGATTAATGGTGTGCAGTACTCATTCTACGGGCACAGTAACAGCCAACTGAAATCCCGGTCCTGCTACCTCCTGGCAGGCTCAAAGAAGGAAGTAAGCAAGAAGGTCGAAGCTCTGGGGGATTTCAGCAAGATCAAAACAGTTGCCAAAAAGGCAAAACGAATTGGCCTCTTGTTCTCGACTGCTGACGTTGTACAAGATGTTCCCAACTCCAGATGTCGAGCCATTGAAGACATTGAGAGAAATGGATTCATCTTCACGGATGGATGCGGCCTCGCTTCCAAAGACTTTGTCCATTTGATGGCGAGCAAGAAGCCCATCATATTTCGTGGCCAAAGATACTATCCTTCTGTCCTCCAGATTCGATACCAGGGCTATAAAGGAGTGGTATGCATAGAGCCTCGGATGGAAAAGGGCCTCTGGCTCAAGTTGCGGAAGTCAATGAAAAAGTTCAGTGGAACAGATGACATGAGCTTCGCTGTCGTGGCATTCTCAAAGGTACAAACCCGACTAGATCCCCAAGATCCCAACAGTAACGCTTACAGCCCTACACATACGGATATCTAAATGACGAAATCGTGCTCTTGCTCAATGCCCTTGGCATCGACACAGATGTCTTCACCAAGAAACAGAGAGATTATTTCGAGTTCCTCGACCAGTCGCGGACAGACCCAACCTGTGCCTTTCGTCTGTTGAGCTCTCTGGGAGTGACCGCCGAGGCTGAGAAACTCCTGGTCGAAGGCATGGAGGAGGTCCAACGAACTGTGCGAAAAACAGTTACTCAAGAATACGGCAAGATGCTCAATAAACACGAAGAACAGAAGACGCGGATCCTGATACCCCGGTCTCGACTATTGTTCGGAGTCTGTGATCCTTATGGCTTGCTCAAACCAGGCGAATGTTTCCTGCGTGTGACACTGGAGGAGTTTGGAACTCCTGTCACCATGACTGGGGTTGAGGTACTTGTTTCGAGGAATCCTTGCCTGCATCCTGGAGACCTCCGCAAGCTCAAGGCTGTCAATCGACCAGAACTCAGCCATCTCACAGACTGCGTGGTTTTCTCCACGGATGGAAAGCGACCGGCTGCTGACCTCATGTCCGGCGGTGACTTGGATGGCGATACATGTGGGTTACTCCCGGCAAGGGTGGCTTTTTGCTAACGCAAGACAGTCTTTGTATGCTGGGACTCTGAACTCATTCCCCAGGCTATCTCCGAGCCAGCCGAGTATCCAGGAGCGAGGGAAGCAATTAGATTCTCCCCCATCACAGCAGATGATCTGATCGCATACTTTGCCGGCTACAACAACATGTCACTGGGACGCGTCAAGAAGGTATATCTTGGCTGGGCGCGTGCTCTGGGGCCTCGCTGCAGCCAGTGCCAGGAGCTCAATCGACTATTCTCACAGTGTGTGGACGGCAACCGCATCAAAATACCTGAAAAGTTACTCGACCCTCCTGACGTGGCACCCAATGCAAACCCCTTCGTCCTCGATGTCCTCCATGACGCAGCGCAGCAACATTGCAGTGTAGTGAAGAAAGCAGCCACACCTCTCAATCCTGCAGAACAACACACACTAGGGCATGATGTCCAGACTATGGGCATCACGGATCGAGACATGGTGGAATTTGTCCTCAGCAACCCGACCCCATTTTCGGATTTCGAACTGGCCAAGTTGACGTTGAGCTGGTGCCGCAGAAACAACGTCCCCTTTGAAGAGTTTTGGGCGTATTTCGATGCGTCTCAACTGACTGTCGATGAGCAGGCGTGGATACTGTCGGAACTGCCTCCTTCTCCCAAATACCCGTCCCATTTCAAGAACGGGCTCCTCCAGTCCAACATTCTCTCGCCCGAGGACCTGCGAGCCTTTCGGCTGGACCTACATTTTCTACACTGGAAATGCGTCTTCGATTCTCAGTCCGATCCCTTGCGAAGACTGATGGCGATGGTCAACCAGACCTTTCCGCGGTTCGCGAAGAAGCTCCTCATCCTCCGCCTTGGTGAGCGGCTGAGCATCGCCATTTACTTCCCTCGGCCAATCGAGAGAGAAGAAGATGCCGTGGTCCACGAGACAGTGAGGCTGTTTGCCTTCCCCCATTCCCACAAAGACAGGGTAGGACACCGACGGGGGGTCCCTACCAAGAAGAACTACAGATTCTATTACGACGAAAACATGATGCAGCTGTACGAGAATCACCGCAGCAACACCTTCGTCTTCTTCGCGCGATCACCCAACGACGACAGCGCCTACCGCAGCGTACGAGGCACAAGCAACCGAGCTCGGGCGCGGCAGAAGACAATTGAACAAGGAGTCAACTGCGACTGGAGAGTGAGTATAGCATTGGCGAAATTCAGTGCTCAACTGGCGACTCATATAGGGCGCACGAAAGACGAGCCGGTCACTGAGGCTGTAAGTGACAGAGGCTCAGAGGTATCGAGAGGCTGCTGCTAACGAGTTGCAGGAGCTCTATGTCATCAGCAACAAAGATGTGAGAGCACTGCGGGCTCTAGACCTTTGGCTTGAGAGCGTCGATACTCTGGACGTCCTCCCTAACTTTCCGGACGAGCAGCCGCCATACACCCTGCCGACCCTCAATGACGTCGACTGGAGTCTGTACAGCGACTTTGTCGTCCAAGTGGTTCGACAGAAGAATTACACCCTCGTTCGAGAAGCAACGGCAACCCAGCTTGCAGATCTGCTGAAGTTGGGCTGGAAGAACGATCTCACTGATGTTGTGTCAGAGGTCTACAGTCGTATCCTGCATCCCGAGACCACAGACGAAGGCCCAAGCCTGCGATGCAGCCCTGAGGCCATTCAATGCCTCGCCGAATTTCTCCACTTCAATCCTGCAATGGCCATACACTTCGCGCGTCTATGTCCCTGGTCTCTGCTACCCGCTCCCTACTCGAGTGCCCTTCAACGGGAGGGGTTGGCCGTTCTGCGTGCTTTTATCCTTTGTGCAAACAAGGCGGGAGAGCTGGTTGTGAAGCACATCAATGCTGTCCTGCAAGATACGTCTCTGACCTTGTCTGCGGCGCGCGAACTGTTGGAAGTTGCCTCCATCGCAGTTGCGAGTCCGGACTTGATGCTGACGATCCTCATGGAATGCCGAGATGCATTTTCCCATGCCATTCAGGATCATGACCACGATGTCGTTGCATACTTCTTGCAGCATATGTTCGGGGCAGTGCTCGATCATTGCGCCGAGGCTAGCGACCAGACTGAGGCCACACCTGGGTCATGGATGTTGAAGCCAGGGCCAGCAACCAACGACCGAGTCTTTCTTGTGACTAGCCAGCGTCGCATTGATGCGCCCAGGCTAGCCAGGCTGGCGGTTGGTGACCACGTGCGATTTATTGCAAAAACGCCGGCGATAAATTCCTCGGCGACCCAACCTGCAACCTTCGACGCCTTGGTGGAAGCAGCAAGTGACAATGGGGTCAAATTCCGATGCCTTTCGCAGCCTGCCACATTCCTCGAAAAGACTGCCTGGACCATGAAGCATTGTGGTTCAATCGTGAACACTCAGTCGGCCGGGGAAGCATTGGTGCATCTCCTTGTCGAGAAAGAGCAATCTTGCAGCTTCTACCATACTCTCTTGAGATCCAAAAATGCGCTCACAGAGAGCAAGGAGGGAGGAGAGGTCCTGCCCATGCAGCATTGCGAATTCATCGAGGGCTTGAATGAAAGTCAGAGTCGCGCCGTTGATGTGTCCATTAAGACTCAGCTAACTTGTCTCTGGGGACCGCCTGGTACGGGGAAGACCACGACTATAATAGCATTGTTGCAAACGTTGCTGAAGGAAGACAAGGCGGAGAGAATATTAGTCACGGCACCAACGCACAATGCTGTTGACAACGTGTTGCGACAGTACGTGAAAAAGGCACTGAACATTGACCCCAGTCTACCACGACCGGTCCGAGTCTCAACTGAGGTAGGCGTTTCTTCACGCTTTTGAAGACCATTCTTAACGAGTTTCTGGCCAGGTGACAAAGGTCTCCGATGATATGAAAACTTACACCATTGATGCAATGTTGGGCAAGGACCTGAACATGAATCCAGCTACAAAACGCAAGGCCGTCGAGAGGATTTCTGGGGCTAAATTGGTATTCACAACCTGTGTTAGTGCAGCGTTGGGGCTGCTTCGCAAACAAAACTTCGACACTGTGGTCATCGACGAAGCCTCTCAGCAGACCGAATCGGCATCCCTCATACCTTTGGTCAAAGGCTGTCAGCGGGGGATTCTGGTGGGAGACCATGTTCAACTCCGGGCAACCGTCAGTCCCCATGCGTCCACATTGGATTATGATGTATCACTCATGGAACGCCTCTGGGGAGAAGTGTCAGACAACACCATTGGAAGAGTCATGTTGGACACTCAATATCGCATGCATCCGAGCCTGTGTGCCTTTCCAAGCCACGAATTTTACGGGGGCCGCCTATTATCAGCCGATGGTTGTCGCACGATAGACATCCCCGCCTCATCTTTCCCGTGGCCGAAACGGGCAGTCAATGCCAGACACGAACCGAGTCCCTCGAACAGAGCGGTATTCATTCAATGTGGTGATGCAGAGGACCTCGGGAGGAAATCAAAGGTCAATCAAACCCAAGCCAAGATCTGCAAAGAGATCCTGACGCTGTTGACCACTACGCCGGCATCAAATCAAAGCAATCCCGGCAAAAGCCCTAGCCCGCCGCCGCCCCCATCCATAGCAATCTTGACACCATATGCGCGCCAGGCAGACCTGCTGAGGCAGCTATGTGGAGGACACACTGTGTCGAGCATTGACGGATTTCAAGGCCAGGAAGCCGACGTCGTCATCTTCATTACGGTGCGCTGCAACGTGCAGGGAGAGATAGGGTTCTTGAAAGACATGCGGAGGCTGAACGTTGCACTGACCAGGGCCAAGGCCGGAGTGATCATTGTTGGAGACCGGGCGACATTGACCATGAGGAGGGAGCAGGAGGACGCATGTCAGGTATGGGATCGTCTCATCAAGACGTGTTCGAGGGTGGAGCCTCCTGCTGCAGAAAAGAAAGGTCTAGGGAAGTAGTGGCCTCGTGTATGGCTGGTAAGGCTGTCCCAGATGACCTGCAAGTAGAGCAATTGGGGGATCTGGAGTGGAAGAACCTGTGGAGTTGGGCGCAGTTTGTTTGTGCCGTTTGTAGTAGCCGATTCCAACCAATGAGAAGACGTACGGAGAATTACTGACCAATAGGAGGAACTGCAGCCTCAGTCGGACAGATTATTCCCCCGAGTCACTTCAAAGTCCTTCCGCCTCTTCTCTTCATCCTCTTCTCCCAATGTCAGTTCAGACTTCAGCCCTGTCCTTGTATCCCTCCGCCGGGGCTCCCTCTCTGAACACCATTGCGTCTCTCTCAGCCTCCTCAGGCTGTGTACCATGAATCGCACCGTCGCTGGAATTATGTCTCTCCAGAGCCCTGTTGATCTGAAAATCAAGGATGGGAGTACTGTGTATAAAGATCATGGATGACCTTCGCCCGTTCTGCTAACCATCCAGAGAACTAAACAACAGCAATAGCAACAGCACAAGCAACAGCAACGAATCAACGGCAGTAACATCCAACACACCTCCAAGAAACACCACACATCTCTCACCAATCCCGCAATGTCTTCCCCAACCGTCGCTTTCTTCGGCGCCACCGGCGGCGTCACCAACGCCATCCTCGTGCACACCCTCAAGGCAGGCTACAAGGCGACCGCGCTCGTGCGCACGCCTCAAAAGCTGCGGGACCAGCTCAGCGCCCAGGGCCTCTCCCAGGAGACCATCGCCAACCTGACCATCGTGGAGGGCAACGCGCTCGACGTGGCGGCCGTGCGGCGCACACTCAGCACCGGGACGGGCGGCCTGCCCGCGGTCGTGGTCACGGGGCTGGGCGGCCGCCCGAGGCTGCAGTTCGAATGGCGGCACCCGTTCCAGATCGCGCAGCTCGACAACCCTTCGATCTGCGAGACGGCGGCGCAGACGCTGCTGGCCGCGATGCGCGAGATCCACGCCGAGAACCGCCCCGCGCCCAACGCCGCTTCTCCTGACGAGACGAAACCGGTGCTGGCCTTCGTCTCGACGACGGGCGTCACGCGCGGGCCCGAGGACGTGCCCTTCTTCATCCGCTTCCTGTACCACCAGATCCTCACCGTCCCGCACGTCGACAAGCGCAGGATGGAGGACCTGTACCGCGCCGACGCCGCGTCCGCGGCCCCGGCCTTCCGCGCCGTCGTCGGCGTCAGGCCCACCCTGCTCTCCGGCGGCGCGGACTACCGAGACGCCGCGGGCCTGGACAAGATTCGGAGCGGCACCGAGGCCAAGCCCGCCGTCGGGTACGTCATCAAGAGGGCCGACGTGGGCGCTTGGGTGTATGAGAATGTGGTCGGCGAGGTCTTGAAGGGCGGGAAGAGTCAGTGGGAAGGCGAGATGGTTAGCTTGACTAGTTGAGCTGATGGTTTCGGCTCCAGGCTAGGTAGAAGCAGGATATTGGGGGCGGTTGTACGAGGTATACGATCTTGTATATGTACACGTGGGGAGTTCCGGTTCGGGAAAGCGGCTATACTAAGCTATAGAGTAATTATTACGATCACTTAGTTCGTCGTGGTGGAAACCATTGAAACCATCTCGGTTTGTTTTACATCATCATCATTCGTTCTCTATGCTAGACAGCGCCGCGGAGAGCGCCTCGGGTATCGTGGTACTAATAGTACAGAGGTATTATGCGGTAGTGCAAATGTGGGAGGTCTTCTCTCCTGGTCTGGTCTGTCCAAGCCACGTTTTCGTCTGAAGGAAAGGAAATCAGGTAACTGTGGAAGTGATGTCTCTCTTTCTCTCCCTCTCTCCAATCAGCCCATGCCTCCTCATCTGCGTCATCTGATCATGCTTCCGTAGTGTGGACTCTCTCCTGTCTTCTCCCCCACCGTCTCCTTCGGGTTCGCGAGAGAGTCCGTCGATCAGATAGTACTCGTTGTATGATGCCTACGAGTGGTCCTGGTGCGGTGTCTCCGCGTACGGCGGCCGCAGGTGAGGCAGGAGATGATGATGTCGAAGAAGGAGACGATGCCGTTGACGATGGCGGTGATGATGGCGCCGATGCCGTTGACAATGGCCATCAGCACGGAGCCGATGGTCTGGCAGAGTGATTCAAACTGTAGGCCAGGGCTGTTAGTACGAGATCGGTTAAGAATGGGGACATGGGCGAAGGACATACGCAGGAGACGACTGCACCCATTGTGGCGGTCTGTTGTGTCTAGGTATGTGTGGATCTAGTGAGATGGGGAGGTACTGGATGTTTGAGTGTGGTTTTGTTGGTTTGCGTCTTCTTGATGGTTGAGGGATAAGTCGACGAGATAAAATGATGAGGGCAGGTTTTTGTATGTCTTGGGGAACAGCAGAGGATCGAGATGTCTAGAATCTTCACAGGAGGAGGGAGCAGTGGGGGTTGGGAAACGAAGCCCTTTGTACTTGTATCACTTCCTGGTGATTGTGACTGCCCACGGAAACGAAATACATCACACTGCTTTCTTTGCACCCTTCGTTTAGCAGCATTCTAACCACGCTCAGACCTAGTGCTTGGGCTTTCACTCAAGGATGTCAATGCCGGCCAATACGAGCTGACGGGGAGATACGACGTCATGGGACTATGACGTTGGGAAGTTTGTGCTCGGAGATGGCAGGCAGTTTACCAAGGCGATGTCGAATCAAATGAGGTAGCGAAAGGCTGACCATCTCACGCCTTGGGGTCTTGTTGTTGGAAGAGTTGCGCCAGTAGGTGCTAGCCCGTCTCCAAACATGCGCATCTGACGGGGTTGCCCGTTACACTAGCTCTGGGATGGGAAACCGCCATTATGCCATGGTGGGCACGGAAGGGGAAAGGATGTGTTGTGGGAAACCAGTTGACGTCCGATTTCGAGCACAAAAACAAGGCAAATGCTGGCCGATGGCGAAGATGGCGACAGATGGCGACCGATAAAGAACTGCGGAGAAAGAAAAGGCATCGGCCCTCGACGTCATTTGCAGATCCGTGCAGGAGGCCAGCACAGTTTGGCAGGCAGCATCCCGGCAGCCCAAGTGGCAACAAGTGGCACAACTGGCTCCAGCGGCAACGTCACTGGCTGATCGCGAGATGCATTTGTGGCTGCTGTGGCGTCCTGCATCTCGATTGCAAAACGTCCAGCCACCGCTACGAGCCGCACTGTGGCGTCTGTGGCGGTGCATGCAGGAACAACTTCCCCGGCCTCAATATTCTCCGCCAATGAAAACCAATGTGCGAGCACCGCATCCCAGAGAGATGCTGCAGCTGTTCGAGAGGGGTGCTTCGTCGTCGTCGTGGTTGTGGTCGCCCGATGGGCGCCTGGCAATCCCGGCTGTCTCGTGTCTGATCCTCGTCGCCACGCTGTCTGCAGTCATTGCACACCAACTCCTCTCCACCGACAGAGAACGCGCAGTCCGTTTCACGGTCCAGATCCCCCCGCAGCTGCAGAGCGAATATTCATGGAGCCACGAAGAAACAGGCAGAGGCCACGAACCGCAGGACGAGGTATCATTCCAGCTTATTTTCTGCTTGGCTAGATGTTGACGCTTGGACGCAGGTCTCCAATGGCCGGATATACCCTCGAAGTCCGGCAGACGGTCGTCGTCTCGGACTGCCCATTACTCCCGCAAACCCGTCTGTGATTGATTCTGCCGTCTCAGCTGCGGCGCGAGCTCAAGTCAAATGGTCGCAGACTACCTTTTCCGAACGGCGTCAGGTCCTCCGCACATTGCTTCGATATGTCCTCGACCATCAGGAACAAATAGTGGCGGCGTGCTGCCTGGACTCCGGGAAGACCAAGATAGATGCCTGCTTCGGCGAAATACTTGTCACAGTCGAGAAACTGCAATGGACAATCAAACATGGAGAAGGAGCGCTCCGTGTATCAAGACGACCGACCAACCTCCTCATGTGCTACAAATCAAATACTGTCTGTTATGAACCCCTCGGCGTGGTCGCAGCGTGCGTGAGCTGGAACTATCCCTTTCACAACTTCATCTCCCCTGTCATCTCGGCCCTGTTCGCGGGCAATGCGATCGTGGTGAAGCCGAGCGAGCAGACGTGCTGGAGCACCTTTTACTTCATCGACATCATCCAAGGAGCACTGCGAGCATGCAATCACAGTCCCGACCTTGTCCAGAATGTTGTCTGTTTACCAGAGGCTGCAGATCACCTCACCAGCCATCCGGGTATCAGCCACGTCACCTTCATCGGCAGCAGAGAAATCGCGCACAAGGTGTGTGCGTCGGCAGCAAAATCATTGACTCCCGTCACGGTGGAGTTGGGTGGGAAAGATCCTGCCGTCGTGCTTGATGACGCAAAAACAATTAGGACTATCGGCGACGTGATCTCAATCCTCATGCGTGGAGTTTTCCAGTCCGCCGGGCAGAATTGCATCGGCATCGAGCGCGTCATCGCATTACCTGCAATCCACGACAAACTGCTCGCTGAGGTTCTTCCAAAGATCAAATCGCTGCGTCTCGGCCCCGTTCTCCTCTTATCTCCCAACAACCCACCCGACCTGGGCGCCATGATTTCGTCACGCAATTTCTCCCATCTCGAAAGGCTGATTTCCTCGGCAGTCGCTCAGGGCGCAACCCTCCACTGTGGAGGCCGACGTTACAACCACCCCGAGTATCCTCACGGAATCTACTTCGCGCCCACGCTGCTCAGCAACGTAACTCCTGAAATGGAGATCGCGCAAAAGGAGTTGTTTGGACCTGTGTTCTTGCTCATGAAAGCCGCCGACGTGGACAGCGCAATCCGCATCGCGAATTCGACGGACTACGCCCTGGGGGCCGGGGTGTTTGGCCACAACCAGCGCGACGTCCAGAAGTGCGTCAGGGGGATCACGGCCGGGATGGTCGCCGTCAACGACTTTGGAGCCTACTACGCCTGCTCGCTCCCCTTTGGCGGCGTCAAAGGTTCCGGCTACGGCCGCTTCGGCGGTGAGGAAGGGCTGCGGGCGCTCTGCAACGTCAAGGCCGTCTGCGAGGATAGCTGGTGGGCAAGGGCGCTGGGCATCCAGACGAGGATCCCGCCCAAATTGCAGTACCCCGTCTCCCAGCATGGCTGGGACGTGTGCAAGGGCGTCGTGGGCACGGGGTATGCGCTCGGTTTGGGGCTGTGGGAGTGGGCTGGTTGCGTGGTACAGCTTTTAACGGCTTTGATGAAGAGTGATGAAAAGAAATCGTGACGCGGACCAGAACGTAGATGGGGAGGTAGAGGGAGAAAATTCCCATTTTTGCGGATCATCAATCTTATCTTCCCTCCCTTTTGTACTCTTCGACAAGGACGACCCGCTGGAGGCGTCAACGTCTCTAAGACCATGCCAGAATGGCTACCTAGGTATACAGGGATCCAGAAGAAGTCGATCCAACCCAGTGAAAACCCGAATTTCTAATCTATCGTCTTGGATGTTTTTGACCGTCTACGACCACGATATTGCCAACATGATCGCCGCCCCGACGAACATGGCCGCGAACTGGAGGCCCGTCTTTCTCAACTCGGCCCATTTGTTCGGGCCGGTCTCTAACAGCTCGGGAATCACCGCCACGGTGCCCACGTACAGGAACGTGCCCGCCGTGAAGGGCAGAAGCATGTCTCCCCACGAGAGGCTGGTGCCCCAGATGCCGCCGAATCCACTCCCTGCCCCAGCTCCTCCGGATGCTTCCGCGGCCGCACCCTTCGACCCGCCGCCGTACTCTTGCACGAAGATGCCGATCAGCGTGCCCAGGAAGGCGCCCACCGCCGTGACGAACTGGGCGCCCATGGCTTTCCGCTTCGAGAAGCCGGACTGGATCAGCAGCGCGAAGTCGCCCACCTCGTGCGGGATCTCGTGGAAGAAAACCGCCATGGTGGTCGTTGCGCCGAGGGCCGGGCTGGCGTAGAACGACGACGAGAGCGCCAGGCCGTCGGTGATGTTGTGTGTGAAGTCGGCGATCAGGTTGAGGAGGCCGGCGAGTTTGACGGAGGGATTTTGAGGCGAGGATGATGGAGGCGAGGACGAGGGTAGGGATTTGGTGTCTTTCCCGCCCTTGCGTTGTCTCACGTCGCCATTGGCTGCCTTTCCTTTCTTTGCAGACGTGGTCGTGGCCGAGCCATTGTATGCAGTCTCGAGCTTCTCGTCATGAGAATGCGAGTGCGAGTGGGAATGGCCGCCATCCCCCCCGGTGGCAATGCGCAGGGCTTTATCCATGGCCATGAAAGTGACCAGCCCGACAATGATCCCGACTCCTAGCAACAGGTTGCGGTTTGGCTCAACCATGACGAACTTGATTTGATCGTGCTCATCTTCACCCAGGAAAATCTCGGGAAGCAAGTGAAAGAGCGTATCTCCCAGAAGACCCCCGACCGCGAACGCGACCATGATACTTAGCGACGACGGGTCGATGTTGGGAGGACATAGTGCGAGGAGGAAATTTGGAGGGCCCGAAATGTAGGCTGTTGCGAGGAGGGCATTGATTGCTGGGGACGACGAGGGGAAGAGGACGGCGAAAAGTTGGGTCGTCAATGAGGCTTCCGTTGGATTATTTTTGGCCTTTGCCTCTGACAGAGTCTGCACGAAGGCACATTGCTGTCGTTTAAAGCCTTAGCACTGATGTATGCTGTCCGAGAGAATTGGTCTTGCATACCTGGAGGCTCTCCTCGATCTCCTCCCTCGTCAGCAGGCTGGTGTCCTTGCCTTGGACAGTCTCCGCGCATACTGAGACTACCAGACCTAGTAATAGTGCATAAACGGTATATTTGATCATCCGTGATGGTCTGAAACGCAGGGGAGCCATTGTCTCTGTCTACCGACTGAGGGTGAAACGGCACGCGACTGCGCAAGCATTGAGCAGGGACTATTATTGCTTAAGTGTGAAATTCAGGGGTTTGGCTGCGCTTTATCGATAGCGGGAAATCCTCGGCTGAATATGCATTTTTGGCTGCAAACTGCGGATTTTCTGCTCACTGATATAAATAAATTCCCTTGCAAGGGACAATACACTCTATTATTGGACCTGCAGGACTGAGATATTTTTCTCCCAAGATGGGTCGCGAAAGACAGAAAAAGAAGAACAGGTCTTCTATCTCCAAAGCGAGGCCGAAAGACAACAGGACAAAAGCTGGCAAGAAGAGGGTAAATTTTCTGGGCAATGAGACCATTGCAAAGAATTGGTACGTCTTGCAATTCTGCACAATGCTAATCATAGCCCACGACTGACGGCTTCTGTAGGGATCGAAAACTTACTCTATCGCAAAATTATAAGCGACTGGGGTTGTCCTCCAGACTGAATGCTGCTACAGGCGGTACAGAAAAGAAGGCGGACAGGGACAAGGACGACACAGAAGATGTTAAAAGAGACTCGCTTGCGATCGCCGGGCCACTGGCCGCCAATCTGACCCCTCAAGAAGTCCAGGTCGAGAGAGACCCCGAGACAGGTCGTATCCTCAGGATCATCCGACCGGAGACGGGCGAGGCGAACAATAATCCGCTTAATGACCCTCTGAACGACATTATGGACGCTGAACCTTTACAGCCGCGACAGCAGCCTGCAAATGGGATCGTGGCAGAATTGGAAGCACAGGCTGCAGAAGAGGAAAAGCTGCTAGCAAAGAAGAAGCGACCGCGACAGCAAAGCCAGCGGGAAGAAGAATGGGTTGCCAAACTGGTGGAAAAACATGGCGGCGATATCAAAGCCATGGTAAGAGACCGGAAGCTCAATCCAATGCAACAGACAGAGGGCGATATCGCTCGCAGGGTCAAGAAGTGGAAGGCAAACCATGGAGAAGTCACGACATGAGACACTATCTGGACGAATGGCCGCCCAGAGAGCTTGGTATTCCAACTTAGCCAAGGATGCATCACCCTGAACAGATGCAACAATAAGGAATCAAACGAAAATACGATGCCGCAAAGCCTAAACGCATGGGCTGTGCGCCATCTCCATGTGGAGATAGAATCAGCCAGGAAAAGGCGTGGGCCGTGGGTGGTATACATCCAACAGACAAAAATACGTCCAACAAGCAGTATTTGGCTCTCGGAAGGGTCAATGCCACGTTATGATCCGTGGGGATGTCATCCGGGAGTGTGCTTGCGTGAGGACTATCCATCAGCCTACAGGGCCTTTGATTACCGAGATGTCGGCCTTTGCAGGCCAACACTGCCTTTTCCTGGGAATGTTCAGCATTGAATGCCTTGGATGAGAGACCCCTCGACTGGGCAATGCGACTTCTGGTGGGAGTTGGCGGGGCTCAAGAGCTGGATGGGGAATGCGCTCGCTGGAGGTTAGTGGTGCTATGACTGGCTTGGAGACGACGAAAGTTCAACGAAAACACTCTCCCCACTGTCTTAGTTAGCTATTCTTGACCAAGATGCTGAGTAGACACGGGAGGGATTTGGACGAGATTACGTTGATACCCAGCTGGTTCGGAGGAAATAGAATGATCACACTGATCTTACCGGTGACCGTTTGAGCAGCGGGAAGCGATGCCCAGAGTTTCGGGGGCGGAGACTCACATGCAACTAGACACGATTGGCCGTGGCCACGGCGGACCAAGCGGCTTCGTTTGAATCGCCTCGTGCTCGTTTCGTGCATCCTCCGTTCGCATATCAACACTTTCTCCAGCGCGCCCAGTATCGCCATCAAGCCATGGATCTTCGTGTTTCGATTCCCTTCATTCCCGGGGCCCCCTCCTGGCGTCCTCATGACGGTCAGCGCGGGTGCAGACGCGCCCTCCCTAATATCAGGACAATGTCCCTGCGCGGTCCTAGTCCTTCCACAGCCAACGCGTTCAAAATGCTGCAGAACAACGACCTCTATCCATATCGTCATCAAAGAATATATATAGACAAAGAAGAGCGTCGTTGCGACCCAGGTCTTCTGCCGGACCCATAGTCAACCTGCCTGTGAAAAGGTCCTCCATTTTACTTGGCGAAGTGCTGCCAAATTGCTGCGGCGTTGTGACCATGATGTTGGCCATAGCATCTTCTCCCAGGTCTCTCCGGTCAAACCAGCAGCGCACCATGAGTGTCGTGTCCAAGTCTATGCCAATAAAGAGCCCTTTCACCACCTCAACCACCTCCAAAATGAACAGCCCCTGTGCCACCCCATCCACAACAACAGCTCCACTGATCCCAGACAAGATCTTGCCAAACCTGTACCTGTCAGAGTGAGTGAAGCTTGTCCTTCTCATGCTGTGCGCAGGGTTGGCCTGACGCTGATTGGACAGCATTCACACTGCTGCCGCAGTCCTCAGCCCCAATTACAATGCTCCAAACCGGCCAAGGATCAAGTATGTTCTCTCAGTCATCGACAATCCGGACAAGCAACCCAAAGTGCCTCCTGGACATGAAGCAGAATTTGTCCTCAAGATGATCAGTCTCCGGGACAACGCCAACTTTGACCTGCTGCAGCTGTTGGGCGAAGCCTGCGCTTTCATCAAGGCAGGTCTTCAGAATAACGATGGCGGCGTCCTTGTCCATTGCCAGAAAGGCGTGTCCCGGTCCGCCGCAGTCGTGATAGGCTTTATCATGGAAGAAATGGACCTCGACTACGACACTGCATTCCGGTATGTTCGTGGCGGTCGGTCAAAGGCGAAACCCAATTCTGGATTCCAAACGCAGTTGGAGCTGTGGGGCCAGCTGCGTTACAACATTCACGAGACCGACGGCAAAGAGAAACAAGAGTACGCTTCCTGGAAAGCAGATAACGACGAGCGGATCAAGAAACTGGGGTCCAGATGGACTGGTTAAGGCCTGGGAAAAGCCGGAGCTCTCAGTGGCTTCGAAGAAGTTGCAGCGCTTCGAATTAGCACTATCCCAACACGTGCGGATGTGCCCCAAGCTTGTTTGTCCCGGCGATTGCCTCTGCCTTTACGTGTGGAATGAGCGGGACATGTGTTGCGTTCTGGATGGATAGGGAGGAGTCGGTGCCGTTCAGTTGGCGGTGGTCCTGATGTTGCCCATTCCGTCTGCTGGACACCGAAATGGTACCAATAGAGCAGCCTTGAGTGGTCGTTTTGCTTCAGAGCTGTGCAGAACGGGAAGTGAAAGACAGGAAGAATGCACATCGGAGTGGCGCATTAGCCCAGAGGTGAGCAAAATGCTCCCTGCTGACAGCAGTACCCATTGAAGCAGCAACCATCCTCTTCCTCCCTCCATGCTCTCCTCGATCCCTGGACTGCTGGGAAGGAAAACACCTTCGATCAAGCTGTCTGGTCGGAGTGCCTGAATTTCCTGGCCTGGGCGATGCTGGCGGAGCGGAAGTCTTCGCACTGTCTGTCCCCCCATGCGCCCCCCTCCTCTCAACAGCCAATGGCCGCACGGAGACCGGATAAGCTTATTTTCCGACTCCATACTGAGTGCGATACTCCTCCTGGCCTCTTCTCAGCTCACTTTTGCCTCTATTGCAGTGTCCTTGGCTCGTTGCAATCCCTTTCATATCCTCAGACATCGTCGTTCTGTCCCGTCACTGGGCCGTCATCGACCTGGCACAATTGAGTTTGCAAACTGCGTCCGATTTGAGACCCTGCAGCATCGTCCAGACGTCAGTTTGCATTTACTCTGCCGTCAGAAAGTGAGATTCAACCATTTCTTGTCTCGTTACTCACCCGTCACTCTTTCGTTACCTTGTTCCATTGAGGGACCATCTTCAGGGTATTTAAACCCTCGTCTCGCCGAACTTCTGCAGACTTGCCTCCCCTCAGACACCTCCTCATCGTCGGTTGTGCCTTCTCGCCAGAGACATTGAGCAAGAAAGGTACATTTCGTCTCTCGCAAGTTTCAATGGGACAAGCCTTCCCTTTGCCGTTTCTTCGCTGTTGTCTTCGGCAATTCGTCAATGCGTCTGCGGACGGTGGTACAAAGTCTTGCTAATACGGACAAATGCAGGACACCGCTTGAACCTTTGCCGAAGCCGCCGCCTCCTGGAATTCTTCTTTGTGAGTCTGATGCCCACTAAAAAAACGCACCAAGAGAGTTGAAGTTTGCAGTTTTCAGCTTGTCCATGGCAAACCGGGATGGGATTTGTGTTGGATCCCCCAAGACAAACAGCAAACAGGATCCCCTAAGATTGCTGCTCCAGACATTCCAACTGTTATTTAATCTGCTCCCTCCCATGATCTTGCTGGTCCTCTGATAATCTGACATCCATGAATATATACAGATAACAAATACCGGAGACCGCAACCAAAGAGGTCCAAGAAGCGGCGAATTCTGCGGAGCATTGATACTGCCCAAGGCCGTCGCAGAACACACCAGTTCCACACACGAGAAGTATGCTCTTCCTTCCGATGGGGTGCCTGTTCATTGACCAAGCTGACTCTCTGCAAGGAACGCACAGCCTAGCTGTAAGTCTGTTCTCTCTTCTGCGTCACCGTCTCGTCAAATCTCACTCAACCGATCTCCTCTGTCTGTCCTTCTTCACATGCTACCTTGTGGAAAGTCACTACACCGACCCTTCTGGCTCCGGATCCGAGACATTACGTCCACGTGGTCCTCCGCTTGTCGGCGGAGAGCGGGAGCGGAGGGCGGAAAGGGGGGGATCACGAGGGCAGCAAGCATGTGCTCCTCGTCCTCCGTCTATATATATCCCCCTCCCGCTCCTTCCTTCCTCCGCTTCCTTTCCACAGTCATTCCATCAAGAACTTCTTCTCTGCTTACATTACTTACTCTTATCCAGCCTCGACATATCCACGACCTCATTGCCATCTACGCAGACGCTCTGTTTTCGACTTGCTTTCCACTTCGTCTTTGATTGTTCCGCACAGTTTGCTCCATTCGTCAGACCCACGTCGCTTTGAAATCTTGGTAAGTCATTGCCTGGTCTTTGCTCTCTGCCCTTCAGATTCTGGACAATCTATGTCCGGAAAGTTGGATGTCGTGGCATTGTCGACTGGTTTGGACCCTTTGTCTTTCTGCGAAATCCGACATCGAAATGGCGTGCCATGACTCCAAGCCCTCAGTTGCGGGTGGCAGTTTTCCATGGGTTCCGCTTCCAGAATCCTTCGGCTTGTTATTTGGGACAATGACACACCTCGACGAATCTGCACACCTTGGAACTACTTCCGACAGACGGCAACATCTAGCATTGCTCGCATACACAGAAGCATTTGTCAACACCGCCGAATCTGGTCGTTGAGTTGCCTGTTCGGGAAGGCGGGTCAGTGCCCCGCGTCGGCAAGGCTGTCGACATGTCTTATCGAACAGTCTAGCTTCCGACATGTGAACGTCAACAGACTCTCTGTAATCGACATGTGATCAGCTCGCTATAGAAGCGGGTCTGCGCCGAGAACGACAAGGCTGGCTCCATATCGACAATGTTCAGTACCAGTTGAGAAAATTGCTCGGCGCCGAGACTTTCAGGGGCTAAACCTCAAGTCGACAGAGGCTCAACATAACATGGCAAAGGTGGTCGGACTCAGACTGACAAGGCGGAGACCACATCTCACATGCTTGTTGTGTGACAACCCAGATGGTTGACACCAAGTTCTTCCAGCAGTATATCGCTTCTGCAATGTGTCATGCTCCTGCCCACGCACCTGCCTCTACTTCTTCAATGATTACCCAATCCCACGAAGCTAACAGAATGTTTACCTTTAGTGTTCAAATTTGTTTCCGTTGCAGTTCCAGTTTTCAAGATGGTGTCGACACGAGCACAGCGCTCCAAAAAGACCACTACCCCGGTCCGAGGGACCGATCAAGTCCGCATAACCACAACCGCTGTGGTCTCTCTGGCGAATGCTGCAAGCGCATCCACGGTGTCTGCTAGCGTCAATCTTGATGTCGACATGAAAGACGTTAGTCCATCGACCATGTCCTCCGCCCAGACGTCGAATATGACACGTCGTCTTGTTGTCCGACTGAAGCTTCCTGTCCGCCAGCACGGCGGGGTTACGGACACGAAGATTCTTATGACCTCCAAGTCGGGGATCAAAGGCAAAAACACCGTGGAAGTGAAACGGGTTCGTCGACAGGCCGCTTCTACTTCTCGAGGGACCAAACGCCAATCCACCGATCAAGATTCGCCGACTTCTCCGCCCAAGAAAAGCAAGCAATCCACTGAGGGTGATGATGACGATTTCGAACCCGACAGTGCTACAACTCAAGCTCTGGGTGTCCCCACTGTCGCTCGTGAGCTTCGCGGTCGGGGTGACGATGGTACGGTCACTGGGCGTTTCAGGGCCGCTAAAAAGGCAAAAGAAGACCTCCGTGGACCGTTTATTGTTCTTCAGTCCAAGACCATCGGCGAGTTCCTTAAGAAACTGAAGAAGAGGCGTCCCGTGACTCCTTATACCAACAAACAACGATTCCAGTTCGGCCACGACCAGCTGTGGTTTTGGACGTCGCCAACTCCGTACACCATTCGAAAGGTCTCGGAAATTCTTGAAGAGGAACGGCCGGCCATCAATGAAGTTGCGGCTGCAGAAGGAACGGCAACCAACCCGTTCCATGCCAGTGCCGGCATCTCTATCGACTCCATCGTCCGCGTTATCCTGTCACAAGCCTGCACCAACGAGGCTGCCTTGGATGCACAGCAAGCGATGCTTCTGGCCTACCCATACTGGGTTGACGGCAAATGGGTCGCGGGACAAAAGCCAAACTATCACGGAATGCGTGTCCAGAGCCTATCCAAGCTGGAAAAGGTGCTGAAAAAGGCGGGGCTGGCGAACAAGAAGCCAAAAGCCATCAAAGACATCCTTGACATTGTCTATCAAAGAAATGTCGCACTTCTGGATCCGCTGGAGTATGGCGAAATTGTGTACGACGGCAACGAGCGGGGCGCTACCGACTTTGTTCCTGGTTTGCTATCCGTGGACTACTTCTGGGACATCTACAGACAAGAGGGCAAGCAAGCTCTCCTTGACCATCTCGTCTCGCTCCCATTGATTGGGGTCAAGTCTGCGTCCTGCCTGATGTGTTTCAACATGTCGTTGCCTGTCTTTGCCGTGGACACTCACGTCGCCGGAATGGCAAAGCTTCTCGGTTAGGTGCCGGAGCATTGCAACGACGAGATCGTCATGTGCACTCACCTGGACACTGTGTTGCCAGACAATCTGAAACTGTCTCTCCACCAGGCCTTCTGGAACCACCGTCGGAACTGTGCGCGGTGCAGTGCGAGAAACAATCCGTCCAGCTGGGTCTACAACAACACCAGCTGTCCTCTAGAGCTTCTTGTCAAGCGTCCGCAGCCCAAGACCGACGACACCAAGACCCCCAAGCTTCAGACCGCGCCACCCAGACAAGCCAACAAGAAGGAGCCGAGCGACGATGAACGTCGGGCACAGGGACTTGTTAAAGTCACCTATGAGATTGACGATGATTTCGACGCGGCAGGAGGAACGGGCGTCAAGAGGACGATTTGGATCCGCGATTTTAGCGCGGAGGAATACGACCCTGTGGAGGAGAAGGACATCATCTGCGAGGAGATTTCGATTTCGTTTAAATAAAGGGAAGCATAGTCGGGAAGCACCAAACATATGGTGGCCACGGCAAGTGAAAGTTCTGACGATATGGTGGTTTTTGAGCACATTGCAATTCTGATTTGATGGTCGCAAACACCTTTTGAGCTGGTAATAGAATGGATGTGCACGCAACCTGTGTTCTTGATCTCTTCTGATGGTGGACAAGGGCCGCTCCTAATGGCGCAAATCTATATGCACTCCGTGATACGCGGGGCGCCCTTTACGTTCTCATCCTTGATGCTACCACCTGTTGATATAGACACCTTCCGTCTATTTATCTTATCTGTGGTTAATGACAGCCGCTGGTATGCTCCGCCTGTCTATCTTTCCCATATATATGACCTTGAGCTGGGTCTGCGCCTTGACGTCAAACGGCGCCCCGTGCTTGATGGTGTATACGATAAACGAGGCGGGATTTGCGCACGGAGCGGAATCCTCCCTGGTCTATACCCGAGGCGCACCAATCGCACAAGGAATCCAGAGCTGTCAATCCTGGTCCCGTGCGCATCCGGGATCAGGGCCCATGCTTTCGCCTCCTCCAAAACTAACAAGTAGAGCTCACTCCCAATGCTACCTTTCCCCACGACGATTGCCTCTGGAGCTCGACACACTAACCAGGGTATCTTCTGGAGTACCTGCCCATGGAGCCCGTTGGCCTGCAGAAGCTCTTTATCGCCGCCCCTCCTTCGATTCTTATCTGTGCTACAGGATTGAAGAGCAAGCTTTGTCGACGAGAAAGCTTAGGTAGCAGCAGGCTAGCACCCGACGACATGCCTGAAAAGGCAGCTCCCCTCTCCTGGCTCTGCTTCCCTCTGCTACCTTGCTAGCAGGTGGTCTGTTCCTCTCACTCCATACCTTGCAAGTCTCCATCGCGCGAGCTGCAGACCCATCGTCATTGCCATCGCCCCTCCTCCCTGGCCTCTCTTATCCATGCAATGAAGAGGCTTGTGCCATGGGTTCCTTCGGTCAATCCCGAGCTCGTGGGGGGGCAGGATCGTCATCCTTCTGCAGCTGGTGCTCCCTGGTTACCATGCCTCGGATCGAGAATGGTGAGAAGGAAAGCGTAGGTCGTGCATGACGGATGCTGTCGAGGGTCCCTGCGTGGTACAAAAAGGATCACCTCTGCCTGCCTTTTGGTTTTTCTGAGAAACGCGGGACGAGGCCGTGTGTTCAGTGCTAACCTCGCTCTTCTGCTCTCCTTTTGGTCTTTTACTACCCCCTCTCTTCGTCCGCGGCGTACGTGCCGGAGAGCGCAATTCCAAACATGATCTCTTTGCTTCCGGCAGCTCTGCTGCTGGCGTCAGGCGCTCAGCTCGCCTTCTCCCAATTCGTGGCCCCGCCAAAGAACCTGACCAGGAAGGCCGGTTACGCAGGTGTCACGGTGCGCTACAAGTCCGTGCCCGCGGGCATCTGCGAGCAGGATCCCGACGTGAAGAGCTATGCAGGGTACGCCGACGTGTCGCCGGGCCAACACATCTTCTGGTGGTTCTTCGAGGCGCGGAACGTCGACCCCACGACGGCGCCGCTCACCATCTGGATCAATGGCGGACCCGGCTCGTCCTCCATGATCGGCCTGTTTCAAGAGCTGGGACCGTGCCGGGTCAACTCGGACGGCGACGCGGTGAACAACCCGTACTCGTGGACCAACGTCTCCAACGTCATCTTCATCGACCAGCCCACGCAGGTCGGGCTCAGTTACTCGTCGCCCGTGCCGGGCTACGAGGACCCCAACTCGGGCTACCTCGTGGAACTGCCCAACAACACCTGCCCCGACTATGCCAGCGACTGGGCCTGCGGGACCTACTCGTACTGGAACGAGTCCCTGACTGCCAACAGCACGCCCGCGACGGCGCCCAACATGTGGAAGACGCTGCAGGGGTTCATGGGCGCGTTCCCGCAGTATGCGAGACAGGATATCAACTTTGCGACCGAGTCGTATGGTACGTTCTGTCGGGGGACATGGCACAGTCCTTGTCCTATTCCCCATCCATGTCCCAGAGAGATGACCAGACTGACCACCCTTTGCGCGCAACAGGTGGACACTACGCGCCGATCATGTCGGAATACTTCGAAGAGCAAAATGCAAAGAACATCACGGGCGCCCATAACATCCGGCTCGAGCATGTGCTGATTGGCAACGGCTGGTACGATCCGTTGATCCAGTATCAGGCGTACTACAACTTCACGGTGTTCCCGGGCAATACATACAACTACGACCCCTTCAACCAGACGATCAAAGGTATGTTTTCTGTGTGTGGGACATCTTCCGCCCGAATTCGAGGCGCGATTTGGGACCCAAAACTGACGAGGACCCCCCGAAACAGACCAGATGTACAACAACCTGTACGGGCCGGGCAACTGCTACGACCAGACGGTGGACTGCAACACGCGGCAGATCGACGAGGTGTGCACGGCGGCGGACAACTTCTGCTACCAGCAGGTGGAGAACCTGTACGACATCTACCTGAACCGCGACGAGTACGACGTGCGGTACCTGATGCCGGACCCGTTCCCGCCGACCTTCTACGTCGACTACCTCAACACGGCGAAGGTGCAGGCCGCCATCGGCGCGTTCGTCAACTATACCGAGAGCAACGCCGCGGTGGGCAACGCGTTCGGCAGCACCGGCGACGACGACCGCGAGATCGGCACCGTCGCCGCCCTGCAGGCCCTGCTGCGCCAGAACGTCTCGGTCACCATGTACTTTGGCGACGCCGACTACAACTGCAACTGGCTGGGCGGGCAGGTGGTGGCCGACCACGTCGCGGCCCCCGGGTACGGGAGCGCGGGCTTCGTCAACGTCTCGACCCCCGACGGCGCCGTGCACGGCCAGGTGCGCCAGAGCGGGCACTTCGCGTTCGTGCGCATCTTCCAGTCCGGCCACGAGGTGCCCTTCTACCAGCCCGCCATCGCGCTCGAGATGGTCGCCCGCGTCCTCTCCGACGTCGACATCGCCACGGGCAGGACCGCCGTCACCTCCCAGTACCGCACCGCCGGCCCCACCGTCAGCACCTACCGCGAGGGCAACGCCACCATCCAATTCACCCTCACCCCCGAAGACGCCATCTACAACACCACCACCAGCTTGCCCCAGAACTCGACGTCCGGCGGCGGCGGCGGCGGAGCCAAGCTCGCCAGGCGGGCGAAATATAGCCTGCGACAGGCCAAGAAGATCAAGAGGGACAAGTTGGGCGGATGGGCAAAATAATACTACACTCCCAATAATACACAACCTTCTTGAGTTCCTTCCTGGGTCTCGACCTGCGGTGGTCCAGGGTATGGGGCGGGCTGGTGTGGACTCCCGGGGCGACAATCTAATCAATAGGGGGAAAATCAATGACGAGAGCCTTGGCTACTGCACGACCAGCTCTAAAAAGGAAGAGGAGAGAATACCATAGTAAATGAGACATGATCCCAAGTCTTCACGCGATTTCGACGCAGTCTGCATCTGTTCCTGAGATTCTCACGCTCGACACTTCGTTGCGCCGTATGCGAATATACCTGACATCTCTGCCCTTGTTCTTCCGACCGGTAGTCGATATGTCTGTTCTGTTTCTGGAGATTGTATGGCTGACAGCACCGAGGCAGGCCGATACACTTGGGGAAAGAAGGACAAGCTAGATATTGCGAAGGAACGAACCACAAAACTCCTGGTTTATTGATTGTCCATTTCTCTTTTGGCCGTTCTCCCGCACGCCGCAAACTTTTGTGTTTCATTCCATTAGGCTTCCCTCCTTCTCACGCATCTGCTGGCTTCGCATAGGACTTTTTTGGTTTGGAAGATAAATATTCTGGACTCTGCCTGGGCCAATTCCCACGAGAATGGCGGCTATTCCTCCTCGTGTGCAAGCACGGATTGTTCGTCTGTTCGGATAAGGGCAAAGCGGTGCTCGCTAGTCTGATCGGATGGACGGGGATCGAGGTGTCTTTGACTTAGGAGCCAATCGAGCACTCGAATATCAGCCTCCAGACTTTGATGTAGGTAAATTGGCAAGGCACATTGCATCTTGTCATTAGTCGAGCTGGGGCCAGGTAGGAAGGTGTTTTTCAAGGCACTCGAATCTTCTTTTTGCTTTTGGCAGGTCAAGCTCTGGTATTGTTGGTATCATCACGGGCGTATCTATTCATTATAATGGTACACCTGTCAAAGCCTAGGTTAGCACACGAACCACCGATGACAGTCGAGGGCAAAGATCTCCAGCGACTTACAAAGTAATCGGGGAGGCCCCAAACCTCGAACCCAAGCCGCTTCGCCATCTTAGCGAAGCCTTCCGTCTCAATGAGATGATAGAAAGGAAAGGCAGGAAACATGGCCCCGTCTCGGTGCACTTCGGCCTTCACCAAAAGTGCAGTTCCGCCCACACCATCCAACGGCATCAGCCGCCGTTCGTCACGATCCTTGCCCATCTTGGCCAGCTTGGTCATGAGTGTCCTATACGTGGCCATCTCGGCATATCCCTCCAGCAAAACATCGTCGGGTCCCATTTTGCTGGCGAGCTCCTGTGCAACGTCGCTATCGCGCCAGGTGTTGAAATCGTAGGGTCGGATGTCCTCCTCGCCTTCGTCGTTCACAAACCGTTGCATGCAGCTTGGGGCGATGACGGATTTATCGTGACTAGCCAGATCCTGGATCAGTGTAGGAGGAGTCTCGACCACGTCACCATCCAACCACAACACCCAGGATGTGTGAGGGCCGATGGTGGTAAAGAGCAGGCTATTCCGTGCCCGGGCCATCGATGCTCGCCGGACCTTTTGATTTTCCATCTTGTGACGCTCCTTTTCATCTTGTGAAGTCAAAGGTGGCACGAAATCCTGCCGCAGAATAGTCACCGATTGGAATCTCTCCTCTTCTGGGCCTGATTGCGTCTCCCTTATTGCCTCTTGTAGAGCGGCCGTCGCCGCATTGCCTTCCTTCGTCTTTGGAGTGATGAAACCTAGGCTGATATGCTCGTGAGGGTAGGTCAGGGCGAGGAGGTTGGCCCAGTACTCGGGATAGAAGCGGGCCAGGGGTGTTAGGATGAGGACTTTCTCGTGCTTCTGGATAGGCGATGCTGAGGCGGTCAGGTTGTTGAGTTGATAGTGGACCACGGGAGGCGGCCGGCGGACACCATGGGCATTTTGAGCGTTGGACTGCTTGCGAAAGGCTGAGGTTGGAGGAGACAGTGGGTTTTCGGCCGCGGACGTTTGGACTCGCAAGCGGAGTTCGGACTGGTCGATCGAGGTGTTATGGATGCTGTAGAGGAAGTAGATGAAGACGACGCCGAGGAGGATGCCAAGGGCAGTGGTCCGGTTGCTGCTGCGTGGCTGTCGCATGTCGAAATATGCCATGTCCTCGCAACCGACGAGATTTCAACAACGGTGTCACCTTGAGGAAGGCTGCGTGGCCTGAAGGATCATGTTCGGTGGACCAGGTGGCCTGAAAGGGGCGGGCAGGACGAGATTCAGAGTTGTCCGTGAGCAGGACAGGTCCACAAGTAGGAAGAAGGAAAAGAGTGAAAAGATCGACTTCAAAGGAGTGAATTGTAGTTGTGGCGGCTGTAGATGTGGTTGTGGTGTGGTTGTTTCAGCGCATTGGCTGTGAAGTAACACTTTGGGGCTGTTGGTGAAACCTGCCGCAGGATCCCAAACCATGCACCGCCACTTTTATCTCTCTTTGCGAGGATTGTTCCGTACAATTTCCCAGCCACAGGAAATACGACGGATGGAATGCAGAGTACAGTCATACGGAGTAACGTTCAAACGGCATTGGCTTGGATTCATCAATGTCCTCTTTATCCGTGTGGTCTATCTATGCCCCATGGCTATGCAATATAGACCAACCTCTTTTTTCATGCCTATCGTTATAATGCTCAGAAGTGACCTGCGCACTCGCTATGCAGAGAATAGCCCAGTCAGTCCCTAATGGTAAAACCAACATTGCTCCAGGCAACTTCGGCGGTTGAATCTGCGGACTTCCCAACGCCAATGCTAGAATCTGACCTGATACCTGATGCAATCCGTGTCCCAGGTGGTGCCTTGACACAGGGTCAATCTCGTCGAGTTTCAATATGCTAACAACAAAGGAAAACCCAAAGAAAGTCAACGGCAGACAAACCAGGTCTCGGCCTGTGAATGATATTTCTGCTCAACCCGAAAAGTATTGCCGCCGTCATTGATAGACATCGGCTTGTCTGATTTTCTTGTTCTGCTTCAACTCCTCTTTGTCCGACGAGACATCACTGCGCGGACTTCTTCCCGGACCTGGGCTCCCTGCTGGTGATACTTTGCCTGCTCCAGCAACTTGGAAGTAGTCATCACCTTCCTCGAGAGCCAGAGGCGTGACGGGACCCTTGGGGCTGCCCAAGGGATCCAACCGTGGTGCACCAGGTTTGGTGCCCATTGAAGAGGCTGCTATCTTGGCCGACAACGTGGTCCTTTCAATAAATTCGCGTTGCTTTTCACGCATCAGTCTCGGTGACTCGAGCACGACGGGCTGCGTTACCCGATTCAAGGTGATCGCTGGGCTCTGTATGGTAGAAGACGGTGTGGCTGGTGAGTCGAGATGGCCAAAATTGGCAGGATGGAATCGAGGAAGCGTCATGTGCATGTTCCTGGAGGCTTGCCGGCCATGTGTTGCTGGTCGACTGCGGGTCGGCTGAGGCGAGAGTGGTTGCTGGCTGGCGTGGAGTCTTGGAGACAACGGCGAGGTTGGCGTGTAACGCCCGGAATATGTATCACGGTTCATCATGTACCCCATTGAGTGAGCAGGATGAATGTAAATTGAAGAATCGAAACGTCGCAGGCCGTGTTTCTGGGGATCTCTGCGACGTCTCTAATGACCGCCAACTGTTGTGTGCATGCGGCAGGCGTAGTATAGATGCGACCGACTCTTTATGAAGGAGTCTTATGCCCGCAAAGTGGGTTGGCACTGGTCGTAAAGTTCGGAACTCGGATCAAAGGGTCCAATATGTAGGGACAATGCCCACGAGGGATGTTGGCAATATGATTGTCACCAAGTTGTCAATTCTCTAGGTGGACTCCGAGTGACGTCGAATTGTTTGTTGCGGTGAGCCAGAGAGAGGGGCGATGTTGTGTTGATTAATGTCGGTTAAAGAGGAGAGTTCGCAAAGTTGACATAGATGAAAAGCGGATAGATATTTGGCGTAGAAATGTCAAAGGTTGGCGTGTTGTACACGTACGGTAGGGGGAGGATCAGGCACCGAGTCTGTCAAAGATGGGTCCGTCTCAGGTTGTTGCTGTAGCCCTCTTGTCGGTCGTCCTTTGCCAGAAGTGGTACAAATGAGAGTCAGACTCAGAGTCACGAGTTTGGCTTGGTGGGCAGGGATGGCGGCTGGTGCTTGTGCTATTGCGCCTGCGAGAATGTTGGGGGCCCGTCTGATCTGCAGTGTCTGGAAAATTGCGTGAGAAATGATCAACAAGACGCTCCGGGATTGCCAACGCAGCCAAGCGCACGCTGATCTCGGTGCCGGAGGGTTTGGACGTTGATAAAGGATGCCAGCCTTGAGGAGAGCGAGTAGAATGAGTACCAGGGAACACAGAGCAGGGTATAGGGAACCCGGTCACCAACCTCTTGTTTCCCAGCTCTTGAGGCGTCGTCATAACCGAGACCGAAAAGATCTTCGTGCTTATGAAAATGCTAGTATATCAGGAGGCCTCATCGGCGGCCCATGATTTGAAGAAGGTTATCGAAGGGAGACGGTTCCCAATGATCTATGCAGGGCCATGTAGACTGAAGCCTGAAGGAACATGGAAAGGAACTTCAATACGTATTGGCTGATTGCAACGCAGTGGATACGACAAGAGGGTTTCCCTGACAGGGCCGATGACGGTAAGCGTTGAAATGAGAACGCCAGCACCACGCCACCCGTGCTGGCTGACCAACAAGACGGCTGGCCATGGGGCAAATGGCAAAGATGAACAGGGGGGCCAGGGCGGAGATCAAACAATGGGCCCTCCGAAAAGGCCTTGAGCGCCGAGACAAACAATCGTGACCGACCCCCGAAGATTGCAAGCTGTTGATCAAGGGCGGTGTCGCTGCAAATTCCAAACATGAAGCAAGAAAGAGTTTAGGGAAGTCGAAGGATTGTAGAGAATCATGATGTTTGAACAGAGACTGACCGGAGAAAATCAAACGCAGGCAGAGAACTCAATTCAATTCACTTTGCGTGATGTCATGGCGGAGGCTGAGAGGTGCAAAAAAGGGATGAAAATTCCGTCTGACAGCCTATCAATCTGGTGCCCTTCCCGTGCATTTCGTCAGGTCTGCGGCGGCGTCTTTCCGTGCGATCCGAGAATCTTGTCTGTCTGACAAATGCCGATTAATTCATTATCGCACTCTGGAGCCGTGTGCCCTTGGTGTGCACAGCTGCGCTGGTGAGCAACGTGGCAAGCCTGCAAACTTCGACCAGCATCTGTAACCCGTCCACATCTCCCCTTTTAAAATTGCCGAACCATGGATCCCCCAGATCCCAATCCAGGGTACCTACAGTAGGCACCGAGTAGTGGCAGCAATTACAATCCGTCAATACGAGGCCGAAGACTCGTACGCAAAGTGCCCGCAAGCAGTGGCCTCCCACTTGGAAAGGATGTAAAGTACTGACATTGGGACCAGAACAACTCTCCACCCATCGTGTCCCATCGCCCCCGCTTGAACCAGAAATGCCGAAAACCGAGTTTCTCCTCTCCTAGGTTGCCAAGATGCCTCGACGGTTGCCGTGGCCATGATGCAGGGCATATGGGGTCATTGTCCAGACTGTTCGCCGACTCTGTCGTACAACCTCTAGGTGCTTTTCACAGGTGCGGGGCGCAGGATGGTGATACCGTCCATTGTATCGATCCAGGCAAGCGCAGAAAATAGTATCGTCATGAAGGCTTTTGCGGGGAGGGAGAAGCGAACACTCGTTTTCTGGCAGGAATGGCACAAAATCGCTACCCACTAGCCTCTGGAAGAAAAGAAATGGCACAGTCTGACAGAGAATAGACGCCATCTCGGAATCTAAGCAGTCGCTCAATAGCGACGAGGTGGCCGCCAGATCAAATAGCTTAGGTTGTTAATAAGGATAAGGACACCGTCATGCCCAAGGACAGAATAAATGCTCTTTTCAATGATGGTTACCTTTCAGTCAATAGTGAATCACCTCTCTGTACGAGTATATTTCTCGTCAGACTGTGTCACTTATTTTGGACATTGGCTTGCTACTGCTCAGTACTAGGCATAGAACGGCGTGCCAAAGGACAACACAGCCCAGGGTACCGCTGTCAGTAGCCCCAAGCAGAGCGGGATGGAAACAACCTCTGTCGTCGGGACCCGCCCAAGCCTGCCCCCCCCCCCCCCTGGAACCGTTTTCCCCTTGAACATTTGGGTAAATGGAGTACCTATTACCAAAGACAACTGATAGCGGACAACTTTCAAGGCTTGCCGAGGGTGTAGTGCAGTGCGGACTCGCAACCGAGCACAACGTATCTGCGTCTCAAAATACACACCCTCTAAACCTCCGCATTTGGGCTGTTTCAACAGGCGAACCGCCCATGAACATATCCACTGGGCCGAAGATTCATCTACAAATCACCTTGACTCTGCTGCGTGACGGCATGCGCAGTCACAGTTCGAGACGGATCTCCAGACCACCTGACATGGCGATCAGTAGCCTCTCCCTCCGACTGATCCGTTGTCGCTTCGGCAAGATCGTCGATGCGGTTGTTTTCTCTACTGACAGCAGTGGGCAGGTATCTACTGTGTACCCAGCGAGCGCAGGCACGGCAGTGACACAATACCTCGTACAATGAAGAACTTACGGAGAAGCCCAAATGAAGCCCCTCCCACACAATCCTCCTTATCCCCGTTCGCGCGAAAGCGATATGAATAGCGGGAGAAGTCTTGACATCTTCCGAGCCGTGCCCCGAGACCACCTCTCGGGTTATCTGTAAGGTACTCCGTGCATGATACGGGCCACACAAGGAGAAAGAGGGGGCCAGCACCTCAATGAACAACAGGCGGGGCTCCAAAAGGTGGGTTTACTGTGTCTGTCTCTTCTGGGAGGGATGGAAGATGTCCGTGGAGTTGCGTTGCGCGAGAAGGGTGCTTTTGCCAATAGAATATTCATTGTGCCTTTTTCAGTAGACAGAAGAACCAACCTCCTTGCATCTGTCTCGTCCAGAACGTATAATGTCCATCCACCCAGGATTGATTGACATCAGTGAGCTTCAACAGCGGCGACAATAGGTGCCCTTCGCTTAGACACTTCCTACACCGACGCCCCAAGTAAAGAGTCGGGATTTCCTCGCTTCGCTGATGTGCCGGTAAGATGTTCGGTCATCAGCCACCTTTAAACGTGTGCAACGGCCAGCAGCGAGGGTATAGCGTACGAAGGTACATTCTTTCGACGACATTTTGGCTATCCTCAGGCAGAGATAAGATGTACCCTTTTGCGACCGCGTTTGATGATTGTTGAAATCGTATTTTCGTGGCGCAGCACCGCGGATGTTTGAGCAGCCGAGTAGGCCTCGTCTTTTCCCACCAATGGCCGCTGCGCTCCCTGGGCGCAGCCTGGAGAGCCACCAAACAAGCGAACCAACTACTCCTCCTCTATCGCCCATGCTTGCTCAGCGGAAGCTGCAGCCGTGCAGATTATTCCCCCTTCTCGAACTGGCTAGCCAGGGACCTCAATCTACCAGGCCTGTGCTCGTCCACCATTCTTTCCCAATATCGCCTCCTCGAAATATCCTAGCACCTGCGAAAGGATGAGCTTTATATAAGGAGCTCTTTCATATAATGGCTTTGCCTCTCTAAGACCAATGCAGACTGCACACAAACACGCGCCATGATCACTCCTCCGCAGCCCGCCATGACCGCGCCGCTCGATCTGGAATCTGCCGGCCGTGAGTTCGACAAATGGCTGGATTGGAATGGGACTGCAAATGCCTTTCCACGAGCTCTCGAAGAAGATAATCTTGCTACGACAACTCAAAGTCTGCTCACCCTCCCAATATCTCCATCGTCGACCGCGAATGGGGATTCCCACCCTACCCAACTCAAGACCGACCTCCTCACCGCTCCTCCCTCTCAAGATCTGTTGACCCCGCGACACAGTTCAGCTTCTCCAGAATCACGATCCAGTCTTGAGATGCGACTCAGCGGAGATACCCTCAGAGAACAGCCAACCCCAAGCATGCGGCCCATGCTCAAGCGGAAACTGTCACCTACGGACGTACCAACCATGGACTATCGCCATGATGCACCCAATCCTGCTGCCAAGAAGCGGCCGCACAATATAATTGAGAAGAGATATCGTGCCAATCTGAATGAGAAGATAGCCGAGTTGAGGGACAGCGTGCCTAGTCTTCGTTTCGCTCAAAAGTCCAAGGTTCGGGAGTCAGCCAACGGGGATTCTGACGATGACGATCTGGACGGCCTCACTCCGAGCAACAAGCTCAACAAGGCTTCGATCTTGACAAAGGCAGTCGAGTACATTCGCCACCTCGAATTTCGTACAAAGCGTCTAGAGGAGGAGAACAAGTCGCTAAAAGAACGGCTCGAGACCCTGGACAAGGTCATCGCTCAAGGCGGTCACGATGCCCAAAGAGCTGCTGCTTTCACAAGCAACGTGGTGATAGAAGAATCTTCACCCGCTTCAAGCACCCATTCTCCCTCGTCTGCACCGACAAACACAACAGCCAACCCTCCACAAGGATTGATTCCACAACCTGAGAGTTGGAGACGTCTACGACAAAATCAACCCCAAGAACACTATGGCCACATCTACGAAACCCCATCAGAACGCTCCAAATTCAAGGGCAAATGGCCTACGAGGATCGTTCTAGGCTCGATCGCCAGTCTAATGGTGATAGATGGCCTTAGTGAGTCCGATATGGGCTCAAAATCCCGTGAGAAGGGTCTTTTTGGAATTCCTCTCGAGCTACTTGACGGCTGGAAATTTCTACGGTCACCTCGAATATACATGGCCGCTTTCAGCCAGTTCTGTCAGGCCGGTGGCATCATACCTTTGATCAAGGGATTCATCGCTCTGACATTTCTGGCTTTCCTCATCTTTTCATACTTGTTCAATTCGAAGCCTCCGCCAAAGGCTGATGTCGAGGAGTTGGGCACGCCTTCGAGACAGGTTCCAGCTCCGGCCTCGCCCATTCAAGTTCGACGCCGCGCCTGGAGCACCAGCATGCAGGAACTGCATCTTCCTCACCATCACTTCTTCCCCGAATGGATGGCGATCACTTGTGAATGGCTCAAGTATACCTTTGGCTACGTCTTTGGGGCGCGGGCCTATGCTTGGCTTACCGGTCGCACCGCTGACGACGACGTGGCTCGGATCAAGGCCTGGGACATTGCAATTGACGCACAATTGGCTGGTGGTGATGCCGAAGTGAGCCGAAGCCGATTGCTCCTCACAATCTTCGGCGCAGGGACTCTGCCCCGGTCGCCTTTACGGTTGATGCTGAAGGCCCTCCATTGCCGGGTGCTGCTGTGGAATGTGGGCTCACTCGGAACTGGAGTATCCAGGATCGCTAACCGCGTCGGGAAATTCTTTGCAAACAGACAATGGAGCCGCGCCAAAGACTCGCACGACAATTTACCCCTGCATCATCCGGATCCCCTCCCTCCGTATCTCTCGAACATGCTTGAGATGCCGTGCGATCACGTCTTCCTGGACACGGTCTGTCAGAGGGCGTACAATTTGATGTATGATCGACCCACACAGGAAGATTCTACAAATCCTCTGCTTGACGTCGTTGTTGAAGACCATGCGGTCAGATCACCGCTTGACGCAGTTGCCGCCTGGCGGTCAATGGTATCATTGACAGAGGCTTTGGAGCTGTCTTTACACTCACCCGAGGCATCCGATCGCGTCCAAGAGCACTTGAGCGCTGCGCTCAAAATCGCGCCACCTGGTTCCGCCGCTGAAACGCGGGCGTTGGCCGCAAGCTCGGTGCTAAGCAATACTGCTCGCGCGGACTATTTCGTGCGGGCGTCCGATGCCATGAAAATCCTGTCCACTCCTGTTCCGCAACCAGAAGCCGAGACTCGGCCCCCTTATTTCATCGACTCGTCGACTCCGCCATCAGCTAGGACTGATATTATGAATTGTTTGCATTGCGCAGAAGCTTTACGGATCCTTGATCGTGAAGATCACAGTGCCCAGGATAATGAAGAGACGGCGTTGGCCTTCTACAATGCGAAGAATCTCGAGATCGAAGGCACGCACCTGTTGACGCAGGCAGCGAGGAAGCATCTTCTCCAGCGTCTGCCAGCAATTGAGAAGCCAGCGACCGCTGGGAGAGAAGAGGTTCGCGTTCTACCACACGATCACATATTCGCGGCTGACGTGTTGGGTATGCAAAATAGCCAAAACAAGATCCTGCGCCGGTATAGCGAGGCCAGCACCGACTCTGGCTATGATAGTCAGGATGCCTGTATATCCTACTGGGACATAGATGCTGGGTCACTGTCCTCCGCTTAAACAGCTCGATACCTCTCGCGAGACACGGGATTACGGTCTGAATGTTTAATAAAGAATCAGAGCTGGTCTTTTCCTGATGGCGGTATAAATGATAATGAGCTGCCTCTTGGTCGAATAGTATACGGGTTTTGTCGATGTACAACACTTTTCAATATAGGATTATGACGAATTAATCTAAGACCTTATGACCGAGCTATGAAACAGCGTTCAAACCTGCAATCGCTGGACCATCTGCCTCTTTGGTCGTCGGTGATGCCCAGTGACTTCTTCCTGATTTTAAATGACCTAAAATCATGTCATTTGAACATTGCGTCGAGCTTGCGGTGGCTCGTGGTGGTGGTGCTCATGAACTCGTATGTAATTGCACATCTCTTCTGGTGTCACTATTTCTCTCTGCCTCTTTGGTAAACTCTTTCATGTCGTTGACCTTCCAGCCACCTATTCAGAGCGTTTATACGAGATGGACGAGAGCAAGGATACGAACGAAGCCCTCTGGCAAATCGGTGTCTTCGACGCCCATTGCCATCCCACTGATATCATGGCCTCAATCAAGGACATTGCAAACATGAAAGCGAGAGTTCTCACTGTCATGGCCACGAGATTACAAGACCAGGAGATGGTCCGAGACACTGCAAGGAAATACCCGCTGAAGGACTCGACTTCGACTTCTAGAGGCGAATCCTCGAAGTACGTGGTCCCTGCGTTCGGATGGCATCCTTGGTTTTCCCACCAAATGTACGATGACCTGGAGGAGGATATGCATCCTAACCAGGTTGATCATTACAAAGCAGTCTTGACTCCGACACCCGATGACGAGGAGTTCCTCAAGGCCCTACCCGCCCCTCGATCGCTGCGTGAGTTTCTCCGGGAGTCAGAGGAGAGACTGGAGGAGTTTCCTTATTCGTTGGTAGGGGAGGTGGGCCTGGATCGCTCATTTCGGCTGCCCCAAGGCCCAAGTGCCATGGCCGGTGATATCAAGGACAAGACTGGTGGTTCGGAGGAGGACTACACTCCCGGTTCCCGCGAGGGGAGACCACTCTCTCCCTATCGCGTCAATATTGAGCACCAAAAGGCGGTCTTAAAGGCTCAATTCGAGCTTGCCGCGAAGCTACAGCGCCCACTCTCTGTGCACAGCGTCCAAGCTCATGGCTTGGTGTTTGACCTTCTGCAAGCGATGTGGAAAGGCCATGAGAAGCCATCAAAACGAGAAAGAAAGAGGGCTGTGAGCGCCCCAAGGGCTCATCAGGACGAGGAAGATCCCAATGGCGCTGGTCAACAGAAGAAACTTCCCTTCCCACCCCGCGTATGCATGCATTCATATTCTGGGCCTCCAGATGCATTGAAGCAATTTCTCGGCCCTAATGTGCCAGCGGAGATCTACTTCTCCTTCTCGACAGCAATTAACTTCTCAAATGCCTCAACAACGAAGGTCACCGGCGTCATCAAAGCGGTGCCCGACGACAGGATTCTGATAGAGAGCGACCTACACTGTGCTGGGGAAACAATGGACCGGCTTCTTCTGGAAATTATCCACAAGGTCTGTGAGGTCAAGGGGTGGGATCTGCGAGAAGGAGCCCAAAAGTTGAAAGCAAATTGGGAGAAATTCATCTTTGGCTCCAGTGCCCGAGGCTAGAGTACTTGCTCCGTCGTGAAAACTGGACATATCGGTCTCGAGAACAGCAAAATCAAGACGACCTGCCATACGCCCTAGAGACCGACGGAGACTAGCATGAATGGCCGAGTCCAGGATGGAAGAGCCTAGCAAGGCGTTGTGTTCTGGTCTTTGCTGTCTACTGCCGGCTTTGTACCAGGACTTAGAAGCAACAATCTTCACTGACACCTCTGGGGATATAACAGCACGTGGTCGAACTCGAGGCGACACGACAGACACCCACAAACAGTGCAAATGAACTCAGGACAAAGGTCAGATCGTTCGCCAAGTGATCGAGGTCCAAAACTATTCTCTACTGAAGACATCGTTTTCACCTGTGCTGGCATTTGGAGAGGTTGGACGCGGAGTGCCTCGGCGAACCAAGTGACATTCGACTCAGGTTTCGACAGCCGAAGTGCAGTCTGCCACGTTGTGAAGACAGGCCAACGTGCTGCCTCACCAGGTCCGTATGATTTACTTTTCCGTGACTTGTCGCCATTCTTCACAACGATCATCTTCTACAACCGCCCTCGACAGAACACACGGTCGCCATCTCAATGAGCATCAGATATCCCGAGACAGCTCAATGTCAATTTCACCAAAAGATGTCTTTCGTCTGGATCCTCCTCAGAGGTTCGCCTATACAGACTTCGTTATCTGGGCACCACTTCCTCGACTCCCCCAGGGCATGCCCGCAGAAACCGCAATGCGAAAATACCCACGCACGCGCTTGAACAGGCTGATCAGGGCAGTGGAAGCTCGCCTCGGAAGACGTCGTTGCTTTTTCAGCGAGGGCCAGCCGAGAGACCAAAAGAAGGAATCACAATTTGGAGTTAGTAGGCTCTACGCCATCTATGAGGTCGAACATTGGCCCGGCGCGTTTGCGCAGTTTGACTGGACACAATTTGTCATGGCGAATATTGAACGCGACGCACTACGCAATGAGTATGGACGCAGTATGAAACCGGCATGTACGTCTCCATCCGACCACCTCAGATACCCTGAGTGCTGCTGATCTGTTTCCGCTCAGTGCCCACACTTCCAGCGTCCGCTGTGCCGATCTATCAGGAAATGCTGCGACAGGAAAGTAGCGGCTCGGCGAGGATAGAGGTCAACTCGGGCCAGATCGCCGGCGTGATATTCAAGGGTCAGATACGCACCTTTCCAGAGGAAGACATTCCAACACAAGCACGACGAGATGATCCAGACCAACAGCACGAATTGGTGCGGGCCTCTTTCATGCCGCAGCTCTCGACTTCTCCCAACATGCGCGACGCGCTCTCCGAGCTCAGCAGCGAGCAGCTTGAGGAATTAGTCCGCAACGACCAAATGTTTCGTGACGCCTGTCAATTCCATCAAACCGTCGTCCACAAGGAACTGAGACAGATGAACCGTTTTTACCTGCGTTGCGTCGGTCGGCAGCCCGGCATGCACCTATTGACATGGCAGGAAGTCATGCACGAGGCACGAGCCATGATCAAGCTGACGTTCCTCCAGCAACTGGACAAGTGGAGGCGACAACAGCCCGACGTCCAGTTCGACGTCCAAGACCTGACAGGGACGATCGTGGACCTCCAGCTGAGATATCTCATATCACGGGTCCGGCACCACGATCCGATTCCTCCACACGCTCCGCCCCGGTCTCAGAGAGAGCTCCACCGCAAGCATCAGATCGCCGCTATGCTGAGGCAGCGACACATCCTCCGGGAATGGACGGCGGCTGTCGCGACGCGGTCCACTGTCCGCGACGGGGAGAGATATCGGAGGGAGGGAGAACATATCATGGACATGTGGACCGGCACGGTCGAGGAGGTTGAGGCATTCGACGAACGAAATAGGAGGGAGAATACGGCGCTCACCGCCGACATGATACCCATGGCCACCCCGCTTCGCGTTCACGCTCCGCTGGCTGACGTGCACACTCAGACGGAGGGCCGGGAACAACAACAGCAGCAGCAGCAGCACCCGCCGGTCTCGTCAGAACCACCTCTACAACTGCCCGGAGAAGACCAAGCCCAAATCCCGATCCAGGGAAGGGAGCAACAATCGCAAATGCAACCGCAAGGACAGGACCAGGCGCAGGAGGGTCCGGGAGTGGAAAAGGCGGAGACAGGAACACAAGAACGCGGAGCAGACAACGCGTCAAGGCAAGAACCGCCGCAGGAAGATTCTCTGCAGATGGCCACGCCGGTCTGCGAGCAATGCCCGGAGCAGATCCACGCACAGGCACAGGAGCAACCCCTCGCCCCCCGCTAGGGTCGGAGCACGGTCACGCAGGACCACAGACACGGCTTCTCGAGCACATGGAGGTGGAGGCTCTCGACATATGACCGCGCCCACCAGCTGGAGCAAACTGACACTTTCCACGCTCTGGGCCATTTGAGGAGAACTGTGCTGCCGGTCATCCATGTCCATGTCCATGTCCACCTTCTCCTTTGCTTGCAAGAAGACAGGGAAATAAGCGAAAAAAAAAGAAAACGGACTCGGAAAGGTCAACGTGTTGAATCTGCATTGACCTCGTCCGCACGGAGAAGAGAGACATACCCACGAGCCAGTCTGGGTACAGGGATCGGATCCATCGGCTTAACCACCTAATACCCCTTTGTGGATCGCTAATTAGAGCTTAAGCCTGGCAGAGGATGACGGGCACGGAGACATGGGTTCGGGCTTGGGCGCATTTTCACGACTGGATACCTAAATAACTGCGTGGCCATGCCATGCTTGCTGCCTTTGCTGCAAGAGTGCCGTTTCCGTCCTGCCTTGCCGCTGTGCGATGAATCTATTCACGGATCATCAAGACAGGAGGGGGAGGGGATGGAACAGGTGACAGAGGCGACAGGTTGGATCGGGAAATAATGATGATGCATGCACAATAGGACGCCGGAGCAAGAGTCAACGACGCTGAAAGATTCGAGTCGAGTTGTTCTCAAGGGGCAATCAATGTGCATTCCATCACAGCTTGACACTGCGTCAGATCTCATTTCCCTCCGTTCCATTCTGTTCCATTCTAACTGACGCCCTGCCCAGAGCGAAATGCTCTCGTACTTTGTACAGGCTATCGCTCTTGCTCTTAATCTTGCTTCATTTCCCGTATTGCTGTGTCGACTTGGTGGTCACCACTGCAATCATCCCTCATCGGGTCGCATGGCGAATGACCAGACTGACCGCATCATCGGCGATCTTGACGCCCATGCCGCCGTCGACATTGACGAGGGCAAAGTACGCCTTGCCCGTCAGCGGCGCGATCCACGTCGTGCACGCCCACCCGTCGCAACGGCCGTCCATCCATATCGCCTCGCCGCCGGCCCAGTCGCGGGTCGCGGTCATCCAGCACCCCGGCGTCGAAATCTGATCCGGCCCCAGCTTGGTGTAGAAGAAACCACCACCACCACCATTCGCGGCGGTGTTTTCGCCTACGCTGCCGCTGTCGCCGCGCAATACCGCTGTAGGCATCCCCATGGCAGCGCGCAGGTGCATGCCCACAAAGGCCGCGTAGTCGGGCGCCGAGCAGGAGATGCCCGTCGAGGCGTAGAAGGCGCCGCGGTGCAAGACATAGTGTGCCGGGTCGAGCGGCTCCCTTGTATCGGCGTGGTGGCCGCATGGCTGCGTGGGATTGTCAACGGTGGCGGCAGTGCCCATGGACGCGTTCTTGTCCGTCTCCGATCTGCCAAACCTCGCCGAGTACATCTCCAGGGGGTCGAAGACGAGCGACTTGACCAGACTCTCCAGAGAGGTCCCCGTGCGCTGTTCCATGGCCGAGGCGATCAGGATGGGGTTGGCCCAGTTCCACGCATACCCGCCGGTTCCGGGTGTCGTGTCCGGCGGCCGGCCTAGGTACGAGATGGCGACGGCGAAGCGCTGGTCCTCGACGCTGGCGCCACCATGGCGGATGTAGTCGAACAGTTCACCCTCCTCGACGCTAGTGATGTAGGCCTTGAACCCGGACAGGTGGGCCGCCAGCATCGCGAGGGTGGTCTGGTGATGGAACGGGTGCACGCGACTCGCCGCCAGCGACGGGAAGAGCTCCAGCACTGTCTCGTCCCAACGGAACAGGCCCCGCTCGACCAGCACGCCCAGCACCGTGTTGGTGAAGGCGTTACTGTTGGCTACGACGAAGCAGTCGGCCCGCGTCACCGCCGTCGAGCAGCCCTGCCTCCGGTACCCGACGACCTGGATCTTGGGCGGGGCGTCGGCCGACACGATGCCTACTGCCATGGCCGGCGCGGACTTTTCCTTGCGCAGGTTCTCGAGCGCGGTTTTGAACTTCGCGTCCGTGTTCATCTTCCACGGCGCAAAGTCCAGTTGCTCCTCGGGCGCCGAGGGAGGACGTGGTTGTGTTGGTTCCCGTGCGGGCTGCGCATTCTGGATCGCGGGGCTAGGTATAGTCTGCTTCGATAGCTGCACTGGCGCTGGCACTGGCTTTCGATTCAAGGCTGGCTTTGGCCGCGGAGAATCTGCGGCGAGTGGGACATTGGGAGAGAGTTTGGGAAGATAGCGGACTTCGCGTGTCTGCGGATCGATGGTGTACCTGAAGACAGTGAACGAGACGAAAAAGACGTGATGGGGTGCAGCAAAACATACCACAGGTCATATTTGGCATCATAATGTGTGTGCAATCCTCCTTCATGCGATGGGACTTCCGTTGATGCTGGGCGCGATTCGGGAGTGTTCCGGCTTGGACCCAAGCTCATTGATCCAAGGCTGGAAATGATCGGGTCCGGAACATCGCGGTCATGCAAGGCTTTGTAGTCATCCAATGAGTAAATAGTCTGCGTGTCATCGAACTTCATATCCAGAATACTCTCGGCATAGTGTTCCTGAGGGTGCGCCTGTCTGATGGACGCCGCCCCTCGCTGGACCTGATGGAATGTGTCCTGTCCAGATCGCAGGATGGACAGGATCTGATCGATCGAGGACGAGTCGAGTGCTCTGAGCAGCAGGTTCAAGGCCGAGCTCTGGCCGCGGAGCTGCTGGAGAAGTTCATTCATCGACTCTTCCTTCCAGAGGTACTTGATCTTCTTGCCCCTCCCTAGCCTGGCGGCGGGCTTGTTCTTGTCAATGTCGATGCCGTCTGCTGCCGCCAACTTCTCAATCTCCTTGCTCAGCACCGAGAGGGTCAGTGTGCATCCGACCAGGGAGAGGTCGATGGATTCGATCACGAATTCGGGATATCGAGCCATAGCCGACTTAGAGACGGTCGAGAAGTGCATTTGTAGCTGAGACAATGCCGCGGCCAGCACGGTGCACTCTGTCTGCATCATGAAGACGCACCGCTGGGCATCTTGGTACTTCTCGTAAATGCCCGCCAGAGCCTTGCCGCTGCGCACGACGCAGAAGACGAGGCTCGATGTGGCGGTTGCGATGCTGAGCGGATCCATTCAAACTCGTCCGAACCGTGACACGGGTTCCTGCTGGTTTGTTCTCCGCGATCCTTCGTTTTCATCAATCATTTCAGCAACAAAAGTTTGTTGAAGCTAAAGGTGGGTGGTGGTCGTAGGTTGAGGTCCAAGGCAGCAGCAAAGTTAGCCGAATACGAGGCTGAATGGTCCAGACCATTGGCAGCGATAAAAGACGGAAAACTGCAGGCAGCTCGCATGCGGCTCACCTCGACCGTGCCGCCTTTAAAGACCCGTCACCCACGACCCTCCCTCCCCTCACCCTCTTCTCACTTCTGCTCACTTCTCCTCACCTTGTCTACGCACCCGTCGACTTATGCTCGATTCGAAAATGGGTCCTGTCTTGACGCCGATCCGTGCCTCGAGCCTCCTCTTCCCCTACACCTAGAACTGGGTACCAGGAGACGAGCTGTAACCATGGCGCGTAGCTGTGGCGCGAAGGATAGGTGATTGCAGGTAGGAGCTGCACATTCTTGCACTGCCGGGGCGCGCGCGGAAACCGTGGTGCCCGTCACGCAAAGGGTCGACTGCATTCGATCTTCTGCGTACATAGCCAGGTAGGTTTCCTGTGTTTTGTGGAAATGATGCCGAAGTCTTCGTCGAGAGGCTGGATCTAGCGTGTCGTCCAGATCCGGTAGATGATCACCAAGGCGCATGTCCATGGTAATGCGAGCGGCGAATCCAAAATGCAGAGGAGAAACCGAATCATTGATCTCTTTCCACAAATTCAAGAGGAGAAATCCTTGCACCGTTTCCAAAGTGCACGTGCGAGTGAAGAAAGCGTCAGCTGCCAGATGGCGGATTCGGGTGTATAAATTTTCTTCCAAGTCCCGCCACATTGTTGCGGTTTCCTGGCTTGATGCTTGGTGTTCGATGAAGTGCTAGGAGTGCTCAGCCCCTTCATTCTAGTCTGCGAGTCTCGCGCTAAGATGGAGGATGACGGTACAGAGGAAGGTTGAGGAGCGACGGAAAGTATGATAACCGTTCTCAACTACGCCGAGGAGCCCGGGCTAGCGAGAGCGGTGCGCAGGTACCGATCCCACAATCTCTCAGCATCTGCAGGGTCAAGAATTCCAGCGATGACTGGCTCAACTAGAGGATCGCAGGAATGATCGCACGATATCCAAGTGGGCGTTACGCACTCAAGTTGCGAGCTTAGGGATCCAATAGGTGGCAGAATACTTGCCAGTGTCTTCGGACCATGGTGTACGGCGATAGTCGTATCACTGGGGGACGGAGCAGTTACTCTGTCGATGTCGAACGGGACCATCAGGTGTGGCAAGGTACGCCGGCGCCCTTTGCTGTAAACATCGGCCCATAATGCAGATGCTAAAACTCCTGCGCTCCAGACCGGAGTGCCATCCCGGGCTTCTGGCGGAACAGCATCAACTGGTTTAGCTGTTGACCACGCTGACGGCGCCGCAACACTATGACTCGGCTTGGCGCGTCGGTCACTAGAGGGTTTGGAGGTATGGGGGTCTGCTTGAGACTCGAGAGCGGCTTGGTGGTTTGAGGTAGAAGGCTGTAGGTCTTGATTTGATTCCAGTTGGGTTTGACGTTCTGAAGGGAGATTGATTGATGTGCAGAGAGCCTATAATTTTGTGAGATGCCGCCGGTTTGACTGTCATGTTTGATGATTTTGTTGTTCTAGACTCAAGTACTTAACCACTTTTGGGTCTTCTTCCTCTGCGTTTAATGAGCACAAAGCAATCGAACCCATGTTTGACACAACGAGCACAAGTATCAGTCTGGTCAGTAAACCGGTCAGATTTTTGCTTGGCAAGTCGACATTCTATACATGCCGCGGGTCGACTTGGTGAGCCAGGACTTGGAGTCATTGCTATTGCCGACAGAATGTACAAACGAAGACTAAACAACAAATTAAAGTGCCCGCGGGTACTATGAGCCGAAGTCTGAGGCTTTGTGAAGTTGTTGAACCCCTGAACCAACAGTTAGAGAAGAGAACTATAGCTTACTAATCGTTTCCTCAAGGCCGCGCTTAGGTGCGCTCACGTGACAGTGCCGCTTGGAGACCTGAGTATCCACGTGACCTTCTCGTCCCGCTCTGCTCGCGTCTACAATATACACGTCCTTCCCCTAAACTCACCCCTGCTTGGGCGGGTCCAGACCGACTCTGATCTCCAGCCCTGTTTCCTTGTGAATGAAGACGAAGCTGATGTTCAAGCTGAAGCTGATCAAATCGTACCAAGACGAGCTGGGCACGCCAAAATTAGGCTTGAAAAAGCGGAAGATTAACCCCACGATCGATAGCACCCATGGATCTGCCGCATGCTCACATAGAAGATGTTATTAGCAATGTCCGCCCAATCACTCACTCAATTTGCCGACAACGTCTATGACACCTGCACTGCTTGTGTATGCAACACATACCATCAGCTCGGCATTGCGGGCTTGCCCGAGGCCGTACCCGAGACGAGGCAGATCCACATTGCCCGACAGCGGGACGAGAGGGTGATGGGATATTGAAAATGTTTCCAGTGCGTCAAGCTCATGTAGTTGCTATCTCAGGGAAGACGTCTGAAGTTCAGCCTCTGACCCCCGGACTTCATCGAGTGTTCATGTCCTCAGCACTCCATACTGGATCGCAAGAATGCCAAACAAGATCAGAGACGACCTCTATAAGGCGGATTACACTTCCTTCCCGTACATCTTTGAAGAGAATGTGACTATCAAGCTTAAGAGCTTCGAAGGATTGGTCCGGTGCAACATCTACCGGCCAAAAACGCCCCAGAAGGTGCCCGTTCTCGTGACTTACGGGCCTTACGGCAAAGACATCCATTTGAAAATGTGAGTGGCTTCTCTGCCCTCTAGCCCGAGTGAATGCCTAGAGACTTGAGTGTCATTTAACAATAGTTACAGGTTCCATCCAGCGTCATTTGCCGAGCTTAATTCCAAACACAAGTCTGCGCACACATCGTTTGAAACTCCAGACCCAGGGTTCTGGACCGCCCATGGCTACGCCGTTCTCCGAGCGGACGAGGTCGGGCTAGGCCAGTCTCCCGGCATCCTGGACACCATGTCCCAGAGGACATCGGACGCCTTTGCTGATGTGATCGAGTGGGCTGCCGAGCAGCCCTGGTCCAACTCCAAGGTCGCATTGACAGGCATCAGCTACTTCGCTGGCAGCCAGTGGAGGGTAGCCGCGCGGCGCCCCAAAGGGTTGGTCGCCATCTGCCCCACGGACGGAATGGCCGACTACTACCGTGATCGTTGTCGTCACGGTGGGATCCTGACAGGCTTCCTGTCGCGTTGGTTCAACAATTCGGTGCTCTCCAATCAATATGGATTGCCAGGCAAGGCGCAGCGGAACTGGGGTCCCGATTCACTGGAGGGCGACCTGTCCGCAGAAGAACTGGCTCGGAATCGTCACGACCAGGTTGTCGACAACGCGAAACACTTTTACCGCGACGACATGTACTACGCGTCGCGCGACTACAGTCTGGAAGACATCGAGGTCCCGATTCTGTCCTTTGCCAATCTGGGAAGTATCATGATCCATTTCCGCGGGAACTACGAGGGATTCCGCCTGGCGAGCTCCCGACACAAGTTCATCCGTTTCATCACCGGACGCCACGACCTGCCCTTCTACGACGATGAACACGTCGAAGTCCAAAAGAGCTTTCTGGACGCCTTTTGCAAGGATGACGATCGCGACGGCTGGACAGACGGGACACGGCCGCCTGTCGACTTGGTGTTGCGCAGAGGGAACGTCGGGTACAACAACCCCTCCGCAGAAAAGGCCTTCGAACGGCGCTTCGAACATGAATGGCCGCTGGCCCGGACTCGGTACACAAAGTTCTATCTGACGCCAGATAGCCGCTTGGACCAGGTGGAACCGACGGTGCACTATGACAGAGTATCTTATCGGGCGCTCGGGAACTTGGACAGTCCCCAAGCGGTGAACTTCAGCACCGATCGACTACAAGCAGAGACCGAGGTCACTGGGTACATTGTTGCCCACCTCAATGTCTCGGTCACTCCTCTTCCCGGGGGAACCATCCCCACCGACATCGACCTCTTCCTGACGCTTCGCCACTTTGCTGCCGATGGGACCGAGGTTTACTACACCGGAATCACGGGAGAGCCAGTGCCGCTGTGTAAGGGCTGGCAGAGGATGAGCCTGAGGAAAGTGAACCCAGAGCATCCGCGACACCGTCCTTGGCTGCCTCACCGCGACTATTTCTCGTCCGATGTCCTGCCCGTCATCCCCGGAGAGATCTATCCTGTGGACGTTGAGGTTTGGGTCACCTCTGTCGTCGCCGAGAAAGATGACCGCTTTGTGTTCGAGGTCGCGAGCGGTGATACCCAGGGCAGCGGTTTGTTTGGCCACGATACGCCTGAGCGGTGAGTATGCAGCTCCGAGCCTGGATTTCCGCCCCACTCTTTCCCCCCCGCCTTACTCCTCCGGGACAGTGGCTGACTTTGATGGGTGTCTAGGTCTGCAGAGAAGCTTGCCGGGTTGAACCACATCCATTTCAGCCCCAGCTACCTCAACTGGATAAGCTTGCCAATTATACCGGCAGCGTAACGCGAGAATACTGGCTCAGAGGATCAGACAGTTCTATCGGATAGACCATGGCATGCAATGTCCAATACACTGTTCTCTCAAGCCGCGTTTTTCTTTGGATCCTAGATGCAATAGTCGGGAATAAATATCATCATACATCGACCCAACTTCATCATGTTCATGGTACGATAATGGGGAAAATAGTAGCAAATGCGGAAGGAAAGTAATGCCTCCCCGGCACTTTTGGAGCTTTGATGAGCAAAGAGAGATGAGCGGCCTGTTTATTGGCAGTATTGCACCAGGTTTCCTAGTTCTGCCTCTCCAGGTGCTGCCGCACGGATGGCCACCAACAATATGGGGGGTTCACTGGCGCGCCTTGCTGCCAGGGTGTAACAGCTCCAGGGCATCGCGCATCACATTCGGAGTGAAGTTGTACTCGTTCAGGCCATCTGGAGTGGCTGTAGAGACGGTCAGCATTGGGCTGGTCACGCCGCATGCAGCCAGCTTCTGGGTGGAGGGACAACGACTTGAGAAAAACTGACGATATGTGAAGCGGCGAGAGGAGCGACTTACTCGGGATCGGATCCTCAACATATGGCCTAGCTGAATCGATGACTTTGTGGATCTCATCCTGTCCAACGCTCGACAAGATCTGGATGGCACTGACTCGGTCCAGACGCAAGCGTTGGAACATGTCCAGTCGGTCCTGCACCGCATCTCGAGACATTAGATCGGAGAATAGCACGCCTAGAGCAGCTCCATCTTCCACGGCCATCGCACCTCCTTGAGCCTGGTCTAAAGGGATAAAGTCGCAAATCAGAAATTTTTTTTTTTTTTTTTTTTTCAGAGAATGCAGAGCATGGGACATAGGGCAGCCGATGTGCCCAAGAAGGAGGAGGAGGAGAAGGGGTTTGGCTTACGAGGAAGCATCGGATGCGCAGCGTCACCGATGAGGACAACATTGCCTTTTGTCAACGTCGGGATGGGCATTTTTCGCGTGCACAGGCGGAACAATTTGAGGCCTTCCGCTTTTCTGTGACATTTCCCTGTCAGAGCTTTCTGCGCTGGCCGTGGATGGAGCGGTGGAGACTTTGGGCACTTACGAACACACCGCTTGCAAGTCTGGGTGCAATCCGCGGCAGCTTTCCATGAACTTCTCCCTCGATGCCGGGATATTCCAAACTACAAAAGGTCCGAAGGTAAGTAGCCGCCCGTAAGAGTAGTCCATTAACGCCATGCATGTATTCACCTTCGTTTTCGAATCCGTCAATCTCGTCTGGAACAAAGAGCCCAAAATTCTGCAAGGCGCCCCTGCATCGAGTTGTCAGTCAGCTAAATGGTCTGTACGATGTCATGCTATATTCTCCGGGGATGGTCATACTGGCGACATGGATACCACACCAGCCTGGAGTGTTTCAGCCGTGCGATACTACCACAAAAACTCTCGTTTTGAAACAAGGGTTGTGTCTGTGGGTCTTCCAGGAGCCTGGCCGTCGGGATCAAGAATCGATAGACTGCGGTCCCGGTAGGAGTGGCTCGCGAGAGGACATCGTCGCCTACCACCTTGGCTGTGAAGCTGCTCTGCATTGTGCAGGTGTGAGATAAGCCTCTATCCAGATGCCTCGTTTCAAAGTACGTTTAGAAAAGTCACTTACACGAACACCGTCTGCCACTATGATCAGATCCTTTTTCACGCGGTCACCACGTACCAAGGTTATTGTGCCGTCGAGGTCGATATCCGCGACTTCAGTTGCCAAATTGAGCTTGGCAACGGCTTTGGTATGGAGTCGTGGCTCGGTGGCAAGCTTGTTCAGCTGTTGGTGTAAGTCGACGCGGTGAAATAGATACCAAGGGGCGCCGTAAAGCTCCCTGGTGTCTGGTATATCGACGCGTCGCAAGACCTCAAGGCTGTGGGCGTCCAGCAAAGAAACCTAGGACGATATTAGATGGGTCAAGACTCGGAAACAGGGGTATATCACTCGTTGAAGCGGAGTTGCAAGTCCGGCTTGAAAATCAAATTCGTAGAAAGACAGAATTCTTGTTGCGTTCGGGCACATGTGTATGGCCGCTCCGATTTCGTTGGCGAACTTGGACCGTTCAAAGATCTGGAACCCGTTGGATCATCCCGTTCTTTGTAATGGCTTTTAGAAGATCTTGCCTCTACATTGTGACCCGATTGCACCAGAGCAACCGCGGCCGTCAGTCCAGCTACCCCGGCTCCGATAACACCAATGTTCAGAGTCTGATGCCCAGTTTTGGGCGCAAAGTGATTCGGAGGGAACGGTTTGTAGTATACGTCCTTGTCACGACCATTTCGGAGTCGTCTCGAAGCCGTAACGCTGTCTGGCGAGGAAGGGAAGGCCTGCTCGGACCCGTTCATCTTAAGAGGCCGGTTGATCGCAATGATTGTGTCTACACAGCACGGCCACAGAAAGTCATGCGAACTGTACCAGGACGCAGATATGCTATAGGGGCCACACAAAGTTCCAGTGGGCTACCCAATCTGCCGACCCAGGCAAAGTCAGAGCCGACCGTGAGTTCGGGAGAAAATATGGTTTGTTGCATGTCATGCATCGGCTTCGGCCCCACGTGCGAGAACCTTGTGATGGTTGGACATGGGGGTGCCGCTCTCGAACACGACTTCCACAAGCTGGAGACGAGACAACCCAATCGACTGCCCATTGGAGAGTGTTAAAACTCATTGGTATGACTGAAGACGAAAAATCTTGGTCACCCGCAAAAGTAACGCCACATTTTCGAGAGGGATTTCAGTATGCCGCACAAGATTGTCTTCCACGAATATGGGAATCCGGTAGATGTACTGAGACTTGAAGACATCCCAGAACCAGCAGCGCCCGGTCTTGGGGAGGTTCTCATCATGGTCACGAAAAGGCCCATCCACAACGGGGATCTTCTTCTGGTCAAAGGAGGCCACGATCCAATCAAGCGAAAAATCCCTGCCGCCGGTGTCACCGCTGGCTGCGAGGGCGTCGGCGTCATACAAAAGATTGGTGCCGGGGTCGATGGTGCCCGAGGGCTGCACGTCGGGGATAGGGTGGCGTTCTTTGCTGTGGGCAGCTGGCAGGAGGAGATTGTGGTATCGGCTGACTTCGTGGCGCTGGTTCCCCCAGACTTGGAGGACGACATCGCCGCCCAGTTGTTCATCAACCCGATCGCGGCCATGATGCTCACGCGCCTCGTGGCACAGATCGCGTCCAGTCCCCAGGCTGGCGTGCTCCGGATCGGCGCGGTTGAGGCAGTTGTGGAAGATCTGAATGGGATCAGCTTGGATGCGGGTGTCGTCCTGCTGTCGGTGGCGGGCTCGACGGTGGCCCGTCTAGCCGCCGCAGTCCTCAAAGCACAGGGCTTCACGCCCATCGGGCTAGTTCGTTCTTCGTCGTCGGCAGCTGCGCTACAAAAGGCAACCGGAATCGTGGTGATTGCCTACGACCGCGAACACTGGCAGGAAGACGTCCGCGAGGCTGCTGGAGGCCGGAAGATCTTTGTGGGCCTTGATGCCGTTGGTGGCCATATTGGCGAGGCTATGCTGGATCTCTTATCCCCAGCGGGCACCTTGATCAGCTACGGCTCGCTGACGGGCGAGCCACTTCCGGTCGATCACGTCCACTTGTGTATGACTGCCAAAAAGATCTGTGGTATCGGCATGGTCCACTGGACGCAGTTGTCCTACGAGACCAGGGCGGCCGATATATCCTACCTCATCCAGATGGTGAGAGATCATCGCCAGTTTTTCCAGGTGGCCGGAGAGTTCCCTCTGTCGGCTGTGGCTGATGCCGTGCGCCTCTTTCGCGAGCCTGGACGACAGGGGACGGTCCTGCTCGGCAATTGAGACGAACGAGACCAATCTGGGAGGAAGGGAGTCGGGTGTCACTTCTCGTCACACAGCTTTACGATAGACAGTGGGGATGCCATCTCGGCCGAATAGTGGGCACTTTGTAGACTCGACCAGGATCCAGCGATCAGACCTATCCAGCTTGATTTCTGTTCACATAAGCCTTGGTTTGTAAGATCTTCTATTTAGGTGCCATCTGCCATGCACACGCTGCTAGGAAACTGTTCAGGAGTAAGCATGCTCAGCTGCTGGGCTTGACCCCCTCAATTTCGCCGTAGTCCTCAGCTAGAGTGGACGAGCCGATGGTCAGGGGTTCGGCCTCCTGGAGGATGAAAATCATTCTCGCCCATTTGTCCTTGCTCGCATTCACCCAGGCATGGTTTGTCTGTCGTTGAATGACTATATCTCCAGTCTTGAGATGTCTCTTTTCGCCCGAGTCAAGCAAGCACTCCACCTCTCCTGCAAGGACGATACCATAGTCCAGACTCATTGTCCTGTGCATAATGGCCGGCGGTCCGCCGGGGGCATAGTCGCATATCCGCAAGACGGTACCCCCTTTGATGATGAGCCCGGGCTTCGCCCCTTCCAGAAAGGTGCGATAGTTCTGAATGTCGCCTTCAGCACCGAGCTGCACGGGAAAGTTTGAGCTCGTGTATGCCAAGAAGAAATCCACGTCGGGTCTGATGGGTTGAGCGGGCACGGCGGCCGGAATCTCGTTCGAGAAAACCGACTTGCCATCCGGCCGGTGCGTCGTGATGTATCTGAGAGGTGGCGGAAGCCCGCCGGTAATCTCAACGGCCGAGGCGACTTCTTTTGAAGTCATGTTTGCGCAAAAAGTAGCCTGGAGCGAATTTCGATGTATCCTCACGGGCGGAAAAGGGATTGGAAAGAGCCGAGCTATATATGCTACACCAACAGTGGGGAAATTGTGAGTTTACGTGCCTTAGGGTATTTCTATCTCCTGGGAGCCGAAACATATGGAGGCCATGGTCGTTCTCGGCCCGAAAACCCCCCCTTCCCTCTCTCCAGGGAGAAGGGGTGATGGATTACGCAAAAGCTTTGTTCGGCCTGAGAGCCAGGACCGCCAGGACCGCAAGGACCATCTGCTGGACCGAGTATTCCAGAGACTACACAGCGGGGCGCTCCCAATACTCTCAGTCGAATCGAGGATGGCCACAGACTTCCTAAATTGACTCGGACACTCTATTCACATCCCAATCACCCGCACAGAACTGCGTTTCGGCTTGATTTCTCTGTCGTTTCATTGTCAATTGCGAACGAGAAGCATGACCCGGCAGGAGGATTGAGGAGTAGCTTACCAGTTCCCACACCTCTGCTCCCAAGACTACCTGGTCGTCCCTGTCTTCCTCTTCGCCGACCACGCCGGCCACGAAACAAGTTGCCATGTAGTGATCGTCAGTCCCGTGCGCATCCCGGTAATTGGGATGCTTCATGAGACGGACCACTCCCCGTTTCAGCGCTGGCCCACCACCATTCTTGCACAGAACATCCTCCAGGGCTTGCCTAAATTCCAGATGGGTTGCGTCAGGGGGAAGATCCTGCGCAAAATTGTCTCTCCATTTCGCGTTGTACTTCCACTCCGTTCGGTAGAGATTGTGCACGCCGCCGCCGGATCCAATGAACAAGTACCCTTCCCTCCGCAGAGGCCGCAACACCCGCCCAATTTCCAGGTGGAAGTATGGCTCGAAGAAGGAATTGAGGGATATGATGGTGACTGGCGGCATGCCTCCCGGAAACATGCGTATCAGCATCGGGAAGGTGTCGATCAACCAGTTGAACTCGGTGTCTGCCACGGCGTCGAACCCGGCATCCCGGAGCAGTTTCACACACCGGTGCGCTGTCTGCACATCTGGATTCGGCTTATGATGAATCCATTCAGACTTTTTGACCAGACCAATGGGTTCAGGTTTGGGATTTGGGTTGGCTGCCACATGCACCTTGCGTCCGCGGACGTCCCAGTGCGCCCCCTAAGTAGTCATGGCATTGGCCATTGCTTCTAACAGCTTCATTCTGCAATTGCGCTCACCATCATGATAATCCCTCTGACCGGGTACTCCAGCGCCTTGTCCCCGTGGTATCTCCAGTAGTCACGGACATGGGATTGCTCGCCTGTGAGCATGGTGGTTCCATGTGACAAAAGTAGGACGGGAGGAGGTCTGCGCGACTCAGGCATGATGCCAGTTGTTGGAGAGTTGTTTTGGGAAAGCGGCGCAGGATGACGGGGAAATCGATCGTGGAGAGGATCGAAAGGTACTAGGCTAGGAGTCCAAGTGTAGAGATCCGCCCTATATCTGCTCTCGGATGACAGCATTTCCGGTTCGGGGAGCAGCCGAAGGGCTGAGTGGGATGCACCATGGCTGTAGCCAGCCCAACGAACTTGGACTCTGAACAAAATGGTTCACTACTGGACGGAGCCTTTGTTTGAGACGTACTCAAAACAAAACGTCTGTCAGGAAATGAGAGAGGTTCCTTGTCTATTCTGAAGAGGATCTGGGCATTCCTCGTCTATATAGGCCAGTTGACCTTAGTTCTGAGTTGGTCTGAGACTGGGGCTGGACTCCAACCTCCTACAGTTCAACAGTATGACACAGACCCAACGAAACCATTCTACCATTCCCCAGCAATGCGACTTGTGAAAAAGTTGTTTTCAAATCCTAGTCTCCTCAAGATGCGTTCGGCCATCTAAGCTTGAGATCAGCACAGAGACTTCACACCCAGATCACCGGTACTTACTGCGAGATAGCCACATCCTTTAAAGAGCACCAGAATAAATACATCTGCGACCAAACTGTTCCCCGACAGCTCATGCCATTCGGGGTGATATCGAACCTGGCGGTAGTTGGGAATCCGACGATGGTCTGTCGGCCACCAGGCGGGATTGTTGGCACGTGTGTGATCGCTGGGAGATCCCGAAGTCACAGATGGTGAGGCATGGCTGGGTTCGATAAAGCTCGTCTCTCCCACTAGTCTCGCTGTCCTCGCGAGGATCTGCTCCGTTGTATTCGTGGTTGTCGTGGTACTCGCAGACATTTTGTGACGGCGGTTACCCTTTTCCTATGGAAGAGACTACTTTCGATGAGTGAATGGCCGGGAAACGAGCATGCGATTACATGGTCGGCCCCGCCGTCACGAGCAGTATGCAACTGGGCTGCCGACAAGTGGAGTGGCTTCGGCCCGGTGAGTATGCAAGACTGATGCGCCATGGGTATGGCCAAGATTCTCGTCAGCCAGGCGACATCCCATACGTACAACAATTCTCGACGTGTCGTGTCCGCCTCCAGACAGCCGTCTGAGGTCCTTGACCGTCAAAAATAGGTCTCGCGACCCATCATTGTGAGCCTCTCACGATGTCATCTAGAAGGTATGTGCTCTGGCCTAGGTTGGCCCAATGCGACAGTCCAGTGGATAAGTGGATGTTAGTGCCGAAACAGTCGACCTTGTCCTCAGCACTATTCAAGATGGGCGTACACGAGATTTGAGATATAGACAGAGGCAATTGCGTTCATTGCACGCATGGATCACCGGTCATGTGGCCGACATCGAAACCGGCGTGCAGAAAACCGACCATCTATCTCGACCCGAAACTCGACTTCTCACGATCCTCAGTTTGAGCAGATTACGGGAAGTTTATGATGCGCTGGACCTAAAGACAGAGCTCGCCGACGAATATCGCATCAAAAATGGTCAAGACCACGCCGGTCGACAAGTGCCCGAGGAATTGACATATGTGGTTCCGGAGCGACGCCTTCTCTTCTACAATATCATGAGCATTTTATACGTCTGTATAGCCGCTGGTTCAAGCGTTATTGTCGAGGTATGCGGCATTGCGCATCCATTTGTGCCAGGGAATCTTGCTTACAGTGTTAGCTGCCTGGAGACCTGGGGGACGCCGGAAACCTTGTGCAGAGTGTCTTTCGCGAAGCACTCGACAAGACCGCTTTCGTCACTCTCCACCATCGGGGCCCCGCTGATCTTCTCTCGTGCTGCCTGGTCGTTGACCAGACTGGGCTTGTATCGACTGCAGGGGTGGGAAGGCTCATCGGTAGTGAAATTGGGGCCGCCACTGTGGCAATCGTAGATCGGACAGCCGATCTCGACTTCGCTGCACAGGAGATTGTCAAGTCGAGAGTCGCCTTTGCGGGCAAGGGAGCCTACGCCCCAGGATATATCCTCGTCAATGAGTTTTCGGAGACCAGATTTCTAGACCTGGTCTGCAAATATGCTGACGAGGTGTCTACGCCGTCTCTCAACGGCACAGACTCCACTCCGATCAACCGCCCAAGCGACGCAGAGAAGGAGAAGGGCCAACAAGAGGGCAAGGTTGTCTTCGAATCCCCTGCTTTCCGCCTCATCAAGCTCTCTGACCGGTATGCCTGTCTTTAGGTCAATGTTCATGTGCACCGATGCTGACTCTGCTTCTTTAGCTCGAGCTTGTGGGATTCTCGCCCGGCGAGATCAATTGCGTTTCTGGCAAGTAGCAGCCACGAAGATGCTATCGACGCCGTCAACGCCGGCGGTCAAAAGGCTTTACTTGCGTTATACGTCTTTGCAGATCCGTCGGCAGCCAAGTATTTGACCCAGTTCGTCCGGACTCGAGTCAGCTTTGTCAACTACATTCCAACACAGATACTAGGTGAGTGGGTCGTGGATCCCCTTGCCCAATGGAGTAGCTCTGCGCATGTCTAACGAGTATACATACAGCTTGGCCAGCCGCGCCGGCAGGATATCCAGTCTCCCCAGACTTCCTCTACACCCGTGCTATGATTGAATCTGCGAGTCCGCAGTACCTTCGTCCGAAAGAAGCAGATTTGGGTCTGGAAGAAATGAAGCAGGAGACCTCTACAGTCTGGGAAGCACGGTATTCGTCCGCTCTGGAGCCGCTCAAGCCTACGGGACAGCCCAGAGAAGGAAGTGCGAATTTCTTTTCGCAGAGCTTGGTGGTTGGCGTCATCTTCTACTTCGTACCACTCCTCTTGGTAGCGGCCGGTGGCTCAGTGGTCATAATCAATCGGCTCTGGAGATGGCGGCCGTGAAGTTTACTGTTGGGAGATTGCGTTTTGCTTCATGCATTGGATTACAGTGGTCACGTTTTATGTTGTGCTAAGTCCTCGTCAACATTGATGCTATCATCCAGCACGTTCAACTATCCATTTTTACGAATGCTTTCCCCCCAATCTCTTATTTCACTAGGCACATGCTGAAACGGAATGATCAGCCAAGGCGGTCGGTTTTTGGTAGGGATGTCTTGTGCCACGGAAAATCCAACCGTACACATGGATCCAAAACATGAACTGCGGTGACATGCACTTGGACTTTGTGCCCGTGTGGCCAGTGCCTCTCACTCGAAGATGCAGCTCGACAGTCCTGCACATCCGACCCCCTGTCCCTGCATGGTATCGGGTGTGCGGGCAGTCTGTGGCGAACGCCGACGACGAGTGGATATGCCTCAGGATCATCAGAGTCAGACCCTCTTGTCGTGTCTGAGATGGGCCATGACTGTACAAGATGTTTTCACAGGACGCCTACGCCTGATAATTGGATTTTGCACAGAGCTTTACGAATGGCGAACATACTCGTGTTGGGCACTGGCTGCGTGGGTTCAGTGTACGCTTGCATTCTTGCCACGGCATCTCCGACTCGAATCACCTGTGTATGCAGGTCCAACTATGCCGCTATCAAGGCCAACGGCTTGAAGGTGTCATCGTCAGTCCTGGGAGACCTATATTCCAAACCCAGAGTCGTCCAAAGAGTGGTCGAAGCCGTCGCCGCGCACCCGAACGAGCCGTTTGACTATGTGGTTGTCTGCACCAAGGCGACCGCCTCTGTCACCGCGACGGTGATCGAGCAGATGAGGCCGGCTCTCACGCCCCAACGGACCGCGATCGTTCTCATCCAGAACGGCCTCGGAGTCGAAGAGGCGTTTCACAAGGCATTTCCGGAGACGACAGTTATTTCCGGTGTCGCCTACGTACCAACGACACAGATTTCTCCAGGGGTGTTCGTGCACTCGGAGGTCGAGGTCCTTCACCTCGGCCTATACCCGTCCGCTCCCGCCTCAGCCCAGCTGAAGACATTCGCTGAGCTCATCCGCCGCGGACAAGCCACGGCCCGGGTCCACGACGACATCCAGACCGAAAGATGGGCCAAGATAGTGGCCAACGGCACGGTGAACCCCATCTGTGCCTTGTCCCGGTGCCGCGATCGCGAGCTCGTCGAAATCCCAGGATCGGGACTTGCGCTGTTCCAGGGCGTCATGCAGGAGATTGCGTGCGTTGCGGCGAGGGCAGGCTACGGGCACGTTGTGACACCTGCGCTGGTCCAGGCCCAACTGGGAAGAACGCTGTCGCGGACGTCGCCGGGCGTCCAGCCGAGCATGATGGCAGACGCTCTGGAGGGCAGGCCTATGGAAGTCCAGGCCGTTGTGGGCGAGGTTGTCCGCATAGCTGAAGAGAAAAGCGTCGACATTCCCCGCCTGGCTACGCTGCACGTGCTTTTGACTGGACTGGACAAGGCGCTACAGAGAGGGAAGGATGTGTGAGATTGCTTTTTTTTGGTGTGTATTGAAGCGAGAGTATCTAGAATTGTATATAGCTACTGATCGACAATGAACCCGTCTTTGTGTGGTCGCATCTTGATGGGTTGAGTGAGAGGAGGCCTTATCTGGGACGCGTCCTCTCGCAGATTGACTCCCAGCCCTGGCCGGGTAGGAATGGTCACGAATCCTTCCTCGACCGGAGGGCAGTAGTCGACAATGTCACTGCCGAGGTGCTGCATTGTGGACGTGAAGACGCCAGCCTCGAAGCCCGTGGCATATTCCTGGATCGCGAAATTGGGCACGCTGGCCGCAACCTGCAGACAGGCTGCGAGACCTATGGGCGACAGAGGGTTGTGAGGCACAATCTGGACGTTGTGCGCCTCGGCAATGGCTGCCACCTTCATGGCTCCTGTGATCCCGCCGCAAACCGCGACGTCGACGCGCGCGAATTCCAACGCATTGCGCGACAAGTGGCTCTGGAACTCGTAGAGAGTGCAGAAGCGCTCACCGGTCGCAATGGGAACAGCCAGTCGGTCGGCCACGCGCGCCATCGCATCGGCGCTTTCGGGCCGAATGGGGTCCTCGACGAACATGGGATAGGTGTCTTGGATGTTGTTGCAGAAGGTGATGGCTTCGGCCGGGGTCAGGCGGCGATGGAGTTCAATGAGCAGGTCAACCTTGTTTCCCACCACCTCTCGCATCCGTCTCACGTTCTCCTCAGCATCCTTCATCTTCTTGATATGCGTCTTGAAGTACACGTTGTCAGTGCCCTCATCGAGGAAAGGGTTGATGTGGCCAAACGCCGTGAAGCCGTGGTCCATCTTGCGTTGGCATTCGGCCAAGACCTTCTCAATCGTCTTCTCGTAAATGTGGCCATACACTCGGGCCTTGGAACGGCATCTCCCACCCAGCAGCTCATAGACCGGCACGCCGAGCGCTTTCCCTTTGATGTCCCAGAGGGCAATGTCAATGGCTGAGATGGCGGCGTTGATAGCCAGGCCTTGAAAGTAGCTGAAACGGTGCATGACATTCCAGTGGTGCTCGATTTCAAACGCTTTCTTCCCAAGCAGATACTCTGCGAACCTGACGATGGCCGTTGCAGCGGTCGTGATATGGCCCCAAATGCCGGCCTCCCCGTATCCCGTGACATGTTGGTCAGTGGTGATACGAACAAACATAAACTGCCCAACATGGAGAGGCTCGACGCTTGTGATTTGCATGTCACTTGGTGCCATGGTGGAGGACGATTGAATAGTTCAGACCGCTGCCGCCCTCGAGATGAATTGATCGAGACCTGACTAAGATCCTAGACTCTCTTTGACTGCTGTCGCGCTGGAGCGAGAGCGCGATCGGGAAGTGGCCCAGTGTCCCGAAGTGAGGGGCCGAGAGCGTGCCCAGCGCGCTGCCGGTCGCCGACTCCACAGGGAGGTAGGAGGTAGGACTCAGGAGGTCGGAGGTTGGAGGTAGCAGGTAGGAGGTAGGAGGTGAGTGTCGTGCTGAATCTCAGTGACCATTTTCCCAAGCAGCATCTTTCTGTCAACCCTAAGACATCGTATCAGCATACCGTAGCCCAAGCTGTCGGATCTCCGAACCACTTTTCTTAAGGCCCCTGTGCCTGGCGCTGCCTTCGCCTGTAGACTCTGATGACGGAGCGAGATGACTTGCACCGCCGTGCTGCTCGCAGTTGCAGGGATTACCAAGCGTCCGTTGCAGGTCGAGACGGCTTAAGGACGTGGATCAAAGAACTGAATTGAGTCTTGCGGGGGCGCCGGGGTTTTTTTCAGCGTGGGCGCTGTGGGGAAGCCTTTAGGCCAAGACAATGGGAGGCTTCCAGTTAACTTAGACACCGCCAGAGCTTGTTTCTCTTTTCTCTAGCCACCCTCGATCAAAGCAGCTCATCGCCATGATGACCCCTCCCCCTCCGGGAACCAGCGCGTATCAATGTGCTATATGCAAAGAGCAGTACAGTCGTCCTGACCACCTCATCCGCCATGTTCGAACGCATACAAAACAGCGACCTTTCGTGTGTGTTGTCTGCACCAAAGCGTTTGCGCGACAGGACTTGTTGAAACGCCATGCGCAAGGTCATCATAACCAAGGCCACACCTCGAAGACGTTCCAACAGAATGCGGACCGGTTGGCAGATTTGGGACGGTATGGTCCACGGGTCCGCCAAGCCTGCCGTGCCTGTGCCATGAAGAAGCTCAAGTGCACCGATAGCAAGCCCTGTCGGAGGTGCACGGAGAGAGGCATCTCCTGTGACTACGACCAGAGTCCGGAGCCTTCCCAACATGACGTGCCAATGGACTCTGAGGAGGCCCCGATGGACCACGACTCGTTGCTGCTCGCAAGACCGGGCCAGACTCCTGAGGCGAGCTGGCCAGAAGTATCAAGACATCACGACACCCCGGTCCAAGAGGACGACTTTGCGCAACCCCTCGCGGCTGCTGACACCGCCAACCTTCATGCAGTCCCAAGCGAGTTCCGTGCCCACATGACACACACAGAGACGTTGAGCTCGGCTGCTGACGGACCTTTTCAGACCGTTATAGGCTGCACGTTTGACCTTCCAAGCTTCGGCGACTTCATACAGGATGATGCCGACCCCGTCATGGGCGATCTTGACTTCCCTTTCTTCCCCGATCTCGTCACGACGCCTGCTGGGCTGTCCATTGGGTACAAATCATCGGACTCTATGACCGTGGAATCGCCGGTGATGGGAATGGGCACAGAAGCATATCGAGGCTCTCACGTCCGGAAAGGATGGAATCCGCAACCTGGGGATAACAGCCTCGAAACGGAGAGCCTCGAGTTGCCATCCACCGCAAGGTTGGAAGTTTCGTCTACCCTACTCAACAGTAAGCAGATGCTGCGAAAGGAGGACCTGACCGTCAGCACCAGAGACCGGCTCTTGGCCATGATATACGCAAGGACGTCGCGATCCATTTGGGAGCGGCTGAGCTCGACTTTCGAATCAGTCGACGTCATCAAAGGCATAATCAACCACGCCTTGTTACATTTGCAAGAACATCAGATGATCCCCTTCATCCACATAGCCTCTTTCGATCTCAACCAGCAGAGGCCTGAACTGCTCGGTGCGCTGATGGCATACGGCGCGGTCTGTCTTCCGTCCGCCAACCTGCGAAAGTTTGGATATGGCTTGCAAGAACTGGTCCGACTGGCTGTCAACCATCGGGTATGCCTCTCTTCTCATCCACTTTTGATGCATCTCACTGACGCTGACGAGTATAGCTCGAAGATGAACACGCTTCGGTGCGAGATCTTGGGATGGCGCAGGCATATTACATCCAGTTGTATCTGGGATTTTGGAGCGGCATCAGTGCAAAAATCGAGGCCGCCGAAAGCAGCTCCATGCTGGGAGCGACGATTCTGCGCCGGGGAAAGATGTGTCAGGCAGGCAACTATCAGCCTCCCGAAGCATTCCTCGCCCTCGAAGGCCTCTCGCTCCAACAAAAATGGTTCAAGTGGGCCGAGCAAGAATCTCGGAAGAGACTGGTCTATTTTGCCATGCTCCTCGACGCCGGAGTGTCCTTGGCCCGAAAGATCAGCCCTTTGTTCGCCTACTCGGACATCACGACACCGCTCCCCACGGTCAGCCGACTATGGGAGGCTGCCACCGCCGACGAATGGCACCGCATCTTGACGGACGACAACAATTTGAGGCTCCAGCAGCCGCAACCTGTCAAGTGGCTTTTGCGCGAGCCCCAGCTGCTCAGCGCCGACCAAACCATCGTAGACACCACGGCCGCGGGAGCGGCCATCCTGGCCGGCTATTGGGCGCTCGTCTACGAGTATCGCCAGATGGAAGCCCTTCATCGCAACGTCCAAGGTTGGAACGACTTTGTGCTGAAATCTCGACACACAGAGCTGGTCTCGCTCCTCGACCGATTGCGAATGGAGATGTCTGACATCGACAGCCGGCGCCCGCAGATAGTGCTCCTGCAAGAGCTGATACTTCTGCATCTCAATGCTGCCTACTACGAGATCTCGGCATACTCGGGCCGCAGTACCATGGAAGATGCCCAGGCTGCAGAGCCCTATGTACAGTGGTGGTCCGACAGTCAACAAGCCCGCCACGCCATCTGGCATGCAGGCCAGATCTTCCGCTTCGCCCGCAGCCTTCGGCCAGGTACCCTGACCGACATGTCTGTCATTGCCCTCTATCACGCCACCGAAACCATGTGGGTGTGGGGACTGCTGCGACGCATTCGGCATCCCGACCTCGACCCCAGCAGCGTCTCACCAGTTGTCCTGGATGAAGATGAAAGCCCGGCCGTGACCAAATTCGTCAGGATGTCGAGGGGACAACCAGGCGTCACGGGCTTATCAAGCTCCTTTGTGCCACTTGTTGAGCCAGCCTCGGTATCCGATCTCGCCAACGATATCCTCAAGGCCAATTGGGGCGCTCAAACTCAGCCCTGGACCACAAGCGAAGTGTCTCGACTCGTGCAGGGATTTTCCAAAATCTCGCGCCACGGACTCGCCGGGTGATGCGGATCTATCTACAGGAGGTGTCGACCGCCGTGCGCGAAGAAGTTAACTTGTATAATATACGTGTAGCTCATTCGATCTCCTTGTCAACCGTGTACATATCTCGCTCTGTCAGTCTACAAGGAACAACAAAGCTACTGAAGAATGAGCGTCACGGTGGTCGGGTCAACGTTGGACAAATGCCATTGACTGGATGATGACTATCACTCTGTGCCATCGTGTCAACGCATCCTGGGATCTATGATCGGCCAGCATAGAGGCTCCAGCATGAGAAAAGACCGCATCCAATCAGGCTTTGCATGTCAGCCTTCGGTACCCACGCCCACGCATTCGTCAAGTATAGAGTTCATCCTCAGTCTCGACAGGGGCATCGATCTTGTTGTTCAGATCTTGTGTTGGGTTGATGGTGAAGAAAGAGACTTTGAAGAACTTGTCAGCCTGCATTATCCAAACCTGGTGTGCATGGACCGACGATACCATCGACCGATGGAAGACTTGACTTACTGATCACACCCACAGCTGCGAAGGGGATCGCTGCGTACCAAACGGCATGGAATGAGTCCAGATAAGCGCGCTTGAGCGCCAATACCGACGCCGCTATGATGGTAGGACTGACACCCGGCACGCTGGCCAGACCGGTGGCGTTGCCGGCGGTCAAATCCGCGAGAAACTCTTGCAGCGATGATTCTGGAAGGCCGTTTCCAACCGCGACGGCGATCACCTTCGCGGGCAAGAGACTGGTGATCCTTCCATGATAGATTGCGACGCCTGATGTGTTGGTGGGTCAGCCGTAGGCTCCGACGATGCGACGCTTACCCCATGCAAAAGTATATGAAGCTTACCTATGGCAACCGCGAGAGTCACTCCCAGAGAGCGGATGGCAGAGATCAATCCGCTGGTGATAGATCTACAGCAGTTCCAAGTTAGCCAAAACCACCCTGACTAGAGGACGTTGCACACAAACATCAACTCGGGCGGCGCGCTGAGCTGTGCCGCAGATACCAGGGCCGATAAAGACAGCGTGAGGCCGCAGCCCAAGAAGGCTTGATAGCCCCAAAACGCCGCCTCTCCTGACACGGTCGACGTGGCTATGGTGATGCAGAAGAGGAGAAACGAGATGAATCCTGCAATTGCCAGGAGTCGAAGGTTTTTGAATCGATACGAGATATAAGCGGCTGGTACTGCTGCGGCGCACGAGACCAGTACTGCGGTAGTGTAGCTGCCACGCTCGTCAGCCTCAGATGCATCATAGGCAAAGTGGGAAGAACTTACACCATGGAAACCCTCCATGTTCCCGAGCCGTACACGGCCGCCTGCTGCAACGGTGAAAAGACGTTGGCGATCTGGCAACAGTCAGCGACTTCAACGCCGGCTCTTGGGCTGGGCGCCCGTCCGACACATACTCCGAAGACTGTTTCGAGTAATCAGTACACATGATCTTAAAGGGTCGCCGACGAGAAGAACTCACTCATTCCTTCACAGAAGACGCCTGCGAAGCCCAAGGCGCAATTGCGGTCCCGCCTGCTCAGATCGTCAGTCTACAACAGGGGAATGGCCGGTGGTCAATGGCGACGGGCGATGCTGGAGAAGGTCTTACGAGAAGAGGCCGTGATGGATCAATCCATCCTTCTTGACTTTCCACGAATATAGCCCGAGCGCGATGAGGAAGGCACAACCAACCACAAAAGACACCAGTACGTGTTTATCTCGCCACGAATCTAGCGGGGAGGTTAGTGATAAATGAACTCGGGGATAAAGATTTTGCCTCACATGGATTTTCAGCCCACGATAAACCCATCACGAAACAGACCGCACCAACAAGCACGAGAGCATAGCCGGTCCAGTCGAGCTGGACGCTAAATTAGGGCCAGCCTTGGGGGGGAGGACTGAACTCCTGACCTTGAAAAGTTTCTCCCGTGTGGTCAATGATACCTGGAGTTCTCTCGGCGGAGGTCGATACAACCAAAGCGTCACCAGAGCCGAGAAGACAAACAAACCAGCCTGAGAAAACCGTCAACAGGGCTGGGATGAACACAGCCAAAGTTGTTGCCACGTACGTTTATGTAGAACAACTGGCGAACCCGATGTCAGTACGATTGCGAGGTCCAAAAATTTTTCAACGTCCGCTTCAACTCACAATTCTAAATCCGTCTGGCCCGTGGGATTTTATAAGAGATGCCCCAAGCAGCAGTGCAAAAATAGCACCGAGGTTGTTTGCCTGAATATTGTCAGCGTCCGAGAGCAACCTTAAGCGAGCCTTTTCGTGGGAACCAGGGAACATACAATGCCTATCGCCGCTTGACCGGCGAGCCGGAGTCGATGGGGCAACACCTCGGATACCACCGCCAGAGTCAGAGGCTAGTCATGTCCCAGTGGTCAGATAAATTCCTCTCCTCCCAGTGATCTTCCCAGACTTACCGTCGAGGCAAAACACACACCTACAAGGACTTCTCCCGCAATTGTCATTTGCATCTGGAAGTTGTCAGAAGGATCGCCGCTTCCTACAGGTTTTCTCCATCCGTGCCCACGTACTGAAGTGGCGCGCGAGGCAACCAAAGTCCCCACGAATCCGAAGAGGCAGAGGATGATCAAGGGCCAACGTCGGCCCCAGTAGTCGGCCGCCTGGCTGATAGGCGGTGCAAGCACGACGAAGGTGATCGTCAGGGCGGTAAACATCCAGGATGATATGTCAGCGCCTCCGACCACGGCAGCGACGTCAGCAGGGTACTTTGGGAGGATATCAGCCTTAGGCCTTGGTATATGATCATCTGGAGCTCTTACCACGCCTGCCGAGACGAGTTGGATCAGCAACGCAAATTGAATGATGCACATGGCCTTCATGGGTCAGTCAGCCTCACGTCGCCACCAGAATAGGATAGTGACACACCAGCACAATGAGCAAAGTCTTGCCGTGGAGTCGGGGGCGGGCATCGTTTTCGAGTACTGAGCTTCGGTCTGGGTGGACATAAGCTACATGTTCGGCGCTCTCCACCTTTTGTGTGGCCTCGTTTTCTACCATTATGGGATGGCTGGCGGTGAACCCTTGGATTCCGAGGCAACAGAAAGGCGTAACTGATTGAGAAGATACCAGATGGAGACGCACGGTGTCCTTCAGTGCCGCCTTAGGAGGATATATGTCGTGTCGGATTGCTTCTAGATGCGGTCACCCGAGGTGGACTTACCCGCAGCTGATATTAGATCGATAATCTGGGTGAACCTTCAATCCGGGGTGGTGGAGAGGCGCGGAGACGGCCAGAGCTAGCACATACCAGGTACCTCATCGGTTTTGTGGGCCACTCTTGCAGCCAGCGGAAATCAGAGAGCGGCTTCATCGCATTTCTCAACCTCAACCGAGTGTTAGGTTTTCGGGACGATCTTCTGTTATAGAGCTGACTTATCTAGCATATAAACATTCCACGAGAGAACGATGGCACAAGTGTCTTGATAAGCAATGGACCAAGGGAAGCCCAGAACGACCATTCTTGGGATAAGGTATTTTTCGCCATTTGAGCTCGTTCCTAGCGCTTCTATAAGGAGTAGAGAGGGGAAACTATTTTCATTCATTGCTTTTCTTACTTCACCGCGAACGGCGTTACATAAAACTTAGGATGTTTAGGTTCCAGAACACCCTTATCCTCCTGCTGCATGTATGCAGGCGTCATATCGGGAGTGGGAACGACATCGTAGAGCTGATAGAGCCGGGATACGGTCAATGCCAACGCCATCTCAGCCAAATGCTGCCCAATACAATTCCGGGGGCCGTAGCTGAAGGGACGGGACATCTTCTTCATTTCTGGAGTCGGCGCCTCCCAGCGCGAAGGGTCGAAATTAAGTGGATTTGGAAAGATTTTGGCATCTCGCGCCGTTGTGTAAGCGCACGTCTCGACGATGGTACCTTTCGGAACCCATCGGCCGCTCACCATCTTCCCAGGAGAGACACGTGGGCCAGACGCGTTCAGAGGCCCCCAGAGTCGCAAGGTTTCGGCGACAACGCACTTGAGGTATATCTGGGGACTGTCAGCAAAGACTTCGACCTACGGGGGCCGTTGTGTTGTGGGCTTACCAGCCCAGAAGCTACCGCATACGTTGGCATCACACCCGGGTCGGGGAATGCACTTCTGATTTCTTCAGCAAGCCGATTCCTACATACTTCATTTCTTCCGCATTCCCATAGCAGAAACGTCAAGGTCGCAGCCGTCGTGCCCGAGCCTGCGGCAAGGAAGAGAATACTGTGTTCGACCAGGTCGTCTCGCGTCAACTTCGAGCCTGTTTCCGGATCAACTGCTTCCGCCAGATTCTGAAGAAGAGACCGTTCGGCTTGGCCGTCGGATTTAGAGTCGGCCCTCTCGAGGTAGGCATCGACGTGCTTGGCGCTGAAATCTATCAGCCGATTTAGGCCTGCCAGGCCGTCTTGAACTCCGCGCAAAGGAACGTGGCGCATGAAGGGCAAAAATGCCACCAGGGGGACCACGCTGAAATAGACGGCGACATCCCCCCGAGCTGTTGGGTTCGCTCCGCTCAAGCAGTCAAACGACTGGCCAAAACTTAGCCGACTCACGATATCGAGGTACAGCTCATAGGTCTTGGACAGGATTTCGACGGGTTTGCCATGATTGCCAACCATGGTGCAGTCCACGAATTGTTGCACCTTTGTCGCAACGATGGATTCCAAGTCCGACAGCCCGCGCAAGGAAAAGCTATGAGCCAACAGCCGGCGGAGACGGCCATGCACCGCACGATCCGTGGCACTCAAGACATTGGCGTTGCCGAGCACGCTGAAACCAGAGTATACCTTGGGATCTTTCAGGCACGGAGTCGAGCTGGGTCCGTAGATGTCGGTCCAAGACTGAATGTCCGAGAAGATGAGGTGATCTGTCCCGGCGCGCACGGGACTTCCGTATCGCAACAGCAGATCATGTTGCCGGAATGTTCGGGCACCCTTGTATATGGCGTAGTAGTCCAAAAGGTCGGAAAATCTGGCGATCCAGGGACCGGGTATGGACGAAAGTGGGTGAAACCAGATCCGCCGGGCAACTAACGCGACGCAAAGCAGAAGAGTGGTGGCGATGAGGCTGGCAAGCATGGTTCTGGACACAAGACGAGAGATATGCTGGAATCCAAATGTGCGACGGTCAAATGGTGATATTGGCAGTGTTAGGCATGATCTTGGACTGGGCGATATTAAGCTGAGCTCCAAAGTCCGCCGGTCGTGTGGGGCCGAATTGCGCACCCACATCCCGGCCCGCGATTCTTGGATGCCCGCCGGAGCGGAAACTCAGATCTTGTCCCGAGCCATGTCTGTCGGGCCACGGCCAATTTTGAGGGGGACGGTGGTGGAGAAGCATTGGCACTTGTAGAATCATAGACAAAGTCGAATGGTGGTCACTTCCAGACTCATCGTCTCCTTAATGTTTACTGCTGGTCCAGGATCGCGTTTCGGCGTGAGTTGGTTGCAGCATGGCACCCGAGAATGCTCTGCCCAGGAAGCTCTGGGAGCACTATGACCCGAAGTCCACTCAGATGTGGAAGTTTTGGAAAAGCATCGAGAAGGCTACGGGGGTTGACTTTCCAGTACGGTCCGATCGAGCTTTCGTAATGCAGACTATTTTCGCTCACAAATTTTGCAGAGCTTTGAGACTCTACACCAATACTCCTGTGACCATCGTTCAGACTTCTGGCGGTACTGTTTCGAGTACTTCCCCCTTGTGTACAGCGGCACGGTTCCACAGCGTGTCGTTGACGAGGATGCGAGGATAGACAGCATCCCAAAGTGGTTCCCAGGCGTCAAATTGAACTTTGCAGAAAACATTCTCTTCCGTGGCAATGCTCAGGGAAAGCCGTGTGTGAGCCCGGGGAAAGAAAATGACAAGACAGCCTGCACCGAGGTGCGCGAAGGTTGTTTTTTGGAGCCCATTCGACAGATCTCGTGGGGAGAACTAAGGAGCCGAGTTGGTCGCTTGGAACAAGCAATGAAGGCACATGGCATCCAAAAAGGCGATCGTGTTGCCGTGGTTGCAAGCACTTCACTCGACACCCTCACGGTCTTCCTGGCTGTCACGGCTTTAGGGGGGATCTTTTCCAGTTCCAGTACGGATATGGGTGTGAAAGGGATTCTGGACAGGCTGACACAGATCAAACCAAAGCTGCTCTTCATGGACGATTCAGCACTCTATAATGGGAAGAAGATCGACTTACGAGAGAAGATGACCAACATTGTCAACGGTATGAACGGCGTTGATGAGTTCCAAGGAGTGGTTTCTCAGGTGCGATGGTGGGATTCACCAGCCGATGTGTCGTCAGTCCCACATTGCTCGACCTGGGGTCAATTTTTATCAGCAGCCACCTCGTCGCAGCTTGAGTTTGAGCCACTGGATTTCTCAGACCCTTTCCTCATTGTCTACTCGTCAGGAACAACAGGCCAGCCAAAGTGCATTGTTCATGGAGTCGGAGGCATTATCCTCAATGGTTACAAGGAATATAATCTACATCGACAAATGGACGATAACTCTTGTCAACTACAATATACCACAACGGGATGGATAATGTACCTCAGCTCTGTCCAAGCGCTTCTGACTGGGTGCCGAATGATAATGTACGACGGCAACCCTTTTGTGCCGAACATCACGAACTTCCTCCGCCTGGCTGGGCAAGAAAAGGTCACACACTTGGGTATCAGCCCCCGATACCTTCATACTCTACAGATTAACAACGTCATACCAAAGCGCGAGGCGAACCTCGACAGTCTGAGAGTGATCACGAGTACTGGGATGGTATTGTCGGACGCCTTGTTCGAATGGGTCTACGATGTGGCATTTCCACCGTCCATTCAGCTCGACAACATCTCGGGAGGAACTGATGTGGGCGGCTGCTTCGGATGTTCAAATCCCATGTTGCCGATATATACCGGTGGCTGTCAGTCGACATCGCTAGGTATAGCCGTTTCTGTATTTGACTCTACTATTGAAGGAGGCAGGGGCGTGCAGGGTATCCCCATCGAAGATGGGGTACCTGGCGAGTTGGTGTGTACGAAAGCGTTTCCTACGATGCCCATCACGTTTTGGGGGGAAGATGGTGCTCAGCGATATTTCGCCAGCTATTTCGAGAAGTACGACAACTGCTGGACGCACGGGGACTTTATCATGATCATTCCGACGACGAGGCAGATCATGTTCCTAGGGCGCGCCGACGGAGTGCTGAACCCCAGCGGCGTAAGATTTGGAAGCTCGGAAATTTATTCCGTGATCGAGGCCAAGTTCTCAGACGTTGTTGCTGATTCTATCTGCGTCGGGCAACGACGGCCACAAGACCATGACGAGAGAGTAATGCTCTTCTTGTTGATGAAACCTGGCAATCGCTTCACCCTGTCGCTAGTCAGAGCAGTCAAGGAGGCGATCAGAAAGGAATATAGCCCCCGCCACGTCCCCAAATATGTCTTCGAGACACCCGAGATCCCGGTAGGTCACCTCAACATCGCTCGGACCCTGTGCTAAAACCTGATGCAGACAACTGTGAATCTGAAAAAGGTGGAGCTGCCTGTCAAGCAGATTGTGAGCGGCAGAGTGATCGAACCTTCTGGGACGCTGCTCAATCCTCAGAGTCTTGCTTACTACTACCGTTTCGCAAAAGACGAAAACTTGATTGTGGAAGCAACGTCGAGACTGTAGACCTAGATTCCATGGCGCATGGCTGTTAAGAAATACCAAAGCTATACCCAAGTATTTAGGTCACGTGCAGGCAGACGTAGCGTGGCGAACCATCCGTCTCCGGGCCGGAGTGGTCAAAGATGGTCATAGAACAAGTCCCGGTTCTCATCCGTGGGCATGACCTGTAAACAAACATGTCTTGACCCCCATCTACTAGCATTTGTATGCCAGTAATGTAACCTGCCATGGCGAAGAAAGCCGCACAATAGCATTGACAATGTCTTCTGGCATAGCGTTCATTCGTAACGGATTTGCTCGTGCATTAGCCTTTATATTGTCTTCGCCCATAACAGCTGGGACATCTGCGTCACAGTGTTTCCCGGTGCAACACAGATGACTCTAGTCCTGTCTAGACCATAATCAAGAGCGTCGGTCTTGCTAAGCCCAAGGATGCCACCCTTGGTGGCCGAGTAGAATCTGTGTCGACTGTCTTTTATCGGTCAGGCTCCCGCCCGTATGTTATGAACTCATGTAAACCCTTCCCACCGGGTACTACAGGCCAGACCGGGCTGGTTTGCTCGGTGATCACTTCCAGAAGAGCCGGACCATCCCACTGCAGGAGCCAACGCAGCTTACTCGTAACCTCGACAGGATTTACCCATCTATCGGCCTGGACATTATACGCTGCTGAAGCTTTGACAAAATCGGGGTTGCTCTGGCGGTTTTGGGAAAATCTTTCCTGGTAGTACAGACGTTGTAAGTCTGAAATCATTTCCATTTGTTCGTTGTTAAAAAGCAGTACCTTGACTCCAATGTTGTATTGCGCGGCTGTGGCGAGCTCTGCAATCGTCATGTTGAAAGACGCATCACCATCGATATCAATAACAAGGTCATCAGCACGCGTGAGCTTGGCCCTGAGCGCGGCAGGCAGGCCAAAACCCATCGTTCCTAGACCACCAGACGTTAACATGGTACGAGGATACCGCCACCGATAGTGCTGAGCGGTCCACATCTGATGTTGCCCTACACCGGTCGAGATAATCGTCCGGTCTTTCACATGATCGGTCAGGTCGCTCAACTCTTCACTGACTGCTTGAGCACGAATGAGTCCAGGCTCTGGAGTTGTGGGTGTTTGATTGTATGCGCCAAGAAGGTACTTTAGTTTCCATTCTTTGATCTTGTTGAGCCATTGCGTTCTGGTAGCCACAGGCTGAACCAGATCAGTGAGCTTGAAAAGTTGTTCAGCACAGTCACCTTGAACCGTCTCGGTAGTTGCGACAACCTTGTCGATGTTTTTCGGGGTAATATCAAAATGAACAATCCCACCACGACCTGTCAAAGCGGCTAATCTGGCCTTAGGTGCGAGTCGAGAAATGTTGCCCGTTACACGGTTGTCGAATCGAGCACCTAATGCCAGGAACAAATCAGCTTCCTGGATGGCTCCTAGTGATTAAGTTGTTGAGCCGGTTAGGTGGGACCCCGCGAGGGGATAGAGGGTTGTAGTAAGGAACTTGGGATGGGAGACGGGAAAGCTACGAAAGTAGCGAGAGAGAGAGGGGTTGTTTATCAATATATCTTCTGTCCACTTTGTAGAATGCGACTCGCAACGCGTCGCGATCCTATCAGCACCAGCCTTAAAGCGTCGAACCTACAGCGCTGCTTTTGAGCAATTGAGGGGATAGAAGGTTGTAGTAAGGAACTTGGATGGACGACCGGTGAGACCCGGCTGAGCGCGCACCCGACTCACCCCAACTCGCGCGAGGCCGGGGTGAGCACAGGGCAGCATAACCCTCTGTCCGAAACGGGGTGCGGCGTCTGCAGGTTTCCCTCACATTGGGCATTGCCAACTCATTGGTATACTGCATCTCCCATCCAGTCCCTCAACACTCTTGAATACGGACTAGAGATGGGGGCCAAATCTCCCATAAGCCACCTTCTTGTAGAAAATACATCTCCAATTCGACTCGAGTGCCGCCGTAGAATCTGGTTTGTAATAGTGATCTTATTTCCCGGGAAGGAGATCGATCAACTCCCCGCTCAACTGGAATGTTCCTTGATGTTCTGGGCGTGATCAGTGAAACCAGCCCGGCGTAGAAATGTTGTGGCCCATTACTCCCATCCGCGGAATCTCCCCATCCATGAGTTGGGTTGACTCCAAAGCCTGCTCGCCCGCCTCATACGCAACAATCGAGTGGTCGTGACTGCTGAGACACGATGTGGTTCTCTTGGCCTCGTCGGTCACGAATCTAGCGTTGTCCAAGATATTCAGGTAGTCACTTGGAAGGCGCCAATCCCACAGTCGTTGGAAACATCTGCTGAAGAGGCCACTGTCCTAGTAGCTAGTGACCGCCGTATTGCGGACGACATAAGCAGCATCCTCGCAAAGATGCCTCAGGGCCAGTGAGAAGTTCCGCGGGCCCTAACTGGCCACCACTCCGCTGGTGCTCTTGAGTAGATCCGGCGGGGCCCCTGAGAGTCTCCCTGAATGAAGACATTCTTGCGTAATGTCGAACCTAATGCTGTCGATCTTGTATTCGTCATGCCAATACAGGCAGACCGCGCTGACGAAAGTGCGCGTGCAATAGCTGCGTTAGTCTCGGTTCTGCAAGCCGGTGAACGGAACCCTTCTGGACCGTGCACGGACTCTTGAGGTGGTTCAATGAGAAGTCGCCGGTTAGGCAGCTCGGGCCCCAGTGGTTAAAGACACCCTCCATGGTGGCCTGGTGTTCTCTTCTGGTGGCATCCTCAGATCAAAGCTTTCAGCTTCGAGATCTTTTCTGAAGGCACCCTCGCTTTCAAGTATCTTTTCATCAGAATCGAAGTTGCTCCCTCTTCCCATCTCAGCTGGCAGCGGAGAGATACGCCGCCTCTACCTGGCCACTATTGTCAACAGTGTTCTTTGCTCCCCGGTCACTTTTCAAAAAGCAGTTCCCCTGGATACCACCCCTACTCAGTGCAAGGGTAATGTTGGCGCCATAGACGACCGCCTCACAATCTCCGCCAGCGACGTTGTATGCAGCGCATTGATCGATGCAAGCATCAATGCTGTACGCAATGACGGCAGTGAGGTCGACCACAGCTCCACCGTTCATGGCGTCGACGCCACTTGGCCAATCTGTGTCGCAGAGAACAGTCCAGGTTTCGGTGCTGAGCAAAGGGGACACATAGTTTGTGTTATTATCTGCGGGGCAGTTGTAGCTTCCTTCGCCGGAGGTTGAGGTCGTGGCAGTGGAGGTAGGGGCTGTGGAGGTGCTGGTTGTGGTTGTGGTTGTCATAGTGGTCGTGTACAACGGTGAGGATGACGTGGTTGCACTCGTGGATAAGGAAGCGGGTGGGACATTCGTGGGAGTGGCAGGCTCGGACGTGACTGTAATAGCTGATGCTGAGGTGGTTGCTACTTCTGTTGAGAGTGCAGCAGCGGGAGACGTGGTGCTAGTCTTCAAAACACAGTGTCAAAAGGAGCACGAATACAGTGTGAAAGCAGCCAAACTCACGTTCGCTAACTCGGCCTTTGCGCTTCCTGAGTTGTTTTTGTTTGCAAGTACGCCGCCTATACTTCCTCCGATGATGGCGGCGACTAGCAAAGCCGTGGCTACCCCAACCACGATTATGAAAGCCCTACTGCTGAGACCACAGATCTTTCGTTGTGACTTTTCCTTTTGCCAGGCAGGGTTCTCTTGATCTTCTGTTAGGAGGTGATGAACCGCTTCGAGACCTCCACCTCCACTGCCGCCATTGGAACTGTCGTTATTGGTATTGTTAGGGTTGGCATATGCATAGGCGTCCGGAAAGGGCTGTGGCTGCGTCACGGCCTCTATACCATGGTCGATGCTCGACGCAACCTGCTTGTCGCTGTAGGATGAGTGGTCTTCGGTAGGCGAGCGAGCTTCGGCAGACACTGGCGAGGCCATAGATGCTCTTCGGCAAAAAGCGCAACGAACTTCAGCAAAAGTGGTCCTGGTGAGAGGAATGACATGCGACCGCGAGATGGAGGCACGATCATGCAAGAGCGGGTCCCAATTTTGTAAGTCTAGTCTGGAGATGTGGACACCGCCAGGCCGTCGCTCTTCAAAGTGGACGTAATTTGATTTAGCGGCGCAAGAAGTTCTAATGCACGCGTTTAGTACCTCGTACAGGGTGGCCTTACCTGGAACGGGGGGCGACACGTTTTGGAAGTGTGCCAGATACACGGAACACAATGTAAGGGCAGAGCACCAGGCGAGACAGATCCATGATTCGTAGCAAGACGAGGTCTGAAACGAGCCATAGCGCCACGCGCAACACACGAGTGTTGAGCAAGAACATATTCAAAGCATGCGTAGATCGCTAGGTCATCATGGCACAGCAAATCTGCGAACAGAAATGCGATGCGTGCGATGCACCGACTTTCAAGACTAGGAAAGGAAGAGATGACCTTCAATCAGGCGGCAAGGAAGCTCTGATTCGGATTGGTGACGGTGCTGAAATGGGGAGTTTCAGGTGATTGAAGGGGATTGTAGGGAGCCAGTCCACAGTAAAACAAGGCGAGGACAGATGGGCCTTGGCGCAAGGCTGGAGAGCTTGGCATGGACAGTCAGGTGACGGCGCTAGCCGAGCACGTGGGCGACGTTGATTCAGCCTCGCCAATTCCACTAATGGCACAGCGACACACTTCTACAGGCTCAAAGTGGCTTAGCCCCGGACCTGCCTACTGTAGGCATTCCTGGAGTTGCGATCCCAGCCTCACTTTCGTACCCCGCTGAAAGCTTTGTTCTGGAAAGAGGCACTGTAGCACTTCTGAAGTTAGAGATCGGTTTTTGATTTTGTACAGATTCTTACATTCGGTGCCAACACCTGATTTCTCTCGCTATATCTCACGAACCGGCCTTGCAACGGGCAGCTACGGTTTTCAGCCTTATTCATGGTCGGTTGCGATGGACAGACAGTCGGATCTGATCCTGGATTCGAAACTTGAGACACAGTTTGAGTCATCATTTACGGTGCATACATATCGAGAGATTTGTGCCATTTCCGAAAGGAGAGTGATAAGGAAAGAGTATTGGCATCGAGAATCTCATATTCGAAATGGTGCCTACGGAGGTGTCTGGCTTGAGAAGTGCGTGCAAGGCCATCGAGATGTCCAAATGCGCGCTGTGAAACAGCTTTCGATAAAGCCATCTAGGAATGCCGAGCGGATTGATTACAGTCGAGAGTTGCAGGCAATCGCTAAATTCTCCCATGAGAAGGTGAGTGTGGAATGGGATCAATTGTCAGCATCTGTTTGCTGATATCTTGAGAGTACGTCCATTGCTTTATTAAGTCGTTTGGATGGTACAGGACCGAAGAGTCGCTGTTCATCACAATGGAATATCTTCCGGACGGTGATCTACATCAGTACCTGTCCAAAGCGTCTCCGCTGGGCGAGGAAGCTGCAGGTGATATAACGTACCAAATCCTGGAAGGGCTTTCCCATATGCATGAAAATCGGTTTGCTCACCGGGACTTGAAATCTGGGGTAGTTACTCCCATTACTACCAAGCTCATCATCTGACTACGGAGACAGAATATCCTAATCAAATCATGTCCTCCTCGCCCATGGTAGGTCAAAATCGGAGACTTTGGAATCAGTAAACGCCTTGAAGGTGAAACTGCAAATTCGATGCTTCTTAAGGGAACCATGGGCTTCATTGCGCCTGATTTACATGGCTTCACTAGACCTGGAACCCCATTTGCTGCCGACATGTGGTCTCTGGGCGAGATCACTTTCCAGCTGACGACCAAGCAACCTGTGTTCCAGAACTTGGCCATGTTTGCCTCCTACGCTACGGAAGCAACTCAGTCCTTCCCTTCGACTGCGGTGTTGTGTTCTCAAAATATAAGCATCTCCGGACAGGGCTTCGTCTCATTGCCCATGGTATTCAGCGGCAAATCTGCACATGCCCTTGGCACCCAATTGGGAGCTGGGCTTGCCGCTCTACTTAGGCTTTACATGACTCGACTCAACTTCGGCTCAGCTTCGGAGCCAAGTGCTCAGGCTGATCGGACCGCTTGCTGAGTCTCATCGCCCCCTCCATCATCTTCACTCAGTCCCGTTTCTAGACCCCTGCTGCCATTAGCTACTCACCCTATGCTGTGTATGTATCTCTCCAAGAAGATGGAAACATCACATGACCGCCAACAGAGGTCCATACTTGGGCACCCAGGGTCCGAAACTGGTCCCCTTGCAAAGACAGTAGATGCATCTCTCCGTCCAAGGTGGTCGTGCAGGATAAGTCGCGTCTCCTATATTGCCTTCACTTTGGCAAGGCTTTCCCTAGGTGATGATCCACGCGCTGTATATATCCTATCACATGGTCCTCCCCTTCTCTTGTGTACTCACCTGTCACAACCCCAGCCGCATAAGGACTGCGGCACCTCAGGGCCAATGGTGCCTGGCAGACCCACTAACCCTAGGGGAAGGATAACCCTTTTAGCGCCCTTCGTGAGGCAGAGCCTCTTGGCTCCTTGGTCAACACAGGGGTCAACCTGAGGCCCAATTAGAGACTGGATAGCGGCGCAAAATGGTCTATATCTTGGGCGGTGAGCAGACACACCAGCCTATAAATAGTGCCTTATCTACGTCATTGAAAGGAGCGCTTATAGAAGAATATACAGTATCCAAAACCTAGTCAAGAACCCCTTTATCAGTTGCAATCCCACAAACAAGATGGCAGCTTCATGATTCCAACAGATTACGCCTTTCCAGCACCCTGGCTGAGCGCTAAGACCGAATATTAACTGGCAGGCTGCTTCCTAAACCTTGTTCCACCCACAGGCTGGCATTGAGCCGCGAAGCCAGCCTGGTGACACTCACGATACCTAACAGTCAAGGCGCTCTCACGGCGCAATGGCAGAGTTAGCTCGGCGTCGATGGGATCTATTTCATCGAGGTCGATCTTCAAAAGCTGTTCACGTCATTGCCTGGCTGGCGACCGGATCTTGCACTGAGGATATCATCAGGCTTATCAAGCGCCAACGAAAGCGGCACCATCAGGTCGTCACCCTCGGACCTGAAGTTCGACAAGGCAGGATAAGACCCACGCCAGTCACGTTCGCGCTCCTGCCGTGGCAGGCCGGTAGCTGCGAGCCCATTCTACAGCTGCGGCACAAACGCTGGCCGTGCTTGTGGTCGCCTACTCCGCCGCCCAGGCACTACAGCGCATTTGACACGTATCCTACTCTTGGGATGCTGCAGTGTCACCCAATAGCGATGGCAGTTCAGGAGTGCAGGCAGCGCAGTGCATCCAGCGCGTGCTTGCAGGCACGCCGACTGGCAGTTTATGATAGACAGAGACATGGCAGTAAGACAGCCAACTGCCAACTCTTCTTCGCTACGAAATAGCAGCCACGGCTGTACAGCCAAAACGTCTTTGGCAGATTTTATAGCCTGCTCTAAAATCTACCCACGATGCATACTGTTCATCTGAGACGCAGGAAGCACGGCCAAAGTAGCATCCATCCAGAACAACAATCGCCTGGAGCCGCGCATGGCACCACCTTAGCAGTCAATATGGCAAGTCACGGGCGAGGACGCCTTCCGGCATAATGTGGTTAGATTAGCCCAAGCACGCAGCGGCGTGGGTGGAGGACGGACGTCCTAACGCGAACCACGCGGCCGATCGTTAGCATAGCTGTGGCCTCTGACTAAGGCGCTACCCGCTGGAGCGAGGATCAGCTGCCGTTAGTGGTAGAGAGCTGGCTCAGTAATGACCTCGCGTTCATCGCGGCCGCATAGGAGGGCGTGTACACCAATATACTCAGCGGCGAATTTTGACCTCTCCCAAGTCCATATCTATTTCCAGGCCTAAATTCACTGATATCAGATGGATCCTGAACTTGTCCAGCCTTCCAGACTCGCAATTTCCAAGCGTTGTAAGATTTTCGTTCAGAGACGCGGCCCTTGGGCTCATTTGCACGAAACACAGGAACAGAGTTGGCTACCAATCGAGACCAGGCACGAATTTGAGATGGCTAACCCTTATGGCTGCACGCTGATGTTGACATAGATTTGGTGTATTCTACTTATAAGGCTGTATAACCACGGTGAACATGGCGCATTGGCGAAACCCATAATTTAGGAACACCGGATGATGAAATACGCTGTGTTGTCAGTCAGCACCGTCTGATCATGTGCCATCACACGCGCACCGTTCATAGCCTCGCGCTGATAGCATGCTCCTGCACTCCTTCTACCTGCCTCTGACCAACCATATCGAAGTTGATCTTTTTGCCAGTTATCAAGCTCTCCTGTAGAGCCTGGGCGATCTTCAACGCGTTTACTGCCCCCTCCAACTTGAAGGGAGGCTCGGTATCGTCCAAGCAACAGGCCGTAAACTCGTTGGCCTCGGTGATGAAGGCGTCCCTGAAACGAGAGTAGTAGTCGGGCTGGACTTCTCTTCGGACGCCTCCTGCTTCGTGAATGTTGACTAGGTTTAAGCTGGGTTGGACGTTGACGGAAACTTTGCCCCTGGTCCCTGTGATCTCGGTTGCTTTGGGGTATGTCGTTAGCAAACACCATCTTAGGCCCTATTGGATCGGGGGATCCTCTTACTATCTTCCTGGCCGGCCGCCATCATTCTGCTGCAAAAGAGCTGTGCAATCTTGCCACCATAGAACTCCACCACCCCAAGCGCGTTGTCACGGTCGTGATATTTATTTAGCTCCTGCGACAGGGCTGTGATCCCAATGGCAGTGACTGATTTGACGACCGCAGTTTCCCCAAAGAACCACAGGCTTAAATCGATGTCGTGGATGGAGCAATCGACAAAAATACCCCCGGAAAACTGCGCATACTCGACGAAGAACCCCGACGGGTCAAACATGTCGCAGGTCTGCGACCGCAGGACACAAGCTCGTCCCAGCATTCCCGAGGTCATTTTTCGGTGGGCGTCACGATACGAGGCATCAAACCGTCGAGAGAAGCCGCAGACGACTTTCTGCTGTGGATAGGTGACTTGTGACAGTCGGTAAGCGTCTACGACAGCTTGAGACTGCGTGAGGCCGTACTACTCGTCAGTCTTTGCTGCTTTTAACATGGCTTTTCCAATATGCTAAGGGAGAGTCAAGGATTGAACCTTTCGGGGCACTCACCGTAACGACGTCCGTGCTCAAAGGCTTCTCGCACAACACATGCAGACCTCTAGAGATTGCCTTGATGCTTTGTTCGGCGTGTACCGCGGTGGCAGACGCGACGACGACAGCCTGGAGGGCGCTGCCTTCTTTGTCCAGCATCTCGTCGTAGTCGGCATATAAACGCACTCCCTCCAGGTTCTGCGCCGCCCATTCCAGCTCTTTGGGCTCCGGCGAGCAGGCCGCGACCAGGTTGGCCCGGGGCGTCAGGTGGTGGAAGTGCGTCGCGTGCCGCGCTCCCATGCGGCCGAGGCCGACGATGGCGACCTGCAGTTTCGAGGCGCCCATATCGGGGGATTGGAAATGGAAAGAAAGATGTATATCGAGAGACTCGTATCGGAATCGACGCCTAATGTAGGCAGGAACTGGGAAAGAAGTGTTGTGGCTTTGCAGGAAATGACACGATCAAACAAAGGTAGTGGGAAGAGAGGGGATAGGAGAGGAAGAGAAATATGAGCTGTGTCGAATTCTTGACAAATAATCAGCTTGCCTTCAATTGCAAGCATTCACAGGTTAAGTTGACAGCACGCCGATATACAAGTGCTTTTGCTGCCAGTGATGCGCGAGCTAGAGCACACTTTGTGTTTGGGGTCCCGGCTACTGAAAATATCGTAGATTCCACTTTCGCCTGTCGTATCACGATGATTCGCGATGACCATAGCATCTCCGCGAGGTATTCGACCATGTGAACGGCTACAAGCTTGACACTGTTCGCCACCTGGACCTTTTTTCTGAATTTTCTCGAAATTTGCCAGTATTGGTTTAGTGTGACGGGGCAGCTTGGGTTTCGGTTTCTGCAACGGAGCGATATCTTGAATATTTCCTACCTTGGTTAGCTATCCTGCCCAGGGAGGCATCGCCGTCCGAGATTCTGCTTTCGACAATTGCTGGACTGCCGCAACCTGGTAGTAAGTGCCTCTTCGCTTGTCCAGTCCGCTCATGGTGAACAAAATCGCGAGACTTTCATGGGTGCAGCAACAAGCTAGAACGGTATGTTTGTGGCAGAAAACATTTGCTGAAGTCTGCCTCATATGCTGGGTCTGAAACTGACGCCGGAGTTCGGCTCAGTTCTAGAAGCCCAGCTTACCAAGGGGAGTATAAGATCTGCCTTGTATTAGATATTGGAGTCTATCTAATGTTGCCCGTACCAGACGCATCGAACGTACGACTGCGCAGCCTCAGTTGGCCAGGCATGCAACTCGCGTGTCAGCACCAAGACATGCTCGAGTGCCGACTGCGTTGCAAGGTCGGTGAATCTTTCGGCACCTATGCAAGCTGTCAATGTGGTCGGGGTAGCTAGACGAGGAGATACATACACATGGTAATAATCATACTCGCCGCGATCAGACCAGAAGGCAAAGATTCGTTTGATGTGGCAATTCCACATATCCTTAGGACGCAGTCTCTGACCTCAGTCTGGCGATTCTAGTTAGTCCGAGTGTCTTGACTCGATCAATGCTCGAAGCGCTCAGAGACTAACATCGGTCTTCTCTATCGCTGACCGCCGTCTCAATCCAATCGTTGGACTTCTGGGGTTGTTGACGGCTAGGACGATACGGCAAAGGTAGAAGTGAATCATGCCAATCACTGGCGAAGTGAGAATACAGCGGACTCCCGGGGTGTTCTATCTCTAGAACAAGCAGCACTTACCATGGCAGTCGTTCATGTACCAAATCTCAGGAAGATGCATGCCGCCATCAATACTCGGAGATTCCTCCAGTATCGGCAGAAAGGAACCAGGTCTCGCTTCTGCCCAGGCATCAAGGTATTGACACAATTGGAAATACTTGTCCCCCAGTGTCGGATCGACGGAATACGCCAGGCAATCTCGATAGTGCATGATGATGCGCCAGGCCCATATCTCGTCCGGTGCCGGATCGAAAGTGCGGTCGACGTTGCATACCTCCGCTGGCAGGGTTAAAGGTTGTTGATTGACGAACGAGACATGCAGCTCCGACCTGAGCATTGCTCGGTATGCAGCCAGTCGGAAGGAGCTGGTCGGAGCATGCTCCAGATCCTCGGGGCGAATAAAGCCACGAAAGCCAGTGATGTGACCTCTGGATTCTAGGCGAAGAGATTGTTCGAAGGGGGTGTCAGTTCGAAAACCAGTTGCGTTTGCTAGACTCCAGTCGTACCTTGGAGTTCTTCAAGAACATGGAGCAGAACAGCCGCAGCCAAGACCGAATCGTCGGCATCGACCCGCGGATCAGCCGTGAGGGCGATGAGATCTGTGAGGCATTGCTGGTAGAGTGCGTTTGACTGCCCTTCGTCAAACTTGCCTTGGCGGCACAAATGCCACGCCGACAGGGCGCATACTGCTTTCATGAGCACCTTGCAGTGCTGTGCTTTCTGGGGAACGATGCGGCGGAAATTTTGCTCCGGGTCACAAACGTCAAACTAACGCAAGCAACGATTGCCATGGTTAGCTCACATTGTCTACACATTCCCGGAGCACTCAGCCAAAGGGGGAAGCAAAACGTACCCATTTGTGCATTACACTAGTGAAGTGACGAAGGAGGATTGCCCGGTCTCGAGCGGACAACATGGCGTCGCTGCCTGTGGAAACAACGTCTAGACGGCTATTGTCGGCCACGACGGCAGGGACGGATGTAGTTGCTGAGGGATCAAAGAAGAAGCTTGAGCGAGGCTCTTCTGGTCCCAGCGCATCGGCTGTGATATCGCGCTCGGGCGTCTCAGTATGCGGGCCAACATGATGAGGCGGGTTTGTGAAGAAAGGATGTCTCAAGTTGCCCTCCGGAGAGGCGGACTGTCGCCCAGCCACGGCACTTTCCGCACCAAAGAAGATGTTTGAGGTTGGGTTGTCCTCACCACGCCCAGATGGTCCGCGAGCTGAAGCTGACGTTGATCTTGGCCGAGCAGGCAATGGGAACTTATCACCTCTTGAGATTTCATCAGACTGGGGTGAGATAATCTGCTTCTTCGATCGAGGCCGCGGCCCGGGCTCAACATGCTGAAAGCGATGCTGAATAAGACAATACTCCCCTGCCGCAGTACAAGGTTTGCAATAAGTGTCCCCTGGTTCATAGACACCTTGGGAGAGTCAGCCGCGGTTTCCACGAGGGTCCCAGCGATTGACTGGTCCGCACCCATCCGGGGTTTGGGTGAGCCATCGCACACTTACATCTTATATGCTTCTGTTGACACCTGGCACTGAACGACGCACACGTTAGCTCTTAGCCAACGCGTGGCACAAAATAATCTGTCAACCTCACCAACGTCTTCTCGCCCTGGTGGGATCCTCAACCTTCCTCTTGACCCCCATAAAGTTGTACGGGTCCTCGAAAGGGGACTCTATCTTCAATAACCGACTTGGTCGAAGCGATGTTGCAGGAAGGAGGATCAATTTTCTGGAGAGACTATCGAGCACAAAAAGTTACCATTTTCGTACTGAAATTCGCGGGAGGATCCTGCCTCTTATACCCACCACGGCCCCGTTTGGGGTCTCGCTCTGTTACATAGCGACGAAAAACTTTCGAGGATGCACCGAAGACCGACCCGGGGACCCAGCGCTCCGCTCTAGTGACGTCTCGGCCAATGAGACCGCAGATATTGTCAAGCGGCCGTTTCTGGCTGTCGGTAATGTTGGCATCTAAGTCCGACTATATCGCCGACTGACTCGCACCACTATCCGCATTCCCGTAAGACCACCATCGTAGACCTTAAAGTGTTGTTTCTTACTCCTTTTGGAGTCACGATGGAGCAACTGGTGATCTGGGGCTCCAGGCTTCTAGAACTTAAGAAGGCCCCGGATCCCCCCCAGAGGTGTCTGCATCACGCCCCGGCCAAGTGGTTTTCTCACCTCTTCGTCTCGAATTTTCCACCACTAGTCGCATACTAGGTTTCTCTTCTTGTTGTCTTCGTCCCCAAAGCGGCGATGGACCCCATTAACAACGACCCCGACAAGACCGCTCTAGGTCACGTCGAGCTGCTCGGCCAGGTCAGTGAGACGAATGAGGTCGCGCGACGGACTTCCGAAGTCCTTCGGAACCAAGAGAACCTGTCCTACGGCGAGAGCGGCTTAAAAGGGCTGATCAAATCGCCGTACGTTTTTTCTGCGGCGTTCCTGGCCAGTATGGGCGGCTTCTCTTTCGGCTATGGTAGGCGTTTGCCCCTTTCATTTCGCCGGACACCCAGCGCTAAGTTCAGCATCGACAGACCAGGGCGTCATCTCGCTCATCCTGACGATGCCAATCTTCCACAGGCAGTTCCCCGAGACCGAGCCCGGACACCCTCACCAGGGCTTCAACGTGGGCTTCATGACGGGCATGCTCGAGCTCGGCGCCTTCTTCGGGTGCCTGTTCTTCCCACGGTTGGCCGACAGCATCTCGCGCAAGAAGGCCATCGTCACGGCCGTCATGTTCTTCTTCATCGGCGCCATCATCCAGACGGCTGCGCACAATTACGGCACCCTCGTGGCGGGTCGCGCCATCGGCGGCATCGGCGTCGGCACCTTGGCCATGGGCGCGCCCTTGTACATCTCCGAGATCGCGCCGCCCAACCTGCGCGGCAACCTGCTGGTGTTGGAGCAGTTCTCAATCGTCATCGGCGCCATCGTCGCGTACTGGATCACGTACGGCACCAACGACATTCCCAACTCGTGGTGCTTCCGCCTGCCCTTTCTCCTCCAAATGGTGCCTGCGGGCTTCGTCGGCGTCGGCATCATGTTCTTCCCATACTCCCCGCGCTGGCTGGCCATGGTGTCGCGCAACGACGACTGTCTGGACGCGCTGTGCCAGCTGCGCCGCCTCCCGCCGGACGATGAACGCGTGCAGATCGAGTACAAGAGCATCCTAACCGAGGTCGAGTTTCAGAACGTCATCCACGGCCGCGAACACGTCGGCGCAGGTCACGTCATGCGCGAGGTCTGGGAGTGGCTGGACCTGTTCCGCCCGCGGTGGCTGCGCCGCACGGTTATTGCGATCGGCATGCCGTTCTTCCAGCAGTTCTCGGGCATCAACGCGTTCCAGTACTACGCCCCGACTCTGTTCGCGACCATTGGCATGAACATCTCCGAGGCCAAGATCCTGACCGGCATGATCAACATCTTCCAGATCATCGGCGTGACCATCACGCTCTTCACCATGGACAAGGTCGGACGCCGTCGCTTATCCATCTGGGGCGCCGTCATGATGGGCGTGCCGCACTGCATCATGGCCGGGCTCGTCGCCAAGTTCAACGACAGCTGGCCCGAACATAAAGCCATCGGCTGGTTCGGCGTCGCCGTCTTCTACTTTTACATGTTCTCGTACGGCCTGACATACGGGCCCGTGGGATGGACGCTGCCGTCCGAGGTGTACCCGAACGCGCGCCGCTCCAGGGGTGTCGGCCTGGCGACGTCGGTCAATTGGATCGCGAACTTTATCATCGGCGTCTGCGTGCCGCCAATGATCCAGGGCATCGGGTACGGGACGTACGTCTTCTTCGCGGCCTTCTGTGGTCTGGCGCTGCTGTTTGCGTACTTCTTGGTGCCTGAGACCGCGGGAAAGACTCTGGAGCAGATGGATGAGGTTTTCCACGACAACTCCGGTGCGGAAGAGCTCAGGATCAAGGCGGAAATCCTGGCTCGGCTAGGATAGATCATAGATGTTGTTTATCAGCATCAGCTTGGTCAAAGCATCAAAACGCAGCATTAATCTTCACTGCGTAGCCTGTGACAGAGTCGAAGTATTTAGGGCGTAAAGAAGCCAAGGCAGTGAGAGCAGAGACACAGCGCACTGAGCAAGTTGATATCACGCTTCGCCACTTCAACACACCGGAGAGCCTTCACAAGGCTCTGTAAGGCTGGGGGAGGGATGGTAGCCTAGGAGACTACATCTTCGAAAGACAAATATGCCGCAAGTCTTTCGTTGGAGCAAGGCACACCCAACCCCTGATTCCAGATCGCTGGTTGAGAGCGGAGTGCCATCCTGGCAAGGCATATCCGCCGCAGATAGTACAGTAAGGTGTAGCTCACTGCTGATGTCCCTACCTCCTCCAGGCAGAAGTGTGCCTCCTTTAGGCAGCAGCTTAGCCCTAAAGTTGGCCCTTACGTCTAGCAACAATAAGCGAGCCAAGCCTACGGAACTTGGCTGTCCCGAGCATGTGAAACGCCAAAAACTGGGAACCTTTAGGGGTGCCCATCCCGCCTTGCTCAGGTCGCTGAACATGCGCCTCAGGGGCTGCCAAGCGGCGCTCAGGGTTGCACCGCCACAGCTCAAGATCGCTTCGTCAGGATTCAGGTAGAGCAGCCCGGTGCTCAGGCCTGGAAGTGGATATGGATTTGGGAGAGGAAAAGGTTCGCCGATGAGTATTGTGGTATGCGTTCACCACTTGATCAAGATATCAGCACCTATAGAAAGCTGCTTCTGGCTTGTGTCCGCGAAAGACAGTTGCGGGACTTTTATCCACATGGATCACCACGAATTGAGGAAATCGCTAAGAAAGCCACGCGACAAGTTCCCGTACTGGCACAAAGGTGGCGCATAGGCCCGACGATCGCTTCGGACATTGTGAAACTGGCTCTTTACGACGTTATTGTGCACGTAGACGACAGGTGGATCCCGGGTAATACAGAGCTCCTAGACGACCTCGAGTTTGTTCTCATTCATATCGCTTTCGCCACCTCACTATTCAACGACAAGGGAATTGAGGTCCAATTCATGAACTCGCCAATAAGAGCCACCAAAATACACAACGCCTAGCAAGTCCAAGAGTTGATTCCAAGGGTTTTTGTCTATGAATGGACAGGACCATTGGCTAGCGAGCTGCCAAAAGAAGTCCTTCCGCGACGAGTATTACAGGCTACAAGATCCCATCAGCTTAACAGGCCTATCTTGGTAATCACCGTCCTGCACAACCCAGAATGGTCTTATGATCTTTCCAATATTCTTGACGTTATTGAGCACCGCCCCGAAGTTTTCGACGTTGTCGAGGAGTCCTCAAAGATTCTGCCGGACCTTGTTTACCCCCACAGTCACATAGAGGACTCAGTCGCTTACCAATTTGTCGAAGTCGGCAAAAACTTCAAGACCTTGAACTCTCTGCGCAGACATGTGAACAGGTGTTCAAGTGGTAAACCGGTTGACTACACGATTAGTAGGTGTTCGGGTTGGATGGTGATAGGTACATTGTCCACGTATGCTAACCTGATACAAGATTTTGAGCACTTGGCCCGCCAAATGAGAATCACCGATCAACCTGTGCAATTCACACGGCAGCTGTGGACGCATAAATTACTGCTGGGCTTTATCGACTCGTCATATAGAGATGCTGCATTTGCCACGAACTCCTCGAACAAACATCTGTGCCGCAAGGAAGAGTGAAAGGCCATCAAATGCAAAACGACTACTCGGTCAACCTCCCAGATAGTGGCAGACGGAAAGAGTCGGCCAATAAGCCCTGGCTTTCTCGACTATTTAGACATATAGTGGGTTGTGGCACGATCTGAGCTTCGAGGCACGACCGCCGTGCACAGCGATGTGTCTTGAGACAGCACAGTAGGAGCAGGACGTATTCCAGGGGGAGTTTGGAGAACCAGAATTCCTGGTCCAAGAGGATCTTTTATTTCTGCCTCATAATTGCTCACTGCTTGACTTCCCCTGACAATCTATAGTGCTCTCCAGCTTTCTAGGAGAGGGGGTTATTCCTGTTTGTTTTGAGCCAACTAACGCTTGACCGGCTTGTTTCCTCGTGAGGTCAGAAGTAACTCATACTGTATACTATTCAGCACTCAGCAATTTTCCATTTCCCTGACGTCCTAGCAAGAAACTGTGCCAATCTAAATTACGCGCCTCGAAGTAGGATAAGAGCCCGGTGGCTGATTTTTAAAATTCAGACGCAGATCCTGTTCAGCCCCAGTACAACCTAAAAAGGATGTCAGCGCATGTACGATGATCGATCCGCAGGAGTTGGGGCAGGCCGGGGGAAGAGGGAACCACCTTTTCCACGTATCTTGCGTCCACCAGAATCCCGTCGGCGTCTGTGAATTCGTCCTCGTCTCCAAAGTCAACGTTGTCGTCGTCGAGGCACGTCAAGCACGTCTCGACAATCTCGGCGTATCGGGTGCCCATCCGCGTGGGGAGCACCTCGCGGGCCATGGAAACCAGACGGTCCTTGATGAGCTCCGGGTCCAGGGACTGCAGGCTGTCATTGGACAGACCGAGCGCCGCTGAGGGTGAAGGGAGCATGCCAACGCCACTGCCGCCGCTGCCACCGCCGCCGTTCGGATCAGTGTAGACGACAAAGGACTCGCGCAGGCCGAGTTCAAGCAGGCACACCCCGAGGCTGTAGATGTCGTGCTGCATGATATATTCGTCCTGCGGTCTCAGGCCCTGGCGCCGCGGGTGGCGGTAGATGTTCTTCTCCCACAGGCAGTCCCCGTACGCAGCGTGCTCCCCTCGGCGTCGCGGAAGTTTCCAAACCCGACCATGCAGACAGCGTGGACGGTCGTCGGTGCGGTGGTTCTGGTGGTCATCGAGAGGGGCGTGTCCATGACCAATATGGTTTCGGGCAGGATGTTCTTATGCACGAATCCAAAGGTGTGCACGTGCCCGATCGACTGCGCCAGCTGGGCGGCCATCTTGAACCGGGCCGACAGAGAGTGCGTTGCCTCGCTGTCCAGAAGCCAGTTGCGGAGGCTCCGGGGCGAGGAGAATTCTCGGGGCAGTCGGAAGACCATTGTGAAGACGGTACTCTGGTTCTCATCAGCATTACTACTGGGAGTAGTGCTGTCGCCGTGTTCCACAACGCCTTTGCAGTTCAGGAGCCCGAACGTTAGCGGATCCGCGTGGGAGAGTTTCCTCACCAGATCGCGGATACTCCTCTTGAAGGCGCGGGCGTTGGCCCTGGCGACGGGGAGCGTGATGTGGTCCAGGATCACGTCGCTGGTGGAATTCACGCGCCGCCCAAACTCGGCCGAGCACAGAGGGATCGCGGATACTTGGATCGAGTCAAGACCGTCGGCGCGGAGGAAGATGGGTGTGGTGGCCCCGGCTTGATCGTTCAGGGCCGCTCTCACCAACCTCGCGCTGGAGATGGACGCACGGGCATGGCCCGGCTGATGGTGACGATTGAGGTTGTCCAACTCAGCGTCGATCTGTGGCGTCGCCGCCTTCATGATGAGGTACCACGACTGGTCAAACGTCCTGTGCCAGACTTCCAGCTCATCGATGGCCTTGTCCAGGCCCTTGCCCAACAGCGCGTATCTCAAATTCCCGACTTCCCACCCTTCTTCTTCCCTATCCGCGGCGTGGCTCGGTGTCATATTCTTCGCTTTCTTCGTCTTGACGTACGAGCGGAGTTTGGCGCTCGCGATGTCCAACTTGCTGGCAAAGACCCGGGGCGTCTCCTCTTGGACGTTGCGGTGTTCGTCGTCCAGGATGGGCGCGAGCCGGCGCACAAATTCCAGCTGCGACCGGGTCCGGAGCCAGATGGCTTGGAGGCGGGTGATGCGCTCGTCGAGTTCCTGCTCTGCGTTCCGGTACCGCTCGCATGTCTCGGCCAGAACCTTGCCATATCTGTGATAAAGAAAAGTTGGCTGGTTAGTATTTACTCAAGGTTGACTGGGGGTTTGTGGAAGAACGCGCTTAAAACATAGGTCCACTGTCGCTACGATTGCCAGTCCCAATTCAGCGCCAGACATGGCTTTATCAGGTATGTATAGTTTCCTTGATGAGACCGAGTTTGCAGTACAGGGAAATCCTCCCGCCAAGAGTCCTGAGGCAGGACGCGGTTCGATTTCTTGTCCAAATTGTAGTGATATCAGGCTGCTACAGCCTTACACATGCACAGCCTCGTCCTGACTTCGCCTCATCCGCTAGTCCCCGAACATTCAGCCTCATGCCAGCGCACGATGGTCCGACACCTCCACGTCGCATTGGCCTTTTCTAAAAATAGAATACAAGAATTAGGCCCTTTCCTTGGCTGCTACAACTGCAGCTCCTCCAGCCTTATGATTTATTCGACTTGAAAAACGTGTTATCTTCCTTAACTTATCTGTTCTGAAGTAGTTTCATCGAGTGTTAGACTCAGAACATCAATATAAATGACTGTCTTACTGGCACTATTGTTTGATGAGCCCTAGGCTTAGCAGCATCGAGCCATCGTCCCCAGAATGCCTACTTTTCACACAAATTGCACTGTTCCTTCTGGAAATTTCAACTTTGTCACAGCGCCTAATACGCGAGGGACACTCGGGATTCTCTGGAACTGCATTGGCACCTTGGTCTTGTGCACATGGACAGTCCTACATCTCAACGTTCCAGAACAGTGGACGCCTCAGAATAAGATACAGGGCTTTCGAAGACGTCTGGAAAGATTTGGCACCAAATTGAAGTGGATGACAATCACGCTATTTGCGCCCGAGTTCATTCTTGGGAAGGCTTACAGCGATAATTGCTCCGCCAGACGACACTTCGTGGAGGGTGAGCCAATCGCGAAGGAAGATGGCGTGGCTTGGACTGTCGCTCATGCATTTCTCGCAAACATTGGTGGAATTGGTATCGTCTTTAACAGTCAACTTGAATTCAAGGGAGAATCCATCGAAACGCTTGATTCGGCTTTGCCACTTGCGGGCCCTACTTCAACAGTGAACCTTCAATCGCAGCAGCAACGATTCCAAGGCGCGAGTCCCGGCGAGACTCAGCTGCACCATAACAGCAATGCAGAAACACCATCTGCGAATTCGTCACGAACAGATCGAGTTCCACAAGATCCTAGCCATACTGGGACCCAACAATATGAGCTTGAACCAGTTGAATCCCCTGCTCAAGAATCGCATTCAGCGACACCGAGCCCGGTTTCGGCCTCGCTCGCTGCTGAAGTTGTGCCCGAATGTACAAAAGGTGCGAATCCCCAACGCGAATGCGCGGTGGAGTCGATCGAGGAAACCTCACTTGAGACGACGCAGTCTCCGGCGCAAGTACTTGAGGAGAGGCTCTGTCCATCCCCAATTCCGACGTGTACAATGAAACCGGAGCAACTTTACCGGAAGGATCAGCTGAAGGGTTTGAACTTGTCTCTAGGTCTGATACCGGACCATTTGCGAGCGCGCAAGATTGATCAAACCTTCGGCCTTCATACGTTCTTTCAGTCTCAAAGGGTGGATCCAGGAGCGATGGAACCTCGCCTGTGGACCCGAAACGCCGTCAACGCCGATCTTGTCAGCGCAGCTATCGATAACTTGCAGCTGGACATATTTCCTACGACCTGGGAGAAACGTAGATTGCTCGATCGATACATTCCTTGGTATGCGAATTTGGGTGCACTTCAAGGCAATGTCTGGATCGTGGACGCTTGTCAACTACTTCTTGCCAGAAAGATGGGGATCATAGATCGATTGCCCTCTCTATCCGAGGACGAGGTTGATGACCGAAACAAGGGCGACTTTCTCGTCAAAGGTCTGGCTGTTGCTCAGGTCATATGGCTGTTTGTCCAACTAGTTGCGCGCGGTGCCAGAGGTCTCGCCCCATCGCAGCTTGAAATTGTTGTCCTTGCCTTTGCAGCTTGTACCTTCGCAACTTACATCCTGCTCTGGAATAAACCGCAAGATGTTCGAACACCCACATATGTCTATGCACGTCGGTACCCTTCCACCCAAGAGTTAAGTCGCCTCGCGATTTCTGGACCAGACCCATGGCCATATTACCGGAAAGCCTGCCGGATGCCAAACAATGCCTTGCACTGCGACGGTGGGTTCTTTTCGAAAATGGTACTTGGATCCTTGTTCGGCGCAATGATATTTAGAGTTCTGCACTGTGCTGCTTGGAATTTCCATTTTCCCACTGTTATAGAACGATTCTTGTGGAGGATTTCTGCAGTAACTACTGTCGTTATCCCACCTACTATGGTTGCATTCGTCATGCTTGTCAACGGCTTTCTCATGTGGAAAGCACGTAATAACGGAACCTTTGCGGCAGGCAGAGATCCAACAACCCTCATTAATTGGGTTGGGTTGGCTGCGACGGTCATATATGTGGTGGTCCGCCTTTATATCACCGTCGAAACATTCCGTAGCCTATGGTTTTTGGAACCTGAGGCCTATATGAACACTTGGGCGACCAACATACCACATATTGATTGATGGCAAAGCTAGGCGGGCCAAAGACGACAACTCTTTTCCACGTTCTCTGGCACATGACCTTTCTCCTATGGTAGCTTCTGTCCTGTTCCTAAAGGCACCCTAGGAAAACCCAAGTGCAGCACATCCACTGGACTTGTCCTCCAACTAGAGGCGAACCATGAGTGTACCGACCGACCACTCAGCACACTCTTTTACAGCTTGCCCAATGTTCCCTTCTTCAGCGTAAACAGGTTCCTCTTCCCGTCATTCCGGACCCGCCCCGTGCGTCCAATCTTCTCATCCGTGCCGGACGAAAGCTGCTTCAACGTCTCGTCGTCCGCGTGGTTGGCGATGAACCGGTGGTCTGTGCTCTTGAGTCGACCGACGATGTATGCTCGGAGCGGGGTATTGTCGCGATTGAATTCAACCGTATATGTCTGTTGTGGTTGGTTGCGCGAAACAATCAGCCATTCCATCCCGCACTTGAGGGAGTCTCCATCCTGTCCTTCACAGAACAGGGTCTAAAAGGTGCAACATCTTAGAAGGCTAACATACCTCGATGACAGCATCCTGCTCTCCTTCGACCTTGCCATCGACCTTGGGAACGGGGATGTCGGTCACGAACTCCGGCAACGGGTCACTGTCAGGGTAGGGGAGGCCGCCCCGTCGGCGCGTCGTCGACAAACATAAAACATGCTGGTAGGTCATGACGCCACCGTTCGCGAGGATCAGGCCGTATCGGCCCTTGCCCTTTCTCAATTGCCGCGTCATCTCGGTTATAGCCTGAGAGAAAGAGGGAAAGAGTAAGCCGCAGCCCATCATTCTCCCGACGAAGTGTGCAGAGACTTACGTGCATGGAGTAATTGTTTCCTGCGCCCCCAAAGCTGGTCAGGCCTCCGAGGAGAGTTATAGGCTTGTTGCCGTGCGTAATGGGCAAGTTGAGATGTGAAGCAGCCATTTTCGGGACAATCGGGAAACATCTGCAGCAACTACATGTCAGAGACTGGCTATAAGGGTGACCCAGCTACCGGCGCTGGCTTACGAATAGAAGTCGAAAAGGTCGATGTCTTCCTTGGTCAGACCAGAGACTTGCAGACCTGCGTCGATGGAGCGTTCGATTGAGGGACTCGTGAAAAAATTCGGTCGTTCCCAAACTGCGCCGCCAACATTCAGTAACTCTGCAAATCACGGATCTTTGAAGGGCTGATTAGATACGCACAGTTGCTACTGTCCTGCGTGCCAGCACCACCGAGTGCGTATATCCACTGGGTCTTTGGAATCCCCAGTTCTTCTGCGTAGTCCGTCGAGGTCAGAATGCACGCACCAGCCAGATTGATGGTGTTGAATGCGTTCATGAGAAGTGGATCTGCAATCTCTTTCGTCAGCAGACCTGCAATCACACAATCCTGCCGCCTCTGTCCGGTGGTCGGCGATCACTTACAGGGGAAGCAAATCATGCGATTGCGCTTCGTTACCGTGCCGATGACCTCCTTCGTGGCTGCCGGCTTGCCATAATTCCAAGCGTACGGCTGATTCTCTGCCACTTTTGCGAATTCGGCGTACAGTTGTGACGATTCGTCGTGGTTTTCGGGTATTGATTGGCCGCGGTGCGCACGGAAGCTGTTTTCGAAGAGCGGATAGACGTGGATGGGGGCTCCTATCGAGTGAACTGCGCCAATGTCTTGGGATGGTGGTGAGCGAAGCTGGCAAATTGAACTCGGTTTGTGGGATCCCGAATTTACCTTTACCCAGGTCTCTGCCTGTAGGAGTGAAAGGTGTATCGACTCTTTCCTTTGTTCTGGTCCATCCTGGTGGTGGCAGCTTCTTGGCCACGGCGCACGCGGTCACTATTTCGAAGGACACAATCCGTTAGCGTCGAAGAGACACCCTCTTGCTGGAGAGAGTTTTCGGTAGAGTATGTCTCTCACAGGACGCCAATGCTTCTCCACCCGTAACAACTGCGACTTTCGTCTGCCCGTTCGAAATTCTCCTCGCAGCCTGGTCGAAAAGTTTGGCCGGCTTATTCCCGCCGTGATCACTGTAGAACTTATGCCGTGCATCAACTCCTAGTCCGCGGCTGATCTCCCCTGGGAGGTCGTCATACGGCCAAGTCCACGTGCGGACCACATCGATACTGTCGATGGCAGCCTGAAGTTGCTGCTTCTTGTCTTGGGGAAGACCGGTGTCATCCAGCGCGATGTTGATGGAGTTGAGGATCAGTGTCAACGGCTCCTGTGCGTCGGCAACTGAAGTTGACCGGTTGACGAAGTCGCCAACGCCGACAACGATGGGAATCTGAGGCGACATGGCTGGACGGGGTTTGGAATCACGCAACGAGACGCTCTCTCTCTGTATCGACGACACCGAGTCCTCTTCAATGAAAACTTGATGCCAGTCTCACCAGTCGAAGCCGTGTCTAAAGGCGGAGAAAGACGCGCGTTGATTGGATAGAAGCTGCTACTGCCGAAGTGACGCTGATGACCACCCACAGTAAGCCGAGGTATCGTGGCAGCAAAAGGGACCCCTAGATGCCGTAGCCGCTGCCGGCACAGCGGCTGTCACTTGGGTCGAGCTCGATTCGAGATTCGGCGTGCTGCGGGCTCTAATTGCGTCCGAATCGACATCAAGCGAGCAATCGAAGGAGCTTGAGATGACTCTCCAGCATTGTTCCTGACAGCCTTGCATGTCCGAGCCTTCCGGAGAGTCAGTTGTTCCGGCCGTGGCGTCAAAATCCGTATCCAGCACTCCGAAATCGGATTATCATTAATCCAGCAGTGCAGACGCCTGCAACACCCTGGTTAGATCTCACGTCGCAGTGTCCAGAAGGCATATCAAAGCGTTGGCAGATGGTCATATGGATCTATGTCTGTGAAATATGTGTTTCCTTGACCGAGAACCAACTGAATACGGAGCCGGCTAATGAGTCGAACGGTATCATTATGCTCGGGATAGCGTATGGATTGGGAGGCAAGATGCACGAGAAACTCCTTTGCGAGTTATAGAAAGTCTCATGGCGCAGCAGTTTCGAGGTTGCGATCCTCAAGCCGATGACTGAAGCCGCCCTCCACGAGTCATAGGCACAATGTCACCCACGATTTAATCACGAAAATATGGCAGCCCCAGAACCCGCCTTCGAACACGCACTAGTAAACAAGCATGGCGCTTTGGCCGCCCCAACGTTCCTTCAACCAGAGCCAGAATGGGAGATCTAGGACTGATTGATGCCTGACCGAAGCTTCAACCCGTACGTGGAGCTAGAACGACCCATCCTGAGATGCTGAAAACCACTTTGTCGGGCTTCATGATGGGTTGTCGGCCCTGAACCAGAGGCCCCGGCGGTATATCGTTTTACCCGGCGGCCCACTGGGTGAGGAGTCTGCGTGAGGACAAACCGAAGAGAGGGATAGAGCCTCTAGCCAGCGGCGTGCACGTAGTTGATCGATGCAGATACAAAGTCCACATTGACAACGGAAGCACTGGGCGCTGATGGTGCATCTGCACGCACTTTGCTGGCCACAGATATGAAGCTGCAAAGCTGTAGCTGGCTGTTTGCCAACGCTTGGACCTCCCAAAGAAGAAGACTCCTTGATGGTTTGGCAGACGTCTACCAGCACCACTTTTCACTCGGCACTTTCCTGTCGGCGGTTGCACTACGCCAGCTTGGTTGTCTGCGACATCTCGCAAGGAGGTGGAGCATACCTAAGGCAGCACAGGTGCATGCATTGTTCCAAAATTTGCCAGTGCCAGAAGGTCTTGGCCGCACAGACTTTAGCTTCCCTCATCAGATACAATTGCCGTGCGGTCTCACCTAGATATAGACGAAGAAATGTCAACTGCATAGCTTGTACATAGCCTAATGCTGGGTGTCGGTGAATGTTGAGGCTGATCCGTGCAAGGAATGCTTCACACCGTTTTGGGTCTGACACATGCTCCGGACAAAGACGAGATATCGATTCGTCTTCGCGTTGACTAGTAGCTACAGATCGGAGCAAAGCGCCGCAGAGCCACTCAAGTGATGTTTCCGGTGGATATAAATGGACCTTGTTCAAAGCATTGACCAGGGTGATGCGTAATACGGAGCCCTGTGCTGCCGGTTAATCCTTTATGCGGACCTGGATAGAAGCCAGCCCCCCTGTATGGAGATCTCGTCTGCATGGAGATCTTGTGGAGATTTCGCCGGCAGAGTTTGATGGCTATGCGGAGAAGTTGCGATGGGATTTTCGCGCTTGGGAATCCCCATTGCAGCGCCCAGCTCCAGGGACCAGGAACCCTCTTCATACTTTAGCCGTCACAGGCTGTCGCCACCATCCCATTGCTTGTGGGGGGTCCGCCTCCACGTCCGGTTAACGGAGGCGTTCCGTAGTTGTTGGGAATGGTACCTCGTCATATAAGCATCGCATTCTCTTGGGCGTTGGGCGTTCTCCTATTTCACGAATTGAAGACTCTATCCCTTGTGACACCAGACGGATCCGGGTGAGGTTTGAACATCAAATATCAACATGGCCGAAGAAAGCAGCATGGACGACTCGCTTGAGCTCTTCAAAAGAAGAAGCCGTATGGCTCGATGGCGACAGTATCTGGCAGAAGACGCGAACAAAGAATGGGGAGATTTGATCTTGATCGTCGCCTGTTTCATATCAGGTTTGGTTGACAGTGCAGTCTTCAACGTCTGGAGCTGCTTCGTGAGCATGCAAACCGGTGAGTCTCTGGAAGGGCGTCGCGGTCAAAACTAGGGTTGCTGACGTGCCGGGCTGCAGGCAACACGGTATATGTTGGTTTGGGCATGTCTGGACAACCTCTAAGTCAGCCATATCGTTGGGTTAAGTCTGGCACAGCAATCCTCAGTTTCTGCTTGGGGACCTTTTTCTTCAGCCGCGCCTGTCGTTTCTTTGGCCCACTTCGCCGAGGGACTTTGAGCGGCTCGTGCCTCTTCCAGGCTCTGCTCTGCTTCATCAGCGGGATCCTCGTGGTCAGCGATGTGGTCCCCAATGATGCCGGCACCCAGTTACCCTACAACTACATCGTCCTGTTGCCTCTGGGGCTCCTCTCATTTCAATCGGCCGGTCAAATAGTGATGAGTAGGATGTTGTTGTACAACGAACTCCCAACAGTCGTCCTGACGAGTACATACTGCGACCTGATGTTCGATCCGACCCTGTTTACGGCGCCCATCACTCAGAATCCCAAGCGCAACCGCAGATTTGTGTCCGCCGTGGCGCTCCTCCTCGGAGCCGGACTCGGAGGAGTCTTGACGGAGGGTGGAGATATTTCTAACCCTCTCTGGATCGCGGGGGGAACCAAGGTCGTCATGTCCGTGGTGTGGCTCTTTTGGAGAGCAGAGGGAGCAATCAGGTTGGAGTGAATGGGTGGTCTGGTGTCTAGAACCGGTGCAGCCCTAGGGGTTTGAAGACGAGGGAATTCCGTCTTGTGTTGACACGGCACGATGGCAACAGGCGTCTGGAGCGGCGAAAAGGCCGAACCTCATGTATATATTCTTTTCAAGTGAGAAATGGGCTCGTTGATCATTTGGTCAGCAACGATCAACCGCACCGTTGGGCAGAGCAGTGAAAGATCTCAGCCTGCCACACGTGACAGCCGCGGATAAATATGTTGTTCCGAGAAAAAGGGGCAACTGTTGAAAAACTCTTTGGTTCCCATCCTCAAGCTGCCGTGAATACGTTTTTCCCTCACGTCCTCTCGACTCCCACCGTCTCGGATCCCGAAATTGACCGATGGAGCTGGCCGTCAACGGGCTGGAAAACATGTCTTATCTCTCGCAAGTCCGTGGCGACAGAGCCCATCCACCTCGCCGTCTGTGGAGAAAACCGGATCAGGCTCGAACTGGCGGTGAAATTGCGGCGCCGGCTAAATGTTACAACAACCGGGGGGGCATTATTGCATTGCTTCTGAGAATAGTGGACCATAGGGTCAACGAAAGAAAAAGAGATGGTATCTGCTGATGATAGATATCCTGCATCCACACGGCCTCATTCATATAACAGAAGCCCGTTCTCGTCTGCCTCTGTCAGACTGTACAAAAAGAAAACGCCTTTTGGGAGGTCGCGTCGTCGCACTATGTGCACTGCCCTCGCCTGCCCCCCGAAAAGGATGGGATCAGCCCTGCCGGCTCTCCCAGCTGCTTCCTATACGCGTGTCATGCCTTTGTGCAGCATGCTCGTCGCCATATAACGATCATCATTCATACACTCATACACTCGAACCGACCCGATGTCCTGCCGAGCGCTCGCGAAGACAACATCCAAAACAACAACTCGAGGCAAGACCTGCTCCTCGTTCAAACAGCGTGCTGGGGGTATTACATCTTCTCACGATGGGTGATGGTCGTGTTCTCCTCGACGCTGTCCGTCTTGACAACGACCTCGCAAATTTCATGGTCTTGTCGAGAGGCCACAACAGCGTCGCCGACAGTTCGGAAAACCCTCACCGACGTCACCTTTGAGGTGTCCATGGAGGTGTCCCCGTCCAGCAAGGTCCAGCCGGCGCGCTCAAAGCGTTTGCGGGTCATGCTGTTGAGAGCAACAAAGCGGACTTCGGTGCCGTCGCCGGCATAGTGTCTTAGCTCGGCAAAGAAGTTCTTCAGGCCTACGACACCGCTGGTATCGAAGTAGTTGACCTTTGAGAAGTCAAGGATCACGACGTTGATCGGTGGCAAGCTGACTCCTTGAGTCTTGGCCCTCCGGCGCAGCCGTGCAATACGTTTCTCCGCCTCAACAGACCAGTTCCGTTCCGCCTCCTCGCCGTTGCGGTTGTTATATTCGGGAGCATGATATGTTTGGATAACGTCCAAGATGTTGGTCTTGACCCTTTGGATGTTGGGGAAAAAGAAGGATTCTTCGAAGCGGAAGACCCGGGTGTCCGGAGGAATATGCGGCGGCATCCCGCGCGAACCGTCCAATGAAGCCGCAAGTTCCGCACGAGAGTCGGCTCCGACCGTCTTCACTTGCTTGAAAACTTGGCGGAGCAAGACGTATACAACATTGAAGCCCACAGCGCTGGCGATACCGATCTCAGTCGATGTGAACAGAGACACCCAGAATGCGACCATGGCTGCAACAAAGTCGGCCAATGAAGTTTTCCAGAAGTGGTAGTAAGTGCTTGGCTTGCCGATGAGTGGCCAGATGGCCGTGATGACGATCGCAGCAAGCGTGGCTTTCGGGATCCAGTACAGCGCTCCAGTCATCTTGTAGATGGAGAGGACGATGACACCAGTGGTAACGAGGCCTGAGAGCGGGGATTTGACGTTGCACTGGGAGTTGACCGCCGTCCGGGACATGGCGCCACCGACACCCATGACGGTGAAGAAGCTGTTGAAGATGTTCGTCACCCCCAAATAGCAAAGCTCTTGACTGGGATCTATGACATAGTTGTTCCTCAAGCCGAAGGCACGGGAGATTCCGAGATGCTCAATCGAGGCACCAAGGAAAGCGGCAATGCTGCGACCAGCAACTTTGCCAAGGAGAGCAGAGTCGACTGGTTTGGGAGTGTGGATGCTGAGGGATGGGACCTTGCTGACATCGAATAGGTAGTCGTCACTATCACGTCCCTTGTTGACGCCGTAGCTGATGCCGGTGAACAACAGAAGAGCGATGAAAGCTCGAGTGATGGACAAGAACCAGATGATCTTGTTCTTGCTGCCCCATCTCTCACCAGCCTTTTGCAGGGCGACCAGGAGAATGATGCCAGCAAAGCCGACACCTGCAGCACGTCCGTTGCAGGTGCCGAAGTTGGTCAAAATGTCATGAATCTGGTTGGCGGTGCCACTGCCCACGTTGTCCTCGCCGATGAGATTGGCGACTTGGCCAAGGCCAATGGTGATGGCAACGGCAGAGATGAAGCCGGTGAGCACTGGGTAGGAAATGAAGTCGAGCAGAAAGCCCAACTTCAAGACACCGAGACCGGCCATGTAGATGCCCATCGAGAGGGCAACTGCGGATGAAATTGCCTCTGGAGCGTATCCTTCCTTTTTGAGGTCGTCCACGACTTGTGCGGTCATCAAACCGATCAAAGAAGTCGGTCCAGTTGAGACATCTGCAACAGTGTAAGCAGGCCACGTTTCCCCAGCGCAGAGTATTCCCAGGGAGAAACTGCACCTTTTGATGTTCCCATGATGGCGTAGATGACTGCCGGCGCCCAGCACGACATGAGACCATATTGCACGGGGATTTTGGCGATTTTGGCATAGGCAAGACCTTGGGGGATCAACATGAGCGACAGGGTCAAGCCAGCCACAAAATCGGTCAGGAGCCATCGATAGTTGTAGCGAGGCAGCCACCCGACAATGGGGACCTTCTCGACGACATATCTCCCTGATGCTTCTGGGGCGGCACGCAGGCCCTGAATCCCGTAACGGACGACCCGGTTCCAGGTAACATCGGTCTTGAAATCATTCTTCACCCTCTCGTAGAGCTGCATGGTGATGGCAGTCTCTGAGGAAAAAAACACAAAAAGGCAGTTTGGGTATCAAAGGGAAAAGAGGGCAAAGCAGCACGACAAGAAAGGGGGAAGTAGATGGTCGGGAGGGGTGATATTTGATCAGGATTGAAAGAGGCTGTTGATAAGCTGGGGAAGATGGCCGGGAATATAATCAATATGCATGTCAGGGATGTGACACAGGCAGGCCCCCTTCATGCAGGATAAACCGGCAAACCCATGTCGACGGCCTGTTTGTATTGTTCTTTCGCCTTTTCGTTTAAATGTGCATTGGCCCCGTCGCTAATCCGGGCGTTGTGTCTGGTCCAGAAACGAACAAGACGTGTGAGGTTGATCAACCACAATAGAGAACGTGGAGAAGGCTAGCGGGGAGCTGCCGCAGGAGGCAGGTGTGTGTATTGTGTGTGTGTGGAAGTGTAAGAACAGGGCAGAAGATCACAGAGAGAGTGTGTGTGCTAAGGGGGGAACGTGGGTGAGCACCAGCTAAGCAGGATTGGCGGTGGAGCTTAGTAGCTTAACCGCCCCACTAGGACGGAGTAGGGTGTTCCAGGGCATACTATCCGCCAATCACAGCGTGCGGGATGCCCCAATGCCCCCAATGGCACATCTGCAATGCGGGGGTGGAGACGGTAATTGGAGGAGAGCAACCTGCGCCTGTCATCCATGGCCCTTGACTCAATCCAACCCCCCCAAGCTGAATCACACCCAGTCGCAACTCTCTTCGTATTCTGCCTGTCACAAACATTCAGGGATCGTACGCTTAAACCATCTCCCGAACCGCTAGTCCCAAAACCTTGCCACTTCATTTACACGACTCTGAAAGCAATGCATGAGCCAAGGCATATTTCTGCCATGCAATTTCCCTCCCAAGCCACGGAGCCTACTTCCAGACATGACGAAAAAGGCCTCTCCAGAAAAAGCTTGTCCCCACACGTGGCAAAACCCCCCAAGAAGCGTCGTTCACCCATCCAAATCCGGGGTCTGGGGGTTGGGAAGAACAACCATTTTCTGGGGAGGTGAACATACTCGCACGGTGGCTTCATTCAGGACTAGCTGTCATGAATACAATATCGATACCATAAATCGTGTCAGGGCTTCAGACCGGGAAAACATATAAGCTGGATCTGAATAGCAGTCGAGAGGGCGGATTTGTCGACACCCCCTCTGTGAACCGACAACGTGCCCAGCCGGTCGCCTCTCACTTCGGTTATGAGATCCCTGATCTAATTTGGACGTCAACATTCGCAATCCTTTGCCGTGTGCCGCACCTGCTGGGTGACAGACACACACTCCCTGATCAGTTGCTCCGCCTTGCAGGGAGCTCGCATGACCGCCTCCAGGTCAGGGTCCCTCTTCTAGACCGTGGACCGGTGGTTCAGCACCGTGATCGGCGGTCCAGGACGGATTTCTCCAAGCCCAATAAGACCCTACACAGATCTCACACCGTTGTAGTTCCAGGATAGCCTGTGGCAACGTGCATGGGCTTCAGCCCAGGCGTACCCAGTTGGACCCCCTAGTCTTGAGGCGGTTAGCATGATCCGAGGCAGGGACAGTGGCGATAGCAGTTTCCATCGCCTTGACCGGGTTCGCAAAAGGAACAGAACCGTGAAGGAAAGGGCCCTTTGAGCAAAGAAATCGATTTATCCCGACCTTTATATTCATTTCCAGATGATGGGATCGGGCGCATTCGGGCTAATAGTTATCACAATCTAGACCGCGGCATCAACACCGGAGACCCAGACGGCTGTTCTCCCCTTTGTCGGGCACCGACAAATTTCCGTAGCACGTCAAGCTTTTGCCGTTTAATTATTGATAAGAAAAGTTGATAGCCCTTCATGTGCTGGGGAACCCGTGACATGCAACGGCTCCGGTCGAAGGTCGAGGCAGCGAGGCAGTGACAATCCACACCCGAGGCAGCGACGGGCAAAGATCGACCCTTCTGCCGACCAAAGCACCGAACGCAGACCTCAAGAATAGTCACCAATGTTTCCACACCAGTACCTGGCGCTGAGAGCTCGGTCAAGTGCTCCTCGAACGATACCGGACGGCAAGACTCACTGTATTCCCATACCCCACGAGAGTACAAACCTCGAAAGTCACTTGATCTGCTGGGTGAACATTTAGCCAGAGGCACCTTCGTCGCCCACCAAGACAGGTCCCAGTTCCAAAGGGTACGTGGGTACACACTCCTCAGCAGGGAATCCCTCTTAGTGCAGCCGGAGTGTGTGTCTTGCTCCAGACTTCCGGAGCATGCGGTGCCCCAGCTCGTGGGGAACGGCAGCGACGTGAGAAGGTCAGCCCATTGGTTGTTCCGACGCAAAGATAACAGTTGTGTGGCTAGCCCGGCTGATTTCAGCGAGCACTTGCGATCTGGCCTGTCGAAGTCTTGCCACTCACCTCGTGCCGGACTTGGCAATTCGATTTACCGGCAGCCTGCTCATGAGGACATCTATATCGGTGGCGTATTAGTCCTCAGACGGTACGAGTACCCAGGAACCACATGCCTGAATTCGTGGTAAGTCGTGTGAGGTATGTTGGGTTTTCGGCCCTACTTGGTCTCAGCACAGCAACATCTCCTCGAGTGGAGGCAGCAACCTTCTCAACCGCTGCATGGTATTGAGAATGTCTGTGGAGTTGGTCGTGATGGGTCCTCATCGAGCGATTGGCGGTCTGGCGACACGGTCTTGCAGCAAAAGTTGCCACTCCACTGACAATGGCCGAGGCCTCTCGGGGCGAGAAGCATCTAGCCAGAAAGTGGCCTCCACCTGCCTTTCAGCGCGGCGCCTCTTTCGAATCCCTCATTGCGGAATCCAGTAAGTTGTAACACTCCCTGTGAAAAGATCTCTCCTGGACAGGGTGTGGCGTGCGGATAATGAATCAACCAAGGATATCGGGCTTGGGATTGGAGGAGAGTCGCGCAGGTCTATGAGGTACCACCGTGTCCCCGTGTGACCTGTGCGTGTAGCTGCGATCTCGAACTTGGGCCTGTATCGGCATCGATCAACCGTAGACCCAGATTTGTAATTATTATCTTCTTGGTCAAAACATCTTCCGTAAAGAGGTTGCAGACCAAGGGACTTGTTTGCGACCAAGACCTGTTGTGGTCTGATCATGCCACGGTGCATGGCTCCATTATCGCTCCAGGCGACCCAGTTCAGAGACTCACTCAGGGTGGGCGACCGAGGACCGTTCAATCTCGGGCGTGATCCAGGATCCAGGTAAGAGCAGCCGGTGAGACGGACGAACACTTTCGAGTCGCAATTCCAGACAATTCCAATCCATTCGTACTATGTCGAAGGCCGTGCTGAGGTCCATCGTCGTAGCTGCCAACGGAAGTATCGTTCTGTGAATTTTGGTGCCCATGGAACGCGTCTGGGATCATCCACAGAGAAACAGCTACGAGGAATGAAGACAAAGTTAGGTACACGCTATATAAAAAGCTAGCCGTATATGTACTAATCTAATCGATTACGCCGTAAAGCTTGTTGAGTTAGGTGCGCAGCGAACCAATCAGATGCCATGGGGCGTTGCTTGTTTGTTCTGTCATTACCCGCAGTCACAGCACGTTCTGGAGCCACAGGTTCCATCACACGCACTCAAGATGTTTCTCCATTGCAAGTTCAACGGCGTCGGAAGAACGAAAGGAAGCAGAGTTATAGCGCCGCCTGATACTTCATCCTAAATATTCCCATTATTTGTCAAACAAGACGTTGCTGACGGAAATCAAGTCCCTGCGCTATCCCGTGAGACACGAATTTGTAGATTAACATGAACTGATCACGATAGAACAAGTCAATAAGGGAGGGCGGAGACTATACTCGCAGCCGCTGGCAAAATAATTACGGCCGAATGGCACGGAAAATCGCCTTCAAAGCGGCTCAAAGATTTCGCAGGCGGTCTGTGGTGTCTCAAAATCAGAGGCTTGGGCCTGAATACTCGGATTCACAGTCACTCTGGATAGAGTCGAACTTATCAGCTTGACTTGGAGGTGTCTCATGATCAAGGTATTCCTGACTTTCAGCCCCCTCGACTCCGCCCCAGGAGAACATTCCCACCATTTTTGCTTCCGGGCTTCTCATACCCACCATGGGCGACTCCACGCAGCTATCCAGGAGAGGCGACAGTTACAGGAGATCGACGAGATGGAAAGGGAGCTCGCAGGAGGCTCCCCTGCGAGTAGCGTACTAGGCGCAGGATCATCCCTAGGTAAAAGACGCGCATCGCAAGATGTCACTATGCGATATAGGCGCGCTTTTCCACCGCTACTGTATCGCGGCGCATCTATAAAGGAACTTCGCGACTTCCTTTTAGGGTGTAACGTATACTTCGGCGAAGTGGAAGAGTACGACCAAAGTAGGCGAGTCGCAGTCGCCGCGTCTTACCTGCGCGACGAAGCCCTTCGATAGTGGAGCCGACCCCCAATACCGCCTACGACATGGACCTCGAGGATGAGATTCCCGACCTTACGGTCGAGGAACAATAGTACTATTCCAGACGCACATACACACTGAATGAGCGACGAAGAAAACAAATCCAGAAAGGCCTTTGCCGTCTGAGGTCTTAGAGCAAACCCCCCACCCATTGGGCGCGTTTTCGTCGGCCTAGATTGTAATCGTGGCACATCACGCTCGGCCTCAAAGTCTGATCTCTTCAAGTGATTCCAGGCTCATTTTACTCTCAGCGACTTCCCTTCTTATCGTTGTCTCAAAAACTGAGCCTCTAACTGCGATCGAGACTGTGAAAGGTTTCGGCTTTGTAACAAGCCCGCCTTGAGAGATATAGGTGGTTAGACTTGCGGAGGATAGGCTGGAAACTAGAACATACCAGTCTTGTCACGCATACTCAGATGACATTCTGGGCGCTTCTTAATATCATATCCCCAAAGAATGCGGGCGATCGTGATGTATAGAGATGATTCTGCCACGTAGATTCCTTGGCAGAGACGCCGCCCGAATCCATAGTGAAAATGATCTCGCTTCATCCAATCTTGATCGAGCGCCGATGCAGCAGCGTGTAGCTCATCTTCCATAAAGCGAAGAGGTTGAAAGATTTCCGGTTCAGCGTAGCGACCTCGATTCTTACTCAAAGCCGGCAGGTTTGGAAATAGTATCGCTCCTTTGGGTATAACCCATTCACGATAGGTAATTTCTTCAGTCGTTGCGTGAGGTACACCTGCACAAAAAGGTTTAACAAGAGAGCACACATCGAATTCGAGGAGGATGTTACCAAGACTTCCGATCGGAGCCCACCGATGAAGCTCTTTAATTAGCCCCCGTAAATATGGAAGCTGACTCTCATCATGCCAAGAGGGAAGGCGGTCGGCGCCAACGACACGATCCAATTCTGCATGGGTTTTTCAGTTGGCAATCCTTCTTATCTCGCAGCAAAGAGTGATGACTGACCAGCTTGCGCCATGCTGACAGCTTCGGGATGAAGTGCCATGACTTTGAAGAAGGTTTGCAATACACTACTCGTGGTATCCGAGCCAGCTCCAATCAGCATTGCAAGGATGTTCATACTCTCCTCATCGTCAACCGTTTTGTCATCCTGCAGCTGCTTCCTTCAGCCACCTTCGATGCAAGAACGAATTTCTGTTCAAACTCACCTGAATAAGCGTATTTCCGAAGCACTCTGGCGCAGAACCGCCATATATCTCCGATTTCAGGTGTTTGAGAAATTTGTGGTGAAGAACGGCCTCACGTTTCGTGAGGCGATCTGCTAAGCAATGCCACGGTTGCAACCATGTCGGCAATCTCAATAAAATCGGAAATATGTCGAAAGGACAAGTCCCCGGAAGGAAGTCTGGACATATATTTGAGTAGGAACGTTGGATTTACAGCGGCGACTTACATCGGAGTAAAGTCTCCCAGATTTCGTAGAATTCGACGATTATAGGATGCTCGAGAGATGCCAAACGAATTCCGTAGACAGCACTGAAAATGACACTTAATGCGAATTTTTCAGTGGCCTTGAGAAAGTCGTTCGGGTTATCAAGCAGATTCCGGAGGAGAACCCTTGATTCCTGATCCTGGTAAGTCTGAAAGGAGGCGGATTGCTGAGGACTGAGTAAAGTATGGTATATCTTGCGCAGCATACGGAATGTGCTGCCAACTGGCGTCATCACCAATTTGCCCGGTGAAATTGTGTACCGAAACGCATTATGTTCTGGTCTTGAGGAGGTCGAGACGCTCATCTGGCTCTGGAGATTAGTCATCTTTCTATTGTGCGTTGCGTGGATCAAGTTTGATTCTTTACCTTGCAGAGAATTTCGTAAGCAGCATGAGGACTGTTGACCAACACAGCAGGCGAAGGTCCATACCAGAGCATACAGATATCTTTGTAGTTATCAGCAAGGCTGAGACATGTCTCCTCAGCGGCGACATTCAACCTGTGGATAGTCCAAAGATTACCCACCAATGGTAGCGGAAGGGGACCCGGTGGGTGTTTTCGACATGTGTGGATACGCAGGACGTATCTGTGAAGGAGAAAGATCATGGCGGCAAGACATATTTCGTATGCAAGCATCTTGGGTATTGAATAGATTTGCTCTCATAGTCTTGAAATGAAAGGTTGCGGCGCAAAAGATTTTGGCTAAAGAAGGTTTTACATGCGGATGATCAAAGTTCAGCACGGAGATGACATTATTTGGTCGTGGCTTAAAAGTGCAAGATCCGAACAGACCGCACATCTTCAAGGCATTAAAGGCAATATACGAGCTGAGGCGTGCACAGTTGAACTAAAGCAACCAATCGGACACGATACCCATCGTTGCTGCAGCAAATAATAACATATTATGCGCGTCAGACGACAGTCCTTTGCACCTTAAGAAAGACGGGAGGAAAACCCGCAGATAGTGGAAATGCCTCATGTATCACCTGTGTTGGAGACCGTGAGTGTTTCGACCACGTGGCAGCTTGCTGGGCCGTGTTTACGCCTTGCAACAGAGAGTGATTGTCTCACAGCTGCAGAGGATGGGGCTGAAGCGCCCGATGCAGCAGGAAATCCAAGTCAGAAAAGAAGCTTAGAACTGCGTTTGATTCTATAGCCCTCTGCCTTGAACAGCTCTGGGATAGTGTTTTGATTCTACAGATGAGGCATATACTCAGCCCAATCAACAGTCTCATATACCGAAATCGGCATCCATCTCAAGGTGACCACAGCTTGAACAAGGAGCAATAGTCGAGCTATAATGTAAATAAATGCACACGTCGCCGCAGGTACGTCCAAAGCCCTTCTCCTGAATCTAGAATTCGACGTGGTTCTCTTCTCCCACACAAACAACAAACTTACGGTGAAATCAAACCCAGGTTTGACAGCTAAGACTTCTAAGAACCCCCAGACGACCAGTATTGCAAGCATTGTAGCGCTAGCAGTTCGCCATAGATATAGTTCCATGGCTGTCGGGAATGGAAAATTCCACCCGGCAACGTGGATTCCACAATGTATCATGGAAAGCATCCATAATGGAAAGGCTAGCCGAATGGTTGCTGGTGGAGGAGTGTAGTCGTCTGGAATTCGCTGGATGGGCCGCTCTTGAAGGCCTCCGAAGGTCTTGAAGTATGATCGCCTGCCCCAGGCTCCCGACTCTTGTTGTACACCGCACCCTTGAACAAAATCCATCGGTGTATCAACATAAGGTTGGTGTGCGACATGGCCAGCATTCTGAAGAATCTCGGCAATTGTTGTCGATGTGCGGAGCCGCGAGTGCTCTGCAACGTCAAGCGGTTTGTTCATCCAAAATAGGAATGACGCGATGGTACAAATTGCGAAGGCCACCGTGACGAGTTCCAAGGGGATAACATGTCGCGATTGTACCAGCCGCGTGATGCACTGTGCGATCATCCAACTTGTCTGAACGATCGCCATACCCATGGAAAATTTATTGGTCTTGCTACGATCCATGATATCGTCCCTCGTAAGTGTTGGTAGTTCCAGATATTTCCGCTCGACGAGGTAGTGTATAGCTCGAGTATTGATAGGGAAAGGGGGCATGTCAGGGCTGTGAAGGAGGAAGGCCCCTCCGTCTGCATAGAAGCCGTGAATCAGGGTCCATTGGGTGGCTCCTAGAGCCTGCATAGAAGCAATTGTTGATTGGGCGGAGGACCATTGGCAGCCCGCGAAAAGAGTGATTAATTCTGGTGCAAAAACAGCCAGGACGGCCCAGCGGCTTTTTCGAAGCCATGTTGTGAGAGAGGTCTCATTTGGTGCAGGAGGGTTAAGATGGAGGACCGTCCAAGTGCAGGTTAGAAGAACGAGGAAAGATGACAGGATGATGCCAAAGGTGCCACGATATTCTGGTTCTCTAACCCAGCCACAGAAGCCGGCAACGCAGTCTTCTGGAACAGTGTCGTTTTGATGTGAAGGCATTGTCGTCATAGTGGGAAATTGACCGTCACGGTTCATGTATAAAACGAAAAATCACGTTGATGTCGGGATCAAACAGCGAGTAGTCCATGCAAGGTGAAATGGAGTATTGCTGGTTGAATCGATCAATCCTCGTATGCTCGCAGACTTCGCCTTGAGGACCAGTCTCAGCTCGATCACTCGACAAAGTTTTGTCTAAATCTTCCCGTGGGCAGCAAGTGCAATATTTGACTTGTACTTCTGGACAGAGGAGCTGAAATCCAAATCAAATTCAAAGGCGTTTGGGTAGCACGAAACAGGGTTTAGGACGGCGGACGCGCCACAGCCTCGTTGTAAAATGTTCCCCCAATCCCAAGGCCCAAGGCAGGATGAAAATTGCACATGACGGCAAGGAAGACATACACGATGCACTACATGGCCTGTCACACAAACCAATCATATTTTAAAGCAAGTATCACAATCACACCTGACGCCCCTCACCATACGAATGGGTAGTGTGGAATCCTTGTCATAAGTGTAGCACCAGACAGGGAGTCAGACGGTGACTGCCTCCTGCCTCATGATGTGGAGTCCTGCAACAATGGGGCTGAATCTTTCAAGTCGCGGAAATCCATTCTTACCTCTCAACTCCAGCTTTGGGCTATGTGCAGTCGCATACTGTGGCCCAAAATGTGTAACTCCTCGGGAGAAAAAGGAGGGTCATTATGTAATCACATAAGGCTTGGCACGCTCCTGTATAGTTTCACCTCCATCTCAACTTACCTTCTCTTCTTTACCCTTTGGTCACCCTCTCAGTCATTCTAATCTTTTTGACCTGCATCAAGCAATCTGGGATCACCGCCTTTCATCTTGATTCCAGTCTGTACGTGGTTTCATCGACCTGAAGATTTTGAACAATGGGTTCTAACGACATCCCTCCACCTCACGTTCCTCTCCATGTTGTGCCCCTCTGCAATTTCTTTCTTCAAGTTGGAGGAGGTCTCTGGACGGTCTGTTACATCCTATATGTCCGCGAGTCCCTTCGCTCGCGATCATATGGCATGCCTCTCTTCGCTCTCGCTCTCAATTTTTCCTGGGAATTGGTGTATGCCCTCTACGTTGCCGAATCACCACTGGAGAAATCTGTTTTCACTCTTTGGTTGCTCATAGACTGTGGATTGGTGTATGGTATTGTCCGATATGCCAGGTATGAATGGACGCACTCGCCGACAGTGGCGCGTCACATTGGGGCTATATTCACGGTGATGACGGCTGTTGCCACGCTCGGCCATTGGACGTTTGCAAGGTGGTGGATCGAAAATGAAATTGGCAAGAAGGATGGCAAGTTCTACAGAGGTGTTGTGGGTCCCGATACGACAGAATTGGGCTTTTGGAGTGCAATACTTTGCCAATGCTATTTGTCGGCGGCAAGCTTATGCCAACTGATGGTGCGACAGCACTCTGGGGGGGTGAGTTGGGCAATATGGTGAGTCTTCTCCAGCCTTGTCTTCAAGTCTCCCGTTAACAACAACCAGGAGCACCAGAACCGCCGGTTCAATCATTGGATTCTACCTTGTTTATGGCTGGGAGTGGTACTTTTGGAGGGAAGCTCATGAATATGTCGTGTCGCCGTTCGCGGTCTTCTTATGGGCAACAAGCTTTATCTGCGACTTTGCATACCCCTGCATGCTGTTATGCGTTCAGAAGACAGAGAAGGTCCTGCCTGACGGAAGAAAGGAAGCTGGAGAGTCAGAGATATCCTGGGAAGCGAAAAAATCAATCTGAAGCTGCATTGCTGCAACAACCTTGAACGGACAGAAACAACCGTGGTATCCAGTGGATGATGCGGAAAAAGATTTTCTGGTGTCAAGGAAACTAATGAGCTACGACGATGAGACAATAACCGGCGCTAATTGAAGCCCTGGGGTTTTTTGTTCTAATACAGTGTGCATGCTCATCCGAACGGTGTATAATTGCCACGGTATGGCTTCGTTGCTTTTCCTGCCTTTTCATGGTCGAACCGCCATATGCCTTTTGTTCTCTCGGCATGGAGCTGCCACCCTGTAGTTGCAGCAAGTCTTTCAAATGTGGGGTCTGATTGAATCGAAGAGAAGAACTTTGGCTCCCACACGGCACCCTCAGCTGACTCTTTCTTTCTCATTGCTCTCTGTGCTTCCTCGAGTTTTGTCTTCTCTCTCACCACTTTCTGGATGTCACCTTCTTTCAAGGCGGCAATGACGTGCTTCCATGTGTTCCGGGACTCCCAGGGATCCTGGTTGCTGATATCAACCATCTGAAGCGGCGCCGCAGAGGACGGATCCACGACACAAGTCACGACGTCGTTCTCGTCATTGGCGTTCCGTATAGTGAAATTATCACTCCATTGTCCGCTGGCGAGGTATATGGGGGTTTTGTTTTCGTCTGCCGCTCGATACGTCTTGGCTCTGAAGTGGTTTCTGGTGCCGGAAAAGAAGCCTTGGCCGGAGAAAGTGATCTCAGAGACAAACCCAGCAGATGAAATGATGTGGCATGTGCCATAAAGCTCAGGATATAGCTTGCCTGATAGAAATCCTTTCACTTTGCATGGCGGAAATGGTATCAGGTAGTCCTCGTCGTGCCTGTCGAGATGCAAAATAGCGTGACCAGTTTGCTTGACATTCAGAGAGCCTGTGAAAGTCATCTCTACCCGAGTATACCCGATGCCCTGAAGTCTTTGTTAGATGGTGAAACAATTACGAACAGACGTGCAAGCTCACCCGAATGCCATGTTGATCGTCCCACATATAGCAAGCTGTGATGGGAGGATGATGACTAGCCAGACATGTGGAGATTGTATACGTCAGGGACAACTCTCAGCAGCTCTACAGGACTAGTCTCTTCTCTTACCTAACTTGCTCTGAGATCATCCTCACTGCTGATGCCTCATCGGTCCACTGGCCAAAAAACAATTCCCCCAAGAACGCATTCAGTGGTTTCCGCATGCCAACTTTTACATCCTGTCCAATGTAGAATTGCGATTTGAGCGAACATAGAATCCATTCCAGCACACGTAATGCACGGTTTTGAGGATCAGATTCTAGTGTCGGTGCTATGAAGAGCGAAGGGCGTTCTGTCCAGCACGAAGGGAGCTCAACCACCGACAGAGGTGCTAGGAAGAACGGAGGGGCAGTGATATTGGCGATATCCCCGCGTATCGATCCCAAAAACTAGTAGACATTCGCACACAAATTAGCCTCGTAGAACAGAATCGGGTTGAGAGCTTGGGTGGCGGTGACATTCAGGTTCGCCACTTACCGCAATGAAATCTTTGAATGATGACCGATGCTCCATTTTCGATTCTTGTCGAGTACATGGGCGGCTAAGAAACTAAGAAACCCGTATTATTCGGAATGTGATGGAATAATATTCAAGTATGTGTGTTTGAGCAAACAGGTAGTTTCTGGGCGAGCCTGGGGCTACGCGCGAAGTGTTGATCCTTGTTAGCAGGAGCAGGCCCGGTTGCTGTTCGGAATCACAGGTTCTCTGTGCCACCCGAAGAAAAATGGCAAATGCTTCAATGTCTGACAAAACATTAACAGATTGAGATAGGAGCATGGCCTTTTGGTCGCACGAAAGAGCTGTGGAGGGCCCATGTCGTGTTTCAACGAAATTGGTTGGCTCAGATGGTGAACATCTCTGATATCTGTAAAACTCCTGACCACTCTGGAGGGTGCGTTACTGAACGATGAGTCCAGAGGACCGTGCTCATGCCCAATGCTATGCATCATCCATGATCTGTCGGCACATGGGGGCCGTTCGTTGTTGGACATATTTTAGAGGCGGTTATCTCGAAAGGGTCCAAAGTTTCTCCGAGCAATGTACAATTTCCAACCTCACCGGTTAGCTTTGTGTCACCCAGCATGAAATGTTTGTGTAAGGTGTTGAGGCGAACGAGTTCGGAACGTATACGGGCACCAAATCTTGGCGACTACGTACCGTATTCATTATCTGACGCAGGTACTCACCTGGCGCACGAATGTACCGAATATTCGCACTTGTTCACGCGCCTGTTGCCCAACTCCCAGAGGTCGAGACGGCGAGATATTTTGTAAACAGAGAGTTGCGCCAATCCCGAGCCTCTTTGTTTATATAGATTCCGTACGGAATTTCTGTGAGAGTGCTACTCGCCTCCCTCACCCCGTGACACTATACTAGGCGACTTGCTCTTCGACCGGCGATGGTGCACAGTCATCCTGCTCATTTTCGATAACTAGTGGCGGTAAAGCCATTGATTCACGGCTGGTTACGTCTTCATCCCGACTTGATACTGATGTGGGATGACGCTCCTTCACACGCCTCCAAGGCTACAAGCGACGGATTCAAAGAGCGAGGCGTACATTCGATGTATCAACCAGCATATTCGCCAGATATCAATCCAATTGAGACGGTATGAATGGAGATGAAGGACTGGCTACAACTCCATTACCCACAGCCAACAACATCATATGATCAACTCCGTGAGCGAGTTATACGAGCCTGGGATGCTACAGGACAGGATTTGCTCAAGCAACTCATCAATGAGATGCCAAAGCATTGTCAAGACGTGATATACGCCAACGGAATGCATACCAAATGGTAATGTCTATCTATATTATATACAGCTTAGCTTATACGCCCACTTGGCGGCCAAATAACGAACATTACCCAAGAGAAGTGTACGTTCCGTAAAACTTACCTGGCTGATCCTAGTCCCCGTGCGGGCTGGCCCGGATATGGGCACGATTGACCAGTTGCTCAGACTAATTGAACACCGTGATCAGTCACGTGACGGACAGGCTCAGGTCATGCTCAGGTCCAAAGATGGAAGTGGAAAGTAATCGTGTCGAGATTTCAATGTCGAATTGGCTGTTTCTGAGAACAAAATCTCTACCACACAAAGAAGCTTAGCGCACCAGAATCTATTTTCAATAGTGCCCTACCCAACTTTGGGATCCTTCCCTTCCGTGGAGAACATTTAGATCAGCTAATGACTGAGGTAGAAGAGACGGCGGCTGGAGCGGACGCTGCATGAGAGGGAATTTCGTACTCCGCGGGCCGGAACCCTGAATGGACTCAATTTTGTACTCGGTGGGAGGGTAAAGGTCAAGGGGGAATTCGGCCAAAGGCCGATTACAAGGAGCGAGAAGACGCTCCGCCGGGTGTTGTCAAGCCTGGATCGTGATTTAGGAAGACAATGTGTAGGAGAACTGAAGAGTGAGTCAGGAGCAAGGACTTTTTTAAAGAGGGACAGTCTGAGTTAGTTTACACATGAGCTCCGAGTAGTTGCTACTTTGTTTGAATCGCCGCCACAGAAAGGAAGATCAAGATGGAGCCGGGCAAAGTCACGCATCCCTGTTCAGCCCGTACCTTCTCAGCCACTGTGAGACGATCTGACCTCAACCCACACACCACTTCTGCTGTGATGATGTAAATGACGCACTGCGACTTTTTTCCAGTAAGCCAGGTCTACGTGTTGGATGTGGTGCGAGAGCCCCGATTCTGAGAAGGTAACGAGCGAAGATGATATCGTCCTCGCGACTCGTCACACTTACCAATACTGCCATTGTGTAGTGTCCAGGGTTCAGCCTGTAGTTGAAGACGACAGCGCATTGGTCATGTTCGAAGTCAACAAGTTCAAGCTCTTGGATCCCGGATGTTATAATCGCATAACAGTCAACCTCATCTTCAAGGTACAATTGACCGTCCGGTGCAGTTTGCATCTCAATCAGGCTGACAAACACTCCCGCGGCTTGAAGTTGCAGTCCACGCTCAGTACGGAGGGCTGGGACCCTCGTTATATGATATTCCCTGATAAATTGCCCCAGACCAGAGTTCAGCAACGATCTCGGCATCCAACGCAAACCATCCTTGATCATCCGAGGAGCGCGAACGAAGAACAAGCCTCTAGGAACCGATTCCCAGATGCGGACAAGCACCTCCATTCGTTCAGGGCCTATAGCGTGTTGTACTTTTCCGACGTCCAGGCCGAGGATGATGGCCAGGCAAATTGCCTCGTCTTCGATCCAGCTGGTGGAGCGTTCTGAGAGGGCCACAAAGGTTTCTGCAAGCTCGATATGGCTTGGTGTGCGCCGTCCATCTGCACTGGTAAGACTATCCAGCACGAGCCCACGCAAAGTTATGTAGAAGGAGCTTCCTTCTAGAAACAACGGATCAAAGCCGATGAGCCAAAAGCGGCAAGGCCCACTATGGCAGACGACCCTTTTCATCATTTCGACAAGTCGCGCCTCAGAAGAATTGAGACGGGTCTCTGCTAGCCGATCCAGTGAGATGGCAGACTGGCCTTCAAAAGGAGTACTCTGCTTTGGAAATACCCACCTACTGAGGCGGTCTCGTAGCCGGGATCGGGTCCCTCGATGTCTCCAGACTTGAAGATCTTTTCCGAGCGGGATATCCTGATCCTGGTCCTGGTATAGAGTATGTTGCGCCGGATACTTAATGGGGTCTGGATCGCAGATACTTTCTGGGTCAGTACAGGTGACTGCTGCCTCCCACCGAGGCAGCAACTCATTGGTGTTACGCTCCCATGCCCCGATGACCGTGCCGCTAGAAGAATCGCCCTCTGTCCCTGGCTCGAACTTAATTTCTGGCTTAGCCGAAGCCATCACTCGGAGTAAAGATCTGCTCAACCTTGCATTTGGACCAGTGCAGTCGTTGACTAATCGGAGACTAACAGTGGAAGGTCGCAGCGAGAGAGATGTATAGTAAAGCGTCATTATATCATCTCCTGCGACAGCGCGGTCCTGGAGCTGGAAGAGTATCCGATGCGCCAAAATAGCCTTTTGCCAGATCCACAGACGTCGTGCGCAAACCGATGCTCTGATCGCCAGCAATATCTCTTCAGGGGGTGCTGTGGAATCAATCAGCTGCAAAGAAGAATCAAGTACCAAGACTCTCTCGGCTCGTGCGTATACATCTCTCATCGTTCCATAGCAAGCCTTCTTGTGGTGGGCTCACGAGGGACGCAGATGGTGTCGATCCAGAAAGGTATACCAGCAGACATGTGAGGGGTACAGCGAATTCGCCATCTTTTGGATTCTCTCCAGTGGAGTCGACTCTCTTCTTTGCGGGTCTTGGCAAACCAGTCAACTATGTGTAGGATGTCGCTGACGGCGTCATAGGGAGACGCTACCGTATCAGTTAATGAAGTCGCGATGGACTCCGTGGTGCGTCGGTAACCCTGTAGGACGTGAAATTAACTTACTTTTGGTTCTCGTCGGTGGATGGCGGAATTGACTGGCAACATCTTGAAGGCCGAGGACGCGGGGAGAAGCGTACAGCATCGATCCGGGGCGAGCCGTCCATACCAGGGCACGACACCTCTATCTTTCTGGGGTTTACTTAGATTTGCACCGGGACAAAGCATCAGAGAATAAAATAATAGCAGTGCCTGAGTGAGTAAGCGAGGAATTGAGGATTATATACACAGCGATTACCCAACAGGATTGATTCCACTATCGTGTGGTTACAGTGTTCAGCGTGTCAACCTGAGCAAACGATTCATCTTAATCTCAATGTTACCTACCGAAAAATTTCCTGGATGGGCTTCTCAAGGCCTATAGCGGCTCAAGAGAGAAAAGGTGCCCAAGCCGGAGAAACAGGCGAGTAAACCCCCCCCCCCCCCCCTCTCCCGCGGGTCCATCGCTTCTGAATGAAATTGTCTTTGCCTGTCACAAAAGTCACGACAACACGAACCACGCATTGAGAAAACGAACATACCACATTTCCTCACAGCGGCTGCCCTTCCAGCCGAAGCTCTCACCAATCCCCGCCCCGACCCACACAACCTCGTGTCCAAAACTACTCTAGAGGATGTGTAACCTGTTTGTGCCCATTCTTGCATGGAGCGCAAATTCGCGCAAAAATGCGGAGAATTCTTCACACGAGAACGTCTGAACGTGACAATGGATTTGAAACAACTTTCTACCCTCTTCATGATATCTACATCGAATCTCCTCGTACGAAAATACTAAAATCTAAACACACCATCCCTCTTGCTCGGATGTCGCCGAGTGAAACTTTGAGAATTAAAGTCTAACGCAAGATGAAGACCCTGCTCTTACACGCACTTGCATGGCTCGTTCAGCACACATCCGCTCAACAGAGCATCTCGCAACAGCTCTCCTCCATCCAATCGCTCTGCCCCAGCATCAGCTTCACGGGTTGCAGCTATCTACTGAATCAAGACAACATCTGCAATGCACTCCCGGCCACAGCTACTTCCCAATTAATCACCTGCTATTGTACACAAGATGTGTTTGATTCCTTCACAGAGTACGTCGACCGCAACCCCCCTCCCCTCCCCCCCCAAAACACATTCTGGTGCATGACTGTTCATCATTGGCTTCTTCCACAGCTGTGAAAGCGAAATCCGTGAATGCGGCCGAACCGACGACGAGGACAGCTACTACGAGGCATTGAAGACAGCATGGCTTTCCGCTTGCAGCCCATACCTCTCATTCACCGCCACCACCCCCATTCTGTCCACCTACACGCCGTATCCTGGTCAATTATACTGCAACAGCGTCAATTCTGCCTGTGCCCGCTGGGAGATCTCAACGAAATCTTGCGACACGAACTACCCAACGCCAGCTCAATCCACGTCGTGCGCCTGCCAGGCCAGCATTCTGAGCTTGGCGAGTGCATGTCAGATCGGTGGGGCATTGTGCGTCGGTACGCCCGTGACGTCCAGCACACTCTGGTCAAATATCGTTTGCAGCGCCATTACCGCCCCCATAGTAAGTCAGAACGATCTCACCCTAGGGTTCGGTGCTCGACTTGCTCACCGGCTATCGCAGACCGACTTCTCCCCGTTGGCGGTGTCTTCAACGAGTGTCGCCTCTTCCACGAGCGCTGTCGTTACATCAACAGGAGGGAGCAGTTTTAGTGAAACAACTCCGCCAAATACACCACCGCCTCCTACGACTACTACTGCTACTGCCACTGCCAATTCTCCCGTTTCAGCTACTCATACCATTTCGTCCGCCATCAAAGGGAAGCTTGTTTTGTCTGCTTTCACCGTTATTGGGATCAGTCTTTCACTAGCTTACTACTTCACATAAGATACGCAGTCCTGAGGAATCACATCTTGCCAATCTGAAATTTAAATTTCTCAGTCCCTGCAACGTGATAAGGATCACCGAAGAGAGAGCAAGGTCAAACCCCTCTTTCTCGTATTTCCAATGCCAAGTGTGCAAGAACACGAGAAAATCCTGGCAAGCTCGCAACGCACAGACACTAAATCTGTATTTGGGCATGTCAGCTGGACAATGCGGCTGAACAATGCGTCTCCTCTGTCTCGTATTTCCCATGCCAAATGTTCAAGAACACGAGAAAATCCTGGCCAGCTCGCAACGCACAGACACCGAATATGTGTTTAGGTATGCTGAATAATGCGTCTCTTCTGTCTCGTATTTCCCACCCAAGTGTGCAAGAACACGAGTAAAGGCTGGTAAAGGACATCGCGCCCGAGGGTATTCCCGAGCCAAGCGGGCCCGAGATAAGCTCTCTCACGGACGTGGATTAGCATTTTGCTCGACTTTTCAGCCTCAGCCTTCTCTTCTGGCTCCGAACACAATTGTTTGAAGCCACATCCTTTTCACATGGACTGAAATGTGCAAGATCAATAATGGCAGGTTGGATCCCTCTCGTCTTGACGTATTACCTGCTGTGCCCGTTGATCGTATTCAACATGGGCTTGATCGGTTCCATCGCCGCTCTGACCGTCATCTCCAAGCATCACCACGGCTTCGTCGACGTGCAGGACTCCTCGACCGCATCGCTCAGCTCGCTGCAGGACTTCACCGACCTTAAACACTGGGCTGAGCACCTCTACTGGACGACACTCCCCACATTCGTCGTGGCCATCTTCGCTGCATGGTTTGTCGCGACCATCGCGGCTGTCTGCGAGAGGCAGCCGTACGCGGAGCTAGCCAAAGAGGGCGGGGCGAGTGGCAGTCGCAGTATTCTGCTGGACTACCACAGCATGCTGCTCCCACTGCTTGGGGCCGTCAAGAACCAGCACTTGACCTTGGGTATCTTCCTTTTTGGCTCGATCCTCGCGAACTTGTCGCTCACTTCTTTGACATCATCGCTGTTTTCAGTCGGAACTTCAATCCGCACGAGCCAGGAGGATATGCTGATCGGTGCCGCCTTCAACGACACTGGTGTGGATAGTCGATCCAACCTGAAAGCCGCCTTCGACATTGTCTCGGCGGCTTTGGTGTACAACGCGAGCTTCCCGCCCTGGACGTCCGCTGATTATGCCTTCCCCAATTTCACGTTGGCGAACTTCTCTCCCCAAGGATACGCTTCTGCGACAAATATCACGACCAACCTCACTGCATATTCCGCTGAAGCATGTTGCGTGGTAGCCCAGATTCAAGGAGGCGTATCGGACTCTGGGGATTTCGCGTTCACCACGGTCGATCGAGGTTGCAATGTGACTGGAAGCGTTCCACTGGCCGTGGGTGCATCGATCTACTACCAGTCGTTCGCAGTCTTGGACTGCCCCCTAACCGCTGGTTGGAGCCGAATGGTTTTGTTCACCGCCATCACTCAAGATGGCGACGCTTCGCTCGTGTCAGACGTCAACGTCATATCCTGCATACCGACGTATCACCAGACTGCAGGGAATCTGTCCGTCAGTATCGGCCCAACCAGCAGCGTCTGGAACAGCTCTTTCGCGCCCAACTCGTCGCCAGACTTCACCTTCCAGCCCACAGCGTGGCAGGTATATGAAAATGGCCTGCACCTATCAGATTACTTTGACCCAACGGCCACCGTCTCGGCGTCGCTCTTCGCTCTGCTGATCGTGAGCTACTCTCAACTGCTCTCGGGGACAACGGAATTGCAAACTTCAGCACTCGTGCAAGCCTCCGAGCAAGTGTTTCGCAGTACCTTTGCCGCTACTTCTCACTTGTTCTTCCTGCAGCCACTGGCAGAACCGGTTTCCCGCACAGGAGCGCTCTCCATGTCAACGCGGCGGCTCTTCGTCGTCTCCCCCATCGCGTGGATCATGGTCGGTGTATTGGTCTTTCTCTGCATTATCTCCTTCTCAGCGCTGTTCTATACGCACAGCAACGACTCCATCCTAACGGAAGAACCATGCGGCATTATCAGCTTTGCGAAAATAGTCTCTGGCGGAGCATGCGAGGATTTTGCTAGAGGATACCTCGCCAACGCTGTGAACAACAATGAAACGTTTGAGGAGTTCGTGCATGCCCAGAACATCAAAGGGAGGATGTTTCGGGGTGTGGCGAATGGGACGGTGGTGATTCGGGAGATAGGGCCGAACGGTCAAGTGATGATGCCTCCTCAGAATCAGGATCCACCTGGGCATGCGGCAACCAACGCGCCAGGCAACATACAAGGCAACGCAGCAGGTAATGCGTAGGAACACGCGCCGGGCATCGCATTGAGCGCTGAAAGATCAGTAACATGGTGCCCTTGCAGAGGTAACTGAGGGGATTTGGCCTACGTTGCAAGCAGCTGATATTGTACATTCACCTCGTTCTACTTGTTCTACTTGTTCTGATTGCCCTAATTAGCGTCAGTAGGCTAGGGGAGCGTGTCTTGAGTTCGGACCGCATGTTGCTTTCGGGCTGACTTACACCATTCTTGACTCGGTCGTATTGACCAAATCGCGTCTGTCCAGATAAACAAAGATGTCTCAAAGAGCACGTTAGAAGACAAGTAATCGCATTGTCTCTTCTGTGGCTAGGGGATCCTCTTGCAAAGGATTTGCCCCGAGCCCTTCATAGGACTGGTTCCAGCTCGCTTTCATCCAGCAATTCGACGACGACGACGACGACGACGACGACCTGTCCATGAACGCGTTGCTGAAAAGAATAGACGACTGCCAGACAATGGAAGAATCGGCCACGATCGAGTGGACAGAGAAAGAAATATTGACGCTGTGGTATCAGGTTTTTTTGCCATGAGAGAAAGTCTGCGTGTCACCTTGGATTTGGTGAGAGAGGTGTTTGATGCCGCCGTACTGATCAAGAGGGCTCTACAAGGCAGTGCTGAGGAAGAAGAAACTGTCGATGCAGATTGGCTGGCCTTCTGGTGAATTCATATCGACCCGCGGTCGGCGCTGGAGTATGGACCAACGGAATGGCCTCAGGAATGGATCTAGGATGCAGGAGGGTGTCGATCAGCGATAGCTGTCGATGAGATTGGAGGGGTCCGTAGAAAGCGTTTAAAAACCAGTTTCAGGTTTGTGGTCCTCCATCTATGTGGTGACGCATCCTCCCATTAGCCTAGTATATCCTCGATTCTGGTTAGATTAACCAGATCAGATAAAATAAAAGGTTTGTCCGCCCACGTCATTACCCATCCTCAAGTGAACACGGTGCATGGAATCGGGACTCTTTCAACTGAGGTTCTCGAGAATTTCGCCTCTCCAGGCTCCCGATTCCTTGGCTCTGGATTCGGGCATATGCAGGGCAGGCACTTGGGTATTTGTTGACTCGCCTCGAACGCCACCTAGGCAACCTGTTGTCCTCACACTATCGATAGCGATACGCAAGCTGCAAATGCCCCTTAAATAGATGTCCCTGTGTATTTGGCCCTACTAAAGCACTATCTATATAGCCAGCGAAATACCCCTATTCCTGCCTCTCTTGCCAAGCCACGCCTTTCGTCAGGGTGAGTCCCGTAACTTTGAGATCCACAATATTAAGAGTGAGCTAGCTAACTGGGACAACACTTTCAGTACTCCCATTTGAGGACGGATTTTAATTCATTCTAGGTGTAACAATGATACGGAAGGGCAAGGGCTTGCCACTATGGGTGTCGAGAGGAATCACGGGGCACTGCGAATGGCACAACGTAGGGTTTGGAATAGCAATGTACTTGAAACCAGTCTCTATATCTCAAGCCCTTCAAGTCCTCTTCATACCTTCCTGGCGCCGCCTTACGCCACCATTGTACTGTCCTGGCGCACCCTTCGCTCAATCCAGCCAAGCCTACTGCTTTGAAATTTCCGATTGTTCTGTTTGCACAGAGACTCCGTTGGACAAAACACGTGCTGTAACTGTGCATTCAGTTTTCTTCTATCTTGTCTATCTGATTCCTGTGTCCTCACGATGGCTTCCTCGTTCAATATAGATATGTACTGTACGCAGAAGTGCCCATAATACGCAGGAATGTCCGCGAAGACACTCCCAAAGCTGGCAACCTGGTGGGGTACACCCTGAGTGGGGAGTACAACAGGCACTCTCACCAATATTGCTAGCGTTGGTGGGCTCCGTTGATCGAGAATGGAGGAGCCAGATTAAGATGACCTCAAAGGAGATCCTAACTATGTTATATATCTCTGAAAGCACCTGAGAAACGGCTACTTGTGTGATTATTTTTATTGAATTCTTGTAGTGCTGGAGCTTGGCTGAAGTGCCAAGGATTTGCCTGATCCCGTCGGCATGAAGTGCGCTGGACCCAATAAATTGGCATGGCTCGCCCTTTTGCCAATATCATGCCGATGTGTCTATATTCCTATCGAACCGCCATAAAGCACCTCAAAAACCCGAGGTATTTGAATTTATCTCGGAGCGGACAAAGTAATACTCCGTACTCTCACACTCCCTCGATTCCCTGAAGCCAATTCGGGCCCGGGGGAACCCCTTTAGGACCCCCTCAGGCCCACTAACCAAAGCCATTGTTACTTAGCCGTAACCCCTGATTCGATTTAGCTAGGCAGTCGTGCCACTGCTGCCTAGAAACTTTAATTCTTGTGTCCGTTTAGGGACGCGTCCCATTCTGGTGCTTCGATACGTAAAAGGTCATTGATAGTCAATGGACAAAGCTGATATGAAATGCCATTGGTAGCTACAAGAATCATTTCGGATACACGGAACGCACTCCAGAATCCGAGGACACAGCATGGTTGTGCCCCGTACTGCCGGGGAATACTTTGGCAGCGGCTGAGGTGACGCAGCTAGCCAAGGCACTAGTCTGGTCTATGTGCTATCGGCCTAGGAAGTGACTCTATACCTCCGTACCTCTCTTAAACGACATCCCGGCGTGGTGAAATGCCCTGCGTTGCTGAAATAAGCACCAGGTACTCCGAGCATCGACAACGCGCACCCACCACTTTGGACGCGGATTGAGTATGCGAGCGTACTCCCGTGTTAAAAAGTGATTATGCTATGATCATCGTTGCTTTTGTTCATTAATACCGTGACCTGATATTCTTAAGGCCCCGGTTTACATCGGCCCGCGAGAACGCTCCCAAATCGGTCCATCTCCCGGGGGGGGGGGGGGGGGGGACTGATTCCCATCGACTTGACATTTAAGATATTGAAGACAATGTTCCAGTTTATATACACTTTAGAATAGATAATCAAATCAGCAACTCAAGCTGTTCATCGTCTGTGCTGCGGTTTCGCGTGGGCGAACACCCCCGTCAGGTACTTCGGTGCAGATTGACAAATAGCCGATGACAATACCGGAAAACTGATAATATAGAAATGACACGCGACAAGGACAGCAAGTAGCTCAGCCACCGCCACGATGCTCGCACCATTGCCGCCTCAACCACACTAACTTGCACGTGATAAGCTGCATCGAAGAGCGGCTGCGCAGTTCAGCCACGTCTGCGTTTAGCTTGAACAGACTCAGATACCGCTGGCACTCAGCCTGACCCTGAAAAGGCAACATTTTCACTTCGAATTCAATTATTGAGTTTTTCTCGCCGTCTCTAAGCGGTATTATACCTTCTTCGTTTCACGCTTGCCATCTCACCATGTCCCTAGCGACCCCGGGTAGTAAGCGCAGCCGTCTCCGACAGTTGCTCCCCTTCCGCAGTTCCACTCCCCCTAGCAAACCAAGCTCCCCAGCAGCATCCCCAGCAGCATCCCCAGCTCCTGCCACGCAGTCTAACGCTTCGGGAACGTCGACTGCGACGCAGCAAGATTTCCAAACCCGAGTCTTCCTTCATCTCTCCCTGCAGGATCAAGACACCATTCAACAACATAGCGTGACGAAAACGACGGATGTGGATGCACTCGTACAGCAAGCCCTCGCGGCGGCGAGGGAGAAGCAGACGACATGCCAGGCGAAAAGATGGACTTGGAAATTTCACGGGCATACTGTCACCTTACAAGAAGAGGCAGACAATATTATAAAATGGCTAGATCGCTTTAAGCAGGTGGGAGATGTTGCCTCCAACGTCGATCCTGTGCATGTGGGACTTCCGTGGGCTGGCATTCGTCTTCTTTTGGAGGTAAGTAGTGTAGATCTTGTGGAAGCCGTTATATATACGGCGCAAGTGGAAATAGACTTCAGGCTGACTGCGTTTAGGCCGCAATTTCCGCGCAAAGCCAGATGGCGGCTCTCCTCCTTGGTCTTGAAACAGCGCTCTATCTCTCGAACCGTCTCCGAGTGTACATAGAATATTTGACCACTCTTCCGGCTAGTCAAGCTCGTACCAATTTCGAAACCTCCTTGGTCGAGTTTTATGCGTTGATATTACAATTTCTCGCAGGCGCAGTTCGCATCTATCAAAGAGGCAGTATCACACGTGCGTTTGACGCATTCTGGCGAATCGAAGATGTGTCGGCCTTTGAGAATGCCTGCAATAAAATGGCCAGCCGTGCCGAGATCGATGCGAGCATCTGTGATCGAGACTTGAACGCTACTAACCGAGCAGCGGTGAAGCGGCAACAAGAAGATCTCCGGCAAGTTTTGAAGCAGTTGGAAGCCATACATCTTATACGGACTGGCATCGATAGACTCGAGGCTAAATTCGACCTCAGCAAGCTCCCGGTGGCAACGGGGGCCGCTTTCAACTCTCACCAAAGCGAACACGATGCTCGATGTCATCCAGACACTCGGGTAGACTTACTCCGAGGGATCTATGACTGGGCCGATGACATCGATGGAAAATGCATTTTTTGGTTAAGAGGTTCGGCAGGGACGGGTAAGTCGACGATATCTCGCACGGTTGCCGAGGCGTTCGCCAACAAAGGGCGGCTGGGCGCCAGTTTCTTCTTCAAGCGAGGCGAGCACGATCGTGAGAATGCGAGTCTCTTCTTCCCCACTATTGCGGCCGGCTTAGTCCGCCATATACCGGAATTAGCAACCCCCATTCACCAGGCGATCGATGAGGACCCCGGGATCGTCCGCGAGACTTTAAGGGAACAGTTCGAAAAGCTTATCTATCAGCCTTTGGCTGGCATTGGTCCTACCTCGTCTGCAAGACCAATCTTAGTTATCGATGCGCTGGACGAGTGTGACCGAGAAGGAGATATACGCACTATTCTCTCTCTCCTGGCTAGTTTACGGCGACTCAGTTCAGTCCATATACAAGTCTTTCTGACCAGTCGACCGGACCTACCGATCAATCTCGGTTTTGCACAAATCGGCACCGAAACCCATCGCGATGTCGCTCTTCACGATATTCCACCTTCCACGATCCGCCATGACATCTCCGTCTACCTAGAAAGTGAATTCCAACGGATTCGCGATGAGCATAACAGTCTTTGGCCAAGAGATCAAGCACTGGCTCCCCACTGGCCAGGCCGGCAGACTCTGGAGTCCTTAATTCAACTGTCCGATCCACTTTTCATCGTGGCTGCCACGATTTCCCGCTTCATTGGTGGCAGTCGCGGTGACCCCCACGACCGACTGGCGACGTTTCTCGTTCAGCTCAACACTGGGCAAATGACCCAAATGGAGCAAACGTATCTTCCGGCGCTCCGGCAGATATTGGTCGACGTCGAGGAGCCCAAAGAAAAGGATAAGCTTTGTCACGATTTCCGTGAAATTGTGGGTTCGATCATTCTCTTGGCCAATCCCTTGTCCACGATTTCCCTCTCCCAATTACTCCAGATTCCTAGACGGAAAATTGATCACCAGCTACGACTTCTTCACTCGGTGCTGTCTGTGCCTTCCAACCCTGATATGCCGGTTACGTTGTTCCACCTCTCCTTCCGGGAATTCCTCGTGAAAGAAAGCAACTCTGATCAAGCACGACTATTTGCGATTGATGAGTCCTGCGCGCATACAAAACTGAGCGATAAATGCCTTGCATTACTTCAGAGTCCTAACGGTCTTCGAAAGGATATCTGCCAACTACAGCACCCTGGCGTCTTGCGGGAAGACATCGACGAGACCACCGTCACCGAACACATTCCGCCTTCTCTCCGATATGCCTGCCGCTACTGGGTCTACCACCTCCAGCACAGCGAACAAAAGATCCGTGACGATGATGTCGCTGCCAATTTCCTACGGAAGCACTTTCTACATTGGCTCGAATCGTTGAGCCTTCTAGGGAGCATCTCCGAGAGCGTTAACTTAGTCGTCACATTACAATCGCTCGTGGAAGAGAATGGCCAAATATCGGCCTTTATACAAGATGCGCGACGGTTTGTGCTAACATTCAATCTCATTCTTGCGCAAGCGCCGTTACAGGTGTATGCCAGTGCTTGGCATTTCAGCCCACTCGCCAGCATTGTCCGCAACGATTTCCAGGATCAAGCATTACAATGTGTCCGAGTGATAAGAGAAATCCCAGAGCGGTGGAGCGCATGCTTACTAACTTATGAGGGCCACTCTAGTACGGTCAATAGCGTGGTCTTCTCGCCTGACGGGTCGCGCGTCGCCTCTGGCGCCGGCGACAACACCGTACGACTGTGGGATGTACAGACGGGCGCGTGCGAGCAGACACTCGAGGGCCACTCTAACTGGGTCAACAGCATGGTCTTCTCGCCTGACGGGTCGCGCATCGCCTCTAGCTCCTACGACAATACGGTGCGGGTGTGGGATGTTACTACCGGAGCTGAGTTACTGTGCTACAATTCTCATACCTACGACAACCATATTGAATTTGTTGACAATGGCTCAAATATTCTAGCCAATGGTCAAGTCATAAATATTCCACAACAGTTACCACGACCTACCGTTACAACAACGCAGTCACCTAACTTTAACTTACCATCCGGTGGTGCATTCGGAGTCACTGGTGACTGGATTACATGGAGCTCACAGAGAGTATTATGGCTGCCGCCTGAATATCGTCCTACATCATGGCAAGGCCAAAGCGATATTATTGTCATCGGGAGCGGAAATGGTCGTGTTACTTTTGTGCGTCGGACTGTGTAGCCATCCTCCGATCAAAGAATACCCTAATAATTTTTTGTGATAACTTTACGAACGAGAGGTCCGGAGAATTTCCATCTTATATACTGTACCTGCATCCTCAGACCGTCTGTTCAAACGGTACGTGGTGTGCTGGATGTGGTGGCACTCGAAGTACCCCGGCCCTATTTCACGACGAAGGGCATTTCACCACACCGGGACGTCGATTCCTGTCTATTGCAGGAGCATAGATTAATAGTTAGGGTGGAGTATCGATAACATGGGAAGGCGAAGGTGAGGCCTGTCAGGAATGTAAAGGGGGAAAAGACGTCGGGAGGCGCACGAGTGGAGCCCGAATCGACCAAGGAAATCCTCAAGTTGCCAGTTTGGGTTCCTTGCGGTTCAAAGAGGACTAGCGGCCATACGAAGACCGTGTGCCCGCCATGTGCGCGACCTGATGACGGCGCCCCGGGAGCGACAGAGTGTGTCTATTGATCAGGCAAATACCGAGGAACGAAATCACCAGGTGACTGACATGGCGGATATTTACCGTGGTGCGCAACGGGCTATCTACTAGCTTTGAAAGGGCACCTTCACGAGAGACACGGCCTTCGACGTGCATCTGCATCACGATCGGCAAGATCGATGTGCGATGGTCGCACTTTGTCGCGTTGTGCTGGAATTCTAGTTTGCTGGCCTTCTACAGTGATTACTTCCTTGCGTGGGGCGCCTTTGAGGAAAAGAGCCCCTTGCACAGGCTGCTTGAGATTGCACGGATGTTAGATCTTCCGGAACCACAAGGAGGACTTGACCCATACTCGGTCATCAGAGCATTCTCTGCGACCGACTGCTCCGACATTCGAGATCGAGTCTTCGCCGTAAGAATGGTCATGAGCGATCCGACGTGCATCCTCGACTACAACCTGTCCGCCATCGCGCTGTTCTCTCACCTTGTTAAGTCGAGCCTGGGAACCGCCTTGGTCGATCCATTGAAGCTGGCGCTGAATCTCTCGCGAAACGATCTGACCAACGCCGGTGATGATGAGTTGCACGACCACCTCCACGGAAAACCGAAACAGAGGCTGTTAAACCGCAGCCTGTCTTTGGACCCGAGCTGGAATTCGAGAAGCCGTGGACACCGCCTGCCCTGGGGGCGGGTTGCTGGAGGACCGGACGCCTGGGCAACATTGCTGAGGTGGCAGCCGTGCTTGAGTCTGTTGACCGACTCTTTGGCACCCGAATTCCCGCACGTTGCCTAGGAGGGCACACCGCAGCTCCTGACTGAATGGATGAATTTAAGAAACGCACAACTACACCGAGCTGTTGGCTCTCCCTTCCTCCTCTGTGCAAATCCAGCGTCGCACAATGAAATGAACCATCAAAACTTGCTAAAATGCACCTTAGCTGGTCAAGGCCATCGAGATTCAAGACCATCAAGCCTGACAAATATACATACATACACTCCGTGCGTGGTATATATACGATGACGATGGTGATGAAGCAATAAGCACACGTCCGTGACTAGACCATCCTATCTCTAAGCTCTGGTAGCGAGAAGAAAATAGCACTATCTGTGTGTGTAAGGGGTGTGGTCACCAACACATCGGACATAAGGTAGATATTGATCTATCCGTTCTTGGTTATCAGCCGGGCATATATGGGAGATGGATGAAGAGAAACGTGGAGGAACTTTGGCCTGGCCGTCGCGTGGGCCGCCCGGGGCGATCTTTGTCCCTTGATGGCAGCACCATGTCGGGAAATTCTGGTGTCTGTGTTGGTTTGTAGTCCCAGCCGCGTTCCATTGTAGATTAGATGCACAAGCCAGGGCTAGCAACATAAGTGATGCCTCTAGTCAAGAAAAGGGAAGAGTGCCCGATCTGATCTCAGTGGGCGGAGTTGAACGAGTCCAAGCGCTTTGAGAACCAGTTTCGAGGCCTCACAGACGAGTCGGCATGCGGTTCGGTCGTGCGATCGGGGCTTGACATCTGGTACTCATTGGCATGCAGATTGGATCGAGTTTTGGCACGCGGAAGTAGGGAGGCTGAACGGCGTGGACGGCAACTATTCACAGTCGAATAACCCCGCCGAGTGTCAATCTTGAATCAGTCTCGGGGCAGTCCATCTCAGCGTGGTGCTTCAGCCTGCAGATACGCGGGTATGTGAAAGGCCGTACACAGGCAAGTCAACGAGCTCAGCTGAGCCCAACGTACCAGCGTCGCCTCTGCGCGACGACGATGCTCGGTGGAGGGACTGAGGCCGACAACGACCTTGACCGGGTACGCGGTGCGGATGAAGTCGCCACCAGCAAGCCTCGCTGCTTCCTGATATGCTGCCACCGAAAGAATCTTTGACGAGTGGAAGAAGACGCGTCGCTGGTATTCGTGCCTTGCGGGATCTGAGCTGGGCGTCGATGCCAACAAGACCGAATACAAGATCATGTTCACGGTGCTGTGCAGACCCCACAAGGTCGCCGACAGAGTCCCGAGATATCGACCTCCCTCGTGGTTGGGCACGAAATCCCGTCTAGCCGAAGCTCCTTCGGAGCCTTCCAGGAGTCTAGCTTCACGTACTTCGTGCTCACAGAGCCAGTCGTCGGAGGATTCTACCAGGCTCAGAGCGAGACGCTTGATGATGCGCATATCGGGAGCATCCCAATTTATTAAGCGTCTCGATTCCATAGAGTCAGTGACATTGCTCAAGAGATGTGTGCAATGAGTCGTCAGGAGGAGAATGTCGACGATGGAATCGACCGCAGTCTTTGGGTATTCGGCGAATGGGACAGTGAGCCATTCTTCAGTTGCAAACGGTGATTGGATTCCTGTCATGATTGAGATGTACGCCTACTACCTCAGCCACCGCCGTAAGAGTTATTGGAGGGAAATGTTACCTACGTCGTTCAGCCTGGCCGTTCGAAACATCTGGTGCATTATTCCGCCTCGACAACTCGAGGGGCCAACACCGCGCAGCAGTACCGCCGCTGCAGAGTAGTGGTGGGTTGGCCCGTTGGGCACGGTACTGCTGATCATTTCGAACAAGGCCAACACGAGAGAACAGGACACGAGATTCGAAATCGGCCCCTGGAGATCGGCCGAGAGTTTCTGCAGTTGGTGTCTGTGGCTCGTAAGGCTGCGCTCGTACCAATCATGAGCCTCTGTCCGGGCGCAGGCATCCCTGTGAGATATGCCGTACAGCATCATCGACGCGGCGCGCAGCGCGGGTGCCAGTGCAGGGTACGAGGACAAGTAGGCGGGCTGGCGAAGGTATGCAAGCCAGGTGGTGATCTTTGGCGGTCTCTGGCTGGTCATGGCGTCGTGGAACTGGTTTATGCATATATCTTCGAAATCCTTGACCGAAGGGACCTGCAGAGGATGCGTAAGCCCGGAGAAGTCGAGGAATCAAAATGGTGATTCTTCCGCCACAGGGAGATCTTACCAGAAGCTTGACGGGTGATATCTCGCTCTCCTGACGCTGCCCGGCCTCATCTTCCTTCTTGGTATATCGCGGCGTCATGTCGATGAAGATGTCTCCTTCGAGGGGACCATCACATTCGAAACCCATGACCAGGCATCTCCGACAGAACGGCGCTCCTTCATCGCACTACGCACGTCTAGTCAACTTCCATCATCTCTTCTCCGAAACGAGCCTCCATGCTTGACGCCTGGACGGGGTGAGCATGCTGGCAGAGTGCGCCATTGCTTACTTTGACTCGGCGCATGCGACAGGTCTCGCAGGCCTTGGTGCGCGCTTTTCGGGGCTTATATCTCATGCTGGCACTGGTCTTGCTTTTTCGCTGCACTTCGGAATGGATGGAAGCTCAGCATCGCTTGTGCGAGATCGAGCAACACCTTGTAAATCCAGATTTAGATCATGTTCTGGTCGGCATAGAAGGAGAATGAGCCTCAGTGTAAGAAGAAGACATGGTTGGCGAGAAGAGACGATGGTTTAAAGGAATAAACCAACCAGTCATTACGATTGATTCAAAAGCGTACCGAGTAGTTAAGTTTCTATAAGAGCGGGGTATAGTGTCTGCCGAGGAGATGGATTATGCCCCTAGGACCAACCGGAAGTTAGGTAATTTACTGTAGCTCGGGGGCGCCTGAAGCACTCGGTATAGCTAACGGACGAATGGTTGCTTCTGCCAACCAGCTGTCGGTACCTGACCTATCACGATCCCCTCTACCTCCGATCCACGTCCATCCCTACAATGTCACATCCCTGTCTCACCCCTCTGTTCGACGATTGGCCCTCTCATCCACACCCCCTGAGTGGCTTTCAGAGAGTGTAGACGAACAACGGGTGTCGATCATGCACCTCTTCGAGCGATTTCTGAAGATCCGGATGAGCCTGTCCGCTTCGGGTCCGTTCCAGGCCATCCTCAGCCTTCTGCCGATTGAGCCGGCGCAACCAGAAATAGCAGGCGACGACGGCAAGCAATGCCAGGACTTGGAAGGAGAGGACGATGGAATGGCCTTTGACAAACCGTGGCGGGTCGGTGTAGATGCGCGTGCCCAGAATGGCAAATGACTGACCCCAGACTTCACAGATGGCCCACGTCGCCGCCCGTTTGGTGAACCCCGCCGTGTTGATGCCGATCCACGCTCCGAGAAAGGTCACGGCGGGAAATGTTCCGGCCACGATGAGGCAGGAGCCGAAGATCTTGACGTGGACGTTCCCGGGGCACAGTAGGATGATGTAGCCCACGATGCTGATTGATAAACAGAGCATGAGAAATGGCCCCTTGAGATTGACCCGGTCAGAGGCGCTGTTGAGCACTAGGAGAGTGACAAAGGCACAAGCATAGGGAATGACCGAGAAGAGCTGGGTCCGAACTACCACGTTTGTTAGCCATGGTTGAAAATGAACGATGCCGGCAGACTCACTAGGACTATAGCCGAATTGGTTGATGAACGTTGGCAAGAATGAGCTCAGCGAGATGAGCGCAATGGCTATGCCTGAGTTCATGAGGCAGAAGAACCATGTCTTGACATCGACGAGAGCAGCCCATATCTGCTTTGGCTCGAATTTGGCATCGACCGTATTGTATGCTATTCCAAGTCAGCACATCACCACCCGGCCAGGTTCTTGGGTTGCTGTACTTTTCATCCTGAAAATAGCCAGATCAATCTCTTGCTCTGTGAACAGCCAGTGCGCCTTGCCTGCCTTTCTCATTTGGTCCGGCCCCAGGGGTAGGAGAATGTAGACGAGAATCCCGACGAGAATCGCTGCGGAGCCTTGAATGATGAAGATCCATTGCCACGCAGGCCGCCCGAGAGCCCCGTCCATATTTTTTTGTATACCGTAGGCGATCAGGCCACTGAATGCGCCGGCAATGGTGGCTGCTGAATAATATATACCTGGGCTCCATGTTAGCGAGCCGACTCCAATGCTCATCTGGTGACTTGCCTCCCCGAGTGACGACCTCGTCGCGCTTATACCACAGACTTAAGTAGATTGACAACCCCTGAACAAAAACAGACGCCATGCCCACAAGAAATCGAAGACCAAGAATGGCAGACGTGGATTTGACGGCAGACATGCAACAGACGAAAGTGCCAAAGGCCATGACACATATTCCCACTTGGCGATGTGCTTGGATCGAACGGACGAAGACGTTTGCGGGGAGCATAAAGATGATGTAGCTGACATCTGACCGTAGTTAGAAGGGCAGCGGCTTGACGGTCTGCAAGACTTACAATACATCATCACAGCATTGTAGAAGTCACGATTGCTCATGTGGAGCTGTTCTTGGAGGCCCATCAGGCGGGCGTTGCCGATGTTGTTCCGGTCCTGGCATCTAGAAGTCAGTATCGGCTGCATGTTCTGTCAAGGGATAGGGAACAGACCCATGCTGTGACGAGGTAGATCAAAATCGCGAGAGTCAGCAAAAGCAGATCACACTTCAAGACCAAGCGACGTTCCTGCTTGGACTTGTTGTGCGAGCTTGCGCCATTGGTCTCGTCAATATAGCTGGCTGAGATTGTTTTATTGCCGTCGAGTGTCTCAACCTGGTCGAAGGTAGCGTGCACTACGCCTTCGGTTTTGAGGTCGATGTCGGTCATGGTGTTGAATGTTATACAAGCACTGCCAGTTGATGAGAATCAAGATACGGGCTGCTCGATTCGACCAGCCTCCTGGGAGCAGCTCTGATCGTTTTATACTTGTCAATGACTTGGGGCAATTTACAATGTAGTGGATCCCTGGCTTGTGACCTGGAGGTTGACTTGAGGCAGTGTTTTCTCGATGTTGCTCTCGCCGCTTCTTCCGAAAAGGTGATGGTAGGGAACTCTGAAAGCTGCGACCCATGCCTTGTTCCACCGCCCTTGCGATGTTCGGGTGGGACTATGATTTCTTCTAGAGTGATATCGTGATGACCCCACGGGGAGACTCATGCAGGTGTCGATGCTGATACCAAAGTCGTCGTTTGTGGGGTGAGTCCAGGCTTTTCCTGACCATCATCAGACCAGATCTCGACGGCATGCATGATATTGGTGGCGGGATCCTGCTGCTAGTGATCTGTCTGTATGCAACCAAGGCCATAGTGTGTGCTGTGTCTGGCATTGAATTCCTAAGGGCGCAATTTGGTGGATACCCACTAGAACTATTCGGGGTTGGCGTCATGCAGGCATCGCCGAGTGTCCCAAAAGGGGTTAGCGTTTATGCCTCAATCGGTCTTCTTCACTTCATCACGAAAACCAACTCTCCTCGAACTGCCAATCCGAATCTGAACCTCTGAACATCTTCGAGTCCGAGGCCAACTACGATTCAACAATCACCGTTCGTTCCCATCTGAGAAGTCCACACAGACCGGTCGTCAATCTCGCCGACCCAGACCACCCTTGCTTAGACCGGCTCTTGACGAAGGCTACTTATCACGAAGACGTGATCGTATGGCCTACAATGACCGGCGGCCTCCAGATGCGGAGATGGTTGAAGTTTGTCCGGGGAATAACACGCAGCTATCGGTAAAATTGCCCGTCAGGATTTCCTCTGGCTCAATGGTGCGATGCAGGGTGATCCCCCCAGACCCGGGCGAGAGTCTCCGTCCAGCGTTGTTATGATTGAGAAAATGAGGTATTTCGAGACCTCTCACACTAGTGATATGTCCGGACTCCCGATCGTGCTCCGGTTCCGGTCGTTCCTGTATTTGGTCTGATATAAAGATTGGACATGTTCTCGCTCCAAAACCCCCTGGACTTGGTTTGATCAAATCTTTATTAGAGCCATCGCACTGAGAGACTCTGCATCATGTCATTGGCCACAAACTCCTATGTCGCAGGCGTGGGAGCCGACCCAACTTTCCCGCATTTGTTTGCCCATGCAGAACGAAAGGACGTGACACCGCGATTGGGCACCGAGCTCCGGAACATTCAGCTGGCCCAGCTGACGGACGAACAAGTCGAAGAACTGGCTTTGTTCATCTCCCAGCGCGGCTGTGTCTTCTTCCGGGACCAAGAGCTCAGCGAGGACCAACATGTCCAGCTGGCCGAACGATTCGGCGGTGCCATCGACCACGTCCATGCAGTAGGAACACATCCTTCGTTGATCAGGCTGCATGCAGATGAAAACAGCCACGCTGTGTCGGGTGAGGCATGGCACAGTGACATGTGCGAGGAGGCCATTCCGCCGGCCTTTTCCATTCTCATGATCGAGCGAACACCGCCCTCTGGAGGGGACACCATGTTTGCCAAGTACGTACACACGCTCCCGGTCCTTCGGTTTGTAATGCGGTCTTTGGCGTGCTAATGTTGCCCCCGTGCTCAGCATGTACGCGGCTTTCGACAAACTGTCGCCTCACATCAAGAAGACTCTGAGCGGATTGACTGCGCAGAACCGCAGGCCAGTCACCACGCTCAGGAAGGAGGCTGTCGACCGAAGCCAAGTGAACTCTCACCCCTTGATCAGAACACACCCTGTCACCGGCTGGCAAATGGTAAGCCCGGCCATGAGTTCATCTCCAAGGGTCACCCGTGCTAACAGGTGGTGTGATGATAACAGCTCTTCGCCAACCCCGTCTTCACCACGCACATCGACGGCCTGACCGTGCCAGAGTCCCAGGCCCTGCTCAAGTTCCTCGAGACCCACGTGGACAAGGGAGTCGACTTCCAGATTCGCTTCCACTGGGAGCCCAACAGCGTCGCCATCTGGGACAACCGTGCCGTCCAACACCAGGCGGTGTGGGACTACTGGCCGAGCGTCCGCGATGGAAGAAGAGTCGCGGTCAAGGGTGACCAGCCCTTTTACAGAACTGAGGGTGGGTCGCAGACGGAGGCGATGATGGGAAGCAAGGCGCCGCCTTCATGGAACAGACTCAAAGACTGGCGCATCTCGTAAAACTTCGGCATGTGTATAATTTTGGGGAAGGTTGAACATGAGGCGGCCGTACATTTATATATTGATCTCTCAACAAATGACCATCTGCTGGATTTGAAGTTTGCTGATAGCGGAATATGCCTCGACTTGCTCTGCGGTCTGCCTGAACGAATCTGACCACAGCGGCCCGAAGTGCAGCTCTCCGGATTCTGCAGCACTCACTGCCTCCCCATCCATAATGTCATCGACGTAGCAGGGCCCCACAAAGGTGCTGTCCTCGCCATTTCGTGGTCGCAGAATCAGTGGCATCGATGATCCTCCCACGATACAGACCGAGTCGCCGACACGGGTCTCGCCGGGTCCGAGTCCAATGTGCCCGGCGGCCGTGAGGAACAGTCGGCGGCCCCGTGCCGCTACCCCTGCCACCTGGCCGAACAGCTCCCGGCCAGCTATCCATTCTGGATCCCATTCACCAGTACCATGCCTCCAACGTCCCGTAGATGAGGCTTCCCCGCGATTCCAGGGATCTTGCTGCACCATCGGCAGGCACTGACGGCAGGCGTTGATCCAGGGGTAAGAACTCGTGTCAGGAATCACGCCGTAGCTGGCGAAGGCAACAAAAGGGAGTACCATGGCGGCACTGTCGTGCTCGCGGCGGCCATAAGAGTCGCGTCCGGCACACAGCGTGCGTGAGTAGACCTCTAGGTGTGCATGTTGGATAGGTTGCGTGAAGCTGAATCTGCTCAGCCAGTCGATGCCAGAAGCAATGTCGTTTTCCGACACCATTGTAACAAGGCCAGACCATAGGACAGTGGAGATTGAGATGCCTTGAACCGTAAGGCGATTGGATGAGCTGACGGCAAAGTAACAATCCAAGCCGCGGGAGGCTTCGAAGTGATGGTCAAGAGACCAAGGGGAGAGCAGGCTTGGTCGGCCTGGTTTCCAGCTGGGAACCCAGCTTGGCAGGCTCTTCCCAGCCTTCGTGGTCTGCTCGTCTGGGTCTATCTCACTGAAGTCACCCGGCACTCTGGGTTTGACCGGAGCATGTATACCAGCATCCAATAGTATGGCCAGTGGACTCGGGGTCGATCGTGCCGCTTCAAGAAACGACCGAGCAAAATGGATGCAGATATCTTCGTAGGACATGCGATGATCAGCTTTGAGAAGAGGTTGGTGATCCGGATGGTGATCGCGAGTCTCTAGGCCGAGGAGAGCGAAAAAGACATCCTTGGGCTGGCTGGTCTTGAAGCCAGCAGTCAACCTCAAAAGCTCCACGAAGGACATCTTCGAAGGGTCCAATTTATGGCTTTGAGACAGCCGAAACATGAGATATGCGTTGTACACGTTGTACAGGCGGTAGTCTCTCAGTGCACTGTCCCATCGCGTCCTCATGACCGCTGCCGCCAGGCCAATCCAGTGCCACGATATCCGGCAATTGTGGAACAGAACGTCGACTGAGCGCGAGAGCGCGATCTCTTGGATCACCCATTTGCGGCTGAACCACCTCACCTCGAATAGGTGCTCCAGTGGTTGTAGATCACGCACATAAGGGTTTCGGGGTTTGGTGAAATACTCGTCCAGCTTGCGAGCGAAGCTGCACTTACGATTTGGTTTCTTGGTCGCTACGGACCGCGTCGCCGGATCCGTTACAAAATACTCGACCGGCTGTGACGGGTCCCAGTGTTTGACAATGTGACATATCGATGCGATCGCCGCTTCAGGGTAGCCAAGAGACAGAGGGTCGGAGGAAATCGTTTCTAGGCGTTCGGGCATCCTTCCAAGCCATACGACGGTGCGATAGCCTTCATTATAGATTTCTTTCATTGCCTGGATCTGCCCAACCGCCTCGGCCTCGTCGCTTTGGTTGATGCAGAGGGCGTCAACCCAGACAGCTCGAGCCCGTGATGAATGTCGTAGGTGGATCAAGGCAGATCCGAGGTTCTCTTTGATGGGGACTTGATGCCCATTGCAAGTAATGAGCGTTGGCCTCCATTTATCCTTCTCTGTGAACCATTAATACTTTTGTACAAGCGCTTGCTTCCGTGTCAATATAGATACTACCGACCTTCTTGACGTTGAATCTCCCACTCATACTTGGGATCGCCTTCTTTCCATGCATAAGAGAGGGTTTCGTACTTGTGACGAACACTACTTCGCTTGAAGGGTCTTAATTGACATTGAATTGGTGTCCACATGTCCTGACTTGGTTGGAGAAGAAGCAAGCGGAACCAGGAATTGTCAGGAAGGTCGCTGTAGATGGTGGTGGGAACTGCGTCGTTACTCATGAGACTCTCGGGGAATGTCCAACCAGCAGAGCCAAAGTAAGACTTTGGTTCTGCTGGGAGCTTCGGTAGTGACGTGTCCATGGACATGACATCCCCCGACGGGGCACCATTGTCCCATTGCCAGCATGGCCAGATTGAACTGCTACCTGCGCCACGGGAGAATCTCACACCTAGTGCGATTTAGCTATGGGGACTACTTAATGATCTTGTCAGCAGAGCACATACGATCTGTTTCGTACCCGAGGACCTTTTCAACTTTGTACGGCAATTCTAATGGCACATCCTTGAAGTGTTTTAAGCGACGGGTTCTTTCAATGCCGTACTCAATTCCACGTCTGCCGGCCATCGCTTCTGCTGGCGAGAAACAGATTTGCAAGCTACCTGGTCAACGACAGAGGTATATGAGAAGTATAGCAGACAGGCTATTGAGAAGATAGTGCCGTCAGGCTGGAGCGGTGGGTTGACGCCTAACAGTCGCAGGCCCAAGTTGCTTTTCTGCGCACACTAATACAGCGTTGACTTGAAAGTGTTGTCTGGGTCCGATTCTAGAATCAACAGGTATTCCTGGCCGAATGTATCTCGAGGAGAAGTTGTTTTTTCTAGAATTGGGGGGTTGCTTCAGCCTTTTGAACGAGCAGCTGAAGCGTCTGCGCCGCATAAGGCTCATTACGCCAAAAAGAGTATAGCGCTGTTGCCTTGCAGGGTTAGGGGGAATAGGCAAGCTGCAGCCTGATTTTCTTGTGCATCGCCTCGCCCAGTTGAAGAAGAGGGACTATATCGAACGATGCCGTCAACAGCAACGCCCCCCAATGGCTCAGAACATATCTTCAAAGAAGATGATGCCATATGGAACTACACCGTCAGCTTCAGCTTACGCAGCCGCGGGTGTCTCAAGCTGAACACGGAAACAAACACATCAACGAACAGACTACACGTCTCAGAGACTGGACAGTGGCAATTCACGCCATGGGCTGCTGGAGGAACCTCCATCAAAAGTCAAGGAGATTCCCCCTCGAGAGAGACTCGATCTCTTCCCGGATCACCTCTCGACAGTACCTTCCCAAGTCTATCCCTCCCCACGAATCCAAGACAAAAGATCTAGAAACAACAGGCCAAAGGGCACAATGTCACAGTCCAGACAACTGCGCGAGCTCAAGCCCTTTCTCATCCCCAGCCCTTTTCGCTGCAAGTCAGTCTTGGGGAATACGTGGGCTCGGATCTTGTTGCAAGATCTGCGGATCCCCCGTTTGGGTGTTCAGCCTTGCGTCTCCTACACATGTTTGTCGTAAATGGTGAGCTCTGGTTAGACTATGTAGCCAGACCATTATAAGAGCTGCATTATATCCATGTACAAGATAGATCCTTCGAAGTAAAATGACTGTCATCAGCAGCTAAATCGGACCGGACTGCATTTTGTATCCGCCTCGGCGGCGAAATTGCTCACTTTTCATACCCTCTCAAAAACCGGCATCACAGCCAGCGGACACTCCACTTCCACCCTCCTTCCACCTTCAAAGATCTGCACATCTTTAGCCTCTCCATCGTCAAACCTCTTCCACTTGGCCGCTATGGGCAAATACACATTCCTCCTTGTCAAGCCCGGGTACATGACCGGAGCCACGAGATACTTCTGTCCAAACATATATTGGTCCTCTACGTCCCAGCACTCTTTATCGTCAGGAAACTCCAGGAACAGTGTCCTAATCACCGGTGTGCCCTTATGGTGCGCTTGGGCCATGAGGTCGCGGATATACGGACGGAGTCTCTCGCGCAGGAAAAGGTATTTTTTCATGATCTGGTAACACTCTTCGCCGTAGCACCAGATTTCATTCGGGGCACCAGAGAGGCAGGTTGCACCGCCCGTGGTGCCGTGTTGAGGCTGTTTGGGTTCACGATCACCATGGAGGCGGAAGACGGGACAGAAGCAGCCTGGTGTTTGCAGAATCGTAATCAGCACTATGGGAGCATGGACGGCAACGTAGGATGTTCTCTTTCTTGATGCACTCACCGTACTGAAACCACCGAGTGCAGAGCTCACGAAATTCAGGGTGCTTAGGATTGCCTCCATGGAAGCCACCTAGCTGGAGTCAGCACAGCGTACGGTGCAGAGGTCACAGAATCGACTTGCCAATGTCCGTAGTCCACCATGGGATGCCGGCGATCCCAACATTTAGACCAGCCGCGAACTGGTCTCGAAAACTCTCCCAGCTGCTCGCAATATCACCACTCCACAGCAACGTCCCAAACCTCTGACTTCCGGCCCAAGCACAACGGATGAGATTGCAGACATCCTTCTGTTTGCCATCCTTCACCATTCCTTCATAGAACGCCTTGGCATATTCCACTGGATACGCGTTTCCTGTGCTCAACACACTTCCGCTATGGTACCGATAAACATCAAAATCATAGGCACTGTACTCCGGCTCTGCTTCGTCAAGCCAGAAGAGCTTCACACCCTTGTCGTAGTAATTCTTCTTGACTGTGTTCCAGACAAACTCTCTCGTCGCCGGGTTCGTGAAATCGGCGTGGACCGTCTCGCCTTGAAAGTCCATTGAGATCCGCAGCCCTCGGTCTTGCCGTATCAGAAGTCCGTTTTCCAGCATATGGTCGTAGTTCTCGGATCGCTTGTCGACGGTGGGCCAGATGGATACGAGGAGCTCAATGTTCATCGACTGAAGCTCCTTGATCATGTCGTCTGTAACGCCATGTTTCACGAGGTTTCGTCAGAGCTGTATTCTTCCACCTTGATAATAGGGCCCTTTTCGGGGGCAGAGTGAGGTGAGAAAGAGTCGAATTGCAGTTTGATGGCTGAAGGAGGAGGGGGGAAATGGAATTCAGGCGCTGACTCTGTCGCTGACTCCTTCCACGTTGACAGCAGTCTTCGCATGGCAGACTCACCGGGGTCTTTCCAGTACGTCGGGTCGAACTTCCATTCTCCTTGCTTTGGCCCTGTTGTGTCGCGTCAGTTACCTTTGGGAAGGCGTCTCATGACCATGAAATTCGCGCGTGCCGACCTACAATGAAAGAAGTCCACCACAATGACATCAAGAGGCAAATCGCGTTTTCGATACTCTCGTGCAACATCCAGGAGCTCTTCCTGAGTCTGATATCTTAACTTGCATTGCCAGAAGCCTAGTCCGTATTCTGGCATCATTGGCACCTTGCCCGTGATATCCGCATAAGCTTCGACAATTTGGGTGGGAGTGTCACAAGCCACAACCCAATAATCCAGTATCCTCGTGGAATAGGCCTCGAAGCTCATCGTGTTCTTCCCCAAGACAGCTCTGCCGACGGCTGGGTTGTTCCAAAGCATGCCATACCCGAGGTTCGAGAGCATGAAGGGAACGCTCGCTTGAGAATTGCGCTGGGCCATCTCAAGGTCAAGCCCTTTGAGGTCGAGAAATGGATGCTGGTACTGGCCCATGCCATAGATCTTCTCGTTCCGATCAATGGATTCCAGACGGTAGGTCAAATGGTAGTCCCCGCCCAGTATGGGCTTGAACTCACGTGCCTCGATCATCAAGGCGCTGCATTTTGGGTCCTCCACATCGGAACGGTTGCGCTGGTATTCTTCCAGTAACAGCTCGCCCTTGGCATTCTTGATGGTGATCTTGCCGCGTGAAGATATTGTGGCACAAACATTGCCATTGCTGATTGATGCATGTCCGTCGTGCATAGAAATCGACACATCGGTCTTTGGAGGCGTGACAGTCAAAGCCCAGTTCTCCGACGGAAGAGTATGAAACTTGGTGGCACGAACCCGAAGGGCATTGGGGCCCCACGCTTCGATCTGGACACGTTCGGAATCGTAGGTATAATGCAGAGTGTCGTCCTTGGAGAGTAACATGGTTGGGATTCCTCAGGCTGGCTATCTCAATGCGTCTGGGCTTCACGCGCGAGGCACGAGTCAATCTTCAGACCTTGTAGCTTTGAAGAATGTGCTGGGGTTGCCCGCCAGATCCAAGCTAAAAGAGAAGGTTATAGACTCCTACCGCGTGGCGTGGCTATGCAGTACAAAACCGTTGCCTGATCAGCCACGGAGTTTCTCAAATGAGTTCTTCCGCCCGGCTGAATTGCGGAGATGGGTCTTTGATATCAGGCACATTTCGGCTGCCCACCAGTTCCGTCCATAATCATCCTTACCGTTCGCGACGGGGCTCTTCGTGGTAATGCTCCACGGTGCTCTTCACATTCGCGGTGCATAATCTCCAATTGGGAGTTTTCAAGAGAGGGTGGCAGAACGCACAAGGGGCTGAACGCGCCGAGACACCGCGCGGACAACCCAGACCCAGGGTGGAAGGTCCATTTGAGCATTGGAAGGGTCATTTGACCTCTAGGATCAGAAGCCTAATCCAGAACGAGGGCGTGCTGTCATCGAAGATTGATTTGATCGATCTTTGCTATCGATCGCCGGTCTCATCTCAGTTACAATCCACGAGGTGGAACAGTTTTTTATCCGTCGGCGCTCCACCCCCGGAATCACGTGCTCAACGCAGCCTGATATTATCACTGATCACGTGTCAGGCTGGGACAGGATCCTCTCTGCAAGTACTCAATAGATACTCCGTAGAAATCCCACACATCCTATCCCGTTCCATCCGTCCCAGGCGACATATCCAGAACGACCATTCCAAGTTCACATCCAAGTGGCACGCTCATCGTGGCTTGCTCCTGACCGTCAAATCGTCAAGGACATCTGTCGTTGTTCCTCCCCTTTTGGTTTCAGCAACTTGGAACGCACTTCCTTCACCTCCCATATCCAATCCCTTCGCGGCCCGCTCATAAGCTTCGTTGCTCCGATCCGTCAAAATCTTCAGCTCCTCTTCGCTCAGGATCGATCTCCTCTTTTTGTGCTTTTCTTGCCCATTGTTCTCGTCTTCCTCTAGATGCGGGACATCATACTTCTCAAAGTCGTCGTTGACAAGCGCGCCTCTAATGTCATCCGTATCGACGCCGGACGAAAGAAGAGATTTGAATTTACCCTTTTGAATGACCAGTTTCTCCAGTTTCCTCTTCGTATCTGCCTTGAGCAGCAGTGTCTCCTCTACCGTTCCCCTGGTCGCGAGACGGTACACAATGACGGGTTTCGTCTGACCGATACGATGTGCGCGATCCATGGCCTGCAAGTCCTGCTGCGGGTTCCAGTCTGAGTCGAATAGAATCACAGTATCTGCTGCAGTCAAATTGATCCCTTGCCCGCCAGCTCGTGTCGTCAAGAGGAACAAATTGTAAGACTTGTCCGTGTTGAATTTGGTGATCTGCTCGTAGCGCTCTTCTTGGGCAACCGAGCCGTCAATGCGGCACGCCTTCCAACCGCGCAGTTCAACCGCGTACGTTTCCAAGATATCCAGTGTAGTTTTGAATTGGCTGAAGATGAGAACTTTATGTCCTAATTTGAAGAGTCGGGGAAGAAGTGTGTCGAGCACGAGAATCTTGCCCGAGGCCGTGACTAGACTTTCATCAACGTGTGGGTAGTTGCCTGATCGCTCTTCGGCTGCTGTACTTGGTTTCCAGGGCCAGTAGAAATTGTGCGGACTGTTGCACGCGAGACGGGCTTGCATCAAAGGATTCTGCAGCTTCTTGGAGGCGATCTCCTTTTTTGCAAGTTTGAATGTCTGGGCTCTCTCGAGCTCTTCTGCTTCCTCGGACGAGACGTTCTGTGAGGCTGGCGATGGAGACGCGCGGTCCAGGTTGACATCTTCTTCACCTTGTTCAATTCGACGAAGGCGAGCATTGAATTCCTGGTCCGTTACATCTCGATAGCTTGTGCGTGCCGATTTGCGTCCCCGCCGGATCGAGCCAGTAGAAGCAACAGAAGCTGGCGTTGAGTCTCGGCTTGGTTTCCAGCTCTTCGCGGGCGTCCCGCGCCCGCTGGCAGTCGCTTTCCGCTTGAGAGAAGCAGTCCGGCTTCTGGCCTCAATGCGTTCGGCAGCCTTCTCTTCCAAATATGATCTGCTCGTGCCTGCTAAGATTTCCCGGTACAATTCCTTCTGTTCAGAGGTCAGAGGTGCATACAGAATATACTCCCGTTTCTTGGGAAGGTCCGACTCAACGTCCGCTTTGACCCTTCGAAGTAGGAACGGCTTCAGAATGGCATGCATTGTCGACACGAGATTATTCCTGCGGCTCAACGTCTTCTCGTCAGCTTCCTTCTTGCCTTCCAGCACACTCGAGAAGTCGAACCACCGCTCAAAACTGTCAAGGTCATTGAACACTTCGGGCAGCAAGAAGTGCAGGAGTGACCAAAGTTCCGCGATGTTGTTCTGGAGAGGTGTGCCTGTGATCAGAAGTCGATTGGCAGAGTTGTATGTCATCAACTCTTTGATCAGTTTGCAGTTCATGTTCTTCAGGCGATGGCCCTCGTCCACAATGATATATTTCCATTGATAGGTTGCCAGAAATTTCCGATCATTCATGCAAATTTCGTAGCTGGTGACGACGATCGGAAACTCGTACTTGAATTGATCTTGCATCCTCATCTTTTTCCGCCTCATCGCCTCGCGCTCATCCTTGCTTCCATGGTAGAGTATCGTGTTGATACTCGGAGTCCAATGTTTGAACTCTTCAACCCAGTTGCGCACGGTACTTAGAGGAGCGGCGATCAAGAAGGGCCCGGAGATATTGTTCTCTTTGAAGAATGCAATCAATGAGATGGCTTGCAACGTCTTTCCCAGGCCCATCTCGTCCGCCAAGATGCCAGAGAGACCGTTCATCCAAAGCGATTTCAACCACTCTAGGCCTTCAAGTTGGTAGTGCTTCATCTTTCCACCAGTGACTAGAGAGGGTTGCTCAGTCGCGACAAGATCCTGGGTCCCAAGTCCCTCGCCTTCATATTCATCGGCGGCCTCTGCAAGGGCTTCTTGGACTGTTGGACCCTCTTTGGAAGCCTCAATAGCCTCCGAACCGAAGTAATCGGTTATGTTTCTCCTCCCAACATTACCCTTATTAGGCTGTCGTCCTCGCCCCCGAGTGGCCTTCTTCTCGTCTTTCCCCTGCGCTCCTGTCGGGTGCTCATCTTGAGCATGTGTTCTTGCAGACTTTCTTGTAGGCCCTTTCGACTCAGCAGTTTTGGCGGCTTCATGCTTCTGTTTCGCAGCAGCCCGTCGAGCTTGCTCTTGATTACGCTTCTGCTCCTGCTTCATCTTGTCTGCCATAATCGCAACGAAGACTGAGCTCGTCTTGAGGAGATTCGTGAGTGCCCGTGACTTGTAGTCCATCTCCTCGCCATCATCAGCATCCACGTTCATTTTATCTGCATCTTGCTCTTTCTTGTCTCCGTCGGCCTCTGCCTTGGCCTCTGAGAGACTGCCATTGAGTGGCGAAGACGGCGGGGTGCTTTTACCGGAAGACATAGCTGGTGTCGTTGGCTCTGAGGTCGCAGAACTTGTTGCCATAACGATCGCTGTATTCTAGATGAGGGTAGTGAAGGGAGAACCGAAGGCACTATTATCCAATTGAAGGTCTCCTGCGCAATAACTCTCAGCAAACGACGGCAATAGCGGTGATTGAACAGAGGGTTTTGGTCTCCATAGACGTTAACACGAGATCTTAAGAGAAAAGGAGGCCTCGACTCGTCGGCCGGTTCAGCTCAGGGTGTATTCCAGTGCCTCGATCTGAGCCCGCCACGGCTGGCCCCTTGCTGGAAGAATGTGGTGTCGTCACGGAAAAGTGGAAAGACACGCCCTTTCGCGATCCACTATACGCGTTCGAGTACGCGTTAATCGGCGCTAAGATCTCAATTACTAAACTGTTCATCACCGCTTGCACCCTGTTGCCTGCGTGTTGCCTGCCTCCTGTCCACTGTGGGATTAGCATGTTACTCGGTCAGGAGAAATCAAATAGTACGCAGCAATTGTGCTTCAATCGAAACGGTCAATGTTACGGGTATTTCTCTGTTATAATGCAACTTTGCTATTCCCTAGTCATAACACGATCATCAACCCTGTACTCGTGGAAATCCAGCACAATTATCAAAACACTCAGCATCTTAGCATCTCATGCTGCCACCGTTGCTACCGAATTGGCACCTCTTCCAGCCATGCGAGTACGCTGACGCTCTGGGCGACGCAACGTGTATCTGCAACCTCATGTCAGCGAGATGTCAAACTCAACTTAGTTGGTAACCTACTTCGCGAATGCTCTGGCAAGCGCCTTCTTGCAGCTAAGCTTTTGACTGCCGACAAACGAGTCGACAGTCACTGCAATCGCACGATCAATGTCTTGCGAAGAGCAGAAATCAGATAGTCTCATCTTGCAGAATGCTTCTGCAATTCTCATGATTGCTTCAAGGTGACGGACCTGCAAGGGAGTCAGTCAGTCAAATACCGCCATACAGTTGCATCCTAGCGACTCACCGTGATGGGATACGCGCCCGTTGCGAGGGATTCTCTTCGCATGTCTGCGAACAGCCTGGCCACTTTATCCTGATCGATCTGATAAAGCTTCGGCCGGCACTTTTCCCGAGCATACAGGATATACTTGCGGAGCAACTCCTGCGGAATGGCTCCCTCTTGTTGTGGTTCGCCGTTGTTGATTGCATTCTCCTGTTCGGTTTCCATGGCGGCAGTATCTCCAGCATCGGTCTCGAGCCTTGCCGGGTGCGCTCGTCCATGACTGTTGACCACAAAGTTTGCAAGCCGCTCGTCTTCAGCCGGGTCAACAGTATCCCTGACCACGCACAGAATGTCGAAACGAGACAAGATCGGCTCCGTGAGTTCGACGTTTTGACTGAAGGGAATGGTGCTGTTGTATCTTCCTCCGCTCGGATTGGCTGCCGCGACGATGGCACAGCGTGCCTGAAGTGTGGTAACAATCCCAGCCTTGCTGATTGAGATGGTTTGTTGTTCCATGGCCTCGTGAATAGAAGTTCGATCGGCATCGTTCATCTTGTCGAATTCGTCGATCAGGCAGGTCCCTCGATCAGCCAGGACTAGAGCACCGCCTTCAAGTCCCCATTCTTGTGTGAGGGGATCTTTGCGCACAGACGCAGTCAAACCTACTGCGGAAGCACCCTGTCCTGTAGCAAAGACAGCTCGATGCGCGGTCTTTTCGATATATTTCAACACTTGCGACTTGGCCGTGCCAGGGTCACCAAGCAGTAGGACATTGATATCACCACGGATCTTGTGTTTCCCCCGGGCCTCTTTGCTCACACCACCGAAAAGAGATAGTGCAACTGCCGTTTTGATATCCCGATGCCCATAAATTGAAGGGGCAATGGAATCGACTATCTTTTCCACGATGTTAGCATCTTTTGAAAGAGCTCGGATCTGTCGTTCATCCTCCTCTGTCAGTCGGAAGCCAGCGAGCTGATCATGAGTCTTGATGATGTGGTTGGCTTCGAGCATGGTCGCAAACACAGGGAAGCCATTCTTGTTATTCAGTTGGCCACTGTAGTTATTGCGATAAATCGCAGTTACTTCAACCTCTTCACCAGGTTTCGCCTTGTCGATCAAGTCTGCAAGAAGAATGACCTCTCGATGTCGTGGTAAACGGCCCGCTGGTACGGTACCGGGAGACTCCTGCAAAGTCAACTTTTGATAGTTCCGGTAGACGGTCTTCTCGCTGTTCAGCGTGAAAGGTCCCCGAGATTGACAGTTCTGGCAGAAGGTTAACTTGACTTCGGTTGATGTTGATTCCTGGGCAAATGGTCCAAGAGTAACACCGCACTTCTGACATGTAAATTTGACCATCTGAAGCTGTGGGAAGACACCAGTTCGTCTGGTAACCACTCCAGAAACCCGAACAAGACAATTAAGATGCGACTGCCGGAGTTGCCGCAAAGTATATTGGACTGGCAAATCTGAAATTCGGACATGAATCTCCGGATGGATCAATTCATAGTTTGGATAATGCAGTCGGACAACCTCAAAGGCGGCTTTGTCGAAGATCTTGAGCATCTCTGACGGAGCATTGGCAAGGAAATACGCCAGGATAGCTTTGGTGGAAGCAAGATGATCGTACGAGACTTCAAGCGACTCTGAGTTAACCTCGCCCAAAGTGCGAATGCGGGTGCCGTACACCGACGTGGCGTTGGCATCGATGTACTCCGTCAGAAATGACTTGAACTCGCGAGCAATGGTCTTCATGACTGAAGGGAGCGTAACCCATTCCGTAATGTTAGATGCCTTAACATCTTGCAATGTCTCCAAGGAGAGTTCTTCCTCCATAATGTTCTCATCAAGATCCATGTCGTCTTGATCCTCGTCGTAGTGATGGCGGCGTCTCCGCGGCTGCTTGGTCAAGTCGATCCCAGCGTCGTCGTCGTCGTCCGGCATGAATGCTGCCGGCATGCGACGTCTCCGAGCGAGCTCACGGTCGCGCTTGTTGAGGCGCGCTTCCAATTGACGCCGGGAAGCTAGGTCGAGTTCGTCGTAATCGCCTTCATCATCGATCATTCGACCTTGATATGTCTCTTGGTCGCGGCGTTCGCGTTCATCATTCATAAAATTGTCTCCAAAGAGGTCAATGCCATCTTCATCTTCAGCCATTTCGTCGGCGTCGTCGATGTCACCAATGAGGTCGTCCTCCGTTTGCAGTTCATCATCCCCTAGATCATCATTCTCGTTTGTAGGAAGCATGGGCGGCGAAGAGGGGAGGGCTGCCCAAGTTAGATTCTTCGACCTTCGGAGAGCGAGCGTTCAGCTTACCGGCTGGTGATGAAGACATGATCTCGTCCTCTTCGTCGCGAGCCCTCTTCCGTCTGCTGGCGTTACCTGGCCCTCTATTTGCCGCGGACATGCTGGGTCGAAGCGGTGAACTTGGAAAGTCAGCATTCCTGATAGAAGTGAAGAGAGGGTTCAGACTCTATGAATCTGCATACCTCATGATTTTGCGATTCTTCGTAGAGGCCAACCGTTGAAGTCTAGTATGGAAGGGGTTGAAGTGAGTAAGGAGGGACGCAGTTCTTAAAACCACTTTACGCGCGAAGACGCGTTCCACAAAACACGCTAAATCTCTCCAAAGTGGGGAATTGAGGTCATCCCGAGTCCGATTCCCTGCGAGTCTCTCCCGCAGATGTTTGTGGCCTTTTGAATCGACAGCTCCATCGTTCTTCTTTTCTCTCCCACTCTGAATCACGACAATGGAGACTGTATCTGAGATGGAAGAAATCAAGCAATCTCAAACCGCATCCGAGTTAGTTGCCCGTCCAAGAAGTCATTGTTTCTCGCTCACACTGACCATTCCAGTTTCATTGATCAACAACTCGCCCTCGAGGCTGATGCGCGAGAAGTGCTTCCATATGTACGGTTCTTGCCCTTCCAACCACTTGGAGATGCTCTCAGGTCGCTAATGTCATGCACAGAAGTTCGACAAATGTACCAATATTCTGGGGCCCTTGCGCCAGAACGTCTTTGCCTGCCTGACATGCAGCCCTCCACCCGCTTCGGCGGCGCAAGTCTACACGCCCGCAGGTGTCTGCTACGCTTGCTCCATCTCCTGCCACGGCGAACACACCCTCGTTGAGCTGTTCTCCCGCCGCGATTTTGTCTGCGACTGTGGCACTAGCCGATTACCGTCGACTTCGCCTTGCACTTTGCGATCCGATCCCGTAACAGGAAATCGAGGAGTACATTCGCAGGAACCACACAAGGGCAATCGTTACAACCACAACTTTCAAAATCGATTTTGCGCGTGCGGAGAGGAATACGATGCAGAAACGGAGAAGGGGACGATGTTTCAATGTTTGGGATTAGGGACGGTTGATAGTGGTGGTTGCGGAGAAGACTGGTACCATCCAGAGTGCCTGATGGGCTTACCGAGAGATTGGTACAAGTCAGTCGACTCGAAACAAAAAACGTCAGAGGAAACAGAGAAAGATCAGAAGACAGAGGATAAAGAGGCGGAAGAACCCAGTCACCCAGTCCCGCCAGGCTTCCCAAACGAAGATGACTTCGATACCATGATATGCTACAAGTGCGTGGAGTCCAATCCCTGGATCAAGAAATACGCGGGCGCACCCGGCTTCTTGCCCGCTGTGTTCAAACATGGCGCCCAGACAGGCACAGTGAACAACACTGCTGACCCAGCCGCGCAATCCAAGGCCACACCAACATCAACTGCCCCTGTTTCCCTCAAGCGTAAGGCCTCCGATGGCGACATAGAAGCCGGGCCACCTAGCCCTTCCAAGCGCGTTAGGAACGAAGACGAAACAGATCCAGCAGCAGCAGCAGCAGCTCTTCCGATCACCTCTACCGAACCGCTCTCCAACGACAACGACGACGCAAACAACCACCCCGCAACGAATCCTGCAAAGACAGAAGCCGACCCAAACCCCAAACAAAAGCACGACCTCCTTCCCAGCCCACCTCCAACGGGGACCTTCTCGCTCTTCCTGCGCGCCGATTTCCGCGACCACCTGTGCCACTGCCCGCAATGCTACCCGCACCTGATCCCGCACCCGCAACTCCTGGAGGAAGAGGACACGTATGAACCCTCGCTATCATCCGAGGGCTCCTCGGACGCCAACAACGGCGGCGGGCACTCGCGATCCTCGCGTGCTTCCCTCCTGGAGCGAGGCGAAGCCGCCCTGTCAAACATGGACCGAGTCCGCGCGATCGAGGGCGTCATGGTCTACAACCACTTGCGCGACAAGGTGAAGGAGTTCCTCAAGCCGTACGCGGAGAGCGGCCAGGCGGTCAGCGCCGAGGCCATCAAGGCGTACTTTGAGAAGCTGAGAGGCGACGAGGCGGCTATAAAAGAGGCCAAGGAAAAGGACGGCAGGGCGAACGGTCATGATGGAGCGGATGGGAATGGAGGTGCGGAAGGTGGAGGCGAGGGCGATAGAAGCACCAGGAGAGAACAGTCCGGGTATTGAACGGCATGAAAGAGAGTGAGTGCCCAGATGCTCCCACGACACCTACAGTACGTCACGTCGGGAACGACATTCAAAAATATACTATGCACAACGGCAGTTTTCGCGGCTGTCGTGGAGAGGGAACGAAGAACAAAAAGCCTATCCTGGAAAGCACTTTTGTATTGCTGTTTGCATGCTACAGTGGCACAAGTGGTCGCCGCACCGTCAATACATCTGAACACGTTTGGTGACGAGGTTTTTTGGCTTTGGAGCTCTTTCAGTTTCGAAGTAACCAGTGCATGAACGATCCCCCAGACTCCTTGACTCCCTGTTCCGCGCACAATTTGTGCTTTGAGCCCTCCTTTGGTCGCTCTATGTTGTTGGTATCAATACTCGGTACATTTCTGTCACCCTTCATTTCCTTTTGGGACCAGCCTCACCCAGTTGGATTACAAATGCTGAATTGCTCAATTTCGAATGAGGGAATCAATATGCTGGGTAATAGCTCTGGTCTTCTGCTCCGAAAGCCTTCAGTCGTTGCTTGAAGCATGGCCGTGCGATTTACTGGGTTCCGGTATGAGCTGTATGGTTCGTGGTCGTCTCTCACCTTATTTCAGGGTGCCTTGACCGTACCGGCATTCGCTTCCTCAGCTAGCTTCGCAAGCCGTTCTCGGGTTTTCCTGTATGGGCCCCTTGGTCCTCTCTTGCAGCCACGTTTCGTTGGATTGGCCGTCTTTCCCTTCGTTGTCTCCTCGAGAGGAGTCATCATGGGTCCCTGTTCGCTAGTGGTCTTGTCCAAAGACGCCTTCATTTCTCGATCCACTTCAACGTTTGTGGACAGCTGGTGCTGAACAAGCCCAGAGGTCTGTCCGACCACTCCCACAGATTCCTGTCCGCTAGCTAGATCATTCACAGTGTTCCGAGAAGCGCCCTGGATTTTCTCTGATGGCAGAGAAGAATCGGCGCTGCGGCTTTCCAAGCTGTCTTCACCTTTGCCCTTCCCGTTCGGCTTAACCTCTTCACCCTCGGAATTGGTGATGACGATGCTCTCCGTTCCATCTTCGCGTTGCCCCTGCTTGTCCTTTGCAAAGCTGGCCAACGAGCTCAGGGCAAGAGCAAGGTCCGATTGCGAACAAACGTTGTCCCATTGAACCTTGCCCCTCATTCCATCCTTCATCGGTCCGCGGAGTCGTGCCTGGAGCTCTTCCAGATCTTCATTTTCAGAAATCGGAGAATATGATGGCGAAAGCGGAGACCTTGGCTTCACAATCTCTAGAGGCACAGCGCCCTCAGTGGTTCTTGTGATTGTTTCTGCCGATTCAATGCTGGAGATTATGTGCTGTGATTCAGTGTGAGAGTCGGTCTCATCTGAAGGCACCAGATGCGCCTTGGTAAGGTCGCGACATCTTTCTGCTTCGGTATGAAGTTGGTCGATATCATAATTCTTCCCTTGCCAAGTACCTTTTGAAGGAGTCACGGGTGCTGCTTCGATTAGCATTCGTTGAACCTTGCTTATATCTGGGCGGATATCTGACTGGGAAGCCTTTCGCTTTGAGCTGTCAGATGCCACAGGCGCTGAACAGCCAGGATGTGGTTGCGGTTTGGCTGGAGGACGGATTGCAGGCCTCGTGAAGGTGGCGCCGAGTGTGCCACTATGCAGCGGTCGTTCCACATCCTTCACCGTGGGTCCCAGGCCGAATCCAGATATGTTGGTACCGAATGACCTAGAGATGACTGATGAACGCTCAGGATTCGCAAACCCGTTGAGAGACACTGCCGTCGTATTTCCGGGGTTTGGAGCGGACATTTGTTGTGTCGAACTCATAGGTTGCGGATTCTTTCTCAAGATCCTGGCCAATCCGTCCTTGTTCTGTATCTTGAGAATCAGACGCTGAGGATCTGGTAGAATCCCAAACGGCGGATGTGCTTCCGAATACTTTGTGGTAAGCTGCTGAGAAGCGTCAGCACTCTGCAAATCCCGAGAGCGCTCTTTCGCCCTTGAAAGTAGTTTGGCCAATATGCCTCTGGAGCTGCAGCTAGCACGCGGACTAACCGCATTTTCCAGAGATTCATCTTGTACTTCGAATTGGCCATGTTGGACGTGTGGAGAAGTGGCACTATCGAAGATCGCTGTGATTGAATATGAACCGGCTCGAGCGACGCCTGTTCGGGTTTTCTCATTGAGATCTCGGGCGTTAAACAATGATGCTCCAGATGAACTCGATAATTCACCAGGCTTTGTGACGGTAGAGAGGGGATGGGGCGAGATTCTCACGACCAAATTTGGATCCAAGTGGAGTAATGGACGATCTGATGTCGGGCGTGGTTTAATCGAATATATCGGATGGACCGGAGTCGTGGGCATTGTGCTTCGCTTTCCGGCCGCCTTCTTCTTGTTATTCAAATCGTGCCTAGGCCTTAAGCGTTTTTCACTGCGCTGTGCTTCATGGGTTTGGTCAGGTTCTGAGAAGGACGAATATCCCGAATCGATATGGAGATGATCGTTCGACGGGCCCGGTCTGGCCGTTGTGCCCGGGACATGTCTGAAGAGTCCGCCAAACTGTGCATCTAAAGGATCTGGCAGCCAAGTTCCGAGCAATTCTCTCGCAATACCACGACTTGACAAGAAGTCTTTTGCCACGCGGACCTCGGACTCAAAGGCTAACTCATAGTTGCTCGCGAAGACCATGTAGTCGACATATTCATTGAATACATCCGCATCGATAGACAAGGGTGGTTGCTGAGCTTCAGAAAGTTCGACGCTAGCATGAGCACAGTAGTTCCATATTTCTGCAACCGAAGCTGGATGTAATGCCCGCATGCCCACAGCTCTCTGAATTTGGCTCGCTTCCTGCTCCGTCAGTCCCAGAAGCTGCGGCACTAATTTCGAAGGATAGTTCGCTGAGACGGCTTTGTAGATGTGGCACTGCAAAGAAAGCGGAAGCACGTCCCATGTGGGGTTGCAATCGGTCTGTAAAGCATCAGTCAATGTAATCTTTTGAGGATTGGAGTTTAGGAGGAGATCCACAGACCTCTGCAGCAATTGGCTCATCCACCACGGGTCGGACGGGTATTCTGGTATTATTCTGCGTTGTAATGGGTTCAATTGTTCGCCACTCTGCTCGGGGACTGTTGTTTTGAACTGGACTGCTGCCAGCCAAGCTGATACGGGGGCCCTCACTTGAAAGTGAATTCAGCGTTTCCTGAACGTTCACCAACTCTTTAGATTCGTCTGAATTCCCCGCAGCAGACGTATTGATAGAGGTCAGCGGAAGCGAAGGAAAGGCTGCTGGAGGATTGTTTGGATTGAAAGGGACAATCTGGGCTTTGAGCAACATGGGATAAGCTGGCTTGGTTCCATTGCGATTTTGAGGTGCGACGTGCACTTCATCTTCAAAACGAGTCGGCACCGTGACACTTTTTCTCAGTTGCATGGCTGCATATCAATAAGTTCCATATGTTATGAAGGAGAGATCGATAAGGAGAAGGAGCACGTGAGCAATCTGGGCCCAATAAAGGAGTGTGGATGGTAACAAGTGGGTGAAGGTGGTTACCCAAGACAAAGAGGATGGAAGACAAAATGAGTTTGGGCGGTTAAAGGATAGGTGTCGACTCTTGTACCTGACCCCACTGAGTATGTGAAGAGCTGGACAGTGATGCAATTGCCGGTGAAGTGCTTGCCTGTGAGGGAGGCGCCTTCAATCAGTTCCTTCTCACTGGAGGCTGCCAAACAGGAGGGCGCGACGTACTGCTGCCACAACAAGAAGTGAGCAATGACAGTAAATTGCCTATTGGCAGTAGTTACCTCCTCAATGCCAACCTCCATACAACATGCCGATGTTCCATAACTCGAAGCTCCCGTTGAGCGAAGTTATTCCACCCTGCATGCCGGTCACGGCTTGCTCGCATGACAGTGATAGCGGCAACATAGCGACTTCATCTTATGGTTGTAGTTCGCCCAGGAGCGGCCGTAGGAGATGAGTATTGCCAGATTGGAGGCCAAGGTGGTTGGAGGTATACTCAGTTAGCTCGGCGATAATCGTTGGAACATGCAGCATTTGCCCCAGTCCGCGTTGTGAGACGTAGATTCGCATTCCATGTCCGATCAACGGGTTCGAATGTCTCGTCAGAGGACGATCATGGTCAATCGAAGAGGTCCACAAACGGGGCCACCCCTTCTCTAACATGAGTACCATGCGTGTACTCAGAATTGCATTCCATGTTCTCGTCAGAGTCGTAGAAAGCGTCCAAATTCCGCTTGCGGAGCGTTGTGGGCAGAGCCACAGCGTTGCTGCCGCGCATCGATGTGCTTGATATTGGGCCGGAGACTTGACGTTCAGCTCGGGTGATCGCTTGCAAGTCGAGCAAAACGTTCTTCATTTCGTCTGACAAACTGATACAGAAGCGCTGCGACTGGAGAATATGAATGGCGACAATTGCGTCCACGCCGTAAACAATCATCAGATATGCCGCTACCAATAACGGCGATCGGTCATTTCCAGACTCACAGAAGACGAGAACCTTGCCGGAGATGTCGCTGATATCTTGGATTGGGGTCCTGACGCAAGAAGACTCGAGATGGTCGTTTATTGCTCGAACAGTTGACTTGACAACGGGGATGAAATCGTTTGGGTGTTCAAAATCCAAAGTCAAGGTCGCTCGTCCTGCGCTCGAAGGAAAGCTTGCAGGATCAAGGAAGGTCGGTCTCGTCAGCAAGGATCTGGTAGACCGGACTGCAACAAGAAGGGTGATGCCTGTCTGCTCGACAAAATCAGGGTCCTTAGCAGAGCTGCTTGGACCCAGCAGCAGGAATGGGAGGATATACTGGGCACTTCTCCGCATCTCATATTGCCATATGAGCATCGAGTGGGTCAGATCCAGCTTGTGACTCGAGACGAGCGCGGCGAGGAAATCCGGATTGCCATACTGTGTAGAAATTTGGGTAAACGGAACAACATCAACCTTGAAAGAGGGCCTTCCGTCACGGTATTCGAGGTCAGGTGGAGGCACATAGACTTTTGGAACTCCCAGCTGTCGCTTGTCGCTGTAGTGTTGAGCCGCAACGTAGACACCCGGGGCTGGAGGCCAGGAAGTAGCTGCTGTGACCTCGGTGTTGGGAAGCATGGCAAGCTGCAAGCACGAGATAAGGTATTGAATGATGCTGTGATTGTAGGTAGATACAGATCGAGATAGTAGGCTCAGATGTGTCTGTTGTCGTCGGCGCAGTTCTTTGGTGATGTTGCACAGGGGCAAGCAGAAGAGGCTGATGGAACTCAGACGGTTGATGCCAGCAATGCATGAGCAGCCTCCGCTCCTGCCATATTCGGGAGATATTATGAACAAGTCTTGTGAAACTCCAGATCGCTGGTATTTTGTAGACTCAGAACCGGCGTGCAGGGTCGAGAGAGCCTTCTTGGGGTCACCGACTTGGTAGTGGAAGACTGGTCGTGACTGACTCGATCGGTATTACTGGAGTCCGGTAGCAGCAGGTCAGTGATCAAACGAAACAAGGTGGCAGAGCAGTGCGGAGTGTATTGCAAGCAGCAGAGGTACACCGAACAGAGGATCGCCAACGTAGGGGATGGTAAAGGCTGGAATTTTGATGGCCATGATTTGGGATGTGGTGCCAGATGCCATTCTGAAGGGGAAGCGAAGCCAAGTTCGTTGCCGCCTGCCGAGGATCAATGAGGCGCCCGCAAATCGGCGTCGCTGCAGACCGTCACCACCACCACCACCACCACCACCACTGCTCCTACGAGTGACATTGCAGGCAGTCCAGGTCAGACAGACTACCCGTGGTCTTATAAACAGCTCTTTCTTGTGTGTACAGAGTTGATTCAACCGTCGAACTTGGCATTCCCTCATTTGGGGTGCATGCAGTAATGTACAGTAAGGCAGCACAACGTGACGACTTGCTACCGAATCTACCTTCGTCATCATCTCATAACCCATCCCACGAACAATTCTTCGTTATTGACCTTTGGCTCTGGACTCAGTGCTTCCAGCGTCTTTCTGAGGCTGCGATAGCGCCCGCTTTTCATGTTGTTGTTTGTCACGCCTAAACTGTCTTTGTATTTGCCATATTGCTCTCTCCACCTCCCCACTCAGCTCTGGCACTCCTGTCACTTTGGCTACCAGGTTGTGGCTGTCTGCTGGGAGGATGATTTGTTCGGGTGGTGCACTGCCGTCGAGGACTTGGCTTCGCGTGACAAACGTGAAATCCGGTGCATCGGGTGCCACCTGCTCATACAGGTCCTCAATCTCTGGAGGTGATATGGGCCGGAAGAGTCGATTATCCAGGATAAAATCCAAATGATCTGAACCTTTCAAAGCTGGTGGCCTGTCAGCGAGAGGCGGCTTGCTCAGGTGTACTGCCACTTACCTTTCCAATGGGACCAACACCGGTATGCAGCATAGAAAAAGGGAAAATTGGGTATTCTAGTTGCAGTTCAGTCATCGACGCACCCATAGACGTGGATTAGCCGGGGCAAAACCATACACAGGTACCAGAGCAAATGGTATGCAGATTGGCATGGCGACCATGCTTCCAATGAAGCGATTCCAATGCAGTTGTTTTCTTTCCCTCGCCAGCCTTGCCAGAACTTTTGGCACATCGTCTTTGTGCATCACATTACCAGGGTAGATGACATCGAATTTCTTGCCTCGTGCAATCTGCTCGGCCTGCAGTTTGGGGTTGGAAGGAGGAAAGCTCTTCAATCCCCATTCCTGGTAAGGTATGCGCTGCAGGCCTTGATTGCCATAGTACACGACTGTTTTTCTCCATCCCCTATCTGCTGCTTCCCACTTGGCCCATGTCTCGGCGGCCTTTGCCGTCAATCGATCGATGATGGTCGGGTTGGCGTTCGGCTTTTGGACGCCGCGTTGACAGAAGACGAGTGCCTGTCGCGTTGTAAGAGGCAAGAGGAAGATTCGCATAGCCGCGACGACTGCAGACTCGGGGGCAAGGAGACAGAGACTGCGACCGGTTTGCGTCGTTCAGGGTAGTTTCGATGAAATCATGGTCGAGACGGCAGGCTGCGAATACAAAATGAGCGAACCGCACCAGTAGGTCTGAAAGATGAGCGCCCAACAATCAATATTTTCCTGCCTCGATGATGCCAAAGACTGAACAGGTGCGCACAGCGAATCGGAGCTGCAATCTGGCCTTTTGTGCAGGTATGTACATCAAAGTGACTATTTTGAAATCAAGTCAGTCATGAAGCATTAGTCCATGGTAGTTTTGTTGCCTCCAGAGCTGTCCTCCAACGTCATGGCTGAATCTCATGCATTGATTCGCCTAGAGCTGCCCAGGGACCTAGGCACCACGGAGGCACTACCAAACCCCCCCCCCCCGTTCCCGCAGCCATTTGCAGCAGACTGACGCCCCCATTCGCCAGGTGAGCTTACTCCAAGTTCCCTCAGTGATGAATGATCAACCTACTCCTAAAACAGCTACTAAGGCAGGTCATACTCCCCATGTGGCATATGGCGCAGCATTGCCCGATATTTCTCTGTGTGTTTACAAGCCTCAGAGCCCTCATTATTTAACGCTATCAGAGCGACTACACCAGAGCATTTATTTACGGGGCATTGACACGGCCACCTCGAGTATCACAAAGCGCATTCGCGCTGCCAAACATCCTCGACATGCCCTTCCGCACCCGCCGGCGTTGACCTCTCCTCGTTACGGAGTATCCCAAATTTGAGGACTCTTCCAGATCCCCAGCAGATCAACAACATGGCTGCTGAAGGAGGCTTCCCCTGGCAGGCGCCGTCAAGAGATCCTGAAAAGGCGGCAATGATAATGCCAGACCGCAACAAAGTCCCTCCACCGCCATCAATTGAGCAAGAAAGAGAACCAACATCCCCGACTAAGACCGTGGCATTGCATCAGCAATCCCAGCCTCGGAAGAATATCAACTTACAAGGGAAGCATCGACATGTTGTTGTCAAAGGGCCTCCGCGAGTGGGCTTAACAAGTGCACTCCACGCTCCATCAGATTCTGTCCGAGCCAAACCAACGTCTCCCCTTCCCGTCCGAACCATTCCTCGTAGGTCATTGCCTCACTCCGTCAGACTCGGCTGAATAAAGTTAACAATTACGGACAGCTTGGGTGAAAGACGCGGATGAAGATGATTTGAGCGACCCTCAGTTCCAGAGCCCAGACACTCCACACGCAGCGTTGGTTGCGCAGCATCACCACAGCGTGTCCACAGCCAGGCGGCCTCTTATATCTAGCAGGCAGTCTCACGAGGAGGACTACTCTACACCATCTGGCAAGGCGAGAGCGCCGCGAACTTCAAGATGGATGTCGTTTGCCCAGCCCAGTGCCTACCCCCGAGAGAACTTCAACAGTGAAAAGGTGGACCCGGACTGGCTGAACCAGAACTTTACCGACTATTCAAAAACATGGCTGGCGGACCACGACGACGACGACGTCGAGGATGGCAGTAGCCGTTATCGTGCCTTTCGCAGGAAGAGACAAGTGTGGTATAAACGCGCCCAGTTCTACATCCTGCGAAATCCATTTATTCCTCTTGCCTTCCGGCTGACAGTGCTATCTTTTGCCATCGTCGCTCTGGGCCTGGGGGCTTCAATCTACCATGAAACCGGCAAGATCACGAAGTGCATCAAACAAGCACCAGACCGGCGCACTGCCGAGTGTGCGCAACGCGTGGGGCCGACAGCCACCGACTATTATCGAGACCCTTCGGGCTTGATGGCGGTGATAGTGGACGCAATCGCCATTGTCTACACCATCTATATCACCTACGACGAATACTTTTCGAAACCTCTGGGACTACGACCCGCAAGAGCAAAAGTCCGACTGATGCTGTTGGATTTGTTCTTCATTGTGTTCCAGTCCGCAAACTTGAGTCTAAGTTTCGAATCCTTGACAGTGGATGAAGGTGCCTGCAAGACTGGCGATTCTCTAAGGACGGCAGGCAGATTCGAGAGTATCTGCGACAGAGCAGAGGCCCTGAGCGGTGTGTTGTTGGTGTCACTTACTGCATGGTTAATGACATTTTCTGTTAGCGTCTTGAGGTAAGTTTAACCATCCGGACCACTCTGCATATATTTGACTGATCGCCATACAGGCTGGTAGAACGAATCGACACGAAGTGAAACGAGTTTACGACCCGGACTTCTACGAACAAAATTTAAACCTGTTTTGTGCCGAGTCTTCCCATGGCATGATTTATGCCAGCGGAGGACTGCCCAGCATCATTAAAGGCTCGACATATACTTTTAGTCTTTCTCGACAATACAGCTTTGGCAACATCCTCATACTTTCAGACTTGGGCCTTCGTCGCCGTAGACCGGGTCGCGCTTGAACCATCCCAAGCTTCCGATCTGCTTGACCTGCTCCTCCTCCCCAGGCTTCCCGTAACACATATCCCATGTCCTGCCCTTCTCATAAGAGCCAACCATTTGGAAGCCGCCATAATCCTCGAGTAACCGATGACCGACGCCAGCAGGGACGACTACGACATCACCTTGCTCAAGAACGGGTTCCACTCGGCCTTCATTCTTCTCACCTCCAAAGCAGCACTTTGCTGACCCCGAAGCAATGCTGAGAACTTCATGAGTGGTTGAGTGAAAGTGCGTTTCGCTGAACATGGTGTATCTCCATTGTGGAGAGACGACCCCGACGGATTTGAGGTGAGATTCGATAGTTGAAGGATTGGGGTCTGCAAAGACACCGTGGTATATCATGAGGGGCTTGCCTTGTATGGAGGTGTTTGGGATACCTTCGTAAGCGGGGATTTGATGTTTCGAGACCCGCAAGGCATTCAACGGAGTGATAGACATATTGTCGCCTCCGGAAGAACACTGCTAAAAGGGTGTTGCTGTTGGTCAGTGGCGGCGAGTTGAAATGGTTGTCAAGCGGGCAGTGCTGTACCTCGTGCACATGAGAGATAATAATATCAGAACTAGAACAAAGGATAGCTTTGCACGCGAGGACAGTGAATAACAAGACACGGTGCTTGGTGATCACGTCGTCGAACTCCCTCACCATCCCTGCGACAGCCTCGAGCGCGTTATTTGGTGGCCAACTGACGTCATCTTTCATAGTTAGTCATCATCCCTACGGAAGAAATGGATGATCCAGACCGATCAGATGTTCTGCGGCCTTGCCCTTATTGCAGCCTCTCTCTCTCCACAAACAACCTGCCTACGGCACCTCTGTGCATGCAGTGATCACGACTGACGCCTCGTCCCCTCTCGTCACCTGTCTTCGAGTTGGAATGCGCTCTAGGAATGAGATTGCTTCCCTCTTGAACTTGCAGTGACTGGATCCCACACACTACTCGTGCCATCCTCTCCAGCGAACCTCGACTTGCCCTCATTCCCTCCTTTCGCCGTCGCCCCAAGGAATCGATCTGGTAGGAAGTTGTGAGGAGAAGGAACAATACCAAGCACACAAATCCCTGCAAGGAAGAAGGCTAGGCTGATCCTCATCCGCGACTGTCGTCTCGGCATAGCCTTTCATCCTCTGGACCAGTCTCTACAGCCGCTCCGTGAAGCGATATCACTCCAGGTTTCAGTGGAGAGAAACATACTACCCAAACATGGCACCCACAACCGGCACGGCCTCGAACCCGGCGATGCGGGCACGAGACGATCTTGATTCTACGTAAGGATGACAGGACAATGGAAGCTGAACACCCTGTTAACTGTCTGTAGGTGGACGTATCTCGAGAAGAATGTCAACAACGTAATGACCAAGTTGCAAGAGGGTCTCGATATGAAGACATACATGTTCGCCAAAGCATCTTCCTTTGTTGCAGGTAATACTCTTGCTGACCCGATGCCAGGGGCGTGTATACCGCAGTGCACAATTTCTGTACTTCGCAGAAGGCAGCCACGAATCAAGGTCAGGCAGGCTCGCCAGGGACCTTAAGTCCCGTTCATCGCGGCGCTCATCTTCTCGGTGAAGAGCTTTACACTCTCCTTGGTCAATATCTCACGGCACATCTCCGTGATGTCTTAGCCGCCTCCGAATCACACACAGACGAGGCACTCTTGGCTTTCTACATTCGAGAATGGAAACGTTATACCGACGCTGCAAAATACAACAACCACCTCTTCAGATACCTAAATCGACACTGGGTGAAGCGAGAAATCGACGAAGGCAAGAAGAACGTCTACGATGTCTACACTCTGCACCTGGTCAAGTGGAAGGAGGACTTCTTCAAGGCGGTGGAGGGCAAGGTCATGGATGCGGTCTTGAGACTGGTTGAGAAGCAGCGCAACGGCGAGACTATTGATCAGATGCAGATCAAGGCGATTGTCGATTCCTTTGTCTCGCTCGGCTTGGACGAGCTTGACAGCACCAAGTCCACCCTAGACGTCTATCGCATGTACTTCGAACGTCCATTTATTGCCGCCACCAAAGAATACTACACCAATGAATCCCGACGGTTTGTGGCAGAGAACAGCGTCGTCGAATACATGAAGAAGGCGGAAGCAAGACTCGAAGAAGAGAAGGAGCGTGTAGGCCTCTACCTGCACCCCGACATCATGAAGAAACTCATGGAAACGTGCAACGAAGCCCTCATCAGTGCCCACTCCGTACTGCTGCGGGATGAATTTCAGGTGCTGCTCGACAACGAGCGTACGGAGGACCTTGCCCGGATGTACAAACTCCTATCCAGAATTAAAGATGGACTGGACCCTCTGAGAACCCGCTTTGAGAGCCATGTCCGGAAAGCCGGTATCGCAGCTGTTGAGAAAGTTGCGGCCCAAGGAGACGGCTTCGAACCCAAAGTCTATGTCGACGCATTGCTCGAAATCCATGGCAAATATCAACAACTCGTTAACGTCGCTTTTACCGGAGAGTCTGAGTTTGTGCGGTCGCTCGATAATGCTTGCCAGGAATTTGTCAACCACAACCAAGTTTGCAAAACCAACTCGACTCGGTCACCCGAACTACTTGCCAAATACGCTGATCAACTCCTCAAGAAAGGCGCCAAGGCGGCCGACGAGTCTGAGCTTGAAGAACTCCTTGTACAAATCATGGTTGTGTTCAAATACATTGAGGACAAGGATGTATTCCAGAAGTTCTACTCCCGGATGCTGGCCAAGCGTCTTGTGCACACAAGCTCTGTATCAGACGATGCGGAAACGAGCATGATCAGTAAACTGAAAGAGGCATGTGGTTATGAGTACACCAACAAGCTTCAGAGGATGTTCCAAGACGTTCAAATTTCCAAGGATCTCAATACTGCCTACAAAGACTGGCATGACAAGATTCTCGAGGACAGTGACGAGAAGAGGACCGTCGACTCCACATTCCAAATCTTGGGAACCGGTTTTTGGCCTCTCAATGCTCCCAACACTCCATTTGCCCCTCCTACCGAAATTAACAAAGCCATCGAGTCGTTTACCAGATTCTACGACCAGAAACATAATGGCCGCAAGTTGACATGGTTATGGCAGTTGTGCAAAGGCGAAATCCGAGCCAACTACATCAAGAGTCAGAAAGTGCCATACACCTTCCAAGTTTCGACCTACCAGATGGCCATCCTTCTTCTATTTAACGAGTCGGACAAATTGGATTATTCGGAGATCAAAGAACTTACCAAGTTGACGGATGAAACAATTGAACCCGCAATTGGCATCCTGTGCAAAGCCCGCGTCTTGAACACGACACCGGATGACGGCAAACCCGCGCCCGGCACTAGTTATTCGCTGAACCACAACTTCAAGAACAAGAAGGTCAAGATTAACCTGAACATTACTGTCAAGTCCGAACAGAAGGTAGAGTCCGAAGACACTCACAAGACAATTGAGGAGGACCGAAAACTGTTGCTCCAGGTACGTGCTTTCGAGTTCTCTTTTGAATTTGCGACCGCCTAACTCTGCCAGGCTGTGATCGTTCGTATTATGAAAGGTCGCAAAAAGCTCAAGCATGTCCATCTGGTTGAGGAAGTCATCAACCAAGTCCGGAACCGGTTCCCCCCCAAGATTTCCGATATTAAGAAAAACATCGACGCCCTTATGGAGAAAGACTACATTGAACGTTTGGACAATGATGAATTGGCTTACATCGCATGAGTCATGCACTTGTTGTGCACGACGGCTCTCTCCTGAAAGGCGGATCTATTGGTTATCCTCGGGCAGAGAAGACGTCCCTCTCGCTCATTTTTCTTTCTTATTGCAAAATTCAGCCGGGGCATTCAGCACTCGATACGGGGTGAGTTAGGGCGAATGGGACCGAGGGATCTTTGACGGGTCCGTTGACGGATGAATCCACCTTATCAATGGGGTGGTATGGATATCAGCATTGCGTGGCGGTGCAGCGGAGTGCGTTGCTTTCTCTCTCAGTTTTCTCTTACGGTCATCAGTCAAACTCCTACGAGCGTTCTTAAAGAGAGGACAAAGAAGACAGCTGATGGGACATGAATTCGATGGAATGACTTGACGATGCGTGCATATGAGCTCTTGAAAGTGTCCATAAGTCGACAGGAATAAATGGGTCGGGACTATGGGAAAGGCCTGGCGGAGGGTATCATGCGAGCAGTCGGTCTCAAAGGGCAACAACGGGCTTGTAACGGGGACGGTACTTAGTCTACGGTCGGTTGGTCGAGACAAGAAACGTTTGGTGCTGGTCATGTTTTTGCGCAAAGAGGCCCCTTGACGAGCAGTATGATGATGACAATGCCAAAGAAGACTCTCTCGTTTATCCAGGTCTCTAGCTCACAAGTAATCTTGGTCTTCGCCAGAACGCCTGCTCTGTTCTCTGTTTCCTTTGCCTTTCTTTGCCTCAACCCGACAGAAGCATGACTCCAGATGTAAGGGATATCCTGTCCTTATTAATAGTACTAACGCATATCTGATCCAGCGGCTACCTCGTCTCTGTGCAGTGACCTGCTAGATTCCGAGATGGCGTTCTATTCTCTGTCGGACTGTGCCGTGTTTTTCTCCTCGAGGCCTGTCCTGCCGTTGAGATATGTATTTTATGTGTGTGTGTGTCCATATGTATCTACTAGGTATGTCTACAGCCGGTGGCCCGCGGGATAAGGATGGGTAGGAATGGAGAAAGGAAACCCGAAAAAAACAACAACAAACAGGCCCAGGGCAAGATATCAATTGGAGGCATGTAGTAGGGCAGAAGTGTGGGCAGGTCCTGAGAGGAACATGGATTCCGCCTGGTGTGGTTTTTCGTTGGTCGTGTGGCATGGCATGGCGTGGCATGGCTTTCATTCACCCCCTCTACTTTCCTTCGAAGGCGCGTTGGTGGTTTGTCCCGGGCTGCTAGCACACCACTTGAAGACGCATCGATCTCGTTCGTTTGGTCTTGGGATTCCCCTCGACTTGGGATTCGACGTGCAGCCTGTGCTTGAAGGGCGTCGCGCCATTCCATTCCAATGCCTTGCGCGTCAACCACTCCCATGCTCTACCCTCGGATTGGATATCTGCCCTTTTCATCCTCAACCACCACCGCCGCCACCTCCTCCTCCTCCAGCCTCGTTCGCTCCAGGGGCACTCTGGGACGCCCCCTTGCCTTGCTGAGACTGCTGTATCCGTTCCCTCGCCCAGGAACCCCAGCCGCTCAGGTAGGCCCCCGCCCGAACCGCGCCCTCGCGCGCCGAAGCCTGGATCTGCGAGGCGTCGACGCGCGGGGCCCGGTCACGGAGGGATGCCGTCCAGTTCGAGCCGGCCGGGACTGTCGACGTGCCGCCGCTGCCACTGCCACTGCCGGTGGATGAGGCGGGAGGTGAGACAGGCCGGGCCTTGGATCCGGGTTCACCACCGGTGGCCTCGACGACCATCCAACTCGAGTTTGAACTCGCACTCGACAGGGCCACGGCGGGTTTTGTCGTCGTCGTCGTCGCAGGGTCCTGGTTGGGCTCTTTGCTTTCCCCGTCTCCGCTGGCCCTCGTGATGCTGTGGCTGCCGCTTGATCGCTTGGTCGCCCGCTGCTGCGCTCTCTGCTCCCTCGCGCGTTCCACCTCGGCCCAAAACCTCGCCATCCCGGCTTCCACCCTCTCGCGCCCGCTCTGCAGCGTGCGGCCCAGTTGTTCCCTCCCCTCCCGCACCCTCTCGTCAAGGTGGAGATCGGCCATCCCGCGGGCCACCCTCCTCTGCAGATCTTCCACGGTCAAACCCCCGCCGGTCGGGTGCCGCGGCTCGATGATGTCGAAGATGCGGTTGCCGCGCGTGAGGCGGTCGAAGAGGGCGAAGTTGTTGGTCGACCGCCACATGGCGAGGAATTCGGGGTTGAAGTCCGACGCCGTGTCGCCCGGTTCGGGCAAGTTCTCAATGTTCGCGACCGAGGCCGGGATGCTGTTCTCCGAGACGGATTCATGGTAGACTTGATATGCCATGCTGCTGAGCAGGGAGAGGATGTATTCTTCAAACTGCATGCGGATCGCGTCTTCGGACCCTGCGTAGCCCATGTTTCTCGGCCGACTCGGGTTTTCTGGATCCCACGTGTCCAGAACTGTCTGGGTGATGTAGTCGATCCACCGACGATCCGCTGCACTCAGGACAAGGGCGGTGCGCAAAGAAGGCGAAGTCATGGTCATGGAGTTGGACTCGTCCAGATTGATGAGAATGTCACTGTACTTTTCTTTCTGCTGGAGAAGGAGGCTGTTGGTGGAACCGACGACATAGGATTTTGTGTCGTAGTCGGCGAGAATGTCGAGTTGTTGCAGGGGAGTGTATGGGCCAAAGATTGAGCCCTAATGTGATCGAGCGATGGAGATGGTCAGCTCGGGGTGAAGAGATGAAGTTAAAGGTTGGGCAGAGATATCATCTAACCCCCTACACACTACTCACCTTCCCGAATATTTGCAACGGCAGGCCCATGAATGCTAATACTGCAACCCACGTTAGCGGCTATCCTTCATTGTGAATAGCGGTCCTTGGATCAATCAACATACATGAACCCCTATCGCCGGTTCTCAAGCTGGTCGCCTTCTGCACGTTCTGTGCGTAAGTATCCAGGCTCGGATCTGCTGCGTCTTGCAAGTTTGCAATGAGTCCGGGAATAAGCGAGACCAGGGCGAACTGCATCATGCACAGCCTTTCACACTTGGAGCCAAAGAAGAGCATCTGCAACAGAAAGGGACAACATGTGAGCACGATGGACAGTGAGCATCGGATGGTCGACAAGATTTATGTTCGAGAACGAGGGGGGAGGGGAGGAATGGTGTCAAAGATAGCAGAAATCTCACCTTCCGTTGCAGTAGGAGACATTTGACCAGAGCCAAGGTCTGGTGTCTAAACTCATATATCAGTTCTCGGAGGGAGAGACCTATAAGCATCCCGATATCAGTGCCGCGTAAAGCCAAGCCCCGGCATCCCATCCAGGCCTTTGTGTCGCCAAATGAAGGTGCCGGAAGACAAGAACAGCGCAAAGGTCGACCACATACCGAAATGATGGTCCTTCCCATCCTCATGCGTGGGCGGGGCTCTGAGTAGACTCTCCTGAAATTCCTGCATGGCGCAAACGATCAGCATTTGCTTTCCGCATCAACTCAACCCGAATGTTCGACGGCCGGCGTGACGGGCACTCACCCACCTTCAAAATCGAGATATCTGAAAAATCTCTATCTCACAAATTAGTCTCTCTCGTACCACCAATCGCACTGGCTACACCGCTCCCTCAATGGAACGGGGCAACGACGGACGGATGCACACTGGTTAGGCAAGGAGTCCGACTTACTCCTGTGCAAACCAGGCTGCCGTCACGATCCCCAGTCTTTCCCTTAGTTCCCCCATGCCTCTCGCGGTGGGCGAGATGACGACAACGGCCTTCTGGACCGTCGACCGGGTCACGTCCACGGAGCGACGCTTGAGTTTCTCCGCCCGGATCTGCCGCGTGCACGAGATGCCGAAAAGACTCGTGGCAGCGCTCGTCACCGCACCCGTTCCGCGCGAATTCGCCTCGGAACTCGATGGGGCCTCGGTGAGATCTGAGCCTGGGCGCCGATTGTCGAGCAGGGTGAAATAACTGAACTCCTCTGCCATGGCGTGAGCGCCGTCGGAGAGCGCCATGAACGGCAACAACGACCAGTCGTTGAGTTTGGCCAGGTTCTCGCCATCGCTGTGCACCCAAAACTCGACCTCTGGGCCACTTTATCCACCTGTCTGTCAGCCAAACGAAACAATACCTTTCGTATAGAACGTGCAGCAGAGTGGGGAACGGGCCAATTTGAGTTTTGGGCAAAGGGATTGAAACGTACCGAGCGTGGTGGAAGTCGACGACAGCGACCTGAGGCGTAATGGTTGTCATATTGCGGCTGAAAACAGTATGTTATGCATCTCAAGAGCAGGACAGGTCGAGAGGCTGTAACTTTACCACACCTCGTGGGGTCAGAGACGCAGCGCACCTGTATCTAGTGGACGTACAGAAAACAAAGAGGATCCCCGTTTCCGCTGAGGAATGATAGAGTCTACGCCGGTCTCGGATTTTAGTTACTCCGATGTGACGGGCTCCGCGCTTGGCACCGCCGCCGCGATGGAGGGCGGAAGCCTCCGTTGTTCCCTTGTGCATCCTACTCCTGCATCCTTGAACTCTCACTATCTCACAACGGAAGATCGGCGGGAGTATACGTTTATATCACAAGATCGTGTGCCTTCCTGCGTGCTCGAGAATCATAACTGTGTTTCACTAAGGTCATCACCACGCTCCGTTGCCCTCTATCTTCCGCCCTCCTGCCCTGGGTGGAAATTCCAGAGTGCTATGTTAAAGGGTTGACTATGCTGTATCCATTCTTTTCCCGCAATCCCAAGTCTTAAAGGGGGTTTGGTCCAATGCCTTGGTAAGGTGAATGCTCTTCCCGCCTTCATTATTGATTTGATATCTAAAGAACGAACAGCCTTGAAGTCTTCGGCTAGGTCTAGGTATCAAGTCCAGTTCGTGCTCTAACCTCCTTCTCATCCTTGACATCGAGAGGTTCAATGTTCCAGATCGTATCAGCATACTCGTTGATGCAGCGGTCTAAACATCAGGTTAGCCTACCATCGACGATGGGATGGGAATTTGTGCAAGCTGGACGTACCCGACGTGAAGAATCCCATCCTGGCCACGCTCATGATCGACTTGGTAACCCAGGAGTCCTGGTCTTTGTATGCCTCGTCGATGAGATCTTGGGTCTGGCAGTAACTGTTGAAGTCATCGCTCACTGTACAATCATTTCATCAGCCTATGATCCGCCATTCGAGCTCAAAGACGGTCTCACCAAGGTAATAGTCGCCGTGCTCCACAATGGCACTGATGAGGGCACCAAAAGCGGCCTCGTCACCGAAAGTGCCCTTCTTGATGCATTCAAACACTTTCAGAAGCTCAGGGTTGACTTGGTAATTGCCGTAGAAGTGGTGGTGTCGCAAATCCTCCACGTCCTCGGACAGATTGCCAAACAAGAAGATGTTCTGTTCTCCGATTTCGCGAGTGATTTCAATGTTCGCCCCATCGAGTGTGCCAATGATCAGACCGCCATTCAGCACAAATTTCATATTGCTAGTGCCCGAGGCCTCGGTACCAGCGGTGGAGATGTGTTCACTGATGTCTGAAGCTGGAATGATGATCTCTGCCTTGCTGACATTGTAGTCTGCCACAAAGACCACCTTCAGCAAATCGCCAACATCGGGATCTTTGTTGACCACTTCTCCAACCTTGTTGATCAGATGGATGATGGTCTTGGCCATCCAGTAGCCTGGGGCGGCTTTGCCACCAAAGATGGACACCTTGGGCGAGACCTTCTTGCGCTCCTCAGGCGTCATCGCCTTGATCGCCAGGTAACGATGAATCACGCCGAAAATATTGAGTTGCTGACGTTTGTACTCGTGGATTCGCTTGACTTGGATGTCAAAGAGGGCTTTGGGGTTGACACTCACCCCTGTGGTCTTCAGGATATGCTGGGCAAGTCGGACCTTGTTGGCGTACTTGATCTCCGCCCACTCCTTCTTGAACGCCTTGTCGTCAGCGAACGGCTCCAATTTGTTGAGTAGTGTCAAATCCTTCAGGAATTCATAGTTTCCGATCTTTGAAGCAATCAGTTCGGAAAGGCGTGGGTTTGCCTGGTGCAGCCATCGGCGGGGAGTGATGCCGTTGGTAACATTGGTGAATTTGTCCGGGCCATAGACTTTGACAAAGTCCTTGAAAATGGTCGTCTTGATCAAATCCGAGTGGAGCTCGGCCACGCCATTGACCTTGTGGGAGCCAACAATTGCAAGGTAGGCCATCCGTATCATCTTGGGCTGTGACTCTTCAATGATGGAGACTCGCGCCAACATATCGCGGTCCTTCGGGAAGCGCCGTTCGACAGACTGGAGGAAATAGAGATTGATATCGTATATAATCTGTTCCAGTATCTCGTATGTTAATAACGGTCTTTATAAGATGGGGTGCCTAAGGAAATGGGAAGCTACTAACCTGTAGATGCCGTGGCAGGAGATTCTGGATCAGAGGTACGGACCATTTCTCCAATGCTTCTGGCAAAACAGTGTGGTTGGTATAACCAAATGTCTTGGTGACAATGTTCCAGGCGGTGTCCCATTCGAGACCCTCCATGTCGATCAGAATTCGCTGCAACTCGACAATGGCAAGCGTTGGATGCGTGTCATTTAGCTGAATGGCCACTTGTTCGGGGAATTCAGACCACTCGCGTTTGGTTTTTTTGAATCTGCGGACGATATCGTGCAGAGACGCGGCACACCAGAAGTACTGTTGCTTCAAGCGGAGCTCCTTGCCCCTTTCGAGGTTGTCATTCGGGTACAGCACAGCTGATATCGTTTCGGCACGCTGCTCGTCGGCCACGGCACTTTCGTACTCGCCAGAATTGAATTTGGAGAAGTCGAACTCGCCACTTGAGGCCTTGCTCGACCAAAGACGCAGATTGTTCACGGTCGGGGTCCCGTAGCCCGGAATGGGCACATCGTAAGCAGTCGCCGTGACGACCTCGCCGTCCTGCCAGGACACAATCTGCTTACCCTCCTCATCTGTGAACTTGTTGACCCAACCATAGAACTGCACATCGACCGTGACGTCGTGTCTGGGGAACTCCCAAGGGTTGAAATCGAGCCAATAATCCGGAATTTCAACCTGATACCCATTCTCAATCTCTTGCTTGAAAATGCCGTATCGGTATCGGAGGCCGTAACCCCAAGCTGCGTAGTTCAAGGAGGCCAAGCTGTCGAGGAAACATGCAGCGAGTCGACCGAGACCTCCATTGCCCAAAGCCGCGTCGTGCTCCTGTTCAATGATGTCCTCAATGCGGAATCCGAGTTCTGCGAGACCGTCTAATCCCATGTCAGCGCGCTCAACACGGCGTCGTGGAGGATAACAAACCTTTGGCCACGCCTTTCAATCCAACGTTGAGCATTGCATTATCCAGTGCTCTGCCCATCAAGAACTCGAGGGAGAGATCTTCCAAGCTTGTGAGCTACCACACTTCCACCACAGCGTTCCTAGGACTCACAGTAGATTCTCTTTTGGTCGACAAATGTCTGCCTCTGCTGAGTCTTGTTCCAATCAATGATCAGGCGATCGCGAAAGGCCAGCGAAGTCCCGGAGTATGCGGCCCTGCATGCCGGTCAGCGTGAGGAATTGTTCGTGCCAACAGAGCGGCATGACGTACAGCTCGTCGCAATTGAAGAGGGATCTCGCCAAAGTGGTTTCGATATGCTTGACACATTCTGCCTGTTGAGAGCGTCAGGCCGTTTGTCCTCGCCTAGAGAAGCTTCCGCTACTGACCTCAAACTCTTCTTTGCTAGTGAAAGGGCGCGGGGACTGTCCAATCCTGAGTTAGAAGTGGCACCGGCTTCGGGAGAACAGAGGATGGAGTTTACAAATTTTCTCCAGCTATTGTTGGAAAGACAGGTCAGCATGGCGTGTCCATCCGTGTGGCATTGGAACGGGGAGGGAGTACTCACGCCTCTCGCATGTGCTCTGGAATGCTTGACTCCACGGCCTTGATGTCGCCAGCTCCGAAGCCTGTGGCGGTTCTCTTGTGCTTGGGTCGAGTGAAGCCAGGGCCGACAGGGCCTATCAAGGTTGAAATAGGAGCGCCCGTCGAGGGTCTACGCTCCCGCGGGGGTTGGGAAACTGCGGCGGCGGCTGCGGCGGCCATCTTGTCGGCGGGGTAGGACTAAACTACACGAGCAAGCCAAAGGGAGCGCAGAGAGATAAGGATAATATGAAGGAAGGAAGTCAATGACTTGGAAGATCAAGTTGCCTCGAGAAAGGAGGTGAGGGAGGATGAGAATAGTAAGGGAGAATGGTGAGGACAGAGGGGCAGGGCAAAAGGTCGTGGTATAGCTCGATAGGACGGGAAGGAAGGGGGAGCTTGGATTAATTGAAAGCCAATGGAGGTGTGGTTTCCCCTTGGCCTTGCACTGGCCTCATGGCTCATGGACTTCCGTCATTGCAAATGCAATATGATGGATGCCATGCAGAACCGGATCCAACCTATTAACGGGCTATTTCTTACCCAGCTCCATCATTCAGCATTCGATATGCATTAGTGCTGCCAGCAACAGCGGGCCTTGTGTCTCTGCTTGGAATAGACCATGGATCTTTCTATCTACAGCAGTCTCGCATCGAGGCATCGTCGATCAGTAGCCCTGCCAAAGCTTGAATATCTTCCTAGACTATGCGGTGAGCCATGAAAAAGAGAAATGCATTGCTCAAGGACGACTGCATGCGCCCATATTTCGAGATTTCCGCCTTTCAGATCCTTTACCCCGCCTTGCGAGCTGCCTGCGCCCATACCTGGTAGCTAGAGCTCAGGCTCCACGGCAACGGGGCGGTGGGCAAGCTGGGCAGTTTGCATGTGCAACCAGAGAGTGGCGAGGTTTCTACTGTTACACCCCCCCCCTCTCTCTTTCTATTATTGCTTCTTTATTCTAATGCAGTCCCGGATATCGATCAAGACCTACCACTCTGTATGTCCACTTACTTCCTTCGACGGACAATGCCATGAGAAACCAAGCACAAGCGGAAAAGAGGTGGACAAAGCTGCTGTTTAGGGCAACCAGATGGCGGGGTACGGAATACGAGTGCACCTCTACTCGTCAGCCAAATAAAGAGCTGGGATACCATGACGGTAATATGGTTCCCTTGCCTCCGCCTCGGCTTGCTTTACCTCCACAACCTCTGCACTTCTAAACCGCCCTAGGCAGGTAGGCGAGTCCAGTCCATTGGACCGACCTACCACCCACCCACCGCCCGTCGAGTAGGAAAGCTGCCTGAGAGCGTGGGGTGCGACGGAGCACCCATCACCAGCCGAACGAATGTATTCCCCCCTGTTCAGTTCTGAATAATGTGTGGCCATCCGCTCTCCCTCGTCATTATTGTTCTTCCGAGCTACAAGTCAGATGCCGACCCGTTTGTCAATGGAAGTGACTGCGATTAGGGACATTGGAGTCCAAAGACTCGCTGGAAAAGAGGCAAGGCTGTGGCGTGATATCAATCAGACCACCGCCGCCTAGGGTGCACTATCCACGTACATTCTGATGCTGAGCTCATCAAGGCCCATGACAGAAGAACCACCATGTCCTGTAATCCACCGGCGGCTGCTGTGTAATTGCTTTCCACATTGGGCCTCGATCCTACCTCAAGGTGCGAGATTCCGATGGTGCCGATGTTGCGAGAAACAGGAGGTCCCACGTTGAAATAGTGTCTTATTATGAGTACACGGCGACGTCCCCAGCCTTCAGATGTCGTATCTCGCTTTGCAGCCAACTATCCAAATGCTGTCCGCCTCCTGTCTCCAGTTCTTACGGGATGGCTTTGACTGAGAGCAAGATCGAACGCTGATGTCGTCCGTCATGTCTGCCCCAACGGTCAAGATTCCGTCCCAAGCATCCTGCGAATGCCGTGGTGTCCCAATGGCCAAGTCTGCCCCTTCGTCCCAATCCAAACAATTGACAGCCCATTGCCGTAGCAGCCCTGACGTGCGCAAGGATATCCATCACCACTTGCTCCAACTCTTGACTTGACAAACGAAAAGACTATTCCAAAACGCGAACTTTTTGCGGCGACAAACTCAAAAAGCGCAGGATTGGCGGCAACACGGGGAAACAAAACAAAGAGTCGGAACACCGCTGTCGAGCAACATCAAAGGCCTCCAGGCAGAAAATATAGCAGCGCGTGGTAGTGGCGCCTTCCCAATCCGTCATGACTCCCAATTTCATCACATGAGACGCTGGACGCCCGGCAAAAATGCAACTTCCAAACACAAACGAAAAATGGGTTCTGGTCGTGGCTCTCATAATATTCCCGAATCCTTCAGGGCATTTTGTAGGATGGTCTCCTTCACAGCGGCGAAAACTAGCCTAATGTTCGTCGTGTCGGTGGCTTGTGTGAGGCTGCACACGCGGTTAGTTGGCCGACAGGGGACATTTAGCAGGGACAGTGACTCACTGAGGGTAGAGGTTGAGCTGTGCTCGGTTCACTTGGTTGAACCGCCAGAGAAGGTACTTGGCGGCCCGATTGACGTCGTTGCCGCCCGAGTAATCAGGGAAGTAGTTCCCTAGTGGTGATCGACCTAGCTTCTCCTTGAACAGGTCGACTTTGTTGAGGAAGAGGATGATACTGGTCCGCATGAACCATCGGGAGTTGACGACTGAATCAAACAGTACGAGGCTTTCCATCATCCGGTTCTAGAATGGCGGTCAGCAACCCCAGCCCAACTTTTCTGTTTGCTCCGACTCCGACCCTCAGCATACCTGGTTTGATTCTTCTAGTAAAACTTGATCGTATTCGCTGAGTGCCACACAGAAAATGATTGATGTGACGTTCTCGAAGCAGTGGATCCACTTCTTGCGCTCACTGCGCTGCCCGCCTACATCGAACATGCTGGTATAACGTTAGCTACGGCGTGCTTGGGTCTCTCCCGGTGGTACTGACTGGATGCTCAATTGGCCCATGGTAAATCTGGTTTCATAAATACCCGTCGTCTTCGTGCGTGCTCGCAGGACGTCGGCCTCGTTGGGGATATAATCAGGCGCTGCCAATCTTCGCACCTCTTCGAAAAAGCTATCAATCTGTGAGCAGGTCGGGGCTCCATTTGGCCTCGGGAATAGAACGCCACGACGTACTAGGGGGCTGAATCCATCAAGTAGAATTCGCTCTGTCGTTCCATTGTTTTCGCTGACGCTGGATCTTTCCAGACGGCCTGAACGGCGTCGGCAACTTTGGGATCAAGCGAGGTATCCGGATCCGGGTCAACGTTAAATTCCATTATGTAGTCCACGTAGTCCTTGACGGTTTGATCCTCTGGTTCAATTTCAAACTGCTGCATGGCGCCGATCAGCGCCTTCATGCAATCAATGAGGTTTTTGTAGATGGTGAGCCGGTAGAGTGCCCTCTCCTCCTGCGTGTAGCCATTCTGGTGGATAATCTTCATCTGTTTCACAATCGTAGACTTGCCACTCTCACCGGACCCTACGAGGTTCAAAATCAGTCACCTGCACGCACTAGCATTTGTTATTCATGTCGCCTACCGAGCAGTAGGATTTTGCATTCTCGCCGTAACCTGCGGGAATCTTCCTCTAGTTTCTTGTCTATCGCCTGACTCCTCTTTTTCTGCTCCGTGTCCTCGGCCGACGCTTCTTTGCTCCCACATGCACCCATGTCGAAGGAATGGTGTTGGCTGTAGCGCTGCGACAGCGAGAGCGCTGCAGAAGCAGCGCCAGATGCGGCTGCAGCTGCAAAGGGAGCTGCACGGGCGTTCTCCTGTGGTTGCGGCCTGAGTGCGGGGGGAGGCAATTAAGCGTCGTTATCGAGTTCCGAGGGGGCAAGGCTTGAAGCAGCGCAGGCTCGATCGGGAGAATGGGAGATGTGGAGGGCAGGTTCGCAAGCGCAGCGGTGGACTTGAGGACGTCGATGACCTCGAGATGTTGATGATGGTGGTGGTGGTGGTGGTGGTGGTCGGGGCCGAGACCAGGATTCGCACTTGTCAGTGGAGCTCGACTCGGGCTGGAGCGGCTTGGAAGAATGAAAGATGGGTGCGAGGGGACTGGAGGCAGGCAGGAGCTGGTAGATATAGGATCCGGGAAACGAACGAGGAGGTTCCGTATAGAGCTCGCTGGCAGAGAAACGTCGTCGCGCAACAGGAAGTTGAGGGCGGCGAGGCAAGCCAAGGTTGTTACAGCAGCAGAGGAGAGATTTGTTACCAATGAAGTAGTCGACAGCTGACGAGAGGATGGAATGGGCCGATCGTGGAGAACAAGTCCCCAAGTGCGAGAGCGAGTTACGAGGAGCTTGCGCTGGCTGTCGTAGTGGCAGTAGTGGCAGTTGTGCCAATGCCAGCCAGAACCTCCAGCTTTAAGCGGAGTAGCCGAGCAGTTGGGCTTCAGGGACACCAAGGGGGATCACTAGGCTAGAGTCCCAGCGGCCAGGCTCACTAGGCTGGGTAGGCCCTCCCCAAGGGTCCCCAAGTCGCTAATAGTGCTGGGCGCTTTGTCTTGTCTAGGGGTAGCGAGACACGTTGGTTAGGCAGATTAGGCAGGCTGGGGATTTTGTCTCTGTCCCCTATCCACCGATTTTTTTAATTTCTCATTCTACTGCCCTCTGGTGATGGAGAAGAATGAATCTCCTCGTCCATGTATTTAATGATAATTGTCGTGGTCTGCCGACTCTTCAAGATATCAGACACCCCGTCTACCCAGCAGCACCAGCAGTGTGGCTTTGCTATCCACTGTTCGCGCATTCCATGACAGGCATCTGCCGCTCCAGAAAAACAGCGTCGTTCCAACAATCGGCAAGCTGCCAGGGTCTGCCACATGGTTTTGTTCCCGCCAAGGGTTGATAATTCCTGAGCCAGAAGAAACGATTGTGTTGCACGAGGTTTTATGGTGTCAAGATTTACATCCAACTGCGTCCACCTCGAGAACATGACCATACAGAATCATCCCATTTCCGCCCCGAGCCTTTGTATCCTCCAGTTTGATGGAACAGCCTCATCGCTTGACAACGCCCGGATTGACCAGGCTTAGCTGGAGATTTGTCAGGTCAGCGTGCTAGCACATGGCTGGCATACATGCTCTCGAATCTTTGACATGATGTCGTCAATGCTCATCACTTTCCAACAGAAGCAATACTCTCTAACCACTGTCTGCGCCGAAGTCTTCGTGGTAAATTTCCGACAGGGGGCCGGTCTGGATAACACCGTCGCCGACTTTCGTTTTCTTCTGTGCCGATTCTCCCGTTGAGGTGTTTTATCCTCTTGCTTCTTGATGGAAATCGGCAAGACCGATATACATAGGTGCTGTCTCAGCTTCTCACTGTTGGTTATTCAAATACTGGACCAAGTCAAACGTCGTGCATAATCAAATCTCGTAGCTGTCACCTGTTCCTTCGCTGTCAAACTTTGAATCAGGGTGCATGTCAGGCTCAGACCATCCTTCTATATATAAATGTGTTGCAGCTTTTTGTTCAATACACGGCCACACAGGTCAACACTCGCTACTGTTCTCCTCTTGCTGTCTATATACAAGTGACCCTGTGGATGTCATTCGACAGTGGTCTTCCAAGGTGAGTTGTCGACAGAGTCGTTCTGCTTACCCGTGACTACCAAATGATGAAACATATTTTTGTGCGGAACCTACAGGTCGTCCGGACTGTCTCAGGTTGCCATGATGGCCTGGGTTTGGGGCTTAATAGTCGTTAGCATTCGAGAACACCTTGCAGCTCAGAAGAAAATCCAAGACCGCCGAACAGGTGTACATGGCCTGAACCGCTACCGCAGGGCCACAGGAAAACCGAGCGTGTCCATAAAGGCTCACGAGGGACACGAGTCCAAGATATGGTTGGGAATTAATTTTCTCACAGATATCCTCGCAAAGAGAAGTTTGGCGAAGAAATTTGGAACAATGAATCCCCCCATCGGCCCCCAAGAAACTACTGCTCTCACGGCCAGTGATTCCCAGGACAGGAATAATTGGCCTGTTCGGAGTATTGGCAGGCATAAACCTCTGAAGGTGTGACTGTGCTACATTGGCCCGGTGGCTCTAACTGAAAGAACAGGGTGGGTGAGATCATCACTTATTAACGGATTCCGCAACCGGGCGCGACAAGCATGACCTGCACCTTTTGCTCAAGGGCCGCATATGAATCGGGAATATCGACTGAAATCGAGAGGACCAGAGAGTGGAGAGATCTGACTAACCCTCTGGTTGACGGGCTTTGACGGATGGTTTGGGAAAGGTAGAAATCGAAATCGCTGCCGGCATCGTACTGGCTGGTGCAGGGAAGGCCTGCTGGATCAAGAACTCCGGCCATGGGGCGACGGAAGAATGTACCACCGCTGTACGGAAGAGGATTGGACGGAGGATGCATGGAATCGCTTGATCAGGAGTAAGGATAGAGGGGCAGTTGATGATACACAGGACATTGAGGAGTGAGAAAAGTGCGTGCGCCGAAAGAGTTTGGCTTGGAGGGGGAAGTGCAGGAGGGGCGCAGGCAGGTGACGGTGATGATGGTGGTGGTGGTGAAAGTGCAGGTGAAGGTGAGGGTGACGGGTACCTGGGTAAGAGAAATGGGTGATTGCAATCGTCATCTTTCAAGCGGGCATTGTGGGCGCGTCGCAGCCAAAAGACCGAATTCTCAAGCCACTCCGATCGTTACTTGGGACTTGGTAGGTGCCGCTACCACCGCAGCCTTTACTTAGTAACCAGAGCTGGACCGATTCGAGTTTACGGGAGACGCCCAGGAGGCGGGAAACTGGTTTGCCCCACGCTGGCTGCTGCTGCTGCTGCTGCTGCTGCCCGCCACTGTTGCTCCTGGCTGCTCTGCTCTGCTCTTCTCGCATGCCAGCATTCACCACCACATGAAGTTTTTCTGCATAGTGACATTGGCCACAGTCACCAGTACCAGACAGGATTCTCTCAAGCCTCGTTGAATGCTAGAATACCCGTCAGTTGCGCCACCCACAACTTCGAGGTTTGTGCTTCTCGGTATCTGTCGCGGTCCTGTCGCCCCTCCCCGTCTCTAACTGCGATCTTCAGGATACCTGAAACATCCCGTACTTCTAAACCGCCTCTCCTGTTCTCGAGGCATCCGATTCACCTCGCTCCTGTATCTGACTGAGCCGACTGTCGTTCTGCTCTCGTCCTGCACTCACGTCGCGATCTCTCCACCGCCGCTGACACTCTCGCGATTCGAAGACCTCGCCTCCTCTCCTGTCCAAAACTTGGCTCTCCTTCCTTAGACTTTCTCTGAAGATGGCGGAGTTTGTGCGAGCCCAAATATTTGGGACAACATTCGAGATCACCAGCAGGTAGGCGTAGCAGCCTTGACAGTGGCAAGGCAAGCCCGGTTAACTGGAAGAACAGGTACACAGACTTGCAACCCGTAGGCATGGGAGCCTTCGGTCTTGTCTGGTGAGGACTGTTCGACAACGTGCATTTCCAGAACCCCACATTGACAATTTTCAAGTTCTGCCAAAGATCAATTGACGGGCCAGTCGGTGGCGGTTAAAAAGATTATGAAGCCATTCTCTACACCCGTGCTCGCAAAGCGCACCTATCGAGAGCTCAAACTGCTGAAACATCTTCGACACGAAAATGTGAGCGACAAGAGCCCCCTAAGTTGTCTTTCAAGATACTGAACCATCAGGTCATCTCTCTCAGCGACATCTTCATCTCTCCGCTTGAAGACATGTATGCGCAACCATCACTCTCTCCACAAAGTCCTACATGCTGATGTTGACTGCAGCTACTTCGTGACCGAACTCTTAGGCACTGACCTCCATCGCCTCTTGACCTCAAGACCACTCGAGAAGCAATTCATTCAATACTTCCTCTATCAAATCCTAGTACGTATATCAGCCGGAACATTGCTCCGATTCTTCAAAAACTGACACGGTCACGTGCAGCGAGGTCTAAAATACGTTCACTCGGCTGGCGTCGTCCACAGAGATCTGAAGCCAAGTAACATCCTGGTCAATGAGAATTGCGACCTCAAAATCTGCGATTTCGGGTTGGCTCGAATCCAAGACCCCCAAATGACGGGATACGTGTCGACCCGGTATTACCGAGCCCCCGAGATCATGCTTACCTGGCAGAAATATGACGTGGAAGTGGACATCTGGAGCGCTGGCTGCATCTTTGCAGAAATGTTGGAAGGGAAACCTCTATTCCCGGGCAAGGATCATGTCAACCAGTTCTCCATCATCACCGAGCTGCTCGGTACACCTCCCCAGGATGTGATTGAGACCATCTGCAGCGAAAATACCCTCAGATTCGTCCAGTCTCTGCCCAAACGAGAACGGCAGCCCCTGAGTGCGAAATTCAAGAATGCCGATCCTTCCGCCGTCGACCTGCTGGAGAAGATGTTGGTTTTCGACCCCAAGAAACGAGTATCAGCAGCCGGTGGCCTGGAGCACGAGTATCTTTCTCCATATCACGATCCGACGGATGAGCCGGTCGCAGACGAGAAGTTCGATTGGTCGTTCAACGACGCCGACCTTCCCGTTGACACTTGGAAGATCATGATGTACTCGGAAATCCTTGACTATCATAATATCGACAACCAGGAAACCGAGATGGGAGGCAAGCCCTTGACCGTGGAGCAAGCCCAGGCCGTGAACAGTCAGGTAGTCCAATAGAGTGGGTGGTTCTCGAGAGGTCTGCGCCAGCAACATTCAGCGCAACTGGAGGTGTCAGCGGGAGTTCCGTTGCGTAGTCCTCGGCGGAGTGAAACGAACGAATACCACGATATGTTTTGGTGTAACAGGGAGGAAAACGGGCATACCAAGATTTCTGCAACAAAAGGTTACGAGTTGTATGATTGCTTCAGGGCCCAGTCTGGACTATTTGTCCAGCCCGGATCCAAATCTTATGAGACATAGACCTTCAGCCGTTCTTTGTCCGCACAGTCCCAGCATGCACAAAAAACATGTAGTCGGTGTTTGTAGCGCGTGTCAGCCTTGTTACGCGGTTTCGGCATACAGCACGATCGGAATGGAATGCACGGCGCACCCTGTGGCGAGGAAACAGATAGAACCTTTGTTTCCATTTGGCAATTGATCGCGAGATCACTTTCTGTCTAAAACTCAGCGAGCTCGATTTCATTTCCGTGGGCTCCTCCTCCGGTGGTTCACTTCAGCCACAGTAGACCCTGCGTGCGTGAACCCCGTTCTATGGGACCATGGCCATCTTGGACATGATAGAGGGAGATCCGGTGGTCCAGTAGGGGTTACCTAGCTCGATGAGCCGGCCTCGCCTACGCACCGAACCAACACCATTCACCCTTGTGTCCCCACGTCACCTTCCCCTGATGTTTCGCTGGTTCCTTCCCATGATATTGCCAGATGTGCTACTAACCATCGAGGGTGCTTGTGCAAAACGCCTCTCTCACGAGAGCGAGCGAGCGAGCGAGCGAACGAGCGACGGGGCAGCCGAGATTTCCGTCCGTCCAGCTTCGTCTCGGACCATGATCTTGACGTTCAGGTTCAGGTCCAGGTCCAGGCCCCACGCCCAAGACCATGGGAGCCTCCGCCTTCAGTCGACTTCGCCTGACTTTTCCTCACCGGCGCCGTCCTCCACTTTCTCCGCCTTCTCCGCATCTCCTTGCTCGGTGGTCTTCTTCGCCAGGCCCCAGCCGAGGAAATACTCCGAGAGGCCGCTCAGCGATTTCGGGTCGTTGAGGCGCGGACTGGAGAGGTAGAGTTTTCCAGAGGTGCTCCCCCAGGCGGCGATGGAGCCGTGTTTGGCGCTCGGAGTGCTAGATGGATCGACGCGGTAGGATTGGGCCTTCTTGGGCGTGGCATCGGGGTCGGTTGCGGGTGTGGGCGCGTGGGCGGCGCTGGCGGTTGGGGTGGTTGCGTCGGCTCCAGAGGTGGGAGAGGGAGGTTGCTCCGCCGTCTCCTTCTTTGGAGTGGAGAGGCCGGACTTGGAAGGATCGTTGCTTGGAGTTGGAGTGGACATGCTGGATGAAGTCGAGATGGAGGAAATGTAGTGGGTGCTAGGGCTGCGAATGCTGTAGTAGAGATGGAAGCAATACCAAGGTTCTGAATTTGAGGAGTGGTTCGTTCGGTCGTTCGTTCTTTGTGTGATCGGGCGTATGAGTAAAATGACAAGACCTACCACCTAAGAGAAAAGATTGTCTTGGAGGAGGCTAGTGTTTGCTGTCGCGGCTTGACGTGCGGCTCGTCCTGTTGTGCAGCTGAAGCAGTCAGGTGGTTAGAGTACTCAAGAACTGCGCAAGGCTGCGGCTATGTCCCCTCTCCCTTTCCTTCATTTTGTCGCGTCAGAGGTAGAATGAGTGAGGCAACGACGCGGCTTGGACATATCTGAGTCAAGTTTCCCCGTCATCCATCTGGGCAGTGAACAGAACCATCTCTTTAGCAGGAGAAGAAGTCTGTGCTTTGATCTCTTTCTCCTTGGTCATACATCCTTTTCTTTCTCTCAGTCTTCACCTACCACTGCATCTGGTCGGGACTGAGCATCATGCGTGAGAGCCTTCAGGCGGCAAGTTTCTGGCCTTGGTTCAAGTTCTGAGCAGGAAGGTAGGATGTTCTCCCAGTGTAGTGAGCGTCATTGGTGTCGTCCTCCCAGGAAGCATTGTTGCAGTCACAGACAGGGCTCAAGCAGCCCCTGGACAGTCTTGACGTGACATGGAACCAACCCAATTCTCGACCTTCCCAGAGGTTTGGCGTCAACGGGTCACAGGAGAGAAAGCGAGGGTTGAGCGCTACTGTACGAGATACAGAAGCAGTATTCAAACGAAAGTCCAAAGTCCAAGACGAAGGGTCGTCCGCACAACCACAGACGCTATACCTGTTCCAGGATGTGCCTCGGCATCAAAGCATCAAAGGCAGCAAGAGGCTGCGGCCGTTACTATTGATTTCGCTGCACGGCTTTCGAGTTCCTCCGCCAGATGCTGTCGCCTTTTCCTTGTTGATGCAAATCCGTCTGACTCGGTGCGTTTGGAGGAAACCCAACACTCGTTTCGCCTCGCTCTTATCTGTCCCTCCATCCTTCGAATGTCCCGCCCCCGGACTACGTGTGCTTCAAGGACCCTAAGACCACGATGAGCCTGGGCCGCACGAACTAACCATTGCTAATTGTTCCTTTAGCTGACCGGAGGCCTCACTCATACCCCTCTTTGTCCTGGAGCTTTTGCATCGACTAATCAACATATCCTCATATACTGGCCGAGCCATCCTTTTCCTCACGTATATCAACAGCCTTGCCCTGCTAAGATTGTGGACAACAGCCGAGCTTGAACTTTTGTCCTCTAAGTTGTCTGCTTGTGTTCTGCCAAAGTTCAACATGACGACCCCTCATACGGCCCACGAGGGGCTTTCTGCGCCCGTTCATCAGGTCTCCTTTCGGGAAAAGGTGGACGTTTTCCCGGGGCTTCTATCACTCCGTGAGATCTTACGACAAGAGCTCAATGGCCCTTTGCAGCTGACAATGTTCCAGTTGGGACAGCTCTGTATACAGCAGCCGCCGCCCCTTTCCGCGGCGACGACGGAGCCCATACATATGGGCAGCATATCAGCTTTGCCATTGTGCGAAAGGTAGGCCCGCCATTCCCCAAATATCATGCTTCATCACTGAGGCGACTAGATGGTGCAAAGGTTCAGCACGCTTCAACTACAGTAAGTGGCGCCGATTCACGGCGCCAGACTCGGCTCACACGCGCAGATATATCGGCGCCCCATTTTCGACAATCTATGAGAAGTGGTGTAAAAGCGCTGGCGTCCAGCCCGAGTTTGTGACTCTGAAGTCTGGATGCAAAGCGTTCTGGATGGGCGATCCAAAGACAGCCAAATACGTCTGTGTTTATTTCCACGGTATGCGTCCTGCTTTGTCGGCACCGCTCAACCAGTGACTGACCTTCTCAACAGGAGGTGGTTTCTCGCTCGATGGGGACGATACCCATCTCCAATTCTGGAACAACGTTCAGAACGACCTCAAAGCCGACAACATCTCAATTGCATTCTTGTTCCTCGAGTACTCGCTTGTGCCGCATGCCACTTTCCCCAAGCCCATCTACGAAGCCGTTGAATCTGTCAAGTACGTCATGGAAGACCTGAAACGCCCGGCATCGGAGATCATACTCGCTGGTGATTCTGCGGGCGGTAACATGTGCCTCGGAGTCCTGTCACAAATTATGCATCCATCTCCTGAATTTCCGGAGCTCAAATTGGCCGACGGAGAGAAGCTCAAGGGTATTGTAGCCGTGGCTCCGTGGGTCAGCTTCAAGCTTGAATGGGAGAGCGAGAAAAGGAACCGTTACAGGGACATTGTCAGTCATCACGCCGGTAGCAAGTGGTCGAAGGACTACCTTGCAGGGAAACCATCGACGCCGTTTGCCGAGCCGCTCAATGCTCCCGCGGAGTGGTGGAAGGATGCCAAGGTTGAGAACATCCTGGCTACGGCTGGCGGAAACGAGATCCTGGTGGACTCTATTGCTGAATGGGTGGAAAAGTACAAGGTGCGTTGTGTCTCCTAACCGTTGTATTCTTGGTTATCAGCGCCATGCCTGGGCCGTAGTCTGTGAAAGTTTGCTGACACTGCTCTCCAAAGTCCGCCAACCCGGACTCCCTCACCCATGTGGTTGGTGCGAATGAGGCGCATATTGCTCCCATCATTCACTTGCGGTTTGGTGACAAGGCTGAAACAGAGCAAGGAAAGGCCATCAAATCGTGGCTGAAATCGAAGTTGTGACAATCTTGAACAGACGATGCATCTGCTATCACTGTTTGAATTAGAAATATACGTCGAAGAATACCCCGTCAATCACGTTTGAGTCTGACACGGAGCTGTCTTGTCGTCCTTCCTCTAGTATTCCATTTTTGTTGACAGAGTCCAGAGCAGAAGAAATGGAGTCGATTCACCAAACATGAATGTCTTATTCCGCGACGCTGGCTTTTGACGCATCGGTAAGTTAAGAAGAAGTTCACTGTCTGAAAGAATGTGGGTTTATTGCTTCTCTGCCTTCCGGTGTCAGGCCCTACGCAGTGCATACGCCATCAACACGACAGTCTGAGGAAAGGGCTGCTTCCCTCATGCTATCACATCCTTACCCCTAAGTTGAAAGGACTGTTTGGTTGTTGACGTGTCACAAGCTGTCCACATGTCATGCACTTCTAGAAGTTCTCGAACGAGTGATGGTGAACCGGTGAAGCCGTGACAACCGCAACCGTTTCTGAACCTCATCTCGTTTGACTGCCTTGTCCGGACAAACGAATCCACGAGCTTTCGGCGGTCTGAACATGAATTTGGTATGTACGGATCTGGGCACTTCCCTGCGCAAGCCCTCTGATGCGCATCTTGATGGATACCTCCTCGACACCAGATCACCAGAGCCAACTCAGTGAAATTTCATCCGGCCCGTCTAGGACTTCTACGTCGTGGCTCTCCCTGACACATCAGCGCAAAAGCTCAGCAGCTACGCCGGCCACGCAATACTCCTCCCGGAGTTGGGGCGCCTCCCGCCACAGGCAACCATCGTGGATATCGACGATCGATTCCGGTCTGAGCCCTACACAAAACCTGCAACGGAAGAATTCAGCCTCGCCATGGTCCTTGTTCCGATCCAAGAGACAGCAGGTTGGACGTCCTCCACCAACAGATGGAACCCACAGAGAGATCGGGTATCGTTGGTGGTCATCGGCCCCAGGCGTTACGAAGAGAAACAAAGTGAGAATCAGTCCACCCATCCCACTCCGACCCGAGTCTTTACACTGTCAGCGAAGACCGTCCCCCTCGGATACTCAACTACTACATCACGAGCCGGGAGGATTCTGGAAGGACGAACAGCCGTCGGAGCTTCGGCCAGTTCCGCCTCCAAAATCACAGATTAAGCCTCACACAACGCAGCAGTGGGCCGATCTAGATCCGGACAAGAGAGAGCCGGGATTTGCTCGAATCCACCCCGACGGTTGGAGCAAAGTCATTCCCAAGCAATGGATGGAGGATCAGCTCAGCGACAGGTCGTCAGACACAGGGGTAGACGATGACCGCAGTGTATACAGCCAGAGTAGCGGCGACGAAGTCACGAAATGCCTTCCGGTGTGCGACCCATCCGCGACCGAGAATGGAGAAGAACCTGCGTCTTTGTTGCGTCGGATTGAGGATATCGCCCTGCCTGCTGTGGCTGCTCTTCGTGATCAAAGTTGCGTGGACAACTCGAAAGAACCACAAGACTTGCATGCCTGGTGGGATGGAGGCTCGAAAGTTGGTTCTGCTTCTTCAGATCCTATTCGATATTGGATGTCTTCACTTCAGCCCCTTCCCGATCCTCATGTGTGCTCTGACAATGATGAGGAAAACGACCAAGCCAGTTCCAGTCTGTGCGAGTCCAGACGTCAGAACAAACCACCACGCCAGGTCTTCACTGATCCATTATCATCTGATCGCGCGCTCCCCTCTGGTCTCAAAACCGCAACAGGGATGGAGACAGGGCATTTGCATGATGGGAATCTCCTGGTGCCACGACCCCTGAGACTATCCCAGCGAGGCAGAGGCACATCGCCTGCTACCACTGCTGCCGTCGTCAACAATGAGTATGAGACTTCAGGTACCGGCCGAAACTATAACCTTCTCTCTATCCTGAACAAGCAACACCCCGAGGCGAAATCGCTCCAGTCCTCCTGGTCGACCATCTACTGCAGTGGCGCCGGGGTGGCTGGTGGTGACGATAATCCCACTGCATGTGCTCCTCCGCGGGGCAGTCGAATCGCACACGCGCCGTTGACCGAGCCCTTGACGACGAATTTCAAAGACAAGGCTCTGCCGCCTTTGCCACCCGGTAGTGACAGTATCTGTTCGAACCAATACCGTAACCATCCCCCTTCATCCCCAGAGCGCCGAATCGGAAGAGGACAGAGGGGAAGGGAGACGGAGAGGGACCGACTCACAGCAGACATTGACGAGATTCTCGACATGTACCTGCCCGTGCATCCGGGCTCGGGGCATCCCATCTACTCGTCAACACCGGCACCCGACCGCGCAGACGTCGTCCGAGAGGACAAGGCCAAAGCCGGACGGACGGACAGGAGCAGGAGCAAGCCGAAACCCGCACAATGCACCAGGCCGCCCAAACGCTCCATGTGGTCCTTCGACACCGACCCAGAGCTTGGCGTGAACCATCAGGCGAACGCACGGGGGATGCCACAGCCCACTAGGGCGACGATGACGGCGACCTCGACGACGAGCCCGAGTGCGAGTTTTGTAGCGGTGTATCCTTGCGCCTTCGACCCGGAGAGATACCCCGAGCTTCGACACGGGCGGGAAGGGAGGACAGCGCCGCTGTCAAAACCACCGCCAGCAGCAGCAGCAGCAGCAACAGAAAGAATGGCACGCGGACGACCAAAGGCGATGATGGCCTCGGTCGACAAAGACGGGCAGATCTGGATATAAAATGCCCCTCTCCATTTCGTTGTTTTTCTTTTCCTCGGCCCCTTTTTTTCGGCTCGAGATCATACTGGGTGCTACAGTTTTTGACCGGATATTTCCAAGGCCGTGGGGAGGGCGGAGGGGCCGGTGTATCTATCAATCCCAATGGCACACTCGAAAGGGCTACATGTCGACAATCCCCTTCGAGGCTTCTACAGGCCTGAGCCTCTACTCTCCACGCGGGCATACGGTATTTATGCTATCCCCCGAGTGGGTAGTTCCCCTTTGGATTCAAAATCGTCACACTTGAAAATTTTCACGACCATGGTTTTGGGATCTTTTGGTTCTTTGCACAGCTGCGTGATTCTAGGGGGCGAGGCGGTGTGTGTGTTACATTGTGGCGGAGGAGAATCTCTTCAGGCGTCTTCTCGTCACAGCACATCGAGGGACGGCATACTGCACAGGGGCGCGCGATTGTGTTCATCTTCATAGGCCGTGGTTCATATTGATCAGAAATAAAATTCCTTTCCTTTGGTTCCCTATTTTTGGATCCTTTCACAACTTGACATCCGTCTTCGTTTTCCTAGCCGGTCTGTCTGCATGTTAACTACCCGTGGTCCTATCCATCCTCCGCTTTCCGGGCCACTTTGCTCCTTTCTTTTTCAGGGGCCGGTCTGGCAACGCAGACATCTCCCACGGGGGAACAACGTCGGTTGTCGAAGGAGAAAGAAAATCCGGTGCGGGGACTTACACCGTGCTCTGGACAATCGCCTTGACCTGCTGCTCGCTCAACTCCTTGAGGCCCAACAGCTGATTGTCCGTCCGGCCCTCGAAGCTGCCGCCGGTCTCTTCGCCGCCGAAGATGCCGCTCAGGATGAAGCCGACCATGGCCTTGCCGATGTCGCCGCCCTTGGTCAGCTCGGCCATGCTCTCCTGGTAGAGCTCCTTAGTCGACTTGACGGGCGTGTCCCAGTCCTGGCCGTCCTTCTCCTTGGCGTACGCGATCAGCTTATTCTGCGTGGTCGCGGTGTCGTGCACGTAGACCGGCCGGTTGGCCGTCTCGGCGAGGTGCTCAATGACCCCGACCACGGCCTGGCCGATGGATTTGAGCGTCGTGGTCGAGAACGTGGCGTCGCCGCCGTTGAACAGCGTGCCCGCGTGCTTGGCCGGGTTCAGGATGAAGCCGTGCTGGAGGCCCCAGTCGAAAAACGGGCCCGTGATCACCAGCGTGTAGCTGAAGCTCGGGTGCTCCTTGACTTTGGCCTTGAGGTAGTCCTGCGTCGCGACTTTGTACTTGAACACGGGCAGAGCGGAGGTCTTGGGGTTGCACGTGTCACTGCCGAACTCGGAGGGGAGGAACCTTTCCACCCCGGCGGCGATGGAGGCGTCGATCAACGGGTTTTGCTCGCCCACGCTGGTGGTTGCGAGGGTGGAGACCACCACCTTGATGCCCTCCAGCGCTGCTGTGAGGTCGGGGACCGACGAGTAGTCGACCTCTTTGACTGTAATGTTGCTGGATTGGGGCAGTTTGGAGGCGCTGTTGCTTCCCTTGCGGGTCAATGCAGTGACGGAATAGTTGGCGTCAAGAAGCGCCTGGACAACCGGGAGTCCAAGGTTGCCTGTGGCTCCAGCGACAGCGACTTTTACAGGGGCCATAACGTGTGTTAATGGTGGAAGTGCTGTTATATCTCTTGTCTGAAGGTCCTGAAGAGTGGTTGTCGTGAACGTACGAGGACAGGCAGAGCCAGACGGTATCTAAGTCTTTCGATATGTGCAATGTGGGGCTGGTCCGGAAGGTTCAATGGGGATGTGGAGTTGATTCCCGTGTCTGTATCAGGCTGCTGATGTCGAGCTGGGCTTGAGAAATGGTGTGATCAACTTGAGATGGAGGGGAGGAAAGGAACAACCACCCTCTTGCACAGCAGGGCGTCTCTTTCTTTATATCTCCAATGGCCAGATGCCTGCTCCCAGGCTAAAGCGCGTATCTGCCAGTGTCGGTGTTCTAGCCTTGGGAATGACGGTATCACGGCATTCAATCGAAGGACCCAATTCCGCTGTGGCAATGGTTCGCGGGGCCGACGGGACAATCTTGTATGTCTCCGTGTTGCGTATTCCGTCCTCGTAAGCTCGATCTGGATCTTGGGTTTGAAATCCATCAGGACAATAACATTGATTCTCCCTTGTGCTGGTTCGTCAAGAGGGAGAATGCTGGACAAGGCTACCCCTGGGTGGGGAAGCCAGGGGCACAATGGCGTGTGCTGGTGGAGGGCGGCTGACTCATCGCCTTGTTGCTTGCTTGATAAAAAGTCGCCGAAGGACGCCAAGCCGGAGCAGAGTTTGCCCGATAAAGCACGTGCAGACCATAGTCGATGCATGGCTCTATATGGAGGTCTTGTGTCTATATCATGAGTGGCATGGCCCGAGCTTCACACGGTTTGGGATAATATTTGAGGCTGGCCATGACAAAAGATTGCATAGATGTTGCGAGCAGGAACTTTGTCCAGTTGATTGCGGGTGCTGGTTAGATTGGTAAGTGAAGTGGTCTATCACGAGGCTGGACAAGGCTGCCCAATCAAACTTGGATGAGGGTTGTGTGAAAGGCCACAGGCACTCTCAGCCTAACCCTTCTCTTTGCGGCTCAGAGCTCTCCTAGCTCTCCTTCCTGGCTAAGATCCATCAAAAGATAAGAGCTATCTATGCCAGAGCCCTGGCCCTCTTCCATTGCCGCCCTGGTCACCTCCTCGCCCATTCAGTCTTTTCTAGAAGACGTTTGACGAGAGCAGGCTGTGTGGAAACTCATTCTAGGACGACCGTACCATGTCTACTGGGCTGTGACAGGGCACATGTCAGCGTACATCGCACTATGAGACGCCCATCGGGCGCCCTAGTCAGGCACATTGGAGCAGATGAGGCTGGACATCCGATGGTAACTCTTGGCTTTAGCCGGAGTAAGCCTCGCACTATCGCAACTAGGTCTAGGCCCTCGTTTCGAGCTTGGTCGTTGCCAAATGTGTTGCCTCCTGCCTTCCAAGGTCCAATGACTGCCTCGTATGCGAGATAGCTGGGCTGCAAGAGCTCATGTTTTCTCTTGGCTGACAGACGCCACAGGGCTCGAAATGAGCTTGTGCAGCTCCGCCCCAGCTTGTTGGCGCATCCAGCCATCTTATATGAAGTCTCTCCAGCCCAATGCGAGATTTCTCAGGCTGCCTGCTGTCAATTCTGATGGGTAGGAAGGACAACTTTCAGTGGGCATCGACTCAGTCCACATTCCGCCAAATTCTCAAATGGACCCAGCATCTGTCGTCGGCCTCGTCAGCGGCGTTGCAGCGCTCGCCAAACTAGTGGATGGCAGCCTATCCGGCCTCTCTGAGTTCATCAGTCAGTCACGGAGGGTTGACCAGACCGTCCAAAGCTTTCACGATGACATTGAAGCCTTGTCAATGGCAATTACCGCGGTGTCAGCCAGGTTTAGATCCAGGGGCGGTTCCACGCTGACCTTGAACTCTCCCGCCTCTCGCGAGGCTGCGGAATTTCTTTCAATCTCGGTCGTCGCTTGCCAGCGACTGATGCAAAGGCTTGAGACATACCTCCCTAGCCGTCGATCGTCGGGCGGGGGCATCAAATATTTCCAGCGGCTACTGCTCCAGAGACGGATGAATCACAGCAGAGAGTCCATACGAGTCACCCAAGGCCAGATACAGATGCACACTTCCATAATCAACACGGCTTTCAACCTCCTCATCTTGTAGGTTGTCCACTCCAGCGCCCTAATTTGCACTTATTGCTGACTGGATCCAGTGACCGCATCACCCAGTCGCCTCGAGGGCAGGCTCAAGACGTGACACAGCCTTACAATAACTTGGTGGGCTCACTGGCGGAGCTTCAGAGGGAAAGGCGGCGACTTCCTTCAGACTCTGATCCGGAAACGGTGGTTGCTGTTCAAAACGCGCGAGCTTTGTCCAATACTGCCACCACCAGCATATCAGGGAGCGTTTCGGTTATCGGCCGACAGTCCACGCAAGCGGGCTCTCGGTCTCCTCCCACATCCTCGCCGGGTACTCAACAGCCCGTTCCTGGAGCTGCACCGCCCAACGTGCCCCCTCAACACACACGCAGTCGAAATACAAGGTCTCCTCCCAGCGTTAGCTCTCCACCACGCGGCACACAGTCCGCCAGCGAGGGACGAGCTCACACAAGATATGACTCCGGCTATGGTAGTCAGGAGAACGACGATGCAGACAGTTATTTCAGTTCGATCCCTCCGGTCAGCCCAGATCAAATGCGCCTGGAGACCCAGCGGCTTCTTCAGTCTCATGGCCATCCAATTTCCCGAGTCCGACCGCTCACCATTTCTCATGCTCATAAAAAGGCCCTATATTGGGCTGCAACCGAAGGCCACCTCATGGCGGTGAAATATCTCATTGACCGGGCCACGCCGTTTGACCTACGCAATGAGACTGGATTCGCCACTCTTATTTCAGCCATCGAAGCCCAGCACACCGAAGTTGTCAAATTTTTGCTGTCCCTCATCAGTCAGGCCGAATTCACAGGCACCCCTCAAGCACACGATGCCCTCCTGGCAGCGGTTAGGAGTGGCGACTACGCAGTCTCGGCCATCCTGCTCGACAAAGGCGCTAATCCCAACTCAAGAAAAGGCAACCAGGCCACGCCTCTGCACCTGGCAGCGGAGCGGGGCTACCTCAGCCTTGTCAAGCAGCTCCTGCTCAAAGATGGCGACGTGTATGCCAAAGACGAAGACAAACGCACGCCGTTGCATGCTGCCGTAACCGCTGGCTCGGTGGCGGTGACTCGTATCCTCCTCCAACATCGGGCTGAGGTCAACGTCAAAAACTCCGAAGGCGACACTCCCTTCCACATAGCCTTTCGGTCGGGGGAACTGGAAATTTTCAACAGCTTGATCGAATGTGGTGCCAAAATGCGGCTGACCAACGATGACTTTGTTCGGTCAACCACTCTCGACCAGCTGCTCGGTGGAAAGCTGGCGGCCGGCTTCCATGCTTTTGTCAAGTGTCTACACCGGCAGAATCTGTTGACACTCTTGCGCATTGAGGAGATTGTCTATTACATTGCCCGGGGGAACTACAAAGATGCATTGAATTACCTGTGTAATGAGGGCGTCCTTACTGGCCCACATTCACAGGAAAAACCTGTCGGAGAAGACTTCGATGACACGAAAAAGGCCCCCTTCCTCCCTAACAAGATATCGTTTGAGACGCTCGGATCTCTGCCAGCCTACGAACAATACTATAGGTACAATGGCGTTGACGTCCTGTACCGACACCAAGATACTCTCGCAGACCAACACGGCCGCAACGAACAAGCACTGAGGAGGGCAGTTGATGCTAACAATGGACACGGCTTCCGTGACACGTTGGAACAGATGAACCCTGGCCCCGGACATCCTCACTGGCCTATATCTGCGGAAACACTCTGCCACGTTGTGAAGCAGGGTGACCTCGGCATGCTCCACGCACTCTTCTGGACAAAGGTCGACATCAACGGCAGAGACTCGACCGGATGGGCCGCCATCCACTATGCGGCGGACACGTGGAACATGTACGACAAGCTCGTGACCCTCCACAGCGCCGGCGCGGACATCAACCTCCAGACATCCGCGTTTCGGGACAAACACGAGAAAGGGGCCACGGCCCTGAGCCTGGCCTTTCGCCAACGGGCAGAGTGTCGAGACCAACGGAGCCGGGATTACTGGGACACCGTCTGCCTGGCCTTGCACACACGGGGGGCCAAAGCTGCGGCGCCCACGCCCTCCTCGAGAGAATTTCGGCCCGACAACGCCGCCGCCGTCCCGCGGGCGCCTTCTACCAAGAAGGTGCTCAGGAAGAAGCCGACTTCGGTGAGTCCGCTCAATGTGGCGGGCTCGGAGAGTACGACGCGGCGCCACGCCGCGGAGGTTCCGCTCGGCGGTCGCTCCATCCGGCGGACGCCATCAGGAAAGAGTGTCCTGGGCAAGAAAAGCCGTTCTCCTTAGCGGGAAGAATCTGTAGGCTTGAGTGGGATGAAATTGAAGATGGGAAGGGTGACGAGCAGATGAGAGAAGACACGGACGAGAATACCGGGAGACCGAATGAGAGGAAAGACGCGGCATGTACAGCGTGCGGGTCGCCATTAAGAGAAAGCGTCACCCGGGCGAAGGCAATATAGAAAGCACGATCTGGATTACATAAAGGGCACAGGGTGCGAGGGATTACATCCACTATCTTTGCAAGGTGTCCTCGTTTCGAATCTTGGGTCCTAAGAAATATTCGATCTGGCAAAAAGTTCATTGGCGTGGGTAATACGTCGTAATACGGGGAGTATATACGTAGCTAGCTCGCTACTAGGTAGGTAGGTAATCAGTATATCAATGTCCCAGTGCGATGCCGTCGGCGCAGAACTGCGCCTACAAGTTTGCTTGACGACAAGGCTAAGCATATCTGCTTCCAGAGATGCACAGAATTTATCCATCCGCGGTTCGACCGTGGCCGCCAAACTCGGCGGGAATTTCGCCATGGAACTCGCGTTGATCTGGAAGGAAAAGGGAGGAAGGATGCAATATCAATCAGACGTATATATTAGAACATGCGCAATATCTTCGTGGCCCGTCAAGACGGAATGCCCTCGTACTCCCATCCATTATCGCCTCTTCTTCGAGTTCGGCTATTCCTTCGGTTCTGGTTACATTTGACCAGGATCGTCAGGACAGTCAGTATCAGGATGATCAGTGCCGCTATCGTTGGAATGAGAATCTGTCTTTGTTGTTCCTCCTCCTTGAAGTCCGAGTAAGGACATGTTGCGTTGGGCCCGCCTAGGACCCAGCAGTCGGCTTGGTCCAGTGAGTTAAAGTTGATCCAGACACCTGACAATATCCCATCAGAGTCATCATTTCGGGGAGTAGTATCATTCAATATCTGCCGATACAGGTACGTGTTTTCAAGCCCCGTTCTGGGAAGATCGAATGACGTCGCGTCTGGACATGCATCTGGTGCCGCACCATAAGGAACATTGAATGTGGAAAGGCGCCATGCATACGGCTCGCCTGCAATGCGACATGCAGCTCGCCGTGATTTCTGGCATGTCTCTAGCCGCCAACGTCCCTGGAATTGGCTAGTTGCATCAAGCACTGCACACCGAAGGTCATCATCAGTCTTCCCGTTTGCTGAAGTAGTGTTTAGCGGTTGGCCTGGAGCCCATCCAAACACTGTTGACTGTGCAAAATCCTGATAAGACAACAAATTGTTCTGTACGGACAAGCCGTCGAGGGTCACGTTCATAACGGGCGAGAACCCGCATGCTGTTAGGTTCTGGGAAAGGGTGGAGAGGGCATTTGAGTTGATGTCCCCAATGGTTGAAATCGCCCAAGACGCGTTGACCTGAGCGATGGTCGTATCACCTGAGTGATAGTAGCAGCCCGCGGTTGCCTCGCCGCTCTCACTCAATGCGACATGCGGAGTTGGAAACAGCTCGGTTGCATTAAAGATGGTGCTCGACTCGCTCAGAAAGTCGTACTGTGCCATCTGTGGGTCAATCTGATCCCAACTCAGCAGAAGTCTTCGGCTGTCAGTAAGGAGAATCCAGGTTTCTCCAGGCCAGCCGTCTGGTGTGGAGCGGATGCCATTCTCTCCTGTTTCCTCGGTACGGAAGTAGTTTGCGTCTGTAGGTACTCGGTAATCATCACGAAACCACGACCTGTTCAGATCGTTACGATCGTCTTGCAGGTTTTGCGGTGTGTATATAGCTTTACCGAGAGCAGCCTCGAATTGGGCTCCTATGAGATCATCGGAACCAGGTAGTCGGCCCGGCATCGGTGTATGTGCAGGAGAGGAAGGATCGGTAAATGGTGCAGCGGCATGTAAATTGATGTCAAGAAAGTGTAGTCGTGCCGAGATGGTGTCTGAGGTATGGTCAAAGTAATCATTGTACAAGGAAATGACGGAACCGATGTTCAAGTCCAGGCTGCACATGTAAGGTCCCAATTTGAGTAAAGTTCCACCTGTGGCACCAGTCGACGTTGGAATGGCCACATCACTCGTCGTCGTGGGAGTACCACTGATCGAAGCAGTGGTAGAGGAAATCGGCGAGGTGAAGTTGCTTAGCGAAGACGCTGAACCCTGCCGCTTTCCGACGCTAGGCGCCAGAGAGGCCGTTGAATTTGACGCAACTGTGGTGGTTGGAAGCGGAGTGGCAAAGGATGTGGATGCAGTGATTGAAGACAGTGCCGATGAATCCACGCTGTAACCGGCAGTCGAATTGCCTACTAGGGGAGGAAGCTCGACTGGACATAGACTGAATTGCCGGTTGATGTTATCCCAATACAGGTCAATGATCAGACGGCGGTATTGGCTAGCAAACAGATCCGAGATGCATGTTTGAGTCGGGAGGTCATCGTAGACCCCATTGGAAAAACAAGCCTTCGTAACGTAAACCCCCGGGTGAGTTATGTAATTGATGGGAATTTGCCCCGAGGCATCTCGCATGGACTGGGTCAATTAGTTGTGACGAGCAGTTTGAGCATCAAAGCAGGCAACCCACCAGGAATACGGTCCCCCAGTGGTCATCCGGTTCCGCCAGCTGGTCAGGCTGGTATTCGAGAGACGTCATCTGTCAGAATGGTATCTTGACATGTTGAGGGAGTAGCAGGTTTCCACTTCTTCCAACACTCTGAAAGGAGTAGAGATGGGTTGGCGGCAAGTCGGCAATGGTAGTAGAATGTCACCGCGCGAGGGTCCTTTCACCTGCGCGCCGACCGAGTCTCTGTGGTGTATCAAGGCCCCGTGTACATCAGGTCGGCGAACTTCTCTGTGGGCTCGGAGTGCTGGGTACCGTGGTTCCCGTGAATGTTGTTCGAGTTGCAACAACGAAGGTCAGCCATGAGATATTGCACAGCCGCAGTCTTGGCAGCGAGGCTGAAATCAGTGGCGCAGGCCCATTGCGCTCCCCCGGGAATTTTTGGCGCCTCTTATTCTTCTCATCGCAAACCGTGTCTTCTGTCCAGAGGCCAACTCGCCTTATACCCGACGCACCGAAGGTATTCACTTCTCCGAAGTCTGCTTTGTTATAATCTCTTTACAGGTTTACCACGCGGAAGTGAACTTTCCTACGGACCCTCACTTCTCTCACTCTTCTGCAATTCCCTCTACTACGACACCTGCAACCATGGCATCCCCAGGCGGCCCTCCGCCGGGCGCCCAACCCTTCTCCCCACAACAAATCCAACAGTTGATTGCCATGGAAGCCCAGAAGCGCGGAATGACCATCCCCCAATTCCAAGCCTTCCAACGACAACAGATCGAGGCCGAAGCCGCCAAAGCGGGAATGACCCCTCAGCAGTTCGTCCAGATGAAGCAGGAAGAGGCAAGACAACAATTCATGCGCCAGCAGCAGGCGGCTCAGCAACAACAGTCACAACAGCCTCAGGGTGGACAACCACAAGGACAACCACGAGGACCGCCGCCCGGGCAGCAGGCCCAACATATCCCCTTGAATGCAAAGGTGGAAGCCAAACCCGAGGCGCTGGCCGTCGCGAAGTTTCTACGATCCCAGGATTTGAAAACTCGAACGTGTATCTTTAATGGCGAGAGAAAGGACATGTTCAAAGGTATCACCAGATGGTATCCTCCATATTTGTGTCCCCCGCTGATCATGACATTGCACAGTGAAACGAGCGTTCCGTGCCCTGAACTCCGACGCCTACAAGAAGGCTCAAAAGAAGAATCCCTTATTGCCTAAGGTCGAGAACGACGTTGACGCGCGGTCAGCCCTGCAACTTCTTCCCCTATCGATGCTTGCTCTGCGGGTTTCCAAGAAGGACCCACACGAGGGACACAATCATGCCAAACCCAAGAAAGAGAAACGAGTCAAGGGATTGTGGGAAGTCAAGATCGAGCAACAACAAGACTTTGACCCTATGATGCATTATGTCTGGCTGTACGAGGGGTCACAGTGGAAGACTAAAATGTGGGCAGCCCTGGTTCTGGTGCTGGTCTTCGCAGCCGTGCTCTTCCCACTGTGGCCGCTTGTCCTGAGACAAGGCGTGTGGTATCTCTCGGTCGGCATGATGGGGTTGATTGGCTTGTTCTTTGCCATGGCCATCTTCCGCCTGATCCTCTTCGTCATCACCTTCTTCCTGGCTCCGCCTGGCCTGTGGTTATATCCCAACCTCTTCGAAGACGTTGGCTTTTTCGATAGTTTCCGACCGCTGTGGGGGTGGCATGAAACCAAGGAGGACATCAAGCGCAAGAAAAAGGAGAAGAAGGCCCGGAAGGCTCAGAAAAAGCTCGCTGCTTCTGCCGGCGGAGGTGAGAAAGACGTGGCTCCCGTGGCGCAGGCGCCCTCGAATGGTACGGCCGTCACATCTGCAGTTGAGCCTGCCACCATGTCGACTGCGGCTAAGCGACATGTTGCTCCGACGGTGGAGGAGGCTGATGATGAATGATTTCCGATTTTGGGACTGAGGCGGGGACCTTTGCACGTCATGGCGTCCTGGGTATGTAAGAGCCCGTTGACGCACGATGCGGATGGATGATGTACCAACATGGGCTGCCTTTGGATTCAGACGGACTTCACCAAGAACCTTTTTTTTTCAACCGAGTTTGCCCCGTCCCATTACTTGTGCCAATTTCTCCTGGTCCGTCTGCGGCGCTTTTGGCTGGTCCTCCAGACGAGGCCTCTTTATCTTGCCCATCTCTTCCAGCCGCGCCGTGACTCGATCCACCAGAACCCCCGTCCGGCCCATTTGCTTTTCCAACTCGCCTAACCGCGTGATGAGGTTTGGCTGGATATTCACCTGCGGCTCGCGCAGCGGCTCCGTCAGTCTCTGGAGGTGCCGGTACTGCGCGAGTCTCCCCTTCAGCGCGTCCCTCTGCTGGCTGAGGGACAGCAGCTCCTCGCGCATGCGGGTGTACCGTATTCCGTTGTCATCTCTTCCTCGCTCCTCCTCCTCGCCCTCCTCCTCTTGTTCTGCCCGGTGTTCGTGGCCAGGGTGTAGATGGAGCGCGTCATAGTCTTGGGGCAGCGAAGCGATGAATTCCGAGTCGGTCAGGTCGGCGTCCCTGCGGACGCCGACCGTGTCGAGGTCCGCGCGCTCCGAGTCCGCGGCCGCGAGCGCCCAGTGCAGCGACTCGATCTGCTCGGCGACGTGGCGCTGCGACTGCGTCGAGAAGATGAGGCGGTTGTGCTGCTTGACTTTCTCGTTGACTGGCACAAATCAAGCAAAAAATGGTTAATTTAAGTCACCCACCAGTTTATTCTTTTCCTTCCCCGGGAGGGTCTGGGTACATACCTTTGGCAACGAGATCCTGGATCAATTTGTCGCTGAGGCGGCCCTCCTCGGGCTCGGGCAGGATGTCGCGCCATTGCGTCGACGGCTCCAGCGGCGTTTCGAGCAGGCGGATCTGGGAGCGGAGGAAGGCTGCTTTGAGCGCCGTGATTGAGGGTTCGTCCATGTTCGTTCGACACGAGAAATCTTTTTCTCAGGCTTCTTCCTTGTTGCTTGGCCGTGGCGGTGTGAGTTGCATACATATCCGCGATTGCTTCGCTCAACCCCGCGACGCGGTCAAGGTCACCAAGGCGCGTCTCGGGGAAATACGCCGCACTAGAAGCCACCTGCCTCAGTACCGTGGAGCACAGGGCCCCCAAGCGAAATGAATTGGGTGCTCGGAAAAGGGCTGCTTTCGCCTCAACGCCCACAATAATAATAATAACAATGACCTCGGCTCATTGCTCGAAGCGGCTGCTCGGCCATCTCCAAGGGAACATTCGTTGGGAACCATGCTACAATTTCCTCGCCCTAGAACCGGCTATTTTGTCTCTGCTACAGATTTATATCTAGACAACATTGCGACGGGGCTGATGTGCTTTCATAATTGCGTGCGTTGAGTTACATACCCTTGGCCTTCCCCTCTACTTTTCTTTGCGAATAGAGTCTTTGGACTTTCTGTTGCCATCATGGCCTCGCAGGCTCGGCCCAGGGTGCTCATGTTTGATATCGGAGGCGTTTGTGTAAGTTTCCTATTCCCCATTCCCTCGGCTTGACGTCGAACATGTTTTGGAATGCACATTCTGGTCGCGTTGGATGGTGTGGTACAGTCGGAGAGTAAAGAAGGAAGGAAGAACACCAAGAAGAGATACATACAAGTGGACAAAGCTGTGACGCTCGAGATGGTGTTGACCTTTCTTCCTGATACGCAGGTCCAATCTCCCTTCCAAGCCATCCTCGACTACGAGATCAAGGAGGGCATCCCGACGGGGTACATCAACTACTCGATCCGGGCGCTGACGCCCAACGGGGCGTGGCACCGGCTGGAGCGCGGCGAGATCCCCAACGACAGCGAGTACTTCCGCATGTTCAAGGCGGACCTGCAGCGGCCGGAGCTGTGGGCACAGTTCCACCGCGAGAAGCTGGGGATCACGGACGCGGCGCGGCTGCCGCCCATCCCGGACATCGACACCGAGGCCCTGTACTGGACCATGATGAGCCACTCGCGCAACCCGGACCCGTGGATGTACCCGGCGCTGCTCCGGCTCCAGGCTGACGGCCGCTACAAGCTCGCGGCCCTGTCCAACACCACCCTCTACCCGGAGGGCCACCCGTTCAACAACCCGTCGCCCGACGACGTGCGCCGTGTGTTTGAGATCTTCGTCTCGAGCGCCCACGTCGGCATGCGCAAGCCCAACCGCGACATCTACGAGCACGCCCTGAAGCTGATCCGCGAGAAGTGGGGCCAGGACATCCAGCCGCGCGACATTGTGTTCCTTGACGACATCGGCGAGAACCTCAAGACCGCGAGGAGTCTGGGCATGCGCACCATCCGCGTCGTGCTGGGCAAGACCAAGGACGCCGTCCGGGAGCTGGAGAACGTGACGGGGTTGACCCTGGTGGGGGAGCCGTGGACCAAGGCCAAGTTATAGAACCTTGTATGTGGTGTTTTTTTCGTCAGTTGATCGTGGGAGATTTTCTCCTTTTTATTTATGCTGCTCAAACATCCATAGACAGCGAGGATCTAGATAGACCACGGGACTGTATTTCTGTCACCGTATCGAAATGCCCGGCAGGCACGCAGGGTGACCTGGCGCAAATCTTTCGGCTCAGCCTTGCCCGGGTCGTCCATCGTGAGATAGACCGTCGTGGAATGCTCAGACTATCACGGTCAGGTAGATAAGGAAGTTCCATTCTGGCAAACGTGAACCTTGCCTGTGCTGTGTAAAACGACCATTTTCATACTCTTTGTCACCGAATCCATTGCAAACGACTTAACAGCCGTCAATCGATTATTCCAAGGACCTGATCCCGTCGTGAACTATTCCCGTCACTCGAGGCAAATATCACCCTGAGCAACCATAAACGCTCCGCGGTACTGTATATCACTGGATGGTGGTATCTGCTGTCGCAAATTAGAAATCTCTCCGCCGTGAGGGAGGGGAGGGCAATCGTCGTTGTCGCACCGTCAAACACCGCCACTTTCTCTATGAAAGAGGGGGGATCAGAGGAGATCGCGTTCTTCGGCAGTGCATACATCGACGGATCGTTGCGATGCCTGACAGTCACCTCGCATCGGGTAGTGTAACGGAGCTTCTCACAGTTGAGGATGATATTCCGTTCCAAACCAACAAAAAAACAGTAGATCGGTGGTTTTTTCTTCCCTTATGGTGTTCTTCAATGGCACCATTTCCTCCCTTTGGGCAAAGATCCAAGGAAATGTTTTACTGATGCAACGCGAAAAAGAAATCTCGTTGTCCTTGAGCATTCGCTAGCACGGTACCACTCACCTTGGATCTGACATAGCGACCGTGGTCATCATACACCCACTCGACTCCAATATCCTCTTCGTCGGTCTCAGCGCGGCGCATCAGATCGACGTGCGATCGAAACTCCCACTTGCCGCTGACAATAATATTAGGCACAGAGCCAGGAATGACGGCCTCTCTGGTGGTGACCGATCTACCACCGCTGTCAGCTTTCCGGACCGCTTTCTTCAACCACGGGTGGTATTGCGTGATGTCGGCGACCATGGCAAGAAACATCGGTCTCGCGGTTAGGTGTCCGTGTATTGCCTCGTCCATATCCTGCGATTCGACCAAGGTCCAGAGATGCAGCTCTTGGAGGTTTCGAAACCAATCGCGGAAGAACTGGCCGTACTTGTAAGATGAGGGCCCATGATTGATGAATGAGGGCCCAGGACTGAGTAATGATGGGCCTTCCCACAAGAGTGTCAACTGCGCCTTCTTGATGAGCGCGGTGTCGTTTTTTGGTCACGCTGCATTCCAGTTCGCCTCCAGTGAACAGGTCGGTGCCATAGGAAGCGCGAATCCCCCACAGATTCTCACCATAGTACATTAAACGTCCCTCCTCATATATCTGTCTGCAGACAAGAAGAAGGTCCCCAGGCTCACCCCGTCCACCATCACTAACCCAACTCTTCAGATTCGTACCGATCGAGGTTTGAGCCATTTTCATTTCCAAGTCCTCTTCAGAAGTGTCGCACGATTGTGGCCTGAGATTTAGTAGAAGTTCCCGGTCGCTCAATAAGACATGCCGGAAAATCTGGTCTCGGATTTCACGGAGTATTCCCAGGAGCTGCAGATCGGGGTCCTCGGAGGCACTTGAGAGCTCTGCTGGCTGAAGAATGGGCAATCAGTTGGCATGTTTCCTCGATGTGGGAGGTCTTACATGAGGCCTTGTCTTCCCCCCCAAGATTAAGCTCAATCAACCACGAACTCGCAATACAAGACTCATCGCATATCAGGGTTGATCTTCTCTTTATTAGGTATGCTTCTAAACCACCAGCCTTAGAGCCAAGGTCGTTCATGGCGTGTCCTTGGAAGCTTGATGAATGACGAAAGGCTACTGTGGTAGAGGAACTCGTTCGACTCTTGAATTGAGACTGACGTCTGGTGGCTTGAACGTTGGGCGAAGATGAGTAGGGGGTCATGCTCAATTGAGAGGCTGCAAAGGACACAGCAGTGAGACCACAATCGTTGGATGCGCGAGGAAGAGCTTTCAAGTTTGACCACCGGCAGGATATTGAAAATTGGCACAACACCAGCAACGGTCAAATTCAGTGATAGTCCTTCATCAGCGAACTTCTGTAGATTGTGGTTCGGCTAGCGATGATGGACTGGTTGTTGTGCTAGTGACCCAAATGGTCCTCTTGTGTCGACTTGAAGCAAGTTGCACTCTCAGAAAGACTCTTTTTTTTTTGTTTTTTTTTGAAAAGGGCATGAATTTCACAGCTTCTGCTGTTATTTGACTATCTTCTGGGTAGTAGTACCTGGTACTAGAGATTGGGTACTGCGCACTGTGCACTCACCAACGTGGAATTTAACAACACCCGCCAGCCCAAGCCCATCAGCCAAGAGCAGCCGTCTCACTGTCTGGTGGTATGTCGCAGCCGGGGTTTTGCCGACTTGTCCATAGTCCCTTCTCAGGTTTTTGCACCAGTTTCCTTCTGATCCTGAGTCGCTATGGCGGTAACACCCTCACCCAGTGTTCGCATGCTCCTCAAACCGCCGAATTCTTGTTCTGGATGCCTTAGACAACCTCTGACTTGAGTTCCCCAGCTTCAGTAACCCCCATTTCCGCGGCATACGTGGTCTTTGGTGTCCACCCCGATGAGGTCCGCGGAGTTGTCTCTTCTAGCATACGGTCGACTTGTTCAAGTGTAAGGCCCTTGGTCTCAGGGATGAGGAAATAGGCGTACACAAGGCAACATGCACACAGAGAACCCCAGATGAAGAAAACCTTGGGCCCGAGGTTGCCTTTGTCGGATCCAACCATGAACGGTGTGATGACGGCAATGATCTGCAGCGTAAATCGGGTTAATGGTTGACCATAATCAGAAACGGGGCCTATACTTACACAGTTCCAGAGCCAGTTTGAGGCGGTAGACAGCCCAACTCCACGAGACCGGATTGGGAGTGGAAAGACCTCTCCGATCACGACCCATGCACCGGGGCCCCAAGTGGTTGCGAAAAAGAAGATGTAAATGCAGATGAATGCAATCTCGGCTTTGACTGTCTGCGGATTGTGACCGTTGGTAGTTCCAGCGATTGCGACGATAAACTGGCACACCACCATACCGAGAGCACCCCAGATCATGATGGAACGACGACCAAACCGCTCGATGATCCAGAAAGACAACGGCGTCGAACAGACGTTCACGAGGGTCGTGATCAGAGAGATCAAGAAGGGGTTCTGAATCGTTCCAAGCTGGGTGAAGAAAGTGGTGCCGCTAAGTCTACTGTTAGCGCGATACAATCGACAAAGCTTTGTGGTAAGATCTTTGCAAGGAATGCGCGGATTGCTCAAACCGACTTACAAGTAAAAGATGAAGTTGACTCCTGTCCACTGCTGCATCATCTGCAAAGAAGTACCCAAAATCGTCCGACGCAGGTTAGAGCTCGGTTTGAACAGACTGCCTTTAAAGCAGTTCGCCCAGCTCGCGAAGTAACTCCCCTGGGGGATGACTCGGAGCTCATACTCGTGATTTGCCACGATCTCCGCCAGTTCCTGTTGGATCAGCTCCGATCCGCGAGGCTGGCCTCGCAGTCTGGCAAGGGCGTGGGTTGCTTTGTCAAGGTTGCCGCGTTTGACAAAATAGCGTGGAGATTCGGGCAAGGTAAACAGTCCCACGGCCAGTATGATGGCCCAGAGCATCTGAAGAGCAATTGGGATTCGATATGAGCTGGAGTCGGTGAAATTTTCCGTGCCGTAGACAACGCACGAGGCCAACAAGAGACCGAGGGTGATGCAGAACTGGTAGCCAGACACAAGAGCACCACTATATGGTTTGTCAGAATGGGATACTTGAACAACACTAGACTGGGCCTCCAGGGAGACTTACCGGACCTTGCGGGGGGAGATTTCCGACATGTACAGTATGATTATTGCTGACACAAAACCAACACCAAAACCAGCTATGAGACGACCGGCGATGAGAAGACCGTAAGCCGTTGCAGCAGTCTGGAGGGCGGCACCGAGACAGAACACGACGCAACCGGCAATGATGGTGGTTCGGCGTCCAATGAAGTCAGCGAGGTCACCGGCAATGACTGAAAAGAGGGAGTCAGTATGGCTTGAGGACAGTGATTTGAACCGACCTACTTGCACCGAAGAAGGTCCCGCAAGACAGGATTGACACGATCAGGGACTGGCGCCATGAAGGAATGACAAACGCTGCCCTCTCTGCCGCCGTGGCATCTGTCCCCGGATACGGCTTGCCAGTGAACTCATGAATGAAAAACTTCATTGCCATGACGCCATTGATGTAACCCGAATCATACCCAAAGAAGATCCCTCCGAAAGCCGCAAAGGCGCACATCAGGTAAGCCCTCAAAGTGACGGGAGCTTCGATGCGGGCGACATCGGTCGTGGCCGCAAGGTGAACAGCGCCGTCACCAGCCATGGTGAGTGATCAGGGATGTAAGATAGTGTTGATGTAAACAATGCTGATACACTTGATCAACTGCGGAAGTATGCACAGCGGAGAGGAGGCGAGGATCTGGTGAGGCTCGGTGCAGGTCGAGGATGAAGAGATGGAGAGATTCGCAGGAGGCAGAGAAGAACAAAGAGATTTCGAGCGATCAGGAGAGCGAAGCAGGCGCGTCTGGATGGCCGAGTACTTGTAGTCGCGAAGGCTGGATGAGGCAAGGCAGGCAGTCGCAGGCAATGTTTGTCGTTCACGTGGCACTGGAACAAGTGAAGAGACGCTTCATGCTCAAGTGTCAGCTGGACGTGTTGCTTTGTCTAACAATGCGAGTCTCCTCTTCACCTTCTGCCTCTTCAACAATCCTGATGTCCAGCTCTTAGTGGTATGTGCTGGTGACAGTCGTGCTGTGTGACAAGGCGCCCAGTGACTTGGGATGCTCGGTGGAGGTCGGACAAGGCTATGAGCCGAAGATTGAGACACGACAAGTTATAAATATCGAAGGTGACAGGCTTGCTCTCTGGTCAATTCGCAGCCTCAGCCTTGGTCCAAGAAGCCACCGCAAGGCTGAACCTCAACAAGGCGGACAGCCTCGTCACTTGGCAGTCATACCTGTCACACATCTCTGACTTTGTACAATCTGATCGCCTCACATCACCTGCCTCCCTCTCTCGATCTCATCAGCTGCTCATAATACTCGAGCTCATTGCCATGAAAGCCCTTACTTGGCTTGACCACAAAGAATGATTTCTGCTGCGACACGTGCCCGCCATATCCTTTGTCTCCCCAGAAAACAACACGCCAATGGATGCTGAATCTAGACCTGGCTTGGGCCAATTTAGCGTTCATTTGACGTCCTGATGCTGCGGCTCAAATGGGTTTCCTTCTCACAGGGACGTCTGTTTTTCGTGGAAGACAACCTCAATCACCGTATCTGAGCTACCCTCGGGTTTCACGAACGCCACAGTCTCCAATCTCTCATCCGCCCTCGTGAACAGCTCGACCCAATCATCCTTCCCCCTCTCAAGCGCATTCATTACCGTCCACATTTGCAGGTCCGCTGTTGTGGTTAGGCGTTCCAATGGCGGAGGGGCGACTCCTATCGGCGGCATGACGTTGTCGGAGACAATGATTCGCGCGCCGTCCTTCATAGTTCCACATGTACCATTGATGAGGTTCCGTAGGATTTTGATGGCAATGGCATCGGACCAATCATGGAGAACATGGCGCAGAAGGAAGACGTCGGCGTTGTGCTGGGGTTGGGGTGTCATAAAGTCATACGGTTGGAACGTGATCCGCGATTTGAGACTCGTCGGAATGAGAGCGTCAAAGGAATCCTCGACCTCGGGCAGATCTTGGACCACGAATCGCAGGGCTGGAAACTTCTCTGCCAGCGACATTGAGATGAATCCGCTGGAGCCCCCAACCTACACAGGTGGTCAGATCAGAGGTCTACAGTTGTGACCCACGAATACTCACGTCGATGACTGTTGCTTCACCTAGACCCTCCCAATTGAATCCTTGAAGAGTGTATCTTCTGTCGTGGCCACCACCGTCCATAGCTTGCATTGCCTGAGCAAAAAGACGAGCGCGCCAACCTTTCTCAGATCCTTCACCGTCATTCTCAAGCCAGTCAAACAGCCCTTTCCCGCGGTCCAAGTTCCAGGCCATGTTGAACGCAGTTTCCGCCGGATCTTGCGAGTCGCCATATTTTTCGACAGCATCCGCCAAACGTGAACTGGCAGGTTGGACTTCTCCAAGGTTGTGATGAATCCACGGCTTTAAGGACGGGTTCTTGACCGGCGCTATGGAGAGAGAAGTATGGGCGACGTGGTTCGGCCGGGGTTCGAAGAATATATTCTTGGTCATGGCATGTCTAAATAGCCGGCGAAGTTGTCTTTCGGTTATGGGGACCTTTTGTGCAAGGTCCGCATAAGAGATATCTCCATCCGTCGGCACCGCGTCGAAGACGCCAAATCTGGCGAACGCGCTGAGGACAGTGAGATCATGCTTGATCTACTAGCAGTGAGATGAATAAAACGCCATTTTCAGCATTCACAGCATACCGTGTACGCCTGCCAGTAGATATAATCTTGTGGTCCGGCCGCCAGCTGCTCAATTGCCCAGGCGGAAGTGATGAGGCTCATCCGTGCTTCCTGCAGCTCCGTGAGATCTGGGCCTTCAAAATGTCTCATGGGACTGTCAGGTAAGAAAGAGGGTTGCGGAAGACTCTGCCCTTCAAGGATATCAACGATCGTCTTCGCACTGGATGCGATGGACTCCGCCAGGCCAATGAGGCTGCGGTGGCTGACAGATGCAGATCCCATTGCTTGACAGGCTCTTCATGTAAAACTAGAGTACTGCCACGAGGGAACCGGAGAATGGAGGGGCTGTGGAGGAACAAAAGTCATATCGGGGGCACCTTTTCCATATTTGAGCTTAGATATAGACACTACCATCTCCTCTTAGCACGAAAAGCCGGGAGAGTTGCCCTCGGGTAGACCTCCTCGAATCCATGGAGCTCCTGTAGCATTTGCGACGTCTGCGCGTGGGAGCACCTTTCACCGACATTTTCACCCGCGCCGGGGCCATGTCAGACTCGTATCGGCTGGTCCTATACAAACGACTCCACAAAATGATCCGTAATGGGAAACCCCCAAAGCTTCTCGAGTGAGTGTGAGTTAGGATAGCATATCATGACCACGTCAGCACTTGAGGAATGACGCGTGTGTGGAGGCATTAACTGAGTATGGACATCTCGTTGAAGTCGCGAATCGGCCAAACAGCTAGTTGGTGGACGCAATTTCAGAGAGGTGCTCGGCGTCTCACACGAGGCGGGAAGGATTCCACGAATGGGACTCGACTTCTAAGTCCAGACCCCTGCACATACGGTTACAAGGAAGGATGGGGCCAAGCAATCTGGCTATATAAGGGGATGAAGTTGGAAGAGTAAGCAAGAGCCGTGCTTGCCCAGATGGAGAACTGGGTGATCCATCCAGATCAACTCCGGCTTGATGCGGCGAAACTCCGAGGGTCGAATGAGAGATTCGATCTCCTTGTCGAACGGTGGACGATGTAGGAGGTGGCGTTGCTCCGGGCCAAGCTGATTGTCAACATGTGGTCTTGGAGATAGATGCCTGATGACTGGGCCGTGGAGAGAAGGGAACAAAAGCTGGGCAGCTCTAATGGATTGTATATTACGACGTGGGCGTCGGATACCAAGAGAAAGCGAACTATTCCCAATGTAGAACTGGTGGATTAATATTTCCCCGAACGAGCTGCTCTCTCCAGAATTGTGCATTCATCACCACTCTCTTCTTCCATGTAGATGGCACGCGGATGACCCTGTGCTGTTCTTCTCAAGTTTGCGAGGTTTTATTCCCATCACATACTTCGATTGAGGTATTCAATCATCGAACATTGCCTTCTACGTGCCCGAGTCGACACCCCTCTTCGCCCCCACAAGATTGACATCTATTCTTCTGTTTGATTTCAAGACGCCTTGCAATAGGCTGTCTCTCCTTGGCCACGCCAGTCTGGAGGCAAGGGGGCTCTCAAAGGTTACAACCCCTTGTGTGGAGCTGCACTGAACCGACCGAGGAGATGGGATAGGCGACTGGTTGGAGCCGTGTGATACACGGTACGGCGACAACCCAGCTCTGCTCCTACAGCCCCGGCCCGTACCCCCTTCCCCCATCGTGGGGATAGCTTATCTGCCTCTAGGAGGAACTGCTCTCTGTTCTAGATGCTCTCTTCCAAACACTTCTATACCCTCGATCTGCTGCTTTTACGACTTCCCGACAGACCGTCAGTCCAAGATCTCGGCCAGCCGAGGTCGAGCCTAGCCAGCGCCCTACGATAATATGGGAAGACCCATTATCCTCGCCAAGAGAGACGGGAGTTTTTCGAAAAGAAAAGCTTTCTTCTCGAGTCTAGAATGTGTTGATTGTTCGGCTAATCTCGTACTGCGTGGACCACGTGCGGCTGAGCTGAATGCAACAAAGTTTACCGTCTTGGGTTGATTGGATCCATGCGCTCGCCTCGTCTGGCAAAACGTGCCGCCAAGGCTGCAAACAAGACTTCCTAAGCTCGTGAAAGCTTCTTAAGCTTCTGCGCCGCAAGGCTGGGCTTTGACATCGTTGGAGGATCGTGGAGCATGTGTCAGGTCAATGGCCCCGGTCGACCTTCGCCGGAGCCTTTAGCTCTCGTGTTCATCCCGCGTCGCAGGTAAGGAGGCGAGTACATTCGTGCCAGCACGGTGGGAGATCGAGGCTCACGGCAAAGGGGCTTCGCTCATATATGGCGCGCCGTCCATGGAAAGGGTTCGAGGGAGACAAGCCACTTCCGGTTTCTCGAGGCACTCGAACGAAGAATCGGGACTTGGTTTTTGTTTGTTCTCAAGTCGGTGCACTGACATTTGTCCGATCATTGATATCTGCTCGGGAATATGGGAACCATAATGTCACCATTTCTGCTCCTTGTCTTCTTATCCACCGGCGTTCTCGCTTCGTACTTCCAGCCTCTCTACCCCATCGAGATCGATCAAAGGTACACGCGCAGCATACGAAACTCCAGCCAACTCCGGGGCGATTTCCTGCACTTTGATGGCCTGGTCAAGCGAGATGATTGCGACCCAACAGACTCGACGCCTTGTCCCGGTATGAATGAACACATTCGTTGATTGATGGGAGGTTTTTTTTTTCCCTTGTCTCGGGCTCCCTCCGCTGACAATGCCATGGAAATTCAGACGGCTGTTATAACGGTGCGAACGACGTCTGCTGTGCCAATGGAGGCGCCGTGCCACAGGGGGATGTCTGCTGCGACGACAGCGCGGGAGGCGGCTGCGCAATCGGCCTGACCTGTGGCTTCTGCGGCTCCAACGGCGTCTGCTGCAGCGACGCTTCGTGCACCGTCTTGGTCGACACGGACGGGTCGTCGGTGACACTCGGTCCAGACGACTGCAAGGCGACAGCAGGGAACACGGTGGCGTCTGTTGCAACGATTGGGGCCGCCGGCACGACCACTCCGACACCATCGCCCAGTACGACGGAGCAGCTCAGCACCACGCAGATCACACAGCTGGTTCCCTCCACGACTGAGAGCCCGCCACCGCCGCCGACCACCACGGAAGCACCCATTCCGACCACGTCGCCCGCGACAGTCGTGACCGTGGTGCTCACCACCTCGATCTCCAGCACGGTCTCCGCGACGCCCACAATCCCGGTGGTAACCACCAGTACCGAGGTTGTCCTGCCTCCAGAATCCACCACCTCGTCCGCCACGCCGTCTATGGCTCAGACTGCGGGCGTGGGGAGGGGTGTCGAGGGCCAGGGACTTTTGGCGACGACGGCGCTGGCGCTGGCGGTTGTGGGCATGCTGCTGATGCTCGCCTGAAGACGCTTGCCACCGATGAAAGGAGCTGTATCAGTTTGCGGTGCGAAGCATGCTGTGCTTTGAAATCTTGTGCCAGGGACCAGAGCGGCAAAGCACCAGGATGTTTCTGAGAGATATTGCGACTTGGACGATGACTGATCAAACACGCTGCTTTTCATCCTTGTAAGCCAGAAGTTGTATTTAGCGGTAGCTGACAATTTCTCTCGCCGCCGAGCCGATCCATACCTGGTACAGCTGATGTTGATCGGGTGTGGATGGCGCGGGTTGCTAGATGAGTGATCTGAACGTCTCATAGTCGCCGCTCGCTATTGAATCATATGTGCCCACATACCGCCCACAAACACACCCTACCCTAGTCGGTATATGACTGTACCCACTTACCGCCGACGCCATGTATGTATCATCGCGAGGGAGGGGAATCCACATCGTCTCCAACTTCAATAGTAAGCCAGAGGAGCTATCAACAGCAGGTCCGTCCCGCCTTTTTTCTACACCCGCAAAATCAGACGGCACTGGTTCCCACCGCCGGCTCCATATGGTGTACAGTTTGTACAGTCTCGGCGCGGATCCTTGTAGCACTGTGATCCGGTGCACAAGGACTTTGAGACTACACGCTCGCACGCATAATACTGCCTGGTCCGGAGGAAATGCCTCGCTACCTCCCTTGGCTGTTCAGGAGACTGCCTCAGCTAGTTCTTTCCACAGGTATGGATGCATTTGCAGTCAAGAATACGAATGGCGAAATCTCTGAACCATCCAACAAGAGAGCTCCTTCCGCCCCCTCTCCACAGAGATGTTAATGGAGATGATAATTCCCATCTTTTCTCGAAGAGAGATAGATTGGAACCAAACACGAATGGTAAAGTGACGATTCGGCCGAATGGCCGTCCGAGTCCCTTTTAGATGGCAAATCAGACCCTTGGACGGGGGAAACGGATAGCTAGATAGATAGACAGACAGCCAGGGAGACAGAATAGACGCGCGCGAAAAGTCCCACTTCCATCCTGCCGCTCGGCTAGGTGCAAGCGGCAGTTCTCTTCGCAGATTATCTTAGAAATCAACAAAGCGTATACGGTGGAATAAACACCCCGTTCGCCGTGATGAAACACCCCGGTCGCCGTGATGAAGCCTTTGCATTCTATTCATCATCGCCGATGTCTCGTCCTGCCAGGGTGAAACAGAAGGAAGAACAAGGCGAGGTAGAGAAACGATCACTGTCCGCGCCCGAGGAAAGGCCCGAAATAGCTTTTGGAAATTCTAAACTCTCCAAGAGAGGACATCCTAAGAGGTTGGAATAGAAGAAGCACACAAAGATCATCATGGCACAAGAGGACCGCCGCATCCCAGAGGGCGCTTGGGTCCTCGTCACCGGCGCAAATGGATTCATCGCTTCGCACATCGTCGATCTCCTCCTCGAGAAGGGCTACAATGTGCGCGGCACGGTGCGCAACGAGAAGCCCTGGCTCGACAAGTTCTTCGAGGAGAGATATGGGACGGGCAGGTTCGAGACGACCATTGTGTCGGCCATGGACGCCGATGCGGCCTTCGACGAGGCTGTCCGGGGTGTCGCGGGTGTGGTGCATGTGGTACGTTATTCCGTGCGATTTCTCTTTCCTGGTGGGATAAAGCACCCTCAGTTGCGTTGTGGAAGTCATGCTGAGCCAGTCCCTCGTTGTTTCTCCGGTTCCTCAGGCGACAGACGTCTCTTTCAGCCCGGACGCGGACGCCGTGATTCCCGGCGTCATCGCCAGCACTGTCAATCTCCTCAAGGCCGCCGCGGCGCAGCAATCCGTCAAGAGCTTCGTGCTGACATCCTCATCCACGGCGGCATTGATCCCTGAAGTGAACAAGCAAATGACTGTCGAGCAAAGTAAGCGAGACCACCCTAAGCTGAGGACACCCGCCTCCACTTCCAAAAAAGGGGAAGTGCTGAACTGTTTCATGTGCAGACACGTGGAATGACTCGATCGTGGAGGCCGTGTACAGCAAAGACACGCCCGAAGAGGCGAAGCCGTACGTGGTCTACGGCGCCTCGAAGACGCTGCAGGAGCGCGAGTTCTGGAAGTGGGCGAAAGAGAATTCCCCGAGCTTCTCGGTCAACAGCGTCTTGCCCAACATGAATGTGTGTGATATTCCATCATCCAGTCTCCGCCTCCCACACGTGTTTGCGCTGACTTCAAGACCACCTTCAGCTCGGCCGAATCTTGCTGCCAGAAAGCTTTGGTAGTACAATGGGCTGGGTCCGCGGTCTTCTGGATGGGAATGACCGTATGCTTCACGTGCTCCCGCCGCGTAAGTGTCCAAGTCCAACTGTGCCCAATTCTCATGAACCATCCCTTCCGAGTCCGCCACTAATCGTATTTGTTTCCAGAATGGTATATCGACGTCCGGGATGACGCTCGAGTCCACGTTGCGGCGTTGCTTGATCCAACAGTGCAGAACGAACGGCTCTTTGCGTTTGCAGGCCCCTACAACTGGACCGATGTCATCAACATCTTGACCAAGCTGCGGCCAAACAACACAAAAATCCCCAAAGCTCCATCGGAAGAAGGCCGTGACCTGACCGATATCAAGGGGAGCAAGAGGGCAGAGGACCTCATCAAATCGTTCTTCGGCGTTTCTGGCTGGACGAGCCTGGAGGATAGTCTTGCTGCGGGCATCGCAGACCTGAAGTAGGCCGAGGGTCGAATGGTTGACTCGACAGACTCATTCCATCCCACCGCCTTTAGCGAAGTAAACCAGACAGCTATTTTCTCTTGCCAAGATAGATCACCAACTGTGGTCACAACTCACACAACCTTCTGCTAGACCTTGTCCCAACTCTTCACAATCGCGCCTTTATATATTTTGGCAGCCCATTTTATGTCAACAATTCAGATGAAGCCAACCGGTCCCTGGGATTCTCACGCTGTGCAATGTCACAGGTAGGTTCCACACTCAATTGGGTGCTTCGGATGATTGTTACTCGCAAAACAAAAAACCTCCCCGTTGCGACAACGCCGGGAAAGGGTTAACTTCCCTCTTGATTGCACCGCGAAATAATGTGGATGCGCTCGAGGAAAAAGTTTTTTGCTCGCTCGAACTCTGGTTCTGGAGGAGACTTTGGAGTTTGTCATTGTCGTTTTCTTTTTTTTCTTCGTGGAAGTCATCCAGGCTGGAACTGAGATCTCCCACCTTGGCAGACCATGTCACCCACGTGTCAAACTACTGCTGTACCATGCGGATGAAAGAAGACCACTCTCATTGAACTCGAGACTATCCTTTTGCGGCAATCTTGCTGGTGTAACGATGCTCTGTGCAGGAGGATATCATCCTACACCAAAGAGGGCGTCTCCCACCCGAAAAGCCGCAATCCTCTCCATCCTGTTTCCTTTCTGTCGTCCTGACAATGCATGAAACACCGCAGGCGAGGAACTGAGAATGAGTGCGACCGTTGACGTTTCGTCTGGTCGTCTTGCCAAGAAGTCCGTGACATCGGGAGCCGGCTCAGTGTGGCTCCGAACCGAGTCGGTGCCTGGGGAAGTGGAAGCCGATTGGCTCTGGCGTTGCTGCGACTGGTTTCGACCGCGTGGTGTATATCAACGACGACATCCGTCTTCTATTCACCTCCACGTTTGGTTCGTGGATTCGAATTCGCGTTTCTTCTATAAGCTGCACCTCGCACCTTTCAGCCACGTCGCAAGAAAGAGAATGTCCACCGAAAAGTCCAAGTTAACCCTAGCCCGCGGCTGGCCTGAAAAGGGAGTATACAGCTGGTCGCCCTTTGTGACAAAGGTCGAATTCCGGTTTCGACACGCTGGGCTGGCTTACGACGTCGAAGCCGGGTCAGTCAAGGTGGCCCCAAAGGGCAAAATTCCGTACGTGGATCTCGGGCCTCTTCAGGACGGGGGTCACAATGGGCCCTCCCTCTTGGGAGACTCGACATTCATCATCCAGAGGCTCTTGAGCATGGCCCGAATTCAAGACCTGAATGGGAGCTTGCCGGAACAATCGAAGTTGAATGATCTTGCTCTTCGGGCCTTGCTGGAAGACAAGTTATATTTCTATCACGTGAGTACTGTTTTAGCATTTTGGTCTTCCACAGAGAGGAATTGACATTGTTACCAGATGCGCGAGCGATGGATCGAAAACTTCTATATCCAGAGGGAAAAGGCTCTGTGGTCGATGCCGTATCCAGTCCGTGTGATTGTTGGACTTCTCATCTATCGAGGCGTGACGAAAACTTTGCACGGTCAAGGAGTGGGACGACTGACTGGCGAAGAGGTGCGAAGTTTGAAGTCGGAGATCTGGCAGTCGATCGACAGCGTCCTCAACAGCAGGCTGCGGCAGGCTCCGGGGAGCGATGCCCCTGCCTGGGTGTTGGGAGGAGAACAACCGACTGAGGCCGACGCGACTTTGTTCGGTTTCATAGTTTCTGTGCTCGTCAGTGACAGGTGAGCATCCCGAGTCCGTGTTGCCTCGAGGAAACTACTGAGTCCGTTTAGCGCTCCAGAGTCAAAAAAGATCGTGAAAAGCTTCCCCAGTGTCGTCACGTATGCGGAAAGGATACATAACTGCTACTTCCCGGAGTATGAGAAATGGACCTGAGTGGCCAGTGGATGAAAGATTTGGTCTTATGGTTTGACAAACCAGGTTGTTTAGAACGAGAGAGGATGGTGCAACAGCAGGTCTTGCGCAAGATCCAGAACCACGCATGTATATTCGACCTCGCCCAAGCTTGGATGATGTCGGACACGAAGGACCGAGTTGTGGTGAAGACCTAAACCGCCGTCCCCAGAATCCAGCAAATACGATGCAGGATAAGAACCGGAGATGGTGGAAGCAGCCTTTATCAGACTTCGGTAGAATATCTATCGCGCAGACATCACGCCTTCCGCTCCCTGCTCCCCGTCTTCCTTTACCGCTCTAGAGTCAGCTTGACTCGGATCCATCGTAGTTTGGATCTTTCTCAAAATCCTGGCAGGATTGCCGGCCGCGACATGGAAAGCAGGGATGTCCTATCCAAGAGTTAGAGACGAGACTCGGTCCAAGAGTAGGAAATCCTCGAGCTTGCTACCTTTGTCACCACACTTCCGGCGCCAATGGTGCTACCTCGCCCTATCGTAACCCCGGGCAAGACGACAACGTTTCCTCCCAGCCAGCAGTCTTCGCCAATGTTGATCTCTTTCCCAAGTTCAGGACCGTTGGTACCATTCCTGAGCGCCGGATCAAGAGGATGAGTCCCGGAATAGAAGCTGCAATTCGGCCCGACCAAGGTGCGGGCTCCAATGCGGATGGGGCAAGTGTCAATGAAAGTGGAGTTGAAATTCAATTGCGCCCCTTGACCCAGAATAATGTTGAAGCCGTAATCGGCGTGAATTGGGCCGCAGATCCAGGGCTCCTTTTCGAAGAGCTTGTCGTCTTCTACCAAAGAACGCTGCGGCGGTGGAAGGGGGCGAGTGTCGCTGGTGATTCTGTGAGGCAGACATAAGACCATGCCTCAAGAGACTTGTGCACATGCGGCGTATCTCTCGCTCACCTACTCTCTCCATAGTTCGATGACTCTGCGCCGCGTGGGCGACTGGGAGGTATTCAACTTGTCACAAGCTTGCTTGCATCGGTCTCGGGCGGCGATGAGCTCGGGGACAAAAGCATGATAGAGCTCGCCTCGTTGGGCCTTTTGCCATTCCGGATGATCGCGCATGTTGCAAGAAGATGTCCACCACAAGAGCTGGAGCGGGTGATGGAAGAGAAGAGGACGAAGCCTGCGTCACGAGATGATACCAGAGACCGGAACCGGAACATCGTTGATGCGGTAGAGTCCCCTTGCGCGGGCCTTTGTTTGGCCGCATTTCAAGCCTCTTTCAGGAGAGTCCGATGACACAATCTGCAGACGCTTTGAGACCCTCGACAGCCTCCTCCAGGTATTTTCCTTGCAATTGTTCTTCGCAAGAATGCATTCCTTTTGATTCACTCTCTCTTCGGGTTATTTGAAAATGCCATTGGTGACTTGTCATGAAGTGTGGGCTTTTTGATCGGTACAATTGCCAGATAATACCACTCGCGCCTTGAACAACCACGTCCCACTCCCCCAATCCGCCCTCTGACGGCCTACGGCATTTGAGAGCATGTCGGACTCCTCAACGCCCAGCTCCCCAGGGATCATCCATGAATTCCCCAGAGATCGAATTCAAGAACACATCAATGGCAGTGCTCGCGCGGATCTGCAGCCCATGTACATCCCACCGCTATACCTGCCTGGAGGGAAACGGGCACTTTCAGGGGTTTCGATTCGTGCCTTTGCGTTGGGCATTGCACTGGGCATTTCTACGATCCTGGCAGTGGAGCTGCTGTATTGGGGCAATGGACTTTGGAGGGCACCATGCTTTGTTGCAACACTGGCCCTGTTTCACTACCTTGAATTCGACATGACAGCAAGATATAATCCGCCGGATGCCTCAATCTCATCCTTCCTCTTACTGTCGAATGGCATTGGGTATGCCGCCGCCCACACCTCGGCCATGCTCGAGCTTCTGATCCGGTACTGGCTGTACTCCGACTACGCTCCAATATGGCTGAGGCTGCCATTCCACATCCCTAGGATCTTCCCATCAATTCCTTCCTCGATCACAGTTGGGTTGGGAGCCACTTTGATCGTCGTGGGACAGCTTGTCAGAAGCGCCGCCATGCGACAGGCAAAGACAAACTTCAACCATGTCGTGCAATGGACGAAGAGAGCAGACCATGTCCTGGTGACAGACGGAGTCTATGCCTTCTCAAGACATCCATCCTATTTTGGATTCTTCTGGTGGGGCCTGGGAACGCAGGTGCTGCTGGGGAATCGCATTTGCTTTGTAATATATGCTGTGGTGTTGTGGAAGTTCTTCCACCACCGAATTATTCGTAAGTGGTTGCTTCCTCGTTCCGTCATGACTCACCGTGCTGATGGTTTAATCACAGATGAAGAAAGGCATCTGGTTTCTTTCTTTGGTGAAGACTATATCGAATACCGCAAACGCGTCCCCGTCCGCATTCCATTCATTCGTTGATGTTTTGGTCAATCTTCAAGCTCACCAGCTTCCGGCATTTTCAGCTATTTTTGGGATTCTTCTGCTTACGGTCTCGAGGGGCGACCTTAGACTTGGATGCTGACTCGACCGTTTGGACTTTGACGGGATAGTATGTCGGTTTGGGTGTCTGGTCGAGCCAGGGAATATCAACCCCATCAACATTGTCTCGTACAAAATGCAGAAGTGTTTCAGCGCCAGGTGTACCCTCCCCAACGCCCAGCACGCCGACACGAGGCTGGTGAAGTGCCCGAGCCACCTGCTCTTCGGCTTGTGACGACCATTCCACTAGCCTCGCCCTGTTGGCCGCGGGTGCTGAGGTTGCCAACAGCAAAGGGAGGGAGGATGTCATTATGTCAGGCAGATTCTGGCGGCAGACAAAGACCACGGAAAGATTTGCAGGTGCGTGTCCCGAAGCTGGGTCGGCGTCCGTCTGCTGAGACAGCACTGGGGGCTTCCGGGTGCGGGCTAAGGATTCAAGCCTGCGGACTGTGCTATTAAACCCGAGAGTAATGTGGTCGTAAACATCGGGCATCCATTCTGGTAGAGAGTCTTCTTGCGTCCTCTCGTGTATTTTTCCGCCTCTTCCTTTGCCTTTGGAGCGCGCAACATGGTCGCGTCTGAAGTCGCCGATGGGCTGCAGTAGCCGGAGGAGAAGCTGCAAGAGTGCTTGCTCGGCGTCAGGAGAGATGGTGGGCCTGGCAAGGGAATTTGTGTCAGTTGAGCGGAAGGTTGCAGGAACATTTTGTCGTGTGAGATGACTACCATTGTGGCTCTGGGTATGGGAGGGACAGAGAATGCACAGTTGCTGTTTTCTTTGGTTTGTCCATGCTGGCAATCGCCCAGGGCGTGCAGAGGCCAAAAAACTTCACGGCGGCAGTGACAAGGCGCAGGGAAGGGCATGACGTGTGAGAATGCCAGGAGTAGTTAGGAGCGCTGAGAGCCCCTCGTCTCGGTGTGCACGGTGAGCAGCTCACGCGCCAGACGCGTTTGGTGAGGGCGGGACCGCCAATAAGCAAGTGTGCCGGGGCCCCTAACAACTTGGTCTAAGTCAACGGCAGCCTGCGAGCCTGGTCCATCTCTGTCCAACGACAACCCGACTCACAAAACCATCATCTAGACCATTTTCTCCTTCTCTCCATCCTCAGAAGAATTTCATTCTACGTGGCTATCGCTAGAACTCCCCTAGTCATTCCCTATCCGCCTCTGCATTTGCCTGTCACCGGTCGTGAAAAGCTACCCAAGACCAAACACCTGGGCCCCGCCTCTCACCACCACCACCGCCAAAAGCCCCCTTCTGCGTCTACTGGCCGCTCAACGTCCCTAGTCGCGAGACATGGCCCCAATCGACATCAATCTATCTCTACCAGATCGGCTGTTCATGCATTGAAGAGCCGTGGCCATCAGCCGCCGGCCGTGACTGTCCCTCTCTTGACCCGCCGGTGAAGATCAGGCACCGTTGTCGCCAGCCTGGTTTGCCTTGTTCCTGAGTGGCGGCCTTCTACATACAGCCTCTGCCAAGACCTCTCACTGCCTCACCTCAACCACTCCTTCATTCTCCGGTCAGTTTCGTATTCACCGCTCTCCCTTTCTTGGTTGCGGATCTGCCGCTCCTGCAGACTTCCAGATGCGACTCTCGTAACATGTCGTCCTCAATGTCCGATTCTTCCATCCGCAACCGAAGCGATTCAACCGAAGGTTCTGAGCTGCCTGAGCATGAGCACAAGCGTCCAAGGCTGAGTGATACCAAGCCTGATGGGACGCATGTCATGTCGGATTTACAGCAAGACAACGCCAGCCCCGCACTTTCTGTGCCAGTCGTCCTTGCAAACGGTGATGAGGAAGGAGCTCTCGTCAAGACGCCACCGCTCCCTCCCAGAACTGTAGCCCCTCCAGCTCTCATCTCCCCCACCAGCAAGGTTACCATCAACACCCGCCCATTGTCCTCTCAATCAGTAACGCAGCCAACCACAGAGGCCGAACCAGCGGGAATGCCATCCAATCTCTCACTTTCACAAACCCCCACGGTTTGTGGCGACTCCAAGGCTGACGCCAATGCCGCACCTGCCCCCCAACATCATCCGACCGAGTCGGCGGAAATCATCTCGATACCGTCCTCTCCGAGCAAGAGTCCTGAAATTGAGATTGCTGAGCCCGAAGACTTTGACCAGGATCCGAACCAGACAAGGTGGACTGGTCGCGTCAGTGGTGGAAGCTCCTCTGCATCTGTCCTGAGCTCTGTCTCACCCGGGTATGTAAACCGTACATTCCCTTTTTCTCAAGAATGGGCACCAGGGAGCACTCATAGGGTGATTGCCCGCATATCGGAGAATTTCCAACACGCTGGTGGCCAAAATGGGGCGATATTCCGTCAAGTCAAGGATTGGATGATCGAATTTGTCTCCATCTGTGAGGACTTCCCCGCGATACTACTTGAAGAGGAGAAGGACTTCTGGCACCGACTGCCAGATCTCATCGAAGGGCTGCTACGACGAGAAGCAGGCCCGCCCCCTGGAGCCCGGACCGAAGATCTCGTCGACTTCTTCGTCGCTTTTGCTCAAATTGCCAAGCTCCTAATGGATTTCGACACCCGAAGACTACGCATACTCCGCGAGGATTCGGAACTTGGGGATGTCATGTCCCTCGGCTTGTTGTGTGCTAACTACCTACAACCTCTGACATGGATCCTCTCGGTCCGCATTCCCTTCTACGACGCATTGTGCCGTGCGCACGGTTTCGATCGGACGCACTTTTACACACTTGTCATCGATCGCCTTGGAAACCCGTCGACAGTGTCCCTATTGCCATCTATCTCTGCGCTTCTGTCTGAAATATGCGCTCTCATACTCAAGCGAGCCGATCTATTTCGGCCTTTCCACAATCTGCTCTCGGTGACCAATTGCATCATGGCTCCCATTTCCAACGTGTACAGTACCGAGACCAATTTTGTCTATGCGGCTTTCTCACAACTGGATCACATCCGCAACGGCGTTGCGGAAATAATATTGCAAGCAGACAATGCCATCCAACAAGCCATCGTAAAGCAAGCGGCATGGCTCAATCTAGAGACGGCGGGGAAAATAATTGACCTTCTGAATCCGATGGTGTCGACAATTGCGGTCGAGATTCCGCAGATCGGCAAGGACATTATATCTTCAGCTGGAGTTGGCTTCGCTGATTCGGATCTCACTGACCTCCCCAGCACAATGCCATACGCCTGGAAGTTCAAGACACTTCGGAAATTCATCACCAATGGGCGAATGGAACTTCGAGTTTCGGGCGTCGACAGCATGTCAACTGATCTTGTTCAGGTGTTCAAAGAGCACATCAGCGGCCAGGCGCAGCCTGCAATGTCTCATCCGTTAGTAAGGTTCTTGGTCAAATTCATCAAAGAGAACCAGCTGGTGGACTATATTGTCGGCGTCGACTCTCACCCACAGTTAATCCGCAGAGCTCATAACGTGGTCGGATTCCTCTGCGTCTCTGGGACTTACACGGACAACGACACAGACAATATCTGGAAAACCATCGTCGAGAGCCAGGACCCACGAACTGTTCATGAGGTCTTTAATCTCCTTCAAATGTGCTTCACTGTATACGACCTGCATGCACTTTACTACATCTGCCGAAAACTGTCGGATTATCCCATTCAGCGCTTCGATCTGCACGTCTTGCAGTTCACTACACTCCTGTTTGACAACCTCAGAACCAAGACCGGCATATCACCTCTGCATCTTGCAGTTGCCACGGATCCAATCACGCGGAAGCTATGCATACGACTTCTGCGAGAAGCCTCGATGGAGGAGAATGCATCTCTTGAACAAGCTCCACTGATACGGCGAGACTTTGCACAACATCTGACTAGTGTTCTGTCTCTGGGTCGCGCCGAACTCACTTTTGCTACGATTGACGAGGAAGAGAGGAATCAGATCATGTCCGAGGCTGCTTCGAACCTCGAAGCCCATACCGAATATGCCTCTGGCGATCTTCAAGTGTTGAACTGCTTACTACCGATGTTGGGAGGAGACGGGGTCGCCCAAGCAACCGAAAAGTTCGACCTGTTGGCACTGCTCATCGCCGATTTTGCATATTTGCGGGATCAATTCGACCTGATGGTCGCACGCAGTGTGCCCGTCAAATCAATCGAGGCAATGTATGAGGTGCGATCCGCATGCCTGTATTACTTCATTCTCTATGTGCCCGAAGTCTTCACCGCAGATCTCGTTCAGGTCCTTTGGACGTCCTTCTATTCGTTCTCACGACTCCCCACCTCCGTTAGGGCTCGCGCGTGGGAGACGTTGACCCATGCATTGAGAATCAAGCAGAACAAGGACGAGAACATTCTCGTGGACTTGATAATTGAGAAGCACTTGCCGACTCTCCCTCCCCAAGACTACAATGAACAAGTCCTAGAGTTCATCAGGGTATCGATTTTGTACACCATCAAACGCACCACGGCAAATATCCCTGACACCGAGGAAGTCATTGTAGTACCTGGGATCGAAAGAATGTGGAAAGTCATGTTGGATGCGCCTCCAAACACCGTTGAGAATCAAGCAACTGACTTCATCATCCGGACGTACTTGGATAACAACCTTGTCACCCGAAGGTCGAAAGAGGTAATCGATGCGACCCATGCTTCTCTCGTGGACCGTTCAGTGCAACAAGTTATGGCATCTGCATCCAAGCTAAAGTCATACACGGATGGGACCATGAGTGGCGAAGATGAGCCTATGGTAATTATTGCCTCTGAGGACGAAATACGTGCCGAGGAACTGCGTTTTGACCGGTCTTTACTGTTCCTCCGGAAATTTCTCGAAGGCATGAAATTACGGCCACGATACAGTCCAGTTCCCGACCAGCAGATCCACGGGCTGGCGGAATTTCCGGGCAAGAAGGGAGAGATCGTAGAACTCAAGATTCAGATCATGGCAAGCAAGTATATTACCGACAAGGTGCAAAATATTACTATCGGTTCTGAGAACACTTGCGACGAACTGCACAAGTATCTTTGTGAGGCGAGTGGCTTCACTCAGTTCTCGGTGTTCAATATGGGGCAAAAGGTTTTGCTTGCCGGACAATCGACGACTATCGCAGAGTCGAAAGTAGCCTCTGGCCTCCTGATTGTTCATAAAACGTTGAATACGCCTGAGAGCCCGCCAACCCGCGCCACTCGCGCCACCTCACCCGTTGACAACAAAATTATGCACCACTTCGATGACCTTTACGAGCTGCTTGATGCTGACGAGCGCCTGTCGAGAGAGGTCTACACATTCCTCAGCCTCTTTTCTGCACAAACTGAACTCGTCCGAGTTGTACGATCAAGAGACAGGTCGCCAACGGAGCTTCTGCCTCCCGGAAAACCTTTCAAGCTCTTGTATTGCGCCAGGGCTTTCCGGTCCTGCATTGAGGATGAGTCTTTCAGCTCTAACCCAGATTCTCAGTTTCTCATCTACAGCATTCGAACCATTGTGCAAGTCCTACCAAAGCTAGATTTGAATAACCCATCGGATGGGCTCCAGATGTCGATTGCACACAGCTTGATGGAAGCACTTCTTCTTGCATTCCGGGCCAAGGTACCCGCGGAAACATCGAGCGAATACATCGTGGGCCACCCAGAATTCGCAGTGCAAGCCTCAAGGTTGCTACGCTTTGCCTTAGAGAGCCAAAACACCAATATGGACGAGATTTCATCCTCAGCCATGGTGAAATTAGTCTTGGAAACTTTCATCGAAGCGTGCCTACACGATGAGCGAGTTTGGGCCTATGTGGATGCCGAAGCTGACTTCAAGGATCTGATCGTCACCGCTTTCGTTGAAGATTCTCGAGTTGATGTACGGCATTCACTGCTCGAGGTTGTGGTCGGTCTGACTGGAGCTGTTGGAACGAAGTTGTACCTCAAAATCAACAACCCGAGAGCACCGCGTTCGCGCTTTCCACCCGCTTCCATTGAAACTTGTCTCTCTCATTTGTGGAACGCTCTGGCGGACATCTTACCTCAAGCCTGTTTTCAACATGAGCGGTGCGCCGAAGTCTGCGAGACGATGCTTGCTATCCTAAGGAGGATAGGCAAGTCCTTTCCTCTTGGGACTGTCAAGGAATACTTTGACCAGTGGATCTCTATCCTCCTGAAACACGAACACGTCGAGGTTGTTGGTCAACCCCTAAGGGATCACGTGGTTGCCTGTCTTACCAAGCTGCTCCTCGAAAGCTGCAAACTGCTGAAGGCGTCAAATGCACTTCCTCTTGGCAATCGGATCATTGAACAGATCATTACATTATTCTTGTTTCCGCCTCTCTCTGAAGATGGGGCTGGGATAGCTGAGAACTCGAGATTGCCGGTCCTGGACAGTACCGTTCGGGAAAGCCTATACAACCTCATTCTCGCCCTGTGTCAAGGCCCGCAAGAGCTCGTAACAGTTGTCACCAAGTTAGGTGACGACTTACTACCTCCCGACTTTTTCGAACCCATGTATTCACATGACCGGCAGAACCTCCGCACAGATGTCGGCTACGCTGGACTACGAAATCTTTCGAACACTTGCTACCTCAACTCATTATTTTCCCAACTCTTCATGAACGTGCAATTCCGAGAGTTCTTTCTGAACATGCTAACCTCGGACGAAACGAACCAGAAACTCGTCCTTGAACTCGCAAAGGTCTTTGCATACATGCAAAATTCCTATGAAAAGTCTATTGATCCCTCGATGGCGGTTGAAGCAATAACGACTTACGAAGGCGAGCAAATTGACGTATCGGTCCAGATGGATGTTGACGAGTTCTTCAATTTGCTCTTTGACCGCCTTGAGGGGCAGATTGATTCTTCTGCCCGGGCAGCATTCAAGTCAATGTACGGCGGACAATTGGTTCAGCAAGTCAAGTCGAAGGAGTGCGACCACATTTCCGAACGACTGGAGCCTTTTTCCGCTGTTCAGGTAGAAATCAAAGGCAAAGTCCGGCTGGAAGACAGCCTTCGTGCCTATGTCGAGGGAGAAGTTCTTCAAGGCGAAAACAAATATTCTTGCACCTCGTGCGGACGTCACGTTGATGCGGTGAAGCGAGCCTGCCTGAAAGACGTGCCAGACAATCTGATATTCAACCTCAAGCGGTTCGACTACGACATCATGACTGGGATGCGGACAAAGGTTAATGACGAGTTCCAGTTTCCTGACACGCTTGATATCGCACCATATACTCTCGCAAGGCTCAGTGATGAGCAGCAATTGGGAGAGCCGGACTACTTCCAGCTTACCGGTGTCATTGTCCACTCTGGTACGGCAGATTCTGGTCATTACTATTCATTCATCCGTCAGCGACCGTCGGCGAAACCTGTTCACGAGTCATGGGTCCAGTTCAATGACCAAGACGTTGGCGTCTTCGATACCAATCAGATGCGCGACAACTGCTTTGGAGGGACCTCAGAAGCTGGCTTCTATCATCTGCCCAAATTTTACAGCGCTTACATGCTGTTCTATCAGAGGACGTCGAGTATTCGCCAGGTCGAGGAGCAGTATCGTTGCCACGACACAATCAATCCTGTCCGCATCCCGTTGCCGCATGGACTGGAGCAACACATTGCTCAACAAAATGAGTTGTTCCTGCGTTCTTACTGTGCCCAAGATCCTTCACATGCGCAATTCGTCTACAAACTTCTCGAACGCATGCCGCAGGGCATGGACCAATGCAGCGCAGATCACATACTCGAATCCGCCGTGATTGAAATGGTCTTGGACTATTTGCGGACTATATCCTGTCGGTTCAAGGAACAACCATTCTTTGAAGAGACTATTGGCGTTCTTCTCACTTCCATGCATCAGTGCCAAGAGTGCACCAGAACGATAGCTCACTGGTTTCACAACACACGGGTGCTTGAAGATGTGGTCGTCCGTAGCCCGTACCAGACGGTCCGAAAGTCGTTTGCCAACCTATTCTGTGTCACTTTTACTCGGCTTCGCTCGCTGAAGAAAGAGTTAGCAGATGGTGGACCACCGAGCAAGTTGGAGAGGGAGTACGCGGAGTGGCTTCAGGAGTGTCTCAAGCAGCTATCTCGATTGTGGGACGTGGTAGCCAAAACAAGTCGTTGTTGGGCTGACTACTTCGGCCTCTTGTACACCATACATCGGATGGGTGACGAGGAAACCATGTGGGTTCTCGAAGAAAATTACCTGGAAAAGTGCGTCGATATCATCATGATGCACCTGAATAATCCAGCCGAGTTCCCATTGTCCAGGAGGCTCAAGACACGATACGCCGCGTACTTGAGTGCTCGAGAGAGGAATCGGCCGTTCAACCACCCGGTGCTCATCCGCCTCTTTGTCGGTCTCCTCCTGAGAATCGACTTCCACCTAACGCCAACCAAGGAATTTCGCCAATATGACAAAAAAATCGGCTTGACTGTGCCTGAGAGGGAACTTCTCGGGTTTGATAAGATTCCTGCCAACTTCGAATGGTTCAGACGTTTGATTGCAGGACGGCAAAATTCAGCAATGGTGGACAGTCTCATAGAAGCGTTCTCGGCAGACCGAAGACTCGCTGGCGCTCTCTCCATCGTACTGGTGAATGGACTGAATGACCGGAGTATCAATATAGCCAGCAGCTTCCTTCGACCAGTCGTGACCTTCTGCGAGTTCTGCGACTCAGAGAATCAGATATACGATCTTGTTCAACCCGCCCTGGAGAGCATCGCAACGGTGGGTGTTGAATATGGCCGGGAGTATTTTGAGTTTGTGGACGCCTTGTTGAAGGTGGAAAATGCCCACCTCAACCTTGCGACGGGTTTCTTGGAGGACCTGCTACTGCAAACAGTGCATCAATGGGCACCAACGCTATTGCTCACACCCAATGAAGGTCAATTCAACGTCCGTCTCGGGACGGTGGACGTGCTGAAGAGGATCCTGTTCACCCCTCTACAAGAGCTTGCTCTCCAAGATCCTCACCTTTACTCGACGCTGGTCACGGCGGTGCACGAGTTGGCAACTAGCTGCTCCCACTTTGTGCAGACCACCTTCTTAAATCCACGTAGCCGAGAGAGCAACACGCTCCAGCCCGGCCAAGTCAGTCAATTGATCGATGTGGTGGAACATTGCCTGACTTACTTTGAACTCGAGAATCCCATCCACGAGGAGAAGATGAGTGAAATCCAGAACATCATGGGTGCGTTGAGGGCCAAAGCCGAGACAGCGGTTGAGACTTTGAGTTCGGCTGATTGGCAGGACGGGAGCAGTGAACTGGCCGAATTGAGTGCTGAGGACTATGAGGATCCGCTTAGCCCGTGAAATCCTTCGTGCAAAACACCGTTGGGCATGCGTGGGTTCCACGGGCAACCAGCGTTGGCTCTGGCGCAACTTTTCGGCGTCATTGATTGGAAGAGTCTTTCAGAGATACTTTGGGCGTGCAGGCAGGGCGTCGATGGATTGATCTGGGATAGCGAAATGGTAATGCTTCATGAGACCCAACAGACGGGATGTCAATGACGAAGATGACGGATAATGAAAAAAGCGAGCAATCGTGCTTGAAGTATCGAGCTGGCGTATCGACCAAAATGGTGACAGTGGACATGGCAGGCGTCGTTGCCGTGGGCTATTTCCTTGCAGTCGATCATATATTTCGGAGATGGAAGGAGTCTCTGCAACTCATACGTGACGCCGTGATTTTATCCAGGGCTTCGAGCGGTCGCGAAGATGGTTCTGGATTGGGGGCAGCTTAGGTGACAACTGGTGTGGCGCGATTAAAACACACGGTGATGGAACAAAAGAGCCCTTGGAAGCCGTGCCAGCCGATCTGATGGGGGGGATTGCTGCGAGCTGTTTTGAGGGGCGAATGGATATGAAGAGCAAGCAACAGACTGGGTTCGTTTTAGCATCTTCACTGGGCTCGAGAAGCCCAAAGGGGAAAGTGGTCTTTACACCTGAGCGTCATCCTCAGCCCTTTGTTTCGATTTCTCTATCAAGATCCGGGATGGGAGGGAAAGACGGGGCGGGATAGTCGGTTTGACATTCATTCATTCGGGGTCCCTTGGTACTGTCATGACTTTAATGAGATCAAATGATGAGCCACGATGACAACAATTGGTGTAGACATGGAGTTTCTCCCTTCCATTGGCTACGTGGTCCTGGCCGTGCAAAGTTGATGTTTAAAAACGACCAGCTGCTGCTGAGCACCTTTTTCTCTCGACGCCGCGCGCTGTGCAATCCCGTGGTATACTCCGTACAAGCCCAGTCCGTTCTGACGCGCTATGCCCTCTGCCCTTGGGTCCCCTTCCCTTGACGCCTGACGCTGGACAACACACAGAGAATAAGACAGACAGATAGATGGCGGACGCAGCACCAGCAATGGCCATTGAGCCAACGAAGTCAAGCAAGCAAGCACAACACAGCACAACACAGCACAACACAGCACAACACAGCACAACACAGCACAGCGCTCCAATCCAGTCCAAGTATGTATATCCCTCCCAGGACGAACCAGCCAGAAACCAACGCCAGGCAAAGGAAACCGTAAACCGACGAGATGAAGAAAAGATCGACACATTTCCCTTCCGCCCTGTATTTCTGCTGACGCTTTCGACAGCCCCCTCTCCATGGGCCATAGCTACGGTTCACAAAGTCTTGACCCGCATCCACTCGCCGGTGCCGACGCCCAGGTTCAGGCCGTTGCGGGCCCACCACTCGCGGACCTCTCCTTCGCCGCCGCCGCCGACCGCATCTTCCATGGCCTCCTCAATGTCGCACGTCTTGTACTCGACTCTCAGCCCTGTCTTGCGACTGATTTCCTTCCACCACTGCAGGACGCCGGCGTGGCCGTTCTTGGTGGCCCCGACGAGGACCTGGTTGTCGAAAATCATCTTGCTGCCCTTGAAGCGGTACCACAGCTCCAGCACGGGGACGTGGCCGTGCTGGGATGCGAGCCGGGCGACCCCGTCCTCGTGGGCGTAGGGGATGCCCGACGTCTCCCACCACTCGATGGAATTGGTCCGGCCGCTCTGCGCCGCCAAAAGGATGCTCTTGCCGACCTTGAGCGGCATTTCGCGATCGGTGCCCGCCAATTTCTGGGAGTTCTCCTTCCACCATTCAAGCACTTCCACGTGGCCCTTAGCACTGGCCGACTCCAGAGCCTTTTCGGTGTATGTGAGTTTCAGGCCTGAATTGAGCCACCAGTCCAGCACCTCCACGAACCCGGCGCGAGAAGCGCCGTCCAAGGCTTCAGGGCCATATTCCTTCTTGATCACGGCTGGACAATCTTTCCACCACTGCAAGATCGTGGGGGAATTGTAGATCAGCGACGCCTTGTGCGGGAGAAGGGCCAGACCAAAGGAGGTCCAGAAGATGTCCTTTTGTTGGAGAGCCAGGTACGTGAGCAGGCCGGTCATGGAGAAGCGGAAGATCAGCCGTGTTGCGATTGGGGACAACGTGGTGGGAGGGTTGGAGGAGGCGTTGTTGGTGAAGTATTTTTGGACCTGGCCCACTGGTTGTGTGAGGATGGTATATTCGAGCGAGGGCGACTTGGATGATCCTGGCTGTGGTATGAGCGGCTCCCATTCGTGAGGCACCGGCAGGTGTGTGAATATTCCCAGGGCGGTGGCAAGCTCCCAGTCACCTAGGTGGTCTAGAATGATGGTCCAAATCTCACTGGGCAGCTGTGGCTTGGAAGAAGTGGTTTTGGACAGTGGGAGGTCTGGGAATGCCGAGTTTGTCTTGAGGCAGGTCGCTCGCAGGACTGACTGGGTTTCACTCTCAATGGCCTCGATCATCTCCGACGGTCCAGCCCATGACCAGCGGAATTCGGGGGTGACGTCCCCATCCAGCGAATTTGCTCCCGACTGAGCCAGACTCGTGCCATTCTCCGAGTACTCAAAGATGGCAGGAGATAGAACACGAACCCAGTCCCACTTTCTTCGCAGTTCGGACAACTGCCTGTTCCAGATGGGGTGTCTGTATTGGTCCCTGCTCAACTCAGGTAACAGATCGATTCTCTTTGACACGTCCCAACACCTCAGAGCATGGAGAAGGACGTCGGTCGTGAAACCACTCAGCATGAAGCAAATCATCCCAGCATCTATGGCGAGAAACATGAAATCGGCCCATCTAGCCAGACGGTGGCCCAGCATCATGACTTCGTTGCGATGCGGATCTTGAGGCTTGTTCTCTATCCATTGTACATTGTCCAAACTGACGCCAGGAGCCATATGCTGCTGAAATTCGGATTTCGAGAGTTCTGAAATCACTCGGAGGTTCAGGTTGGGGTTATGGAGGAGATAGGGCAGGAGTTCTGGTCCTATTCTTTGGCTCACGTAGAGGAGAGCGTTGACCCGCCGTCGAATCGGGCGGGGCTGTACTGGGCGTTCCATGTTCTGGGATGGTCTCGAGGGGTGTCGAGGACCGACGGGAGGGAGGGTGGTAGGACAAAGGATCAGAGAATGTTATAAGTCTGGTGTTCTTCGCATTGGTGGCAAAAATGGTTTATCGGGATCGAGGCGGTGGGAGGGATTCACGATAAGCGCTGGGCAGCCCGGCGAGATGCGGAAGACGTTGGCTGAAGGGAGGCTTGCGGTTGTCTCTCGTAGGATGTGAAGTGATTCAGGATTCTCCTGGTCTTTCGTTACAGACCGCAAAGCAGGAAAGAGAGAGGAAGAAGCAATTCTCTTGGGATTCGGATTCGTGAATTTGATGCGGACGAGTAGGGCAAAGTATCAGAGGAGGGGAAATTCAACTATGGCCGATCAGACCATCCAGTCTGTGTGACCGCATTACTGGAGCCATGTGGCACGCTGCGGGCCTCTTGATAGGCGGCTGGCAGTCCCGGGCCTGGTTCCTGTTATGTAAGTCGACATTGGCGGTTGGCGGTGGGCGGTGGGCGGTGGGCGGCCCAAGCTGCCTGCGGTGGCTGTTCCAGTGGCCTCCACCACCACCACCTCCACCTCGTACCACTCATGCCTCTCACCATTACCATCAGCTATCAAACCCTCCATCATCGCCAACGACCGCCTTCTCCGGAAACTCTATCCTCATTCAGCCTGATGGAGGCATCAAGGCAGGATACACATACCCCCCCGCCCCCTTCAGCGTGTGACTCGGCCTAGAAACTGACGCCTGCATCAACAGAATATAACGAAGAGATTCCCAGCCTTCAACGCCGAGAGAATCCCGTCATCTCCACAGACATGAGCCATATTGCCACCGCCGACATGCCTCTAACCGACGTCGCTTCCTTTGTGCAACACCTCCAGTCATCCAAACGCATTGTTGCTCTGTTAGGGGCTGGTCTCTCTGCCTCCAGTGGCCTGCCTACCTTCCGCGGTGCTGGAGGACTATGGCGCACCTACGATGCCACCATGCTAGCCACCCCTGAGGCTTTTCAACAGGACCCGGGGCTATCCTGGCAGTTTTATTCTTACCGCCGTCACATGGCTCTCAATGCCAAACCAAACCGAGCGCACCTGGCCCTGGCAGAGTTGGCTCGGCGGAACCCCAACTTCATCACTCTCAGCCAGAACGTCGACGGTCTCAGCCCCCGCGCCGGTCATCCTGCTGCCCAACTCAAACTACTCCATGGTAATCTGTTTGACGTCAAATGTTGGGACGAAGATGGCTGTGGCTATTCCCGCAAGAACGACTTCACAGACCCCATCGTCCCAGCTCTGGCCCTTCCACCAGACGCTCAAGACTCGCAGCTCAAGGCAGCCATCAAGCAAAAGAAACATGCTTTGATTCGAGGAGCTGACATTTCAGATATTGATGTGCAGATCCCTGAGCTCAAGCACGAAGATCTTCCGCAATGCCCGTCTTGCAAGAAGAACCTGCTTCGTCCGGGAGTGGTATGGTTCGGCGAGTCGCTACCGGAAGACGTGATACGTGATGTGAACGAATACTTTGAGCGGCCCGAGAAGATCGACCTCATGCTGGTGATTGGTACGAGCGCCAAAGTGTACCCAGCTGCGGGCTACACAAACATAGCCAGAGCCAAGGGTGCTCGAGTGGCGGTCATCAACATGGACAGTAGCGATGCACGAGAGCTCACAAAGCAGGATTGGTTCTTTGAGGGAGATGCAGCCGTCATAGTCCCCGAGATTCTGAAGACCGTGATTGGGGAGGTCGGCGAGTTCGAGGAAACGAAGGGACCAGTGCTATGAAGCCTAGAGGTGAAGACGGTGAGTCGGACGACGACGATACGAGCCACATGCTCACCAAGACCAAGATGTTACCCGTGTCATTGTGTTCGGCAGCTCCAGGTCCCTAAGCGGTTGCAGACAGCTTATTTACAGCTTCAGCCCCCGTGGCTCGATAGTTCGAGTTCGCTTAGGCCGGAGAATTTTTGCGCATAACACGCAGCAGAGGACAAACGCTCTGTTCTAGCGCCGACTTGGACCCGGCTGCCTTGGCGGTCCTTTTGATGGTTTGTGGATCATTTGTGCTGACGGTGCGATTTTGAGGCCTGGGGGCCAAAATCATGCACCACAACAGCCACAACCCAACGTTCTTCTCGATCTTGCCGAGGAAACAGGGAGTCCATCCTATCATCGCTATCAGCCCTTGGACTCTGAGGAGCCTCCTGCTGAGAATAGGCGAATCCCTTCGGTTGCCAATCATCGTCCGAATGTGGCTGTTCAACATAGATATGCTTTCTTAGGCAGTCTCCTTTTCCATCTCATTCGCTCTCGTCTCGCGCAAGGCAACCAGCAGCCACCTTCGACTATGCTACAAAACGGCCTAGAATGTTATGGATCTCGCTGTGCGGTTTGTGTGCTGGTGCACTGCATGCTCTATCGCGAAACCAAACTATGACTCCTGGTCATTCTAGAGTTTTGGCTGCATGCTTTGTCTTTCATAGCTAAGCTTGGGCTTGAAAAGCAACATCTCTTCATGGTAAAGTACCATATTATCCCTTGTCGCCCTCGTGCTCGCACGCTTCCTCGATCCAAGACCGGACTGCCGGCGAGGATATCTGGGCAGCGCAACAGGATTACTCGTCCAAGCTGATCTTCAGTTTCCTACCATGGCGTCTACGAATCCTTTCTGGTCATTTGCTACTCCTTTCACGGACAGCACGCCGCCTGCGCGGTCCGGGCGTCTGAGTGACATCCTATCTCGTGGCAATCACATACCGGTTTCCTCCCACGATGGAACTCGAAGCTATGCACAAACAACACCCGACTCGGCTTGGTCGCAGACGTCCTTCCAAGAAGTGTGCTTCACCTACGACACCTCCACAGGCAAGAATGTAACGAGTTTGGAAGATGCTGCATCCGTCCGATCAGGCGACTGGCCCTTGACTGAAAAATACTATGCTCTCTCTTCTGCGACCCACGATCTAAGATGCCCAAAATGGGTGCTCTGGAAAACAATCCTCCTCCCCACTTCAACCATCATCCTTCCTATGGCTTTGCTTGTCGCCGGGCTACTAGCGTTGATCTTCGGCTACAGGGTCAGATCTGAGGATAGCTTGTTTGAGGAAGTGTCCAACTCTCACGCCTTGAGCGACCATGCTGTTGTCTTGGTCAATTATTCGGCAACTCGGATAGCATTCGTCGCTTCCTGGGCATCGACTCTTGCTCCTTTACTTGCTGGCTTCATCATGAACCTGTCCAGTTTCCAGTCTGCGCTCCTCATGTATCTCTCCTCAACACGTTTGGAACAGCATGACCTCCCAACTCCGTATCAGTACAGTCTGCTTGTCGGCCTTTGCCTGGCCTCAATGGGAAGATTGAGAAGATACTTCTCCTACGCGAAAGAAGATGGAGTGGTTATACCTCCGGCCCTTCGGCGCGCTGCACAGACCCTGACCTTGACGCTCGTCCTTGCCTGTGTCGTCTTTGGAGCTGATACTGCTCTTCACTACACAACTTCAACCATCAACTTCGACCAAATCTCTGTTTCCGACGTGGCTCATGCCTATGGATACGGATTGTCGCCAGCATGTCTTGCCCTCAACCGGAGTGACAATTTTGGACTGCCATGTTCCCGTAACGGACAACTCGCCGAGACGGATTACAACGCTTACGTATCAAGCCAGAATGAAATCTTTTATCTTCAGCGCGGCACATCCAATGTCAGCGAAGTCCAACTCGTCGATACGCCACCATACGAACCTGCAAACATCACATCCTCCGGCGCCGCAAAAGTGGCACTTCTCATCCCCCAAAGCACTGGTTTATCTCCTTTTCGTGACTTCCAAGCCTACACCACCGGTGTAATCACAACCTGCGAGCCCGTTACCGCTCTCTGCAACTGGACAAGCGGGGGCCCGGGAAATTACTACAGCCAATTCAACTGCAGCGAGAACTTCTGGGGAGTACTAGGCAAGGCCCCCAATGTGAGCGACACAGGCATGCTCGTCGGTGATAGTTCTGTGCCACCTTTGGGGTTCAAACGTGGCGCAGCCTTGCAATACTCATTCTTCATGGACAGAGACCTGAGTATTCCCTATGACACATCCGGCAATCTGGGCCCGTTTATGCCGGACTCGGAGCTTATTAATCCAGTATACGTGGGAGTCGCCGCACGTTTTCAATCCACAGCCCAACGGGCCGGAGTGAATATGTCCTCAGATCCAGGGATCTACCAGGGTCCTACACCTTACCTTGACTTCACACTCCGATGCCAGTACACTACGTACTTGGTCGACTACAGATGGGTCAACTCTTCGGCCAAAGTAAACACGCTGACTCCTTCGCCGAACGGCACGATCGCCGAGATCTTTCACGGATACAACATATACGGCAGTTATGACAGCTTTGACAACGACCTGCAGGACTTCATCCTTGAGGCAGCGCTGCAATCCAACCCCCAGCAACTTGCCGATTCTTTTGCAAACAGCTATTCATCGCGCGTGATGAACGTGATTGGCCCGTTCCTCTCCTCGCGAACCAACTTGCAAGAACAGACGCGCACGCCCTTGCTCGTGGCGAAAGTCCCGAAAGTGCCATTAGCAATCCTTGTTGCCGGGTGTCTGTGCTACATCGTCTTCGGCGTGGTCAGTGCGACGTTGGCATACACCGCGCTGAGGACCGTCGATGTACGGGATCTGGCATTCCGATTCAGCCTGCCGGCGCTGGGCCTGCACGCTTTTCGAGACGATAGTACCGAAAGGGAAGCCGTGGACGTGGACTCGATCAGGAAGAGGGACGGGGTTGATGAGGAGCGCAGGGTGTTTAACGAGACGAAGATAAAACGCGAGGCCACCAGGGTTGCTGTCGACGGCGAGCCCCGGACCGGGTTCGTCTTGAAGAGCCTGGTCTAAACCGGGCAGCTGTAGTGAGAGACCGGACTTCTTGCTGGCGAGATTGTTCTTGGTATTTCCTATGCGCTGCGCGATGAGGCATGAGCGGGGAACAGAAGCGCACAGACGAGTGCCATTCAGATTTATAGAGACTGCCGTCTTGATTTTCGACCCCCTTCCCGGGGCGTGTGTTAGACTGTATCATATTTTATAGATGTACATGATTTGGATGTTTCTTCTTGAATCTTCTGAACCTCGTGAACTCTCAAAGAGGGAGAAACACCATGTGTTTGTGTGTGTCCTTGTACGTGCGTGAACAGAGGAAATGAAGACACAGACAAGGAATGAAAAGAGGAGGGTTTGACTCGGCAGCAGATATTTCATTCCTTCCCTTCTCACCACCTTCTCGGGAATCCAGTTCCCCCGTCCCAGCCCTGCGAATCAACTCGTTCATTCATACATTCATTTTGTCGGCTGCATCACCGCTGTCAGAATTGGGACCTCGTGAACAGCGTTCCCAACCTCTTGGATTCTCAATGTATAATTCTTGCCCTGGAGCTCTTCAGGCTCAAAGGCCAACGATCACCCTTTTCACACTCTGACTAAACGCCCGTGAGGATGGGGAGGCCCTCTTCCAAGGGAGTCAGGAAGTCCTTGTTGACATTCACGGGCCCATCTCCCGCTCCCGCTCCGCCTCGGACACCGATCCTGCTCATGAAGCCCATGCCCAGCAAGATCTGCTCTTCCTCCAGGAGGCGTGATCCGTCCACGACGACGAACGTGTGGGCCAGCGCCTGCTTTGTGCCCTTGGGCCCGACCGCGACGCCGAGCGTGACCTCGAACGTCTTGGTCTCGTCGCTGTAGGCGACCTCGCTGGCCCGCTCGAGCCCGCGGACGAGGTTCATGGTGATGAAGCTGTCAAAGACCGTCAGGTTGACGGCCGCGAGCACCGACACCGGGTCCCCAGACGCGGTTTCGGTGACCATCGCAAGGACGTCGTGCGGCTTCTTGGCAGGCTCGCGGACGCGGGAGTCGGAGCCCGGCGTCGTGCAGCAGATTGCTTGGATGTAGGCTGGGCAGGTCGGGGCGCAGTAGCACGGGCAGGCGAGTGGGCGGCTCGGCCGGCCCCAGAAGTGTTCCTGAGGAGGGACGATCGGGTCAAGGAGAGTCTCCTGTGTGTCGTCGTCGACGACGACGCCGGTCTGCTGACGTGCCGCCGCGGAAGCTCCCGGTTCGTCTGGCGAGGCAGAGGCTGGCGTGAAGCAGCAGATGATTTGAACGTTCCTCGGGCACCAGGACTCGCAATGGCAAGGACAGCCAAGTGGTGGAATGGGGAGAGGGCGCCCGATGCCGGGAATGATCGGGCGGGAGATGAATGTGTCAGGAGAGCCCTTGGCCCTGTCACCGGTCACTTTTGAACTGTCGAGCGCACAGCATCTTGGGTTACAGCCAGGTGCACAGGTCAGACATCTCGGCGAGCAGTCCGCATTGGCTGGGGTGTAACTGTCGATGATGTCGTGCCATTTGAACCCCTCGTCAAACTTGTCTCTCCAGTTGAAATCGTCTGCGACAAACACTCGTCAATTACAGCGCCACCGAGAAAGGCACCTCCTAGACTCCCTTACCAAGAAGAGACTTGTATTGCCGGACTTTGGCAAGATCGAGGGCGCTGTCGCCGGCCGCATTGGGCACCACATGCTGCGACGAGTTGCCTGCATCAGGAGCAGCAAGGACACTGCCATAAACAAGGAAGCAGGTGGCAAGGGTGGTTAGCATCCTGATCGGTGCCATCACGACTCAAGAACTGTTTCGCTGCTGGGGAAAAAATTAGAGGGATTCGAACAAGGAGAATAGGAGACCGCAAAGAAACAAGTTACGGCCGTGCCGTCTTTATACGATCCTGACTTCTGTATCACCACCTAAAGCTGCGAGCTAAAGGCAGCAGCCGTTCGGTGAAGTCGTAGTGTGACTCCTGTAAAGCTCCAAAAAGGGCTGGAACGCCTAGTGAAGCTCTCAGAGGTGCTTCACGCACCTTGCCCCGTAGGGCTGCATCGATCTCCCACATGCAACGATTGGCACCGAAACCAAAAGGGCCCCTGAGCGAAAGTCGACGCTAGGGGCTTGGGGTTGGGGGCTGGACTGGCCTTTGCTGCAAGGGTGCCTGTCGAATGTTATCGTTGCGAGCTGACCAACCAAATGGTTCAAGTCTGTAGTATTAAGGCCGCCCAAGCAAGAAGAAAGCTGGCTGGCTAGTTCGTAATGTGCAGACATCGCGTCCAGGACGAAGCGACTAGCCACAAGTGAGCTCGACTGGCGATAAGTGCAGGCATTTGAAATGAAAGCCACCCTTCCTCCGTATCCTCGACTCTTCTGCTATTCCTCGAGAGCAGGCAAGCTCACTTTTGGGGAGCAATGCCCTGGAACAGAATGGACCAGGGACAGTTCGCTGATGAATATGGTAAGACGGGACCGCAAGCTAGCTAGCGACGAACGCGATGATATTGTATCGCAAGGAATGGACCAATCTGATGTCTCCGCCAGAAAATGCTCGTCGCAGTCATCAGGGGCTTCCACTTGGCAACTAGCCAGCAGTAACGGTGGCTGCTCTGGGTGTTGTGTGTCGTGAAGAGTGCCTGGGGCTCAGTCGAGGGCTCATAGCTGCTCCTGCCTTTTAATCTTCTCCGCTTGATTCCTCTGGCGATAAGAACCCGGAGTCGCAGGGAAGTGGATGACCGAGAGTGCGACTGTTCTCGGTACCTGGTGGTGATCGCGGCACCATCTGAAAAGAGAGGGAGGGGGAGAGATGTGAGGGAGACCGCAGGGGAAGAGTCGTTGATGGCTGCGGCAATGCCAAGTCACGAGGGAGAATGCACTGCACACAAGTCGGGCGCAGAGTCTGCAATATTTTCCACAACCATTGATTTGGTCTCCTTCCACTCCCCCCAGAGATTCCTTCTTGCCACAGTTCGCTAGCAAGGCTTTGTACCATTACGAGGTTGTAGTCCACACAAAGATGATGGCGATCCCAAGTGCTCCACCACCCGCTTGTTACCCATATAGCCTTCCCTCGGCCTTGCCTCAAGCTAACAACCATTCCGCTGGTTCCACCGCTGCGCCTGGCGCCACCACCTCCACCAACGTCATCCACTGCTTTCGAAAGCGCCCACTCCGGGGTATGACAAAGTCTGTCAAGGGAACTGCCGCTGTCATAGCATTTGGGGTCACGGTTACAAGCATAGCAGTCATAGCATGGACGAAGAGAGGTCTTGACATTGGCAAGAAGAGCTTGGAGCTTGCAGCATGGACTGCGAAGAAGGACTTTCTCGAGTTCTGCCAAACCCAACTACAGGCAGCCCAACCTCTCTCAGCGGAGTGTAATTCCACTCTGACCAGTGTACTTCATGCACCTCCTATGTGGAAGCGGTTTCTCGGTGTGATCGTCATCGCAACTCAGAACCAAACCCTCCGCGACCGGATATCTACCGACGGTTTGCTCTCAGTGCAAGACGCCGTGGGATTAACGATTAAGAGGGCCCTCATTGTTTTGTGCACCGTTGCCAGTATCGCCATGTTGGCTCGCCGGCGAAGCGCAAATTCGCATGACCAACGCCGTTGTCTAACTGTCGAACACGTCTGCGATCTGCATGCAATTGAGACCTCCTCAGCGGCGGTCGATGAGTCTGCCGTCACAGTAGCAAACCCTACTCGAGCTACTGCTACTGGACGATCAACAACAAACAACGGGCTTCCCAGGCGACGAGCTTATCGTCCTCTTCAAGATAGACAACCCATCGGCTTTTTGAAAGGATTCTCACCCGATTCCCGTACGGGCGATCATGAAGTTACGTGCACAGTTGACATGCTGGCTACATGCTCACGAATCAGGCAGTCAGCTCTACGAAAAATGGGGCGTTGGGATGGTAGTGATCAGAAACATGAAGTCTCCATAATAGTCCCACCCTCTGCGGAGTCGGAAGGAAGTTGGAACACTCTGGGCAAGTCAGCCTGGACGCGCGTGGAGCTCTGTGTTGTCGGGGATGATGAGTTAGACGTCGACTGTGTGGTAGACCCTCGTTCAGCGAAGCTCCTTAATCCAGAAATGAAAGGAGAACTGATCCGCCAACAGATTCAAGCCATCGACGAAATATTCCAGGATCCCTAGCACAGGTTCGATCCAACGAAAGTGACGCCATTTGGAGGCAGATGTCCTGCTGTGTTGACAGAGGGGGAACTTGTCGAGGGCCGTTTGTTGCATCGAAGCTGGAGTTTGGTGTTTTTGGTCCTTGAAGCTATCGATCATTTCTAATTCTGAGAGAGCTGGTGGTGGTGCAGGAATCTTTGACTTGTTTTTCCGACTCTTTGCGACGCCGGATAGATAATGAGCCCGAGATGGCAGTTTGGATACTATTTGATACAGATGACACAGGTACATACCTAGTATATATCTGCGAGAGGCGGGCAACCGGGAGAAATGCATATGCCCCGGGTCGTAGGATCCAAGAGATGATCGAACCAAGTTCGAGTGGATGCCTTTCTTCACACGCCCATCGATGCGAGGGTCGTAGATTGCAGCGAAGGTGAGAGCGGCGAGACTGAGCAAGTCGGTCCAGTCCGATAGAACAGCTTGGCTGTGGTCTGGAACGGCAGTCAACACTCAAAATTTCGACAGGTAAGGCATAATATCACTCCCGAGCTGGCAAAGAGACAAGGTCGTCGAGCATGAAGCGTTCTGAAGAACATCGAGACACTTCATATGAACGTATCGCTGGATGTGCAATCAATTGCTTGTCATTCCTCAAATGCGCGATAACTAACCTGCGAAAGATTCAGCGGAGGACTCTATGAAGTCTGAAGGACTAAATGCCACCCCGATATAAAACCAGTAGCATCTATCCACGGCATTCCTCCCTAGCCTCTAACGTAACTGCTTCTCTGAACCATGGCAGCGGTGCAAATAAGAAACGGGTATCAAACCAAGACAAATCCCCATGCCTCACCAGCTCGAATAACGTGAATCACCGCGTCGTGTCCTTGAAACTCTCCGGGTATCTTAGAGTCATAGAGTCATGATGCCCACCGTGCTGGGGCGTAAATGATGATGATAGGGTCGAAAGATGGAAGACATCTGTGAGATCTCCAGAGTAGAAGCCTAGCAGACCGTCGCCGCTCGCCGATAACGGTCTCTGGAAAGCCCTAAGCATTTGCCATTCCGGACTCTGTTTTCCAGGTAAAATCGCTCTGCAATTGTAAGGTCCTCATCTCCTTCGATGGATTTTAAAGGCAGAACTCCTCTCGGCTGCGGCCGGGGAGGAGGCGCTCCCAACAAGAAACAGCAGAGGACAACGACCGTCGCTAACGCGGCGACCGCTAACTGCGTGCTGGAGATGTTGAATGCGAAAGTCAATATTGTAGCTCGAGTGTGCTGGATTACGTGCCGGTAAGAAGCAACTACCTTATCGTGGTGCTCTTCGATCAAGGATATGATGCTTTCGAGGAATACTGGAAGTTGTTAGCACTTCGGTTGAGCGCGGAACCGAGACATACCGTAAAAAGCCGTCAATATGTACGAATGTTTTCGCGGCTTCCAGAACGACAGCAGTAAAGCCGGCAGGGCAAACAGTCCCAACAATCTCAAATGAAGACGCTCCACAATTTGGCATGGTATAGTGATGACGGCAAAAAGGGAGGTGAGAATAGCAGACGCTGCTTCGAAGCGCGTCAGCGCTTGGTTGACCCTTTCAAGTTTACTGGAAACTCGCGCGGCCGTAGCGCTTGCAGTGTCGAGTTCAGAAGTAAGTGAAGCAGAGAAATGTTGGATTTGTCCGCTCAAGGCCAGGTTGGCTTTCTGGGCTGCCGAGAGTTGCCCACTGAGTTGCAGATGATTCTCCATGCTCGCTAATTGTGCCGACTGTGTCGCAGCAATCTCATCGAGTCCATGCCTTGTACGATAAAGAAGCTCGTTGACATCCTGTTGTCGTTAGTCTGTGTCTAAACCTGTGCGGGGCTTGCAAACCTGGACTACTCCGCCTGCCTGTAAGGTTTTGAGAGCTTTTGTGGTCGCAAGGGCAAGTTCGTGAACATTGTTCATCTCCTGCATTTGGGCGGCAGCTGCTTCAGCCTGTTGCTCACCAGTAGTTGCAATTGCTTTGTGCAGAAGCTCTCGAAGTTTGGCAAAATCAGAGAACACGGCTCCCAGGGCCTGTTGGAAAGGAGTCAGTGGTCGTCCAACGGCCGCTGAGGATGTTACTTGCCTCGCGAGATTGGGCCACGCCCTCGTCCGTATTAGCCATTCGCAGCTGCAGAGTCTTCAATACGTCGTGTAAGCCTTCTTTCGCCATATTCACAGCGTCGCGAAAATTGCTAAGCTCGGCTTCATGCAGTGCTTGACGTTCATCTTGATTTTTCTGCCGAAGATTGCTCATATGCCAGATCTCTTCCTGCTGCTGTCTCAGGAAAGTCAGCCACTGAGACTGGGTCGAACCAAGCGCAGCACGAAGCTCCGGAAGAAGTTGTGCGAGCTTTCGATAGGACTGAAGCGCTTCCAATCTAGTGGATTCAATGGTGGTGGCTTGACACAAAGTGTTGGCATCTTGTCTGTTGTTGCTGTAGCTCGTCCAGTAGTAATGTTCCGCGATCAGCGCTTCGAGACATGAAGCCAAGATTCTGCTATTGACCACGTCAATCTCGTGGTCAAGCCTCTGAGGAATTTCGAGAATTGGTTTGCACGCGGAGGGAACTGCTGCTCTACCCTCGCCCGTCTCACAGACAGCCACTCTGACGGCGTAGACTGACTGAGCCCTCTCCAGTAGTTCATGTTTCCCTTGCTCTCGAGTCATACCTACGCCAACAGTTTTACAAGTAAGAAGCAGCTGAGCCGCAGCGGCTTGATGGCAGGTTGATTGGGTGGCGAGATTGTCGACCACACGCATAGCCTTCTCAAACACCGGGTCGCTGTCAGGCTCTCTGAATACCAACAAATCGGTGAGGCTTGATTGCAGGTCGCCCTGGGTTTTGCGAAAGATCGGCCATCTCAGATCCGCTGGAGGAGTCAGGGCCTTGCAGCTAGTCTTTGCTCGGGAAAGCGCCTACTCACCTTTTAGAAACTTTGCTTGAGCATGATAAGCAAAAGCGATGACCAGGGTAGCCAAGATGTAAGCAGACCAGAGCACTTGGCATCGTCCAGGTAAGAACATGGTGGCATGGACCATAACAGTATGAGGTGTTTTACTGGAGGGCGAAAAAAAGGATACAGAGGCGTGCGAACAAAAGAGATGAGCGAACAGCGAAGTAACAACGAAGGGAAAGAGATAGCTGTAAGAAGTCTATCCGAGCAGACAGACAGACACACGCTGAGAAACACAGGTATTGTGTCCTCCGTAGTGTGTGGTATGGGGTCGACGGTGAAGGTGAAGACCATGTGAGGACTGGCGACCCGGTCAACGCGAGCTCACCTTTGGGTATCACGCTGTGCAGATGGCGACTACGGCTACACGTGCTGCAGCCCGGTGAATGCTGGGATTCAATCCAGTGATAATTGAGGAGACCAGAGATCATGGATGGGTTGTTTGAGTTGGTAGCTAGAGAAGTGAGTGACTGAGTCAATTGGTAGGAGAAGGACACCGGGGGCGAGAGAGTGAGGGAGTAAGGGGCCATCATCAAAGCTCACCGCCGATGCCTGCGCCGCCGTGACCAGCTGCTGCACGTTGACGTTCACTCTCACCTCACAAATCTTCTTTCCAAGGCACTGCAACACGCTTTGACATCTCATACTCAGTACCATCCATCAACCCCCTGTCTGAAGGATGCCGAAAAGTACCTCGCTGCCTCCAATCAAAAACCTACCCGATAAATTAATCAGCAGCCTCTTCGGCATCGCTCCTCTGTGGCTGGCGCCCCCTGCTGCCTCGTGCTGCCCCCCTGCTGCCCCCAGACCGTTTGCCCCAAGCGGCACACCATCGCGATTGAAACGCGAGTTACACTGCGAAGCCTCCCTCAATAGCCCCTTGGCCGGCCTATAATTGAAACCAGCTGGCCCGTGTGGCCCGTAAGGTTGGGCAATGTTTCGGCACGTCCACCCCCCAAAAGAGACGGGATCGGAATCTGGTCTCTCTATTTACAACGCGGGATGGGAGGGATCCGAGCTTCGAGCTCGCTTCACGCCTAATCATGCCTTTGTCAGTGACCACGGTTTCCAGGCACAAGCTTTTCAGTGGCTTGTTGCTCTTAGCATGCAGGATCTCCACGAGCAGCTCTGCAGCCCCGACGACGTAACAGAATTGCTATCGTCTTTAGACCCCGCTCCCACGTTATTTTTATGCCTGGCCCTCATTTAACCGCCGTTGGACTATGTACACACCTCCCAGAATGATTGAGGAGTCAAAGAAGAATCCAGGGTCCGGGCAAACACGAGAGCTTCAAGGATGACGATGTGGTATATTATATGGCCTCCTTCCACTCGGAGCGAGGTCTGAGGCGATTTCAGCAGGTACTTCATTGCGACAGCGTGGCGGTAGCGGAATCATCACTCCAACTCAAGATCCAGCGGAGTTCAGCAAACCATCGTGCCTCACCTTTCCGGAACATTGAGCAATTGCCAGACGGATCCATTGTCGGAAAAAGAAAGGCGATGAGTCAAGGAGGCGATGGCTCTCCTGTTGATAAGTCGAACTCCTGCAAGGAACCTTCGCCCCGAGGGGAGTCCGACTCTGATCTCGGATCACAGGACAGAATTAACCAGGTTAGGAAGATTTCTCGCTCACCACTGCGAATCCTCGAGTCGGAAATTAGTTCAGCGCGGGGGTCCGCACGCACACTGCTCAGAGTCAAGCCGGTCAACTTCCATGCCTTGCCGCTGGACGCAACAATGGTGGAGGACGATCTCAACCCCTTAGCAACAATCCAATTCTGTGAGCATACACAATCCAGGGGGAAAAGACTGTCATACTGAGCAGATTCATGTGTCAGTTGTTGAGATATACTGCCCGTCCATGTTGCGTCATCCCACATTCAGGCTGGAGAGCAGAGATTCGGTGTTCATCAGTACCAATCTTTCAGCAATGATGCAAGATCCATTGATAACGGCCACCTCCCTCGCCTTCGCAGTTCGCATACATGACAAACGCCAGAGCCGGAAAGCAGTCGGATACTACCGCAAGGCTCTTGTTCTCCTTCGAAAAAGGCTTGAATCCAATGATCGCTCCTCCACGGACGCTATAATGCTCAGTCTTATTCATCTGATGGCTGTTGAGGTGCGTCTGTGTTTCTCAGTCTCCACGACGTGGACTAACTCTCGACAGGCACTGTCGGAAGACTTGGGGTCTCCTCTTCAGCACCTGGGTGCCATGCATCGCATGATACAAATGCGAGGCGAGCTCAGATCTTCAGGCTTGCAGGGCTACATCAAGGCCCATATCAGATCGTCAGTGATGGTCTTCCACAAGTGAAGCGCGTAATCTAACCTATCCAGCTGGGAATTGTTCCTAGGAGGCGCGTACGCTGAGCCCGACCCAGATCAAGTGCGAATATTTCCTTATGGCTCGCTTGACTATCCTACCCATCCCTTCGACCCCGAACTGAGTCTCACATTGAGCCGCTTACCTTCAGGCTTCATTGAACTGGCGATGTCTTGCAGATTGAGCACTCAAGTCATCCAAGTCGTACACACCAGTGCGCACTTGATGACCGCTCTCTTCCACCAGACGCAAGACTTTAAGCAAGATGACAGTTTTGCACTTTGGCTGTCACCATATCCGGTGTCCCCTATTCAAGTTATGTTTCTGGCCATTGTTATCCTACAAAACCAGAACCGCAATATGGTCGAGGAGTTGTTGGCAATTTCACTCCTGGCCTTGACAATATCAACCGAGGATTTGGGGGAACATATAACCCTAGGCTATGGATTCATCCAGACATACTGTATGTCGCTCTGGGACGTCGATATGGAGCGGGAATGTCGCAGTACAGGGGCTCTGGGACTCGAAGACTTTCTTCTCTGGTCGAAAATGTTGCTTTTGGCGACATTCGACCACGACACCCAAACCTGGAGGACTGCTATCCAATTACGACGGGATGTCCCCTTGCCGGAGTTCCAGCCTCTGCATTTTGAGGTGTGCAGGCAATTCTTTTGGACCGAATTGTTGACACTTTCACTGGAGCAGAAGATGGCGCAGGACAGAGCACTCCGTCAACCACGCGCTTTGGACGATCCAACCAGTGCTGAAACCGATTGGCAGAAGATCTAGCAGGGAAATAATGCCTGACTGAGCTCACGAAATATTGCTACATCGAAAGGATGGCCTACCACTATCTCCATAGGTCACCCGACTACTGAAGTCAGACAAGGCACAACCGACGGTCACCTGATCTGTGATGGTATGCCAGATATCCGTTCCGCTCCTCCCGTGAATATGTCTGGCATATAATGAATCAATGTCAACGATAGACCATGACATTGATAGCTTAGGGTGTGGCCTTTATTGAAATCATTTGCGCCTGATCAATTGATCCGACGCCATCAGATCAACCCGGAGCGTCTGATCTGGCTGTTCTGTCCAATGATGGGCGACCTGCAAGGAGGCATGAATTGTGGACTTGAGAGAACAGAAACATGGAATGGACAGAAGAAATTCGCGCAGGACTGCAGATTCCAATGGACAGCAGTGCGTGGTTTTCTCAATGTGACAAATAGCCCCAAGACTCTATTGGAAACAAGTCACAAACTTCATGCGCCTTGTCCATGTGCCCCACCGTAGCTCCCAGCCTCGTCAGTTCCAAGGCTGGCGCAACTGTGTGAACGCCTGGGTGGCGCTAGCGGTAGGGTTCGCTTAAGTGGATATTGGCCCAGCTGCCCTCATTTTATCCGGCTAACTTTTGTGCCAGGCTGGAACATTGCATGTGCGGGGTGTACCAAGGGTAACGTGGCAGCAATTGAAAAATGAAAAGCCCCATACTCTACCACCGGATCAGCGGTCGCCCAAAGCCTGACAACTCTGTAGAAAAAGTTATCATTGAAGCGTACTCACAAGATCAACCCCGAGGGGTCTCGTAGACTACATATATGTCTCCCGCCCAGCCCATCACACGCGAACCTCTCCATACCACATCACTCGAACGCCCGTCCCACTGCCACTTTTTTTTTTGACCACTTACTCTTTTACTCTTTAAAAAACCGCCATACAAATCAACAATGGGCTGCATCTGCTCCAAGAAGCTCCGCAAGGAGATGGCGGAGGAGGACGTCTTCCCGCCCCCGATCGTCTTCCCCCCGGTGCCCGACCGTCCCTCCTGCCTCCCCCTGCCGGAGTGCAAGCCGGCAGCGACCAAGCGGAGTGAACCCGAAAGGGTCACTCCATCGCTCGCCTGGCGGTGGTTCCTGGCGGAGGAGGCGAAGAACCCCTCCCCTCCCTGCAGGGACCACACACCAACAACGGTGAGGTGGTCCGGCAGGTTGGGGAGGGCGAAGATGCCAAGGGCATCGGTGCGTTGTGAGAACTGGAAGAAGCTCGAGCTTGAGTCGAGCGACTCCCTCGTCTGCGAGTGCTGCGCGTAAGTTGCATTGTCACTTGGCGTCCTCCGCTCCGCCAAAGAACCAAGAAGGATGCTGACTAATGGCTTGGCAGAGACAAGCGCGTTGCGCCTCCGCGCAACCCAAGATACGCTTGAGGGAGCACCTCAACCAAGACTCGCCGGCTGCACGCATTTTTCTTCTCGGTCCTCTCTTCTCGGTTCTCTCAATCCCCGGTCACCACCCTCACAGACACCATTGCCATCATCACGCTCATCATGGACGAAGCAAAGACTCTCATCCGGACGGCAGTGCGCACTTTCTTCCCGCATCCCAAACAGATCATCATTGTCGACGCCATCCTCATGCACTCAGTTCTACAAATCGACGACCTGAACATTCTCCTGAACTCTCAGCCAAAGGACATCCGCAGCCTCATCAACCCTCTCCGCACCGCCCGACTCGTCCAGACGCAATCCCGAAATGAAGCCAAGGTTGGCTCCACCAGACCCTCGGCCAGAGAGTACTACTTCTGTCCCTTCCACCCGGCCATCGACGCCATCAAATACAAAATCGCAAAACTCCGCAAGAAAGTGGAGGCGATGTACCAACAAGACGAGACCAAGCGCAAAGACTGGCGCTGTCCGCGCTGCAAAGCAGAATATGAAGAACTTGACATACTCGACAAAGTCGGAGACGAAGGCTTCTACTGCGACAGGTGCCATGCGACACTGGTCCAGAACGAAAAAGTCGCCCTGAAAGACCGCGGCAACCACGAAAAGATCAGAAAGCTGAACGACCAGCTCAAAAAGTTTGACGACATGATCCTCAAGATCGATCGGACAGACATCCCCGAAAACGACTTCGCCTCAGCATGGGACCGAAAGAAAGACGTCCCCCGACAGCAGGGAAGTGGCAAGACAGACACATCAGAACAGTACGTTCCTCTCCAGAGAGGCAACAGGTACTACGACTACAAGAGAGGCGGCCCAGACATGGTCGACGTCAAAAACCTCACCGTCAACCTGACCAGCGGAGAGGAACAGGAGCGTGAAGAGGCAGAGAGAAAAGAAGAGCGCAGGCAATTCCTCGCCAAGCAGAATCAACTGCCCGTGTGGTACACAAGCAGTGCAATCGGGGCTACCACCAATGGAACCGCCACGGCTGCTACCACCCCAGAAGAAGACGACGCAGGAGAAGAAGAAGAAGAAGGGGAAGGAGAAGAAGGAGAAGAAGACTTTGAAGACGTGGACGTCAAACCAGTCAATGGCATCAAGAGAGAGTATGAAGTCGCCTTTGAAGGAGACTCGGAAGAAGATGAAGAGTTTGAAGATGCAGTTTAAGGAGGAGCACCACCACCACCACAACAACAAAGGAACTGCAAAGTGTGATTGGATCGCGAATTGGGCATTTTTACATCATGGCAACCGACAGGCATCATTACGTATTGTTATGGGTGTGTGTGGGAAAGACAGACATTGTTATGGCGGTGGGCATTCTTACGACATTATTACCAAGGCAAGGGCATTTTTACATACAGGCAACAAAACCACATTGTTATCATGGCAAGGATTTCGTTTTTCAGCGTGGGTCGGATGGGTCAGTATTGACATTGGCATTGGCGTTGGTATTGGTGTTGGCGCTGGTATGGGTTTTCCATTATAAAGCGGATTGGGATTGGGCATCATTACGGATCATGATCATGACAAAAAGGCATTCTTACGAACGGAAACCAACCTTTGGGCATCATTATAATGAAACAGACAGACAGTGTATCAATACAGTATGATCGAAACCTTTGCTGTACTCCTGCTTCCCTTCCTTTCTCTTGCCTTTGGCGTCTAGTTATCGTCACTATTACCTTCCCAAGAACAACCCCAATATCCACCCGCCAATCCACCACACGAGCAGCCCGCCCACCACGACGATGGCTGCCACCTTCAGCACTGCCACTTTGTCCCCCTGGCGCGCCATGCGCGTCAGCCGGCCCGCGCTGCCGCGGATGTTGGTGCTCATGCTGCTGAACACCTCGTTCGTGTTGTCCAGCGTGCCCTGGCTGCGCGCATTGTCGTAGATGTCGAGCGTGATGTGTTTCAGGGCCGAGGTCTTTTGGGAGAGGGATGAGAGGAGTGCGTTGTTTTGTCTGGTTTAAACCGACGCGGGTTAGCTTTGGTCAAACGCGGACGGGTAGTTAGAGAGGGCAGCCACGAAGGGAGGGTTGGAGGTGATGTGGCTCGATCCTCTGCGTTTCTCCGGATCGTTCTTTTGGGAGGCAAAAGAGACTTGGACGGAGAAGGCAGCAGAAGAAGAAGAGGCGGACAGTGGGAGCAGAGAGTTGATCTTACTCTTCACGCCCGTAGGCGTCGGCCATCGCGGCGGGCTCGTGGCTTGTGGTTTTATGTCCAGGCCTCCAAACGCGAGACTGGCTGCAAGCTGATGCCGGCCTCTGGACCTACAGCCTTTGACGACTGACCGCTTGAAGGGCTGTGTCGAATCGGGGATATCGCTTGGATTGACTCTGGGCCGTTCCACGGCTCAAAGAGACGGGAGAGCGGAAAGGCGGTGCCGTCTGCTCCGGTGTTGTACTATTGAACAGACCCTCGCCCGTTCTCCTTCTTCTTGGACTTCTTCACCTCCTCGTCGAGTTGTTGATCTCTCGCAGGTTAAGAGATCTCTGTGGCTATATCAAGGCTGCTGGCGACCGCAGAAGGAGGGAGGCTTGGTTGTCTTGGGGACAAACAGTGCTCCGCAGAGTGTGCGTCGATACGTGCGTGCGACTGAGATTTGGGGATTTGCTAAAGTGCGCCGTGGAGGATTGTGGGAGTTGTCAGTGCCACTCGCCGTGAGCCCTTTGAAGTGAGAGGTGAAAGTAAGAGGAAGTTGTCGTGGGAAGGTGCCACCTCGGCCTGCGCCGCTGCCGCAAGTGAGCGGAAAGGAAGCGTAGGCAAGGCGCCTCGTCAGCCTCGCTAGCCTTGCGTACAATTAAGGTGCCTTGTCTCAGCCTCGCCTCCAGCAAAGCTAGACCGTAGCGCATGTAGCGCATTGTCGCCTTCCTCTCTCTATTCTGGGCGGCCCTTGAGAAAGGACTGGGCTGGAACTTTCTTCTTCTATGTACAATGGTAACTAAACAATTGGACAAAGGCTTCCTCTGGGCAGTCCCTCAGCACGTGCGGCCTGTGTCAACATATCTGCACGGATCCCAGATGCCGACCAAGTCTTCCTGTTTTCCTCTCCCAATCTCCGTTGATAAAATTCGTGTTTGGTTCCTGTGCCAGGTTCTTGAGATACAATGTCGAGTTTGGTCCATGTGTCAAAATATTGTAATGTCATTTCGAGAGATATGTGATCGTACCGTTCCTTAGGTTGAAGATATTCCATCACAAACACGCCCACATCCTTCCACCCGCTATGCTAGAATTGACGAGGGAAAGCGCTTGAAACACATTGGAATCCCAATGAGCGAAGCCTTTGAGCAGTATATCTTGTCCAATATCAAAGCGACTAAGCAGCTAGCGGTCATAGAGAACCAGCAGCAGTGCCTTCGCATCAGAGCTCACCGAATATTACCACATGTCATCGTCATCATCGTCCAGCTGGGATCCGCCCTGTCGCGAATTGCCCTGGTGTAACTGCTCTTGTGGTTGATTGTTGTGATAGTATTGATTATATCCTCCGGCGCCGCCGCCATATGCTGAGCCATTACCTTCAACCGATTGTTTGCTCCCCCTTGAACTAGGCCTCGAATTGCTAGCATCATAATCGTAAGTGGGCGCATCACCCGCAAAGTCCTGTTGGGAGCCATATGACTGGTCTCCTTGGTACGGCTGCTGCTGCTGTTGCGCTTGTTGCTACAAAGATATTAGCACAAGCTTTTTTTCACGATGCCTCGAACACAAATACTCACTTGTTGGTATCGTTGATATTGGACATATTCGTCCGGTTGCTGCTGCTCTTTCTGCTGCTGCTTCCGCTGCTGTTTGGCACTCGTCGGGAGATTCATTTGTGGGTGCATCTGCTGGACCTTTGCCAAATAACTGTACATAAAATTACTAAGGAGCACCTGCGAGTACAGGGCTCGACGAGGGTTGGCCAATTTGATGTGCGCCATGCGGTAGATGGCCCTTTCTTCCAGGATCGAAAATCGGGTCCAGTTATAGTCGATGTCGGGTTTCAGTTCTCGGTATGGCGGTTCGGGCGATAGACCTCTGTCGCGGTGTTTCTTTGAGCTGCTGTCCTTCTCGCCCTTGCTCCTTTTCCCACCGAATATAGAAGAGAAAAGGCCTTCTTTCTCCTTCTTGTCACTTCCTGACGCTTTCCGTTGGCTTTCCTTTCTGCGTTCTTCATCGAGCTTCAGGTGTTCCCGGTCCAGAACAAGGCTTTCACGCCCGCGGACACCTCCGTCGATGGACGTTTGGAGCACGTCAAGTCGAGTATTGTCATGTTGCTGTGGAGGTTTGGAGATTTTGGCCTTCGGTTTCTCCGATTTGTCCTTGTCTCCATCTTCTTTGCCTAGCAACCAACTCCAGCTCGATTTTTTGGTCTCTTCCTTCTTTTTATGTTCGGCCGCCCTCTTATCCACAGTCAGTGTCGGTATAAAGGATAAGTTGCTCGTATTCGTATCATTTCCAGGCAAAGGAGATGGCTGTTCAAGACTCTGGGTCGGCTTTGACTGTGGCGGTATCTGGCTTGCTGGAGATGTTGTTCGTGTTGTAATTGCTGGCATGGAGCCCCTGGAAGGCATTGATGGCCTTTGCGGGGAAATGGCTCTTGTCCGGCTATCATCTCGAGAAGACACTCTCTCAGGGTGTCGTACTAGCTGTTGCACAGGTGGAGGCGTCATCGAAGAGGACCGCGGAGGCTGGACAGAGACTTGAGGAGCCTCTGGGGGAGGCGGAGTCTCAACAATCTGGGGCACAGGTTTTCGATCAAACGAAACACTCGTTGATGGAGGTGATTTTGGAGGAGGTGGTGATTTTCGCGATTCGGGCGGACCTGCTGAGGTCGTTCTTTTCGTTTCATCGTCGTTGCTGAACGTGTAGTCAAATGATGTTGACACAGACGAATTCCCGCTTGCGGTGGACGAGTTTGCCGGTCGGGAGAAATTTGTAGGGGCGGTTCTTCCAGCATTTTCTGTGCTAGATAGACCCTTCAAAGTCTGCGCAAGGCTGGGACCCTCGATAGATAGGTTCGGCAGCGGAGGAATTGCCGGAACACTGGATTCAGGCGATTCGGGTCTGCTGCCTGAAGGGCTGCCAGCCGCAGCCCTTCTCGCCGCACGTTGAGCATAGGTGCCTCGGTCTCCCCTGCCTTTGACACTTCCACCGCGCCTATAAGTTGTTCGCGTGGACCTTTTCAAACTGTTGCCTGGGACTGACGGTAGTATGATATCTGGCGCATCATCTTCTGACGAGGGCTCTAGACTCGGCCTTGATAAACCCGGGGTGTTTGCAACCAATGTTTCCAGCTCCTGCAAATTTGGGTCCTGTGGGCCAGTCCGGCGCGACAGTGATCTTTTCCTCTCTAATCGGTCTGCACCATCTTGGTATCCCACAGAGCTATCAATCTGGCGAGATAGCATTGACTTCTTCCTGCGCAAACCAGAGCTTCCTCCTTCAGTGCTTAATGAGGAAGATCGGGAGGAGGATGGGGTAGTAAAAGCGGACAGTTCGCCAGATCTCCTTCTGATTTGCTCCGCTTTGCTCTCCAAAAAGGTCTTGAATTCTTTCGGAGCGAGTTCTGGGTGCAATCGGGCCGGCACCCAGAATAGTCTTGAGGAGTCGTCTTCGCTGGAAGTCGGGGATGGTGCACTCGGCATGCCGGCTGCACTCAGTTGAGGAAGGTCTGGATCATCGGCTGCGCCCATATGCATTGACATCCGTCTTAAGGCTTGTAAATTGCTCAGCTCTTGCGCCAGGCCTGCCGGACTGGACTCGTAGTCGATATCATTTAAAGGGAAGGGAGAAGTGGCGGTGTCGGAAGGTGATCGTTCCCTCGTGCCAGATGCGGGCGACGAAGATGTGTGATTACGGTGTTCCCAAGAATTAACCTGGCCAGAGGATCCTCTGGAGACGCCGTTTGGTTGTGCGACAACATGATCGTTTGACATATCTCGGTAGGGTAACTGCTTCCTCGCTATGGACGGCGTCCTCCTGGGGGTCACATCGTCTTCCACTTGGTGGCCATTGATTTTAACTTGTGATTGTGAATTCGCACTCTGATACGGGCTCGAATAGGACGAGTGCTGTTGGTCTTGCTCGGGATCGTCATCGTAGAGGTAGCCAATGGTTTCAGTAACATGGTGGTTTTCGTCGCTTATCGACAATCGGGGCAGGTGCCCCCTTTGGCGAGCAGCGAAGCTCGCGCCTGTGTCTCGACTCCGGGTTGAGGTCTGCAAGAGTCACCGTGTCAGTTGGTTCATTTCAGCCTTGGTATTGCACCGAGTGCTCCTCCCTCATCGTCCCAATCTCACGGATCGATTTCGCCCAAGAGGAAAGGGAACAATTCGACGAACCTGCATGGAGCGGACCAGAAGCGGTTATAGCTCTCCAGGGCGGACGGAACTGGCTTATCCTTTATCAAAGGCGCGTGCAAACACAGGCAACAGCCTTCCCTCCTGGCCGGCCTCCTGCGCGCAATGGCCGACAGGTTGGTGCTGCGGAGGGGACTCCTTTAATCATCGGACTGAGGCAGGCAGGATTCGGAGCAGATAGGACGGCCGAGAAGGATTGTTCGATGTTGGGCAATACTCGGAAGCAATTGAGGTTATCGAGCAGCGACTGTGGTAATGGTGGGCCAAGTTGCAACAATTGAGATCATGGGGGATGATCAACGCGGACGGGAGTTGCGTTGCGGCGGCTTGTACCCAGGCACGCAGCCAGCAACTGGGGCCCAAAGGCAGGGTTCAGAAGATCCGGATGTGCAGTGGCCACTGACAGGGCGAGACAAATCTCTGGGTTACTCAGAGGGAGTGTCAGTTGGGCTGCTAAATGTAGAGTCGTGGGTTGGTGATGTGCAGGACAAGACACAGGAGGATGGGGATCATAGCAGGCAAGTAGCCGCGCTCTTGTCAGCCAATGGTGGAATTGCAACCCCGTATCCCTGTCAATCGCCTAGGCGTGCCCATATTATTTCGTGCTGTGCCTTGATCAGTGGCGCTGGGTGGACCTCTACTACTGTACTTCTAACCTGCGGCGGTGCTCCATCATTCGTCCGCTACCCTTCCCTCCCTTTCCGCCAAATCCACCATCGGACAATTGACACAGTGTCGTGCTCCTATCCTGACTTGGCAAGCGAGGCGGAAGGCTATCTCGAACCCGTCATAGGTACGTCGTACGGGTTTGGACAAATCTGTATACTAGCTAGATAACATGGGAGGTTGCTCTCTAGTTCCTGTGTCAATTTCATCTTCTTCCATCGAAGAGATCTGCGTTCATCCCATAGTCTCGTAGCTCTGCGTCTCGGACTTCAGCAGAGGGTGAATCGCGCCAACTTGTTCAATCCAGTTCAACCCCATGGATTATCGAAAGGATCCGATGTGCCTCCAAATCCTCCACTACTTTTGGCGGGCGGGGCCACTGGCGTCTGTGTTGTAGAAGCTGAGGTCCATCCTCCAAAGTCCTCGTCGGCTGTGACTGACGCCTGTCGCACTGGTTTGTTGCTCGACGAAATTGGCTCTCCCCATCCTCCATGGATGTCATTCGGCGTAATGTGGGCTGGTGGTCTTCCCAAATCGACCTTGGGCTGCGCTGGCTTCGCAGGTGTCGGGTCCGGCGCCCCCCAAGGGCTGTTATCGTTACTTGAAGCCCACGGGTCGAACATTGATGAGCTGGTTTGAGGTACCGCTGGCGCTTTGAACGGTTGGGGAGCCGGCTTTGGGGTTGACGCGGGCTGCGCAGACAGATTGAAAGGTGAACTAAAGGTCGAGCTGCTGATGGTTGGTGGCGACACTTGTGGGGCGGGTGCCGGTTTTGGTGGCGACGCAGGTGTCGAGCTGGCAAAGCCGCCAAAGTCGTCAGCCGCGAATAGGTCAGCAGGGATAGAGGTAGCAGAAGGTCTAGATGCTGGGGCGGGTGCAGGTTGCGGAGGCGGAGACCTTTGGGTAAAAGAGAAATCTAGTCCATTTGAGGCAGAGGGCGAGGTGACAGTTGGCTTCACAGCGGGTGCTTTGGAGGGAAGGGCGTCGAAGAAACTGCCACCACTCAGGGGAGGCGGCGATGTCACCTGGGGTGCAGAGGGTGTGGCTTTCGGCGCTGCAACGGGACTGGTCAAGCTTCCGAAGGCGGAGAACGCAGACGACGGCTGTGGAGCAGGGGGTTTTGTGGTTGTTGGATTCGGGAAGCTCAATCCACTAAAGGCATCGGCAAGCCCTCCAAATGCATCTTGCTTCGCTGGTAAGGGTGATGTTGCCATTCCTCCAAATGATGGCTGACGATCATGCTGAGGCTGGGGTGCAGGTTGAGGTTTAGGAGCAGCAGAATATAATGAGAGGATTGAACTCTTCAGGTCCCCTCTGGGATTCGAAGAGGCTGGAGGATTAGACGCTGCGCTCGAAGGTCGACCAAGACCACCTGATGAGGGGCCGCCAAAGAAATCCAGCCCAAGCAGAGAATCTTGTGGTTTCGCAGCGGGTTTTGGAGCCGGAGCCGGAGCCGGTGGACCAGTTCGTGTGGGTTTCGAGTCAGGGATGTCTGCTGTATTCGGCCTGACTGGTGGAGCTGGAGCGAAGTCGTCGAAAAGATTCACATTTGCAGCAGGTCGAGGCTGCGGAGGTGGTTGAGTGGACGCTTGACGCTGAGAAGCCGACCTCTCAATTTTGGCCTTCTCTTGCACAATATTCAAGGGCATGTTATCGTCACCTTCTGCGTCTAGCGTCGAGGGATCAGGCATGGGGCCGTCCATTACCCATCTCTTGGACTCGTACTTTGTGCGTATGAAGTTCTCAATCTTCGCCTCAGATGGCACGTGCCCCGGAGCCAACTTGGCCTCCCAGTATTTGTTTGCTCTTGTGTTGCCCCATTTCAGGACGCTTTGTAGTTGCTCGTCTGTCCAGGCATCCAGGTCAACCGACTTGACCCGACTGATATGAGTACCCATCCCTCGATGAATGCCTGAACATCGAATACAGATGAATACCCCGAGATTCCAGCTTGCCCATCGTGGATGTTTGTTTCTTTTGCAGTCGGCGCAGACTTTATTTCCTTCGAGTTTGACGAGGGCTTTGAGGGTTTGGGCATTCTGTGCCGCCCTGTCATTAGCGGGCCGTCGAGACATTGAGATTCAAGCGTCCGTGACGACTTGGTGAGGGGGGGGATTGCTGGAGGGCACGGCTATCAAGTCGAAGGAGGCCGAAGTCTAAAAAGTCGGAGGACTCCCAAGAGACAGGAGTGCAAGGTTAACTCGCCAACTGGTTGAAGTCAGAGAATGGATCGTTCACGCAGTGTGGTCCGCAATGACGGATAAGTTCCAAGTGGCCCTTGCCTGCCGAGTTGGAATGACAGAATTTCAATGTCAGCGCTCGCGCCAGTTTCTGGGGATGTGCCCGTACCCGCCGCTTTAGAAGCTGGACGGCAACTCTTCACGTGATTGCGCGTCGATTTCTAACAACGCGGCCCTGCCGTTCTTTGCTTTCGCTCCTCTATTGCTGAAATCATGCCTCTGAGCTTCAAGTCGGTAATTCTTGTCTGTCACCGAGCCGAGTCCGTCTGCTTGTTATCGCAAGCACAGTCTCGCCCGATTGGTGATCTTTTAGTGGTGATTCTGGCTATAGCCGTTGTTGTGGATGATACTGAGGGGACCTGGGCGTTGACGGTCACATCCCGACAAGGCTTTCCGCGACGTGTTATGCTTCAGTCGTCCCAATACTGACATTGTCCAGGATCTATCCGTATAGCACGAAGCTCAGAAACTCACAAATAACGGAAAGACTTGACTTTGCCAGGTGAGCACTCAAGGCTGCAAGAAAACCGCAATGGTCCGTCCAGCCATAAACGCAGTCCTTACCTCTTGCTTGCGCGCCCTTCTCGAGCCTGAGCAGTCGCATTGCTATAACGAAAGAAATGATCCATCGAGGCAAGACGACGCGTAAGGTGTCCGGCGAAGCAATTCATGGTGATTCAGAGGTCAGTCTTGAGAACTCCCTCTCTGCGCCTTGTCGATACCCTGGAAAGACGGAGTCGAGATTCAGGGGTCTCTTGCTCGAGTATTACCCATTGGCGTCTTGCCCATTGAGCAGACGTTATCTGGTCCCTCGATTGGCGAAAGAGCTGCAAAATGAGCAGTACCGTTATCTATCCTCTTCGCGATGTCTCAAGCAAGGAGGGTTGGCCAAAGGAATCTCTTTGATGGATCCCACCACATACGCTTTCGAGTCAGCCTCAGCATCATCGGTGATTTCTAATGCCCACTCAAATCCCTTCATTTCATTTGTCTCTTCTCTGCACACTGCGTGACCTTCTGGTTCCGCCAATCGGCAAGATCCTAGTCATTGATCCCGACGCGCTCCCACATGAGGAAGCAAGTCTGCTCGAAGACGTTGACAATCTCCTGTGAGCGATTACTAAGTAAATGACTGATCGGATAACTATATTATTACTGATGGTAGAAACTTAGAGTTTCTTCCACGTATATATGCGGGTGTATAACTGTGCTAGCCTGGTCGCAGTAGTGGCTACCAAGTCGCGCTAATGACTGCCAAGCCACAGCTCGATAGTGCCTAAACGGCACGCTCTTGGCACTTGATTCAGGCTCTTCAGATAGCCCTGGTTGTGTGGTTGATGGCGATAGATTTGGTCCTAATTGTCAATTACCGGGACACCACCGGGACACCCGGCGATTCTTACAAGAAGAGCTGCGATATCCTATACCACGATTAGCTCGGGCCTCAACCTGTGTAAACGCTGCCACTAACGATTCACCATAGTGTGTCCTCCTGATAGCCTCGCCGAGCATGGCGGATACATCCATGGTTCGTATCTTACTGCACTCCCTTGCACGCTGTGAAAGAGGTATCGTATTCGCCACGACAATCTCGTCCAGGGCACTATTCTCGATCACGTCGATTGCTCTGCCACTCAGAAAGGCATGCACGACCAGTGCGATGCATTTTTGGGCGCCGTTCTCGGTGAGAATCTTCGACGCAAGGGCAATCGTCCCGCATGTATCTGCGATGTCGTCGATAATGATGGCAGTCTTGCCCGTGACGTTGCCGACAAGGATCATGCGTGAGACCTCGTTCGCAATCTGGCGTTCTTTATGGATCAAGGCAAAATCCACTTTGAGCTTGTCTGCGATGTAGGTCGCCCTGAATCGGAGAGACGGTTAGTTCTTGTTCCATGGAAATGTGATCCAATGCTACCTTTTGGCACCACCGGCGTCAGGCGAAACGATGACCACATTGTCGATCTCGTAGTGCTGCTGGATATAGTCTCTCATTGTGGTTTCAGCGTAGAGCTACGAGACAAATTCAGTAAGACAAAGTGAAAAGGAGCACATGGACATCTCACACTAATTTCAGATCAGCAATGTTGGATCTCAGGACTGGAGAGTAATGGTGCCATACTTATCCACTGGAATGTCGAAGAAACCTTGAATCTGGGAAGCGTGAAGGTCCATTGTCTGAGCTTCGGAGTCAGCGTTGAAAGCTTCTGTCTATACCAGTAATTCTCAGCCCTCACAATCACATGGTTGCATCCTGCAGTCTGGAGCATATTGGCAACGAGTTTAGCCGTGATCGGTGCTCTGCTTCTGTCCTTCTTGTCTTGCCTGGCATAGGGAAAACAAGGTAGGACAACGGTGATCTGGCGTGCTGAAGCAATCTTGCAGGCGTTGATGGTAATGAGCAACTCCATCAACAGGTCGTTCACCGGCTCAGCCGCTGTTTGGATGATAAAGACATCTTGATCCCGGACGGAATCGACCACGGTCACTATGGTCTCGCCATTTGCGAAACGTCGCGTTTGAAGTTCCCCGATGGGCCTTGTGATCCTTGCGCCTGAGTCAATATGACTGTTGCAGCAGAATTGCTTGGAAGAGAGCGGCAGACTTTTTAGAGATGAGCTCGGCCAGCTCAGGGTGGCTGCTTCCTGCACTCAGATCAGTATACTATCGGGGTATCAACACTGGAACTTTGGTATAGGTCCATACCTGCGAGGATCTTTAGCGTGCTTCCCAGCATCAGGGCCACAGTCTTGTGGGTTTTATCTAAGGTTCTGGCATTCGAGGCTACAGCTGCGACCTTCAACTACCTATCGATGCCGGCGCACGGAGTGGGCTTTCTTTAGTAACATGCATTGCCTCTTCAAGACATGGCGCAGTCCCATCTCTGGACGACTCTGGTTGACTCATTCCACGCTCATCTCCCCACCTTTGTCGATGGGGAAGACCGTCCACACTCACCGCCTACTTGGACCTTGGATCGTTCTTCTCCGCGCCTCCCCACCTTTGATCCCAAAGCATTCGAGCTGGAACGGCCGGGCAGACCCGTGGGCCTAACGGAGGGCACCGAAGACTAGTTTGTGGGCTATCACTCTTTCAATGGGGGTCCTCTACGATATCTCCCTCGACTCTGTTCGCACGTCAGGTTGAACCCAATCGCCAATTCAATCCTCTTTACACCTGATCTCTGCAACAATGGCGCTGCCGATGCCTGAGCCCACCATTCCTCCATTGCCGTTACCACACTACAAGGTCATATCTTTCGACATCTACGGCAGCTTGATTGAATACAAGGCTCACATCGTCCGGGCATTCCAGCCTCTGCTCTCTCGTCTTCCGCCTTCGTCCCCGTATCTGGACCCAACGCCTTTGTCGAGCGAGGTGCCAAACAGCAATACTATCGGCTCGATCCAGTTTCTCAAGCTATTCCAGCAGCAAGAGGACCTGATCAAACTAGAGAAGCCCGTACGACGATTTGATAAGATTCTGTCCGAGATCTGGCGACGGATAGCACGCGAACTGCAAGTCGAGAGCAGCGAAGATGAAGCCCTTAACTTTGGGAGTGAGGCGGTGATTTCGTCGTGGCCTTGTTTTCCAGGCACCATCAGAGCCTTGAGGCAGCTCCAGAGGAACTACCGCCTCGTAGCGTTGTCCAATATTGACCGCTTCGCCTGGTATATCACGTCATCTTCACCAACGAGCGGACTTGGCGACGTGAGCTGGTGGAAGGTGTTTACGTCTGAGGATTTTGGAGGCGACGCGGCACGACTGGACGAGACGAGGCTGGAGACTTTAGTCAACTACTGCGCCAAGTACGGCGTGCAGAAGAACGAGATCCTTCACGTTGCTCAGAGCCTTGGTCACGACCACGCGCCCGCGAAACGGCTGGGTCTGAGTAGTGTCTTCCTGATCGGCGATGGACCCCGATGGGGCAAGGAAGCGGAAAGCAAGATGGTCCTGGAGAAGGAACTGGTCGGGTATGCGTGGAGATGTCAGAACCTTCAGGAATTCGCCGAGCTCGTCGAACGGGCGTGGGACAACGTGACTCCGATTGAATGATTTCAACACGGCCGGAGCGCCCCAAGAGGAGCCACCGCTGATGTTTCGCGATGCTTGGGTTTTTGCCAGGGATGAACGGTCTGGACATTGTAGCACAGGGTAATTGCGCCGTGTACCGAATGAAGAATTCTCATTCAACCAACCAACCATCAGTTCTTGTAGTTCAAAGAGGTTCAAAGAATTCCTCTCGTTGCCGTCGCGTGTCATCGATACAGCATATGTGGATATGACTATTCGACACGATAGGCTTCAGTTTCGCGAGACAAGTCAGGATATGGCATTGTATGATCTAAGAAGCCACATCAAATCTATGATTTTGGGCAACCCGGGCCAAAGCAGCGCGACTCCGCCTCTATTTCCGAAGCCAGGTATCACGAATTAGTCGCCATGGACGCCCAGAATTCATCCAGCAGCTCGTGCCGCTTCACCGCCAGGTCGAAATCGCCGTATCCTTCCCCCGAGGCATACGCCTCGTAGAGCCGACCGATGTTCTGCCCTTGGTTCGGCAGCCGCGTCCACTCGTCCCCTCCTTCGTCGACGGCAATATCCTCCACCGTCTTGGTCTCCAGGTTGTACAGTCGAACGCTGAGCGCCTTGGCCATCTGGGGTCCCGCGCTGGCGAAATCCACCAACAAGACGGCCCTCGTGCCGTAGATCTCCCAGGTCGAGCCGGGGGCGTCGAGAAATCTGGCTCCGCTGCGCAGGTGGAAGCTCAGCACCGCCGGCGGCTCGCGGGCGAATTGGCCCTGCAGCAGGATTTGATCCGGCGTGTCCTTTTCGTAGAGTTCCGGTGACAACGTCCCATCCGCCCTTTTGATGGGCATCTTCGGTCGGAGGTTGACGGCCAGGGGTTTGTAGCTGCCGGGTTTGAGCTCCCCCACGGCGAAGAGGATGGAGTCAAGTGCGTGGCCGCCGTAAATGGTCAGCGGATTGGCGCCGACCTTCCGTTGCAGGAAATGAGAGTATCGTTCGTCAGCGGCGTTGTCTTGCCAGTTGTTGATGACCCCGTGGTAATGGACGCTGTGGATCTCCCCCAAGGCGCCGGAGTCGACCAGCTCTTTGATCTTCCTGATTGACGGCGACGCCCGAGCCTGGAATCCAATCATAGTTCGAACGCCGTTCTCGTTGGCCAGGGCGGCGATCTTCCTCGCCTCTTCCGTGGTGGTAGCCAAGGGCCATTCAACAAAGACGTTCCGTTTGGCCTTCAGGGCCGGCACCACCACGTCGTAGTGGCTGTCGACCCGTGTCGACACGACGAAGAGGTCGACATTGGGGTCCGCGGCGATGCCGTCGTAGGAGTCATACGCCTGGACCGTCTCGGGGAGATTGTGCGCCTTGATGGCTGCCTTGGTGGACTCGAGCGTCGAATTGCACATGGCCACAATCTCGAAATTCGGGGACGAGGCGAGCCGTGGCAGATGAGCCAGGGCCGCCCAGGCCCCCGGCTTGCTGGATAGGCCGACTATTCCCACCCGAATTTTCCCCATTTTGTCGTTATGTCCTGGGCTATAGCATGCAGGTATAAGGTCGGGTCGTGCGCGGTGAATTGGTCCAGCGGCGTTCAGTTCTCTCTCTTTTTCTGTGCACGTTCTAATCTTCGAGGGATGCGGATGCGGATTTGCTTTTCCATACAGCGCCGCGGAGCCTATAGCTTTTCGTGCTTGGAGGTGATTGAATTACAACTGGGGCCAGGTTTCCTGCTTAGAAGTGGAGAGGGTATTAAACAGTCAATCGATCTTGAACTGCAGCGCAAAGCTCTCGGCGAGTGACCGTTCGAGGTTCGGGCATAGACACAGCAAAGGATGGACAGCAGGTCATCCGGCTCGTTGAGTGGGGAGCATCGTGGCACCTCATAACGGTCCCCATCCTTGACTCAAATAGGAAACGCAACCCTGAACCTCGAGGACGCATCCAACACGTGTCAACATGTAGATGCAACTTGCCCTAGCCTGTGCTGATTTTCAAAGGACAACAACTCAGGCACCCTCGAGCCGATTATCGCCGGGAAGGGAATAACAAAAGGATCTGTGATTAATCCGGTGTCGACCAGGTATGTTATCGTCGCGGAGCTTGGTCACTGTCCGGCAAGGGTGATTAAGTTGGATCCTTTTCAACACAGACAGAAGACCGCGACGACAATGGCGAGCAGCCAGACCCCGTACTTGGAGATTAGCGAGATCCTGTCGTTGGAGAGCGTTCGATCGCAAGCGCAGCATGTTCTAGACGCCGCGAGGAACGGGTCCTTGAACCATTTCGACTTCGACGAAGGTCGGATGCCAGAAGTCGCGGATTTTGTCCTATCTATTATCTCGGTTGGTTCTTACAATACTCCTAAACTTGAAAAATCCAGACCCCCACTGACCAGGTCTTTTGTTTCCCCCTTTTGAACAGCGTGATTTCGGCCCAGACAAGTACGACCAGATCCCCCCTCACGGGCGGTGGCAGCAGTTCAACGTCGGCAACCATGAACGAATTGCCCCGCTCCTGGAGGAATGGACGGGCCAAGGCTGCGACAAGACCGAGCTCGCACGTCGGATGGTCGACTTGTTGTTCGTCTCCGTTTTAATGGACGCTGGCGCCGGCGATGTCTGGCAGTTCAGAGAGCCCGGGACCGGGCAAACGTTCGGGAGGAGTGAGGGCATCGCGCTGGCGACCCTTCACATGTTCTTGGCCGGGAAGTTCCAATCGCAGGGTGCCAGTGGCCACTTCGTTGACGGTATGTTGCTCGGCGACCTCCCGCGAGGGTCCCAGTTCGCAGGACTGCTCTGACTTGGACAGCTCGTGGGCTCGCCGACATGAGCCAACAGACAATGGAGCAGGGGTTCCAGATCTCGCCTAAGAATGAGATGACTGCCTTTTCGTCTCGAGTGGTTCTGTTGAATCGACTCGGCGTGTCACTGCTCAACCTCGCTCCCGTCTTCGGAGCAACAGGGCGTCCTGGCAATCTTGTTGGTAAGCAAGTCTGAGCATATCATTCTCTCTATCACTACGACCTATCTGATAACCCGACGACAGACTACCTGCTTGACAACTCGGCACAATCGAATGTCCTCGACTTTGCCTTCCTGTGGCGTACATTGCAGCAATTGCTTCTCCCTGTCTGGCCAGAAAACCGGCCGCACATCGCTGGGCGACCAATAGGTGACGCATGGCCTCTCCGAGTGCTTGCCCAGCGTGCCGAGGCGACAGGGGATAAACGCCTCACCAGCAACATTCAACCCTTCCACAAGTTGACCCAATGGCTCGCTTACTCGCTAAAGGTGCCGTTCATGAGATTGCTTGATCTTCGATGGAGCAACGAGCACCTCAGCACTGGTCTCGCCGAGTACCGTAACGGGGGCATCTTCTTGGACATTCCAGTTTTGCGGCTGAAGCCAGAGGCCTTGGAAAAGGGGCAGAAACTCTCGGGCCAGGAGTTACCTCAGTTTGAGGCAACAGGCGATGAAATCGTCGAGTGGAGGGCGATGACGGTTGCCCTTCTGGACGAGCTTCACAACATTCTCCTGGCACGGTTGAAGGCGCAGAAAGTCTCCTTGAGTCTGGGACAGATGCTGGAGGCCGGTACATTCAAAGCCGGCCGAGAGCTGGCGGCGAAGTTCAGGCCTTCGACCAGATCCAGTCCCATCCTGATATCTGGGGATGGAACTCTTTTCTGAGTCTAGTAGTTCATGAGTGTCGTATGGTCGAGTCCCTGAAGGTCTTGGGCGATATATAATCATTCTTTCGCAGACATGTGAGGCACGAGAACGGCGACGGCGATCTCTAGGGGGCCCTTTGCGGTGATGTCCGTTGTCACCAGATATCTACAGTATCTCATCTCTCATTCTTGTGTGCGGTGGATGGCTAGGCATGATAGGAGTTTATCAATCTTGATGCATTGCTGACCTCTCCAAAAAGATGTGCCTCACTGTCGCAAGTGCAGTTAATCGCCTAGCTTCTTACCTGTACAACAGGGGCATCCGCGGCAACCGTGGTACCTGAGAAAGGTAGAGGAAGGTCTGCCAAACACTGAGCCTTGAGAGCTTCACACAGTAATTGTTTCCATTTCAGGCCAGCTTGGATATATACTTGCCCTTTTCATCGACGCCCGGATAAGGGGTGAGTTCTGGCCGGCATTCTATACGACGATCTCGTTTTGAAAGCAGATCGAGGTGGGAAATCGCCGGCAAACCACGCTATTGCCGTGTAGAATCTGGGGAATCCGAAGCAGAGGGGGGTAGGAGTAAGCTTCGCTTATGTATTTCCTCGACACGCAAGATTCCCCATTCTTGTTTTCTGGGCAGCAACCGCCCGGTCCGTCGTGAGCGAAGAGGTTGCCTATCTTCGCAGATATTCCTCACGGCATAAAAGACCAGTCAGCTGTGCTTGTTTGCTGCAACAAAGAAACCCTTCGTAACAGAGGCCAAACGGGGCCTTCCGGCTGGTCGAAGGGAGGTACTGGCACAGCAACAGCCAACGACATGTCTTCACCAGCCATCCTTCCCGACGGCCCATACTGTCGAAACTACTTCTTCGTTGGCGGCGAGTACGTGGCGGATGACTCCAAATTCGGCGGATGCATCATGAAAGGCCAAACGTACGTCGAACACCTGGTCCCAATCCATGGAGTGCGACGTCGGTTCCCCCTGATCTTCGTCCACGGAGGAGGCCAAAGTGGACTGGTGAGTGGTGATTTCACACGAACACCCCCCCCCCCCCCAAAACGAGTTTTCTCAATAGAAGTGGCTAATTTCTAGGGGGGGCGCGCACACACAGAACTGGCTGCACACGCCGGACGACCGTCCGGGATGGGCGTCGTATTTCCTGGACCAGGGGTTTGCCGTCTACATCATGGACACGCCGTCCAGGGGCAGGTCCGCTCCCGATTTCCGGGAGCATCACACGACGTACTCGACCGGGTTTGTCGAGCAGTGGTTTACCTCGCCGTCGCCTTCGTCGCAGTGGCCCCAGGCGGCGTTGCACACCCAATGGCCCGGTGTAAGTGGAAGCGTCCCTCAACCAGATCCAAGCTTTAGTTTAGTAGCTGCGTCGGTTTTCCGCTGTCTCGTGTCGAGGAAGCAAGACAATATAACGACTACTTGTTCCTACACCGCTTGACTAACGCCGTTACCAGACCGGGCGTCGGGGTGACCCGATCTTTGATGCCTTCTATTCCACCACGTACCCCAGCGTCACCGATCTATGCGCATATCAGGAAGCCCAGAAACAGGCGATCGTGGCACTCCTCAGGCGAATTGGAAGTCCCAGCATCCTGGTGACACACTCTCAAGGCGCCCCGGGAGGCTGGCTCGCCGCCGATGCATGCCAGCAACTTGTGAGCGCCATCGTCGCCGTGGAGCCCAACGGTCCTCCGTTCGCCGGCACGCATCCCCATAACGGCGAGCCGGCGAGGAAGTGGGGACTGGCAGACGTCCCCATCGAATACTCGCCTCCAGTCACGGCCGTCTCGGAGTTGGATTTGGTCACGATTCCCTCCTCAGAGCCGGGCAGAGACCCCACGGTGCTCCAGAGCGAAGGGGACGGACGCGTCATCCGCAAACTGAAGAATCTCCAGCAGATCCCCGTCCTGGTCGAGGTCGGCGAGGCCAGCTACCACGCCCCGTACGACCACGCCACGGTGGCCTATCTCCGCCAGGCTGGGGTCCCCTGCGACTTCATCAGGCTGGAGGAGTTGGGCATCAAAGGCAACGGACACATGCAGATGCTGGAGCTCAATAACCTGGAAATTGCCAAGGTGCTGGACAACTGGATTCAGGCTAAGGTGGAGAGTAGTAATTCATGATGCTTTCCCAAGCTTCAACTTGGGGAAGAAGGTCCTCTATTGGCTTCATCTAGACAGAGGTGGCATGTTTCGTCATGATGGGGGCAAAGAGTGGGAAAGATAGATATACGCTGGAGAAGACGATCGATGAAGAGCTAGAACCTCAACTTTCGACTTATTGTCGTCTTTTCACAATGCCAGCAGCTAGTTGCACGAGGCAAACAGCGTGATGCGTTTGGAGACCAGCCAGTCCATCCTTAACCCGCCACACTCGAGGGAATTGGGACTGGTGGTGTTCGGCACCCACTTTTGGGCCCCATTCCTGAGGCGCAACGACGACTTTCTCCACTCGGCCCAGCAGTGGTTCTTCGTCGGTTGCCCGGCGTCTGTGACGTAGACTCGTCGAATGTATCCAGTCGTCGTCCATTCTGCGAGCGTGGGGTTCGAGCACCTAGTCTTTTTGGTAACTGGGACAATATCTCGACTGGTTGGCGGCAATGGAAATGGACATTGGGGAAGCATTCGTGGAGTGGGATGGGATGTTTGAGGGTGGGGATCTTGGAGTGTGTGCCTCCCATTATTTCTCTAGTCCACTACTACTGGGGTCAAGGACAACAACGCCCACGCCATGTCTTTGGGTCCAGCTGAGCAGTTCATGCGGGCTTGAAGAGCATTTGTGCCAAAGCTGCCCAAAAACGTTGGTCGAGCCTTCTATCCACCGGAATGGCGGCATGTCTACGTTAAGAATCGACGAGCCCGTGGAAGAGAGGGAAGAATCAAGACTGTATGGACTTTTCCAAACACGGCAGTGAAGAATGCCTATTTATTCATCGGCGACCCCTTCGTACTCGTCGGCCATGCGTTCCGGCACGAGGTCCTTGAGCAGCTTGATCCCTTCTTGGATCACGATCCACCGGATCCGGCTCAGCCGTTCGGCCATGACGGTGGTCAGCCCGGACGTCGAGTACTTGCCGAGCAGGCGCGAGAGACGCTCGGGCATCACGCTCGTCATGCTGCTGACCAGGACCTTCATCTCCGTCTCGGCCTGCCACCGCGTGGAACCGTCCGAATTCGTCCTCGCCGCGGCGGACGTCGCGGGGGACCTGTCCTGTCTTTCGCCGGCGAGTTGCTGGCGGGGGGCCGTCGTGACGTCCACCACGGTCAGGGAGTGGAACGCCCAGCAGATGAGGGTCGAGATGTAGAGCCGGAACGGATAGAAGAAGGTGTGTTGGACGTCGAAGGTTTCCAGGTTGAAGACGCTGTCGCGGAGCAAGTGCGCGGCGTGCCAGACCGCTTTCACCGCCGGGGACGACCCGCGAGCCTGGGCCCATTCTTTGACGTTGCCTTGGGCTCTGATGTAATCCGCGCGTGTGACCCGGCGACCCATGGAGCGCCGGGCCCCCGCGTAGATCTGGAGGTCTACAATGTCGACGTTCAGAGTGATATGGGCGGTGTGATAAACGGCGTTGGCCGCGGTTCGGAAGCGCGCGAAATGGGCTCGCCTCGAGTGGCTTTCGTCAAAGGACACCATCTTCAGGCAGTAGGTGTCGAAGTCGACTTTCCACGCGTCGTACGCGGCAATGAGTTGTTCCCGCCATTTTGACGTGTCCAAATAGCCGGTCTGATGCATCAGTCCTGCGAGAATTTAGTAAAACTCGACGGCCCGCTCACTTCCACCACTTACCCGACGCCATTTGGTCTACATGCTTCATTTCGCACTGGATAGATATGAGTCCATTGAGGACTAGAAGTAGAGGGAAGGCATCAAGGTCAGGGATCTTCAATCCCGATTCAAGATCCAGATACGCTGTCAGGACCGATTGGAAGGGGAGTAAAGACTCCTCGCTTGCGTACTTCCACCACTCTTCGGCAGACGTCGCCTCCCAGGCCGAGCGGCTGCAGGGCAGGGCGGTGCGGATTTCGAAGGTGGACAGTGACAGCGGTTGGGAAAAGAGGGCGGCGTTCTGAGTGTCCCAAAAGAGGCAAAGGAAAGCAACCCTGCGGTCTGTTAGCACCTCATTCTGGCCTGCATGGATCTTGGATTCACCTCTTTTGGAGCTCGACACCAATCGCCCGGCGCCAGTTAGACTCAAGAAGCTCGGGTTTATCAATCACTCTTGGTTGTTGCACAGTCAGGCATTCGCTTCGTCTGATTAGACTGTCATGGATTGGTCAGCACTGTGTCCTCTCTCAGGTGGGTTGAAGCGTACTTGACAAGGAGACCATGAAATACAAACGCCGTGTCATGTTGTCTTTGTCCTAAGGGTTGTCCATAGCGTTAGTCGGTAGCTCGGTTATGGATAAGAGCAGCACTCGAACTTCTCGCCGCATATAAGATGTCTTCATAGTGGCGTCTTGACTTACCGATGCATTCAAGCAAGAATACTGTTTGGATCATCCAAAGCTCTGGTGTCACGGAAAACGCCACCCGATGGAACACTTCGGCCCTCAAAGCATCGTACATGCGGTCGGCAAAGGTCTCAATACTATTGTCGCTGAAAGTAGCACCCAGCAAAACCACGGCGGCCAGAAGGAGAGTTTCCGTCCGAGATGGGTCGAAAGTGGCCAGATGCAGGAGTGGATAAGAAGCATTGAAACATGAAAAGAATAGTTCGAGGTAGTTTTGCATGGCAGCGTGGGACAAGAGTGACTGGTATCTTCTGGTGTCGGCGCTCTCATCAGTTGACCTGGTTTCGGCACGGTGCAACAAGCACAGTATCCTTTGGTGCGAGCCGTCATCCAGCGGAGGCGTATGCGTGTCCGGGCGACTGGGAAGACTACCCGGGCTTGACACAGAGTATGAGCTGTCTCTTTGAGATCGTGGGATCTGCTCCGATCGTTCTTGCTCCTTGTCCCTCGTAGACCCTGGACTTGTCAAAGCAGATATCGAAGACCCGGTCTCCCAGAACGAATCTAGGGTTGGAACAAGTTCAGATGGAGCCGGCGCCCTCATAGTACTTGTATCGATTCCGAGGGTGGCCGAAGTCTTGCCCTGGTTCTCCACTGCATCTGTCGAGTTTCGTCGCAGCGGTTGACCGTGCTGCGATTGTACCAACATTGATTCGCTTCCTGTATTGGGTGGCATGCTGAATAATTCACCTGATGAAGGATTCGTCCTTTCGTGGGACATGTTCTGTTGACCTGGTGGTGGGTTGAGATTCGCGGTGACTGAGAAATTCCCAAACTCTGATTGTTCGGGATTGGGCATCATGGTGGCATTTGGATCGATGAACCAGTCGAGACTGGTCACCGGCGCGAATGGTTCATGGTAAGAGGTTGTCGCTGCGGTGTACTGGTCAGTTCTATTCGTTCCTCGTGAACACAGCGATCTCCTACTAGTGTTTTGGCTCGGGCCTTCATCAAGAGGAGCATCGACTTGCATCTCCAGATCATCTGCTGGGAAGTCCCAGGATGACCGAGCCATAAATTCGAACATGTCAAATCCTAGTGCGGTTTCGATCAAGCCTTGATTTTGAGGGAATGCTTCAGCCTCCAGACTTTGGGAAATAGCCGAGTCGACTCCGGACTTGGACCTCGAGGGAGAGGCCCTCTCAGCATCGATCGATCTTGGGGAATTCAGGCAGCTCATGAACATGGGCATCTGTGCACTTTGCTGGGCGAAGTCGAGGGATTGCATCCTCAACCACTGTCTGCGCAAATAGCTGTGGGACGGCCGCTCTCGCACGATATTCCCGTTAGCATCACGCCAAAGCCTCTTTCGACTCTCGACAATGCCGAGCCCTTCACCCCCAGCCTCTTCGTCCTTCTGGCGATGTCGCGCCACGTGTCGGTCTGAGTGTGACAGTCAAATTAGCCCTACCATCCACGACCAACAGGGCCGCGTGGCGGAGGTGATGGGGTTAGCTTACCCAGGAGGTCGGGTCTCTTGAAGTGCAAACGGCATCGCGGGCAGGTGTAGTCGCCATCGCCATGATTCAACATATGACGCCGAAGATGGTCCGCGCGTGTGAAGCCTTTCTGGCACGCATCATTGGGGCAGACGAATCTCTTGGGCTTAGTACTCATGGTCGATGTCCATGGGGTATGCAGGCAACAGGGGGGCTACCCAGGGCTGCACGTGAGACCATCACCAGTGTTTGGAAAATGGACAAATGCTATGAAATCAAGGAGCTCAGTCGATCGGAAAGAGTGCAACGCTGCATGCCCAGAGATATCGCAGGCCGACCTAGCGCCAGGCACGCCGCAGGGAGGGGATGGGCCAATGCAATCAATATCAGAGCCCGTCGTCAGATAAACCACACAGGGACCTCGGCCGGGCCAGCCATTGGCATCCTCTCCGTGGCACCGGTGTCGCCTAGCTTTCGAGCCGGTTGCCCACCCTTATCGGTCACGGACAGAGCTAGCCGCAGTTGTAGACGGCGCTGGGCCTTGGTCGCAATATAAAAGAGCGTCACTACCACTGATATTATTGCCCGATGACCCCAGAAACAATACAAGATGGATAGGAAGCAAAAAGAGCGGTATTGGCAAGCATTTGGGGACGGGCAACGCCGAAAGAGTTAGGGGCAGGTGACTGGGAGCGCAAGGATTCCGTCTGCCCCTCTACCAACCCGTCTGGTCCAAGCTGCTACAAGCGAAGACTGGGGTTGAGAAAGCTGGCGGTGTGGAAGCTGCCAAAGCTGGACCCTCAACATGCAGCGGCAGATCAGGTTATGCTATTCATGTCCACTGTGAAAGCCAAACACCTTTACAACGTGGATTACTTGCAAGAATACGAACATCATTTTCTCTCATCCATCCCGCACCTCCTTCGATCCAAGAGATGACATAGTCGGGGTGCTACTGACAGAAGATGCTTTCAACCCAGAATCCACCACGCACTATGCGTCCAGCTTCTTGTACGTCGACCAGCCCTCCTCCTGCAGACGGCGCTCCTTGGCCATATTGTCATCATCCATTTTCTTGAGATGGTCAGCCACCCATTTCTGAGCCTTTTCGTCGCTGGTCCCCACGATCCTAGCAGCCAAAATCGCCGCGTTGACACTGTTCGAGATCCCGACGGTAGCGACCGGGATGCCTCGAGGCATCGAGACGATACTGCACAAACTGTCAAGTCCGTCCAAGGCCATGGCCTTGACGGGGACACCGATGACGGGGAGCACCGTCTCCGATGCCAGCATCCCCGGAAGGTGGGCTGAGCCGCCGGCCGCCGCGATGATGACCTTCAGCCCTCTTCCCGCAGCTCCCTTGGCGAAGTCCAGCATGTACTGGGGCGTCCGGTGAGCCGAAGTGATGTGGACCTCGTAAGGAATATCCATGGTGTCGAGAATCTCGATCCCGGGGCGCAAGGTCGCGAGATCGGTGTCCGAGCCCATGCAGACGGCAATCACAGCCTTGCGCTGTTCTGGCCCTCGAGACGGCATTAGCCAATGCGAGGCCAAGGGGAACGTAGACCTACCACCGCGGTACACTCTTGGGGCATCCATGTTCGAGGGTGATTTCTCTTGAGAACGGGAAGATGTTGTTCTCCGACGATTTTGGCTGGACTGCGAGGTTGTAAATGGGAAAGTGTGCGGCGATCACCGTCTCTCGCTTTCAAGCTGATTATGATCTCCTAGCCCTGGCCTTTTCTGGACGTGACACACCAACGGTGCTGTACTCGGTTAGGTCAGCGCATCAATCTTATATTACGCACTGACGCGCGATGCCCATTTTCCAGAGGTTGGCTGGTCGAGACCCCAATGTTTGGACCTGTCCACTACAGACATGGGGAGTTCCATACCGCGAGCGTGGATGGCAGGGCGCGACTCTTCTCGCGGATTCATCCGAACCAATAGTGGGGAGCAGCGACGCCACCCTTCTATGTTAAGCTAGAGGAAGCCTCTGGATTCTCAATTGCCCATGGCAGTCATAGACACGCTTTCTGGACTCTACAGCGCCAGAATCTCATCATCAGAAGTATCACCCTGGCGAGCAACCCTGCCTCTCGCGAGTAAACCGATCACGCGGCGTCGACATGGCTCTTGACTACGGCGACCTTGCGAACCTCATCCCGACGGGGCTTCCAGACAAGGTCCGAGGCTGGCTCGCCGAGGACACCCCTTCGTTCGACTATGGCGGCTTCGTCGTGGGTGAGGACATCCGCACCGCGACCCTCTACCAGAAAGCCCCCGGCGTGGTCGCCGGCGTGCCCTTCGTGAATGAGATCTTCGCGCAGTGCGGATGCACTGTCGAGTGGTTCGTCAAGGACGGCGACGCTCTCGACCCCACGACCGTCGCGGGCGGGAAGATCAAGGCCGCCACGGTCCGGGGCCCGACGCGGAAGCTGCTCCTGGCGGAGCGGGTGGCCCTGAACACGCTGGCGCGCTGCTCGGGCGTAGCCACGTCGAGCCGCAAGCTGCTCAAGCTCGTGCGCGCCGCGGGCTACACGGGCATCGTGGCTGGGACGCGCAAGACCACGCCGGGCTTCCGCCTGGTCGAGAAGTACGGCATGCTGGTCGGCGGGGCGGACCAGCACCGCATGGACCTGAGCAGCATGATCATGCTGAAGGACAACCACATCTGGGCCCGCGGCAGCATCACCGACGCGGTCCGCTCCGCCAAGGCCGTCGGCGGTTACGCCCTCAAGGTCGAGGTCGAGGTGGACAGCGAGGAGGGCGCCGACGAGGCCATCGCCGCCGGCGCCGACGTCGTCATGCTGGACAACTACGACGGGCCGGGCCTGCGGGTCGCCGCCCGGAACCTGAAGGAGAGGTGGGCGGGGAAGAAGTCGTTTCTTCTCGAGTGCAGCGGCGGGCTCACCCCGGCGAACGTGAGAGAATACGTGAACAACGGTAGGGCGGGCACTACTCCGAATTTAAGGGTGAAACGAAACGGTGCTGACTGGAAGGTAGACATTGACGTGATCTCCACGTCTGCCCTACACCAGGGGTGTCCCCATATCGACTTCTCCCTCAAGATTGATCACTAGAATCGGGCTCCTCGCTGCCGCCCGGGTAGTGCCCTACGCCACGGTTGGCTGTAGGAGTGTCCATGGTGCAACCTCTGGAAATGAGCATGAGCTGGCTTGATGGCCCCATAGTGCGCAGTGCAGTGTATTTTACAGTTTCTCCCAGATACAAGCAAGCTATCAAGTGGTAGTTGAAATTGCTAAACATCGACCCAAGGAGGAAGTATGGAATCAGAACGTCGCTCCCAAGGCTTAGGAGAAAGGGGCATAGATGCATGAAACTCTCAGTAAGCATTTTTGGACGGCGCACAAGAAACTGTCGAACTCGCCTTGCCAAAAATACCCCTTAAGAAGACCTCAAAGACATTGATAATACTCCAATCAGATTTCAAACGGGAACTAATGTATTGTGTTGCCCCCTTAGACGTGGTCGAGAAGCCAACGAGCAGCTCTTTTGCACCAACAAATACCCAGGTAGCAAGTTACAGACGACAACAACCTTGCCCTACATCTAGCAACGGAGGTACCCGAGGCTTCTCACAGCACGTATCTGAAGTCAGGGTTTTGCTCCATTCCCCGGACCGACATCTTCTTCCCGCTGTCAAGTTGCTGGTTGACCCGCCGGTAATAGAACCAGGCAAAGCTGGCCGCCAGGAGCATGCCGCCCTGGAAGCAACCGGAAACTATCAGGGCTGGCCGATACACCTGTGTCACAGGGATTAGCTCTGAGCAAGTCGCCGGAGAGACAGGGGATCCAATGTAGGCAACGCGGTCTGCACGTATGGGGTTAAAAGGCTTACTGGAGCGTCCTGGCTTCTGAAGGCGTAGGACGAGATGATCCCGGCAATGTTTTGCAGCCCGGAGAGCAGACCTAGAGTGGTTGCACGGGCCGAATTTGACGTGATATTGCTGGTCGCCCACGCCGGAACCAACACAGCGGGCGTAAATGTCTAGGATCAGTGAGTAAGTAGTTTGACACGCCATGGCTCTGGGAAGGGCGAGTATTAGGAACTTACGCCAAATGTCAACAGAAATGTGAAAAAGTAGCCCACTCCTGCCTTGTGGACAAGATCCACCGACCCCAGGCAGATGAATCCGATCATAGATGTCCCCATCGTGATCACCGACCAGATTCCTCGAGCCTGAAACCGGTCAGAAATCCAGCAGACGACGACAATCCACACGGCTCCGTTGAGATTGGGTGCTATTGTGAAGAGATTGGCCTGGACGGTGTCTGGCTTCAATCGCTTGATCAGGGTCTACCCGAAGCTCAGTCAGTTGAGGGACCACTGGTTGTGTAAAGGAACTTACGGGCAAGAAATTGGAGAGGGTGGCCATTGCGACTCCGTAACACAGCGACATAGCCCCGAACATCCACGTATGCCAATTCAACAACGGCTTCAGGGCCGCGGACCAGGAGAATTTGATCGGCTCGATTTCAAACTCCCTCTGCAGCCGAAGTGCGCCCAAGTCCTTCTCTTCCTGACTAAAATATTTGGAGGCTGCCAGACTTCGAGGCAGGATCAGGAATGCCAGGACGGAGAGGAAAACCGTCAGGCTGCCCTCGATAATGAAAAGATATTGCCAGTTCTGCATTCGTGGTTAATGGCTGACTCAACGATTGGCCCGGCAGGGAACACCTTACATGGAGTTTTCGATGCCACTGGAAGACACTGTGACGATGGGTTAGTGCCAACGAAGGATATTTCCACATGGTTTGGTTGAGTCACACCTGTACGCGATCAATCCGGAGAAAGCGTTTGCCACAAATCCCATCATGTAGAACAACGAAATTCTCTTAGCAACTAAGCGCTGGTTAGAATCGGGCGTCAAAGGTTGTCAAGTTATGCCTTACTTTCATGGCGAGTGTAGAACATTGACAGGTAGTAGATGGCCGAAGGGAACTAATAATAACGTCAGTGACCGAATCCAACAGTCAATCATGAGGGTACAGGTGCAGGGAGACATACAAACCCGGCCTCCACGACGCCTAACAGGATTCTTGTGGTAGCAATGCCGCCAAAGTTCTTGGATGCAGCAGCCCCAATGGACACTGCACCCCAGCCAAACATGAGGATCGGGATGACGACGGCCGGGCTGAAGCGTTTCGCCAGAATGGTGGTGGGGATGTTCAGGAGACCGTAGGGAATGTAGAACAGCGTCAGGACCAAGGAGTACTGGTTGGTGCCAAAGTGAAGGTCCTTTTCGATGCCGTCGGTCTTTGCGTTGCCCAGGTTGGCTCGGTCGAGGCTGTTGGTGAAGTAGATCATCGCCAGCACGGGCAAGATGATCAAGTCAAGCTTCCATAACAGCCCTAAGCGACATTAGCTCGAGTGTGTCTCCCGAGGGCGTCAATATCTCTTCGTACTCTTCTTCACGCCGGAGTCCGGCAAGTCTTCAAGCTCCCCGGGGAGGCTCCCAACCCGCGTCAACGGGATGTCAGTGGTCTTGGTAGTGGGCATTTGGGATGGTTTGACGTCTTCAATCATGTTGCTGCAAGCTGGGAGGCTTCAACTGTGTGGTCGGATGGGCAGGGGGTCGACTTGTCGAAGATATATGTTCACTGACAGACTGGTCGTGTGCCCTCAGATGCTGGGAATGAGTGGGGAGATGATATCGATTATGAATGGAAGGAGGTCTGGCGACTTCAACCTCGAGGCGTATGATCCCTATTGTATGTGTCGGCCAGAATCCGAATAGCCGTGGTTCCACCTCCCCATCTATTTCGTGGGGAGTTCATGCAGCGAGCCGCGCATATTGAAGTCCACCTTGATTCCTCACACCGCTCTAATTGGCCAGGCCTTTGATTCTCGAGTGGGAAACAGGGCCTTTCCCCAACACCTGGTCGACTGTCGTTGCAGCTCTGATTGGCTTCCTTCGCAGCACCGGCCAGGCTATGTAGAAACGGTTATCAGTGATGTACTCGGCACTAACCACAGCTCGATTAGCCTTGCAAGACACAAGTTTCGGAGATAGCGGTCCCCTCGCAACGGTGGGCGCTGGTCTGGTAAAGTCGCGAATGCTTCGGACTAGACCTTGAGAATTATTATTCAGATAAAGTTACACGCACACCGACCGTCTCCGTTTAGGACCACTTCTTGGTGAATAGTGCAGTGCATACAATGCATCTTATTGACGAAACAGCTGCGTATCCGCCATTACACAGCGGAAACAAGGCAGTCCTGCCAGGGGAGGTCGGGTGAGAGTCTTGCGTGGTAGGCGCTGTCCACTATTGTCGTCAGCATCCAGTCTGTACTATAAGCAGCTTGGTCAAGGTTGGTTTCGAGCGGAAGTGGCATGATGTTTCTTGTCTCGGGCTCCTTGTTCTTTCCTCTGTAAAGCGATATTCGCGGCTTTGGTGGATAGGGAGACTTGTGAAGTAAAAGTAGGTTCCTATTCAGGGTATGTCATTGCATGGTATAACAGAGCAGAACGAGATATTACAAAATTGACCTCTTACGCAACCAGTCCCAGAAAGAGAGGAGGATAGTAGAGCGACGTGACGAGAGGAAGCAGAAACCGCGAACGTCTTCTGGTTCTTCGTGAGTGAGTGCCCTAGACCTATCTAGTGTCATTCTACATCTTCGGTTGCTTCGTACAAGCAGCCGGTCTCAAGAAGGTACGCGGCCTTGAAACTGATACAAAAAGATAGGAAGCCCGAGCACTAAGAACATACACATGTCCACTCCTCCTCACACTATCGTGATTGTAGACCACTGGCTTTCTGTATCTGGCGCCACAGACCCGTCTCCATGAGCATCAAGTCCAAACGTCTTTAGGTGTTCCGGATAGCTGACTACCAAATGTCCAATGCGTCCGTAGCTAATAGGGGCGGACTGTAGAGATTCGAGGACAAGAAAGACCGCCATATTGTCAGCAGGATGCTCTCCTGAATATTCCCGCTCCGTTTTTAAGCACAGGCAGTAAACCGCTCTCCCATCCCCGAACGCGTCCCCCAAAACATCGGGGGGACACGTAAACCTGAGTGCGACTGGCCCCAATTTCTAGCACAGGAGAATCAGCATTTTCAGCAGCAAAACAGGTAGCTCGAACAAGAAAACCCTGTAGTGTAATATGTCCTCCTGAAACTAGGTCCATGGAATCTGGTCTTGGGCACAGCATCTGTACATCTGATATTGATACTTGCAGACGCGTCGTCGTATCTAGTTCGTGTGGCCGCACCGGGCCCGTCAACAGAAACCCAAGAACCATGATGGCGCGCGGTATTCGGTGTCAATCCTTGCAGCCGGCTCGGACACGCGCCAGTCCAAATGTACCACGAGACGAGATCTCCATAATCCGGCAATGTACTCGTCACCAGCAGCATCGCGGAAGAGTTTTGCCAGTCCAGAGAATGCGATGAGTCCGTCGCCTGGCTTGGTCAAGGTATATTGCTGGACAAGGCCGTTCCATAAATTGAAAGCACCAAGTGAGACGACACCCCGACCCATTCCACTGGATTCCGAGCTCTCCCACAGAGGTTCAAAATTTTTTTGAGTGGTAAAATACAAAGGTATCCCCTTGAGGGAACGCTTCGCACTTGTGTTCTGTGAAGCATTCCCAGAATACCTGTTCTCGGGCAAAGTGGATCACTCTTGGAGCAAGTAGCCGCTCCTGGAAGACCCACCCCCGTCTGTGAAGGGGCCCATCAAATATCTGACGATCTGAATAAGGGGTGTCATAGATGTAAAACTCTTTGGGTTCGGAGGTGGAAAATGCTGCTCTTACGATGTCTGGCCGTATGGCCCTTGGGTCCCGTGAACGAAAGAGTCCGCCTTCCGGGTCCGGGGAGGCTGACGCTGTAATGTTACAACGCGAGTTGGCATAGACAAGTCGCGTCTTCACTGACTCTCGTTCCCAGTCTTCCTGTAAGTCCTAGCAAAATACAGAGCGCGTCAATGCAGAGGTATTGTACCGAAAACCGTCTTGCGACCGCTCCCGCGTGTCTGAATGTTCGGGGGAGGTCTTGGATAGGGCTTTCCGTGATGGAATTGGTCGATATTCGACGTGAGAAGTACGATGCCGGGATTAGAACCCCATCGATAACTTCGTGTCATGTAAGAGAGCGGTAGGTCACCTCTTTCTAAGGGCGTAACAATGTTCCATTCGCTCGGCACCAATGTCGAGTAAGCGAGTAGGGTTCCATGACTTGCCGTCTGCCAGGCGCTTGCAACGTCCGTGGTTGGCTAGACAAGACAGGTACCAACTGTACACCAAACCCAGCGTCGAAGGGGATGATGTTTCAGGCTCCAGAGAAGGAGCTGGAAATGAAGCCCCGAATTCAACATCTAGAACGTATTAGCCCGAGTGAAAATAGTAGAGAAAGGCGAATAATAAAAAGGGCTGGAAAAAGAACACACCGTCCGTTGGAACTAGGAGGAATCCAATACATGCAGTGCTGTTCTGCACGGGATCTGATTATAGGATTTGCAGCCTCAACGGTGTTTCTTCCCCAACTCTTCTATACACACAGTAAAGCATGGGGTTGCCGAAATATAGGTCCGGCACTCCAAGCGGCTTGTCTTTGCTCGTCAAATGTTTCCCACAAGGTGTGCAACAGACAAAACGTCTCTGGGATACAGCCTTGTGAAAGTCTCCCGACGTTCTATGGTGGGGTCTCCAGGATTCAGCTAATGAAGAGTGTGAAAATCTCGCTGCAGGCATTGCAGAGCGTACTCAGGCGCACCATATCGGACTTATAGCCGGTGCGAAGTACAGATTTCGTGGGCGCAGTGAGGTTATGCGCCTTGATGCCACGCAGTATGAAACGACTTGAAGACAGAGAACAGAAATCCGACCACGTTTGAAGATTCTGACGTGACTAGGGCTGTCGCCCTTGGGAACAAGACTGAGAGATCGCCCCAGGTGCAAGGGAGGGGGGAATTTATCAAGTATACCTAGAACGAGGTACATAGCCACACTGCGAGCCCGGGGAGAACACAGGGCCGCATTAACCCAAAGCTGGAAGCAAGGTGAGCCGCGAGCGACGGCTGCGAACATAGGCTGTGAGATTTTCTAACCGCCTTATATATCTAGAAACCGCACATTCAGTTCCTCATTCTTCGTCGTGCCTTTGCAGATTCGACAGACATATCGCTGAATTCATTTCGGTTGAGGCACATTGTTTTGCCTCCTCCCCCTTCGCTGAAAAAGCCGTCGACCATAGTAATCATTTTTTTTTTTTTTAAATTCTCAGAAGATGCCGTTATTTCGCCTCCCCATTCCCTTCCTTTGCAGACGTCTCATCCTCCTTGTCGTGGAACTTCAAACTGATACTATTCACGCAATGCCTCTCGTCCGTCGGCGTCGGGTAGCCCTCACCCTTGAAGACGTGTCCCAAGTGCCCGCCGCAGTTCGAGCAGACGATCTCGGTCCGCTCCATGCCGAAGCTGCTGTCCGTGTGCCGTGTCACGGCGCCGGGGATGCTGTCAAAGTACGCGGGCCAGCCGCAGCCGGACTTGAACTTGTGGTTGGCCTTGTAGAGGGGCGCATTGCAGGCGGCGCAGGTGTAGACGCCCTGGTCGGGCATGTGCTTGTCGTATTCGCCCGTGAAGGGGGCTTCGGTGCCCTTTTCGCGAAGGATGCGGAATTGTTCTGCAATCAGTCAACTGTCAGAGGAAAGCTCAATACGCCAATTGGTTCCAATGGGGTGGGTGACGGATGGATCTCTGCTTGGGACGTACCTTTGTTCAGCACGGTCCTCCACTCATCATTTGATCTTGTGTCCGGATAGGTCATCTTGGCTGAAGCCGGAGTCGAGGTTCCGAATAGAGCGCTCAAGAAAGGGATTGAGGACATAGACTTGGGGACAGCGGCGCGATGGGTTTGCGAGAGACGATTACCCCGCAGCGGTTGTTGGAATCGAAATGCGGTTGCGTTGCCGAACGTGTAGAGTCTGCGGACGATGCTAGGGAACGATGGGAAGCGCATCAAGAGACACTCCCTGAGACGATGGATGATATATAGTCCTTGTTGAACTCGGTAATGGGGAGGAGGGGAAAGGACGAAACTGACAAAATGCGTATTTGAGATCCAAGCGAGCCTGCGCCTCACGACCTCCAACGCGCCAGCCAGCGTCGATGATGCAATCGAAGCCTCTCGGACATGGCGATTGGTTGAAGCAGCGTAATAGCGGGGCAATGATTGTGGAATCATTTAGTGCGGCGAGGCTGAGGCATGCAGCCTCGGCAGCTATGATTTGGAATTCCTGTTCGACCGCTGCCTCGAGATCTAACAAAGTCTAGCACACATTCCATATGGTTCTTCACATGGAGCAGAGACGCCTTTCGATCATCGACGGCTCTTACCCGTCACTGTCAACTCACCGTGGCCTATCTCGACTTTCCATCCTTCCCTCATAAGTATCTTACTCACCGCTGGCCCTATCCGCGGAGCCCGATTCTTGCTATGAGTTCCCAAGCCAGTCACTATCTTGAATCCGGCTCTGGCAGGTCCGCTACCGCCAGGAGCATATTTGGCATCGCCCAAGCTATCCCACCAGCTCTGTGTTTTCGCACTGGCAATTCGGACTGCATCCTGGACAGTCACACCGTGGAGATCGAGAACGTTTGACGAGGACTGTTTAGCCACGAGCATGTCTGCCTCCGCAGCTTTAGCTTCCTTCGCAGCTCTGACGCGTTCTCGTCCAATCTCAGAGTAATGTGCTGCGACTCCTCCATAAAGACGATCGGATTTGCTTCGTCTGTAGGCAGCAGCGGCTTGATCAAAACTTTGGCCTGCAGCCATCCGAATGCTAGCCGCCGAAGCTCGATAAGGGCCTCTCGTTATGCCTGGCGTTGCAATCGCAGGGGTCTCAGGGGCTTCACCTTCCCTGAGGTCCAGAGGGGCGTACTGAGCCGCATCGTGCAACCGCCCCGACGTTGGTGCGTTCTCGGATACTGACATGGCTTCCAACAGCTCCTGCGCTGCAGACGGTATGTTTCGGGCTAACCTCAGTAGACCGTACATTTGCGGCTTCGGTACATGTTCAAATTGGCTCTGGAATTCGGCAATCTGAAGATCGAGAAGAGGATCGACTTCTACCAACTTACTGTATGACGTCCCTTCTCGTATTGCTAGAGCACGAATGGTAGATGCCAGTCGCGCACCGTTGGAATGGTATATCGACCGCACTACTTGGGGTTGGAGCTTAGTCCTAGAACAAATGAAGTCGACATCTTCAGACATCGTAGCCCAGATGTTAGTCGGAGTTGACTCTGATTCGTAAGGCGAGGAGGAAGCTGAGCTCGCGCGCGAAGACTCATTTGTCCGATGTTTGCGTTTCTTCCTCCCTTTTCTCTGGGCGAGGGCATCTTCTGCGAACCCATCTACACCTTTCAAAATAGGCACATCTTCTTGTTCTTCTTCCAGCTCTTGGTTAAGGAAGGAGAGGTTGAGAAGCTCGTCGACGGCTTTGTCGAGTGATCCTGCATGGCTTTCCAGAACACTGCCCAGCTCACGCTTGGGTATGCCGGGGAAAACGTGCTGCAGCCAAGCAGTTTTCTTCTCGGTCGAGGAGTTGTTGTCCAGATCCTGTCCCAGGCCGTCCGAGTCGTTCCACCGCAAGTCGGAGACACCGGTGGTGATGCTCGTGACGTCGTTTGAGAAGGTATCTTCGGGGCACGACCTAGACGTGTCGGTTGCTTCTCTGAGGTGCGCAGGAGCTCCTGTACCTGAAGGATCAAATTCTGCATCCTCCTGTTCTATGGCACCGGCCTTCAGGCTATCAAGGACCGCCGTCAAGGCGGCTCTGTCCTGGGGCAGCTGGTACTCGGACGCGATCGCGTAGAAAAGGGCATCGTCTAGCGGAGGACAATATTGAACTCGGAGAGTCTGGCCAAAGGTCAGCACAAATACCCAGGCAAGACGGGGATGGATTGTGTTCATACCTCTATCTGCGCAGGTGAAATTTCCGCGTCGCCCATTTTGATATCCTTACGTTGATCATGTTGGGTTTGGAGGGGCTAGTCTGGGATTTCTAGGGCAATCTGGTGCTTGAAGAGCAAACAGTTGGTGAGGCAGTTGAAAGGGCATTATAAGATACATGGTTGAGAGTGTCGCAAGAGTAGGGAGAGGGGGAACCTGCGGCCTAGGTGGTGATGCAACTCATTCTGAAAGTGTCACAGAGTGTCTCCACGCGGAGAATGTTGAGGCTGAGGGAGAGGGGTCTTGGTATTTCGGTGGCTGCCCGCAGTTACTTCGCTGCACTGCTACCTAAGCCTCACTAGCCTTTGTAGCCGCTAAACAAGGACCTAATGAGTCTCCCCGAACCGAATGACCAGCCCATACACCCCCCGAGCCTAGAGAGCCCAATAGGGCTGGTCGAAGCGCTCCCTTATTATTACTTGGGACCTCCCCGACATATGGAGTACAAGTAGACTTGTCCAACAATATCTCCACAGTTATTCGTAGCTTCACAGCCTTACTCTCGCCGAGACAACTGAGGCACAATTACTATGTACTGGCTCTCCCTACCATCTCTCTTGTACAAAAACCTTCCCACTATGACCAAATACTGAACATCTGCTAGCATGGTGATTGGTGCCCTCAATCCCATCCATGAGTCCGGTTCCACTCTGCATAGCTCATGCTAGGGTCTAGAATCAGGCTCGGATCGAGAACGGGGACATTGGCCTCGTCTGCGTAGGTCCCGTCCCAACAATACTGCTGCATGCAGGACTCGCACTGCGCCGGGCGGGATTTGCCCAACTTGCTCAGGGATCGGTCAATGGCTGCGCAACCGATACACTGGGCGACTTGCGCATCGAGGGTCCCGTTTCCCTGCGTCACGATGTCCATGGAATTGACCAGGATCTCCTGCATCTGCACCGGCGTGAACTGGTTCTTGAACCATGTATAGTTTGTATATGCGCTGTACGGGGCACCGGCGAGGTACATGACGATTGGGCTCGAGAGGTCGCGTGTCGTAGTGTACTCGGTGTTGCAGCCGAAAAAGACAGGTTTCAGGGTGTAGTTTCGCTTCAGGAAGGTTGCCGGCGGAGGGATCTCTGGGAACGGAAGACTGTATCGACGTGCTTGAATATAACTGTTGTAGATGTTTGTCCCGTTGTTCCACTGGAAGGGAGCTTGATCGCCATTATTGTCCCAAGCAATACTAGAAAGGAGAAGTCAGAACACCGCAAGAGACAACCCGCGAGTAGGATACATCGAAACCGATTGCTTACATGAAATCAGATTGCCGAGCGGGCTGAATCAAGGGCCAGAATGGAAGGGCTTGTCCATCTTCTGATCCATCAGCCAGGGAGAGGCTAGGTGGTTCTGTGCCTTTCACACCCCCTCTATATGGCAGGCCGGCGAAAGGATTCGGAAGCGTGGCATACATGGTGTCGGTGAAGGACAAGTTGAGGTCTTGTTCAAAGGCCTCGACCAAGCCGTTGACCTCAGCGGCAGGGAAAATAACGTCGCGTTTTCCCAGAGAATGGGCGGTGGTAAGTGACCGTTTCGGAAACTGCGCGAGTGTCCCATTGGATTTTGCGCCTATATACCAGAAGTTGAATGCCCCGGCTGCCAGGCTAAGAATGAAACTAATCAATGTGTTAGAGCAACCACGAAGCAATAATATGTGCCACTCACCTGGCTCTATCGTAGCCCCTCACACATGCGGAACTGTTGGTCACGGTACCATTTCGAAGCTCAGTACCCATGAACTCCATGGGTGTGAACCCAGTGGCGAGACCAGCGGAACCGGTGGAGGAACCGTACTCAAATGGGGTCAGTTCGAACTAGTATAATGTCATTAGCCGTGTTTCTGTTTGCGAAAGAGACAGCTTGGAATGTGGCATACTATGCTGCTGTTTGAGTAGGGGACTTCCACGCCATAGAATTTGACGTCGTCATCAGTCAGCCGAACAGCTTGGAAGATGGGCATTGGCATCGAGAAGTTCTGGAAGTTGCTCAGGTCCCGGACTCCGGAGAGCGTGACATTGATGCCGCCGTGTGGCGGAGGCGTAAACTCGTATGCGAAAGCTCGGCCAAGATAGTCGGCCACGCTCACATTGAACCCTGCCGCCTGCTTGATCGCGACATCGGTGAAGAGGGAAGTGGCATTTGCCGCGTAGATGGAGTTGTTGGGCGGATTGATCAAGCGGTCGATATCTGGGCGCCAGTCGGCAACCAGATCGTTAATCGAAGGAAAATTGTACGTCGCCAGAGACATGGTAGGCCACGCTCCACCAGACAACCCTGCAACATATGTCATACTCTGGAGGAGTCCCCCGGTGCGTTGGTCAATTGCGTCCGGGAAGCGGGCGTCAAAGGCGCGCAAGACTCCTACGCCAGTGTTTGCTGACAACCAACCGCCTCCACTGATGGCCATTGAAATTACTGGGACGCCTGAGTTGTTGTGGCTTTTCATTGCATTGACCAGCGCAGGGACATCGAGGCCGGTGATGTTGACCCTCTGGAGATATGCACTAAAGGCGTCCAACACAACGGATTTGCGTCCTCGAACCCAAGCTTCCTCTTGAAAAGACAACCCTTTGGCTGGGCGAATCCATTGCTGGCCGTCGGGACAGTCCACATACACAGGGGCATTGCTCTCATAGCTGATTGGCGTTCCTCCATTGACCATACCTGGGAGTGTATCAGCATGCAAGACACTTTGATCAAGCAAGTAGTCTTACATAGGAAGAGGAGAGAGGAACTGAACCATGGGCGTAGCTTCATTCTCGTTCTCTATATCAGGCACAAAATGTGAAGACTTGCGTGAAAAACAACGCGACTGGACTTGGTTCATAGAAATTTCTTGAACCTGAAGTTGATGCAAGAAGTGGACAGGTCTCCAAGACACAAATTGGCATATATATATATAACACTGCCATCGTCTAATCAGGTAGATCGCCCGAGGTCGTCTCATTCACGAGGCAAATGAGGGCAGTGTCGTAAAATCCTGGCAAGAGAGACAAGCAATGGGTCGTAAAACTTGGCACAGAAGAACTTAACCCAGAGCATAGAGCAAGTGGTAGATGCAGTCCACTGCTCGCAGCTTTTGGACAAACAGACCCATATGGCAGCCCGATCTTCGCTCACTCGTGAATAGTTCCAGATGAAGGCCCACGGTGGCAACGTTCGTTGTATACACCCGATCGGAAGTAGCCGCTTGGGGGGGGGATCGACTGGCTGATCTTCAATTGGGGAAGAAGGGCACGCCGTGCATCAAGGGGTCGGCGGCCTTGCAGGTCTCGCGCAGCCAATTACCATATTTGCCCTTTCGATCCAACAAGTCAATTCCACGAGGTGCAGCGCGGGCGATCCGGCCAAAGCCATTGAGCCGTGCCGCAGATCGGCGCTGGTGCAGGAACAACGATCATGTCCATGAGAAGGCTCGAAATTCCTGGGCAGAGCTTAACCTGACGAGAATGTCAAACAAGGTGGTAGTATGTAAGGTAGTGTCACGGTTGAGAAAGGCAAGCCTGAAAGACACAAAAATGCGTGATATTGTCAGCGGGGTAGAATACGGAGCAGAGTGCGAAGAACTCATCCTGCCCGTGGAGTTATACGGAGCTACGTGTTGAAGTCTCGCCTATACGTAAAAGGAAAGAAAGGGCATCAGCCGGCCGGGAACTGATCCGATTCAAATCCCGGTATCGACGTCGTCGGCTCCGCTTTTCGACTCCTCAGCCTCGCCGAAGTACAGGGCTCAGGGGGTTTGGGGGGCGAGTACGAGGTACTCACTACCTTGTGGAGTCCCATTCCTCCACACAGGCATCATTCAGCATTCGCGTGTAGACAACGGCCCAAGCCATTCTCCAGACTTGCTGAGCTGCCGCCAGTGAGACTCTCATCGGATGTGATGTGCGTGCGCTTGAAGCTTACGGGTTGTCTGAACGCGGCTCTCGACTCCATCTCCACCTTTATCCCTCTAACAATTTGTCCCGGAAAACTGGCCAACGAGCACGGCTAGCGAGAAAGGGAAACAATGCGGAGGATCGCAAATCTCAACACTCATCTGTATGTCATTATGTTATGTTCTTCCATCTGGATGGATAGCCTCAATAATCTTATCCCTATCCCGCCTTTCCCGCCCGCTGATAGCGCAGCCGCACGGGAGTCTGCACGAGTATACCAGTTCCGTCTAAAACCGTTGGCTCGCACAAGTAGGTGTGGCCAGTACGCCCGCCGTCGAGGCTAGATCAAAGATTCATACGGAGCGGTTCTGTGACCTGAGGTGTCTTCGGCAATGTAGTGGGCTTTCAGATTAGTATCGTCACACTCACGTTGACACGGGCCGCTTACCAGGACGTAGCTGTCCAACAGAGACTGCGTGTGTTCCAAGTAGTCATACGACCAAAGAAACTTTGTAATCTGTGCTTGATTGACTGAAGAACTATCAGTGCGCTTCAAAAAAAATTGAGCGTGGGGGCTTGAAAACTGACCGGGAGCAGGCTCTGGGGAGAACAGCTGAACAAGTTCATCTGGTAGAATCACACCATCTTCAACTGCACCCAAACGAGTCCGGGACAACAGTTGAACGATGGACGTTCGTCGTACGCGCAACTCATCATTCAGCATCAGACGGTTCGTCACATCAGACTTGCTCTGGAGTCCACTCATGAGGAGCCCGAGAGTTGCTCCATCTTCAATTGACTGAGCTGCACCTTGACCTTGCCGCGGGAACATCGGGTGGGCCGCGTCGCCAACCAGGACCAGCCTGTTGTGGTAATATGTTGGGATCGGCTCGCGGTCTCCGATTTTCCAGTCCCAGACCTTGTCTTCTGCCATGTTACCGATGGCCTGGAACACCGGAGGCAGAACGCTAAGTCTCTCAAGCAAGGCATCTCTGCTGAGCTGTTCGCCAGTCAAAGTCGGCAGTACCTTTCCGTTTTCCGTTACTCCGTAGGCTCCGAAGTTCTGCAATTCATTACTAAGACATTGTTAGTCTTTCCTCATGGCCACGGTTCTGACGCATGTCCCGGGAGCATCTGACTTATGGCAAGGGTAACGAAGCAGATATATCTTGCGATCCGCATCGATATAAAAGGCAAAACAACCGTCACCATCGTCCATTATCTGTGCGGTCATGGGGTTGCTGAGCAAGCTCTCGGTCTTGAGCACAAATCGCATGGTGGTGAGCCCGCTGGGTGTGGCGGGAACCATGTGGCCTAGGATCGCTTCGTGGGCCACAGAATGTATCCCGTCCGCGGCAACGATGAGGTCGGCGAACAATTCGTCTCCATTCTGGAGCTTGATACTCCCCACGGGGTTCCAGGCAACGACTCTCGACGACAAGAGCACACTGACAGGCTCTCCAGGACCATCCGAGCTGACGCATTTCCTCTTGAGGGCCTCGTGCAGGTCGACTCTGTGAGCGAGGTAAAACAGGCCTGGGAAATCCTCAGCCCTCCGTGCCCACGGGATCTGGTGCCCATCTCCACCCTCGCCAAACTTGGGCGGCTTGTCGGTGGTGAAATGATACTCGAGCGAGTTCTTGAACGGGGCGGCCTTGACGTCTTTCTCGAGGTCGATGCCAAGGTTCATCAGCGCGCGCGTGGCATTGGGCGGAACAGCAACCGCAGCACCGGCCTCGCGCAGCCACGAGGACGACTCGACGACGGTGACGGTATGGCCTTCCCTGCGCAAGGCCAAGGCTGCGGTCAATCCGGCAATCCCTCCTCCGACAACGATGACATCCAAGTGTGTGCTCGCAGACATGGTGAAGAACGACAATCAACAGGTCTCTACTACAAGACCTTGAAAAAGAAAGAGTCCCTTAGACGAGGATTGCGCGAGGCCACGCTCGCAAAGCAACTCGTGTCTGCTTATGAGGTGGATTGGCATTTCATTGTAAGACCGTGACGCGTGTCCTACCGTTCAGGCCGATTCTTGGTCAGATCTTTATTTGTGTATCCTGTGAGAAGCTGCTGCGATTTCTTACGCAAGCCGCGGACCTTCAGGACCTGGAATAGCATTTTCCGGGGTATAGGAATTCCAGCATCATTAACTTTATCGACAGCAATCGTGTCTTCCGGCCCTCAATTCAACAGCATCATACCCCATTGATAGGGAGCAACGGATGCATGAAAAGTCCGTCTCGTATCTCGCTCGTGAAGCGACGCCCGGTGAGAGTCAATCTCACGGATCAGTCGCCGGGCAATGGACGTTCGTCGAGAGTTTGAGGACCGTCCGGTAGACGAATATTAGATAAGCCCGAATACAAGGGGACGACGACTAGGGCGGAGACACGCCGATTAACTAACAAATTCGCCGAACAGGTAGTCGGTGAATCCTTTCCGACGTCGCGTTGGGTCGCTGTGACTCGCTGAGCAATACAGTAGAATTAGATCCAAGGCACGCGCTCTTGTTAGTGTACCCATCCGTTGGTATCTGTTGCGGATCCCTCCCCAAACACAACAAACAGGCTAAGCGGGGCGATTGCCCGCGGTCAAGGTCGCACTCCGGTGAACGAACGCTGCCTGAGAGGCCGGCTGGAATATAAGTACCCGGACACAAGTGGGCTTCCGAGAAACACTTGTAAACGGTGCTGACAAGCGGTGCCAAAGACACGCCTTCTGTCCTGGCGGGTTTGCAGGAAAGATGGGGACATATATTTCCTATCGCAAGAGTGGGTAAGCTATTGAACAACAACAACGACACAAGATGGGCAAGACGAGACCCGACGCATTCCCTACTGGACAAACTAATGCATTCCTCCCGCTCAACGTTATGTCATTCGTCTCATTCAGCCTTCGCTTCAGAGCAAGAGGAAAAGGAAAAAGGGCAAGAGAAGAGAAACAGGAGCAGGAGCAAGAGCAGGAACAAGGCCAGGAGCCCCTCAGAAAAGGATCAATCCATCGCTCATTTCCCTTCGTCATTCATCTCCTTGATGGCCGTCATCAACTCGTGCGCGTCCAGATACACCTCGTAAAACTCGGCCTGCAGGTCGCCGCTGCCGGCGCCCGGGTCGGCGAACTTGATCATGCTGGCAAAGTCGACGTCGATCTTGCGGCCGTTGCGCAGCTTGTACCACAGCGACCCGTTGACGATGACCTCCTGCTTGCCCGGCTCGGCGGGGCCGCCGGCCAGCACGAAGCACTTGCCCAGGGTGTGCTCGAGGTCGACGACGGGGCCGTTGGTCGGGTGGATCATGGCGTCGCGAAAGGCGCGGATGGCCTCGCGGCCCGTCGTGGTCGAGCCGAAGACCAGCTGGCCCTCGGGCGCGAACAGGTTGAGATAGGCGTTGTCCGAGTGCGGGTCGTCCCACGAGCGGAAGAATGCTGGCAGTTGCTTGTCCAAGGGGGACGGGATAGAGGACTGGTTGGCGAAGGTGTAGTTGTCTCGGGACCCCATTGTTGTGGCTTTGACTCACTTAGCTTTGCTTTTTCCCGCAGGACCTGATGTATGGTCTCTTAGTGTAGGGAGAGGGCAATTGACACAGGTTTCGAGCTCTATGTATGCTACCAGCTATATGCGTCTGGAATGGCCGAGGCCTTGACCTGAAAAGGGTGGGGTAAAATACGAGCATCGGTATATAATCAACTGCCGATTCTTAGTCAGTTGAATCGAGGGAACAAGGAACCAAAAGGAGAAGTTGATCGTTGCTGTGTGCTTTTCGTATTTGAAATGTCATTAACTCATAGCTTCATCAAATGCAGGAGCACATGGTCGGCCTCTCTATCGATAGAAGGGAATCAACATAATGTGTGCTCGAAGGTCCGCCAAACTTCCATCCCTCATAAACTCATACGGGTAAGCTATACTTCCTTCCAGGAGTACCCCTTTCTTCCCAGGGCATCAGGGTCGGGGGTCTTCATGGCATTCTTATCAGCAAAAGGGTCGTCCGGATCATCCTCGACATCTGTCTCACTCTCGCTGTCGCTTTCGACTTGCTTCGTCCTCCAGTTCTTGGAATTCGACGATGGCCGCGGTGGTGGCATTGCAATATTGCGTGGAGCAGGCCGGGGAGGCTTGGGCGGAGCAGAAATGCTGAGTCCAGCAACCATCTTCTCTGCGTCTCTCGCCGCAGATGCCTCGCTTTTGGCGGCCTGTCGGCTGAGATGTTGTGCTTCTTCAAGCTCACTGTCCGAGTCGTCATCGACGGACTTGTCGAGAACCTCGAACGCCATCAACGCATTGACCAGCTCTTCGTTGGCATGGATCAACCCGCCCAAGAACTCCTCGGTCTCGACGAATTGGATGTATCGCAGAATCTGCCGTCGGAGCTGCTTGCATGTTTCGAAGCGCTTCATCACCTCGGCGTTGTCGGAGACGCGCTGGGATTCGCGGTTGACCAACCTCAAAGCATTGGTCAAACCAGTGGAAGCAACCGAAGATGCCGCGATTGATTGCAAGATATTGGGTTTTTCTCTCTCCAGGTTGAACCCTCCCTTGGCTTGCTTGCTTTTCTTGTCCTTCTTGACCTTTTTGGGTGCAAATGTAGATGATTCTCCCAGCGCGACAGGAGAAGGGTGCTTGCGTAGCGTCGTGGGGCTGGACGGCTCGCCGGATCTTTGGGTGCTATCGGACCTCGTCCTTGCCATCTCCATCTCCTGCTCTCTGGCAACTTCTTCTTCCGTTTCCCGGAGCACCCTACTTTGCTCGCGCCGTTGTTGTACCGGCTGATGTGTTCGGGGCAAAGTATTGTAGAGGGATTTGGCTCCTTCCAAGCCTGGATTGTCTTTCGAGCTCGCAACCCACTGCCCGAAGAGGTCTTTGCATTTTGTACGGACATCATGGTCGGAAGTAGGATCCGCCGCAGCTATTCGGAGTCGTTCCAATAGAGGACCATCGGACAACAATGCTCGCTGTACTCTCGTCCCGCCATTTTGTAGAAGACCATCAAGAATGGTCAGAGCCCGGAGTTGCCGATGCACATTGCCATATTTCAACTTCTTCCTGAGAGCTCGGGCAACCTCCTGCGAGCCTGTAGCCTGTAGCTTGACGACCTCGAGAAGGTCGGGGACGCCGGCAAGATCGTCTTCGTCGTACGTTTCGGAGGTCAACTGTTCGACGTGAACCGAGATGGCGGAATACGGTTTCTTCTGTTTGTGGTAACGATAACGAGTGATTAGTTGATATCTTCTGCGAGATCGCGCACAACACGAGAAATGCAAGACCAGAGCAAAGAAACGCTTGTAGCCCTTCTTGTCGGGAAACCGGCGGGTCAGGATCTCAGGGTATGGCTGTGCCGGATAGGCGTCGAAGGTCCTCCTCTTCTTGCGAGCGCACCGGTCGCACTCATCCGACTCTTGACAATGGAGCAAGTTTTCCACCTCGTAGGGATCTGTGGTCTGGGGGCTCTCGGGTCTGGGAAGGTCGACGAATCCAGCATCGGGAGCGCATGCTGGAGCGTGCAGCAGGAATATCGACATTGTGGGCTTCATTGGGAGCAGTGGTATGGCGGGGTAGGCGACTTGGGGATGGAGATAGGCGGAACTGGGTCAAGACATGGCAGAGACAGGGGACAATAAGAGATGATATAGGACGAGAGACGACTCACCGAGGCGGAGAACATGGTTATAGAGGGTCTATGCACGAGTTGGTCAGAGGCGTACGGAAATGAGACTGGTAAATTGGGGGTTGAGCATTCAGGTGTGAACGGGTTGGAACGTCGATGGTGGATGGTTGCTGCATTGGGGCCTAGTGGCGTGGAAAGCCAGGAAGGGAAAGGCGCAGAACGCGGCCCAGTCAGTGTCGGTCACCTGCAAAAACAGGCTTGTGAGGCGTTTTGGGAGGGGGAAGGGTCGCCAAAGTTACCAGGGGTCACTGCTAACAAGTTGGCGGTTTAGGCGGTGGTCGATGCCCCTCGTTCCCCACTGTCGCCACTACCAGTTAATTAATCCACTCCTCGCTGGAATCGCGCCCACTCAACAATGACCTTCCGGGGGTAAATTGCGCCCTCTTTCCAAGGAAGGGAGCTCAATTTTGGCATCAAGGAGATGCTCCTCAATTAGCCCCAGCATTCTCTCCGTCGCAAAAAAACCTTGATTCCATTGGGCCCCAAGGTCTCGTAAACAACCAAACAGACAGAAATGACTCGTATTTTCTCACATCAGTCTGAATCTCATCTGACGCCAACACAGCCTGTTGACAGCCAGCAAGCCCAGCAGGGGGACACAACCCATCTAGCAAACCATGCTCCCGCGCCTCAGAATCTTCCACCCAGCCGTCACCTTTTTCTCCCATCTCAACGTCGGCGTGGATTGACAGGTTTTCGCCGACATGGCACTATTCAAGAGGGGGCATATTGCATAGTATACTATGGAGTAGACTTTCGCCCATTCGGGTCGCGGTGCCTGGTCTGCCACGGTAAGCGCAGGTCCCAAGTGCCACGAGGCACGCGGAAAGCCAAGTGGTGGAGACGCGAAGGATCTGGATCCAGCGAGTGGCCGTCCCGAAAGAGGGAGATGATGCATGGGTTCAGGTGTAGGCTAGCTGAATCCTTTCGACCACACGCATCATTCCTCATATGTGGTTCGTCGGTTAAGAGATGCCACACCGCCTTGCTCAATCAGAATCTTCCTTCCGAGGTGGTTGATTTCTTCAAGACAGACACGCAGCCCTCTGCTCGAGCCGACAACGCGGTCAGGAGGGCAAAAAGCAAATTCGATACGGCCCGAGGAGTTTACGGGAGCCGGACGTTTGTGTTGTGCTTCCTCGACTAGCAATATCCGACGGGTGGTCAGAGCACATGGCGTCGAACAGCTGGATTCGCCCAGGCTCAGGATGCGAATGCCTCTCGTTCCTTCGTGGGATTGAAGTCTCACGGTTACACCTGGGAGGTTGGGTGGTCACACTGCAAGGGGCTATGTGTGAGCATTGAACAACCAACAAGGCGCATGTGTATGGGGGATTGCATTCCAAGCAAATGGGTGGTCAGAACCAGAATGTATTTCTATTTCCACCACGGTTGTTCTACGAAAGGGGCTGGTTTACCTAAGAATGCGACAACAAATACACCCAGTCTGATCCGTCATCTCAGCACATACATAGAGCAACCTGTTACAGCTCACCTTACAGCTCACGCGAATCCTTCAATTGTGATCCCGGTGATAGAGGCTAACAAGCTGATGTCTGTTGTAGTCCCTGGGGTGTGGTTATGCTTTGGATGCTCTCAAGCCACCGGCGTCAACTGTGCCTGCATAAAGTACTTCGAGGGACTCCGTCCTCCGAACCGGCCTCGGCTTCGTCCAACCGAGCGGACAGGCCCCTCTGAGCTATGCCAGGAAGAGCTTCGAGAGGGCTTCGCATGGGGGATGTTGAGGAGGGACAGCGCCGACCGACAGAGCGCCCGTGGATGTGCGAATTCGACGGTGGGATTGCGTGATCAACCAGCGCCGCCAGGGCTCTGCCACAAGATAAGACATGGCGCCCTCCTTTTGCGGAAGACCGCGTGGACGTCGACCCTCAGGAATTTTGCTCTCAATCAAAGCCGATCTTAATCAACAACAGACAAAAACAAACAGCGATGAGCACGTATTGAACTCTGGCCAGATTGCGGGCAGAAGAAAGCATGCCAAGATCGGCGTGCATTGGATCCCGCGTCGCCGCCCGTGCAACGAGCGAAACTCTGCGGTTTGGAGCCACCAGGGCCACTGATGGTCACTGAGTGTGGCCGATTGTGACCGGCAACTTGCAGGTGTAGGCGCAGGCGCAGGCGCACGCAGAGGAGTCTGCAAGCCTCCCTCTGTGCCTCTCGAGCTGAGCTGACGGACTGTCCGACTGCCCGATGGTCATGGTCATGGTCATGGTCATGGTCTCGGTCTGACTGAATGGCTTTTGACTGCTGCCCCTCCAGATGGCCGTCTGCTCCTGAAAGCCTGAGATTTGTTCCCCGGATTGGCGGTGAGTGATGCACTTCCTCCTCCCGTTCAATCCCAACCATCGCGTCCCCGTCCTCTTCCCCTTCCCCTTCCCCTTCCACTTCCTCCGCCGACCCGCCTCTTTTGTCCTCGTCACCGTCTTCTGCTCCGCTGCTGTCTTGATCGTCGCTCTCATCCTGGCATCGCCTCATCGTCCAGCAACATCCTCTCTGCTGCCGCGTCTGGGTGCGTTGATCTCTCAATTTCCGCTGGCATCACCCCCCACCGCCCTCTTAAGCGTCATATCGGGCCTTGGCATCAGATCCCAATCCCAACGAAGCCCCTCTGCCCACGCGATCAGCGCCAATATCCTCAACAACAACAACATCCGCGCCACAAACAACGCAGCAGCAGACACCCCGCTCACCACCATGGCCTACGAGAAGGAGCTCAAGGTCGCCCAGCTGGCCGTCGCCCGCGCCGCCATCCTCACCAAAGCCGTCTTCCACGAGAAGGCCAAGGGCACCGTGTCCAAGGACGACAAATCCCCCGTGACGATCGGCGACTTTGGCGCCCAAGCCCTGATCATTGCCGCCATCAAGCACAATTTCCCTGCCGATGAAGTCGTCGGTGAAGAAGAGGCCTCCTCTCTCCGCGAACAGAAGGAGCTCTCATCTAAGATCTGGAACCTCGTCAAGGATGCCCGACTCACCGACCCCGAAAGCGACGCCCTGCTCGGCGGACCGCTCAAGTCTGAAGAGGCCATGCTCGACGCCATCGACCAGGGCAACTCGGCCGGCGGCAACAAGGGCCGCATCTGGGCGCTGGACCCCATTGACGGCACCAAGGGTTTCCTCCGCGGCGGACAATACGCCGTGTGCCTCGCCCTCATGGTCGACGGCGACGTCAAGGTCGGCGTCCTGGGCTGCCCGAACCTGCCTGTCGACGACTCGGCCCCGCTGACCGAGGACATGGGCGCCGCGGCCACCGACGCGGAGGGCAAGGGCGTCCTCTTCTCGGCCGTGCAGGGCGAAGGCGCGAGCTCGCAACCCCTGACCCGGGGCCCCGTGACCAAGGGCCAGCCGATCCACGTGAGTAAGATCGCCAAGGTGAGCGAGGCCGTCATGTGCGAGTCGGTCGAGCCGGGCCACTCCAGCAAAGGCGACAACGCGCTCATCGCCGAGAAGCTGGGCATCACCGGCCGCCCCGTGCAGATGGACAGCCAGGCCAAGTACGGCAGCGTGGCCCGCGGCGCGGGCGACCTGTACCTCCGCCTGCCCGTGCGCAAGGACTACATCGAGAAGATCTGGGACCACGCCGCCGGCGACCTGATCGTGCGCGAGGCCGGCGGCCAGGTCACCGACGTCGCCGGCAAGCGCCTCAACTTCAGCCTCGGCCGCACCCTGCTCGAGAACAAGGGCGTCGTCGCCACCCCGGCCAACGTCCACGCCGAGGTCCTCAAGGCCGTCCAGGAGGTGTTGGGCGCGAAATAATTAAGGCCGTCCCAACCAAGATCGGTCCAAGAAGGGGATAGAGGTATAGAGAAAAAATTGCTTGGCGTCAGGTCAACATGAACGAGACCCAGGAGCTATGTGATTTGATCGATTCATCGAATGATTTTGATTTGACTGAATGAATGTATGTGGTTTGGGCCCAGTGATGGCACGCTACGGTATGCTATACCCCGTGCTGCCACATCCAGATCTACCCATCTATCTACACGCCTACCTTACCATCACGAGGACGTTCTCAGGAATGAATGATTGACGGTTCAAAGGAAAAGAAACGAAAAAGGGTTCAAGATGAAAGAAGCGCGAATGCATAGACCACCCGACCACCTGTGTTTGGTACATGTTAGATAGCTTTAGCTAGCTACTAGACAGGTTTTTTTCCATCTCTGTCTGTGAATGAGTCTTGAGCCTTACAACCTTTTGAAAACTTGAGGCGGGCAAGTAGGCGTATATCCCCACGCGTGCGGATGAGATGAAGACCCGCGTGCCTTGAATCGAGCTTTGAATGAACCGTCCCATACGTGCTGACAGAGGGATAGAGGACTCCTCATTCTGCGACCTCTCCTTCGCGATGTGACCGGCGACCGGTTTGGATTCACGTGTCTAGATATATATGTACAAGGTCCCATCTCCCATGGAACCGAGAATACAAGGGGTTCCTGACGCACAGATGTAATTTCCTTGCATGGAACCTGTCTCCATCTCCTCGTCGAGGATCGCTGGAACCTGGTGCTGGTCCTGAAGACACAGAATGCGTCCCAGCTCCGAGGCCCAATTCTCTTCCCGGGCCATACTCCTCCATTTTGTGCCCTCCCTGCTATTCTCCTCTCCTCCTCATCTTGGTTACCGTCTACTTAATCTTCTTGGCCTTCAAGCGTATAGTCTCGTCGTTCACAAAGATGCCCTTGCCCTTGTACGGCTCGGGCTTCCTCCACGCCCGGATCTCCGCCGCGAACTGCTTGATCACCTGCTTATCGCAGCCCTCGAGCAAGATCCGCGTCGGCTGAGGGGTCGAGGCCTTGACGCCGCGGGGCACGCCCATCTCGACCGGGTGCGCGTAACCGAGCTTCAGGTTTACAAACTTTTGGCCGGGGTACTGCGGAGTCTTGGTCTGCGCGGTGTCCTCGATCGTGGCGCGGTAGCCGACACCCACGAGTCGCAGGATGCAGAGGTGGCCTTCGGAGACGCCCGAGACGGAGTTCTGGACGAGGGCGCGCATAGTCCCTGAGATCACGGATATAAAATGTTAGCACTGTTTTGCTTTCCCTTTTCTTTGCTCGAGCGATCCTTTTCGAGTCCACATTCGTCGGAGGGTATCGACGGGCAGACTACTCACCCCACATTGCTCTTTGATGCTTCTCCGCCGCATCTTTGACGTTGATATTGATCTTCTTTGCAGAGTCGTCCAGTTCGGCTTGCAGGTAAGGCGGTAAAGGCACGGTCATTTGTCCTGTGAGGGAGCGCGGTCCCGCGAATCAGCCCCAAAAGCTCGATGATACCCTCTTGGTCTCGTTTCGCGCCTTCCCCAGAGTTCTCTTCTCACCTAGAGGGCCCGTGACCTCCAACGCCATGTTCGGCGTGTCGGGATGCCGACTCCGCACATTGCCCTTGGGCAGCTCATAAAACCGCAACGACACTTCTGGGGGGATGGTGATGGGGGCTCTGCCGATCCGTGACTGGTGGCTCGGGGTCTGCGTCTCGGCGGCGAGCGTCGAAGCTTGCCTCGCGCTGAACGGGCGAGACAGCGCGGGGACGAGGAACGAGGGGATCTCGCGAGGACCTGAGCGGCTGGCTTCGCGGACCAGGCGGCGGAGGGAGGATTGGAGGTTGGTGCAAGCCATGGTGTTTGCAGAGGGCGTCGGCGTGGTAAGGAGTAATGAATTGGGCAGCAGGGATTGTTATTTCATCCCTCCGCGTGGCTCGTGAGTTGCAAGCACTCAAAACTCGGGGCTGCGGACAGCAATCAGTGCTTGAGAGAGAGACTTGGTGCTTCTGAGGAATTGCCTTTTCGCCAACTCCGCAGTTTGCTGCATTGGCAGGTTTGGATCGTAAGGACCAATAATGTTGCGGTACGCACCCAGCTCCACCGGAAGATCGCACTAGTCCAGATCGAGGTGCTTCTCCAACACGCCGGTTGCAGACGACTTCTCTATTCTGCTGTATTTGCTATATGTGCAAGGTGCTCTACAGCTTCAGCCTTGGGTGTTCTCCCGTCTTGCGATATCTGTCCGTATACCGAGCCAGCCCATCCTGCGTCCTCCCCAGCAATTCGTATGGACTCGGTCTCCTCGCCGGATCAATCCGAAGGCAGTCCTCTACCAAGTTCGTCAACTCGGACGAGTAATATGAACTTCGATAACCCATCAAACAGGAGTAGTCATGCTTCCGCAACATGTTCTCTAAACCTTCGGCTTGATTTACCCGCTCGTTGATGTTCTTGTTGTGCACATCCAGGGTCATCAGCCCGTAGATGTTGGCGCCTATTTGCCAGACGAAGTGCTTCATGGAGAATGGATGATTTTTGCCTCCCAAGATGGGACGGTCCCAGCCTTCGCCGTAACGGCCAAAGTCCCGTTGTTCCTGCGTTATCCATCCGTGAGTTTCACTTGTCCACACCTAAAAAATGTAACGGAAGGGGGAAGAGGCAATGGGACAGCTCGAAACACGCACGACGAACTCACCGGAGGCATCCAGACAATCGTCCCATAATTCTTCCATTTCCTGCTGTTCCTGTCGTCGTCAAGACTTGTGTACTCGGCCATACCCCAGTCAGCAACCTTCAGCGTCGGGTATGGCATACACTCCTCGCTTGCCGGCGCATTTCCCAGCAAAACTACAGCTCTCGTCAGTCATTGTAGTTGGTTGTTGCTGCGCACATACCGTTCTCTCCCTTCAAGTCCAGGTGCAGGGCAAAATGGTCGCCTTGAGGCGAGCGGACGCCCATGCTATCCAACCGGAGAACCTTCATGTGATAGCATGCCTGTGCGAAATCGTGGAAGGCTTGCCACATAAACGCTTCCGGGATTCGGTCACTGCGTCCATCAAACGCATCAGCAGATTTCTTTCCACCTTGTGAAATGTCTCTTTTCTTTGGAGCAGGTCGCCTTACTCATAATCCCTTCGTTTGTTACGCGCCCGGTATGTCTGTACCAGGTCATGCAAGGTCCCATATCGGTAGTATTCGAGGTACAGTCTCCATTTGGGGCGGGCGCCATCGAAGAATCTCAGCTCGCGCAGTTGGGCGACATTGCGACACCCTTGCTTCATCAGTGCCTTCACCAGCACGGCTTCGGTGGGTACTGTGGGATTGCCATCCTCGTCAACCTCACGCTTGTCAAGCTCAGATTGCTTGATAGCAACGTCCTAAGTGGTAGTGTTGGTAAGCATGACTCCTTCCCCAACAACAAGTTCGCCGGTTTTACTTACATCAACTGCCCTTCCATGTTTGTCAAACTTGGTCCATTTCCCGACCATACCAAAAGCCCCTTGGCCTAGGATGTCTGTACACTAAACGATCAAACATCAGGTATTAGCAGCAGGTCCCAAGAAGACTGTCTCCTGTCACATGGTGATCAGGCCGTACCTCCCACATATAATCGTCCTCACGGTCGAACTCGAGATACGACCTCGACAAGGCAAATGCTTCCACCCGACCATCATACCACCCTATTTCCTGCCTCCAACGGCGCACCCGCCTTCGTGTCTTCTCGTTGTCGTCTGTCCATTTCGCTCGGTCGTAGGGTGAGTTGTACGTCTTTGCAATGCGGATATTGGCACCTGGGAGGTCTCTAACCTTCATAGTGGCAAAAACGTCTAACAATCAGGGCACAATACCGTATCTGGGGGGAGGTTTAGCAACCGAGGAAGGAAAAAAAAAAGAGTCGAAGCATGGTCGGCAATGTGCAAAGGTTGGACTACAATGAAATCATGTAAGTTGCGGGCACAAAGCAGACCGCTCGCGCAGAGATCATCTCCAAAGCATCAGCAGCCATTGTACAGGCTCGGGAAGGCTGTCTTTCTCTCGAACACAAAGACATCTCAAGGCCGAATCCGGCACTCTCGAGGATTCACTTCGGCCCCTTGAACCCGTCGATAATGTGACAAAGAGAGGCCTTCATTGTCCAGAAATACTTCGGCCCAGGCCCCGGACAACCAGTAGGTTGGTGAAAGCGGATAGTAGTCTGCTGGGGAAAATGGCAATTTTGCAGAATGTGCGCAGAAAGCCTCTTGATAACAACTGGGGGATGAGGGAGTTGGTTGGGAGGAGATGGGAGGTGGATGTTCTCACTTCAAATTTGCACGGGCCACGCGCATCCTTGACGCAAACAAACTCGGTCTCAAGGCCTCGCGAGGCTGCAATTTCAAGCAGAGGCCACCTGATCAAGCGCCAATCTCGTCGAGACATCTGTGCATGTCGTTACGACTTCCAAGTCCAATCTGTCAGCCCAGTTGACCATGCGGATACATTGACGAGGGACGAGGCATCCTTGAGATCTCTACCCCTGAGACAAGATGAAGCTGAACCAACCCATATCGTCTCTGACACAATGGAGCATGTTATGGTAACGGAAAGAACAAGGAAAACAAGAGCGAGGTACCGTCAACTTCATTGGAATAGAGAGACCAAGGACATCAGATTCGCCAACTTTCTGAACCTCATGGACAGCCATTCCCCTTCATCATCTCGTGTACCATACTCCTCCACGCCCCTTTATGGCCGCATTGGAACAAACAATAGATTTTTACCGCAATATTACTAAATTTTGGGTCGTCCGATAAGGCTGGGATTCGACTTGGTCTCCCAACTATGTGCCATTCTTGGCTGGACTGTCTTGTGCTCTGCTGATGCTTCAAGTATAAATCATGACCACCGCTAAAATGCAAAGCAGAAGTTATAATCAAAGTGAGTGAAATGCTGTCGCTGAATCGTCAGGGCACACGTGCAGAGGGGGCCTCATTCATGCCCCTTGAGAGTCCACCAAGCTTTTCCACTGCCATCAAGGAGCTTGGAGCTTTGCGAGAAGGGCGTCAAGGTCCGTCCAATTCGACTGCGTCATTGCAAACTTACGGTGCTTGCGGGACACAATATGCTGTTTTCCAGTCAGTCTTTGGTCCTAAGATGGGGTTTCAGTCACCGACCTCGTCAAAGTCTTCATATTTGTCACGGCAATTCTCGCAGTATCCTGGCTTGGGGTCTCTCTTAATAGCCTTCTTCTTCCTCGATGTATGCGTGGCGCGTTCAGCCGCAATGTCATCGGCGTGAGGGTCTGTTTCTTCTTGGATCCCGCCCAATTTCTCCTGTGCTTTGCTCTTGGCTGCCCTTTGCGGAGCGGGACCCCGAGCGGTCTTCAGAACTCCGGCAAGGTCATTCATGCGGTGAGACGACGGGATAGACCCCACAGAGAGGCTTCCGGTATGGGTACGCTCGAGGACCTGACGCTGCAACTGATGATGTACCTCTTTGCTGGTGCCGGCCTTGACTCCAGTGGCAGCCGTCGAAGAAATCACCTGGGACTGGATTGCCGACGTGAGGTTGGATCTTTGGATACCGGATGCCGCCGGCTCTCGAGCCATGTGTAGCTGCGGCGGGCGGACAAATTCGAGGTCGCCTCGTTTCGGCATGGGAGGGAATGACGGTTGACGCTCCGTGACAACCGAGTGGCTCTTGGATTCCTTCTTGTCTAGGTCGATAGATGCATTTGCACCATTGTTGACTGACTGCAAGGCCTTCCTGGGGCTAGCACGGCGCGGAGAATCGTGGTCTGCGGTGGCCACAGTCACATGGGATCGGGTGCGAGGAACATGTTGTTCACGCCGTTGCTGGTGCTGGCGTTGTTGTTCCTGCTGCAAGGCAAGCTTCTGAGCTCTTCTCTGCTCCTGCTCAATATCCTTCTTCATGGCAGGGTCCTCGACGAAGGGACATTTTCCAATACTGGCGGATCGGAATTGGGGCCATTCACCGTCAGCCCGCCGTGCCACCTTCGGATACTCTCTGACTAAGGTTGGACGGTATTTCTCATCCATGTCATGGACATAGATGAAGGGACCTTTGAACGCGACCAAAGACATGAATGGAAGCTCCCTCTCCGAAGCGACGCCCAGTTTCTCATTTCTCAAGACTTCCCTCAAGTCTTCACGTTGATGTCGCGTGGTATGTGCTGACGCCCTAGTATGATGGCCATGATTTCCAGCGTCATCGAGGACAGAGTTGAGGACTCTTTGCAGCTTGTCAATGGAATAGATTTTCATACCCATTTCTCTCCCCCTAACGAGGATGTCCATTGGGTTGACGGCACTGCGCGTCGCATTGGAGCCGGCGGGCCCGCGAGGGTTCTTTTCAAGCAAGGACGGATTGATGGTCTGAGGCTGCTCTTCCGTGGGTGAGGGTTCCGCAGAGTCATCTCCTCCCGAAGTGTTCCTCCCCTGGTCCGGTGGAATATGGCGAGCTGTTACTATGTGTGTGACTGCTTTTGAAAAGAACTTTTCCTCTTTCTACACCAATGTCAGCAGGATGCACGGCCTCAGGTGCCCGTGTCGAGAACATACCGCCCCAAGAGCTGTTATGTGTCGGAGGAAGCGTGACTTGACTTCCTCCGGAAACCCATCAAAATAGAACCTGAAGGTGGGAAACAATTTTCGATAGTGTCGTTGCCATGCTTTGAGTCCCGAGTCTTCTTTGGAAAGGACATCGACATTCTTGGTCACGCGTAGGCCTGCAGTCCGATCTTTGTCTCTGGCAGCCACCAGCCTCCTCTGGAAAGCAGTCGACGCAGACTCTCCATGGCTTCTTTCGAAGACGCGACCCTCTGGCAAGGGCGGATGGGATTGTTTTTGAGGGGTAGCTGGGTTAAACACCTCTCGACCGGCCCTGTCGATGGCCAGGCGTTTGTGAGGAGGTTCATTCTCCTGCTGAGACACATTGGCTAAGCTTCTGGGCCGCTTAGAGCTGCTGTTGGTGAGCGGACGGTGAGGAGAGTTGGTAGCATTGGCAATGCTGGCCAGCGGAACTCGACGAGAGGAAGTCGCCATGTTGGAGAGAGGATCGTGGGGCGAGGGCGGTACGAATACAGCGGCGGCCATTCATAAGGATAGAGGGTGGTTGTCTTTGCGGGCTGGAGGGTGGCCGGCAAGAGAGGTAGGTGGTTGAAGGATGGCAGGGTGGTAGTAGGATGGCGGGAGGGGTATCTGGGTGTGTGTGTGTGGTATTGGACCACGCGACAGACGCGCCTGGTGTTTTGTCTCCAACTCCAACAATGGGATTAAAAGGTGCACATAACAGAGGCTCGATAAAGGATATGTGCAGCACAAGCAACAATGCTAAAGACACTGCAAAAGGAAGCAGAGACACACTGGGCAAAGGTGTGTGAGTGAGTGAGAGCGACTGTGTGTGTGTGTGATTGTTCAAGTGTTGACATTGGACGGTTCTGGAGAGCAGCACGCAAGAGAGAATTGGAGCTGGTCTGGGTTCCTGGGCGCTGGGAGCTGTTGGAGCTGGGAGCTTGTGTTGGTGGCTGCGGTGGGTCCCCCAGCTGCACTGGCTCGTCTTCTGTGCCGGGCAACAACCGACTCTCACCACCTGCGACCTACAACCACAACAATCACAACAGTGGATTCTTGGTCCGCAGTTGAATTATCTATTGGGTAATATCCTGTCCTGTGTATGGCCTGCTGCCAGGGAGCATCTTGAGTCTTGTAGCATTACATGTTGGCTAGTCATACAATTGCGCCTCCGACTGCCTGTCGCCGGTTGTTCCTCCAATTCCCAATCTTGTCAGCTTCAGATCGCGTTGTAATGGTCAATTTGAGGCTGACTTGTCCTGTCCTATATAGATTCCCGTCATACCGTGACCTGCTTGAGAATCGCTGTGGTGGTTCTTGCTGTCCAATGGTATCCTTAGCAGGCCGAGACTGCTTCTTGAATCTTGACACAGAGCGAGAGACACTTTAGAGCGGGCCCATGCCGGTATGGCGTCGTGCCGCCCCGTCCTCGATCTGCCAGATTTTGTGCTGTTGTCGTAGAAAAGCGCTTGGCGCATCTAGGCCTTGCAGGTCCGGGGGTTGAGTCGACTCAAATCCGGGTCGGATTCGACCTTGTCAAGTCTGAGGTGAGAAGGTGTTTGGTTGCCGCCGCGATGTGTGGCGGTTCAGCTGATAACATGTCTTGCTCCAACTTTGCCTAATACGCCCGCCTCTTTTGGTTTCGGGCTTCGATCTCTTCCTTTCTTCCTGCTCAAGAACCCTAGCATACTGCCGCTACTTTTCTCAATTTTACCACCGTCACCCACCATGTCTTGATGATGCGGGGCAGTCTGGTCCGCCAGATTCGTCCAGCTTCCCGACTCATCCAACACCATTTGAACTCCACCGCCTTTGCTTGTCTGCCGCTGGGCGGGCATCGGTCGTTGTGGGGGGATCGGTCTGCTGAAGGATTTCGAAGAAGATGCGGGTCGACCAGTTGGTGCAGGGGGCCCAGGCGGTCCAGGTGGCAACGATTGTGACGCTGCCGCTTTCAACTCGTCTAACGGTGGAAAGTTTTCTTCCGCCCGCGGAGGCGTCGTGACCGCGGTGGGCGAGATCGGTGGTGATCCGTCTGGCGACGTGGGGACAGAATGTGATTCTGGTTGCGCCATGTCTAATTCAACATGTTCTTCCGGTACAACTCCAGCAACCGCTGCCGCAGCACTCCTGCGATATCTGTTAGCATCGTGTTCAACTGCGGTCGTAAGAAGCCCGGCCCTTACACATCATAACTAGCCAGGGTATAGTCAAAAGGCTCAAACATGGTCTCGATCATGCGGTGGAGCTCATCTTCCCGAATTTCCTTGCTCGTGGCATCGTTGCGCAATTCCGCCCGCGGCTTCTGTTTCCTCGCTCGAGCCTCCAAGGGGGCCTCTTCCAGCAGTAATTCTTCCAGGTCGTAGGTGGCATCAAAGTTGGTCTTTTCACTCGAGGGAATAAACACCGGAGGGATTTGTTTTCGTTCTAGCGCTTCAAAGTTGATGCAAGTGAAGAAGGGATGTGAGGTGAAGGTGTCGAAACCAGTGGCCCCGATCCGTTTTCGTCGGTCCTTCTCGATCAGAGCTGTCATGGCATGAAGGCATGGCATGGACACCGGGGGTTTCGTAACAAAATATCGCGGGTTGGCCGCACAGATAGAGTCGACCAATTCTTCATGAGTCCGTCCTTCGAACGGCCTCTTTCCATAGACACATTCGTACATCGTCACACCCAATGACCACCAATCCACTTCACTGTAGTATCCCGAGCCTCTGAACACTTCGGGTGCGAGATAGGCCAAGGTGCCTGATTTGCTCGTCAGAGGCTTGCCAGGCTTAAAGTCGGAGGCGACGTTGAAGTCTGCCAGATGAACATGACCTTCCGAGTCCAGAAGCACATTATCCGGTTTGAGGTCGCGGTGCACAATGCCTTGGCTATGGATGTAGCGGAGAGCACAAGCCAGCTCGGACATCCAAAAGCGAATCGTGTCCTCGGTGAAGGCCTTCCGTTGGATGTGGAAGCGAAGATCGCCACCATTCATCAGGTCGACCACAAGATACAGATACTCGACATCTTGGAAACTGTAGCGGAGATTGCACAAGAACGGGTGGTTTAGATGCTCCAGCATCCGCCGTTCTCTAATAATATTGCGAACGCTTTCGGAGCGAACCACTGCGACATAGTCAGAGATAGCCCCATCGTTTGCTTGGTTGACTCATGGCTAAGAACGGACCTTCATCCTTGCGGATGTATTTGAGAGCAAATGTCAAGCCTGAGTCTTTGCGTTCTACAATGCGAACCTTGCCGAAGGCACCTTTGCCTACGACCCTGAGTAACCGAAAATGGTTGAGGTTGACTGGCCGAAGGGTGAGCACAAGAACATTTTTTCTGCCAGAGGGACGCCAAAGCGTCAAGACCCTCACCTTCATCGGTCAAGACCACAGGCTTGCCCTGAGAGTTCCCCATTGACCAGTCGAAGCAAATCGATAACAGAACAAAATCCTCCACTTAAAGCAGACCTGACACGGCAGGAAGTAACATAGGGGTTGCTACACAGGCGGTAGAATTAATCGGGGCGGTTTTGAAAGCAGGACCACCGTGGTTGCCAATAGTGAACTCGTCGGTGTTTGAGGTGACGGGGTGCGTCGGATATGCGCTGGGATGGCGGTGAAGATGTGGTGGATGGAGTTGAGCGCTTGATGATCAGGCTGTTGTTGGACCAATTCTGAGGTTTATCCAAGCCACATGACAGTTCAATTAGGATATACCAGAACCTGTCCAGCTAGACAACCGAGGTTGGGAGACCAAGAGATGGAGCGTCGGTAAGTAGGTTGGCAAAAGATATCGCGGAGGCGCCAGCCAGCGTCCAGATCTAGAATCAAAGATATTGGTGCGAGAGAAGACGCTCAGAAAATGCAGCTGTCCGAAGGATATTCCACGGGGGCAAAAGCCGCAAGCGCAGGACGACGGCGAAAAAGAACGGCAAGGCGACAAAACCTGACGGGAAAAAGAGACTTTGGAGGTGTGGTTGTCGAGATGCTGAAGAAACAGAACAGAAAGGCCCGGGGAAGCCTGGAGCGGGCCAGAAAGAGGAGGGGGTACGACTAAAAGGCTGGCACAGTTGGGATTGGGATAACCATGAATCATTCGGAGCTGAGGGCTTTGAGGGCGTGAAGACGGCGGTCAGGGTCCTAATACCAGAAAGTGCAATAGCCGAAGCATCAAGTGCGCCTTCTAACGTCGTTTAGTCTGGTAAGGCGGAGGCCAACCTTTTGACAGGGGACCGGGGGCGATGCGGTGCTTGGTGCTACTCCAGTTGCAGAAGTTAGACTGGCAATCGGATCTGCAAAGGGAAACGTGAGAAGGGGTGGTAGCGTCTGTGCGGCGAACGACAATGAATTTGCCAACATGCGGCGGCCGGAGGTTACGTTACGATGGAGGCGTTTTGGGCGTGGAGGATGATGACCACCGACCAGGGGGGGCGGTGGAGGAGGGTGGAGGAGGGAGATCCCAAGAGGATACGCAACAGAAGGAAGGAAAAAAGAACACGAGACGAAATGATGGATGAGTGAAGAATTGTGGCCTGGTGGATTTTTCTCGAAGGCGGCCCCATACGAGGAAAAGAAGCAGAAGAAAGGAAACGAGACGAGACGAGATGAGATGAGGAGGAGGCCCGTCGTTCACCCATCCACCCTCACTCACTCACCATCCGTCCATCCATCCATCCATCCTCCACAACCACCACTACCACCACCACCACCACCACCACAGCCACGGCCCATCAGCCTGCATCACCATCACCCAGTGGCCACTTCGAGAAGCACATGGCAAAGTCAAAGCCAAAGTCAAAGCAAGACCCCGACAAACCGAAACTGCTGCATTTGCCAATTGGAAAACTTGGGACACTACTCATCTCCCGACGGGCGGGGCGTCTTCTCTTTTCCTCAACCTTGGACCTTTTCTTTTACGCACTCGTTCGGCAATAAATGGGGATGGCAAACGTCTACAGCTCCCCTAAAGAGCGAGAGAGTGAAAAAGAACACTCCATGTCTCCCTGATCCTGCCCAAGATTGGCTCAATCACCGTCCGCCATCCCCCATGGCCCATCGAGCGCCGTCCCATCCTCTAACTGCGCACTTGGCCCGTAACGAGCTAGGCGCAGTCGATGCAAGCTGCGACCATCGCTGACCACGTTTCATCTTCCGGGGCCTTACCCCTTTCTCTGGGGGTTTTGCTCGACTATAGCTATCGACCGCTAGGCTGCTATCGAGTCGCCGGCGACTGGCCTGACTGCTCACATCGACTGCACAAGGTATCCAACACCAGAGAGAGCTTTTTGACCTTCGGCGTTGGAGCCTCGCACCCTTTTAACCTCCCGTGCCGCCGTCTTGTCCACATCCGAGGCAAACCGAGGAATTGGGTTTTTTCCAGAAACAAAAGAAAAAGAGCCACGAGGGCGACATGCAAGAGGCGGGCCCCCTTCTGACTGGCGCACCCCTTGTGCCGGGCTGCTGCAACTGGCGGCCTGGTCTCAAAAGGTGGCTGCCACGTTGCTGCTGCAGCTGACCCTGGCTGTGAAACAACTGCTTGCGTCTGCATTGGTTCGGACAAAAGTCCAACCCAGTAAACTTTTCCCTAGCACCCATGTCAGCCCTCACCAGAGACACCACTGCCTTGGTCGTCCGAAGCCCACCGACACTACCACCATTTCCAATCTAGGCGACCCTTTGGAAGCTCCACGGGAGACGCAGCGCACGTCGTGCCAATCTGTTGGCTCGACGGACTCGAATACTTGTTCATTCTGTACGACGTACGTCGCACGTCGCCCGCTGCATATGTACACCGTCCAGGAAAAGTACCACGCGTTTGGCCTCTTTGAGTAAGACGATTAGTTCGATCTAGACCGAGCCAGCGACCTTTGCACCACAGTCTGCAAATTGACCTCTCGCCGGGTCCAAGTTATTCCTGCCGACCACCAGAGTATCTCCCCGAGGCGACGAGTATTGACATACATATCCTCGGCGTGTACACTATGGAGTTCATTTTGTACTCCGTGTCCTTCCCTCCCTTGTCTCCACGCCATGTTGACTCCTTCTGTTCTTTCGCAGCCAATCTTCGAAGACCCAGCATTGGACTTACGTGTACCTACAGTCCCCTAACCTCGGACAGGCATCTCCCGGGCGGAGAGCACCTGCACGTCAAGCACGCAAGCGGAGCCGGTCGAATCGCAACAGCATGCAGGCCTGAATCTCTTCCGGTCATCGCCATTTGGGAAACTCATCTGTGTTCTTCCGGACCTCCCGCAGGGACTTGCATTGTCCGCTCAGAAGGTTCCCCCTTGCGAGGATCCCTTCGCGTGATGGACCCATGCATGGGCTCGGCTTACCTAAATGCCCATCCAGGACTAACTACCAGGGACTCGTTAAAGCTCAAGCTCGCAAATCATGGCACCGCAGAAACCCTTTTTCCAAAAAGTGAAGCAAAAAGAGCGCCTCTCCTGAAATGCCAGCCTCGCAAAACTCATCGTCAAGTTCATCCGTCTCTTGCGATAACTTCACTCTCCCGTGTCCGTCTTGATAGCTGAACTGAAAAGACACAAACGATGTGAAAGTTCCATATTCCGTTCACAAACGAGGGCAAACATCCAGGACGCACCTTCGTCCCAGGCTCCTCCCAGCCGCAGTCTTTCCCAGCTTGTAGGACCATTGAATGCCACCACCACTCGCGTGCCGAGAGACCAGACCGGGATCCTTGACACCGCCACTCTGTTCTTCTTCGGCCTGGATCAAAACAGAAAACCCATCCCCGAGATTCGCGGAGATGATGCACGGTACGTACTGGTGCCCACATGGGCCAGCCGTGTAGGTGGCTCACGAGGAGGTCGCTGGCGCTGCGAAGAGCAGAGACACGAACCGAAATAGGGAATAATAGGGGGGCACACAGGCACTTGTACGAAGAAGAAGTCTGTGCAGCTGTCCCGCTCAACGGCAGGCCTTTTGTATATCAAGGTCAGAGAACAGGGTACCCTAAGTATGTATGGGGTGTTTCTTTCCCTGTATCTCTCTTACCCTCGCTGAGAGGAGGAACTTGCTTCTTTGATATCAGCCTGGGTCTATTGAATCCATACATCCTCAATTCTCATGCTCATCGTCGTGGTGTCCTGGTCTGAAGACACTCAACCCTGACGCCTGAAAGAAGGGCAATGTCTAACATGCCGCGTTGATCGATAGTTCCTTAGAGCCACATGGTCATGACCCTTGACACCCTGTATCCAATACATCACATCGTGGAGGTCCTTGGTTAGTCCAACACTCTCACCACCTCCGGCCGTACACTTCATGCTCCTTCCACGTCTTCTTCTTGCCGTCGCTCAGACGCATTTTGTCGCGTCGATCGCCGGCGCTGCCATCCATCCCGCCTGTAGGTCCAGATCCACCCCCAGCTTGTGGCGGATTGGATGGTGAAGACATGTCTCGACTCGCGTCCAGTAATCCCCTCGACCTCCCTTTGCCCATGCCAACCTCTTCCACGTCGACGGGATGTTCCGACTCCGCCTCCCGACCAAACAATTTCAACATATCCTGCATGTTCAGCCTCATTGCGCCCTTCTTGCCCTGCCCTTCGATGGTCGCCTTGGCGAGTTCGCGCTTCTTCTCCTGCAACTCCAGGATCCGCTCCTCCACCGTGCCTTTGATGGTGATTTTGTACACTTTGACGTCTTGGGTCTGATTCAGGCGATGCACCCGATCTATTGCCTGTTCTTCCACAAAGGGGTTCCAGAACGGCTCGAGGATCACCACCCTCGACGCGGCGGTCAAATTTAACCCCAAGCTTCCCGCACGGAGGGAACAGAGGAGGACACGTGTGGAGGGGTCGGTGCGAAGGGCGTTGAGAGAGGCCTCGCGCGCGTCATTGCGCATTTTGCCGTCGTACCGGGCGTAGTGGATGCGGTGGGAGCGGAGAAATGGCTCGATCAGGTCAAGCATGGACGTGAAGAAGGAGAAAACTATGTATTTGTGAGTGTGGGAGTCTTCGCGGAGGATGGAGAGGAGGTTGCGGATCTTGGTGGATTGGAGCAGCGCGGGTTGTGAACTGCTAGAGTCGTCGGATGAGGAGTATTCGTCGTCCTCGTCTCCTTCGCCATCAACGGAAGAGGAGTATTCTTCGTCGTCTTCGTGCTTCTCGTCTCCATCCTCCTCGTCATCACTGTCCTCAACAACGCGCCTTACTTGTTTGCGTTGAGTTCTGATTGCCTTCTGCTCTTGCTTCCGTCTCTTCTCCTTCTTCGTCTTCTTGATCTCCGTGACATACTCCGTCTGCTTATCCAAATCTTCTTGGCATTCAGCACATCGAATGGCACCTCTGGCAGCTTCTCTCGATGTCAACTCGATCTGACACATATCGCACCTCTTGGTCTCCACACTAAGGCCACCTAGCATGTTCGCAATGCTGTCCATGTCATCTTCCACACTAGCCTTTCTGCGGCTCGGTGTCTGCATGCCACTTGACGCATCAGTCTCGGTGCTCAAGTCACTTCCAGTGAGTTTTGGGTGGTTACACGCTTGTCGAAGTCGCATGAGCAGGACCAATGCCGACGCGTAGCTCATCTTGTTCCCAGCCATCATCATCTCCAAACTTCGATCTGTTCTCGACTCCAAGCGTTTATAGAACTCTCGCTCTTGGTCTGTAAAGTCGGCTTCAACGTTCTGAACAGTTCGTCCCACGATCTTGAACCCAGGACCTTTGCTTCCTTCTCTTGCCTCTCCTTTACCACCTTCATTGGAGTGCTCTTGTTTGAGAATATCCTTGGTTCTTCGCTTCATGAAGCTCTTCAGGATGAGTCTCAATCTCTTAACTGCAAGACCTCCTTTTCCATTGTTCATGGGCTTGGTGATATTCTCGCGCCATTCATTCAGGTCGCAATAAGGCCGGATTCGGAGAAAGTGGATGAGGCTTTGAAGCTCGTCGAGACCGTTCTGCATCGGGGTTCCAGTCAAACACCAGCGGTATGCAGCATCAAGAGCACAAGCAGCCTTGGAAGATTTTGCGTTTCGGTTCTTGATCGAGTGCGCCTCATCTAGGATGATCCTATACCAATGAACCCCGAAGCACCCAACTTTGAGGGACTCTGAGCATCCAGCATGTTCCGATGACAGTGTCTGGTAAGTTGTGATGACGATATCGTACTTCTTTAAATCCTTGTAGCTTTTGGTTCTCTGGGGGCCATGATGAACACAGATTTTGAGCGCGTGGTCTTCGTCGATGCGATCCTTGAGTTCTCCTTCCCACTGTCTGATCAAGGCCAACGGGGCGACGACAAGTGTGGCTTTTGTGACACTCTCAGGCAGCCTTCGCTTGCTCTTCTCGTTCTCTTCTCCACTGGGTTTTGGGTTGCTAAGCATGAGAGCGATTGATTGTATCGTCTTTCCCAGACCCATATCGTCGGCGAGAATACCCCCGTACGTTCTATTCTTGCCGATTTCCTTGCCGACCATCCAATCGACCCCGTCAATTTGATGCGGTAAGAGCTTGACTTTCAATCCGGGCACGGCGCCATCGTCTTCTTGTTCTTCGGCCTCCTCTTGAGCCGATTCACTCTTGTCTTCACTGTTGACTGACATACCTTTGACCATTTCAGCCAGATCGCCAACTTTCTTGTCAAGCTCCTTGTTTCTCCTCCTCGTTCTTGGTCTGTCCTCTTCGTCCTCGAATGCACCTTCAAGTAAAGCCTTGATGCTTTCACTGGCCTGTGTAGAGTTCATGTACGTGTACGGGTCGGCGGTTTCGTACCGCTCTGCTCGGAAGAAAGCGGGGTTCGAAGGAGGAGGTGGACGACTCAGAATGGGTTTGTCCTGAGTCAAATCTATCGCATTTGGTCGGAAGTATGGATTTGGAGGTTGGTGAGATGAGAAGGTGGGTGGAACAACGGCGGTCGGCTTCCACGTAGGAAAGTTCGCAGGCTTGGGGATTTCATAGAAATCGTCTTCTTGATAAGGTGGTCGAGAAGAACTGGGTTTAGGAGGCTGTCCGGGGTTCGTTCCATGGTCTTTGAGTGCTTGCAGAGGATTTGCGACAACATGAGGTTTGTGCAGCTCTGGTCTTTGCACGGGTCTCTTCGCCGAGACAAACAGGTTCGAATATTTGTCTTGTTGTTGACTCCCGCTCACTTGGCGTGGAGCTGATGTATTCGCACTCATGCCTGGTCGCATGAGCGGCTGTGTTCTTGCATATGGCTGTGGCGATGCCCCGGGCATTGATGGCCTCCCGAACTGAGGCTGCTCTGGCAAGCCATTCTGGAGATCTGGATACAGAGGCTGCGAAGCGGGAGGTTTATCGGTGGGAACTATCTTGTCCTTGTTCTGGGAGTCTGGGAGAGGTTGCGAGTTGCCCATAGCTGGGGCAAGCGGGTTGCGAGGGGCCTGTTGTTCTCGCACCATTTCGACGCTGATAGGAAGACGGAACGTGAAATCGAAGAATTGTGGCGTCCGTCCTAATACAGATTCCGGCGTGACATGGGAATGATTCCCTCTGGAAACAAATTTTGGGATATATACTCGCGACGCAGGTCTTGGGATGGTGGCTTGAGTGCGAGGGATGCGCGGTGGTGATGAGGCCGCAGGCAGTGGCAGGCAGACGTTGTCCGGGCAACCAAAGCGACCGTACTGGGGTGGAATCTAGAGCATTCAATATTAAATCGACCCTGCCACTCGACGGAGACCTGCGGTATTCAAGTGCTTTGATGTTATCCGGTCTTCGCTGGCGTGTTGAGTGTGGTACTCCGTTGGACCAGTTGATCAACACTGCGGCGGCACAGGTTTATCTATTTATTCTCCTTGGGAGTCGTTCGACAGCTATGACAAAATGAGTCCTTTGTTGATGTTGAGGGTCTGCCAAACACGATGGCTGCAACAACATAAAGAGGTCTTGTTCATCATGCGGGAGTTCAGGTTCAGCTCATCTAGGGGAGGCCAGTCTTGTTGTGCGTGCTGTTGACATCATATGCGAGGCTGCCAACGCTGGTTTCTGGGGTAACTTTAAGCCTCACCCGCCAAGAATCTAGAGCGGCTCTCCATGTGTTACGTGTCTCACTAGCTTGTTCTCTTGAGCCTTCACGATTCTCAATCGATGATCTCAGATTTGTACGAGTGAGCTCTGGTAAAAATGGGGCGATATACCCCTCAAAACGCCCCTCGAACCTATGTAGGATCCCGAAAAGTCCCCATCGAACTCACGGATTCAAGCTGTGCACATTCCCTGTATGTGGCGGTTTCCGTACCAGCCTGATCTTGCCCAGACAATTGAATTTGTTCCCGGCGCTCTCCAAGTTGCTCTGGCTTGTTTGCTCCGTCCTCCTGGCCTTCTCCATCTGTTTGTGGTGAGTGGCCAGCAACGCCCTCTGCTGTGAGGTCGGTAAATGCGCAAGACTTCTCCGGTCCCCTGCACGAAGCTGCGCGAGCTGGTTGTTGAGCGTGACTTCTTGCTTCAGCGCTCTCGTACTCAGTTCACCCCGAGAATCGGGCGGTGTCTCTGCAGCATTTGAGCTTGACCCAGCATCGGTGTGTGATTGCGGAGTTGGAGGCGGTGGTATTTGGTCGAGCTGGGAAGCTGTGATGTTGGGCCCGTGTCTGTCTGAACGCCTGGGTGGTCGTGGTTTCCTCAATCTGGTTTGCGGTGGAAAATGGTTGTCGCCCGAGAACCCCGTGGCGTGGAGATGTCGGTGTAGCTCCTCTTTTGCATGCGACGAGGGGAAGTCAAATACGTCTCTGAGCTCGGCATCCTCGTCCGTCATGTCGTACTTGCAATGCCCCTTGGCCATCATGTGCTGCTGCACGGCCTCGCGAGTACTCCGCTGCGTTCCGCAGTAGAGGCACTCGTAACGCCCAGAAATGATGAGATGGAAGTAGGCGAGGAGAGTCCCGACATCTGCCAATAGGTGCGCGGGATCTACATACAAGCCATGGACTTTGAGCATGTGGACCAGATTCTGGTCCAAGTCCGGGCTCGTCTGGTTGCAGAATAAACATTGCGACTCGTCGAATTCGTCGTCGTCGTCGTCGTCGAAAATGTGACTGCCATCAGACTCGCATTCGGTGCTGGGAGACGATGGATTGGACACATCGTCTTCATGATTGATGTTAATGGCGGTCTGGTCTCGAACTGTTGCAGCAGCGGTCACGCTTTGACCCGATTCAGCATCCATAGTTATATCAATAGTGGTATCAGTGCCACAACCCAGTGGCATCAACGTCAGGACGGTTGTAGGGTTGAAGAAGACTCAGGTAATGCGAGCAAAGGGTTAGGTGTCGAGTAACGTTGGGAATTATGGGAATTCTAACCTGGCGATGTATGCAAATTGTGTCCATGGTGGTCGATTCCTACCGTTTATATTGTTTGCAAGTCTCTCCACAGAAGCATACGAGCACGGGGACGTTGTTGCATGGGCCAAGAAAAGGAGCATGACCATTGTTCACTGCCACGGGTCCAGACCCTTCTGATAATAGTGTCCTCCAATAGATTGTGCGAGTCATAACTCGTTTAGGCCTTGCTGCACATCTTCCAGTTTCCTAAAACGGCTGTCTCCATTCATTTGGCCGAGAATATTCAATCACGCCGCATAACCACTAACAAAGCGCAGGCAGATCTCCCGGCAAATACAAGGCCTCAAGGCCTCCGGAAGAAATGTAGCAGTCCCACAGAATAGACGCCATCGCGCAATCTAGCCAGTCGCTCAAGAGTGACGAGACGACCGCCAGATCAAATATAGCTAATATTGTTAATAAGGATAAGGATAGAATCAATGCCCTTTTCATTGATGGTGCCTTTGAGTCAATAGTGAATCTCTTCTCGGTACTATTTCTCGTCAGACGGTGCCACTTATCTTTCCCATTAGCTCGATATACACAGATTACCTGCGGCCATACGTGATCCTCTATACACAACCCCCGAGGTCTCAAGCGGCAGTAGAATCGTTAAGACTGTCATAAAGGGCATAAATCTCTAGAGGTCGATTAAGTGGGTGAATTGATCGTACGTTGTCGTTGACCACTCACGCTTTCAGATATCATCATTCTGTCCCGACTGGCCCGAGTGCATAGCATTGATTTTCTGTGTTTACCAAGCCTGCTTCATGCAAGTCCAAAGTCCCAATATCAATGCAAAGAAGCCTGGAACTCGCCCTGGGTATAGACCTTCATCATAAAAGAACCTAAAGACAACCATTAAACAGCAAAAAGAACGGACCAGTCATCCAGCAGCCGCTCTAATGACCCCCTCCCAGAATTTTTTGAGTCCCAGGACATGCGCCCGCGTCGGTTGGGAACAAGCACCGTTGGTGGCAGCTCTTCGTTCTTCGTCCCTCTTGGCAAGCTCGACCTCCCTGCCCCATTTCGCCTGTGCTCTCCTCTTCTCTGCCCTGACTGGATCAAGACGACGGACTCCCTTGCACTCCAAGTCCACAGCGACCTTCCTTGCGGCAAACCTCCTTACCAAGCTCTTTACCGTAGTCTTTTCCGTAGCATCCATCTCATCTGCTTTCCTCTTCTGTGCTTGGATAGCGCGCCCTTCGACCCACGCGCGAAGCCCGTCCTTCAAGCTCTCTCTAATCACTTTGCGCCTCGTAGCCACGATGGCAGGGGAAACACTGCGCCGGGCGCACTCTTCAGGCATGATGTTGAGAGACACCAGACTGTTCACGCTCGGCCGGCGCTCTAGCTTGCGACATAGTCCATCCTTCAATTTGCTCCGCTGCACCGCCTGTTGTGACTGTATCAGGACTGGCGAAACCGGCGAGGAATAGCTGGTGCATGTAGATGGGAGGATCGACCTCTGTACCAAGTCATACGGACTTGGTCTGTGTTCGAGGTTATGACTTAGTCGTATGCGTATCAAGCTCTTGCTGATTTGCCGCGAGAGAACATTGGTCTTGCTCAGCCATATCCATGAGTTGGGAGGACTAATGGAAGACTTGGACGGCCGTCGGGCTAACAGGGTGGAGAGAGTGTGGGAGACATGGTGCAGTCGCTCGAGGTGAAGCAGGGGATCGCATGCGATTTCCCGCAAAGTGTGGCATGTGCGACTCACTTGGAGCAGGTCGGGGATTTCCAGGAAGAAGAGGATGCGGAGGAGGACTTCTGGAGGTAAACACTCGAGAGATAGCGACATGGTTGGGACAGCCTCTTAATCGGCCGGGAAATTGTCTTTTGAGGCGACAGGGTTGAAGCCGTTCTTAAGATCGAGGAATGCGACGAGGTGCCAGGCCCCTCTCGAGCTTGGTGTTTCAGGCTCGATTAACCTTGGGACAAGCGTGTAACATAGGACAGCTGGGGAAGGATTCTTAGCTCGCATGAATAGGTCGCGTGGCTGGAAAACACGTCACTGCGCCTTGGAAGCCACTGACGATGACGCAGGGGGCTGCACCGCAGGTGCACCCGCAACTCAGTCTGACGGCCCGATTTTGAGCAGAACCACGACGACTCGATATTTCACGGTATAGAACAGGCTGACGTCTAGTCGGTATCAATAAGGGGAATTGAGGGAAACGTGCACTATCCTTGCAAACCAACTGATCGCAGGCTTCCGGGGTTGCTGTTTCAGCGTAGGATGTGTGCTCTCTATCTGGTGCCTCGCGAACCCCCCGCAGCCTCACCGCCCGCTTGCAGTGCCTGCGCGCGATATGACATGGTGCAGCACAGACTCCGCAGCCCTAGCAGACTCCCGCTTTTACAACCAGTTAGAATATATCAAAGTCTTCAAGTGCAGCTCGTTCAACTCGAAATAAAAACAACCCAGCCCAGCACATGTCGCCGTTGTTCCTCGGTCACCCGGTCGCGCCGAATATACTCCAAATGGCCACAGAACTCCAGGTCCCCAGGACTCCAAATTCATACATCCTCCATGGTGCCGGCTGGCTCATCCTCCCCATCGCTGTTGAAATCTTCCACCTCGCTCAATTCTCCGTCCGTTTCGTGTTCGTCCTCGTCGTGGTCGTCGTGGATGTTCGTAGCATACTGAGCGATGTACTCTTCAAGGCAGTCAGTATTCTCCTGCTTCAATCCCGTGTTGCGGAGATTGAGCCTTACCTTTGACCCTGGCATCGTAGCTTCGAGGCTCCCGCATCAGTAGTGCAGCCGCTTCTCCGTTCAAAGGGTCGGTAGGATTGGGGTATCGCAGAAGCTGGGGTAAGAAGACTTCAAAGATATTGATCATATCAAACATGGGTGACCATGTCTGGTTGATGACGTCCAAGCACACCGATCCCGACCTACAAAGCCAGGTCAGCACTGCTTGCAACTGATTTCAGCATCAACTGTCACTAACCCTTCATCGATATTGGGGTGGAAGATCTTGTTAACAAAGCCGATGGAAGGTGACTTGTAAGGGTATTGGTCTGGCAATTCGACGTGGACTTTCCATTTGCCCTCAGCAAAGGGTGCTGTAGATATCATCATCTCGTCAGTGGCCCTGGATCCTGCAGCAACCCGTCCAACTGTGTGTTTTGACATGGGAGGTTCATGCTCTTACTTTCCGAAGGTCCTTTGAAGATGACATAGAATTCCTGCATGTTGTCGTTGACCAGTGTCACCTCATAATCGCTCATCATCAGTTTCATAACATCTGTCTCTATCCTCCGCTTGGGACTGCTCATTGTGCCTTGCCAACCAAAGATCTCGCTCAAACGCAGATTGTATTCACAAGAGGGAATATCAGGTGCTTGGACGACACGACGATAGGTTCGGAACCGCGTTAGGAGGACGATGAATCGCTTCTGTGCTTTGGTTTCCGAGGAAGAATGTCTATAAGATCCGGTGTGGCGGGATATAGAAGCGAGATCGGAAGGGAGAGGATCACGGGAGGATGACCGGATGTTCTATCGCGGATTGGACTCGGCTTCTCCTTTGTCCTCGTGAGGGGTGGGGGCTTCTCAACAGGTTGAGGTCAGGCGGAACAGGTAGTGAAGGTTTCGTTCGGAGAGTGAAGAAAAGAGGCGGAGACAGGCCACAGTGGAAAGCAGCAAACCTGGGGAGAGTGATGAGGAGGAAGCAGAGTATGGTGTGTCGATACGGCTCGAGGTCAGTTGCAGTTTGGTGAGGAGTGTTTCGCTGTGGTTGGAGATGGTTCGATGGCAAGGGCAATGGTGGGGGACGCTTGACTGATTTGTCCACGCCCAACTGGTTTAACCACCGGTTTACCGCTTAGACCGGCGTATGCAGCCTTCACCATGCGCTGGGTGAATTGTGACAAAGGAAACTCGTCGCACAGACTGCAGCCCACTTGGCCAGGCCGTCAGGCATTCCCACTGTTCGCTCCAAGGCCAATGGTCAGGGAGTCAGCTGGTCAGTAAACTATTGGGCAGATATCTACATACCTACGTGCCTAGGTGCTCGGTGCCTCGCTCCACGTGTTCTATCCAGGCCCAGCAAATAGAAACAGGAACATGTCACAGCGGCATGACAGCCTTACAGTCACTCTCATCAGGCTGCTGAGCTGCGTTCTAGGGTTGGCTGGATAGATACGATTGCCGACTGATGAGAAAGTCGCACGTTTCCGAGGCAAGGAAGGGCGGCACCCGGATGTACCCTCGTTCGGCCGTTTGGTGGTCATGGATGGCAAAAGGCAGATGTGCAGAAGTCGGCAGCCGAAGGGGTTGAGTGACGCCAGAAGGCCAGAATCACATTGCTCACCCAGCCAGCGCCCCAAGTCGCCCCAGAATGCCTTCCCTCCTCTAGGCTCTCTTGGTGTTAGGGCCTCCGGTTGCAGCCAACAAGAGCGCTTAGTGGGCTCACTAACCCCCAGAGTGGCCTCCCGCTCGGCCCTTCACTGTCAACACCGAGGCTCATCTTCACCTCCAGACCTTTTCTCAGATTTACGCATAAAGAATTCATCACGACGACAGTGAATAAAACCTCTTTTTTCACCGCCACCGCATTCTGTTCTGCAACATGACTCAGATCAATCTGAGACTCTCTTTTCTTCCTGTTCTTCTTCCTCCTTCGTGCCTACCCATCTCCGGGTTTGGGTGAACAACAATGGCGTCTATTACTCGCATCAACCGAATCGCGTCTCTCACACGACCCCTTCTCCGTGACACCTGTCGACCAGCTGTCACACAACAGCACCGACCATGGCGGCAAGTTCGCTGGAGCTCGCACGCCCCCTCGTCTCCGGCCATGCTGGCTAGAGGCCAGAAGCCCGTCACGATCCAAACCCTCCAGAAAATGTACGCAGAGGACCAGCCCATCACCATGTTGACTGCACACAATTTCCCCTCGGCTCTAATGGCGCAAGAAGCTGGAATGGACATGATCCTGGTTGGCGACTCGCTTGCCATGGTGTCCCTCGGCATGCAAGACACGTCCGAAGTCACGCTCGACGAGATGATCGTTTCCGCCCGCGCGGTTAGTCGAGCAGTAAACCGATCATTCACCGTCGGAGATCTCCCCATGGGTTCGTACGAACTCAGCCCGGAACAAGCACTTGCCAGCGCGATTCGAATGGTCAAAGAAGGCCGCATGCAGAGTGTCAAACTTGAAGGAGGAGCCGAGATGGCCCCTGCAATCAACAAGATCACAACCGCCGGCATCCCATTGTGCGCACATATCGGCCTCACCCCTCAACGCCAGCATGCTCTTGGAGGCTTTCGTGTCCAGGGCAATACACTGGACAAAGCAATGTCCCTACTGAATGACGCCAAAGCTGTGGAGGAGGCAGGAGCTTTCATGGTCGTGTTGGAATGTGTGCCGCCCGATATCGCCGAGGAAGTCACCAAGGCTCTCAGAATACCCACCATCGGCATTGGAGCAGGCAACAAAACAAGTGGTCAGGTTCTGGTGCAGATCGATATGCTTGGTGTTCGTCCGCCTGATAGTTTCATGCCGAAGTTCGTCAAAAAATATGGATCGATATGGGAAGCTGGGTTGGATGCCATTAAGCAGTACAAGAATGAGGTCAGCGATCGAAGCTATCCAGGTCCCTCGCATGTGTACAAGAGCGACGCAAAGGTCACGGAGGCGTTTAAGGTGGCCATTCAATCCGGAGAAGCGCAAAAGGCTTGATATCGTTGGCGTTGCTTTGACCTGGTCATGAGACATTTCCGGCGTTATTGATTCCGGCCTCGAGCAAGCGCACTTCCTTTGGTCAGAACAGGGCTGGGACTGGCCTAGGCTCATCCAAAAGCCGGCGTTGTGGAATAGCTAACGATCAATTGATCGTCAACCTTGAAACACTAGTTTTCGCAAACAAAGGACCGTGATTAGCATGATCTCCTCTAGCTCTTCCGTTTAGCAGATTCGATTGAACAACACCATAGATGTAGCGCACCAGCCTTGCCTCAACCAGACAACAGACGGGGGGCAGGAGTGCAAGCAGAGCCGTTGGGTCTGGCGAACGACGACGGAAAACAACTATTACACTGAGCGAAAGGGGAGCGGGTGCAAACGTACCCGGTACAAATTGCCCACTCCCTCGTCCAAACCCGGCGCGAAAACGCTGTTGACGTAGCAGAACAGCCCGTCGCCCTCTTTGACACCCACTTTCTTCCTCAGGAAGTTCAACACGACGCTGAACTTGGAGGAGGCGCTGATCTTGAAGACGCGCTGTTTGAGGATCGGGGCCGCACCAACGGGCTGGAAGCGGACGGAGACTGTGACGCCCACCAACCACATCCGGAGGCGGAGGTTAGAAGAGGACTTATGCGACAGACAGACAGACGCAAGCAGTGGTAAAGGAAAGAAAAGAGGGTTCGTGACTGAGACTGGGATGGGGCCCTTGGATGGGATGGATGAAAATACCTTTTCGATCGTCAATCTCTTCGACCTCCTTCAGCGCCTGGCTGGCGTCCTTGGGCAGGTTCGCCAACATGACTGAGGCGGTCATGCTCATGGGGAGATCGCCTCCAGGGCCGCTGTCGCCTTCCCCGTTACTGTTACTGCCGTCGTCGTTGTCATTGTCTGTTGCCTTTGTGGTGGGGCCGGTGTTGGTGTCAGGCCGCTTGCCGTGATCCTGCGGCACGACCCTCGACGATTGCGCAGAGGATGACATCGTGGGCGCGTACGTGGAACGTGGAACGGAGTCAAGTCAAGAGATGGATAGAATGAAGGACCCCCGGTCTGTTTGTTGCCTCGTATTGCTGCTGGCCGGATGCAGTAGGGATGGTCAAATGAGTGTCTGCTTACTGGATGCAGAGCCTCGTTGACACTACGTGTGGTGAGTTCTACTGGGCTGCGGTGTGACGAGGCTGTCCAACCAGAAGCCAAAGAAAATCGCCCACGTGAAGACTGGACCTCGCATCTCGACCTTTCTTCACTCATCTTCGTTGTTGCGTGCACTTCCCGTCAATCAGGTTGTCAAGCTATCATCAGGCTGCTATCAAGCTGTTCGTCTCAAACTACCTTCCTCAAGCCCCTAGTAGCAGCTCCGCTCCTGAAGCACCGATGCGTCCCTCTTTTCGCAGCCTTGACATGGCTCGATCGAATCCAACTTGGAACTGTCCCCCCAAGGACGTCAGAAGAACCCGAACAATTCACCGCCACACGATGTTTCAAAGTCTGCCGACGATGGTGATTCCTCCTCCAATGACATCAGCTCCCAGTTTTCGCAGCATATGCCAGGCTTGTTGGTAGCCTCACACGGACAGTCGGTTCAGCGTTGACGACATTTCACTTCACCAGCTCTTCCCGGTTGCTTCACGCACAGTCACCGGACATATCGGTCTCTTCCGGCGCTCCGACTTCAGCCTCCACTAAGCGATCAGGAAGCTTGCCAAGTTCGCGGATCTTCAGCAGCCATTTCTTCATCAACTCTCTCTCCACTGTATGACTTCCCTCACGGTACCCAAGCTGCTCCATCATTTCCTGCTCAACTTGCTCTCTCATCAAGCCCCGAAATGCCAGCATTTGGGGTCGACGCCCGATACCGTAGGCAGGTTCGACAGGATTCTGGCCTCCATGCTGGCATCTCCACTTAGAGAGTGCCTGGCGCTCCGCTGCGTTCTCTCTTAACTCTTGATCTTGGGTGGCCTCATCCCCGGAAATACTCATGAAACCAGCTGCTTGCCGAAGGATACTTGGACTCCAGTTTAAACGGTCTCCCTGTTGAAGCAAGTACTCAAGCAAATCATCGACTTCGCCGGTTCCGTCCTCGCCCGTCGCGAGCTCGGCAATGAAGAGCTGCACCAACTTGTCAGTACCAGCCACAACGTCAGCCTTGGGAATCGAGTTCGGCTTGGGTTTTTTGATGTCAAGATACACCTGCCGCGCAATTGCCGCACTCGACACTCCATGAAGCGCGAGCCATAAGATTCTCTCGCACTGCTGCTTGTTGAAGACATCATGGGCTCTCTGAGTAATGAGATAATCTGGACTTGATGCCAACTTTACAATCAAAGTTGCCTGCGAATCTGCCGAATGTCGACTCCCTAGTCTGGGTGCTGGGCTGGTGAGAGGTTGTGTTGGCTCTTCTGTTGGGACTTGGGTAGGAGGAGAGCCGCTTTGTGAACGACATGGTATCCCGAACATACCACTGGCCAAACCATATTTTCGCTTTGGAGCTGGTGGTGCCATATCGTCTGGTTGCGTTCTGTCTTGTGAAAGAGATGTGTGGTCGAGGATCGCTGGCGTCGAAGGGCATACCGGATCATCCTTTTCTAGGGCATCCTGAGACTCAAACGATTCCCTCCTGCGCTTGCGTGTTCGCTTTGAACGGTCATCCACAAACAGTGTTTCTGCCGTCTGGAACGGCTCCTGTTGGGGTTTGCGACGTTGAACGGAAGCAACCTCTCGGTGAGCCATCGGAAGATTGACCATTTGATGTATCCCTGTGGCTGTTTCAGCTTGGGGTACGCCGAACTCCCTGCGAACCAGCTCACCTGGGAGTTGAGTATCTTCATGAGGAGACTCATCGCGAATTGGTGGCAGTATGGGTCCTCGCTGATTGGGAACGGCATAGCCCTGCATGGGACTTGCTAAATGACGGTCTACAGGCAAAACACCACGCCGAATGGTCGATACCGTCGCGATACCCAGGGCACCTCTCCCAGGTTCATGGATAGCTCCAAATGTTGCTGGCCCAGCCATATGAGGAGACGGTGGAGGGTATGGCACAAAAGAATAGGTCAGAGGGCGACGAACGGGGCCATCAGCGGCTGGCTCTGGTTGCTCTTGGACGAACTGTGGTGTATATCTGAATCCTTGGTGAGTCGAACGCCGGAGATGTTGCTGGGAAGGAAGTGCCACAGCTTCAGACCGCGCAGAGCGACTGCCGCCATTATTGATCTGTGCATGGGAGAAAGCAACATCGTTGTCGCGATGCTCTGGTTGATTTGCTCCACCATCATCGATGATCTGGTATCCAAGTGGGATACCTGAGTCAAAGGGGTGTGGAAAATACTCCCTCATGGTGTGAGAAGCCCTCACCGACGAGGGGTTGTTGGTGTTTTTACCGCTATTGATTGTTTGGTTGCTATTGACAAAATGTCGTCGTAGACACGTCTTGATTTATATCCTGGTGTGGTTGCGGTGGTGATACAGTGACGCGTGCCATTTCAGCAGAAGTGACAACGGCCATGAAGTATTTATGCACCATCACCTGCAAGTGAAGGCAATGGGTGAAGACGAGTGAGAGGCAGTCCGACGTGGAGCCTTGTCAATAGGGGGAGCAGTGAAGTTCATGGAACAGACCTCTTTGGCACCACATGCATGGGCCCAAGACAAGGCACATGAGTGAATGATTCTGGTGGAGGTGGAAGTGAGACATGTTGAAAGGCAGGTGAAAGGAAACAAAAGCAAGGATGCATTGTGTTGAAGGTAGGTCTTACCTTGTCGCTTGAGGGTGGATGTTTTGTTATATGGCAACTACCAGCCTTGTGAGAAGGGACGCTCACGACGATTCCTCACAAGCGGACAAAGGCTCGAAGTCTGGCATCCCGGAACAGGTGAGACGGTTGCGTACATATGTTCATTCATGCCTCATCTTTGTTTCCAAGACACCTTCGCTATTCACAAGCCTCACATTATGGCAACCTTGCAGCACATAAGCGATCTATCCAAAACTCCAATCCCGATGCTTTCATATCCCAGAATCGCCCGTCAATCAATAACTTTCAGAGAGGTCGCTAAAATCAGGGACTTCAGAATCACATTTGAAAGATGGAGCGTACGCTTTGTCAGGCAATATGCCGGCCTGCAGGCCCAACATCCAGCTCCACTGTACGGCGCTCTCGGTCTTCCAAGTCCAGTAGAACCAGCCCCAGGCCTGCTCGAAGCTGTGCATCTGGGCTTCGGCATACATTTGCAGAAACTGCTTGTACGCGGCGCTGTACTGGCTCGGGTCAGCGTTGGCTTGCGCACAAGAACATGGCGGCTCGGCACAGGTCGGTGTGAGAACTGATGTGCCCGGATCGCCGGTGTCGAGCGTACCAGCCCACCTGGAGCCTACGCCGACATTGTTCAGATTTGGGGTGCAATCAGTATCGGCCTGGGACCACTCGCCGTCCAGAATCGGCCCCCAGCCGGTTTGCGGGTTATTGGCAGCAACCATTAGCCCAGTCCAGCCGGAGCAGGCGAGGTTGATCTTGTCTTGGTGCTTCAACTTGAGCTGTCCGGTGTTGAAGATTTGGTATTGGTGGGTATCCATGACCAAATTGTCGTCGACTCCGTGGAACATGTCGTCCCAGCTATCCAGACTGAGGAAGCCGTCGCCGAAGACAATGCGCTGCTTAATGCCATTCCCTCGGACGATCGCGATGGCCTTTTGGTTCCAGTCAAGCACCGACTGAGGGGGAATTACCAGCATCTTTGGCTCGTTGACCAAGCCATAAATAGTCACCACGTTCTTGTACCGATCTTGGGCAAAGAATTGGGACAGTTGGTTGTGGATATCCAGTGATCTTTGTGCATTGGTGGCGCCATCGGCGCCGAGGATCCAACCAATATCACCTTGGTGACCACTGTGAGCCCATCCGTTCTGACTTCCTGGGACGGAGTGCAGATCGAGATTCACTCTCAAGCCGTTCTCTCGACAATACTCGATTGCTCGAAGCAGGTATCGCCAGGCCACTTTTGGTACGTATGGATCGCCGTCGTATGTGGTGACCGACCAATAGGGATATGGGATCCTTACGTGATCCAAGCCTGCGTTCTTGATATCAATGAAGCTTTGCTTTGTGATAAAAGTTGCATAGTGTGTCTCAATGACGCGCTGTGCTGATGGGCCAAGCTTCTGCGACAACGTCCACTCGTCGACCACGCTGGCGGAGGCAGGATAGTTGAACATTGAAGGGGTGATGAAGGGTTCCAGTGAAAGCCAGCCGCCTATGTTCACGCCTCGGATGGGCATCTTTCCGTATTCCCATTGTTCATCCAGAGCAGGGACGTTGTCGTTGGCTTTGGTGGAATCATCCCAACTCGAATAGAGGCCCATGACCGAGAGCCCGCCGACCGTCTCGGCAGTATATGTACAATTGAAGTCGGTGGTGTCCATCCAGGTGGAAATATCGGTGTAGGTACCCTTTACGCTTGCCGGGATCGAGCTCGAATCGCAGTCATTGCTGATGCCTGATGAGCCGTCGCCTGTGGTCGCTGACGACGAAGATGAGGATCCTCCGCTTGATTTCTTGCTGTTGTTGCTCACCACCACTGCCACCGGGATGAAGATAGCCAGCAACACGACGAATAGAATCACCAGCCACCAGAATTTCTTCTTTCGCCTTCCGCGGTCTGTGTCTGATCGCCTGTGAGCCTCGTGTTGTTTCCCGTACCCACCGCCGCGTCCATGCGCACGTCTGTGCTTCTCGCCCGCACGCCCTTCTTCTAGAATGGCACCACTGACATTCCGGTTTTTCTGTTTCTTCCGCCGTTGCTGTGTCGCCTCCGCCGCCTTGAGGTTTTTGTATTGCTTCTGCTTCTTCTTGTTGCGTCTGCGCTCTTCGTACTTCTCTTCAAACTCGGCCCTTTCGTTGTGCGCATTCAATTTCGCCAACGCATCGCTACTTAACAGCTGGCTTCCGCTATTGGTGGACGTCCCAGAGCTGTACTTTGCTCGGTCTCTCTGCTGGTCTCTCCTCGGACTGTTTTTCAACCCGCTCGAGCCTTGGTAGCGATCACTCGGTCGGCGCGGTCTCTTTTCGGGGGAGGGAGAGGGCACAGGCGAGGCTTTGGCCTTTTCCTTCGGCGCTCTTTTCGGTGTCCGTGGCTCATAATCGTCTTCTTCTTCGCTCCGCGCCTGACGGGGCACGGGGGCAGGGCGCGAGTTGGGGGGACGATTGAATGCAGGACGTGTGTCGGCCCTCGCCGCAGACTCACGACGGGGCTTCGGCATGCAACTGGCGCTGTGTTTTCCGAATCGTCATATCAAAGTTTCAGTCTGACAGGATGTTCAATGTCCCGCAGCAGGATGGGTTGATTTAAGAAGAGGCTGCTCCGGGACGCTGCACTCACTGTCTGGTTAACAACAATACGCGTCATCGGCCCTGGTGCGATGCTGTGCCACGGAAAGACTGCGAAGCGCTGTTTACGGGGGGTTGGCAGGGCAACCATGTTGGTCGATCTCGAACTTGGCGACAACAACCTTGAAGCCGAGTCACAACTGCTCTGAGCGATAATATGACCTATAATTAGAGGTTCAGAAGGACTTGAAAGGGAATTGGCTTAGCTGCAGAAGGTGTCGCACATTCACATTGTTAAGCTCATTGGTAATTACTGACCCAAATACGTGGGCGTCTTGATGTTGCCTGTAGCAGACTACGATCTCCAGTCAGAAGGCAGGGACTTAGGTCGTTAGATAGTGTCAAGAGCTCCAACATGTTGGTGATGATGCCACTGAACTCTTGCTATTAATATTTGGGTAGAACTCAGGCGTCGGCTTGAAGGCGTCAAGTTTCACGACCACCACCAACACACGTTAGTCGATGCTTGGGTAAGCGTCTCCAATCGAACAAGCTGTGAATACGAGATCCAAGCTCTTCCACATGCGGAAGGTCTAGTTCCTGAACGAGTGATGGGTTGGGCTGCCTGCAATCTCTGGAGCCGGATTTCCCTTCCTCCTTCACACCCAGGCCTTCTTGCAGTCCACCGAACCTATTCCATCCGGAGAGATGGTCTTGCTCCATTCGACTCGATGAAAGGGACACGTCCATTCGGTCAAAAGAAAAAGGGCTCCATCCGTCCATCCTCGACCTGGCTCGGTCGTCGACATGACTTTTCCAGGCTTTGACATTTAGGGGGCTGCAAGGTCTTAACAAGTAAACCATCTTGCATACGCGACAGGCCCAAGACCAACAATCAGGATGGTCTATAGTGTCTTTCATACCCTTAAGGACGGTGGAGAGAAGGCAAAGGAACTATCCCAAGGCGGCCAGCTGCCAATGGACGTTCATTTCATCAACGTCAACAGGCCGGGGCGCATCCCCAACTGGCAGCTCAGTCAGATCACGGCCCACGCGATGCGTAGGAACCATGAACGGCGTCGTGGTTTAGAAGTCCAGTCGACGCGAGCACAACCTCTTCCAGCCAGCGTGGACCGATCTCGGGGGGCCAGGAGTCAACGGACTGACCAGGGATCGGAACAATCAAGACCTATCTCAAGCAACGACCTGGAGCCTCGACCCCAATTGCTCTTGAAGCATGCGATAACAGCCAATGCGCGCACCAAAGCAACGCCCACCCCTGGAGACGAGAGGGCCCACCCAAGCTTGCTATGCTCTGCACCACAGCGCCTAAGCAAACATGGATCTTCCCCAGAGAAACTCTCAGGTGATGCCCCAGCGGACCCATGTGGCTGCCCGGAGTGTCGAGCCGAAGCATTAGCCCTTGCAGCTTGCTCTACCGACAGCGTTTTCGGGGGCCTGCGAACCGATCCATTCCTACGATATCCTATTGAGTCTCAGGACTATTTTCCTGCTGTAATCGACCATTGTAGGGAGATTATAGCACCAAGCCCTGCCTTCTTCGAGCTCTTTATGACGCACGATGTCTTGTTCGAGGCTATCATTACCTGGGTCCTGTGTACCTACTTGCTGCATACACCCGAGCTGAAAAAGGCCATGCTATACCATTATGGAGGCTCTCTGTCCAAGATTCGAGAACGCCTCCTCTTCCCAGGGTCTACTCGAAAGGCCGTAATGGCAGCTATTTCCAATTTGGCCGGGGTCTGCGTACGTAAACATCCTTCAGAATCCGGTGTAAGATATGCTAAGCGGCTGTACCAGGCTTACTTTGAAGATGATACATCCTTCAACATGCACCGCAACGCACTCCGTTATCTGGGTCAGTTCAGAGACGATGAGGACATGCGCGACCGTGACATTCGTGCTTCGGCCAAACGTCCTTCTAGTTTGTGAGTCTCCTCCAATGCCAGCCCCCAGTCGATGATGTTAGGGGAGATCTAATTCTGCATTACCCCAGTCATGACGCTCTATCCTACGCTCAACCCAGGAGAAAGGGAAAGGCTGGCCTCCCCGAAGACCGCTCCTCTTTCCTGACAATGGGGCTGTCATCTTCCAGGGAGCCGGTATACCCAAACCTCCCATTCTCCACCGAGTTGTCTGCGCGCCTTTCCAGAGTCTGTGAAGGTTTTCGAGAGCTGGCCTTGCGCAGGATTCTCTCGATCCAGGTCATCGAACGGCTGGCCATGGAACGAAGCCAAATCGTTCGTCTCGCATCAAGAGCAACAAGAGACCGCGAAGACTCTCGAGCCCTTCGAGAGAAATTGACACCAATCGAACGCTTGATCTGGTTGGGCTTCTCCGTGTTCCACTTATACACGGCGACGTACCAACTGGATCGCCAAGAGATGGCCGAAGCTTTCCTCGAGTGCTCCCGAAAGATGGCTCGGGGTTCTCAATTAGAAAATGATTGTCTTCTATGGGGAGGATGTGTCGTCACCGCGACCAAAGAAATTGAAGGTTGTTCGCTTGCAAAGGGTGAAGCTGTGACCAAAACTCTCCTAACAAGGTTCAAAATGAGCATCGAGGAAATGAATGGGGTGGCACAGAGATTTCTCTGGAACGAGTCCATGAGCTCTTGCCTGACAGCAGCCTTGCGTCACCGCTTCATCGCTGTGTCAAAGATTGAAGAGACCGCGGAATGGCGCACGTGGCTGTGACAAGCTTGTACTCATGCCCTCTAGCAGATACGGAAATGCTTCACTGATCAACGACTACTTATGCGAAATACGATTTCCCGAAAGGTTCAGCGATTAAAAAGACAATGCCGAAGTCGGATTTCCCCTTATCGACCTCAACCAGCCCATCCGGCATCTGTGTCAACAACCGACCCTGGAGCCTCCCCATGAGGATCGTTCTTCAAACTCCTGTCAGTGTCCTTAGGGCTCTTTGACAGCGTTGAGAGCTGACTCTCTGTTGTGGTTGTTTGTCTCGGACACGTATGAATCCAGATACGATGGAAGATCCTTGACCTTATTGGTGTCACTGGGTATTGGGGTGTCGAAAGCCTCGTACACTGGCACCACTCCAGTCCAGACTCTTTCAGTGATGTCAGATCTATTCTCATCCTTTGCCTCGTCATGAGGGCCTCCTTGCCGGATCTTGCCACTGCCAGTTTCAACCTTGACTCTCAGAATGGTGGTGGAGGTCATCTCGACATTGTCAGGTGGAACTCTGGTGTTTTCCCAGCGTCCATCGACTACCTTATTGGTGATCAATTGCATTGCGTACAATTTCTCATCGTCTGTCTCCACCGGCTTGGCGAACCCCTGAAGGACGGCTGATCGGTAGTTGTAACTATGGGAATTTGGGGTCAAGGACAACACCAAGCCATCGACTTTGGTTGCAGCGACGCAAATTGGCAAGCCATTTGGGGATTCCCGAGCGAGGCGCATGATCCTTGAGCTGACATATCCATGGAGATAGCAGTCAAGTGGCTCCTCGATGCTGGATGAAGGATATTCAAATGAACCCATGACCCCGATCATGGGCAAGATTGCGGGAAAGGGTTCGTCGGGGCTTGGAGCGAAGGAGACATGAAGGACCGAGGTAGTGTTTATGATTGAATGGATGATCCCAAGGTCATATGTCCCTGGAGGATATTGGTCTCAACGTACTTAATGCGGAGGGGCGTGCCTTCTTACCTCTGTTGTTGTATCGCTTCACTGTATTTTGAGGTTTCTTTGGATACTCGAGATGTCGCACCATGGCTGCGGGTGGATAGTAGTTCCTTTCCCTTCAAAGGACGATGGCAGGTTTACAGTGATCTGAAGGTCTGATGGATCAACATCCAGCCATATCAAGCTGTATATGAGTGATCAAGTGAGTCATGATAGTGTCCGTGCCTTGGGACGTGCGAGCATATCAAACACCAAGGGCATCATTGGACGAGGCCCAGTTAGGAAACTAGACCCGAGGCCGCATCTCGCTGGTTGGAGAAGTGCGTCAAATTCCAAAACTGATCGAGGGATTGAAGCCATGCCTATTGCCGTCCTCTTCGACCCTCCAACCATCGTGTCATCTCACTACAGACATTGCTTCAGAGCATGTCGATGCGGAGGACATTATGGCAGACGCTCATCCGTGCCAATAATGTCCTCAACCATACCCGTGTCATTAGTCGGCCAACAAAATGTGAGCGAGCACAGCTGCGGCGATACAACACTCTGACAGTCAATGCTGCCGATCTCTCCTTCGGACAGCCTGTCTCTGAGACCCATCCACATCTACTCCAGCCGGGGGAGCTGACTCCAGGTATAACCGCGCAGGAGTATGCCGACCGGCGCACGAGGCTCGCAGCCAAACTGCCCGACAAAGGCATTGCCATCATCGCCTCCGCCGATCTCCAGTTCCGGTCGGGCAGTGTCTTCTACGAGTTTCACCAAGATCCTGACTTTCTCTACCTGACCGGCTTCAACGAACCCGAGGCGCTCGCCGTCATCGGCAAAGACCCCACCGGCACGGACCACACATTCCACCTGTTCGTGCGCGAAAAGGATCCCAAGGCGGAGATCTGGGATGGCGCAAGATCGGGCACACAGGCGGCAAAGGACGTCTTCAATGCGGACGAGACGGGCGACATCTCCAGGCTGAAGAAGATCCTTCCGGACTTGGTAGGCGAAGCTTCGCAGGTGTACACGGACATCACGAGTCCCGATACCAACCGGTCGGCCCTCCAGCGGTTCCTCTTTGGAGCGTCCCGCAAGACGACCGAGTTCGCGGAGCTTATCGAGTCGAGAAAAGTCCACCGGCTTCGACCGATCATGAACGACCTACGAGCCTTCAAGAGCGCAGCCGAGATCGAGCTCCTGAGAAAGGCGGGAAGAGCATCGGGACGAGCCCACACGGAAGCCATGAGGAAGGCATGGACGCGCGAGAAGCAGCTCGACGCGTACCTCCGCTATCGCTTCATCGCGAACGGGTGCGACACGAGCGCATTTGAGCCTGTTGTGGCCGGTGGAAAGAATGCACTGGGCATCCACTACGTCCGCAACGACGATGTCCTGCGGGACGATGAGCTGGTTCTCGTGGACGGCGGTGGGAAGTATGGTGGCTACATCGCCGACATCACGCGGACTTGGCCCGTGGGGGGGAAATTCAGCGACACGCAGAGAGATCTGTACCAAGCTGTGCTCACGGTCCAGAGGTCGTTGATCTCTCTGTGCCGGGGCAGCGCCAATATGTCGCTGGACAAACTGCACAACATCGCAGAAGAGTACCTCTCCAGCGAGCTGCGGCAGATTGGCTTTGACGTCTCCTCCAAAGCCATCGAGAGTCTCTTCCCGCACCACTTGAGCCATTATATCGGCATGGACGTGCATGACACGGTGGGATATACGAGGAAAGTGGTACTGCAAGAGGGACACTGTATTACCATCGAGCCAGGGATCTATGTGCCGGACGACGAGCGGTGGCCGAAGCATTTCCGGAACATGGGAGTGCGGATTGAAGACAGTGTCAGTGTACAGGAGGACAGCCCGTTTGTGCTGACGACCGAGGCGGTCAAAGAGATTGTAGATATTGAAGCCTTGAGAGATTAAGTGGACGTTGTCAGGCATGTGTATAGGGAGGCCTGGAATATCTCCTCTTCCTACTCCGTCTTGTGTACATTGTTGTATTGATTGAGCATTCCATTTCCCAACAATCATGATCGCACCCATCATGGAAACACATATCAGGGACACAGGTCCTCCGTGGCCTTCCATTGCAACAATACGACCAGCCAATCGCCATGTGGGAGGGAAGTTTCGTGTGAGATACTCGCGAGCTCCGTCGCGATATTCGTATCGCCACAAACGCACATCACCGCCGCCCGCCCAGCTGCGTCTAAAACCAATCAACCTGCCTACACCAAACCCCATTTTTATTTTGATCGCCAGATAATGCATCGCTCCATCTCTTGGGTTTCTTCCTCCGTCTAATAAATCATTGCATCAGATCTACGACACTTCACCTGACTTCCCGCCTGTCTAACGTTCCGATCTACTTGATCTACGTCTACGAGGTTGAGCCAGGATCGCCTGTTATCGCAAGGGAGCAGCTTGGCAGAGCGTGTTTCGTGCAGGATACAAGAGTCAAGAGCACGGAGGAGAACATCGCGAGAGCAGGTGTCTCGTCGGATCTAATCGAATTGAATCAGTAAATACCAGAAAATCACGACTGTCCAGGTCCCAACACAGAGGACTTCAGCATTCAGGACCTACCTTTCTCGGTGTCACTATACTCAACCCCGCCACCAACCGCCCAACGCCCACAAAATGACGCTTACAAGGGACGAAAGCGATACAGACCACGATCACCCCCCAACCGAGACGAGTCCTCTGCTCAGTGAGCAGAATGGCGCCGCCGTCGATCCGGAGAGCGCGCAGCCGGCGCCGGAGACGGGAGCCGACGAGATTGCTCTGGCCGAGGAACCCAGCACCAAGAAGCTCGTCGCCATCATGGCGGCGACGTGGATTGGGGTCTTTTTCGCTGCGTTGGGTATGTTAGGCCCGTTCTTTCTTTCTCTTAAGTTGTCGTCGACCCCGAGCTATATCATGTGTGATCTGAGGCATCCAATTCCCTCTGTTTGTCCAACGGTTCCATTCGGTTCATCCATTTCTGCTTCTACTGACACAAAACAAAACAGACACGACCATCGTGGCGACCCTGACGGCCCCGATCTCATCGAGCTTCAACTCGCTCTCGCTCCTCTCATGGCTGGCGACGGGCTACTTGATCGCCAACTCGGCGTGCCAGCCCCTGTCGGGCAAATTGACGGACATCTTCTCGCGGCGGTGGGGGTTGATCTTCTCCAACATCTTCTTCGGCGCGGGCACGCTGCTGTGCGGGCTGGCGCCCAGCGCGGGGGCCATCATCGCGGGCCGCATCGTCGCGGGCGTGGGCGGCGGCGGCCTCACCTGCATCGCGACCTACATCACCAGCGACCTGGTTCCCTTGCGGCGCCGCGGCCTGTGGCAAGGGTACGGCAACCTGGTGTACGGGCTGGGGATGGGGCTCGGCGGCGTGTTCGGCGGCGTGCTGGCGGACCAGCTATCGTGGCGCTGGGCGTTCCTGCTGCAGGTGCCCTTCATCGTCGTGTCGACCGTCATGGTGTTCTTCCTGGTCGACATCCCCGTGAACCCGAGCACGCAACCGCCGCTGTCGCGCATCGACTTCCTCGGCTCGGGCTTCCTGGTCGCCTCGCTCGTGCTGCTGCTCCTGGGGCTCAACACGGGCGGCAACCAGCTCCCCTGGTCGCACCCGCTCATCGTCGCCAGCCTGGCGCTGTCGGCCGCCACGCTGGCGGGCTTCGTGTACCTGGAGTCGCAGCCGCGGTGGGTGCCGGAGCCCGTGCTGCCCGTGGCGCTGATCGCGCGCACGCGCACCGTGCTGGCCGCCTGCCTGGCCAACTGGTTCGGCACCATGTCGGCCTTCCTGGCCATCTACTACGTGCCGCTGTACCTGCAGATCCGCGGGCTGTCGGCCACGGCGGCGGGACTGCGCGTCGTGCCGCTCGCGGCCGCGACCTCGCTGGGGAGCCTGGCGTCGGGGGTCCTGATGCGCGCCACGGGGCGGTACTACGCGCAGATGGTCGGGGTGATGCTGACGTTCGTGCTGGGCGCGGCGCTGGTGTGCTCGTTCCAGCTCGACACGCCCGGCTGGATGACGTTCGTGTTCCCCACGCCCCTGGGCTTCGCCTACGGCGGCATGCTGACCATCACCCTGGTGGGCATGATCAGCTCCGTCGACCACGAGCACCAGGCCGTCATCACCGCCGCGTCCTACGCCTTCCGCTCCACCGGCTCCACCATCGGCATCACCGTCGCCGGCGCCGTCTTCCAGAACATCCTCACCGACGAGCTGCGCGCCGAGTTCGGCGCCCTGCCCGGCAGCGAGCGCGTCATCCGCAGCATCCGCGACAGCCTCGATGGCATCAACCACCTGCCCCCCGGCTGGGACCGCGCCGCCGTCCTGCACATCTACATGGACGCCTTGCGGGGCGCCTTCGTCTCCGGTCTCGGCCTGGCCGTCCTGGCCGCCATTGCGGGCTTGGGCATGAAGGAGCACGTTTTGCACAAGAACCTCGCCAGGAAGTGATGGGCCAAAGGGTCCACGGGAAGTCCCACAATGGCGTATATCAGGACTCTTACTACCATTGTACAACGTTACAGAAGGAAATCTCGTTTCTAGTTCAAGGGCCGTCGAGGGTATCAAGTCTAGAGTCCCAAAAGTACGGCGTCAACAGATCGGAACTTATCACAGGAGCGGACGTAGGGGATCAATCACATATAAACATTGAACGTAATCTAGTGTTGTGGCCTTCTGCCTACCAACTGCGCCTGCTGCCCCTGGTTACCTATGGCCTAAGTCAATATGGGCCTCTCGATGTTGGATAGGCTGGGTCAAGCGGCCCTGCGTCTTCTTCACCAAAATGTCCTCTCTTCAAGTAGCAGCCAAACGGGTTCGGTTCGCTAATCGACGCCAGTCATTGCAGATGCGGGCTCCCCATCACTTGAGGCTGGACTCGAGCTGCAGGCATGGCCCATGATGGCGCAATTCGAGCTGCGGCAGCCGTGTTTCCCCGACGTCGATGCACGGAATACGGTGCCTGTCGAGCGACATCTGCGGCCTAGGTACATGCGAGTACGGCAGCGAGTCAGTTCGAGGAATGAAGGACGCCGGCAGGCGTAGCTGGTCCAGAGGAGCCAAACGGCATGGCCCAGAGAGAGGTGCTTTGACAAGCATCGGGGATGCCAGGCAATACTGCAGTTCTGCCTCACATCAGGATCCGTCGTGAAAAGAGCCCATTGAATAAGCAGAAGTGGATTCAATCACCACGTCTCCATACATTTACGAATGCCTCGTCGTCTCGCTGCCCGCTAGATTCGTCTAGGGACCAAAGTCGTAAAAATTTCCAGCAGAGGAACAAATCTGTTGTGAATCTCGACACATCTTTGCGCAGGTGTGAAGCGGCGGGCTCGCGGAGTGCTGCTAGAGGGTGTGCCTCTGTCTCTTGCCCAGGGACTGCCCTTCTCTCAGCCGGATGGCCATTTCGCCGCAGAGCCGCAGCGTGGCAGAATACTGTTGCAACAGAATCGGCCATTGCTCGAACCTCCAAAAGACTGTTCGGCTAGAAGGTTCAGTCCATCGACCTGGAAGAGGGGGTAGTGCGGGCCGTAGATGTCGCTCATCTGATGTGGCATCCTTCGGTAGGTTTGAAACAAAAACGAGGCTAGGTTGGAGAGGGTTCGCCTCGTGCAGGAGGATGTCCTTGGAGCGCACGGCATGGACCTTGGCTTTGCTCTAGCTCTATGCCCCAAAGGCATCCGCTGAGAGCTGCCGCCTCGAGATGAAGTGAGGCGGATCTGCAATGACCAGTAACAGTCATCAGTGCTCGTCCTTGCTGCACATCAGGAGGTCCAGATTCCAGCCAATTCAGTGGTAAGCGAGAACTTTGTAGGATCCTCAGCTCGGCAAGCTATGTGGGCCGGGAATGCTTCCACATAGTCTGGGATTAGGCGGTCTCGGCCAGCTAGGGTGGGCGAGGAGGGAAATGCTGAACGGTGGCCTTAGGGAGATGTTGCTCGTGTGGCCAGAAGTGCAGAAGGAACACAGGAGCAGGTTCTGTTCGGAGGATACCCAGGCTGAGGCGACTGGTTTCCGCTGGGAGTCGAGCTTGAAAGGCCAGGAAAGACCCATCACGCACCATAGCCAAGGGCCTGTCGAAGTGGGCGGATGAGCGTGCACCACCTTGAGGTTGGTAGCAGTACTGAGATCGACATGGAGCCCAGTATGCTAGGTTGGACAACGACCAGCACCAAGCCCAAAGTGGTGAATGGAAAGGATAATGCTGTCATCAGACGGGCAAACAGCCACGCAAAGCTCCATTTATGCATGGTCCCTTCGTGGATGACGCTCTGAGGTGTCCAGAGCTAGAGTGGCCGGAACGGCTGGCAGGACGAGGATATTTGCGGCCCGCCAGGCTCTTGTTTGCTCGTGAGCGGATTGCATTACCCCAGGGCGTCTGCAGAAAGTGTAATTGACAGCTTTGACAGCTTTGGCAGCGGCCTCCACCAATATCGTCGAGCCAGCTCAACCGCCTGCAGGACCTCCTCCGCGTTAGGCTGGTGTTTGGAAAGAATCCAGCAGCAGATAAGGCCCGATTGCATTACGCCGCTCGATGGCAAGGGAGCTTGGACGCCTTCGCTGGCAGACCGATGTCCTGGTTAATCATGATACTGAGGAGAAGTGGTGATGTTGCAGACCGATCGGCAAATCAGGAACCCGGGCTAGCAAAAGAGGTGCCTGCTCTGGGCAGGTGAAATGATGCTGGGTAAAATATCCTCGTCCCTCTGGTCCCCCTGGTCCCCCTGCCACCAGAAGGCTGACAAGCCCTCCCTCTCGTGTAGTGCTCGTGTCAAACGCCCATTAGCCATGCTGTCTCGAGCTATCGATCTTACACTCCGCAAACAGGTGGAAACAAGGGTGGAAACCTGAGTGGATCCAGTAGCCCTGCAAACTCAGGCGCAAAGAAAGCCGCTCGCGAGCTGGACCAACGGCGTTGCCACCCCATACACACACCTGAGGGCGCCACGCTGGAGACAGACCGCTCCAGGGCGTCATGGTCGTGAGTGGAAAGCGTCGGGGACCGAGTGTCCGACGAGACACGATATGGCATGTCCTTCCGTCGTGTGAAAGGATATGGTTGCGGCTATGATGTTGCCGGCGGGCCGGAAAAACACTCCAAAACAGCCGGCCTGCCCATAAACTGGTTGACTGACATTATAAGACGGGAAGTGTAGCCCTCTGGCTGCGATCTGCGAAGCTGTCCAGGCCCTTGCAGTGCGGGCCGTCGACACTGCGACCCGCCATCAACAGAGCTGCCAGCAGTAGCACGGCTCCTTACCGAAAACCGACTGCGTTCTTGGTTCCTTCCAGATTCATCCACCTGTTGGTCTGCTAGCTTGGGCGGGTCCAGAGTCCACGACTCAAATTCTGCCACGCCGCATCACTCTCGAGGAGAAGCATAGGGTATGAAACAAACTTTGGCTTACCATGCAGTGGTAGACATTGTGATCAAGGCCGAGAGGCAGATGATCCGTCAGAGATGAGGGGGGAGACCAGCTCACATCCACTGAGGGTCTCGTGCATACCGGAACATGCATTCGCTCGTCACAGTTGGTTCGCCACTGCCTTCTCGACAGAGGGAGAAGTGCAAGCGTCTGCGTGTTCTGACTTCAAGTGACCAGATGGTTGAACCCGGTCCGAATTGCAACGGCCTGTGGCCAAAGTCACCACCCTGTCTCACATAGCAAGGATCGGCGGGGAAAGATTCGCTCGAAAGGCTATAAAGAGGGGTGAAGAAGCCTGACCTGTCGAAATCAAACTCAACCGACAGTCCTCAGCTTCCAAAACTAAAGTGAGTCTTGTTTCAAACACAATCATCCCAAAAGAGATCTCCCCCAGCCACAAGGAAACGTTGACCTCTCACAACGCTCAGTTGACATCAGGAACCAGCGAGAGTCCTCGGACGACAACGCCCTCTGGTGTGCAGGCCATTGATATCATAGCTTCATCTCAAACCAAGTTGAGTGGCAGCAGCAGTTGCCAGGTAAGCTTTATGCCAGTGACGTTCTTGAAAGCAGGAACTTGACTGGCCGGTGTCTGACGGAGGCAGCTTCCCAAACGCTTCATTGGCTCAGACTTCTTGTGAGTCAAACAGAACAACCGAGCAAGATGTGTTACTATGCCAGGACCGATTTCCGTTGCGGAGATTGGAGATGGGGAAACATGAAACAGCGATGTCCTCGCCAGCCTCGAATTGGCGAGACTTGCGGCGCTAGACTTGTCGATACAGACAATCTGTCCAGAACCAATGAAGATTGCAAGCATTGCCAGGAGAAAGCGGTCAAAGAGAGACGTCTCCAGAAGGAGAGGGACAACCTGAGAAGATGGAGGTCCGAGGGCGACAGATTCGCAGCCAGTATCGCCAAAGCCGAGGACGAGGTCGGTCGCCTCGAGAAGCAGATCGCGGAGTTAAATTCAAGACGTACCTCTGTCATGTTCAGCGCCAGGCCCGACTGGTCAACCACCGTGTCACGCAACGTGTAATAAGGTACGTCCGAACCCGCTGCAACCTGACCCCTAACAGGCGGCTAGCTGGATGATCAATCCTTCGGCTGGACAGCCGCCCATTTTCTCCCGAGTGTTTGACAGTCCACACTGACGAGGATAGGGATGAGCTTGCTGAGCGGGGGGATTCATCCGACAGTCAGCCTCCACCAAAAGTTGGTTTGTGAAGGGGGAAGCTGTTGTGACGACTCGAAAGCCCGGAGAAAAGCTGCATTAGAGGGGAGTCCACATTGAAACGATAGCCATGGCATGTACCCGTCTTCCTTCGGGCGTACGGTCGGGCTGGTGGTGACTCGGGAAGGTTGCAAAAGTATCAGGGAACATGTCTCGAGCTGGGTGGGCGCCACGGTTCATGGGGAAACAGATTAAGCACAAGTAGGCAGGAGCAGTGTCCAGGAGCGCTATCATGAATAATGACCTTCATTTTCCATCATCCTGGCAAGCATGGCCGTCATGCAGGAGGGGTGAAAGTGTCTTTTTGTAGGCGCCGTGGTTGCATACATGTGGAGTTTGGCCCGGGCATCCCTTGAGACGAGAAGCTGCTTGTAACTCTTGTCTTTCTGCTTGGGGGGGGTCCAGTCGACGACCGCTCCACGCATTTCCACGCCACTCTTGGCTGCAATAAGGACCTGCAAGCTTGCAAACAGAAGATATCAAGCAGCCTGGATGAGGATTGACGTCGAGCTTTGAGCGGTGGACGAGCGATGCCCCTGACGAGAACACTCTTGGTGAGGTCAGCGTGCGCACGAGCCACCATACCAAAGGTGGTTAGTCTGTATTTTAGTCTCGGCGGCTGGAACATCATTGTTCCACTGCCGAGGTTGACCGGTCTTTCCTACGGCTACCCCAAAAGGTGTGCTTCCCCGCACCCCAATCAGAAGCCGGCGAGGCTGCGGACTGGGGATGCACATTGATATCGCCGAGGCAAATCGTGGGTGCCGCCGAAGCTCGAGTGTCGGCAAAGAGAAGAGAAGAACGATATAGCTTACCGCTTCTCGATTCCAGTCACTCAGAACACACGCAGGTCCATACGCCTCTACAGAGACAGTCCAATCTCTGCCACTTCCCGTCAAGCTCCTTTCGGGGACATCTCTGAATCACAGCCAGGTCACAGCTTAGACAGTTGCCCTTCTTTCACTTGAAGAAATATCCATCACTTTCTCTGTGCGGGCCAATTTTCCCAGAGAAAAAAGAAACCCCCCAACGATCAAGATGGCGCCTACATTCCCGAATCTCACGATTGACTCACCGCCATCGGCTCCCGGCGTGCACGTCATCACCATGCGCAAGGCGCCCGAGAACCGGCTGAACCAGGCGTACGCGCAGACCATCATCGCGGCGCTGCGCTACATCGAGAGGGAGCTGATGCAGCCCGACGCGCCCGGGGCGGTCATCATCTCGTCCTTCTCGGACAAGTTCTGGTGCACGGGCCTGGAGCTGGACGAGTCCGACTCCAACATCTTCGCCAACGCCGACGGCTTCTACCCGCTGCTGGCCACGCTGGTGGACTACCCGTACCCGACCGTCGCGCTGATCACGGGCCACACCTTCGGCGGGGCGTGCCCGTTCATGCTCTCCTGCGACTACCGGATCATGAACAGCAAGCGCGGCTTCATCAGCATGCCCCCGGTCAACCTGGGCCTGCACTTTGACGGCATCGGCGCCCTGCCGCGCCTCAAGCTCGCGCCCAAGATCGCCCGCAAGATGCTCCTCGAGGCCCACAAGTGGACCGGAGAGGGCGCCCTGAAGGACGGCATCGTCGACGAGATCTGTGAGCCGGATAAGATGAGGGAGAGGGCCGTCGAGTTTGCAAAGACCATCGCTCCCCGCGCCACCATGGGCGTCTATGGCTTGTTGAGGGCCGAGTTGTGGGGGGAGGCGCTCGACAAGTTCAAGGCCATCAGCTACGTGCACAGGAAGAGGGTTGGCACTGCTGCAAAAGCTAAGATCTAGATTGAGAAATGTAATTGACGCTTCGCTTTTACCCCATTCTGCCCTTGATCAAATCTTTCTTTATCTACAACTTTGCCTTGACGACACCAAATTGTTCGTGCCCCGTCATGCCCAATGCCAGAGCTTCCAAACGTCTCCTAGCATTCTCTTCGCCTTCGCCCATCACAATCTCCTCAGTCCTCCAGTCCGGGTTGAAGGTCAGCTGGTTCAACGGATTCTCCTTGTGCGCCTTATGGAAGAGTCGATTGTATACGTCACCGTCATAACTTCCCAATGCACTCTCAAGCAGGTAGTCTGGAACAGACCAAGCATCCACGAGCCGAACAGCGTGGGGCCGCACCTGGGCCATCAAATCTTGGATCGCGGGTGTCACATGCTGCAGTTTCTCGACAGACAAGGCCCTAGACAGGAGGAATTCAGAGGCGGACACATCCAGCGTGAAGAGTGAAAACAGGCGGAACAAAACCTTCAATACATTCAAGGTTTCGGCGTCAAGAGGAGGGTTTGGAGTGCTCTCGAACACAGCGTTGTAGAAGTTCGACACAAGCAGACTCTCGGAGTGGGCTCGACTGAGTCGGTGCAGACTGATCATCATGCTCGTCCAGGGCTTCTTCTCAATAACCCTTGCCTGGTAGACTTGGTAGGAGAGGTATGAAGCTCTATGCTTGAAGGCCTTGACCAGCTCTAGTGGGTTTCCGAGGATGTCAAAATCATAAGACCTTGATTTGTTGGCCACAAAGTCTTGGAATTGGACGTCCACGGAGTCAGTCGGCTTAATCCTGGGATTCTTCGTCACCTCGGTCATCCTCTTGATCAGATAGGCGGCGGTCTGTTGTGTAATCATCCAGTTGTCACCCTCGACAGTGGGTTTGGACAGATACTCATTGTTAAGAGCGATCATGCCGCTCCCACCTCCAAATCCGTGGCCACCCATGGCTCGACGGCAGGTCTCGATCCCGTCGGCTGCAAGAGTAGTGCACAGTGATTTTAGACCAGAGGAAGCCGCGTGCATCTCAGCCAGACGAGAGAAGTCGCCACCCTTCTCGATCTGTTCTCGGGTGCCGTAGTAGAGCTTGTACATTGCTTCACCTGTGTAATGGAGAGCGAAGGTAGTGGCCAGAAGCGGGAGGATACGGATTTGGACCGTGGGGTAATTGAGCACGGCCTGTTCAGGAGCGTCTGGATCCCTTGAATCTCGGTCTGGAAACTGTCGGCGGATAGAGAGGTAGCGAACCGCCACCGTGACAGCTCTAGCGAGAATGAGTCTCGCATGCATAATGATTTGAGCACGCACAAAGGTCAGGGATCCGTAGACCAGGGCAGCATTTTGAGGTTTGATGTAAGTCCCGCGCTCTGGATCAACTCCTGAGTACTTGGACAGCAAGGCCGAATGAGGGACTCTGAACTCGTTGAAGAGCATATAGCCGTTATCCATGCCAGGGTAGCCGTATTTGGGGCCGATGTCGCCGATGACAATACCATCCAGTGGCTTGTTGGTTTTCTTGTCCCGAATCTGAACGATGAACTGATGCGGGCCATAGGACTTGTACTTTCCGGTATTGGCGTCTGGGAGCAACAGTTGTGCAACGACAATAGCATGGCATGCTGTTCGTCCTAAAGCTCCATTCCACCATTTGCTAGCTGTAATGGTAGGGCTGTGGATGATAAACTCCTTGGTCTTGGGGTCCCATTTGGCTTGACATTCGATGCCCCTGACATTGCTGCCGTGTCCGAGCTCAGTCTGGCCATAACAGCCAATGATCTCCCAATTCTCAACTTTGGGCAGCCAGTAGGCTCGTTGCTCGTCATTGCATTGTTCTCGAATCGAAGTGATGAACATGGTCCCATGAAGAGCGTACGGGCCCATCTCATCCATCAGATAGTCGGCCATGAGATAGTCGTCGCGGTCCCAGCCGTGCTTGAGAGACAATCTCCTTAGCATCTTTGCTCGTGCCAGCCCAAGATGGTAGCGGTCCGGACGGGCCATATTGAGCTGGTTTTTCTTGCAGAAGATGGGGATAGGTTCCAGGATAGAGAGAATTTTCTGCTGTCGACTGAGGAAGTCATTGCGTGAAAGCAGGTGATTTGCCAATTGGTCTTTGTTTACACTGGACCCGGCTCTTTCCTGGGCTAGGATACTTGGGCCCTGGGGCTCTGCAGGTCGAAGCTTGTCTGTGAAGTCAGACATGGCGTGAATCTGTCTTTCGAGGATTGTTCCTGGTGGACGAGGAGGAGTCTCTACAACGTCAGCAGAATGATTCCTCTGAAGACACCTAGACCGTGAGATGTGAAGCAGAGAGCGAAGGAGGGACTTCTCTCAAGAAATACTCGGAACCTAGGCACACGTTGTCAACATCGCCGGCCGGTGGCTCGCGCAGTTCCATATCCTCCCCTCATCGCAGGCAAACTGCCGAGGCTGACTGCGCGGATTTTGTCGTGTGTTGAAATCGCCGTGATTGGCCGGTTCGGCGTTTTTGCATTGGAGGGTCGGCTGCGCTGCGAGAAGAGAGACTCAACCCTCGAGTGACTTTAAAAAGTGCCGGAAGAGCCCCCAAGATGCCGGCCGTGGTGTGACGACCTCAGACAAACAGAGAGATGAAGCAGCAGCAACCGCCTTTCGACAGGACCGACTTTGTCCCAAGTCACTCGGCCGACCACATTCTTCCCGCCGACCCCCTTTTCACCCGCCTGCTCACCCTTGCACATCGCCCCAATCCCAGGCCGGCGATACGCGACGTCAATGCAGGGATCGAAAGGACAGCCGCCCAGCTGTTGAGTGATGTGCTCGTCCTCCGCCGGGTGTTGAGGGATTCCTTGCCGCATGAAACTGTCCAAGACCTGCAGAATGGGCGAGAAGTCTATGTCAGTCTGTTGGCGCCCGGGGGTTACGAGTTCGTCGTGGGCGTGCTGGCCATCCTGGCCTTGGGTGCTGCAGCCTCACCCTTCAGCACCGCCCAGCCGGTGAAGGAAGGCTGCTACTATGTCAACAAGGCACGGTCAGTAGCCCTCGTGACGGCCACGCCAGCTCTCCAGCTAGGGGAGGATGTTGCAAGGGAAATCCGCAGCACCACAAACCCCGATTTCGCCTTCGTGCCCACCAAGGTGATCGAACAAGAGACGCCCTTCGCACTGAACGACATCAAGATCTCCTCCAACCGCTACCTAGATCCCAATGGCCCGGGTGTGGTCATTTTTACCTCAGGCACGACAGGGCCGCCGAAAGGAGCCGTGCTTAAACGTGCTGCCATGGTCGACGGGTCGATGTGTTTTGCACAGCAGATTGGCCTGCAGGAAACTGACGTCCTTCTTCATCTCCTTCCCGTGCACCACGCCACTGGCATCTGGGTGTCATTCTTCCCCTTCATCCAGACGGGCGCATGCATCGAGTTCAAGTCCGGCAGTTTCGATCCCGAATGGACCTGGAATCGGTGGCGGAGAGGTGATTTGACGCACTTCACGGGCGTGCCGACCATCTACATGCGGATGATGCGATACTACCTCGAGCACGCCCCGAAACTTCCCCCAAGTGAGGCTGCAACCTACAAAGCCGCGGCGGCAGCATTCAAAGTGTGTCTGTGTGGCACCTCCGCCTTGCCCAAACCCATCAACGACTTCTGGACAAATCTCATGAATGGTAGACGAATTGTACAGCGGTACGGATCCACCGAGCTGGGCGTCGTCTTCAACATGCCCGCAGACCACAGCCAGGAGATCCCAGACGGCTCCGTGGGAGAACTGACCTATGGCGTGGACGCGAAACTTTCCGAGGGAGACGAAGGCGAAGTCCTCGTCAGATCCTTCACCATGTTCTCCAAATACCTGCATGATCCAGAAGCCACCGCGAACGCGCACGACGCCGACGGCTACTTCAAGTCCGGTGACGTGGCTCGACGGGAAGGGAAGTACTACTTCATCGTCGGGCGTGCCTCTGTCGACATCATCAAGTCCGGTGGGTACAAGATCTCGGCGTTGGACGTCGAGCGAGAACTGATGGCTCTACCCTACATTGGAGAGGCTATGGTGGTAGGTGTGCCCGACATGGAGTTCGGGCAGCGAGTTGGTGCCGTCGTGTCCTTACGCAACGACGAGGTCGCCCGGGACTTTTACAAGAAGCACAGTAGAGATCCGGAGAAGTTGAGCCTGGACGACTTGCGTGCCGACGTACGGAGTCGTCTCGCCGGGTACAAAATGCCGACCCTGCTGAGAATCATCGAGGGTGAGTTGCCCAAGAGCGGGACGGGGAAGGTCGTCAAGAAGACTCTTGGACCGCAGTACTTCCCAGCGAACTATATTGAAGACAAGGTCGTACAGGTTTGGTCGAGGAAAGAAACCGCAAGAGCTTCCAAGTTATGATATTGCATCTGATTCGCATTCTAGAAATTAGATCTGGTTGCATTAGACTAGAAGGGGTGACATCTGGGCAAAGAACTTCCGAACTCGAAGACCCTCATAAAGAAGCTTGTTCTAGATAACACAGCAACCTGTTGGCCGTCAACTTTGTCATGCGAACTCTGATCCTGCCTAGTTCTTAACCTCTTCCCATGCTGGGGAACTCTCACGGTGCCGGATCTTGCTGTTCTCATCACTTGGCAATAGCGAGGGTTGAAACAATCCTCTAAGACAACCCCGAAGAATCACCTGCCCTTGCCCGGACTTACCAATGGATTCTTCCCCAGCGCTGACCAAAAGTCTGAGTCGTGGTCGTGGTGATTGTGGCGGTAATCGTCATGGTTGCCGACGAAGTGAATGTCGTGGTCGCGGTCTCCGTTTCCGTGGTGGTTGTGTAGCGCGTCCGGGTACCGGTCGATGTAGTGAACGTTCTGGTCGTTCTCGTTATGGTACTTGTCTCCGTGACTGTTCCCGTAACAGTTACGACCGGACCGGTAACGCTCGCAGGGCCTCTAGAAATGGTGACTGTCACCGTGGTGGCCGATGCAGGGCAGCTACTGCTTGTTGTAGTGGTGTTCGTTGCGGCAGAGGAGCTCGTGGTGGAGTTGGCGGACGAAGTCGTGGTCGCAGTGAGAACTGTGGAAGTAGAGTTGCGAGAGGACATCCAAGTGGTGGAACCAGTAGTCATGGAAGAGTTATACCAAGTTGTCGTAGTGGAAATAGGAGACGCAGAGTTGCTCGTCGTAACAGTTGCGTTTGAAGATGCAGTCATGCTCCTAGTTCTGCTAGTCCAGGTGGAGGTTGCATTTGCTGAGGTGGATGTTGTAAAAGAGCTAGTTAGGGTATTGTTGGAAACCAAGCTTGTGCTGGTCGTGGTCGTGGAGGCGGCAGAGCTCGTTACTGAGTGGCCGGCTGTAGTAATGTCTCTGCTAGAGGTACCGAACGATCTGGAATGGCTGCTGCCCCTGCTGTTGCTGTGGCTGTGGGAGCCAGACGGGCGGCGACTGTGCGAGGACCAAGTCACAGAAGTTGTGGCAGGGGCGCCTGTGATCGTGCTTCCGGACGTAGTGGTGATGGAGCCAGGGCTGGTAGAGGAGCTCGAGATCACAAGGGAAGTAGAGCCAGTTGAAGATGATGATGAAGCGGATGAGGAGCTCCCAGCCTCGGTCGTGATGGAACCCAGAGAGCTAGTGAGGGTTGAAGTGGACATTGTGGTAGAACTTTCAGTCGTGGATGTAGTAGAATCGATCATCTTGCCACAGTTGGGATCAATATAGCGCAGAATAGCGATGGTGTCGGGGCTGTTGAGTGGGTTGTTGAGGTTCTTGAGCAGTCTGCAGTTGTTGGTTGCGGCCGTAGTATTGAAAACCACGCCCACGCAAGATCCAGCTTTGTTCCCATTTGCCGTATCACAGCGAGCAGCGCACAATTCTGGGCTGTCTCTGGTCATCCAGTTCCCTCGGAAGCTGCTCTCCGCATACGTGCGATCACAGACAAAATCGTACCTCACGCACGGATTGTCTGGGTTCAGCAAGCTCAAATTCGCATACGGGCACGTGCTTGAAGAAGGAGCAGATGTTGTGCTGGTAACAGAGCCTGAGACAGACATCATGCTGGAGGAGGTGGCGGTGGTTGCAGGGCTCTCACCCTCAGATGTAGTCCAGCTGGTGAATGGGCTAGAAAAGGTGACGGAGTCCTGAATGGTCGAAGAAGGCATGCTGGAGACAGTCGTTGGTGTTGCAGATTGTTGAATTGAGGATGTGGCTGAGCTAACTGTCGTAGCGTCAGTCGTCGAAACCGTCGTGCTAATCACATCAACGGAGGAAGAAGCGGATGCTGAGGAAGTCGAGCTGGAGTCCGAGCTGGTTTCGGAGCTAACACTGGACGAGCTAGTCCAGTCAATCCAGATACTTGCCCCAGGATAGGGCTCAGCAGGCCATGAATAGGTCGTTGTGTCTGCAGTCGAGGAAGAATCCTGAGCAGAAGTAACAGAAAAGACCGCCGTCATACCCAACCACAAGGCTGGGGAGATCAATGAAGAATGCATGTTGAATAAAGGATTGGAAAGCAGGATTTCAAACGAGTGACGATATAGAGAACGAGCGACTGAAGGAAAAGAAAGAGTGGATCTGCTTGATGGACAATGCAAACTCGGTATCGAACAGCCATGGCAAGTTTATATAGCTTCAGACAACCTTTCAACAACATTGCAAATACCACCTTCAAGATCATGATTCAGATTAATTTTGGTTCAGGGAACCACACGGCAATGTCTCGCAGATCCTTGGACCGAATGAAGCGGCTAGAATAACCAAAGGGGTGGTTTTGCATCGGTGGAAGCCTCGCGAGGAGGATGAGATGCCCATCTTGGCAGGCCAATGTCCGATGCAAGGGAGATGATCGCCCGAGGCAATGTCAACAATGGCATTCTTAAGATAGAAAACAATGGATTCCAACGGGAGAGTCATGAGCAAGGGCTTGTTTCAGCTGGAAACACTGGTCGACAGCAGACCTGCAAGCTCGGAGCATAGCACTGCTGGTGGCCGAAGGATGGCATTCTCTCTCCTCGTGGTGGTGTCAATAGAGCAGGGTACACGAGCCCTCAGCCGGTAGGTGCTCTGAGCTTTCGACTCTGCCTTGGTGCAGCAAGAACAGCAGCGGCATTGCAAATAGCCTGACGGGACTCTTCAAAGCACATGTCATGCATCCACAGCTGAACAAGACTCACAGGCAGGAGAGTAAAGGGGCAGTTCCGCAAAATGTCGGGACCAGAAAATGTAGACATAGTCGCCAGAGTAGCTCTGAGCTTCTGAGAGCGTGAACAACAAGATTGAGGACTAGAGCAGCCAGACAGGTAGAGGGTTGTGAAAGCAAGGGCAGTGATATATCACAGGCTAGAGGACAGAAAGCAGGACGTCAGAAGCGCAGACGGAAAAATTGGCGTCGGAACGGAAATACTTTTAATGACGTGGCCATCTTTCAGCGGCTCGGAGCTGAAAGGTTGGAGCCGAAGTCAGTCAGTGTCACCCTTTTGCTGCAACCTGCGGCAGCCAGTTCTTTGGGCTTCTTGAAGGAAAGCAACAGCAGGCCAAGATGAACACGCTCTCTCAGTCGTTATAGCCTGTTGTCCTCCGCCAACCTCTCTCATGTCAAGCGATCTCCCGCCACTATGGGAGTCTGCCTCTCCTGTCTAGGCGTTGGCCGTCGCACCCACCATGAGGTAAGTCACGAACACATACACACGCCCCTCTCGCCCAACAAATGAACCAATGCGCGCTTTCTTGGGAGGCGACCACCCGCTAATGAAGGCGTGTCTACAGTCTGACCGTACCCGTCTTCTCTACGATGATTACCCAGCCGGCCACAGCTACGGGACATGGGGCGCATCGAGCGTACCTCCTCAAAACCTGATGAGCCCGGAGGAAGTACAGCGCGAACAAGAAGCCCTGGACGGCATCGCCCGGTGGGCAAGCGATCAGATTGTTGAAATCTTCCCCCACAACCACCGTTCCCTGATCATGTCCGGATCGCTGCTCAACGGAGTCAATCATGCCAGCGTCGGCGAACAGATCACAGCCAACCCCTCATCTTCCCAACATCAAGATATCCTCCTGTCCCTGATTCCCGGGGACAAATCAAAACGCTCGATACGGATATATCCTGCGTCGCGACCGACCTCAAAGAGCGGCCAGTCTCTCCGAAGTAAGAGTTCGGTCAGCACAGGGATGAACGGCAGTGGTGGAAAACAGGGAGGCGATTCTGTCCTGGTCACGCTCGATGTTAGCTTGCCGTAAAGGGACTGGCGAGATTCTAGGGTACGGGGATGGAAGGAGGGCCATCTGGTCAATTTGATTGTCCGCGCCGTCGCTGCCGACAAGTTGTGGCATCATGTACAAGAGCCACTCTACCCTGCCAGGTTGCCGTACTTCAAGACTTCCAACACAGATACAGGCTTGGCGCAGGGTTATTACTTGGACGGATACACGGCGCATTTTCATGAGGACGGCGTCATGTTCAAGGAGGTTAGCCAGGACTTATCAGCGCAGCCGGCGGCAGCTTGACAACCACCAGGCCATTGACGGGTAAGGGTTAAAGCCGGTAAAGCGACTCGTTTTTGCTTTGAGCGCATGCTGGGAGGCCAGAAGGACTTGAGTGTGCTTTCTGAAAGAGAGACAGGAAAGATCGAAGAAATTGGGTGACTGAGCAGACTACTGAGCAAGATGGTGGGTCACAGCTATGCTGATACTATTACTTTGAGAGATGGCGCTGTATCAACGGCGAGATTTTCCTTGTCATAGAGGGGCGGCTCTACTGTATATCAAATCTACGATTCATTTCAATGGGATTCGAGGCTGGGAACACAAAATGTTCAAAAACCATTTATGCAGAAAGCAAGAACCTAAGAATATGGAAAACGCCAACTGTGATTTCCTATGCTGCTGGCCCGAAAAAGGAGGGCGACTATTTGAAGGACTTGGGGGTATCTCTGAACTCGGATCATGCTGCTTCGCTATCTGCTTGTGAGAGACAGACGCGGCTGGGGTATCTCAATTGTTCAATGGTGCGTGAAAAGCAATATTCTCCGACCGTCCTTCCCGGTCCGTTAGCCCAACTGTGGTCATGTGTTTGTGTGTTAGGGAATGAATGCTTGAAGAACGAAGGGTATCATCGCTTCAGCAAGTTTCGTATTGGCGTCAAAAGGGGTATAATGTTGGATTAGACGCTTGTCGACTAGACTGAAGGACAGTGCTGAAATTATGAAAACAAACTCCGCGGAACCGCGTTGGGAGTAGTGGTCGGGCAAAGCACGAGAGTCAAAGGCTTGATATGAAATCGGTTGCGCGCTTCTGGACAACCGGCAGATGTTGTGTGAGATTTGAGCTCTTGATCATCCATCAAGCATCGTGTCCGTTCCCGGAAGACGTAGCCTACTGGGCAGCAGGAGTGTTCGCCGGGGCAGGGTCGGCGGGCTTATCGGTAGCCGCTGGGGCATCGGTTGGGGCAGTGCCTGTAAAGAGTGTGAGACATGCTGTTGTTACCGCGACAGACCGGAATATACTCACCAGCAGGAGGAGCAGCGGCATCACTGGACGAAGGCGCAGCGGCAGTATCTGTAGGCGTTGGCTTAGGAACTGCTGCAGCAGTGCCATTGGTATCTGTCTTGGTACCAGCAGTGCTGCTCTCCTTGTCCTTCTTGCGTCTGAAGAGAGCCTTGAGCTTGTCCATTGCGTCGAGGGCTGTGATTAATCGACTTGTATCAGAAAGGGATGTTGATCTTGATCTTGTATGTGAAAGCTAATCCGGGCCACCGGAGGAACAGGGGTTTCGAATGTAGGAGATTCAGAGGAGAGACATACGAATTCCAGGCATATGGGCTGGCAGAGATTTGGGCCTGGGGAGGGACGGGTTTAAGTAGGCGCGAAGCAGTTGGGTAGGTAGGCACGATGTTTCTGTCCGGTTCGATAGGAACGGGCGGGAGGGGGGGGATGATAGGGTCTTCCGAGGTGATAACTAGTCAGAAGGGAGTGAGGAGCGATGCAGTGAGTGGACAGTCGGACGTGACGCAAGAGCGATGGCTTGGAGAGTAAGATGGCTCAAGACGGCAAGATGCGAAGGTTGTTGACCTTGTCTCGTGATGGCGCAACAGGGAGAAGATGAGGTGAGGGTGGAGGAGGATTGGACGAAGAGTCGCACTTCGAGTCGGAGATGCCAAAACTTTAGCTTGGCTGGATAAGTGATCAGGTCTGATTGTTTAGCAGCGATTCAGGCATTTCCCGGAAGCGAAGTAGGTAGTTTGATGCTGGTTAGTCTTTTCGGTCCTGGAGTCTTGAGCGCGGTCGCACGGAACAGGTCGCCACTGGGCAAATGAGAAGTTGTATAGCGCATCGAAGCTTAAGCTGCGGACTTGGGGACTCCAAACTGCGCCTCACAACGCGCACCAACTGCTAGTCTCTTGTGATCTTCTGATCTGCGAGTCACTCGCCCACGTTTCAACGGTCACCACATTCCTCCTTTTGAATAAGATAAGCAGGCATTCCGATGCCGACCAATACTGATAGTGTTTCGTGCGCTTCTTTGACCGAGTCGACTGGTCTAAATGTCCGTCTTTCCAAGGTTCTGCGGGTTGCCTAAGGGCAGATCGAATAGGCACACCAAGCTCTTATTCCCAGTTCACCTGGCTAGCTTGACACAACATCAAATTGGTCTGGGATGCGCACAAGACTTACCTGCTGCTGTCTCACATTGACGAAGTTCGGCTTTCCCCGCGGAATCCCTACTTGTTCATCGTTCGTCAGGGCTTCAAATCTAATGCGTCATTATGGAAGTGAGATTAGACACCCAAGGAAAAGAAAGATGAGAATAAGATCTTGGGTTGAACAGCTATTTCCCCACTGACAATGGGCGACGCTGGGGATAAAAAGCGCGGCGGGAGGCCGGGCTGCTGACAATATCCACAGCATCGACGCTGCAGACACTGACGTCTATGCTTGCTCATCCAGATCGCAGCCATCGCAGCCTGATTACCTTTTCACTACGAACCTCCGTTTGCCTTCCTGCCTCACACTGCCTCGTCGACGTCCGCCATACCTGACAGCCTTGAGTCTTACCCCGAGACTGCAATATCTGGGGCTCAATGGAAACTCCACCACACTCGTTGCCTATCCAGAAGGGTGTCTCCCAAACAAAACCCCAATGAAGCGCGGCAATTCCGCCGTTGGAGAAGTTGGATGACAGCCCAATATCTCTCCCCGCACATGCTCAAGCTCGGTACCATAGCCTACGGCTAGCGGGGTATTCGAGGTTTGATGGCATTGATCTATAGAAGAGTTCTCATATTCGCAGCCTGCTTTGACTGAGAAATTCGACCCTCCAAGATCAGCTGCTCTTCCCTCGAACGGTTTCAATACATCGGAAAAAAGAGGCAACCAATCACCTCGACACCATGCGTCTCGACTACGTCCCCAACCCTCCAACCAATCTCTCCCCGGAGGACCAAGAGGTCCTGGAGCGGGTCAAGGCACGCCGGGGTGCCATGGGCCTTATCGCGCTGGATTTAACCCTTTTGCATGCTCCCAAGATCGCAGATGGTTCGTCGTAGCCGGTTACTGGGAATCCCGGTGTCCAGCGCTAACAGATTGCTAGGTTGGAACGCCCTCCTCGGCGCGGTGCGGACGAAGAACTCCCTGCCAGACGATATCCGCGAGATCGCCATCTGCCGCCCAGCCTTGATCAACCGAGCCTGGTTCGAATGGAATGCCCACGCCCCTATCCTCTTGAACTCCGCTGGCTTTTCGGAAGAAAAACTGTCTGTGGTGAAACAGCTGCACCCGACGTCCAAGGGAGCGCTCGACGATCGCCAATGGGCCGTTCTGAGATATGCGGATGCCATGACTCGGGAGGTGTCTGTCCCTCAGAGTGTCTTTGACGAAGTCAAGGCTGCCGGTTTCAGTAACCAGGAGATAGTCGAGATGACGGCCACAGTTGCGAGTTACAACATGGTCAGCCGGTTTTTGGTCGCATTGGATATTGGAGAGGCAAACGACAAGGCTCCAGATTTTGCCAAATAGGGGAGAAGCGCTGGACGGAATCCTTTTGACAAGGATTGGACCAAGAGTCGCTCCTTGCTCAGCTCCAGAGGCTATCTTCATTTAAACCATATCGTATAAGACAGTCGCTTGACTCTTATCAAAGTAACCTCCAGGTCAGATTTCAGCTTCCTTTCCTTCTCCGTAGGCTAGCGTAGGCGAGCATATGCTAGAGCCCCCAGAATCACGTCCGTGACTCGTCTCAACAGGCAAGCTCTTGGGAGTTCTCATCGAAGCCAGCGTCCAGCCACCCGCTACTGCCTTTAACATAGTTTCATCGAAGGGCTCGAGTGGTCTCCAACCCGTTCTACTCCGTGGATTTTGCACACCGGAGTTATGTCTCTGATATCGGGCCTCGAATTTCCCGCGGGTGATCTTGTCTCTTGTGTTCATAACTCTCAGTGACCATTCTCTCATTTTTCAGTAAACAGCCACCTTCTTGTCCATGTCGGTCTGCTGAAACCTCAATTGACACCAGTCGCCACATGAGATCGGTTCGTACTTTGGGGGATTCTTCTCGTCCACGCAGCTGGGCAGCACGCCGCACTTCTCGTTGAAATTGAACCCGAAGAAAAATGGCATCGAATACCTAGTCAGGGGAAAGGTCGGTCAGCAATTGGGGATGTTAGACGATAGCAGACAACCCAGACGACGCACCTGTCGACCGTGGAACGGTTGTATACTCTGTGCACGGTCGACTTCATCCGGTCGTTGGTCAAGCGCATCAGATAGTCGCCTATATTGACGACGAAAGTGCCTTCGATCGGCGTCGCCTTGATCCACTGCCCTTCTTTGTTCAGCACTTGCAAGCCGCCGTTCATATCCTGCCAGAGCAACGTGAAGCACTGGAGGTCGGTGTGCGATCCGAGCCCGACGTCCTGGCTCTTCGCCGCGTCTTCTGCCGACATGGCAGGGTAGTAGTTGAACACGCCGTCGCTTCCAGGGTAGGTCGTCACGGCGTCGAAGTAATCCTCCGGAAGATCCAGGCAGAGAGCAAATATCCTGACCAGCCTGCGTGCAAGCTTGAGACATTCCTGCCAGTAGGCGATACAATCACTTTTGTAGCCAGCCAAGTGTTCCGTGCCTTCCCAGACATAGTTCTCCCCGCGGATATATGGCTGGACTTCCGCGGGTACAGCGTCAGGGTCCTTGGGATCTGGATCGTATTGCGGCTCGTATCTCCACGCGAAAGACTCGCGGTAGTCCACTGTGCATGGGTCAAATCACATCAACACACGCGAGCAACAATGTCTCGGGGGGGTGGGGAGTCCATGTAACTGACATCCTTCCGAAGGACTGGCCATTGCAGTGTTCTTTGCTGAATAGCCATTGTACCACTTCCCTTTGGACTTGGACACCAACATTTTCTTGTCCTCGGGCTGTGCGAAGAAAGCCCGGGAGGCGTCCAAAGCAGCTTGGATGGTGGTTTCGGGGATGGCATGATTGCGGATGTAGAAGAATCCCGTATTCTCGGCCGCATGCTGGATGTCCTGGGCGAGAGCCTTCCGGGCCTCGAGATCGCCGTATATCGGACTGAGGTCGATCAGCGGGATCTCGTCTGGTCGGGCGTCTCGGGGCGGATGCGTCGATACATTGCGATAGACCGGCCCGTAAGCCGTGCGAAGCTCAAGTTTCACAAACCCCGGCTGCTCGACTTGGGACATTGCTGACATTGCTGTTACGAATGGACGCTCCGCAACGATTGGGATTGACCCGGCGGGCGGTACGACTCGGTCTTTGATATATCTGAAGTCAATAAGTGCGAGGTTGATGCCTTGCTTTAGGCAGAAGCTTTCAGGGGGTGGACAGCCTTCCTATTATGTTATCATTCACACCTACCAGGACATGTCCGTGGGCGGCGAGCTCCGAGATATGTGGCATGTATTTACCTTGAAGAGGACATGAGAGTGAGCAATTACCCGTCTGCCTGAGGAACGGATGGTAAGGTGGTCGAGGCGTGTCAGCTTGATAACATTCGGCATAGGATGTACTTTGTTCCGTTGCGATACAGGGTGATTCTTTCAACGTCAAACAACCTCCTTTCTTCACACACGCAAGAACTTTCTCTCTGTGTCCCAAGTCGACACATATATTTGACCGGAAGCTCTCATCTCCTCGTCTTTGATGGCCTCGTGCACTTACTGACCAAGAATCCAGCACACTGGTAAAGACAGACAGCAAGAGAGAAAGGATCCAATGGAAGAAATCCCAATAGTCCCTCCAACGAATGATTCCCAGCCTCGAAGTCTCCCTCACCTCTGATCCCGAGCCATGCAGTCGATAGAGCCTGGCCCAACACCGGCTCGAGATATATCATGAGCTGTTCCCTTTCGCTCACGGCGCAAGGAGTATGTATGAGGCGCGTTGCCGAGTGAGTCGGCGTGAAAGTGTGATAACATACTTCAAGGCTGTGCTGCCTTTGCCAGATCTTCTTTCTTGTGTGTCTCATCCCCTCCTATTTTGTCTTTTCCGCTCTCGCCACCTCCTCTCTTACCATCGCCATCATTGCCTTCTCCACGGCCCACGCAGGCAGCCTCATCATCAGGCCAATCTGCAACCCATGAGGCCAGTACGGCGTGCAGACGGGATAGCCACAGCCCAGCTTTCCCAGACACGCCTTCGCCGTCGTCGCCACGTTTGGGGAGAATAGGCCTTCCATCGCGGCCGCGACACCATCATCATCAACATCACCACCACCACCACCACCATCACCGCCCAACTTCGGGGTGATGACCCTGCCCACAATGACGGACATGACATCGACATCGAGGCCCTGGACCCTCAGCTCCGCGGCCAGGGACGAGCTCCATCTCGACACGAACCCCTTGGCCGCCGAGTATGCGACGAGATAGGGTGCCGGCAGGGCCTCCACGCCACTGCTGACGCTGAGGATCGCCGCCGGCTGGGCCCTGTCGCGTGCAAGCACCGGGATCAAGACACGAGTGATCTGCGCCATGAAGCGTGCGTTGAGGTTGATGACGGCGTCGAGTTCCCCGGCCGATCTGTCCGTGAGAGGGCAGTATCCGTGCTTGAACCCGCCGGGCCCGCCGACGTTGTTGACCAGGATCGTCAGCCTGAGGCCCCCGACCGCATCTAGCACTTTCGTGTCGAATCCCCCTGGCCGGGTTTCCGCGGCGTCGAGGACGAGCAATCGGACCTCACACCCCTGAAACTCCGTCTCCAGCTCGGCCTTGACCCTCTGCAATTTCTCCTCGTTGCGCCCATGGACCACCACGCTGAACCCGCGCGCGCACAGCTCCCGCGCGAAGCCTTTCCCGATCCCGTCGCTGGCGCCGGTGACCAGGGCCCACGCCCTGCTCTCTTGCCCGGGTGTCCTAGGTTTGTAGCGCGAGAGGTCCGAGGAGTACAAGTAGAACTGGACAACGAGGAAGATTTTGTAAAGGAAGTGTATCAGTGTGAGGAAGCCGAGCGCGGAAGAAACGTCGCGGAGTGAAATGGCCATTCTTCTCCTTCCTCTCCGTCTTTCTCTTTCTCATTCCTGTCTGGGGGCTTGGTTTCTGTAATATCTCCTTCTACTCAACCCTTCTCCTTCTTTTCCTCTCTTGCGAGTCTTATGTCCCCCCCTCCCTGTTCTCTTTTCCCGCTCTCGTCTCTTGTTGTTGTGGGGAACGAAGTAAGTCTATCGTGAAGCTACCGTCGATAGTTCCATTTCAGTGTGTAGCGTGGAGAAAGTCCAGCCTTCTTGATGTCGGAAACGGAGCTTGAGGTCTCACGCTTGCTTGCTTACCTGCATCCACTCGTGTCTGTGTGCATGCATGCACACCACCCACAAACACGAATACAACGAATACACCAAGGATACGAAGGCACCAACAACTTTGACGCCGCGCCCGTGTCCAAGGAGTCCAGACTGCTCTGCTTCTCTTGGCAAATGACTGACTAGCCGACTGACTGAGCGTGACACGAGCCCAGCAATGGTCTCGTAGACGCAAATCAACTTGACTTGAACACGACTTAACCCTGGCGTAATCTGGGCTCGTGTAGTATACGATTTGGACTTCCGCCTCTCTAGCAAAAAGCACACCATTTCGCGCTTTTCCCCTTCTGTTGCCAGCTTACCTTTGAGTGTATGGTACCGTACCTAAGAATACAGCAAGGTTCAAGATGGACGCACACCTCTGAAGTACCTGTGCAATAGAAATGTATGTCAAGAGCTCGAGACAGAGCGACCAGTCCGCAACGTCACTCCCCAAGAAATTGAGCTGCCGAACGTTCTCTGTACACATATCCGACATATTGAAAGCTGTCGAGCACTTTGGCAAGGAAAGAAAAAACAGACGCAAACATGGAAAAGGTATCTGTGGAAGTCTTCTGTGGTTGACTCTCTGTCTCCTTGAGACAATCCGTTTTCATTTCAGTGTTTCTGTCTTGTGGAAACAGCTCCTATCGTACTCTGTTCAGTCTGGTGTCTCGATGCTGAGAGACATATCGCCCACGCTTTGGGGATTTCAGTTCAGCTTCACTATGGTACATGTATGTGCACATAACGCGTATTCGCCGTCTATTGAGCATATCGCTATGCAGAGTGTCACAGGCGTCGCTCATTCCTCTGCAAAGTAAAGACGATCTCAAGTCTCTGGCGGAGTAAAGACGAGTTCGATTCCTTCACAGAGCACAGAAGACCTCATTTGTTCCCAAAGTAAGTGAGAGCTCGCAGCCATCCATTCTCCATCATAGCCGCAAAATCGGGAACCAAGAGCACACTGCTGCTCGTATTCTCGTCAGCTGCAGCAGGTCGTTCCATGACATAGTCGATCATCGATATGAGACCGTCGGTCCAATGCTTCATCTTCCCCCCGTAGAACCACTCAAAGTCATAGTGCTTGTGCAGTGCGTCCGACTTCTTCTGGAGCTCCACGCGCAAGTCTTCGAGGTGCTTGCGTGCGTAATCGGCAATCAGCTTGCTGCTGACATCGGTGACGATTTCGCAGAGAGTGATCGCGGCGGTAGACCAGGCGTGAATGTCAAGGGGGTTGTACCGTGGAGCGCCAGAGGTTGCCTTTGCGTCTTCAATGAGGACGCTGGTCAGATTGACGGCACGTTCGAGAATGGGAGATGGGAGGGGAACCCTCTGTCCTTGATAGGGGCTCATCATAACCTCCATGAACCAATGGAACTCCTTGACAACCGCGGAGTCTCTGAGGCTTTCGTCATAACTGACAAGGTGCATGTCGAAGACATCTTGCCAAAAGATCTTCCGAACCAACCTCGCTTCTGGAGTAGCATCCCCGCGTGGCCAGAAAATCTCAGAGAGACAGTCAAGCTGGTTTGAGCTGGTTTGCAGGTATGCGGCTTCCACAGTGACGGTGCTGGAATTGACGTTCCGAATCGAGAGGCGATGTGGGTTGGTCACTTCGTCAGGATGAATTGCCAGGCTCAGGAAGTGATATTTGCTCGAGAAAAGGATACAGTTCATAGCCAGGTTGAGGGTGTCGATGAAAGCGGCCTGGTCGGGGAACGCGATCGGGATCTCACCACGGATGGCTGCGCCCCGTAGCTTGTTCAGGACAAATCGGCTGCAGTCAAGCAGATGTAGTTTAGACTTCTCGTCATCGCCCTCCATATGCTTGATGTCATGCTCGCAGGTCAACGACACCAAGGCAAAAGCCCAGGCCAATGCAAGATTGGTCTCCAACGAATGAGTTATTGGCACCCCGTAAACGGCACGAGAGAGATACTCTAGCAACTTGTCGTAGTTCTCAAAGTTTTTGGAGCTGAGTGCTCGGGTTGGGCGGCTGATGGCTGGGTCGAGATCGTGATTCAAGGAGGAAGACTCGAGAGCGCCGTTGAGGGTGACTCCAGCTTTGAGGTCCGGCAATAAGTCGACGGCGACGGCGAGCGCATGTTGCATGTCGACGTCGGCTTTGCTGACAACCGCATCGACGATGTCATCACTGGGGAGTAAAGGAAAGAGCGGATGATACTGTTCATAGTACTTGGCCAGAAACGGATGATCCATCTTGAACGGTGGCACGTCTTCGTTGGGTCCCTGGATGCGCGGACGTTTGGTACGATGAGCGCTGTCGAGCTCAACAAAGAGTGTCCCGGTAGAGTCGCGAAAATCAGGCTTCGGGTTGGCCTCTTCTTCAGGAATCGCAGCCGGAAGGGTTTCGTTGGGGGCGATGGCGAGGCTTCCGCTGGCACGCGAGCGAAGACTGGAAGCGATCGAAGTGATGCCCCAGCCGCCAGTGCTTGGAATGCGATCCCGCTGAAATTCGGCTCTGGAAAATGGGTTGACAGTTGTGGAAGCAGAGAAAGAAGAGGCGCGGTTAAAACTTGGGCCACTTGGCTCATCAGGTGAAAAACTCTCGGCGAACCCTGTAAGACCGGCATCCAGCGACTGCCTCTGCTTTTGTTCTAATCCGTGGACTCGCTCTGCCAGTGCGCTGATATATCTGTGTCACGTGTTAGTCTTTCATCGCCGACGATATCGATAGACAAGATCCATCAACGAGACAACTGACCCTTTGCTTGGACCACGTTTCATAGGCTTGCGTTCAAATTCACAGTTCACACCAGCCTTCTGGCAGTTTGTGCAAGTCTTTGGAGTGCCATCCGCTTCAGTGGGTGCATCACATTTAACCTAAAGGTAGGTTAGCACCAAGGAAACCACTGTTGTGCTCTTCGCTGTGAAGTTCGTAACCGCACCTTCTTCCTCCGACATTCGTCGCACGCACGAGATGCCTTTGAGCGTTTTCTCTTGCCACCAGTTTGAGGATCTTGGAGCGTTTCAGAGGATGCATCGATGCTTGAACGTGGGCCAGCTGAGGGGAAGGTCGGTTGGTTTGGTGTTTGCGGAGGGGCCATGGCTGGATCAGTGGCAGAGGAAGCTGCTACACCATTTGGGCCCATGGGCAAGTTGTTGTTCATGGTTCCATGGTTGATCTTGTCTATCGAAGCTACCCCCTCTTCCATCGGTCGCGCATAGGGAGGCATTGGGTAGTTCGGCGACATGCTGGTCAGCTCGGTGTCGATCGGGTAGTAGGACGAGGCGAAGTGGGAGGAAGCAGAGCCGACGAAATTGCCTGTCGGATCGTGAGAGGGTTGGTCGCGACCACCATCTGGCCCTGCCATCTTTGTGTCCAACGCGATGGAGCAAGAAAGAGATAATGCCGTGCTTCCGGAAGATGGGGGATGGTGAAAAGTGAGTCGCGACTGAGCGGACGGCAAGTGATGCTTTGGTTAAGCCGAGTTCACGCTTATGCCGAATTGGGGACTAGCGTTGTCTGTCTTTGGTGGGAGACTCGAGCCTCGTGCGGCCTACCTGCCCTGAGCGTTGGGCTCCTGGCCGATACAGCCCGACCATTGCGTGCATGGCCAAAATCTGGGGAGAGCTGGAAGGCTCTGTCCGATACCGACCCACGCAGTCTCGCTCCACAGCCTCATGGAACGGATGCACTTTTGACCGACATACGACTGGCGCGTTCACAATCCTGCAGAACACACCGATTGTTCTCGGCACGAACTGTGCGGCAAGACGAAGTGCGCGGCATGCGTTGCCACCACGACGGGATGCCGCTTGCCGAAGCATTGTCTTGAGACGTCCACGATTCTTCCTTAATGCTTATACGAAGAAAATGAAGACGCGAAACGTCCGATCAGAGGGGCCAACGGTCATTCGCCAGAATGCCTGATAAAAAGCTAGGAGTCTACAACAATGAAGGGGAAATATCCACTCGCCTGGTAATTGCATTGGAGCACGACTCCATACTTCGTACACTGAGGGACAATGAAGAGAAGGGGAGACCCAATATGGATATCCTCAAAGCCGCTCACAAGAAGTCGCCCAATTGCCTCGATACCCATAGGGCGGTGACTTTTCCACGAGTAGATCACTATGGACATAAAGCAATGGATGTCTCCAGGTCAAAAATGGAGGCAGGGTCAGAGAGCAGGGCTGTACAACGAGCAAGAGATGGGAGAAACGGAAAGGTCCATAGTACAGGTAATAGACTACGCTTTCTTGACTATTTCGTTCGAAGACCCTGAACGAACTCGCTTGATCATTCTTGATGAGCTCTTGAAAGATGCAACGTGCGATGGAGTCTAGTTGACGAAACCAAAGGAAGTAACAGCTGGGTGTCACGAGGAGCAAGCAAAAGGTGTCCGACAAATATCCATGTTATCACGGTCCAGGTCGTTTGAATATCTCATTGATGTGGTCTGTGCTTTCAATACATGTGACATAATCAGAGGTGTACGAGAAGTCGCCGTGTATAGACATCAGCGTCTCAAGGAGCCTAGGGGCAATGCGATCATCCGTCCTGGCATATCACATCAAAACTGCGGACCGGTTCGTGGGAGTCGCAGCAGCTCGTACTATGTCGAAAAGGCTGGACGAGAAATGAGCGAAACAAACCCCGTGAACAAGTCTGTATGTATGCCGCATGCTCTTATTCGTATTTCCCTGTGGTACCAATCTTCTTCTTTGGGCCCATGGGGTTTGCGCCCACACAACATCCCTCCCTCCCTCAACCCAAAATTCTTGTGAGAACAAGAAAAGCGTCATGTCTGCCATGTGTCTGGGTCGGCCGCCATTCGCACCGTCACTCGTATGGTTCTCCCAGTCTTTCCACCGTGCTATGAGCGAATTGTTGCCTCAGACCCATGTACAGAAGGGGAGCAGGCGTCGCATGGGACCTTCGACGGCCTCTGGCATCGGGGACCCAGGGAGGGATGAAATCCAATGGAGAAGCGCTGACTGAGGGAGGGGGGCGGACACTGGAGCCGGGTACCGCAAGAGCCCACCAGGTCTCCATAGCACCCACACCCTCCTTTTCAGCCACTTCTCACCCAGGTCGGCTCGTGCATGCAGGTGGGATGTGATGCTCCTGTAGGAAGATGGTCTTCTGCATGGTCTTTCCTTTTGCTGTTTGAGTCCCAGCCTGTTATCTGTGTCAGCTGCTGAATATGCATAACGTAACTAGCCACATGGGTTGCAGCCAAGGCCCCGATGTCCTGCAAGCCGGCTGCGGACTCCCTTAAGATCCCTCCCCCCCTCCAGAAGTTAGTGCTCGCTTTGGTTTTCCTCTTGGAAGACTTGATTTTCAGAGTTTGCGACTCCTACTCGTCGGAGGCGCGGGCAGGCCTCCGCAGCAAAACGCTGATCGTCATGAGTCGGACTTGATGAGGTCAGGAATGGCCATTTTGTGGCGTTGGAGTGGAGGGCCATTGTCAAGTTTTTCTGGCCTGAGGTGCCGCGCCTGCCTGCGCCAGGCCCCATTCCCGCCCTGTGCGCTGCACTGGCGCAGGGAGGAAGGGAGACTTAGGGAGCGCCTCGATTGGTCTAACTGCGCTGTCGACCGTCCTCCTGTCCAATCTGGGCCCCTGGATCTCCTCGGCATCCCGCACGTTTTTTGACATTGCGCAACAAAATGCGTGTGGAAGCGATTGGACACCACGCAAGCCCTTCCTGGACCTCCCTGTGCATCTCCTCCCTCCCAATCTGCGCTATCCCGGCGGCGACTACCCTTCACCCTTCACCTGGCGGGGGGAGTTCGTGTTGCTGGACTAGGAACTCGTCGCTTATACTTTCTGCCCTTGCTGCTGGTCCTCCTCCTACAGACCTAGGAGGGTCGTTCTACTGTGACTACTCTTTTGGTGTCTAATACTGCATCTCCTCGCCGGCCTGCTCCGCGAGGGAGTAATTTCTCCTTTGTCTCTGTCGCGTCCGGTTGGCTCGGTGCTGAGCGGAGTCTGCGGTAATTTCACGGCTGACAGGATCATTTATGTCTCAGTCACGCTCGCTTGAGGGGCTCTTCCTGGGCGCGCCTCTTTTCCTGACTTCTTGTTCGGGGGATGGGTAGGGGGAGGGAAGCAGGGGGAGTTTAAGCTAGGCGATCCCCTCCCGCCTCCCCCTCCTCCCACACAATACGAACACCCTAGGAATTCTAGTTTGAGACTTCTTCCTGTGAATGTTATCATCAGCGAATGTCAATGTTGAACCTCTTCCAGCGCCCGCCCATGACTCCGCAGCGGGGGCATCCGCGGCGCATCGGTGCGAGACCTGGTTGGACCGTCACCACAGGACTGCTGATGATCTGTCCAACGCAGTCGCTGCAGACGCCACAGATACACTCGGTGCAAGCGAAGGCATTTTTCAGTAGCCACGGCCGACTGCACGACGCGCAGTAGATCTCCAATACATCCGATTTGCTGCCAAATGAGGATGATTGGGAGTGCTGGTAAGGGTGTGAATGGTGCTGGAGGGGGCTAGTGTTATCGTTGGACGATGCCGATGTAGGGAGGCCGGAACCAGAGATGTGGAAATTCTGACCGGATCCCGCGCTCTCTAAGGACTCGACCGAAGGGAATGGCTCGGGATCATTGGGTCCCAGGATATCTGGTGGCGGTGGAGTCAGGGTGCGCTGCAGCGGAGAGGCATTGTATTGCCCAGGTTGGTGGTGCAGGTGATGACCAAAGGGACGGAAGCCCGGGGGCAGCGACGAGCGCTTGTTGACATCCCCACTGGTCGAGATGCTGTCCGCGGCGGACAATCTACGAGCGGTCGTGGTGGTGGTGTTGGTGGTGGGCGCATTGCCCGAGCCAGCAGCGGTGGCGGCAGCCGTGGTAGAGGGCGGAAAGTTTGGCGACTGCGGCATCTGTAAGTGAATGCCAAGGGCATGTTAGCAAGGTTGATTATCGATAGTCTAACGCGAACAAGAAAAAGAAAATGAGGAGGTTGGTGTACACATTAGAGTAATTAACTGAGGGTGCATAAACTTTTCGGTGACAGAAACCCCCCTGGCTCTGGCTCGTCTCAGTCGCCTGGCCCGACCGCCACAGAAAAAAGATGGTTTCATCACCCGCATGTGGTCTGACCGAGAAAAATAAAAAACCAATGCTGTGTTTCTTATTCTTCCGCTCGCTCCAGAGAGTCCGTCCCCGGGGCGTTTCGTCATCTCCTCCCCATTGAATCGGTCCGTAATTGAGGTCGGGGTCCTGGAAAACACATCAATCGTGATTGACCTTTCCAGAACCGCCAACCGTTCAAAAACCATCGACTGACACAAGGGAGGAGTTTCCTCTTGCCCGGGAGCCGTCTTCTGTTGCTCGCATTTGATCCATTTTGCCTTTCGTGCGGGTATAGCAAGACATGACAGTCGTTCGTTTCGTTTTGTTGTGTTTGGCAATAGTAGTGACAGTAAAATAGTACAAGACAATATTCCCTTTTCTGGGGGGGGCCTTCCTCCGGGGGGTTCCTCTACAGAATTTCGATCTCTTGGCAGCAGCAAGTAAACAGAGGACAATCGAAAAATGTCGTCTGACTTACGGGAGTGAGATCACGATCATCATCAGCCTCAGTAGCACTCGTGGCAGCCTCGATCAGATCTTCCCATCTCTTGCCTTGAACCCAGGCCGCCGTGGGTGGTTCGGCAGACATTGCTTTTCGGCCTTCGACGCTCAGTCTTCGGGAGAAATCCTTGGCCGAAAATTCCCTAGATTTTCCGCGTTCGTGCTTGCCCTTGCGCGCATTTTGCCCCATCGATGGCTTTCGGGGTCGCGGAAGTCTCTCGCCGCGTCTTTGGATGGGGGGTAAAGATGAATATCGACTGCCCGGAGACTGTAGAAGAGATGGTAATAGTTCGCGCGGGCGAGTGGGCTGGAATGGTGGCAGGGTATCTTCATGAAATTGAGCGCGTAGCGAGGGCAGTTCGAAACCCGACGACTCGCGTTTGTAGTCTGAATCTGGGAAAACATCCTGGCGTGCGAATGAGCACAGTTCTGGCTGTGGCTGTAGTCTCGTCTCCTAGTGATACTTACAAAATCGGAGTCCCAATTGTGCAGTTGTGTCAGGGCAACAGCAGCATTGGCAGCCGCAGGGGGTTGCGCAGTCATTGTGCCTGCTCCGGTTTGTTCAAACAGTCCACTCGCACCCGCTGCATTGTTCTCAGTATGGGTAAGGAAGGGAGTCATAGTGCCAACATACAAGGGCCTCTGGGAGCAGGAAGGGCGGCAGTTGGTTGGATCTGAGGGCGTTGCGAGGGAGGAGTGCTGATCATTAACTGGAAACTCTCCTCTGTAGCAGGCAATTTGGGAATATAATGATCTGGATGGGCGCGTCGAATGTGTTCTTGCATCGACCGGTACCGTTTTTCCTATAAATGTCGGGGTCAGCGGGTTGGCGACGCGCAGAATTGGGTTAGGACGAGCGCACCCCAATGCATCTCTTTCTGCACTGTGAGCCATCTTGGTTTGTGAGGGGACACACAACTTCATTTTCTGCATCCGTCGACACGAGAAAAGAGCTGGTGAGGGCAGGTTTGGGCGGCATGGCCTCTCAGCGCTGACCCTAACCGCAGGTGCGAGTTTTAGGAGAGAAGGACGAAGGTCGGCGGCATTGATCGGACAGTCCACAACAAGCTTGGCTGTTTTTGAGCTGGGAGGGAACCGACGTAATGATGGGTCCTCCTTCACATGATTTGTTCCTCGGGAAGAATAGGGTCGAGGAGAGAGCACAACACAACAGAGTCAACTGCTGGCCTTTCGACGAGTGTGCAAGGAGACGGGGAGGAGGGAAGGAGAGGATGTCGGTTTGGATGAGAGGAGAGGGTATTTTGGACTGTTGAGAGTTGGTGGGATGGATCAAAGAAAGAAAAAAGAGCTCTCGAGCTTGGATTGAGGGGTGAGCCTGTCTAGTTACCCTAAGCTCTGTCGCTTCGGGGGGGAGGAGCTTGCCCTGGTTGGTTTGGGGGCTTTAATTGGCACTGGCAGCTTCCCTCTTTCTCCGGAGGTTCCCCTCTCTAAGCTCAGCAAGCTGCAGCTGTTCCAAGCGCCAACGCCCGTTAACCTTTGGCATCACCACCTGGACAGGCAAACCAACGCGAAATCCAGTAATGTCAGACAGCATCCACACACGTGCACCACGCGGGCCCAAAGCTCGCCGTCAGTGTCAGACATCGCTGCCTTTTCTGGTCCCGGGCTTCCGATGCCCTCAACAACCAGGAACGAACAATCACGCTCTCCAATCAACCACCATCTCCCTCACACCACCCCAAAGTTGCCCAGCACAGCTTCTGATCGATGACAATCCATTGCATTCACTTTTCCTCCTACTGGCTACTTTTGCTTGGTACCTAGTCAGGTACTTACACCAATCATGACCTTGCTAGGAGCTATGGGTCCCCCCTCACCTCACCCAAGGTAGCTCTGCTCTGGGGGCTATCGTCACCTGTTTGGGAGCTTGGGATCGATGATCGATGCTGATGGCAACGCAGAGGAGAGCTCCAGCCGTCCACTAGCATGTGCGTTACCGCCAATCCTCGCAGCATTGAATTTTGAGGCCTGCTTTCACTCGCTGCAAGATGCTTTGTGGCCCCGGACAAGCTTGAGCTCGGGCCAACCCAAGCTGCCACCCATTCCAACCGTCGGTGGGAAAGAGCTGTGTGTTCCGTCGATTCACAAAGCTATCATGCAGCATGCTGTCACAGCTGGAGCTTCTGTTCGCCTGATGTGGAAGTCATGCTGATGCAACACATGTTGCATCCGAAAACCATCGACTCGGACTTTGATTCCGGTGGGAAACATGATACAACGATAAGGGAATGAGAGAAATAGTCAGGAACCAGCGATCTAAGGACGGTGTGCTACAGGTCTGCCAACGCTGAAGTCGCGACAGCCAAACCAGCAGCTTGCCGATCGGAGCAATGCGCAACTGGACTGAACCAGAACCAGTCCCTTCAAGGTAATTGGCTTGACCACGCATCAAGCTGACGTTACCAACATGCTTGGGGTGGGACAGGAATCGATGACTGATCAATTCAAAAGCGTTGGTACTGCGCATAACACCTAGAAAGCTGTCTAGACTAAGCGTCTGGTCAAAGCACTCTAGCGAAATATACAGCCTCTGGAGGAAGTCAAAGACCCATCACCATAACTCCCTGGACATTGGACACCAGCAACTTGCAATCTGCTCGCCCCTGACGACCTAAAAGCCTTTGACATATCTGTGGGCATCGGTAACTTCCATCACCTCGAATCGCATTCCTACCTCGATATTTCCTTCATTCCTTGGGCAGCACAGCATCCCAAAACAGGGTTTAAACTTGATGCCTTCGTCAACCCTGCGGTAGCTGACCAACAGATCCCATGGCTGGTGAGCGTCCTTCTCTGCGGTATCGGGATCGACATTGGGCACCGTACAGCGAGCACATCTCGCAACCACATCAACATCGATTGCGTGCATGTTGCCACCGGTGAGTGTAGTCCAGTACGAGGAGTCGCCGTTGATGCGTACTTTCTTCCACGAATCTTCGGACCATGGCTTCCCCCCTTTGATTATGACATTTGGCCTGAACCGCTCGATGGTGATTTCGCTCTGGCCTTTTCCCTTCAGCCTTGAGTTCAATTCGGCAAGCGACGATTCGGAGGCAATCTGAATGGGGAGTACGTCTGGGAAGTTGACGCTTTCTGTACGTCCCAGGCGTTCAGGGGAACCGTTGCCGGCGCAGATCCTTGGCTCGGGACCCTTCATCACCAGACGAACTTCTTCTCCAAAGAAGTCTTTGAAAAGGTCCAGCATTCCGCGATCTGTGTAAGCATAGGCATCGGTGATATATTCCCAGATGTCGACTGATACTTCTTTGGTGTTGTCACTGAGCCATTCCTGACTAGGGTGAATCGGCACCTTAACTTGCTTGTCCGTGTCGTGGCCTATGGTTATGACAAGGCGGTCGGAGTCGTGATCGATGGCGGTGTTGATCAAGGTCATTTGTGGCTTCGTGCGGATGGTGATGAATTTATTGCTGCTGTCGATGAACTAATCAACCCCACGACGCATCGTCAGCCATCACCAGTAGAAGACGGAATGGATCTGAGTGGACTGCATTGTTTCGAGTGAGAGGGCGGATTCTGGTCGGAATGCAAAACTCACCATCCACCGTCTATCTAGCTCTAATCCCTGTCTCGTCAACCTTGCCGACTTCAGAGAGATCCCTCGGCATGACTTGATGGGATAGATGCGCAGGTCTGTGATCTCCGACACTGTGTTTGTCATTTTGAGCGGGTATTGGATCGAGATCTTTTCCTTTTGATCTAAGGTATTCTGAGACGGTTGGAGTTCTTTTTGTCACCTTGGGTATCGGTCGAGAATTGCAATCAGAAGGCAAAGCTGTAAGGAGGAGAAGGGTGCGGAAAAGGGCGGCGGTCCCCTGATATATCTATCAGACGACGTTGACCACTATTTCCTTTCGAGTTTCATCTACTCGTCTGGTCTAAATGATGACAGCGGATGGGGAGGAGCGATGAATGGGAGAGATGGTGCCGAAGTGAAACGAAGGGCCTTTTGATCGTCCTGTCACCGCAAATGCTTGGTGAACAATGGGATTTCCCGCTCGTTTGGTTTTGGCTTCTCGCCAGTGACAAAGATACGGACGTCACCATTATTGAAGCGGCGATAAATTGAGTCCGAAAAAGGCAATATATGCTCGTTGCGCCATGCCTTTTCTGGCTATTCCGAGCGAACAACCAACCGTCGAGGCCGCCTTGTCTTCAACCTTTCTCCGTGGACTTTGTCCCTCACTCATGTATACGGGGCTACTTCGCTAAGGCGTCCGTGGACGCCGCAGTCCGGTCGTTTCGCATTTCGGACAAACGGCGTGAATTAAGCGACTTTTGGCTATCGACAGCGAGCTTCGTCTTTGTAATTCTCCTCGCTCGCTCGCTCGCTCCCTCACTAGCTTTTGCAAAGAGCGATTTGAATACGAATCATACAGCGGTCTGATGGCTTGGAAGGCAATCAAAACCTTCCCAATATGGTCCTCGTCAGCGAATCACGTTTGACCGAGGACAATACTTGCGGTAGTTGGTCAGGGCAACAAAGCCGCGGCTTGTCTGGTATATATGGCTTGCACACCATAGCATTGGACGTCGAATTGTTCCAGCGTCCTCACAGATACAATATTTCAAGTAGACACGAGGCTCTGCCTGTCCTGTCTTGAGTCACCTGGTATGAGCTATTTCAACACGAGCAATCGGTCCGCAAAGTTCTCCAAAATGGAGCGGGTTTTCCAGATGCGGAAGCCCACCCATTCACCCCGACTCCCAAATATTAGAATGCGACTTGGAGTTTTGTCGACCAGAACCCAAGCACCAAACCTGAAGTCTGTGGGAAGAGAATCTCGGTTGCTCTTGGTTCCTGTGGTGCCAATCTAGTCCATTCATTCACCCTTCCTTTTCTACGAAAGCAATACGGCGTTCAGAGTAGTAAACGCCAGGAGTATCACCAAGGTCATACCACCCAAAACATCACTCAACACCATGTCAGAGCCGAAAACAATCAAAGTGACCCTGTCACAGATAGCCAAAATGATTGATCACTCCCTTTTACATCCGACCATGACGGACCAGGAAATTCAAGCCGGACTGGAAATCGCGAAGAAGTACCAGACAGCCACGGCTTGCGTCAAGCCGTATGCAATCGCGCAGGCGAAGGGCGCCCTGGAGGGATCAGGCGTTGCGGTCTGCCCCGTCATTGGCTTTCCCGCTGGCAACAGCACGATCGAAGTCAAGGTTTTTGAGGCAGCGAAGGCCGCGGAAGCAGGGGGCACAGAGGTCGATATGGTGGTCAATATCGGCAAAGTCCTCTCCGGTGACTGGGAGTACGTCGCCGAGGAAATCGGAGCAATCAACGCGGCAGTGCGGGACAAAGGGGCGATCCTGAAGGTCATATTCGAGAACGATTTTCTACGGGACGAGCACATCGTCAAGCTGTGTGAGATCTGTTCGGAGCTTGACGTCGCCTTCGTCAAGACGTCGACGGGCTATGGATTCGTCAAGCAGCCCAACGGCATGTACGCGTACAAGGGCGCCACCGTACCTCATTTGAAGCTCATGAGAAGGTACGCTAAACCGGGCATCCAGATCAAAGCCGCAGGGGGAGTCCGCACGTTGGACGATTTGCTCTATGTCATGTCCATTGGCGTCACAAGGATAGGAGCCACTGCAACAGTTGCGATTCTGGAAGAGGCGAAAAAGAGAGGGATAGGCGACGAACCGGTTGAGGTGGAAGTCAAGCCCATGGCTGGAGCTGCCACCAATGGGGCGGCTTATTAGAGCTGTAGAGGGGGTAGCCATTCGGAATGGGCTTGAAGCGCGCACAGACAGCAGATAGCATGATCTACATGAATAGAATGATCACCCTCAACAACGACAACAAGTATCAAAGGCGAAGGATGCTTGAGTGAGCCAGAGCGCCGGCTCCCATATTGCACCTGCCTATATTCTGCCTCACCGTACCCTCTTCCCGCGGCGAATCAGCGAAGCGCTTTTTGCGGGGAAAAGCGCAAGTCCCCGAGTCGCAGTTGGAGAGCACACCCAGAAATTTTTGGAAATAGGTGCAGCTGTCGCCGATGTTGGAGCTTCGTCTCTTGTTTTCATGTTCTACAGGTCGCCAACATGGAGACTGGCATTTCGAAGGCCCCCGTGCCAGCGCCAGGTGCGCCCGAGGGCTCCTCAAGTGCCAATAGCAACAACGCCGAGTCCAGGACTCCAACCTCTCCCAGAGGAGGAGCAGCGCAAGTTCCTGAACCGGAACATGGTCGTCCAGATGCAAGACGTTCGCATCAGAATGCTGCTGCAGGGCGAGAGGCCAGAGGTGGTCGAGGAGGTCGTCAGGGCAAGAAGAGAGATATGGGGAGGAAGGAGTGGGCGTAAGTCTCATCTTCCCTCCAGGAATGTACCCAGCGAGGCAGTTCGCGATGGCGCCCTCACACCCTCTTCAGATGTTCAAGACTGACTTGCTAAGTAAGAACAAAGTAGACAAAAGGCAACGGAACGAAGATGAGCAAGCCGCCAAACGCCAACGGATCGACCATGGCAAGGACGAACTGCCCATTTACGCTACAAAATTCAGCGATGAAGTGCTCGCGGCCGAGGAGAGGAGACCGAAAAAGAAGGTCGCTGTGCTTATTGGCTATGCTGGGACCGGTTACAAGGGGATGCAGCTGTAAGATTGCCCGCGCGACTGGTTGTTTTTCGTCACTCACTCCCATGGGTCCAGAGCGCATGATCAGAAAACGATCGAAGGCGACCTCTTCCAAGCCTTTGTTGCGGCCGGAGCCATCTCCAAAGCCAACGCGGACGATCCCAAGAAATCTTCCTTTGTGCGATGCGCCCGGACCGACAAGGGCGTCCACGCCGCCGGCAACGTGATATCCCTGAAATTGATCATCGAGGACGAGGATATCGTGAAAAAGATCAACGACAACCTGACTCCCCAGATTCGGGTTTGGGGGTACGAACGGACAAACAACAGTTTCAGTGCCTATCAGATGGTTGACTCGCGGATATATGAGTACCTAATTCCTACACATAGCTTTCTGCCACCACACCCTAGCAGTTTTCTGGGCAGAAACTGTGAAAAGTGGGCGGAGAAAAAGGGCGATGTGGACGGGTACAGGAAGAGACAAGAAGAAGTGTTGGGATACTGGGAGAAGGTGGACGAGGAGATGATCAAGCCAATTCTGGCGGAATATGACGAAGAGATCCGTGCCATTCTGGAGAAGGCACTGTGGCTGAAAGCAGAAGGCCCCGAGGATGGTGGTGCAGACCCGTCGAGTTCCACAGCGGTGGAGGTTGAACCTGAAACCTCCAAGCCAGAGGGGTTACAAGAAGCCGAAAACAAAGGCGCAGAATCGCAGGACAAGACTCCTGTAAACAGCAACGGCGAAGAACCCTCCTCCCTAGCGGAAGACTCGACAGATCAAGCGAAACCATCGCGACCGCGCATCCTCGACGAGGCCATGAAACGCATCCGGCAAGCCTACATTGCAGCCAAGCGGGCCTACCGCATCCCGCCTGAACGGCTTGACCGAATCCAAAAGGCGCTCAATCTATTTGTCGGCACTCGCAACTATCACAACTACACCATCCAGAAGACCTTCAAGGACCCCAGCGCCAAGCGAGTGATCAAATCCTTCCTGGTCAACAGGACGCCGATCCTGATCAACGGCACGGAGTGGCTGAGCATGAAAGTCCACGGGCAGAGTTTCATGATGCACCAGATCCGCAAGATGGTCGGGATGGTCGCGCTGGTGGTGCGTTGCGGGTGTGACCCCCAACGGCTGGTGGAGAGCATGGGCCCCGACAGGCTGTCGATCCCCAAGGCTCCCAGCCTGGGCCTTCTGCTCGAGCGCCCGGTGTTCGAATCCTACAACAAGCGCGCTAAGGACGCACTCGCCAAAGAAGCCATCGACTTTGACAAGTACAGGGCGGAGATGGACGCGTTCAAGCAAGAACAGATCTACGAGCGCATGTACCGGGACGAGGAGAAGGACAACGTCTTTGGCAACTTCTTCAACCATGTCGACAACTTCCCCAGCGAGCCTTTCTTGTTTGTCACGTCCGGCGGCGTCGAAGCGACCAAGACGAAACCGCTGGTTGCACCGGTCGGAGCGCTCGAAGGGGGAAAGACGAAGAGTGCGAATGCTCTATTAGACAACGATGCGGATGTCGGCGCCGACGACGAAGATAGCGATGCGGACGACGCTGTCAAGGACAACCACGGTGACGAGGGTTGACGAACGACCGTCGCTGGCTGCTTTTCTAGACGGGACGATAGACTTTGATCAAAGAGCTGAGGACAATTTGCATTCCGGATCGCCAGCCTGAGAGGGCTTTCTGTAACAGACTTCGTAGTGCCAATTCTTTTATTTTTGGGTGATCTTTGCATTGCCTCGCGTATAACGCCTGGTTATACGGGAGAAGAGACAAGGTACGTAGCGAGCCTCACCAGCCTGATGTTGGTCGCGGGGTTGCAGGGAAACCTCCCGCCGAATGTGGCGGCGCCAAGTGCCCGCCGCTTTTGGAGGGACTCCCCTGGATGCCAACATCCTCTCCCTAAATGCACTTCGCGAGTCAGCCTCGCCAGCCCCGATCCTGCCTCGGCCGTTCTCCCTCCTTTTATCGTCTCTATAAGTAAGTGACTTGTGTACCTTGTCGTGCACTATGCGATCCATACGACTATCACCAGAGCGGGACCAGAAACAGTCCCAGAGATGTGATTACTGGCGGCAATCCGATTCCCCAATCCGCGAGGCCACCGAAGGACGAGGTTCTAGAGGCTCGATCTGGAGACATCATACTGTCGGCCAAGTAGTCCTGTCGAGTCACCAGCTTACGATATACCGTACGGCGCCGGTGCCCGGTTGGGATTTGGACCCCCTATTGGCGTTTGTAGATCCCGGGGCGCGGTGGTGGCGGCCGGGTTGTAATATGAACGGGTGCTTGAAGGTGCTGCCGGCACGTCGAATGGGATGTTGAGAATTGTGGTGGTGGCCGTGGGGGGCCCGGGGAATTGTAGGGCATCGATGGTAATTGCAGGCATATAGTAGCCTGATGGCGGAATTTGGGTAACCTTGGACGTGAGAGGAACAAGCGCTTGAGGGTTTCTGGGGGAGGGTCCGAATGAGAAGTTGACTTAAGAGACACGCTCGCTCTCACGAACACCCGGGACATCGACCTTCAAGGCGGCCTTGTTTGAACGACGTATAGAAACATAAGAACGCAAGGCTGATATTTGGTTGGGGCGATACGAGTCGACTATAGGTTCCTGTTCGTTGGCCGCCTAAACCCAAGGCCTGGATTTCCCGGCGGTACAGAGGCATAGATACCTAGGCGCCTTCAGCCTTGTTGTGTCACATATTCCTAGTGTCAGGCTGAAGGAGGCTGGTTGGTTGCCTTGCATATCAAGGGCAGATATAATCGTCTGCATGGAAAGAGAGGGATGTCCTGTTCCACGTCCCGTTAATGATTTAAGTGCCCTGTCCCAATATCATCCACCATCCACGAACATACAATATACGGTATCTACCTAGGTATCTATCTATCTTCCCGATCTCGAAAGACTTCGACAAAGACCAAGTCAAGTCCAGAACAAGGCGTGGATAAAGATGGGCTTGCTGAACCTCAGCCTCAACTTCAACCTCAACCTGTCCCTCTCCCTCCTCCCGATCCTGCTCCTCGCAACCCCTTCCGCCACCCCGGGCTTGACGCCCATACACACCTCCGCCGCACTATACACGGACACCCACACCCACACCCACGCGCGGGCCCTATTCTCGTTGGCGCTCCTGTCTTCCGTGCTCGATGCGTGTCTGGAAGCGTTCAAGCTCTGCCTGGGCATGCAGACAGGGCTGAACCCCAGCGCGCTGAACCAGGGCGAGTTCCCGGCCTGCGCGGCCATGACTACCGGTGTAAGTTGTGCTTCGGGGAGTCTTGGTAGAACAAATAAATGAATGGTTGAACAACTCGTCCATGTCAATTACATAGTATCAAGGGGTTTTCTTTGCGAGTGGACCACCGCATCTCACAGGCTAACTATCTGGCGACGAAATGCTAGTATGTCTTCCGCGTCGAGAACCAGGCCACGGTCATGTATCTCCAGAAAGTCGGACGGACGGGCCACTTGACGACGCTCGACGTGCACCCTCCTCCCTCGCGCGCCGGGCCTGACGACAAGACATGGTCCCGCCGCCGGGCGTCATTACTCTCCAGCATGCCGGGCCTCTTGCTCGTCGCCGGCCTCACGCTCTTCCCCTCGCAGACGGATTCCCCCAGCGTGGCCCTTGTGGCATCCCTCGCGCTGCTCATCCTCTCGCGCATCCTCTCCGTCATCGCCCTGCGCGCCCGCACGTCGCCGGCCGCGGGAGCATGGCGCGGCGCCCCCGAGCCAGGCGTCCGGGGCGATCTGCTCGTGCTGCTCTCCGAGGACCGCTGGGTGCGCATCCGCGGCCTGGTCGACGACTTGAAGGCCGTTACCTCGGGCGCGTGGCTGGGGCGCCCGCAATCCCCGGCCTGCGCGGCGCTGGTGGAGGGTCTGGACTGGGTCGCGCGCATGCTGGTGTACCTCGCCGTCGTGGCCCTGGGCGGCGCGACCGACGCCGAGAAAGGCACCCTGGTGGGAGCCGTGCTGGCCGGCCATTTGCTGCTCGTGTACCAGAACTCCCAGGTGGACGAGTTGGTCATGAACGGCAGGACGGTCGCGGTTGCAGGCACGCCAGACAGTGTCAAGAACTATGCGAGACGGTTGGACATGGCCAAGGAATTGGTCAAGGAGATGGGCAGAAGTGATTTTGCCGTCCGGCTGGGGCTGATCAATCCGGACAAGGGAGGGACGGAGAAGAAACAGACTGAGAAAGGCATGGGCCCTGGGCAGGAGGTGGTCACCATGTAGGTACCTAGGTAGGCAGCAGGAACTTCTTTTCATTGCAGCTTCGGGCTCCGGTGTCCTGCGACCCTTATCCCTCAATCTCAAACGTCGTCCTTACCCCCATCGCCGCCAGCTCAACGTCCAGATACCTCAGGACTCCCGGCACATTGACCACCGTCGTGTTATCACCGCCCACGAATTTTCTTCCCGCTCCATCCTCCCACACCGCGATCTTACTATCCTGGAACGTCGCGGGTCTCGCACAGGCCCGACACCTTACCATTCCGCTCGGCTCGACTCTGCCCCCTCTCCTTTTGATGGTGAACTGATTCGGCACCATCATGGTGCTCAAGAAACTGCCGCAACTCCGACACACCCAAGCCCGTTGCTTGTCGCTGCAGTCCATGAGTCGATCCTGCAGCAGATATGCACAACCGTGCGCAATCAATGAGTCACGCTCCATTTCTCCAACACGGATGCCACCGCCTTTAGCTCTTCCTTTGATGGGCTGCCCATGCAGAGCGTTTACCGGCCCGGTCGTGCGCACCTGGAACTTGTCGCTGACCATGTGCCTCAACCTTTGGTAGTAGACCACCCCAATGTAGATGTCAGCAGCGAACTCCTTGCCGGTGATGCCACTGTACATGGGCTCGTTGCCATAGAAGTTGTACCCGGCCTGTAGAAGCTGATCACCGAAATAATTGCCTGCGGTATTGTCCTCGTCAAAGGAGAAAGGCGTGCAATCTTGAGCGAGGCCGTGAAGAGCTCCGGATTTGCCAGCCAGAGACTCCACAAACATGCCAATGGTCATTCGAGACGGAAAAGCGTGTGGGTTGATGATGACGTCTGGTTGGATTCCAGACTCGCTGTAGGGCATATCCTCGCTCGGCCACAGCATCGAACACACACCTTTTTGTCCGTGCCTTGAAGAGAACTTGTCACCGATGATAGGTCGTCTGGGAATCCGGTATTTGATGCTAATCGCCTGACAAGGTTGATCTCCTGTCTCGGAGCCAATCAGTCGGATTTGATCAATGTAGGCTTCTTCGGCATCCTTGTATTTGAAGTACTTGGTATTTCCGTCCAAGTTCTTGAGCTTGCCTTCCGATGGATCGAACATGACACTGTGGTAGGCGAGAACGATCGACCCCTCGCCAACTTTTGTCCCAACGGCGGGCAGGCCATCAGAATCAAGCGCCTGAATCACCTCTTCGGAGATGTTCGGGTCGCCTTCAGCAAAGCCGAAAAGTGATTTGATCTCAGTCTTTGACCGAGCCGCCCTTGAATCTTCGTTGAGCTTGTAAACCTTGGTCTTGTAGATGACACCATCACCAAACCCTCGCTCATGAGAGGATTTGTTAATTATCATAGCGTCGTCCATATCGTAGCCGGTGTACGAGATGACCGCCACGACGGCGTTCATTCCGTTGGGGAAGTTGTCCAGGCCGTACTCGTTGTACAGCGGAGGTCTTACAACCGGCGTCTGCCCTGTCTGAAGCAGATATGCTTTGTTGTCGGTTCGACACATCATGTTTGAGGAAGGAGTTCCCATTGCTTGCTTGCTCATTTGACACTGGTACATGTTTCGAGGCGACTGGTTAAAATCTGAAAAGGGGGTCATATTGGCAAGGATTGATAGGACGTTTGTGGGCTTGAACTCGATGTGGGTGGTCAAACTGGGTATGATGTCCGCATCCACGCAAGCAATGTTCATGTATTGCTGCTCAAATGGTCCGACGTAGTCGAGCTTGTCTGCCGGAATGTACTTAACAGGTCGCAGCATCCGCGATGGATCAGTGAAGAGGTACAGGCCAGGATAGAGACCGCCATTCGAGGTGGGGACATAGCCTATTTCTAGTTCATTCGGGATGTTGTGCTCTCCATTCACCTTCCAATGTCGTAGAAGCTGGGCAATTTCCCTCGCCCTCTTTGCCGCGCAGTATCCCAAAATACGGCCTTCAAGTTGGACGGAAAGACTCTCACTAATAGTCATCGAAGGCGCGGAAGATAGTCCGAGCTGAAGAACTGCTTTCTCAATACCAGAAGTGTCAATCCGCTTAATTTGAACTTGGCACTGGTGGGCCAAGTGGTTCAAAAGGCCGCATGGAGCCCCGTCAGGAGTGTGAACGGGACAAAGAAATCCCCAGCTTTCTGGCAACAGCTTGCGTACAGTGGTCGTTTTCAACTGCGCGAAAAAGGCACCTCGATGTATACACCGGAAGTGGCTGATGAATCGGTAGAAATTGATTTTCTCGGCCATGATTGTAAAACCTGATGTCTGAGACAGATCGAGTCCAGTTTGACTGACCAGATTTCCCGTCGAGAGGAAGTATTCCAGTTTCCCTGCAATATTTTCGTTCGTCCTCCTGACGATTTTGGGGAGGAAGTCCGCTTCAAACGAGGGGTCTGTGAATTTGGCGTCGTTCTTAGCCCTGATCCAGTCCCGGGCTACAGCACCGATGCCAACCAGCCACTCGTATATGTTCTCCTTCAAGATCATACCGTACAAAAACCCTCCCAGCAGGACTTCTTGACTAGAGACCGCATCAGGATTGTCCAGAGCACAGTCGCCTGCAGCGAGTGCATAGAGCTTTCTGATCATGAACAGAATCAGCTGGAATTTGTCGTTGTTTTGGGAGGGTGTGACGTCGACGTTGCCGAGATGTGGCAGGACAATCTTCCTCAAAAACTCCTCGCCCACTTTCTCATCAGACATTGTGATAGGCTGCATTAGAACAGGTCTGAATTTCTCTCCGAGATATGCCAGTGTCTGCGTCCGTGTTTTGAGATTGTATGCTTTGTAAGTCCGCAGGAGAAGCTCCGTCCGGTCGGCGACAAACGAGCTAGGTGTTTTATTGGAGGCCGACGAGCCGATGATGCCTTCCGCAATCTCGCGGTCGTTCGTGTCCACCAGAGCTTTCAGGATCATGACCACCGGGACCAGGTATTCGCTTTTCCTCCACGAAAATCTAAAAGTGACGTTCCCATCTGTTAGGTAATGGAGGACGTTGGAATGCGAAGTCTGGTCTGGCCGCACGGACCGAATCTGGATTGCGAACTTCGAAAAGGTAGGGCCTCTCGCGGCAAAGGCAGACCTCGAGATGGCCATGGGGTAATTCCTCCTTGTCGCTATCAGCATGCGGATGAGCTTTTCGTTCCCATTGACGATAAAGTAGCCGCCCATCTCTTCAGACTCCTCCTTGTGGCGTACCATCTGTGCGGGCGAGAACTTCTCGAGGTGACATCTGTTGGACCGTAACATGATTGGCATCTGTCCGAGATCCCGTACGGACTCCTGCCAGTCGCCATTGTTTATTCTGTACTGCAGCCTCGCTCTTAATCTTCCTCTGTAGGTGGTGTGCCGCTCCCGACATTCGGAAGGGTATATGTTCCGGTCTTCAATGCTGAATTTGTTACTCGGAGGGAGGGTAGGTTTCTCTAGTATGACCTCCGTCACTCTCAGGTCAAGCTTGTTGCGTTGAATAGCTCGGCTCGGGTTTCGTAGATCGCCATCGACAACGGTGTAGATTCCGATGTCTTTGAGCCCGGCGTCGATGAGTTTCTCGTCCCACAGGGCGTTAAAGGACTCGATATGTGGTTTAACTGCGGCTTGAAGAGCCGGAAAGGCGCTGCGATCTTTCGGCGTGTTTCTGAAGAGCTTATGGCGGCGGACAGTGTCGTATTCTACCGACCATTTGGTGCTGGTCTGGGTTGTCGTCGTTGACATCGTGTCAAGCTTGTCATTGAACCACTAAAACTCGCTCATGCAGGGAGAATGTCGTACTGGTAGAAGCCAGGCTTAGACACAACAATCAAGCACTCTAACACCAGCGCTGGCCGCCCGCAAGAAATGACCGTGGGCTTCAAGTTTCGAAATGCAGCAGTAGAAAAAAGTTCTATGCGCAGGCTCCGCAGCCCTTATCGATAGCAGAGCCTCGCGCATTGTCAAACTAACCTAAAATATAATAGTCAGGTACGTCATTCCAGCCTCGTCAGAGGCTGAGATTTTCCATTGCTCCTTTCGGACCGCGAGCAGGAGGCTTGCCAGCAACATATCTTTTCTGGCTTATCGGCGCTCCTGTGATAGGCTCTGTCGATGTGAATACTTGTATACTGATCAACTCTATCTCGGCACCCAGTATCACGGAATTCTGCTACATTCTGACAATCTCAGCCTAACGGCCCCTTTGGAGTATTGGTCTTCCTTTTCATGAACGGTGAATGCATATACTCCTAAACCGATAGTCTCAAAAATATCGCAAGTGCTTGATATTAGAGCAACTAAACTTTTCGGACTCAGATCGCAATTATAGAATGATAAATGGAACATCCATATCACAACCAAGCATTCAAGCAACTCAGGGATCCCGCCACGGTCGATTAGCACCCCTCCCTGCCATCCCTGCGCTGCTCCGCTCCCATTGTGATTCCCATTCCAGCACAGAGGGCGCTCTCTCTCACTCACAAAAATCAGATTCCCAAGTCCTTGGAGGAGAGAACACCCCTCTTGAGCAGGCCGACCATCAATGGACCCGTGTCCCCGGTGAGCTCGATCCTCTTCAAGACGAAGCCGCCGTCTCCTTCCTTGACATAGTGAAAGCGATACGCGCCGGGGATGGCCAGGTCCCACTTCTTCCCCTCTCCGTCGGTCTTCTTCGCCTCCCCCTCGGTCGGCTCGCCTGGGAGGTTCCCCCAGAGCGTCGCCTTGCCGATCATCTCGTACCCGGGGTCGACCTCGTAGCAGTTCAGGTAGAACGCCTCGTGGCGCCAGTTGGGCAGCGGGCCGTACAGGGCTTTCATGGCCTCGAGGCCCTTGTCGCGGCCCTCGTACACGGTCCCGTCCGGCCCGACGTACGTGAAGTCGGGAGCGTACCATTTCGGATCAAACGACTTGGTGTCGTAGTCGTCGCGGAAGCGTTCCATGAATTCCATCACGGGGAGTTTGCGGGTCGTGCTGTCAAAGTCCCCGTAGTGGACGAAGGCGGGCTTGGTAGGGACGGACATGTTTGGACAACAGTTCCAGACACAAGGAGGTTCTGTCCAAGGTGAGCGCTGTGAGCAATGATGTCAGTCTGAAGATGGTTTGAGATTGTGCAGCAATAGCAGTTAATGCAACGAAAGGTACGAGGAGTTGGGAGAGAAACCTCTGGGATCATGTTCCCTCTTTTATCTCTTTTGTGAACGTTGGGCATCACAAGGTCAGTCCGTGTTCGACCTCTGGAATACGATCTGTCAAGCCGATGAGGCTGGCTCAGGCCGTGTCCTGCACACTGTCAACAGCCAGTAGGCAGGTCCAACTTGCTTTTGAAGGGTCTCTGTCTCTGTATTCTTGGTCCAGACGGCATATTGGACGACCAAGCCTTCCCTACCAACCAAGTCTGCTGGAAGACCTTCGATCATCGTATCCGGTCCGGCGAGGACAACCTTAGAGGCGGCTTCAAAAAGGAATACGAGGCGGGGGATTCGTATAAGTCCTCAGCTGATAAAATGCGCTGTCAGCATCGCCAACACTGCCGGGGATCGTTAGTGGCCAGCAGAGGCTCGAACCATGATATATTACCCTGCTTGAAGCCATGGCGAGACATACCAGCAGTGTTTGAACCCTGGTTAGCTACGTGGACGATCTCGTTGCCCGCCTTGTTTCATGCTCCGCCCCTCTACGCCGCGTCAACAGCTGCTTTTTGTCCACCAAGGATTGATGAAGAGAAGGGCAGAAGTACCAGGAAACACATGTGCCAGTGATATAAACCTGCTTTTAACATGCTATGTATTCACGAAAGAAGCTAGAGAAACAAAACACCATAGAAGGTCCCGCCGATTAGCCAGACCCATTGCGCTCCCAAAAATTGCTCTCGTAACCCTCTGGCGTTTCAATTTCCATACCATCCAAAAACCATCATCAAGTCTATGCTCCTTACAACCCTCATACACCAGTCAAGTACTTGACCAGCTGCTCCCGCTCGCTCGTGGGCACAAGGCTCAACACTTCACGCACTCCCTTCAACCCACCTTCTTTGTTACCCATCAGCAGCTCTGCAACCCGCTTGCTGACCGCTTCAGTCTTGACGGCATCAATCTTAGCATAGACCTCTTTCCTGTGGCTCTCATACCACTCAGCCACCTTGCGGTCGTCCTTCTCGAACTCAGCATCGAGCAGACCAGACCAGTTCTTCAAGGTGGCGAGGTTCAGCTCTCTTTGTGCCATACCGTTGGTGGTGGTGGTGGTGGTGGCGGTGGTGGTGACCGCGGTCGTGCCTGCAGCCAAGCTTGCGTTGAGCTTCTTAAGGAGGACCTCTTCAGACAATCTTCTTCGGAGACGCCAGTAGAAGAAGCGTCTGGCGTTCTTCCACTCTAGAGGCATCCGGATTGTACCCTTGGCCTGCATACGACCAGCACGGTCGTGCAGATCGGCGAATTGAAGGGCGATCTGCAGGTAGATAGGCCCAAGGAGTTGCTCACGTTCGGTCATCTTGGCCTTGATGGCGTTGAGCTGTTCAGCACTCAAGTTTTTGGCGAGTGACTGAGCCTTAAGCCCGGCGTATGTAGGGTCCAAGCGGGCCATGGTCTCCAGCTGTCTTTCTTTTCGGTACTTAATACCGACAATACCCTCAGGCTCCAAGACACCACCACGAGACTCAATGTCGGCGTACATCTCCATCTGTTCAGGGTTGATGGTAGGATCCACAACGACCTGTTAAAGATATTAGCATTCACAGACATAAATTGGGAATGGCTGGAAACTTACCCATGAACCACCACGAAGCTCACCGAAAGGCGGAATGTAGACAAAGACTGGCTGCTCGTATTTGACGAGTGCATCGACAATGTACGAACCATATTTGAGCACCTCGTTGTACATGTCGCGCTGACCGCCGGAGAAACCACGCCAGTTGGCGAGGATCATGCAAGGGAGTTGCTCTCCGAAGTTGAAGTCTCTCAAGGCCTGTGCGGTCTTGAAGGCGGAGTTGGGGAACCACACACCACCGGCCTCTTGCACAATTTGCTCCATAGAGTCAGCATTGGCAGGGTCAGCAGGGGTGACGTTCTCGACGGTGCGCGTCTCAACTGCGATAACACCCATGGGGATGCCACCAAGGCGAGCGCGACCAACGACCACAGTTCTGGCCCATCCACCAAGGGCTTCCTGGAAGGAATCCTTGTCAAAGAGACCAGACAGGAAACCTTCTTCATCGTCCTTGCCAGCAAGCAGGTTTCTCACATCGTAAGGTCCTCTTGGTGGATAGAAGGTGATGTCGCGATCCCAGGGGTCTGAAGGCGGGCTCACTGGGACCGGTTGACCCTTCTTGTCAGGGACAAAGGACAGCCATTCCACGATCTTTTCGACACCCTGGAAGTCGTCACTGGCAGTCATGTGGGAGACACCGTTCTTGTACATGATTTGGGTGCCACCGAGCTGCAAGTTCGACGTGTAGACTTCCTTGCCCAGCACTTTGTTCAAGGCAGGTGCACCAGTCAGAATAATCGGTTGACCTTCGATCTGGATAGCACGCTGTCCAAGACGGACAAGGTAAGCACCAATACCAACGGATCGGCAAGTGACAAGAGTCAAGGTAAAGATATCCTCATAGGCCCTGGAGGTAGCGCCGGCGATGAGACCAGAGCCACGCAAGCATTCCACGCCCAGTCCGTCCTTGGCGCCAACAATGGTCGTGATCTTGTGTCGCTCCTCGCCGTCCTCGACAACCTTTTCGGTGATGATATCAGTCTTGCTCAGCAATTCTCTCTTCTCAGGAGTCAGATAGAGATACTTGAAGCCGGAGCTTGGGTTCGACTCGTCGTTCCATGCAACAGAGAAGTGAGGAATGAGTTCCTCGGCCATGCCAATGCGAGCACCAGAGTTGGCAGAAAGATAGATGCGAGGAATACCCAGTTTTCGAGCATACTCTGTGCATTTGTTGAAGAACCTGTCCTCAACAGGGCCGAAGGAGCCGATTTGGTAGGTGATATCGTTGGCAATGATGATGAATTTTCTGCCTCTTGGATATTCCGGAGTTTTGGCCGTCAAAATCCAGGCGACCATACCGCATGTGTTGGTACCCGGTTCACGGGACACCTCAGTGACATTGTCGCCATCGTCGAGGATCAGCTCGTTGTACTCAAGACACGTGCCCATCTCTGGTTTCGATTCAGCAAGCGGAGCATGCTTCGCCACCGCCTTATTCCAGCTGTTGTAGATGGCCTGTCTGAAGAGCTCGGGGAAATCGTATACATATTGAGTGCCCATGATGTGAGCCTTGTAACGTTTGGGCTGCAGCCACTCCTTGGTTGGGTAAGGAGTCGAGACAGGACGAAGATGCATTGACCCAATCTTGGTAGTGCCACCAATGCTCTCGAACACCCATTCGCCATTGCGCGCCTTCTTTTCGACGTATGTCTCGACTTTGACGACATATCCAGAGGTGTTGGTGATGATGACCCGCAGAGGATATGGCAATCCACTATCGGGGTCAGTGCAAAGGATTCTGATCTCAGCACCAGTAACCCGGAGTCGGAGGAATCTGCGGGAGAAGCGCTCCAAGAAGCCGGCAATTTGCTCCTCCACATCTCGGGGTTGCAAGTTGAATACGGGAGTGAAGTTGATGAAGATGTGGTTCAAATCAGAGTTGTTGTTGCCGATGATCTCGAGAGCGTCGCAGATGTCGTTGACCAGTCGATCAGTCTCCGAGATTAGGTACTCAGCAGTAGGAATCTCATCCTTCAAACGACCCGGTCGGACCACAGCACGAGTGAAGTAGCGCTTGTCAACAACCTTGTCCCTGTCGTCACCCTTGCCAATAGCCTCGTAAATATGGATATTTCTATTTTCTGTGAATACTGGCTTGATCTTGAACTTCGACAATCTTCCGAGTTCAAGCTGGAAGGCAAGAGCAGGTTCATTGTGACGAATGCTGACATCTTCGTCGTATGTAGGGCCACGGAAGGTGAAGTACCCAGGATAGGTGCCTTCTTTATGGCCACAGATGAAGGTAAGACGACGGACCCTTCGGGCCAACAGTTCTGCTTTGTACTCGTCGATCAAGCTTTGCGCACGATTTAGAATCTCCTCGTCACTCAGATTTTCGATGTCGCGAATGGCGATGTTGCAAACGTTTGTCAGCTCGTCTTCAATGCTCTCCGGTTTTTGTGGCCTTCTCTGGCTATCGAGCGTCGGCATCAGATGCTGTGTGGTGCTAGGACGCTTCTCTGGGCCTCCTTTAGGGAACGCCTCAAGGGCGCGAGCAAGACACTCATCAACTTCGTCGAGATAGTGGCAGGGAGCAATGACACCCTTACGGGAAGGCTCGTCATCTCCTTGAAGCTTGTTGAGGTATGACAAGTCGCTGACGGATGTAATGCGCTTGAACTGGTTGCCGTTTTGTGAAGGAGTTGCCTGTCCAGATGGGTACGAAGATGCAAGCGGCAGCCCAAACTCTGATTGTCCCACTTTGCGAAGTACAAAGTCCCATGAGAGGAAGAATGGTGGCTCAACATCATTGTGATATTCAACTTCCTTGACAGTGTAGGCACGGTAGGCGCGTCGCACGTACACTTCAAGGGCAGCAAGACCAACCCATGGGTCGTGATGAGCGAAGAAGAGGGGCAACACATCAAAGACAGTGTAGCGAGAGTCCACCACTTCTCTCAAAACGTCAAGATCTGGCTCGCGATGCTCCCAGCCGGTCTCTCCGTACTTCGATTCAACCACGGAAGATTTGAGGATGTGCTCCATCTGAGATGCTCTCTCCTCAAGAGAAGGTAGGGCGCAGAGAATGAGCAGCTCACGAGCCTTGAGGGCAACCTTGGCTGTTGCCCGTGATTCGAGCTCAGTAAGTCGGCGCAAGGCTGGTCGGAAGTATTTGCCGACGTTGCCAACGTTCGGTTGGTTAGGTCTATACATATCCAAGATGGCGACGATCAAGTTGTTCTTGGCAGAAACACGGGTGTGGGACAAGACAGTCCAAACTACCGAGAGGAGGTCATCTTTGTTCTGCTCCCGAAGCTTCAAGATCACGTCTTCATCCCGGGCGGTGCCAGAAGCGAAGAGTTTCTCAACTTGGTAGTACTGGTCGAGAAGTCCAATGAAGACGTTGTATTCGTGAGTCTTCAGACCATCAGAATATCTGGCGCAAACATCTTCAAGCGGCTGCAAAGTGGCGTGAAGCGCGGCTCCGTCGCTTGCGGACATATTTTCCTCAATGTAGCGGTTGATGGCCTTTTGAAGTTGCTTCGCTGGGAACTCGGCCTGGCGCGAATGTGCTCGCTCAACAAGTTGCTCAAGTTGAGCATCAAGCTTCTGCGGAGTTCTCGAGTGCAGGGCAGATGATCGAGCAGCCCATTCGCCATACGGCAACTCTGGGTCCCTCAGAACTTGCACCAACTCCTTGAGTGTGGAGGCCATGATGACCTGGTTGTCGAAACCCATGAGGATATTTTGGAGGACTCCATGGAGAAGGGCGAATCGTTGAGGAGGCTTATTTCCGACGACCTGAGGGGGTCCAAGGTTTGGCAATTGACCAGTGAATGTCTCCGCAGTCTTGACCCGGGAGGGATCATCCAAAGCCAATATACCCAGGATATCACCACCTTCCAGAGTAGCACCTGGTTGCTTGATGAATTGCACAACACCGTCCTCCTGAGCAATCAGAGGCATGTACATCTTCATGACTTCAACCTCTGCATATGCCTGGCCAGCCCTGACATGTGCACCATTTTCGACGGTGAATTTCACGAGCTTTCCGGGTGAAGGAGTTCGTAGCTGAGTGGGGTCGTTCTCTTGTTCCAGCAAGCAAGTCTTGCTGTCAACACTGAGACGAATGGCGGTAGGTTCTTCTTTCCAGTACAAACTGTGAGATCGACCGGCAACCAGCATGAGCAGGCCACCATCTGCAAGAGAGCGGATGCCAACAGAGCACTTTGACCCGTTGATGAAAACGTGATAGCTGTCGAGACTGGATCTTGTGACAGTGAATTTGTAGCGATGGCCCTCGTAGATGAAATCAACGGGGAAGACCGTCTTGAGGACGTCTTTAGCGGGCACTTGACCCTTCTCGAGTCCCTTGCGATACTCAGAAATGCATGATTCGCTAGCAATGTGAGCTTTGGTCACGGCACCGGCAAGGACGGCCAGCATTTGATCAGGCCGCTCTGCTGTCAACTTGTTGGAGATGAGTTGGTCGAGCCATCCAGTGGTGATTGTGTTGTCCTCGAAAGCTGGAGTCTCCAGCAGCTTGATGAGGTATTCGATGGTAGTCCTGAAGTCTCCACGGATACTCAATTCCTTCAGAGCGACAACCATGTGCTTTCGAGAAGCAGATCGGTTCTCACCGTAGGCGAAGATATGACCAAATTGGCTGTCAGAGAAACTGTGAATGCTGGAGTTCGAGGAGACGGAGAAATAACCCCAGACATTTGAGCTCGAACGGAAGTTGAGGTCGTGCATCGTACCGCTCGAGGGTTTGAAACCCTCACCCGGATCTTCTGAGGTGATACGGCAGGCCGTGCAGTGACCCTTGGGACGAGGTCGTCGCTGGGTCTTCAAGCTGGCTTCGTTCTTGAAATGGAAATCAATTTCTGTTGCAGTGTGAGGGTCGACTCCGTACAACAAGCGAATGTCACGGATGCGATGAAGCGGGAGACCCATAGCAACCTGCAGCTGAGCAGCGGGCAAGTTGACACCGCTGACCATTTCAGTGGTGGGATGCTCGACTTGAAGACGGGGATTCAGTTCCAGGAAGTAGAATTTGTCGTCTGCGTGGGAATATAGGTATTCCACCGTACCGGCAGAGACGTAGCCGACCAACTCACCGAGACGGACGGCGGCGGCCTCCATATTACGGAAGGTGTCTTGACTGGCTATTGTGACGGGAGCCTCTTCAATGATCTTCTGGTGTCGTCGCTGGACGGAGCAATCTCTGCCGAAGATTGAGATGTTGTTGCCATACTGGTCAGCCAGTAGCTGCACTTCCAAGTGTCGGGCGTTTCCTGCCAGCTTCATGATGAAGATAGGAGATCCGGGAATTTCATTTGCAGCGGCGTTGTAGAGCTCCACGAAATGAGACTCGTCTTCGACTTTTCGGATACCTTTGCCACCACCACCTTCGGATGCTTTGACCATCACAGGGAAGCCAATTTTTCGTGCGGCCTCCAGACCTTCTTCTGCAGAATTTACGCAGCCTTTCTCGTAGACATCGTCTTTCACGGTCACGATGCCGTCACTGTCGATTTCTACCTCGTCGACGCCCTCTCCTGACCAGGGAATACAGGGCACTTTTGCGTGCTGTGCGACGATTGTGGAGGAGATTTTGTCACCCAGAGATCGCATTGCTGAACCCGGAGGACCAATAAACACGATTTTCTTGGGCGAGGCCGCCAGAGATTCGGGCAATTTGGGGTTTTCTGAGGCGTGACCCCAGCCCGCCCAGACTGCGTGGACGTTCATCCGCTCGGCGATATCGACAATCAGCTCGACGTTGGCGTAATTGTTGTTATTTGTGCCTCCGGGCACCTGTAGTCAAACGTGTCAGCGCTGCTCCTCTTTTTCTTGCTCCATATCCCTCGTGTCTCACGTACCTCGACGTATCGATCGGCCATACGAATGTAGTCTGCGTTCGCCTGCAGATCTTCTGGCGTGGCCATCACAGTGAACTGGATGGCCCGCTCGTCGCCGAACACCTCGTAGGCCCATTTCCGTACAGAGCGGATCTCTTTAACTGCTGCGATACCGTTGTTTGCAATGAGCACCTAAATTTCATTCATGTTAGCTTGCGGCTGCGCACGGACACACAAATGTCTCTCTTTTGGAATTCCACTTACTGAGGTAATGACGGTGTGACCGTCGTGCTCTTGAACAAAGTCCTTGACCTTGCTTGGGGGAGCATTCCCCAGTCTGTTGCCTCCAATGAAGTGATCTGCCACATTGTGCTTTGCTTGCCACGAGCTGGGCGTGCCGTTGGCAAGGGGCTTGGTGCCATTGACACCGTTGACGGCGGGAGCCATGATGGGTGCAGGAGAAAGATCTATCTCATGCAATTGAGACAACACTTGCAAGAAGATTGATCACGGTCGAGAAAGGAGGCGAAAGAGGCGACCGTGGTAGGGCTCTGAGGGCCGAAAAAAGGAGACCGGGATTACGCCAATATTACCGATGTCCCAAAATGGAGTGCCCAAAGTCTATACTGCCGCAGGTGAGGGTAAGGAGTGAAAAGGTCGGGAGGTTTGAGAAGAGGTTGAGGAAAGCGTTGTCGGCGAAAGGAGGGAGGAGAGAAGAAATAGAAGTCAGCGATGGGGAGAAGAGGAGGGAAACTGTAGTGCAGTGTGTGGGAGAGACGACACGAAGGCGCAGGGTATATTAGAGTAACGACGTTGATGAGATGTGTCCCTGACGCTGTTTTGGGCGTGTTGGATGTAGCGGCTTCTGCACAACGGGGTTTAGCTGGATCTCTAGGCGGGCCGCAGCCAAACAGCGACTTAAGCTCCTCTACCTGGAGGGACCCTATTTTGCTCCGGGCCATCAGTGTTGGGAGTCGAGCAGCCACCACAGATGAATCGCCGAGCAGGGCCAACCGGAAATCTCTGGGGGGTGATTGGGCGCAGGGGCAGCTTAGGCTCGCCACTACCGTCGATCTATTCGCTGAGGCGCCCCCGGCAGGGCTACCAGGCCTATTCGGCGGCCCACACCAGCTCTTCCCGCTTGATTGTCCCGCCAGTCAAACCCGAAACCCACTCCCCATCCCCATCCCCCCAAGTCCAACAGAAATTTTTTCGGTGCTGGCGGTGCTGGGCCTCTGCGAGAAATCTGTCGACGCTCTTTGTTGAGCCCGGGCAAATGACGTCGGGACGTTGCCATCAGAACCCATGCCCCTTGCAAATACCCCGAGGTCACTCGCCGTAGTCCTAATGCATCGCGTGTCCCCAAAGATCCGTCCGGGCGGATGGAAACCCAAGGCCTACAAGCATCCAACAAAAAATTCCCTGGTTGCCGTAGACCAGAAAGGGGGCACAACGAACATCATGGCCCAAGTAGTACGAGTAGTCGCACAGATGGATGGGTCTTGGTCGTATATCGTATCTAAATCTGTCTCTCCCGCAACAATAATTGAGTGATTTTGTGGCGACTATCGCGACGCTTGTGTATCTCTCTCTTATCATTTCTCAGCCTCAGCTGGAGCCCCAAGATGACTGAATAACCATGTAGCAAGACATCCAGGGGGAAGGCCTGATCCCGAGATCCAATGGTGTGTGTGCCGCATCGAGGGCGGACTCCGCCCCAGTCAACCATACAATTTCGGAGTCCGTTTTTGGTGCATTCTTCGCCCATTCCACGAACCCACCGACGCCCGAAGCTCATTCGCCCTCGTCCTGTATATACTGCTCCTACTCCTTCCGTTTCTCTCGTGGCAGACACGCGGGTGTACGGGGGTCAGGCCAAGGGGGACAGTGTCCCGGTCGGAGAGCGAAGGGGACTGGGGAGGAGCAACATCGCCGAGAAAGGACCGCTTTGGCGTTGGCTCCAACACGTGGAGATGAGGTTCATGGCAACAAGGTTGCGACACTCGTCGATCTGAGGGCTGCAAATTGGCCCCCGACAAAAGCATGCTGAATTATTGCATGGCGAAGGTGCGATGGTGCAGAAATCAGATTGGGATCTAAATTTGGCGTTGGGCCCCCAGCAGAATTGCAGCACTTCCCCATCTGCGGTATCGCCTCGGATCCAGTCCGGCTAGCGCAAGATCAATCTGGCGTGCTGTGGAGTCGATCGAGCCAGAAATTTCGTCGAGAATCGTGGTTTCTATAGCCCATCGACATGCTGCTCGCGAAAAAGGGGCGACGATCTCTCCCTCACGATGGCTCTTGATACAGCCTCCTATCTTAGGGAGAAAAGGGTCGACGCAACTGTTGCCCTGGGCAGGTTCAGGGGGTCAACTCCAAAGAGAAGGAATACGAACTCCTGTTGATAGCCGACATGTACCCGAAATCGCAGGGGTGAGAAGGAGGGGAAGGGGGTAACTGAGGCATGCCGTTGTGAGACGACAAGTTTATTGACACTCGGGACATGACCGTCCATGAGTGAGATGATAGACTCTAACTTACCGCTGCATCGGACAGGAGTGTCTGGTACCAGGAGGTGATACAGAAAAAGAGCCGCAAAACGCCACCAAAAAAAGGGGCGTTTCCGTAGGGACAGCCACAGCAACTGTCGAGGGCTTCATGCGAGGAGCTCAACCGTCGGATGCAGGCAAGCATCAAGAGAACCCGAAATCGGGGATTCATCTCAAAATCTCAAAATCTGGGGCGTTTGTGTATATCCGTCCTCTGAAACTCACGGTGTACATACAAGTACTTGTAGGTAAAGAGGGTGAAGGGATCTGGCATTGCAAACAAAAGCCTTATCACGTGTTCATGTCATGTGACCGATCCGAACCACCATCGCGAGGCTGAGTCGATTTCAGGGGCTCACTATCGGCGCAAATCCGAGACGAGCAGACTGAACAGAGACGAAGTCAGCACACATAACCAGCACCGAAGAGAAGTTGAAAGACTGAAGATCTTGCTCAGAATCAAGGCGATGCTCGGTTTTTCTGCATAGCGATCATAATCGATTATAACAAACAGATTCCACCCGCAATGAAAATGCCACCAAGAGCACAGCAACACTTCAGACTGTGCTGCGGGCATGCGGTGTAGCTCTCCCCGCCAGACTGCCTTTGTGCCCAACAACTCAACCATTCAGACTGCGCATGGAGTCTGATTATATCCCATGAGTTGGCGTTCAACGAGGCATTACTGGGTGTGGTGGTGAACCAGAGACGTAGGAAGCAGATGTATGGGCCATCTGCAAGCCTCGGATACAGGCCCTTCAAGATTGGTGAAACCTGAAACCATCTGCACAAGGGTCGAAATACTGCGCACCAGCTGTACCATACCAGTATGAGAGAAAAACGAACGTGTCGTAACAATTAGTGTACAGCGGTGCCAGTAGTGGATGAATCCAGCGCACCGAGCGATTCACAGCCATATAAGCGGAGGCCGAGTGCAACACATGGTTGCTCTGGACTGACTTGAGTAGAGAACCACATATCGATATGGCAATTATATTGTGGACGGAGAGCGAAGCCATTAACTTTTCCAGGGCGATGGGACCGGCGGACGGATACACGATATCAAGTGGCCAATAGCCCAGCGGACGAACAAACCAACTGGTCCACGATGATATGAGCGGGCGGCGACTCCTCACTCGTCTAGAGCGATGGCAGTAGAGGACGAATTCCTCATATCCGTCACTGATGGCGATGAGGAAAGAGGACGAATGCGATTCATCACAGGTCCGTCGCTCGCTGGCGGACGACCGTGTTAATACGTCCATACCCGATACACGAGGAGGACAAATTCACCACAGAAGTCCCCATGACGATGGGGCTGGAGGACGAAGGCAGTGTATCAGTCGGTGCGTTCCCTCGCTGGCGGACGAACGCGATAAGTCGTCCTGGGCGATGCCAGCGGAGGACGAATACAACAGATCGGTGGTCAAATGGTCAATAGTGCATGTGCAGAGCGGTCGTTCGTCTGCATGTAAAACAAGAACTCACCATGGCACCGAATGGCCCGTCAACGGCCGCTCTAAATATGCCAGCCCTTTTATAGCTGGAAGCAGCGCACGATCATGGCCGCAACGGCGTAGCGATGGCTGCACGAGACGATGGAACTGGACGCCGACACGACTCACAAGCTCACAGGAAATTGCGACTCACGATGCACTCAGCGCACGAGAAACAGACGACAGACGCTTCTGGATATGGTTCAATCTTGCATTGTTCACTTTTCAACAAAACAAGAAAAAAAAAGAACTTGGACACGTCGAGGCCCTTGCCTCCCTCCCTCCCTCCCCCCCTCCATCCATGCCGCCTTCCTTGTCGCCGTCCCTTCCTCCTCCCTTCCCCTTCCTCCCGCTTTCCAGCCACCAGCACCCAGAACCCGCACAAGCCCCCCACCCCCGCCCGTTCCACCGCCTACTCGCCCTCCCAGACCACCATGCCCGGCTCGATGGTGGACATGGCAGCCAGAAGATGGACGCGAACGTCCTTCTTCTGGCCTGGTCGCCATGAACGCCCGATCGCCTGGGCCATAGTGGCCTTCCGCTCCTCCTCGCCCGCCACAAAGGGCGCCAGGAAGACGACATGGTTGGCGACCTGGAGGTTCCAACCGGCAGCGTCAGGGCTGTCGACCTTGAGAACAAGGACGCCAGGCTGATTCTGCTGCCGGAAGGTCTCCACGGCCGTCCGCGCCGAAGCGCCCTGGTAGCCATCGTGGCAGACAATGTCCGCCGCGCGGCACGCCTTGATAAAAGCGTTCTTCATGCCCTCCCACTGGGCAAAAACCAGGACCGAGTCCCCTTCTTGGGTGGCCGTCTTGATGATGGCCACGGCGAGCCGCATTCTGGCTCCCGCCACCGAGCCGGGAGCCCCTGAGGTTGCGCAGAGTTCAAATTGGTCGACTGGAATGACGTCTCCAGCCGCCCGGAACTCACAGCACTCCTTCGAGAGGCACAGTTCGCACAGGAGGTGGCCGCATTGAGTTGCGACCGAAAGCCCTGCCTTGTGTAACGGCATCTCGCCGCATGCCGAACATTCGCCCGAAGGCGAAGTGCTCTCGAAGGCGCCCACAACGACACCCAGGAAACGCAGTCGACGGAGTCCTCGCAGGAGAACCTCCAGGTGGCTCTCCACCCTGGCCATCCGCAAATCGACTTCTTTGACGCCAACGGTGGCGTCTTTGACTTCATCCAGATCGAATGAGGTCTCGCCGCCGCCGGCCTTTGACAGGAGAAGACTCGGCTGCAGTGGGTTCTCCTGCGAGTAGTCGAGGAGGAGCTTCACAATCTCAACGGCCGCGGTGTCGGCCAAGTTGCCATTGGCGGCGTTCTGCGTGAAACTGGCAAAACTTGCCGCCGACGATTCTGACACCTCGTTCTTGAGAAAGGAGAGTTCTCGTAGGACTTGCAAGAGTCGTCGAGTTCTGTGCAGGACAAACTCGTTTTGTTCGTTGACCAGACTGGTCAATCTCTGCACCTCGACTTCGACAAGGGTTTCCAACACCTCTTCGTCACTCTGGCCTTTTGCTTTGGCTGTTTCACTTCGGACGTTTTCTAGCATCAAACTCGAGCACAATTGAGCTTCAAGTGGCCCGCTCGTTCGTTCGACCAAGTTCGTCAGCGTCTGGACAAATTCGGGTTCTTCCAGATCTTCTGTGGGATTGATTTTTGCGGTCTTTTTGTTAAAGGTTCGATCTGGGTCCATTGCCAGTTGCTTGACGTCCGAATGCGTGATTGACTCGGAAGGAGTGAGCTGGAATTCGTAGAGGCTTCTGTGTCTAATAAGACCCTTTTTCGAAATCTCGTTCTTCCGAATGAATTTTGCCGAAAACTCTTTTGCAAGTCCATACACGTGACTCTTGTATGCTGGGGAAGCGATGTCCTGATATGAATGAAATTCTTGTGCGTCGGACTTGTCTCTGATCATTCTTGATCGATCTCTTCCAAATTCAAATTTCCCTTCCTTCTCATCATAAGCCGCAATCCGCGTACCCAACAGTTTTGCCATAGTATTGACATTGTCATAATCGTGGATCGGCGGTGTTCCAGAAAGCAGCCATCTCGCAGATGCATCAAGTTGTAGAAGCGACAGCAGTGTCTCGCCGTGGATATAGGTAAATTCATCCACAATAAGTCTTCGGAATGCGAACATGTGCAGGAGGACAGGTATTTTTTCATCCTTTTCAAAGTCATCCAGTTCCTTACTGAGGACTTCTTCAGCTGTGATCACAGGTTCTTTGGCGGCAGTCTTTGCAACACCCTTTCGACGCTGTTTTGAAGGAACTTGTTTCTTCTCCTGATCCTGGTCTTCTGATCCTGCGTCGGTCTCATCAATGTTGTTGGTATCGGGTTCTGACCGAGATTGGGGATTCTTGGATGTGGGTGCATTGTGCTGAGGCTTGCTTGAGCCTTCTTCAGATGCATCATCATCATCGTCCTTAGTGCTTTCTGCTGCCCTCTTTTTCTTGGCTTCACGCTCTGCTTTGATGACGGCTTTGTTGCTTGCTCGCGTCACATATCCTTGAAATCGCTCATATTTCGCTCCGGCCGTTGTTTTCGATCTAACTTCAGCCCATTTGGTCCAGAATTCAGATTTGCCCTCTTTCAATCCTTCGACACACGAACCCAGATTCGACAGAGCTACGCTCAACCATTCTTGAAAAGCCCGACCAGGGTCATCTGGAACGCAAGGAGAGCAAGCGATCTTGCGCAAATGCGTCAAGTAAGTTGTCTCGTGGAACATGTCCCATGGAGCCAAGACAAGTCGTGCCGAGCGGATTTGATCGTGAGAATACCGCTGTAGTTGTGCTGTTGTCTCGGCGACAATGTAATAAGGACCTTTTACTGGGCGTGAGCGACGGATATCCAGCTTTTCCCATTTTAGAGTCTCGGCGATCTCAGATGCCCACTGCTTGACAATATTTTTAGGTACCAGTATCAGAGTGGCGTCGGACTGGAATTTGGTCGATTGAGAGTCAGTTTTGAATGCTGTCGCAGACCGTTCATAGTCTAGATCTACCAAGGCGAGAGAGGTGGTGGTCTTTCCTGCCCCTACCTCATCGGCGATAATGCCACCCCGAACTTGCGAATTTGGTAGGCGAGCTTTCGTTTCTAGTCTCCATCCCAGTGCAGGCAGGCAAGACTCGACCAATGACGTCTCATTCCATTGCGGCGGGCTGTTTTCTTGTGCAAACATCCAAGCAAGGGCGCGAGATTGCGTAGGCCACAGTTGGCGCTTGAGGCGTAAGTCAATGTCTATCTGCGGGTCTACTTGGTCTTGCTCGTTGGACAGAAGCTGTGGAGTGGTAAACTCTTGGGGAGGTGCAAAGCGGTCATATGAATCTATCCGCCATTCCAGAGATTCGAGAACAGGGATGGTCTGGTCGGGATGCAATAGCTGTGTGACTGCGCGGTGGGCTAGTGTCTTGACGTTGACCACTATGTTCAGCATCGTTTTGTCGTCGAGCTTTTGCAAGAGTGCGATTGCAGGCTTGGGTCTCATTTTCAGAAGGCGCTCATACTTCGCCGCTTCCAGTGGACTCTCAATGGCGCTTACTCTTTCGTTGGCTTTGTCACCTTTTAGAATCCATCTGAGCGAGGGTGCCGGAGGGTAACATTCCGTGCACGTAGCAATCTCGAGGTCGTTGATGGGTTGCCAACCCTGGCTTAGTTGAGGGATGTTGGCCGCGTGTGATAGGATCCATCCAAATTCGCTCAATGCTTCAGGTTCCCGTTCCAGATCAATGCAGAGGTCTCGGCGACACCGTAGTCTTTGTACGGCATTCACATCAAAGCTCAAGTCCAGGAGCAAAACTGTCGAGTGGCTCTGTGCACAGTCCTTGGGAGATATGGGACTCATGCTTGGAGTCTGACCCCACCTATGAATCGTGTTTTCGTCATCTGGTATCTCGAGAATCTGTCCTTGAGAGTCTGACCATTGACTCGTGACCTCACAGTCGATTTCCATACCCCTGGCCAGTTCTGCTGTAGCAACAGGTCTCCAAGAAGCGTCGAGGCTTGCCAGGACGGCTTTGTCGTCGTTTAGGTCTCGTCGACATGCTTGAGTTGAGAACACAACACGATCAAGGCTCGGATCGTTCAGAGGGCCGGACTTCAGGAACAGAAAAGTTGGTGCTTGAGAAGATGACTGGGCCACTCTTCGGTGCAAAGTGCCACTGGGCGCGGGACAATTCTGGAGCAGCTTGTATTCCCCAACGACTTCATCAAATACTGATGATTGTTGCACTTGGAAACCACTTGGAGGATTGACTTCGAGAGTTGAGAAAGCGTTCAACAACGCAAACGGTTTGGCTTCGATGCCTAGTTTCTGCTCCCATGACTTGACTTGGCCGCCTTTGCCTATGACATGAAGTTTGAAGTCTTTCGAATGTCCGTCCCAATATTCCCAGACGCCTTCAAAGAGGTTTGTACCAGGTTGCATTCTGGCCACAGGATGACGAAACAAATCTCGCATCGCGCTATTTGCTGGCTCATTTGCTGGAGCTTTGGCGAACAGCAGCCACTTGGGGGTCGCGTCCAGATGGAGTTGTGGTTTATCTGATTGCACATGGTCTGAACATGGGTCACGAAGATAGCGCTTCTGGACAAATTCGAGCTCTAGGCGGCAACTCGTCGACTCATACACAACCTTCCAAGAGCTTTCAAATTTGATCTCCTGAAATTGCACCTGGCTTTCAAGGGCTTCCAAGACTTGCTCCCTGGCTGATTTGAAGATGTCATCGTTGAAGAGTTGTGTCGAGCTGTGCGGGCGTCGGTTTTGTAGGACTGGGGGGAGTAGGCTCGTCAAATAGCTTACAAATGTGTTCGCAAGCGGACGGTCTTCTTGTGGGCTCGTCAGGTGGCTCAGTTTCTGGTGCCCATGCGCGTCTCTGTTACAGCCTTTGCAGCATGTGTAATAGCACTCTGGACAAAATAATAGCTCGTGTCTGGTGCGTCGATTGAGTCCCTCGCAAAGACACAGCGGCTGGAGGTCCACAGCGAGACGGACGATCTCTCCCAGAGACTGTGCACTGTGAGCACTGGTCCACTTTTCGACAATATCTTCCAGGTTTTGCTTCTCGATCTCCGCTTTCAAGGTCTTCCCAGCGAGAACTTCTGGAGAAGAGTCGCGTGGTGTATTGGTATTGTCCGTTGTCTGGTCAATGTAGGCCGGGAAAATGCTGGAATTGTTTCCGGAAGTTTTATGGCAGGCAATAAGAGCACTCAGTATTGCTGCGCCAATTACTGTGGTCGACATTGCATTTCCAGCCAGATCCTGAAGCTGCCTTGAGGTGTGCTTCCCGAGGTCTAGTTCTCTGATTGGGAATCCTTGCAATGAGAGTATCTCGAGCCCAGACAACGGAGCACCTCGTCGAGTGTCAAACAGACAGCCACTAGGCGTGATACATCCAACGATGCCCCACTGGCGACGATCTGTGTCGCGGTCGATGTTTTGGGAGACATTGATATTTCTGTGTTTGTATCGCATATCGAAGTCTCGCCGAACAACATTGTGCAGCTGATGGATATCAAGAACATCAAGAACTCTCTTGCTTTGACCAAGTGCCCACCTCTGGTCGGCGTAATCATCAAGTTTTGGTTCCGTATGTCCACGGCGCTTGGTGAATGGTGTACCAATTCCCAGCCCATCTTTCACGCGAGCAGCCACATGCCGCTTGCGACAGTTGACCCAGTCAGTCGAGCCTCCTCTTGATTTGCTCTCGTCGCCAGTGAGCTTGGTAAGCAGTAGACGTGGATCGTCGTCGCTGAAGATGAAGTCGCAATATGGCGATGAAGCACGGCGTTGGAAACGGGCCATCAGCATGATCCATTCCTTGTGAGCTTCCTCGATATCGAATCCCATTTCCTGGGCTCGCTCTTTGTGTATGCCGAGCAGATATCCTCGGTTCCTGGTTTGCGGAAGGTAGTAATCCAGGGAGTCGAGCTTCAACGCCACAGATTCGTACCCTTTCTTACGCCAAAAGATTTTGATCTCCTCCCAGGGAGCCCCTTCGACATTCTCAATTATGAGGATGGTTGGCTTGTACATCTTGGCATATGCACCAATGCCGTCAAGGGTCCTTGCAGACTCTCCTTCGCCGCGTTGCCCTTTCCACTCTCCTTTGGCGTTGTTCAAAGCGGAGTAGTCGACGCAAGATGAGCCGGCGATCAGGATGTGGACATCGGCGGGAGGTTTGTAGCGTGCTCCATAGGCGGTGACTGGCAGGTGATCTTCACTGTCTGGGTTTTGTGAATGTGGGCCGAACTCCGTGACGTCGCGGAAGATCACAGGCGGACTAAAGTTTCTCTCGATGAACGCTTGCTTGAAAGGCTCGATCTCGGCACTGCCGAGATGCTGATACTTGAATCTTTCGCCGTCCCCTCGCGATGTCAAAGACTTTCGGACAAGGTCCATAGCGACAAATGGGCTCTCTGTGCCGGAGCACATCGTGAGTACTCTGACGCCGCCATCCCCGAAAGGTTTGCATGCCTCGAGCAGACCCTCGCCAACAGCTTGTTCGGTTATAAGGTCGAAAATGCGGTGAATATCCGACAGAGGAGGGGCCGTGGCGTCAAGACAATTTTGTCCACTGGTTGTGTGCTCCCTTGGTTGAGTGTCGGGCATGTCATCTTTCTTCGCTCCATCGCTGTTTGCTGCTTGTTCTTCGGCTGGCAGCGAATCTCGACCGGCTGGGTCACGTTGGAGAGCTTGTACAACAGGAGAATTCTTTGACTTTTCAACATCATCGGGAATGCAGGCGCGTCGAAGTAGCTCAAGTTCGTTCTGACCCGGCTTTGGCTTTTCTCCCTTATCAGCACTTTGTGCAGTTGGGGTGTTAGCGGTATCTGGGGAGGCCAAGTCAAGATCCTCGTAAACTCGCTTTCTTGACATCCGGGACTCTGTTGACGCCCCGTCTCTGAATTTGATCCACACCCTCCACACCTTTGTCGCTGCGTTGTACTTGGCATATTTCCCGGCAGAGACTTCTAGTATCTCATCACGTGCCTTGGTACCTGTCTTTGCTGTGCGTAACTCGGGTGACTCTGATCTGCTGACAGGAGATCCTCTTGCAGATTGTGTAGGAGTTGACATGGGCGGGATACTAGGGACATCATCCTGCTCAACTGCCTCTTGGTTGTTCACATTGCTTCGTGGCTCCACAGTGTCAGGTGCTTGGTGTTGAGGATCATGACTGATGTTGTTGTCATGGGGTTGGTGGGAAGCCATGTTGTCCATGAGACGCAACACTTGCTGAACTTTTCTTTCTGCTGTCACCAAGAGTCTTATTGCCAGGGACTTCCAACACAGGGTCAAGTTTGAAGGACAAATGTGCACGCTTTATCTGAGAACACGTCTGGAAAGCTTTCACTTAAATTCCGCAGTGCAGATCACGCCTGACAATTTCGCGGGCTCGGAGGTGTGTTCTTGAGATATCCGATGGTAGAAGCGATATGCAGCAACTACATGTGTCAGTTCAGAAACCCAAGGTCAGTTTGAAAACAACTTACATTCCAGTAATGTTTCTGGCACAGTGTGTCGGAGCTTGGCAACAAGATGTGGACTGCTCTTCAAGACTGGACGAAGGTTGCAAGAGGGTTCTGTATCAGAGGGATTTGGTGGTGCGGAATGCCTTGCTAGTCTCAGGTGCTTGCTGTGCCTTCTGGAAGTGGAATCTCGTAATGATTGTGCCTTGAAGGCAGGAGATTTGGACTGTGAGGAAACAGAATGAAGCAGCAAGAGGACAACGTTCCCGGCGAAGAGAGGAAGTCTCTGGAAGGTGCTGATCGAGGAGGCGAGGATTTCCAAGGGATAGAGCGTAGATGCTGGTGTCGTTCGGATGATGGTTGCGATGACTGAGTCTGAACAGATGAGGAGCGAATTTTTAAAAAACATTATCGTGGATCGTGCTTTGTGCTCTACGCTCCACCCCGGAGACGCAGTTTGTCGGCCAAGCATCAAACATGAGCGCTGTCTCGGCGTTGTCGCTGAATAACCTGACCTTAGACTGTTTGATCAATCTTGTCTTGAACGCAGAAACGTCCTTGCATCTCAAAGGATCTGGTCGTGGTTGTTATTCTCTTCTTTATCAATCGAGGGAGCAGAAGCGACAGTGCCAGCACCTATTGCCCACACCTGGTCCAACTCCCTTGCAACCCAGTGTCTTTGTGGCTGACAACAACTTCCGTAGCTTGGAAGCACAGTGCCGACGAGAAGAACATCCTCGATCTTGTTAAAGTGGCTCGCAATCCACATGGGCTGACCGACATCATATTGACATTCACAAAGCCAACTTTTGCTGTCAGCAGCCAGGTGAGCAAAGAGCCCAAAAGGCTAATTTGCTTGCCACCAGCCAGTACAAACATCGTCATAACAAAGCCTGTGTACGCTTCCTCTGCCCCCGAAGAAAGTAGGCAAGGCTGATGGCGGATGAGAGACCAGTGCAGAGGACTGTGGGTTGCGGTTGGAAATGCCATCTAAACAAGACCCCATACATACTCATTCAGGGCTCCGGTGTTCTATTCTCTGAAAATGAAAGGCCCATGACGGGGCTCTGCTTTCATCGATCGCCAGCATTGTGGAGCATGGGCAAGCAAAGGTTACTCGATACTGAACCCAACAGCTTCTCGTCAGTTGCGTCATGGTTGATTTTGCGATGATCATGCCGGTTCAGGCCCGGTTCCAGATCCCAAGGGAACCAAGAGGCTTCGCACGCTTTGCAGGACTGTGATGTGCTCTGTGGGCATTCTGTGAGCGCCCAACTGCGGCCGGAGCCGCCCCTGAGATGCGGATTGTGGCAGAGATAACAAAAGCGAACCGATGAGCACTGGATGGGTGGCCTGGAACTCGCCGTCGACGCCAGGGCGCTGAGGTTGCGGAAGAGAGAGCTCAACGGAGTCGAGGATGTGGTGGCTTGGTGGTGTTGCTGCCGCTGTTGTTCCTGCGAAAGAGCGCACGACTGGCTGTTTGATGTCCTTGAAGTGGGTCTCTTGGCACCCGTTCGAAGAGACCTCCGCCTGAAACCAAGAGCTGGGATGACATTGAACTTCTGAGTGGCATGAGCAGACTGAGATGCGATTCGGTGTCTGTTGGGCGGTATCACTCACAGTGGAAGAGTCGCAGATTTGTGACCATAAATTTATATACATAGCGTTTGCCTCTGCTACCAGAGGCGTTCCCCCGAAGGGGTTGGGGAGGACTTGAGCATCGAGGCAATCGGTGATCGTTGGGAAGAGATTGAGCGATGACCGATGAGGATGAGGATGGTTGTCGCAGGCCAGGTCAAAGAAGCCAGCGCCCCTCGTCGGTCCGCTTGACCTAGGCGACGAGGGGCGCTGGATGAAGAAGATATCTGGGTTCTCGACTGGGAGAAGGGGGATGCTGGCAGGCAAGGCAATGTGTCGAGGAAGTCTGAGTGTTGAGCCACCTGGGCAGCAGCTTCAACGCAGGAAGATTGAAGTGAGAACTCGAAAGGAGTGTTGGCGCAAGGGCAGAGGCTATGTGTGGGCGTGGCGCGCTCTCGTCTTTTCACCTCTCCTACTGTCGACCGTGGGCGGCTGAATGTGGACGGGCCTACCCTTGGCACTACGATGAAGTCCTCTCCATTTTACTCTATGCAGTGCTACCGCAGACACTCTTTTATGTCGAACTCGAGCACAGCGCTGAGCTACGGACGGGTTTCTAGACAGAATCGATCGCAACAAGCTCGAGTCAACTTTGAGCCAACACCTCAGGAGACTCCGCAACAGAGACACTTCGGCCTGCGAACGTACCGCAGGAAAGACCGCGCCGCTACGCCAAACGGACCTCATTCCCCCAAAGAACTAGAAGAACAGATGCCACAAAAGATGTGGTGACTCCAGCGCCAGCGACGTCTGCGAGTCAATCGAGGTCCTTGTTGACATTGATGAGAAGGCAAGCACATTCACAGAAAGTCAACAACACAACCACAGTCAATAAGAGGTTACATTGCAACACTCGTGGAATGAATTCTCAGGCCAACTCTTCCCAGGATCGTTGTCATGTGCCCGTAATTGACACTATATCAATGGCGTTGCATTATCGAAAGGAACATCAGACCGTGGTCCGTCAGATTTGCAACTGGCAACGTTCGAATCAAAGGACGCAGGAGCCATACTGCTACAAATCGACTGTTTGAAAGGAGGGGGGAAGACTCAGAATACACAACGATACCTCGAGCATAGAAGAAATGAAGCGGAAACAGTCAATGTTTGCCCGAGTGAAGAATTGTTACATTTGCCTTCAAAAGCTATTCCTGTTCAGTATGCAGAATACAATTAGGCTTGTCAGTAGGAAAGCTGTTTCTCTGCAAGCACAGTCATCGTCCTATTTCTTTGAAGGAGCCTCTTCGCCTGCATGGACATTAAGCCCGAGTCCCTCTGCGTCAAGGTAAAGTTTGTTCTTTCCTCCAGCTTCTTGTAGGATTTGTGCAATATTGCGAGCATTTTCGATCTGTCGCAGTTCGACATAACTTCTGCTCTTCTTGATGGCGTCGCCAATCAATTCCGCTGATCTGGCTTCACCCTGGGCCCGGACAACGGTTGCTTGCTTCTCCTGCCTCGCCTTGTCGACCACGAAAGCAGCCCTCTGTGCCTCCTGTTGAGCAACTTGCTTGGCTTCAACCGCAGCAGTGAATTCCGGGGAGAAAGAGAGGTGCGTCAAGGAAACGTCGTCCAGCATAATGTTGAACCGAGCCGCTCTCCTCGTAAGGTTGTCTCTGACCAATCTTGCAACATTTTCTCTTTGCGTGATGAGCTGGCTCGCATTGAACTGCGCAACCACACTTTTCAGCACCTCATTCACAATCGAGGGAAGAACGCGCTCGTCATAGTCTGTTCCCAGAGTCCGGTAAATCTGAGGTAGCGCTTCGATACGTGGCCGCGAGAGGACACGGCATGTAATATTGACCATCTGTAAATCTTTTGTCCCTGTCAAGGAGGCGACATTTCGTGGCTTCGCTCGAACGTCGTAGTCAACAGGCGTCTCAAACCAAGGTATTCGGATGTGGGTGCCTGTTCCGCATCAGTGATCCATGGCTACAGAATAGAGTCCGTTCTTTTACCTTCATTGTAGATCTCCTTTGAAACACCGGATATTCTCGTATACTTGATGGCGCGGTGACCACCCTCGACTGTGTATCGTCAGTACAGACTGATAAACACAGATTTCGACAGAATTACCGTTGAATAGAGAATTTGACAGAACGACACCAGCAACCCCAAGACTGATCAAAGCAAAGATGCCTCTGCCCGCAGCGCCGCCTCCCGGAAGACCTCCAAAGCCTTGGCCACGGCGCTGTTGCAGCGTCCGCTGGATCTGCTGAAAGTGCTCCCTTGGATCGTAGGACATCTTTGCGCCTTTGTTAAGAACGCAAATTTGTGAATGTATTGAGCTGGTAGGCAATGTCGATGATGCTCCCATCTAAGTCAAGCTTTCCGTTTTCGAGCTGCGGAGAAGCAGGGAGCTTGGCGCCGCTTTTAACTGGTATGCAGGACGGAGTGCATGTTACCACCCACCCTCTCTCTCAAGCCACCACTATCTACACACCACTCGACGCCGCTGCTGCCACGATTGGGAAGTTTAGTTAGATATCCTCGAACTGTGTGCAGCCGAAAATGGCTCCCGGACAAAGTCGCAGCGTCTTCGTGGGCAATATTCCCTTCAGTGAGACCTCTACACTCAACTTTGCGCGTTCAAACGACTGACTCTCTTTAGATCTCAGCGAGGAGAACATTGTCAAGATCCTCAGTCAAGTCGGTACGGTCGTCAAGTTCAGGTTGATGACCAACCCCGACACGGGTAAATCAAAGGGATTCGGTTTTGCAGACTTCCAGGATGCGGACCAGGCGGCCAGCGCAGTTAGGAACTTGAATGATTTCGAGATCGATGGACGTAAGATCCGCGTCGACTGGCCTCACAACAACGAGAAAGACTCGGTTCCAACAAATTACGAGCAGACTGCTGGCGCTGGGGCGGATGGATACCAACAAACTGGCGCAAATGCCCTTCCTCCACTGCCTCAAGGGACAGATCTTCCCCCAAACCTCAGGGCAACCGATGCGATCTCCCAGACCCTTGCCACACTTCCGCCGCCACAGCTACTCGATGTCCTCACTCAGATGAAGGCGCTGGCCATCTCAGATCCTGCAAGAGCCACCTCCCTCCTCAAGACCGCACCACAACTCTCCTATGCCATATTCCAGGCTCTAATCTTGATGAATCTCGTGGACCCCAAAGTACTGGCACAAGTCGTTGAACAAGCCTCGAGACCACCTCAACCAGCCAGCATCCCTCCACCGCAGCCCACTCCACAACAATACCCCGGCTTTCCACCGGCCATGATGCCTGGTCAGATTCCTCCCAGACCTCCTCAGCAATATCCGACAGCGGCGATGCAACAACAGCCACCCCAGCAGCCTCCCGCCCAACCTCAGCTGTCTCATCAAGAGATGATCCAACAGGTCCTCGCTATGGATCAGAGGACAATCGATTCCTTTTCTCCGACTGAAAGGGCACAAATCATGCAGATCCGAGCATCGATGGGGGTAAGATGAGCTGCAGGGACACTGTTCAGATCTAACTTTACAAACCATCGTTCGCCATAAACATGCGGAGGGCGCAAAATATTCGCTCATGGTATGGCATACATCGGGAATTCTATTCCACGGAACTGGGCATGAAACCTGCAACAAAGCCGCTTCTGGAGGAATTTATGCAACACAGCCCCTCAGCAAATCCGTCAAGATTACCGAGACGAAGGGTATAGACGTTTGCTAAATAGAAACATCCTGAAAAGCCGGCAGCGCCGTGATCGCGCCGCGCCCAAGAACACAACATCCTCTCTAGACGGCAGAATGACATGCCCGATACCACAGCGAGAGGAAATGTAGTCGCAGAATACTTAGATATTATGGAAGTCAGGAGAGGCTCGAGGAATCGTATGCACTATGGATGCATTGTCTCAAGCTATGCTTCGCATTTTCTACAGCGGTGTGAACGAATAGGCGCCATCTCTTTTTCTACCAGCCCGCGTTTAGAGAGGCCGCGAATCTTTGTTCGAATTCCTCATGTCTGTCTACCTTGATCCTCCTTTTGCAGAGAGAGGTGCTGACCCCGTCAAGCCTTGTTCATTGCGCTTGCAGGACTCGTCCCGATACCCTCGTCCGTCAATGCGGTCTGCGGCCGCAGGGGACTCCCTTTCCTGCTTCCACCGCCACCCTCTCTCCTCAGCCACCCGGCCCTCCCAGCCTTTCCAGGGGTTTGTATCGGCGACGGCGCTGGCGACGGGCTAGGCGACATCATCGTGACCTGTCTCGGTGCACTGACATTCTCACCCGCGCTTCTCGGCGGACTCATGACCCATCCGCCATCTCCAGCACTCGTATTCACGCTCTGCGGACTCCTCAGACTCGTGCTTCCTTCGTAGTACCCGCCCTGATACTGGTACTCTTCGCCCCTCCTCTTGACCGGGCTTTCATCGTACGGATCCCACCCGACTCTCCTCCTCGCGTCAGCCCTCAGCGCCTGCCGATACTTCTCGTCGCCTCCTGCACCCGTCGACGCGCTCTCTTCCAGGAAGAAAGTAAGCAGTTCGTCGGTGATTGAGAGGTGGGACTGTTGCTGAAACTGTTGCAGCGAGGTGAGGCGCAAAAGGAGCTCGAGCAGTGATAAGGAGGTCCGGATAGAGTTGGCCCAGGGGGGAGCGGTAGATTGCGGTGGAGGTTGGGCATGCGAGGCGATGTGCATGTTTGCCATTGAATTTGTGAGTTGAGGCGTAGAATTGCCCTTGGACCCGGTGTTATCGGTGGACTCCTCTTCGATGTCGGACTCAGAATCACTTGGTTCGGCTTCCGTGTACACTTCAAACGCGATCCATTCAGGGTCGAGGGACGGTGGGAAACGCCAGGGATCATCGGTGTGGTCTTCGACATATCGCTGTTCCTGCAGCTTTCCCTGCAGCTCCGCTACTAGGCTTTGATCTTGCTCGCTATCTTGATCGCCTTCTCCAGGTCCCAGCGGACTGTCTCTCTCCGCCATTCGTCTGGGTGGGATAGCATAGAGGTCTCTCTTCAACAATAACACCGGGTGATTACTCTCCGCATCACTCCCAATGTTCAAGACTTTGCTCGTATCAGCATAGAATATTTTCGATATCTCGTGGACAGGGATTATCTCCCGGATGCCGGCGAGTCTGACATCGTCAAACGGGCCCGGACGAGCCTGATCGTCCTCAAAGTCGTGGACACGGTCGTCTTCAAAGTCTTCAATGATCACCATTTGATAAGCATATTCATCGGCGCGGGCATCGGCGCGGATACTTGGTGTCGAGCCAGGCAGATCAGTCTCTGTCTCTGGGACTACGGAAGGAGAAGAGATATCGGCGGAAGGGATAGCATCAGATCCGGAGCCCGTCCCGAGCACGACGTCGAGGGGAACCCTGCGTAGCTTGACTCTTGCTTTGTGAATGGCTTCTTTCCAAGTCGTCTCTCGGATTTCTTCTTCGTTCTGGGGCCGGTCATGGCCGGCAAATAGCATGTAGACAGTAAGAGTGAATGTGGGCCCGATTTGCACAGCCTGATTTGGAGAGATGGTGTACTGAGTGTCGCCTGCTGTGAGGAAAGTGCTGGCTTGTAGAAGTCGTGAGGGAGAGACAGACTGAGGTAGTGACGTTGAGAGGCTTGCACCTGACGTGGTGATGGCGAGATTGATCAAAGGGACAGCATCCTCAATCCTCTCGAGAAGCTTTTTGATGTCCTTGACAATCAAAGTCAACTCCGACTCGTTCGGAACTCTGGCCTGGCTGCTGAGTCTGCTGGTCTTCCTAGCAGCTTGTTCGGAAGCCTCCGCTGCTTTCGCTAGCCGTTGTCCCAAGGACTGTATCTCTATACGCAGCTCCTTGGTGAGGGAGACCGCGGATTCTAGAGACGTGTTTCCTCGAGCCGCAATTAGCTCGATCATGTCGATCGCTGGGGAGACGATGCGGATTTTGTGCTGAAGCCGTTGTTGCAAAGCATACAACTCATCTCGAACGTTGCTTTTCGGTGTGCTGTTGAGGAGCTTGGCCGATTGTCTGATGGCGTAGGATGCTGTGATTGTGACTCCTGAGCGGATGGCATAATTCATCGCCTGCTGGGTCACTTTTCCCAGAAAGACGTCCATTACCACGGAGTACAGAATAAAATGCTCTCGTTGAATGTCAACTTTCTAGGGCTAAAGAACAGATGACAGCGTCAAGCAGAAGGAGAGAGGAGCATAACGCAAGAGGCACTTCACTGTGGCACGTTCTTCCGAGGCTACTATTGCAGAGGTGACACAGGGGTCAAGGACTTGGTGAGGGAGGACCTGGTCTTCGTAGAGTGTGTCGTACGTTGTACATACCTGAGTATCCATACGATTTGATCTTGCAGAAGAAAACCATCGACGCCTTGGACCTAGGGTCGCGCGAGACTGCAGCCTTGCGGGCAATGAAATCATCGCAGCCCAGCCTTGCCAAGGAAATTTCTGTACCCAAAAGTGCCCCTCCAAATAATGAACCCAAACCGCAGTCTACTCCTTCAGGCTCAGTTCTTGATCTCCACTTGACTTTGACTCACCGCCTGTAATCGTACGCTCCTTCTCTTCTTCAGGAGCCCTTTTCCGATTCCTATCAGTCGAATTTTCAAGCATTTTCGAAGATGGCGGGCAATTTTGATTCCTGGGAAGACGCAGCGGCGCAAGAGGAAGACCTTTCAAAGAAGACACAGAATATGAGCGTGAATGCCAACACTTTCAGGCCTGGAGCCGCATCGTTTCAGCCTGGTGCTGCCACGTTCCAACCGGGACAGCCATACCAGCAGAATGGCTATCAAAGCTATGGGTATGGGCAACAGCAAGGCTACAACCAATACCCCCAGTACGGCCAGCAATACAATCAATATCCTCAATATCAACAGCAGCAACAGCAGCAGCAAGGCTACAATCAAGGCTATAGCAGCGGCCAATTTGCCGCTTACAATCAGACCCCCGGCGGCTTTCAACCCAGACAAGGCGCTCCCATAAGTATTGCGAAGAGGTCGGACACCCAGCCTGCATCTGCCCCAACTCAACAGGTCCCCGCTCCAGCAACCAAGGCTGAAGCAGCCCCTGCAGCCCCTGCACCCAAACCACAGCCAGCTGCTGCGGCACCTCCCAAAGCGAAGGTCCTTTCGATCGGTGTCCCAACGTCAGCATCGGCCTCCCCTAAGAAACCTGCTTCTCCCACCACCAAGGACGAGCCCACTCCCCCAAAAGCTGAAGCCGGAGCCAAGGTTGCTGCGGCGAAAGCTGTCGAGAAGACCGGCGAAAAAATCAGTGGGAAGACGTCCCCTGCGCCTTCATCAGGAAAGTCTTCCCCCACACCGGCAGATGCCAAAAAACAACGAAATGCAGATGAAGTCGCACAATCGCAAACAGCCGATGTGGACGCATCAGTCCTACAAGAGATGTACGGGAAGGAGCACGTCAACATAATTTTCATTGGCCACGTCGATGCCGGCAAATCCACACTCGGTGGCCAGGTGCTCATCCAAACAGGCATGGTTGATGAGCGTACTCTGGAGAAGTATAAGCGGGACGCTAAAGATGCCGGGCGAGAAACCTGGTACATTTCTTGGGTATTGGATTTGAATAAGGAAGAAAGAGCCAAGGGGAAGACAGTTGAAGTGGGCCGAGGCTTCTTTGAAACCGAGAAACGGAGATACACGATCCTCGATGCGCCAGGTCATAAAACGTACGTGCCGAACATGTTGAGTGGTGCGGCTCAAGCAGATGTGGCCATCCTGGTTATCTCTGCTCGAAAGGGCGAATTCGAAACCGGGTTCGAAAAGGGTGGACAGACACAAGAGCATGCCATGCTGATCAAAACCACGGGCGCCAAAGAGCTGGTCGTAGCCGTGAACAAAATGGACGACCCTACCGTGGAATGGTCCAAAGAACGATACGACGAGATCGTAGGCAAACTGAAACCATACCTGAAAAAGCGAATCGGCCTGGACTCCACCTTCATGCCCATCTCCGCGCAAACGGGCGTCAATGTCAGAGACCGCATCCCTCCGAACATCGCGAGTTGGTATAAAGGGCCTTCTCTCCTGGAATTCTTGGACGGCATGGCAAAGATCCAGCGAAACATCAATGCACCCTTCATGATGCCCATTGGCGCCAAATACAGAGACATGGGCACCATGGTCGAAGGGCGTATCGAAGCCGGTGTGGTTCAAAAGAGTTCGACCTTGGTTATGATGCCGAACCGTGAGGAAGTTGGCATTGCGGCCCTCTATGGCGAGACGGAAGATGAAGTTGCTTACGCCACCTGCGGTGACCAAGTGCGCATGCGCTTGCGGGGCATTGAAGAAGAAGACATCCAGCCGGGCTTCGTGCTCTGCTCGCCCAAACGTCTCGTCCACTGCGTCAAAGAGTTTGAGGCACAGATCAACATCGTGGAACTGAAATCCATCCTCTCTGCCGGCTTTAACTGCGTTATACACGTACACGCCGCAACGGAAGAAGTTACGTTTGCGGCTTTGCTTCACAAACTCGAACCGAAAACAGGACGCAAGAGCAAGAAACCGCCCCCATTTGCCGCAAAGGGACAGAACATTATTGCGAGATTGCAGGTTACGAGCGGAGCCGGCAAGATTTGTATCGAGAGGTTTGAGGACTATCCGCAGCTGGGACGGTTCACGCTGCGAGACCAAGGGCAGACCATTGCAGTGGGCAAGATCACCAAGCTGATCTTTGATGATGAGTAAACGGATACACATGTGCACGGAGTCACATCTGGAGGTTTGTTTGTCGTCCTTCCTTCATTCGTGTACAGCAGGGCAGCCAGGAATAGAACCGGCGGGCGTGCAGCACGAGACATGCATGAATGGACATGCCACGTGCGACCAGAGGCAAACATTGTCATCAACGCCGAGATGGATTGAGATGATCACGAGCAGTGCATGACAGGACGGCTAGAAATGGGGTTGCATCAATCCGGGGACAACGGCTTTGGGGACGCGGCTCGGGTGGAGGTTGTGGCCATCCGCTGCGCAACGCTATCAGGGGGAGGCAGGGATGTAGATGGTTACTCCTACTCTTACTCCTATGTGCGCGATCTGGGACGAAATAAACACGATATGAGACTCCTACCGACTCCTCTTCCCTCAAACGAATAAAAATGCGTACCTGCATACATACCTTGCATATGTAGATAGATACCTGCCTATACAACAGAACCTCGAATGTCCCACATATTTATTACTCGGCGGTATACACACGCAGAGGCTCCTTGATTATTCGTCGGCGTTGGTGCTCCGGTATACCCCCTCCTAAGGCGGTACTGTACTGGTATACAACAAAGGCGCAACGCAGCACCCAAGGGGGCTTTTTTTTTTCTCTCTTCGGTTTGGTTCTAAAAGTACAAGTGTGCAGGCGGGTAGGTGGGTGGGAGGGAGAACAAGATCAAAAGAGTATATGTGATGTGATGTGATGTGATCCGATCCGATCAGAGCTGCCCAGCCACCAGCCCAGGGAACCAACTTGATCCAATACATCATCAGTGAGGAGCCTGTGCACGCCCGGTCCCCCCTGTCTGTTGTTCCTTGTGAACGTTTACAGCTTCCCCCCCTTTTTTTGTTTGTGAGAGACATCCCCGCCTTGCCACAATTCCAGGGTACATGCGAACCAGCTTCCAAAAAAGCAGAAAAGAAACATGGTTTTTGAGGTTCCTGTGCCCCCCGCGCATGTTGAACGCAAATGCCCAATGCCAGACCACCGGAGACCTCTTCCAGGGCGAGATAATGAGAAGGGCAGCGAAGGTTCAAGCAACTCGCCCCTATCGGTATTATCAGCGACAGTGTCTCGGGAACCCGTTGTTGGATCGTCATCCCTCAACAATCCCAACGACGACTTGAAGGTGGTTGAGATTGCAATGGCCGTGCCGCAAAGGATACCGATCGAGAAAGAAGATAGTCCCACGAATGAGTCCCTGCCCTTATGGCTCAGTCATGTTGATTTTAGAGGACGGCAGCATCACCAAGCATCTACATCGAAACTCGCCTGCAATGTCACCGTCGGTTAGCACTGGTTTTCCCGCCCATTGGAGAACGCAGGCAACAAACTGCACGGAGAATAACACATACCTCATCGAAATACGTAGTCACAACAGTCCTGTCAGCAAACTTGCGTCCCGCAAGTGCTTGCAACGCCTTCTTGGCAGCTTCGGGTTCCTCGTACTTGATGAAGATCTTGCCCACTCCAGCCGATTGCCGACTTCCCATAGATGGTCGCGGAATCTTCATGGCCAAGATCTTGCCGTACTTTTGGCATTCTTCCATTACATCTTCGCAGATTTCTACCACGCAGCACAAGGCTTGGTTAGCATTTTGACGCAGTAAAGGCAACGGGGAAGATAGACAAGGTATGTCGCTTCCTGCTTTGCTCACCTTCATAATCATCATTATCGATAAGTTCCTCAGGCGTCACCATGTTCAGGAGTTGTAGGACCCGTCCGTCCTCCAGGTTCTCCGCGGTGGTTCCGGCGAACATAGACATGGCGTTGACGCCCATCTCAAGCCCGGCAGCTTGTGTGTATCCAATACTGGCACGTGTGACTTTGACAGCGTTGCCTGCCAAGTCCATGCCATTGAGACCCTCGATTGCAACGCCAGCGACTGATGGATCTGTATATTCACAGAAAGCGATGCCCTGATGATACGTTAGCAAGAGGAATCGCGTGCCAGGACCGGTGTAACTTACCCTTGATTCTTGTGCATCGCTGTCCCGCACCAGAACAAAGGCTCTTAATTCCCCAAATGCTTTGAGCAACTCAATGACCTGATCATCTGTCAAAAAAGGTGGGAGATTGGTGATGGCTAGTTTATTGGCCGTGTCGGGAACTTCGGTAGATATCTCGCCGTCTGTATATGCTTCCTCATCCGCAGACGGAACGATGTAGTCCTTGGGTCGTCGAATCTCCAACCCCTTGGGAGATGCAGTCCCATTGCCGTTCAGCTCGGAATGGTGCTCTTCCATTGTGATTCCATCCATGGCCAATGCCAGCGTCGCATCGGAAGGCTGCTTGAACTCCACCAGCGCGAAGCTCCTATCTTCGGCGATGTTTGCTTGTGTGCATGGATCGTTGCCCTTTGTGACATTCAGACCATTGAGCTGGAGGTTAAAGAAGGCCACTAGGCTCTCCTCGGAGACGGAGGCCGGAAGGTTGTGGACAAACAATCTCCTTGACTGGCGCGCATTGGAAGGCCTCAATGCTGTGGAGGTCGCGCCGCCTGAGGGTTGATTCATGAAGGCTTGTAACCGGCTTGGGTCCATCTGCTGCTGTCGAGGGGCGCCTGGCAGGGGAAACATGCCGGACATCTTTGCTTGCTCGGCGGTAACATTCTCGTACCCAGGCGGTTTGATGTCCCACTGCGTCATCCTCCTCTTGCGCTCCAAGATTGGCACGACATCTGTAAGATCGGGAGTGGGTTCCCTCTTCTTGGGAGGAGGACTGTTCTTGCGGCCTCGGGCTTGAGCGGCGAATTCATCGCGGTCTTCTCGCCCAGTCCGATCACGGTCGCGATTGCCTCCTCTGCGATCATCAAACAGGTCGCGGTCCCTCCTGGGTGGCCTGTCATCGTCCCGGCGTCTCGGGCCTCGATCTCGGTCCCAGTCCCGGTCATCTCGCCTCGAGCCGTGTCTGTCTTCCCTTTCGCGTGCCCGGTAGTCTCGACTCGAGGAATAAGAGTCTGCTTCATATTCGCGTCGCGAGGAACGGTGATGGGGAGATCTTGAACGTCTCCGCTCGCCGCGATCTCGATTCCGGTCCCGGTCGCGGTCTCTGCGCTCGTCTCGGTCGTATCGTGACCCCTGAAGTCATGTCAGTGGTCGCAATGGCAATATAGCAAGGGCAAGGATGACATACATGGTGCTCTCTAGAGCGACCCGTGTCTGAAGAGGTCAGTAAATGCTGAGGCAAAGTGGAAGGGGGTCAAGGCACCTCTGGAGGAGTAGTTGTCCCCGTTCATGGTCGCGACGCAGGATGGGGTTTCTAGTTCGAATTCTTCGCCGCACGGCCAAATAGCAGAATAATCTCTAGTCAGTGAGGGCTAATACTGGCTTGACAGCAAATTCGCTCGTTGACACTGCGTGAAGTGATCCAATTGCCGCAGGGCAGAAAAAGCGCAGCTGCCCATGGCCTCGCTTCGCGACTCGGTCAACCTGCAACTTTTTCGACGCTGCCATTCATTGTCTTGGCGCTACGAGACAAGTAAAATCCGCCCCGAGCCCACGTTGCGGCTCACCTCTGACCCTGCCGCTTTAAAACCCTCTCGCTCGCTACTAACTTCTGGACCTCATCCTCTCTCACCTCAACAACCTCAACACTCTACACTCACCTTCGCACTTACCCTGACTTACCCACCCTCGCGCGCCCACTTCGTCTTGTAATTTTGGGCCCTGTATACCCACCACCGTGCCAGGGATCAAAAATGACAACGCTGGAGGAAGAGTCAATGGTCTCCCTTGCCCCCAGTCACCCTAGCCTTGAGTCCGGCTGAGGATGGTGATCTCCTTTTCGAACCCTTCACCGTCCCTCCCCCCGTCCCCTTCCCATTGATTACAAAATGGATTCCCGACCCAGTCCCAGAGCGCCTGCCGTGCGACCTCCTCTCATCGGCCGTCGTTCTGGAGAACTCGTTCTACTGTCATACTTATTGCAGGCCCGCCCTCCTCGTGGCAGCCTCCATCACACCGATCATAGGTCGACGACCTGTTACTGCAGATGAATTGTTGGCCCAAGCGCTGGCTAATGGCTACAAGAAAGGAGCACGTAAAGAAGTTGACGAAACCCGTAGCCGAGGAAAGCATATCGACGAGACGAAGAGGAATCATGAGGGAACTCTTCGACGCTACGTCCTATATACGCGTATTGCTAGACCGAAGCTCGTCTTGTGCGCCTTCACAGATGGCCTGCTGTATAAGGTGGGACTCCTATGAGCTGCTTGAGTGCAGGGACTCCGTACTTGTGTGCAACTCTGTGCACCCTCACGTTGAACGGCCATCGGAGATGTTCGTTCTCGATATTCCCGCTACTGTCTTATTATTTCCCATACACAGAGTGGATCATTGCCTCAATGGCGCCTGCATCATCATCTCGAGCTTCGAGTTCGACTAACCCATTGCGATTTTCCCGTACGTTATCCTCTAAGATGGTTCTTGTTGTGGGAGAAAGGATTTGGTCTTACCTTCCACTCACCATTTAAGAAGCGCTCGAAATACTCTAACTGAGCACACACAGCGAGGCTATGGACCCTGAAATCCCGACCGTGAATTTGTATGGTGAAGTCGGAGAATTTCGAAGAGTTGAAGAAACACAAGGGATGTAAGCGGCGGGCCGCATGGGCCTGCTACAAAGGGCATACCTCATCAGACCTAGAGCTCGTACATTGTGACTTGATACCTCACTGTTTCTCGCTACCATGGCAAAGCCAAACTTCATCCTTTGTGTGTGGCATAGTTCGTATCTGCTCACTTTGTGTTGAAAATGTACGTTCAAATGATAGTGGGACCTGAAAGACACATTGCCACTAAAGCGCGACTGTGTCAGATGCCGATACAGCAATTTAGTTGCTCGATTTCTTTCATACCTCAGCAGGTCGGTTCCGAAGCTGTGTTGTGAGCCAAAAACACTCGCGGTAGAAGCTATTCGTTACGATATGGCTTAAACACTTATGGCGACCGCCGGAACTACCGGGAAAGGCAGGAGTGCCGAAGGGCAGGGCAGGGGCACAGCCTCGTTGGCAAGGCTGAAACACGTGACCCGTCAACGTGGTCTGTGGAACAGCTCACAGAGCACCAGGGATCATGAAGGAAGGAGAGCCTATATGACCACAGTCATTCCATAGCTTTACTTCGTAGTCAACTTCCTTCTCAATCATACCCCTACATTTTAAGCTTGCGGTTGATTCCGCGCGATCATCGCATTACATACTTCGAGCCTTGTAGTGACTCGACGTCAAGGAATACCTAACACTCTTGATACTTACTCTTCCTATCGCCCACCCTGCCTGTTCCTAGGCCTATTCCTCACAACGATATACTTCCCACCTGCCAAGGAATCAACTTGAGCCGTGACTCCATAGGGATAGCGGATCATAATATATATCTGGTTACCTTATAGGGCATATAAATACTCGGAATGAAAGAGCGACAAATCTTTAACTAGTATAATAGCCTCTAGAACATGTTATGAACCACTTCACGCGAGTGTGTCACGGGATCAAGGTTTCCTGGTGAGTGGACTATCAAGTAGAGGTATACAATGATCAAGCGAAACCAATCACAAGCCTGAAATGTAGGGGTATGATTGAGAAGGAAGTTGACTACGAAGTAAAGTTGTGGAGAACGACTGTGGTTATATAAACCTTCCTTCATCCTTGATCTGTAGTGCTTAGTTCTCTGTAATCTGTGGCACAGATCCCAAAAGGTCGCGGATCACTTGGGCTAGTCACACGATGCTCAGCCTTACTTCCTCAACCTTGCCATCGAGGCTGAGTGATTGCAATCCTTCCGGAACATTTGGTTGTCGCCGGGCCGTATGAAAGTTCACGTCATAACAGAACTGCGGAACTGTTTTTTCTATACGGGCGTTCCGCGATTCGTATTATAACGGAATGTCTCCACAATCTTAATACTCCAGATATCTTGCCCGGGGCCCCGGAGCGACAAAAAATTACCCCGGATCCCTAACCGAGGCCAGATCGAGCCGAATCATGGGGTTGAACTATGAGGCCGAGGGCTCCTATATACCAAGGGCTGGTATCATATATCTCAGCATCCTTGAACTTATGGAGAGGTAATTTGAAGCTGGCGTCAAAACTTGAAAGTTGAACCTTCAACCCGGTAGTTTAGCACATCACTGAAAGAAATTTCTGAACTACCACTGTCCAGTCCAGCTTGCTAGGCCGACTTAGACACACAGGACTCCTGGGAGGCTCTTCTCATCCAAATTATGTCGCTGCAAAAGAACGAAGTCGAAACGGGCATTGCTCACGTCGAAAACAAGGAGCCTTCTGCCGGGTCATATACTATTGGTGGATTTCAGACTCACGAAGAAGCACTCCCCAAGGGGTATTCTTACAACTACCGAACCATCGGGACGTTTGTCGCGGGCGTCCTCAGTGCGATATGTGGCATTGGCGGGTTCAGCTTCGCTGCACCGCTCCTGGGCACGATCAACACTGCGCTTGGACCGACTGTCGATATTGACTGGGTTGCGATTGTCTTCAACTTGACTGGGGCAGTGAGTATGCCTATCTGCGGCCGTGCAATGGACATCTTTGGACGCAGGTGGATCGTGGTTTGCCTCGCCGGCGTGGCCCTTGTCGGCGCCATCGTAAACGCCAGTGCACAGAATATCCCTTCCCTCATTGTCGGTACTGCGTTGATGGGATTGGCGGCACCGGCACAGACCTGTTACAATGTGATTCTCGGAGAGCTGGTGCCCATGAAACACCGGTACACAATGGGAGGACTGATCTTCGTCTTCGCTGGCATCCCAACAGCCTTCTCAGCAGCCATTGCACAAGGCATTGCGGAAAACACGAATGCCGGCTGGAGAGGCGTCTACTACATGGTTGTCGCGTTCAATGCAGTCAGCTTTTGTGGCTACTTGGTCTGTTACCACCCGCCAACATTCGAGATGAAGCATGGCCGAGAGAGAAAGATTCAATATCTGAAACAGTTCGACTTTGGCGGAAGTGCGCTCTTTATCAGTGGTCTCTCTCTTCTACTCATGGGCCTTTTATGGGGAGGATCTCGATATCCATGGCACTCGGCAGCCGTGATTTCAACCATTGTCATTTGCAGAGTCTGTCTGATCTGCTTCTGGGTCTACGAGGCCCTAGTGCCTCTCAAAGAACCGTTAATGCCCCATCGTCTCTTTAACAAGGAGTGGCTTGCTGCCGTGACTTGCCTCGGGTTTGCCGCCAGTGCCTTCTATGGATTCTCGATCATCTGGCCCCAGATGGTTGCGAACATGTATTCCACCAATTCGACCACCATCAATGGAGTCACCTCCAGTATTCCCGGCCTTGGAATGGGATGTGGAGGAATGATCGGGAGCGTACTCGCAAAGGGTCTCAAACGGACCAAGATTATCATGGTTGCATCTTTTCTCGTTGGGGGGACCTTGCTGGCGTGTAAGTGCTGGGTCTTTCCTCTCTCCTTCTCAAGACGTTCTGGACCTGACTGTGCAATCTAGGCATGGCGACTTGTACTCCTGACACTAGAGGCCGGGCGATTGCGCTGTTGTTCTGCGGAGCAAGCTGTCTGGGTCATGTAGAAGTGATTGGAATTGCCATGGCCACGCTCCTCGTTAAGGATCAACGAGACATCGGCATTGGTATGCTGACTCCACTGGGACGGTTCCAGGAGCAAAGACTGACAAGGAACAGCTGGCCAGCTTGGTATTAGCTTTCGAACCGCGATCTCTGTTGTGGGAACCGCGATCTATACGGCTGTCCTCTCCACTCGGTTGGGAAAGACCATTCCGGATCAGGTCCCAAAAGCATTGGCTGCTGCTGGCCTGCCCCAGGACGACATTCCCTTGTTCATCTCGGCCTTGTCGTCGGGAACCTCGCTATCAGATGTGCCTGGAACAACACCCAAAATCATTGCTGTCGGAACCAGAGCTTACCAACTTGCGTCTGCCGATGCCTATCGCACAGTATTCTACACCACCATCGCCTTCAGCCTCCTAGGCGCAATTGCCAGCCTGTGGGTTCCTGATAGCTACCAGTTGATGACCGGAGACATTGCTGCGAGATTGAACATCAATAGTGATGATCAGCCTGAAGAAGCGGTGAATCACGATAATAAACCAAGTCAGGACGATGAGCAAACAGGGTGCTCATGAGTAATTGCAGTCAGATGCAAGTCGATGATGGATTGCGACTCGTGTGACGCTGCAGATGGTCGGTATACGACACACTGTGATTTTGTGTCCTCAGGAGACAGGATCTTGGTCGAGGATATGAATTTTGAAAATGGGCCATTGCGTAGGGCCACGAAATGATACTGCTTTTTTCTTTCGTTCTCTCGAACTGCACAATATGTGCAATTGGTCTCGCTAAAAGTCATGTCATGCTAGCCGCCATAATCATCTCTTCGTTCACCATGAGCTTTCCGGAATCTTAAATCTGCCTGAAATCCAACTCCTGTTTCGCTGTCAACGACGAGCCCATGGTGCTTGACCCACGAACGCAGAACCGGGCTCTGACGGGTCAAAATGCAGTCTTGTGATGCCTGGCTCCCAGCTGAGGAGTGAGACACCTCGGTTGGCTGTACCCAGCTCGGTAGGTCAGAATGGACAGCGTCCAAACAGACCTCGGTCATTTTTATCCGCCCACAAATCCCAGTCTAAGCACAGAGGACGATTGAACCGGTATTCACGCAGGGTCTTGTCCCGTGTTTGCATTGCTGAGATAACGGGAAAATAACATTGCAGGCAGCGGATGTTTTGTAAAGAACCCAGTTCATTACAGCCGTCGAGTTTTTTGACCCATTTTCAATGCAAGTATAGTCTGGTTGAACAGAACTGTCTCGTGTGGACGACATGGCTCTCTCACCTCCCGCTTCGTATGCCACCCTCCCAGTCCGACATATCAAGGTCTGCCATGTGCCCGAGTCGTCGCCAACTCCAACACCAGTCATTTTGATCCAAATTAACAGGCCAGAAATACTCAATGCCTTTACGGACTGGACACGAGAGGATCTCGAACTGGTCTACAGCCTTGCCGATGTCGACCCACGCGTCAAATGTCTCGTCTTGACGGGCAGTGGCAAGGCTTTCTGTGCGGGGATGGATCTCCAGATGGGGTTGAAGGCAGCAAAGAAAGGCCAAGCAGGCCTAGAAGGTCAAAAGGAGAGAGAAGTTGACCACCGAGACTCGTAAGTGTTTTCGTCATGTTCATGCCTTTTCTCGGGGGGGGGGGGGGGGGGGGGGGGGGGGGGGGGGGGGGGGGGGTTTGACACTGCACAGTGGAGGTCGGACAGTGCTGGCAATTCACAGATGCTCCAAGCCTACCATCGCCGCAATCAATGGGGCAGCAGTCGGTGTGGGCATCACAATGTGCCTTCCTGCGAGTATCCGTGTTGCCTATGCCAAAGCGAAAATCGGCTTTGTCTTTGGCCAACGAGGCCTTGTGATGGAAGCTTGCTCGTCATTTTTCCTTCCTCGTCTCATCGGCCACTCGAGAGCCATATTTCTGACGAGCACCGGGGCCGTCTACCCTGCCGAGTCGCCCCACTTTGGCTCTCTCTTTGCCGACATCTTGCCTTCTCCTGAAGCAACCCTTGCGAGAGCACTGGAGCTTGCGCACGATATGGTGACAAAGACATCAATTGTGTCCAACAAGTTGATGCGAGACCTTATGTACCGTGGCCCGGACAGCGCAGAGGAGGCTCATCTTCTCGATTCCAAGGTTATCCACGGTCTCTTTGGTAAGAAAGATAATATGGAGGGAATGCAAAGCTTTCTGGAAAAGCGTGCTGCGACCTTCACAGGCTCCTTGCCTGATGATGGTCCAGATGTGTACCCGTGGTGGCGGCCTATCGATGTTGGCGTCAACTCTCAACTGCCGAACCAAGGCCCGAGTCCCAACAAAGCGAAGCTGTGATAGATTTGAGAGAACGGAGGGTGCAAAAAACCACAAACTTCTAACATGTGGTTCTTGATCAGAACATTCTCCAATGAGCATTCATATCCTGATAATAGAATACAAAATTTTCCCCTGCGAACGAACCTAGCTCAACAAGCCCATCTGGTGTGTGAATGAGCAAGTTGTGTTTTGTCTTGCCTAGTGATTGAGCCGAATGATCTGAAGGGGAAGAATTTTAGCTCTGAAGGAGGACATCCTTCTCTGCTGCCCAGTCATGAACCATCAATCGGCGGCCGTGGCCTCTCTAGTCTCGAGAGACCGAGGATAATTGTCGGACGGTTTTGAACCGAATGGACGTGGCTGGTGACGGCTCTTCAAGCCTTTAGGACGGGGCTGAACAACGGGGGCCTCACATCGATATCGCTCATCACTTGACTAAGAAACATATTGAGATGATGCCAACGTTCTGTACAACTTTTGATCTCTGATGGTGTAAGTAGTCCTCTTCTGATATGGCCAGCTCAACAACGAACGTGGTCTCTGAAGTTTGGAAACGTGGAATCTTCGAAAACAGGGTGGTATTTTGCACGGGAGGAAATGGATCTATCTGCTCGGTGCAGGTCCAGGCACTGGTCTATCTCAAAGCCGATGCATGTGTCGTGGGTCGCAATGTTAAGAAGACGGAACTTGTGGCCCAGCGCATTGCCTCGTGCCGCCCAGGTTGCAAGGTTCTTGGTATTGGTGGTGTCGATGTTCGCAAAGTCGAGAGCCTCAAGAATGCGGTTGAGCGTTGCGTCAAAGAACTGGGAAGTCTGGATTTTCTAATGTAAGAATCTTGACTGATCAAAGAGGCATCTCTCATCTGACAAGGTCCATGCTGACTGAATCGATAGAGCTGGTGCTGCTGGAAATTTCCTGTCACCTCTACACAAATTATCCCCGAACGCCTTCAAGTCGGTGATCGATATTGATGTCCTCGGTTCATACAATATCACGAAACTCGCGCTGCCTCATCTAGTCAGCTCGGTCCAACAGAACAACTCCTACTCGTCCACCCCTGCCGGCCGAATTATCTATGTGTCTGCGACCCTCCACTACACAGGCATCCCGTTGCAAGCACACGCCTCGGTGGCCAAAGCCGGAATCGACGCACTCTCATCTAGTGTCGCGATCGAATGTTACCCTAACCATGTTAGGAAGGTTAGCCGGTTATTTTCACGCCGGCACTTAAAACTGCCGCGCAAGTCTCTCCATTAGATAGATCAATCAAGTTATTAATCCAATAGGTTATGAGCGCCTAAACGCTTGATTACGCGTTGCTCAAGCGTCGTTTGGTTCATCCTAGGTCATCCTTTCCTAACTATCTAGCAGGAATAACCTATCCTTCGTTTTACGGGTTGTATTGTTAGTTATGCAGTAACGGTGTCCTAGTTAGTGTTACGAGCTGCTATATGACACGTGAGGTGTCCACAGGCAAACCCGCGGTGGTTTACTTAGTGATATAGTAGGGAGGGACGCTATAGCTGAGACTGGAAACTAAGTGTATAGTATACAGACCTATACGTATAGTAGAAGATCGTGAGGAACTCGATTCTATGTAACTATTATTAACTACGAGGAGAACTATATAGCTAAGTGCGGCTATATACTACCTAGGATACATATTTAATATGTTACTCTATTAGATATATTAAACATATCAACATATTTCTGAGCCTATCTAGGTATATTACTCTATTACCCCGCTAGGTTATGCTAACATATTTACTAAGATACTAACGTCTGATATATTCTCCTCGGTCGACCTTCCTCCTTATCTTTCCCCTTAGCCTCCTATATAGTCAGTTCGTAATACCTCCCCCTCCTCTAACGTATACGTTACCCTTAACGTACTTAAGGTAAGCGTATCCCTTCCCTTCCACCTTTTACTTCTTCCTTATAGCTAATTATACTAAAGGTTCCGAAACCCCCTCGATCCTAACGATACCGTAACTTAGGTAACGCTATTATGAAGCTCGGCTCCCGCGCTCCTAATCCCTACCTAGAGTGCACTAAGTCGTACTCTATCTACATTATCCGTCGTAGTTATTTAAAGTACGGTCCCTATACTAAAAAGAACATAACTTATTATAGTTACTTTTCTAAGGCTAAGTTTGATCGACTCGAAAATAAGAAGTAGGAGTTAATTCAGTAAGGCTAGGAGGCCTAAAATTTAATATTAGCCTTAGCTAAGTAATTATTAGAAACTTAGTAGCGTATCGCTAATATGAATAAAAGAGTAGATATCCTAACGAAACGTTAGGAGGACATAGCGGATCGTGAGGCGGCGGCCTTAGGTCTACTAGATAATAGTGATAGTGCGGATATAGCGATAATAGACGTAGATCCCTTTATCTAGGATAATCTAGCTTTTAATGCGGTTATTTTTTCTGATCCGTCCCTCCCTTTTCCCGAGTTTAGGGACATAGAGTAGCTCCCTAAGTTATCTAATCGATGATTCTTTAGTACTATCGCTCTTTATTCTAATCTCTAGGCTTAATTCTAGATAATCTAATGTAGTACTAGTAGTATTTAATAATAAGTGTCTTAGGTACGTTTTCCCTTAGTTCCTAGGTATTAGGTTCCATTATTAACTAATATACTAAGTATCGCGTCAGTACTAGGAACCCTTAATAGACTAATATCTTTTCTAACTTCACTTCTTACATCCCGTAGAGTCCTACGTTAGTTATCCCTCGCTAGCGTTTAGTATTAGTCTTATTTTCTAGTTCTAGTTCTTTCGGGATAATAGGTCGCGTACCTATTCTTTAATAGTATTCCTTCTTTACTCTAGATAGTAAGTTATCACTATATTCCTAAGTGTTCTCTAAATCGTCATATCCTAACTACTTAACTAGGTATATATCGATACACTTAATAGCTTCTGATCCGGGGCTAAAGTTAACTAACCTCTTAATCTTATACTTTAGTTCTCCTATTTCCTTATCGATCTCCACTAGTCCTAGTTTCGCGTTTAGATCCCTATATAGTTCTAGTAGGGATTTATAGAATACTAAGTGTATTTCTAGTATCTTTAGGAGATCTAGTTCATATATAATTAGTTCTAGTTTCTTTTTAATACGATATAGTCCGATTTTAGTATAATCTAGTTTATCGCTTAGTCGTTTTATTTTGATATTTTTTCTTCTTATATAGACTATCTCTCTCTCTTTAAGGTCTAGTCCCTTAGATCTTCTTCTATTTTCTCTTTTTATTATTTTTTCTGATATTTTTTATAATTCCTTTTATATTATATTATGTAGCTCTTTTATCTTATTAACCTTTGTGGAATATCGCTATTTGGGCGTACGGCCTAATTAGGCCTAGCGCTTTATCACGTGACTAGTGGATACTACTAGTCTATACTAGTACTAGATCACGTGGTATAAGTGGCGATACTAGGTGGTGTGATCGCTTATTAATAGCGATTCAAGGGATTTCTTTTATCTTCTATTATTACCACCTATTATCTATATAAGGACGCTTCTACCTCCTAGATAGTTATCTCAACTTAAGTCTTTTAGTATCTAGTAAATGACCTCCTCCGACCGTACACTCAGACCTTCTAACAACCTTAATCCTTACTTCTTCCGATATTAGTTTCTTAAATTTTAGTGTCTTAAATATGTTTAGATAGTATCTATAGGTTACGTAAAATAATGATATTCCTATTACGGCAGTACTATTATTAAA